ATCACGGAGAAACCTAAGGAGTCGGATAGTAAGGCGGAAACGCCAGCCCAACTAGCCGATCAACCTGAGTAGCCGACCTGGAAAGACAGATACGAGCACAGAAACAGGCTCTGTGCCCGCCAGGAACGTCAACACCGACCACACAGGGGTTGATCGACGAAGAAATCCGACTTGCCCGGCTGGATAGCTTAGCGAGAAGGCGCAACGAGGCGCTCAACGCTATAAACGGATTAGAGAAACGATTGGCCGGACTCGAGCCAATCGACCAGAATTTCCCGGTATTTGTAGAGTGCATTGTCGACCACATAACGGATTGGAACAAGAAATTAACGGAGAGGAATAATGAGATCCGGGCATTACGACCAGCGACGACCCAACCAGCAGTCGTCCCGACGGCCCAACTCTCACCCCTGATGGCATTGAACACAAATCCTCCGATTCTAGTTCCGACCTTACAGCTGAACTCGACGCAGCAAGTCCCACAAGGATTACCTGTGGAACCACTCCCAACGGTACAGGAATTGCACCGATTCCTTCGGATGACCAACATAGTCATCGGTCGGATCAGCACGACACTGGACGATACACCAACAGGAACTAAGGAATCGGCAGGCCTCGACAACGATCGAAAGGCCATTAGAGACTACACGAAAGGGCTCCAATCATTTTTGCACACCGGCCTTCCGACCGACCCGACGTTGTTAACGACACTTTGAACGAGAATGGAGAATGCCCGTAACAGAGTGGCTCGACACCCCCAGCTTGCCCAGAACCTGGACGCAGCCGAACGACTGTCGGGAAAGGTACCGATACTTACATCAGCAGAGGTACAACCCATTATCGACAGCGAAGAAAGAATCCTCGAAAGACTGAGATGACGTCATTCGTAGATCGAGTAGCCCTTAACAACACGGCGCATGTAGCAAACGACCTTGGTCGGAGCATCCGAATGGCTTGCCGATTACTGGAACCTGGCAGCCCAGCCACGGACGAGGCCATCCGACTAAACCAGCATGTCCGACAGATTCAACAGATAATCCAGAGCGAAACACGAGGAGCCGAACAATAAGTCCCTCAGCTCAGATACCATGCTATGGTACCTCAGATCGGAGAGGATGGCCAGGCGACAGAAGTCTGGAAAACCATCCTCGATGGCAAACAGACCATCCAGGGCATTTACGAACGTATTGCCAGCGGAATCTACGGCCCTCCCGAACTGGATCCGGTTCAGAAAATTAACGAACTCATAGCCAACATAAGGCTAATGAAAGATCTAAAGAGGTTCGGTTTGCCCACGACAGAGGTGGACCAACTTTGGGTGTTCATGGATCGAGTGAAGACGGCTAACCTGGCAGAGAAATCTCCGACCTCACAAATGGGTAACGTTCAACCGACGACGTTATTACCAGGAGCTGTCATAACTTTGCCGATATCGACGCAATCGTTACCGACTACACAAGTCGTAACGTCAACGGCCACGGCGGATGATAGGACATCACCGGTAACTTTATCGTCGACTTCGTCCGCGGCGGAGATGCACACGAAGATGCGAATAGACCGCCAGGAACGGATGTTAGCCACGACCCATGACGGATGGGAACTACTGGAGGACCTCCAGAGATCCTCCATAAACGTGACACCATTAGACGGCGATAGCACGGCAGAAGATGAACGACTTGATGGCCTATCTAAAGAGGGCAGACGACCTCATCCGCAAAGACGAACCGACCGATGTCGACGAACGGCAACTCAGGTTGGCAGTAAAACGGATCACAGAGATCCTCAATGCGGAAACGGAGTATACTCGGATCCAAACGCCATCACCACCCCGCCGGCCAACACCGACCGCGATAGCGGTGATGACTTTGGTGGGCATGACGCCGATAGAGATTCTACTCGGCAATGCGGACGTAATCTGTCAAGCCGGAAAAGACTTGGCCGAAATTTTTGACCACCGACTCAGTGGAACACTGCCGCCGGAGCCAGAGGCAACTGACCTCGCCCAAACCGGTCGAACTCTACGAACGGAGCTGGATTGGGCGAATACACTAGGCTCTTGGGAAATTCCACAGCCAGGTCCAAATCAAGACCGACTAAAGGAGGCGCTGCAAGCGGTGATCGACCAAGTCAAACAATATTTGACGAACCCGAACAAAGCGGGGCGCCACGTCAAGCAGCACCGTCTCCGACCTCATCACCAGGACTCGACGTCAAGCTCCCATTTCCGAACAACGCGGTCGACCAACAAGAACTCGACATTGGGAAGTCGAAGACCAATACCGTGAAGCAGTCGACGTCATGGAGAAGCTCTGAAAACAACTTCGGGACTAAAACCCCAATAACGACTTGGAGAAGCAAATGCGCGGCGTCTTGGACCAGCAATACAACATCTGCTCTAGGCAAGCGGAAGACTTCTGAAAAATTTTGAAGACTAACCCACAAAGGGTTGAGCGTGGTCGGCACCGTCGAAGCCGACCGTAGAGGTAGCGTTAGTCAATGTAACTATGCAACAGGTGGCCAGCGCAGTCAGAGAACGCGGTGACCGTGGCCGGGGATCAAGTGGTTGGGATCGGGATCGTGGCAATTCTTTCAGCGATGCTGTAGTAGTCGGTGATAATTTCCCTGATTATTTCCGAGTTGAAATTGATATTGAGCGCCTAGAAAACGAAAACGGCATTCTCTCCAATGGTAAAAACTGTGATATCTTTCATGGAAAATGTGATCCGCGAATTCAAGTTTTTGTGGCCGTGTAAGTAAGTCTGTAAGTGAATTCAAATTGCACATCTAACTGGAAATTAAATGGGTGATGCTTATTGCAGTATAACATCACGTAGTCTTATGACCTTTTTACAAATATCGTTTTAGTTTGAAGTTTTAGAGCTCTTTAAATCATTTTTTCGCTTTTTGTAGTGATCAGCCTTTGTCTCCTTGGCCGGGATCGAGCAAAGCGAAGGAGTATTAATGGCCGAAGATATTCGAAACTTCTAATACTAACTCTCCGACCATTGGGAAATCTGTCACACGTGATATATGCGGAGACTCGGTTAATAACATCAACCCTAGGTATAACGCTTCTTCTGACGTTCTTATTAAAAAGCCAAACCACGGTAAAACAATCTGCCGATGAAGCCTGCTTCTTTATACACAGAGTGTACATTTTGGATGTGGATCCTGGAGCCAACAACGACCATATCAATAATTTCGACTGCCTCTTTGACGTCATTCCTTGCGATGTGGCGAGAGATGCGAGGAGTGCTCATTGGAGTCGGTCCTTTGATTGTACGCCAAAATTTCAGTCTGGTAAAATGAGGTATGCAATATAACAATTACCGTAAAATCCGATATTAACGCCCTGGGCGTTTATTTTTTCGAGAGGCTCGGGAGGGGGCGTTTAAAACCGCAGGGGGCGTTTATTACGGGGGGGCGTCTGGTTTTTCAAAGGAATAACACGCTCATGATGTGTCAGTTTGAACGAGGTTATTATGTATGAACATTAAAGGAATAATTCAGAAACCAAGACATGTAGTTAGAAAATCATGGTTTAAGAGTGTGCATTAGTTAAATTAGCAAGATGTACCACAAAGACAGTACCGACAACAAACTAAAAAAGGGCGGCGCCGCAAATTATTAGACGCCCCGGGGCGGTAATTTCGGGGGGCGTTTATTATTTCGTGGCCCGCGGGAGGGGGCGTCTAAAACCACAGGGGGCGTTAATTTCGGGGGGGGGGGCGTCAATATCGGATTTTACGGTATGCAGCACTTTGTACTATTAGGTACTTTCAGTTCTGACTGCCTTATGATAATGCAGCCCAACGGGCTCTGCGTCATGCTCCTATGTGTCATTCAGAGATAACGCAAGCGTTGTGCATTGGTTTGTTGCAACAGTCAACACATGCCCACTTTAAGGCAACATTGCCCAACGGTAAATCTACTCTCGACTAGATTTTCCGTTGGGCATCGTTGACTTATCCATGCATTGCGCGTGTTACACGGTGTACACGGTGAGTGCAATGCAAATGCACTGCATTGCACGTTAATGCTGTTATACTGTACTGTTATCGACGCTGTGATAACAAATTTAGATTTTAATTACGAACGCAGAGAGATGCCTATGCTACCATTGATTTAATGACTTCGAGATGGCATTCATTACTAATTAGGTGGTAATTTCGTGCAATAATTATCAATTAAGCAATATTAATGCTAACTAGGTAGTCATTCAAGACGGCAGTAATTAGCTTTACCAATGTATTGCAGATACGAATAATTAGATCTACAGTAACATTTTCGCGATCCTTTTTTGCATGGGCGATGGGAAGACGCATAAAGTACATGCACTCGGTTGTTTATCATCAGGCTGACTTAGTGTAAGTTCGGTCATTCACTTATCGCGGCAGTGACAGTTGTTATGTTATCGCATTATTGGGTAGTTTTTTACGCGCCATTTGTTGTTACTCACTGCCACTTGGCTTTTGGTAAGTCTGACTTGCGGTAAGCCAGCAGAAATGAATCTCTATATTGAGAATGTGATTAATGTATAGTACTTATAATTGTACTTTACATGTGTTTCCAGTATTACGATCTATAACATATGTATATGGACTCCTTGCACGCCAGCGCTCGTACGAAATCCCCGGAAGCAACTGCCAAGCGTTTAGCGAGAATGGTACGAGTACAGTAAAACAAAACCAGATTTTCATTGTTGGGCCAGTCGCCATGGCAGCCTATAGCCAGCGACAGTCCCGCTTCCGGTGTGCTGACTCACACCGAGTCGCACTCGCTCTCGTACGCCGTATCAGCCTCGACTCTGGCTCGGCTACGCCTTACCACGCCTACGGCTATACGTCCCGGCCAATCAGCGTTCGTTCGCTCGTGTTGGATCAGCCCGTGCCGCAGATAGGCATTTTCTGTGTTACGGCTCATGCAGCCGCTCATTCCTGTTTTAGTCATGATTTTGCTCACGCACAGGGCTGTACTTTATTGCTATCACACAATAAAGCCTCATTTCCTCACTATCGTGAGCCTCTGCGCCGTGCTGCTGATATCATGCTACATAATTGTTTATTCATTAACTGACATCCAATGAGTAGTTAATTGCTTAAGTATTAACGCCCGATTTTGCTGAATAATCCAGATCAGCGGCAGAGTCTTAGTAGCGGTATGCGATCAGCCAGTCCCCACATTCCCGGTCAACATGATTTCATCCGATTGGATGCGGAAATTGTACAGCTGATTAATCCTCAGGGCATCAGTGACAAAAAGGTCAAGTGTGACACCGGGAATGCCTGCGATCCTAAGATCTCGGTTAACCTGGATACGTACGTTTTGGATTTTCACGTAACACACTTTTATGTAATAAATACTTTTGAAAATCATACGCAGCATATTAATTATTACCAGAATGGTGTTTTGTAAGGCGCGGATGGTGATAACATTAGCCAGTTTGTTAATAACCGTACTTTTTGCGTTTGACCTCGGCGATCTCGTGTCGTTTGCAGCTGTTGATGGAATCCAGCATGCTAGCCCATTTGTGAAAGTCCCAGTCCCAGGCTATACAGTCCCAGGCTATACTGGGCCGACTTTTTTTCATGTCAGTCCTCGTCGTTATGAATTTTGATTTCTTCCATAGTTTTTTGGCTGAATGTTTTGCCTACGAAAATGTTAGCGATATATCCAAGTGCAGAGTTAGCACCGGCAGAAAGTTGTTACCCTTAGCGTTGCTATGCTGCTGTCGTTTTGCATGCGAAATCGGCATTAATTGTTATATGCCCACGCCAGTTACATTAACTGTCGGCGTCTGTCGCCACTATCAAGTTGGACGGTGGTTTTGTGCGAACGCTTTACCCCATTATTCGCTTTGTCGGAGCAATACTGATCTGCGCTTTGGATTCGCTGTTTGTATTTTGCGCAAACTTGTCACTAAGTAAAGCAGAGCGACTTTCGAAATCATCGATAGAATTCGCAGCACTAGATCTGTATGTGACATTAACAAACAGTTATCTAATGGCCAACTGCGAATACTGTGCTGTTCATACTCAGCATTTATTAGTGACCTTTCTCGAAAACGAAGTGCGTTCTGTACGGCTCTAATTATACAAGTTAGCGGGAGTGTTCTTGAGTTGATGGCGGCTGTATCACGCTGGTACGCGACCTTTGATTACACTAACGACGAAGACGGTAATCTCAGTCTGGGGAGTGTCCACTGGATTGTCCGGGGTGCATGCCATGGACTGTTGTAATGGTTTTGTGGGAAATCTCAGTAATATTTATCGTAGCTATCAAAGTCTACGGTCAGATGAGTTTAAACTATTTTTCTAAGAATGCAGAAATCCGTTTCCCCTTCCGTTCTGGCAGTAAGCTGCAAGTACTATTACAACTTTCAATCACGAACTGTTCCAAATTGATTGAGATGGCAGTCAGCAGCGAACTGTGAAAAGAAAAAAGTTTTCGAAACGGTAAAATGCATATGTAAATACGTACAAACTAAAAGTTAAAGATACGCAAGCAATGAGTTCGACAACCGATAAATACTCATCGTATGCAGCAGCAAATCTATATACTATGCGTTAGATATTTCGGCAAAAGATGTAGAACTCAGCTTTTCTTTTAATTAGCTGGAAAATCTTTTGTTTAGTAGTTGCGCAAAATTTTTATTGCGCGATATTCTTTCTCAATAGACTGTATTTGTGCGGATATATACCCTGGGTATACGTCGTTAATACAATCGTTTCCCTTCAGTACAACGGCAGAGTCGTTAAATAAACACCATTTATATTTGACTCCTCTCCTTTTGTTGCAGCACGAAGAAATTTTGGATAAAATGGACAAAATTTTGTTTATTCAAAGCACGAATAAGGGTATGATTACTGAGGTAACTATTAACTAAACTCATAAATTGTAACAACAGTTCTTAGCGCTTTGATGACATATAACACACTACAAAAACATACGAGTCGTACCTTACACTAAAAAACATTAAAATAAGGATTCGTACATCTACCGTCCTTATCTAACCTTAGATAACTGCTTGTTGATACATTATTGTATAATCCAATTCAAAGGGGCACTCCAGTGAAGACAGCATTCAAAAAGAGAACACGGTGAAACTCATCCACATCCTTACCAAATCTGCGCGACCGCACGGCTTCTCAATTAGAACTTTCGTCGACATTAACCAGAAAACCGTTCTTCTGGTATATAATATAAAACATTCGCTAATCTTTTAATGCTTTGATATTTGCAGTGTGTGCTTTTGCAAGGAGATATGGCTCTGCTGATTGCAGACAGAAACACTAGCGTACAACTAGCTTCCCATTTGTGATACCTTTGCAGTTCTACCGACATCGTTGTAATTAACCGTCAGTTTTACATTTATGCAATGTAGCTACGTAAAAACTCATTTTGGACTAACACATTATTACATTCGATTCTTCGTTTTGATAGCTGATAGTGTGCATTTCCGGTTACGCGACCTTTGTCGTTGATCGCACGGAGGACGAGCAAGAAAACAGGAGCTACGCTACTGATGCAATACGACTAAATCTGTCCAATTGCCATCCGAAAGCCAGCATGCATCGCAACATTTCTTCTTTTCTCCAAAACATTATTTTACGAGTAGACCGTGACGTGCATACTTCGAGTTTTTGAATTACCGTACAAGCACATTATTTCTGCAGCATAGATCCAAAATCTGGTGAAGTACGCTCAAAGAAGAATTTCATTTGTATCTATTCGATCATTCTATATGTTGCACATAATTAAGTCCCAATGTTTTGCTGGCCCGAATTTCATCGTAAATAATTAGGTAACTGCATAGCAGGCATGACAACTGCTGCTGAACTACTCGGGTAGCTAAATACTGAAGAACTGCGTTTACTCCTTCGGGAAGTTCTATCATTCAATCAATTTAAGTCCAATTTTTTATTCAGTTCTGCTTTTCCAGTAACGGCAACGTAAAAGTAAACGCGCAGTAAACTTGCAGAACAAATGAAACTGAAACTGAAACCGCGAAGCGATACGCTAACTCACTGGGGAAAATCGTTCTAGTCAAAAGGTTCTACATTTCAGTACACTACATTTGGGGAGCTTTTCTACTGTCGGTTAGCGCAACTGTCCGTGTTTATAGCCAAATTACTTCCAGTGAATTTCGCAAATTGCATGTATTCGTTGCCTTTTTATTGGGGCCATGGCATTTATTGTTTTGCGAATAGTACTTTTATTAATCAGCGCGATCGTCACCATACTGTTTGCTTTTGACCTCGGCGATCTGGGGTCAGTATTTGCTGCTGGCAATGGAATGGAGGATGCAAATCCGTTTGTGCAGGTTGTATCATTTATTCAATCGCAAACTATACTAGGCCGTTTGTGTTGCATGTCTATCCTCATTATCGTAAATTTTGGCTTTTTCTGTGATTTCCTAAGTGCATGCTTCGCAAGTGAAAACGCTATCATTAGATCCCAGTACAAAACGGATACTCGTACTGCTAAAAAATGTTTGCCCTTAGCCTTTTTATGCTGTTGTCGTTTCGCCTGCGAAATTGGGATATTTTTTTACATTCCTGTACCAGCGGAACTAACCATCGCCACCATAAAGTTCAGCGGCAATTTTGTACGAACGCTTTACACCGTTATTCGCTTCGCTGGCGGATTGCTGATTTACATATTGGACACCGTATTCGTAACTTGTGCAAGTTTGCTTATAAGCAAGGGAACGCGGCTTTCAAACTTTGTTGACCAGATTTATCATGATTCTCACCGTGACCTTAACAACCAACAGTCGGTTTTGCAGTTGCGGTTGCTCTGCTATTCGTATCTTGCATTCGCCAATGACCTTAGCCGTCACCGAAACGCTTTCTGCACGGCTCTCCTTTTCCTAGTTACCGGAAGCGTTTTGGAGTTGATGACGACTGTGTCACGATGGTACGCGATCTTTGGTTATACCAACGACGAAGATGCTGACCTTAATATGGGGAATGTCCACTGGATTGTTCGGAGCGCATGGACTGCTGTAATGATCATTTGGGAATTATCTGTGATCTTTGCAGTAGCTACTAAATTTTATTGTCAGGTAAACATAAAATTATTTCGTGAAAATGGGTGGAATTTTAGGTGCAGATCTATACTATACTATATAATTGTACGTACATGCGAGTAGAGTCGCAACTGTGACATGTTACACAAATAGTTCTTTAGAGCTCGACTTCTGCAATATTGTTCAATCTTGAGACGCGTTTTTTTAACCAACAAAATCTACACATGTTTTCTTTCTAACAGGAGTGACTGAAAAGATCCACTACACAAATAATACTATCTCTATAATACGTACATACATACACGTACTGGGCAATGGCATATGCAGCGCTTATAACGATTGGTGTTACTCACTAGCAGCACTAGTAGGATTCATTGACAATAATCGGATATATTTTGCAGCACGAAGAAATTGTGGGCAAAATGGATAAAATTGGATTTGCAGCTCGAATCACAAAAAGTAGAGTAACCTCCGAGGTAGATAATGTACTTATCAAACTGTTTCGAAATATATCATTTCTCTGGATTTTGTTATCAGATTTTAATTGTGCCCCTGTGATTCAGTTAAAAATTATCTCTCTATCTCAAAATTTTATCGTGCAGTATTTTTACGTACTTGTACAATATGTAAGGATTTGTAGGGCCAGAAAATTGTGTATGCGTAATATTATGCTAAGAACGAATATTCTTGTATATATTATAAATCCGTGTTCTTTGATGTTGCCTCATTCACTGGTTTCTGCTTAAATTATTTAAAGTGCTACAACGAAGAAAATATCCAAGAAGAAGGCATGGTGAAGGTCATCCACGTACTTAGCAAATCTGATCGCCCGCGTGGATATTCTCTGGGAACTTTGGTCGACATTAACAAGAAAACCGTTCTTCTGGTATTTAAATCGAGGGTTGCTTTAAATTAGTTTATATTTTTTCCGAGAATACTATTTCATAAGATTTTTGCATGCAAACAAATCGCATTCTTGGAAGCACGTCTAATTAGCATCAGTAGAATGTCTAATTCGCATGAATCATATTGTACTTTCGCTTATTAATTTTGTTTTTACTCTTTATACCTGTGTTACCGTGTATGCCGTAAGTATCATAGACTTACAATCACTGATTCAGCGTTAGCTACATAACCCATGGAATACTAGCACTAAACATTACACCATTACCGTGCTTATTTTTTGGGCAGCTGCTGATATGCATTTCTGGTTACGTGACCTTTGTCATTGATCGGACGGACAATGTACATGAAAACCAGAGATACGCTACCAATGCAATGCAACTGAATTTGTTCAACTGCCTGTATTGAAGTATGCATGCGCAAAGAACAGTGTTTACTTACTTCATTCGATTCTTTTTATTTGACGCAGTTTTCATGTGATCCTATTTGTTTTCCTCTAAACTGAAATGTGAAAATTGTGCTATTTTGTAAACACTCGTATCAGGCGTTGATACCGTGCGATATAACGTGTACGTACTTTTACGCGTATCGATGTCCACCGAGGAATGTTTTTCTACACAAACAGCAGGTACCCGGTAGCTAGCAGGTCTATCCAGCAGCTAGTTTTGCCATCCATAATGCGCGGATAATCGGATTCGTTTAGCAAAAAAACAAACTTGTGTGAAAAATATGTAAAATGCATTACTTTAAGTTATGGCTAGCATGTTTAGTAATAAGTGTGTTACTAACGACGCTTTTTGCAGTTGATGTGGCTGATCTTATAACTTTCGCAGCACTTGACGGCATTGAGGCGGCAAGTCCGTTTGTACAAATTGTCGCTTACATCCAATCACAAAGCATATTGGGCAGAGTTGCTTTTATGTCCATTGTCATCGTCAAAAATTTCAAGTTCTTCTGTACATTTTGTGCCGGGTGTTTGGTAGACGAGAGCGCTGCTGTACTTACCCAGTGTAGAGCGAACGCTTTTCGGAAGTTTCTCACTTTAGCATTATTATGCTGTTGTCGTTTTATCTGCGAAATGATTATATACAGTCGCATGTCGACCACTGTCAAATCAACCATCGCCAGCTTAAGCATGAATGTCACCTTTATCCGCACATATTATGCAGTTGTCCGGTTTGTCGGCGGAATGTTGATTTACAGCATCGATTCAATGTTTGCCTTTTGTGCACATTTGACTCTGATCAAAGGAATACGACTTTTTAAATATACGGAAGAACTTCATAAATGCTGTCACGGTGACCTTACGAACAGTCAGTGTATCATACACTTACGAATGCTGTCTCATTCGTACACAGTATTCGCTAACGATCTGTGTCGGAACGAAATGCGTTTTGTGTAACACTATTTATTCAAGTCATAGGTAGTGTTATGGAACTGATGTCGACCGTATCGCAGTTGCATATAACTTTTGGTGACAAAATTAGCGATGGTGCCGGCAGCATCAGCTTAGCCAACATTTTTTGGATTGTGCGGGGTACCTGGACGCTTATGATCACTGCTTGTGAATTCAATGTAATATTCGGAGCATCTAATCAAATCTACTTTCTAGTAAGGTTAAATTACGCTCAAATCTCTTTTACAATACTCGGTAATATGCTTCACAATTACAGCATAATAAAATTTTGGAGAAGATTAGTAAAATCGGATATCTTCGAACAGTAATTAATGGAAGTCCTGCAAGAGATTCAACGAAGGTAACCTAAACGCATTCGACACTTTTTGGATGTGTTGACTTCGAATGTTTATTGTAATTTACAGCATTGCGTGGAATTATTTTCAGAGACACGATGGTACAAGTCTGAGGGAAGAATACATTGTCAGTGCAATGCATGCACTCGTGCAGTCTGATCGCCCACGCGGATTCTCAATTGGAGGATTGATTAATGTCAACAAAAAGTCTGTTTTATTGGTAATTACAATCTGCACTTAGAAACTTATTCGAATAAGCCAGTTAAACTAAAAATACTGTAAAGGTTTTGTCCACCTTTTGGCATCGTGATGTATATAAAGTTCTAAAAACGTTTTTTGCAGCTTCTGGTGTGTCTTTCTGGTTATGTGACATTCGCCATTGATCGAACAAATCATGAACACGAACACAAAAAGCTTGCAGCTGGTGCATCACAACTTAATATGTCTTGCTATCCACAGGCCATCGTGTACTCCAGCACTTTTTCGTCTTCTCTGCGCAACACACCATAAAGCCCAGGCGGAAATGCGCGATGTCGGTTTTGAAGTTAATTTTCAATGCTTTAATAAGGAGTATCTAGTCTAGTATGGATTCACAACTGAAACTGTTAACAGTTCTTAATAAAATCTGACCTTTACGGTGCCTTAATAACATGCCGGTTTCACACAAACGTAATTCTTTCAGAATTATTTGCGCAAACTTTATTGTCGTCAGCCACATTATACAGTGCGCTGATACCATAACAGATCGGTGAAACGGACCAGAATCATAGAGTAATAAAATTATTTTAACATCCATTCGGCAGACAGTGCCAAAGATCTTCGAAATTCAGTTGAAAAATTACGTAGCGTTAATCGCTCGTACAGCACACCACAATACGTAGTGCACAACAGCCGAATTCACTGGCATTAAATTGTCTGTACGACTGTTCTTTCACACAATAATATGAGTTCTCGTAACTTGGTAGAATTTCACAAAATCCTTCAGGTCATTGATTATTTCCACGTAGTATTTGGTTACACTGCTCTTGGTCACCAGCCAGTCGGCACGTTGCTGGAACCAGGCTGTGACGATTTCGTAGTCCAGGTCTTCCGCTTCCTGCCCCACAAACCGTCTGAGCAATTCAGCCGGCACTTCTATCATGCAGAACATGAGCAGCATTCTGCGTTGGGCATCAAAGTGATAAGGTTGCTCACAAAAGTATTCCAACAGGTAACTGGATACTACCGGCATCATGATTCCTAATGCCAAAATGCAGAAACATTTCATGAGTTTCTCAGATTGCAAACTATCGCGCAGCTCAGCGCTGATTTTTTGCCAACATGCCGAGGAATTGGTAAATGACCGCATATCCAGCGCATGGCGAAGCTGACGGAATGATTTCACACTGAGGAGCAAATGCCACGATTTCACAACTGCTTGAAGTATAACGCATAAGTACAGACCACCGGGCAAAAGGCAGAAGAGGAGAAAAATAATTACGGTGACGTCTTTCGAGACAAGGTGTCGGTCCTAAAAAAATTAAAGAGGGAAACGTTTTCAAATGTCCAAATATTCAGTGGAAAGAAAAACAGTATCTGTCGACGTACCTGTACAGTGTAATTTGGAGGGAAATAATAATAGTTGGCGTCAGAACAGCCCAAAGCAGCGATACCAAAGATGCTGACTCGAAATAAAGCTACAATAAACGCGATGGTAACCAGGTAGGTGACAGAATTAACGCGTATCCATATTTTGTCGGTCAGGAAGCACACCAGTTCACGACTGTCAGGACGGGAGCTCTTTTGTGTAATGTCTGCCATTCCGTATCCTAAAAAAACCATATACATGTACATAAATAACCCAAGCGAACATTCGTAAGAGGCATCTGCATTTTAATTATAAAGGGAGCTGACAATGGCTGAAGGACATTATTAGTAAATAATACGAGTTTATTTCCATACAGTCGGCCGTTACGTAAGAAATGCTTGTGCTGCACGATAGTTACCACATACAGCTGTAATGCGATTCCGTCAAAAAATTTCATAAAAAAGGCCTTGGTCAATTATTTGTAAACCAGTACAACATACTCGCATATTTACGTTTACCGCTTTAAACTTACCGCAGAGACAGCAGAAATAGGTGTTAGCACGAAAAAATTCCTTTCCATCAAGGATTATAAAAATCCGTCTTCTGGCGGGAGATGTACGCAAAGGTGACAGCGACGATAAGCATTTGCAGTCTGGGAACTTGGATTGTAAACGGATCAATAAGCCGAGAACGACGACTTAGGTCTGTAGACTGTACGCATCTACAATCAAACATGCGCTTCGGCGATCCAAAGCAATGATTATTGATTTCCGAAACCGTAGTGTACCGGGTCACTGCCGGCGTTTCTTCATGCTTACCGTTAGCTTATAAGCACTGTTAAACACTTGCATATATATATCTAAGGTCAGATATGCTTTTACTGCATGATGCTGATGCTGATGATACATAGTCTTCACTTCATGCAGTGTCCATACATTGTACTTTGCAAGTAACTCGTATAAATTATCATATTATAAAAGAGAACAAATCGCTGAGGACTTTATTTTTCTAACAGCAACAGGCACACTGGGCAATATATATTAAGCGAATGGTCAAAAAAAGGCAACAAGTAACTTTTGTGAAGTGCATCCTCATTATGCGATCCCGCACTGAGCACAGAAAGCTTCGACATCGCATTTTATGGACCGATGAATATTACAGAATTATGTACGTACTATGTAAATATATCGCAAACGACTCGCTGTCATGCAGTCAAAAAACTAGAGTACCACGCGAAACTGAAACAATCCGAAAAAATTGACTGTGGAGTGCAGAACTCAAGCGTGGATTTGATTTCGTTCTACGCTTAAATCGTATTGTGAATCCCGCGCTACTGACGTAACAACTGCCTGGGGGCGGAGAGTCACAGAATCTGACGGCTGGCTCACTTGTACGTACGTATTCTGCTCACTTCATAAAATTAATTTTTATTGCTGATATTGCATCAGACTTTGGAGCCTTGGACGGGGAATCTCCAATATTTCAAAAATCTGTTATCGCCTTATTGTAAATAACTATGACACCGAGTTAGTTCCCCAAATTGCATTAGTTTTGCGTATAAATTTGTTCCTCTTTCGGTGAGCGGCCGAAACTGTTTGTTTAACTGCACACGTCGACGCTCACAACGAGTTGCTCACAATCAGGTAGTCGTCTGGCTGACTAGTGGCTCGTCAGGATGAAAAAGGCTACTCCTTCATCCATTTTCACATTCTGTCGGAATTTTCAAACGCAACACCCCAGGTTGGTTATGGAGATTGATAAGGAGAATCTTGTTGAACTATGGAAGGAGTGCGCGCTTTTATCTCCGTCTACCGCATAGCATGGACTATGAACGATGAATATGAAATTTCGGAAATCATAATCTTTACGGATTTCCCGACTCTGGATACTAACATCTACCGTTTGCAGGCTTCCATTGACCACATCCCCGAAATATGTTTCGTATCGGTATTTTTCATCAGCCAGTGACACCCCGGAAAGGAAGAAGCGCTTAGTGATCCTGGGAACGGGATGGGGAGCGTACAGTACGCTGAAAAGCCTCAATCGAAAGTTTTACGATGTGACGGTGATCAGTCCGCGCAATCACTTTCTCTTCACTCCCCTGCTGGCCAGCACCACGGTGGGCACGCTGGGTAAGAAATTGTTTTCTTAAATCATCGTTCGGAAAGGAGTATTGACAATTCAGCTCTTTCGTTGATTTTGCGTGCCAGAAAATAGCTCGCCTTGCCAGCGTTTACAGTGTGCTGATTGTTCAACCGTTAAGTTTTGACTACGAAAATGTTTTTTTGTAGAATTTCGCTCCATCATCGATCCAGTACGAAACGCTGGTGAGTGATAACATGCAACAGTAAGTGACGCGTATTGTGTTTGATATCTGGTTGTTCTGTGGCATGGTTTCGGGATGTTGTCCCTGCTGATTTTTCATACTTAATTTTCTGGCGATCAGGATTCGGGCCGCGTGATGATTTCTTCCTTTCGTATGCCACGGAAGTTGATCTGCAGAACCGCACGGTAGTGATGCGCAGTAACGATGAAGCCAAAATGGTCTCGACTATCAATTATGATCGTCTAGTCATTGCTGTTGGTGCGCTGACCAACACTTTCAATGTGCCCGGTGCGGACAAGCATGCATATTTCCTAAAGGTACTTACAATCTTCAGAAAAAAATGTGTACAAACCGTTTGGTTAGAAAGTAAAAGGTTATTTTAGTAGAACGTTCCAATTAGAAATTGTTTAGGCATTTTTATGTGATAAATTATTAAACTCTTTCACTTGCTGGTTCAATTCGACTTTTGTGGAACGTTTTTTCGTTTTTTCTGCATATTTTGCAACTTGAAAGTTTCGAATTTCGTGGACGTTCGTCTAAAATCCAAATCATATAATTTCGCAAAAATGAACTGTCATAATTTTGATTGATTGCTCCAATTTGCACGTGCCATTTTTCTGCTGTAGGAAATACAAGATGCCAGAGCAATTCGCAATAAAATCCTGAGCAATTTCGAATCGGCTCTACAACCTGGCTTAACAGACGCGGAACGGTCTCGCCTCCTGCACATTGTTATCGTGGGTGGCGGTCCGACGGGTGTGGAATTCGGTGCGGAAGTGCACGATTTTGTGCGCACGGATGTGGCGCGACTATATCGAAAAGACGCCGATCTTGTGCAAGTGACCCTGGTGGAAGCGCAGCATATTCTCCAGTCGTTTGATCAGCGCTTGCAGAACTACGCCGAGAAGAAGATTAAAGAACGCACCAACTTCCACTTGTTGCAAGACGTGGTGGTCGAAGTTGGGGAAACATTTGTGAGATTGAAAAGCGGTACGATAATACCGTCGGGCTTGACAGTTTGGAGCACAGGGCTGGCGCCGAGGGATATGATTCGCGCGATGGATGTACCGAAGAATAAACAAGGTAGAAGTAATAAAAGTTTAAGATTCCTTCTTAAAACTATGTATGTACTCTGGTAGAAGTTTTTCTGTTATATGTACGTATTATCTAGTGTGGTTGTATTTGTTTTTGAAAGTTTGTAGAGGAAGTTGTGTTGAACTATTGGTTATTTGGTAATTTCGTATCCTACACTTATTAGTACGGTGAGAAGTAAATCAAATTCTGCAAACAATAGCGTTCCTTCTTCAGTGCGTGAATTTGTAGCATGCAGTAGTTTATAGTTTGCAGCTTCATTGTGCGTAATACGTGAGCACCTCTAGAAGTTCTTACTTGAAAATTGAATTGCATTGCTATGATTGAAAAATTCACTATAACTTTTTATACGCCGATTCTGGCATCGATTTGTGGTGTTTGAATAAGCTGATTTGTGATATCTTGTGTGGGCGATGGAGAACACTGACACTGTGTATTAATAATTGCAGGACAGCTGTTGGTCAACCAGCATTTGCAGTTACTGGCCGATCCCTATCCGGAAGGGAGTGCATTTAGCATCGGTGACTGTTCGTATCTCAAAGATTCACCGCTCCCATGCACAGCGCAGGTTGCCGAACGCGAAGGCCGGTATTTGGGAAAGTTAATGGCCGCGGATGATATCCGCAGTGAGGCGCCTTTTACATTCCACAACATGGGTAAGGATGTGATGTTTGTGCGCCTATACCGTACAGTACAGTACGGTACTTACCGTAGTGCCTTGGGTTATGTTTTTTAGGTATGCTGGCTTATTTGGGTGATTACACCGGTGTCAGCGATTTGCAGAAGTTCAAGATTCAAGGAATTACTTCGTGGTTATTGTGGCGCTCCGCATATCTGACTCGATTGGGATCGTTGCGACTGCGTTTGCAAGTGCCGTTTGACTGGTTTAAGACGTTAGTTTTTGGTCGGGACACTTCTAAGTTATAGTAAGCTCGATGCTGTCGTTTATTTTGGAGCAGTTTCTTGAGTTTGTTTGTTACTTAATTTATTAATAATGTTATTTTCGGTGAACAGTATGTGATAACTTGAAATGACTTCTGCTTCAATGGTTACCTTGCTCGTATTAAATACTGATTCTGAGGAGATGTCTACGGCTTCATAGAAGTTCATCGATTTTGTTGTATGCAAGCAAGTCTAGCACATAAAACATTGTTACTGGTATAGTGGTACCGGCGTCTCTCAATATTATCGGAGTCTGTTCTGTTTAGGTGAACGTAATATTACAGGGAAGCGTGTTCCCTACCGTTGGCTTAACAGACGCGGAACGGTCTCGCCTCCTGCACATTGTTATCGTGGGTGGCGGTCCGACGGGTGTGGAATTCGGTGCGGAAGTGCACGATTTTGTGCGCACGGATGTGGCGCGACTATATCGAAAAGACGCCGATCTTGTGCAAGTGACCCTGGTGGAAGCGCAGCATATTCTCCAGTCGTTTGATCAGCGCTTGCAGAACTACGCCGAGAAGAAGATTAAAGAACGCACCAACTTCCACTTGTTGCAAGACGTGGTGGTCGAAGTTGGGGAAACATTTGTGAGATTGAAAGCGGTACGATAATACCGTCGGGCTTGACAGTTTGGAGCACAGGGCTGGCGCCGAGGATATGATTCGCGCGATGGATGTACCGAAGAATAAACAAGGTAGAAGTAATAAAGTTTAAGATTCCTTCTTAAAACTATGTATGTACTCTGGTAGAAGTTTTTCTGTTATATGTACGTATTATCTAGTGTGGTTGTATTTGTTTTGAAAGTTTGTAGAGGAAGTTGTGTTGAACTATTGGTTATTTGGTAATTTCGTATCCTACACTTATTAGTACGGTGAGAAGTAAATCAAATTCTGCAAACAATAGCGTTCCTTCTTCAGTGCGTGAATTTGTAGCATGCAGTAGTTTATAGTTTGCAGCTTCATTGTGCGTAATACGTGAGCACCTCTAGAAGTTCTTACTTGAAAATTGAATTGCATTGCTATGATTGAAAAATTCACTATAACTTTTTATACGCCGATTCTGGCATCGATTTGTGGTGTTTGAATAAGCTGATTTGTGATATCTTGTGTGGGCGATGGAGAACACTGACACTGTGTATTAATAATTGCAGGACAGCTGTTGGTCAACCAGCATTTGCAGTTACTGGCCGATCCCTATCCGGAAGGGAGTGCATTTAGCATCGGTGACTGTTCGTATCTCAAAGATTCACCGCTCCCATGCACAGCGCAGGTTGCCGAACGCGAAGGCCGGTATTTGGGAAAGTTAATGGCCGCGGATGATATCCGCAGTGAGGCGCCTTTTACATTCCACAACATGGGTAAGGATGTGATGTTTGTGCGCCTATACCGTACAGTACAGTACGGTACTTACCGTAGTGCCTTGGGTTATGTTTTTTAGGTATGCTGGCTTATTTGGGTGATTACACCGGTGTCAGCGATTTGCAGAAGTTCAAGATTCAAGGAATTACTTCGTGGTTATTGTGGCGCTCCGCATATCTGACTCGATTGGGATCGTTGCGACTGCGTTTGCAAGTGCCGTTTGACTGGTTTAAGACGTTAGTTTTTGGTCGGGACACTTCTAAGTTATAGTAAGCTCGATGCTGTCGTTTATTTTGGAGCAGTTTCTTGAGTTTGTTTGTTACTTAATTTATTAATAATGTTATTTTCGGTGAACAGTATGTGATAACTTGAAATGACTTCTGCTTCAATGGTTACCTTGCTCGTATTAAATACTGATTCTGAGGAGATGTCTACGGCTTCATAGAAGTTCATCGATTTTGTTGTATGCAAGCAAGTCTAGCACATAAAACATTGTTACTGGTATAGTGGTACCGGCGTCTCTCAATATTATCGGAGTCTGTTCTGTTTAGGTGAACGTAATATTACAGGGAAGCGTGTTCCCTACCGTTTATTGGGTATTTTTGAAAAGATAAATATGGTTGGTATTAAAGACGATCATCACCGTTTTTCTCTTGGCAGTGAAGTCAGTAAAGCAGGGATGACATTAACCATTGCAAGTACCGGTGCAAGCGATACAGTATAATTTTGTTAATCATTTCTACTCTGTCTCTTATCGAAAAAATCTTTGACAAAAAAGGTGTGATAGAACCGTTTAGCGCTCCCATTAGAGTGTTGCATCATCGCCGAGCATACCGATTCGACTCTCTCCAAAACAAGAATCACGTTTCGGCTTGTCGGGGATTTACTCCCCAAACCACGATTAGCTTTTCCAAAAATTTAATGCTGAATCGCTGATGCAACTGACAAGTGGCTCATACGTACTTGTACGAGTACAACATCCGTGCAACAAGTAGTATAATTATTAATAATATTATAGCTAAACTGCTAAAGTGCTGGAGTAGCAGCAGCCCGTAGGGGGCTGATGAGTGAAGACAGCACTTCTTCAGTTCTCTTGCATAAGTTGCATCGGCTCTTGAACACTTCCCGGCAGTTCCTGCTTCAGTAAAAGAGCTGCGCGCGAAAACTCAGGACTGCTCTGGCACTGGCACGTTATATACAGACCATGATTAAATTCTTTACAAATTCTCAGCGGTTTGCAACTTTGCGTTTTGTTTAGTTTTCAGAAGGCTGACAGTGCTATTGTGTGTGTGCTAGCCACTTCGTTTTCAGCCGTTAAACAGTTTAACTTAAACTCGAAAACATCTGCGAATCGACGCTTGTTTGGACTGCAGACTCCGCAATCAAGGCGCTTCTCATTGTCGTAAGCGTACATAATTTATGGGTCTTGAACACAGCTTACGGTAACATCGAACGAGGCTGGCTGAAGTGTGAACTTCTAGATTTTTGAAGTTTTTGTCTTCTGGTGCAAACAACAAACCCCTTCGAATGGATGTCGTGATTTCTGCCGAAGAGGAGCGTAACGGCCGTAACCTGTCGACGATCGTTGTGGAGCGCGATGTGAAAAGCCCTGTCAGCGATATATCAGCAGGCGACCGCTCAACCGACGAGAAGCTCACTCCATCAGTAGCCGATACGAGCACATCCAGCGAGGACTCTGGCAGAATTTCCAGTACTGGTTCCAGTCCCATAAAAGGCGAGGTCAATAGTGCGAGAGATATAGATGTAAGCACTAAGCAGTAAAAATTAAAATGGTAAAAAACTGAGCATAAAGACCGATAATGCGAACGCGCATGTCACAGCACGTGAACTTATTTATCAGTAAACACTGCTTTTATGCGTTAATATTTCATAAATGTTTTCCTGGTCTTCCAACGAAACCGCGGTTCAGGTTTCCTTTGTTTTACAGAGTGAGGAGTTGGAGAATAATGGGCTACCGAGGATTTCTACGGGGACCGAAGCCCAGATTGCGAAGCGGATGATCATTCGACGAGAAGAGGATGGTGCCCACGTGGTACTCGTGGGCAGTGTCTCGGTGAGAGTACGCGTACGCTTACTGTATAACAGCGCGTCACCAAAATTCAGGGTTTTGATGTAGTTGGAAACTTGGAATTGTGTAATAAGCAGCGTTTATAAGAGCAGCAATATTCGGCTGAAAATTGAAATAGCGTTTTCGGTTTCAGTCTAATAACCATCAACCATGCAGGCGCGGTTTGTCGCCGTTTAATAAATCTGTTTCGCATGCTGTCAGAATTTTCAGTTTTGTTTTACTTGTACAAAATATTGGTTGGCTGCAGGTCCTGGATCCAATGAAATGTCCTTATACATACGATCCCGAACTCGAGTGCGCCGCTCCCTTTCTTCGCTCGCAGCCCGACTATCTGAAGTATCATTTCCAATCAGTACACCGACTACAGAATGTGCGGATTAATTTGTTGTGTCCCTATCTACGGGAAAAAGATGGCGGCGTTGAGTGCCGCGCCATTGTGTATGATCCGCAGGGGTCTAGTTGTATGTTGGGAGGACATGTTAGTAAGCAGCATCCGGTCTTTCGGGATAAAATGATGACCGCTCTGGCATATCGGAATGCGGAGGAAGACCAAAGGCGTGAATTACTGGTAAGTTTCCCATTTTGGTACAGTAATATAGAGTCTATATTAATATGTAGATAGCACTGATATGTACACTGTACATTGTACTCTCTGTGTTGAGACAGGCTGTACTTGCTAACTTACATTATTTTATCGTAATCTCACCAGGGCCCGTCACCGGCTATCAATTCAGAAAAATAATTTGATCTTCCGCAGAAAGACAAGGACTTCGGAATAAACGAAAAAAAATATTTTTATCTGCTATGGCTAATGGGTGTGGCCAAAACAAAATTTAAAAGTAAATTCTATGCTGTAGCCTATGGACATTGCACCGTTAACATATGTACTCTTACAGTACGTTCAGTTTTTTTATTAGTTCGTATGGGAAACGCTACACATTTTCACAATAATCAATCACTCATTAAGCATCAATCGACAGAGGCGGCCTAATCACAGAGAAAATTTGATCTAAAGTCGCTCCCATCGGCGCTGTCCCCAAAATCGATGCCGCATTTCCTCGTTGGATTTCGATACTGATCCGCTGGCGAAGATACTGTATTTCGTGGCTCGTTTTTCGCCGGTTTCCTGTCGTATTTTCTGTCCGAATTCCGTAATCGTTATTAGTTATTAATACGTTACTGAACAATCTGTACGAAGTCAGTTTAAATTTAAGTGCAAGTGCTCGTTCAAAAATGTTATTGTGCTGCTGTGCTGTGGTAATCGGTGTTCACTGTCTCTAATAAAATTAATGCTCACTGGCTCTAGAAATGGTGGAGTTTACCGTTAGTTTTACACATACTTGAAGTACGTGTACTGTATTGTACTGTACGTTTTCTGTAGAAAGGATCGGTAACTGCTACTTATTTTAGTTTATCTGTATACTGTCGTTTTTCAAATATAGATATTTCACGTAAGTTGTAACTTGTAAGGTACATAAAGTACAGATACTCGTTGAATTTTGGTTTGGCCGCGCCTTTTTAGCCATAGTACTCGTACCGTAGTACTAATTAGCCTTAATACTCATTAATATCAGAAATTTGACGTTGATCGTCACAATCGGTGAGGCGCAGATGTCGCTTTTTAATTCGGACGGGAGAGACGAAATACCGTGCTGCCACTTTTAAGTATCGTAAAAACAAAAAATCAAAATTAGTTAAAAAGCAAAACAAATTATGTTTGTTTTCCGGAATTATTTATTGGGATAATAATGCAGTGCATTTGGTGATTTTGGTCCATCCCAGTGTTAAAAACACCGTAGATGTCTATACTAAAAGGTCGTTAAAGTAACTTCCCCGGAAGGACAATCTGGATTTGTAACCGGGAGAGGAACGCAGGGGGAGTAGCCAAAGTTAACTCTCTTCCATTTCACGAGTCTTACAAAATGTACCAGTGCCTCGAATCTCTGGAAACCAGATGTTTTCGGAAGGTCATAATATGATGTTTAAGTTTACTAAACCTGGCACCCATAGATTACGGATTCGATTTTTCAGCAAATTTAAATTTTTATTAGAAAGCATCGGACAACGTTTTGCGATTTGTGGTGCTGCGCTCAGAGTCTTGTCGGTTTACAAAATCCACCGTATTCTAAATTGTTTTCTACTTCTTAAAATTAAGTTGTGATGATTGCTGTAAGAAAGGGCATTCAAACATAACGGCTTTAGGAGTAAGCATGCACGGGGATGATTGTAATAAATTCATGAAGAAATTGGAAGCATTGCAAAATCACCCTGTGTTTATTTAAAAAAGTAGTTTCAGGTGCCAAACAAAAGCAAAATGCGTGATGGTATACATAGGATCAAAAGGCAGCAAGCTCTGATACAGGCTTTTTTTCATAAGTGTTTTGGATTTTCGGGCACTAAACTAGCCGAGAATTTTCGCATTTGTCTTGCACCGACGTACGGAAGTGATGCTCGCGTGCGGAACATATTCTGCCACTGCAAGTGTGCAAGCACATTCGTATGCGATTCAGCGATTAGATCCACATCTTCGTTTTCGACCAAGCAAAATAATATCGAATATTTGAAGACTTACAGTTTATTCTACATTTCTGCAAAAAATAAGATTTCCATTCTTTTATTGCCATGGAACGTGTCCTAGTAAGTAAGACAACCTTGATAGATAGAAATAGTCTTTTAAGTAAACGTTCAGTCGATGTACTGTAATTGTCAGGTTAGAGTTAGTAGGTAACTGTTACTTGCGTTAGTTGTTTTTTTTGCATTAGGGAGCAGACTTCGATTACTTGAAAACATGCCACAGAGAAGTTCTGCCGGATTGGATCTACAGTGCGGAGAAGGAGGTGAAGTTTCCCAGTTTGCGCATTCCGGAATCTCTTGACATGCCGATTGTTATTGTGGTAGGTGATTGGGTTGTTTGACGTAGATGCTACGTAAATAATCATTTGTGCCTAATCAGTGTGTTTAACAGGCTTGTTTATGTTAGGATAAGGACAAGCTGGGGTTTGTTTGCAATCGGTCACCGTGTCAGGAGGAGCGGTTTCCAAACCGTTCAGCCATATTCGACCATTTCCAGGCTGAACATCGTATTCATCCTTTACAAACGACTGTATACGAAGTATGCCCTGCTGCCAGTCAGGTATGGCAGTTGCTTTATTTAGGGGATTTGTTCCGGTACATGGTGCGAAATTCGTGTACATCCTCGAAAACTTTCACTGTCGCGCACTCCGAAAACTTTGCTTGTTTTAAAGCGTTTTGTGCGCGCAACATCCGGTTCGGAAGTTCTGGCTGTTAGAAAATTTCAAAAAGGTTAAAGGCATTCAAGAGTACCAAAAGTTTCGTTATCAACCGACCTTTAAATTTTGCATGGGAATTCACATATGAATGATTTGTTTTTACCCCAAACCACGGTTTTTTAATTTTAAGATTAATTTCAGTCATTTTGAAATTTATCTTAAAATTTGAAAAAAATTGTGCAACTCTGGTTCAGTGTAAAAAGGATTTTCATACTTATGTGCATTTATGCGCAAACTTTGAAGAAGATCGGTTGATGCGCAGACGTTTAATACACCTCGATGAACTTAAACTTTTTGGAATTTTCTAACAGCCGTAACTTCCGAACCGGATGTTGCGCGCACAAAAGTTTTCACGCCTACCTGTGCAAATCATCTGGCTACAGAATGTCATAAAACAAGCAAAGAAGTGTTTCGGAGTGCGCGACAGTGAAAGTTTTCGACGGTGAAAGTACAGAATTTGGCACCATGTACCGCGCCACATTCTTTAGTTTTCACGTCTGTTCGCCGTGACAGTTTAAGCAGATCTGATTCTTTATAGGGCTGCACTGTGAAGCAGAATGGACCAGGTGCTATGCTGGAAGAGCACATCCAGTTCGCGCACCCGACGATGCTAGGTCTGCCCGCGGAGTTTGCGGAAAAAGCGTTGCAGGTAAAAATTTCGCGTTGAGCTGATGCGTGCACGTTTTTCGTGTAAGCTTGAGCGCCAAGTGGATTATGTAATTATTTTTTTGTGGTAGAAATGGAAGCAGTTTGAAGAGCAGGCCAGATCCGGGATGGAATGTTCAGGAAGAAACTTCACTATTGTTCGGCAACAAGAAGTTGGGAATGGAGTTGATCCCGGGTGTTTCTACGAATGGTACTGCCCTGTAGAGGTGGGAATATTTCGATATAGGTTACTATCAACCGTTATGCGAAATGTTTCGTTTTCTGAGCCGTATCTACGTTTTCTTTTAGGGGTGCTGCCAGTGTTATGGGCGAGAAAGCATGTTGATGTGGCACATTGGTGTTCATCACAAGGATAAATGAAACGTGAAGCGATTATTGTTGCTTATCTGGTTGCTCTCTTCGTAAGTGGAGCCTGTCCGGCTCTGCGTCTGATTCTCCGGCGTATTATTGCAGTTGGTGCCAGAAGATGTTCCTTCGGTTAGGTTTACCTTTTTTTATCTTCAGTTTACACTTTACGGTTTTCCATTTTTCGGATGTACGGATACAATACAGTAAGACGTCTTTTTTAAATGTAGACAAGTACTTAATGCCGCGTTGGAATGAATGTGCAGCAGTACGTTAGCACGCAGCAACACGATGCGATTTAACGACAGTTGAGAAAATAAAAACAAGATTTCAGGGAAACTGTACGAACTGATACTGTATGCTGTCCATGTTTGCTGTTCACCATGTTACAGTAATCGAGCACGCTTGTTCTGAACATACATTGTGTAACGTAAAGTTGTGTGGTTTTCTCGCCTCACGCCTGTATATACAAATCATCTGGCTACAAAATGTCATAAAACGAAAGAAAAGAGGGTTTGGGATTGCGCGAAAGTGAAATATTTCGTGCATGTACACGATTTTGGTACCATGTACCGAGCCACTTCCCTTACCTTTGAATCACTATCATATAATAATATCATCGATAAGTAACGAACTTTGCATCGGTATCATTAAACCGAAATTGACTGGAGTACGTCAGGGCAGGATGCTGCATTGCATTGTCTGGATTCATCGCATCATGGAATATGCTGACAAATGCATCTGTCGTCGTGCCCTCGAACGTACAAGGCGCGATTTGCCGGACCAGTATGTAAGTGTGGGAACATGCTGGAAGAACTGGAACCGGCACAGCCTAAGTAATTAACAAAAAAGAACAATCTAGTGCCATAACAAGCGAGCACAAAAACAAGTCGCATACCAGCGACATCTCACTCTGGGATTTTCGTACACTTTCTAAAGGCGAATGAGAGGGAATGGTACGAGGGTACCTAATCAAGTCATGTCGTATATTTTTTATTTATTTACTGGTTCGCACAATTCACTTTATTTTCTCGAAATACTCTCCCTTGGCCTTCATACATTTTCTACATCTATCCCTCCACTCATCGAACATCGAAACAAAAAAACGGCGACCCAGAGAAGAGATGGCACTATCAAGATTTCCTTCGAGTTCTTCATCACTTCCAAACTTTTTTCCGCGAAGTTTATCTTTCAAAGTGGGGAATATTTTGAAATCGTGGGGGGCCAAATCAGGGCTGTAGGCAGGATGCGGGAGAATTTTCATACCAGACGCAGCTAAATAATTTTTTGTGTATTTTGAGGTGTGTGGACGGGCGTTATCGTGATGCCAAATCACATGGGTCGTTCCACTTTGGGGTCGTTTTCTCGCATTTTCGCAAAGAAAGGTTCAAGTACATTTTCACAGTACCACGCAGAATTCACTGTAGTTTTAGGAGGTAGAGCTCGTTTGTGAATGATTCCGTTCCTGCCCGATACAAAGGCGTACATAACTTTCCGGGTACTTCGGGATCGCTTGACAATTGTCGGTCTTCCGCTTCCTTTGGTGATCCAAGTTTTATTTTGCTGCTTCCGTTTTGGTTCGTAGTATGCAAACCAACTTTCATCTTCAGTGTAGATTTCATACTGACGCTTGGATGATAAATCTTCTAGCATTAACTTGGCCAAATTCACACGCGAACGCTTCTGGGCAGAAGTCAGCAAATGAGGTACCCAACGCGACACTACTTTGCGCAAATTCAGATCAACACGCAAAATGCAGTCCACACTTGCCTCGTTAATCCCGGTTTCGTCCACTATCTCTCTAATAGATATATGGGGATCCTTCTCAACCAGGCGCTTAACGGTGGCAATCTTTTCCGGAGTCCTCGCTGAAACTGGTCTTCCCGATCGCCGATCATCGTCGAGATCAAATTTGTCCGCACGGAACCGCCAGAACCATCGCTCCACTGTGCGCAATGAAGGACACTGACTTCCAAACAGTAATTGCATTTCCGAATGGCATTCGGTTGCATTGAGTTTTTTAAAAAAATTTGCGTACATGATAGCGCGAAACCCATGTTTCGTCATGCGCGCCATTTTTAATAATGAATTAAATTTTCACCCGAGTGAATGGCACGCTGACTCATGCTGACTGCCACCGAGAGGGGGCATTGACTCGGCCATCAGCCTACTGATACAGTTATGAATGCCCTATTTTTTAAAAATGATTTCATATTTTTATTTTCGTAAGTTATATGCGAACGACATTACTTGATTAGGTACCCTCGTACAAGATAGCGTAGTCCGAAATATGGACTGAGGAAGATTAACGCATTTCTCAAACTTCTAAAAAGTAAATCTGAAGATCAAGTGCAGCAAATATTTCGCAAGTACCACGGTAAAACATCTAGACATCGTGTAGAACGGACTGTTGACTTGACGAGAGTCTGGAAAAATGAGTAAAAATACACAGCAAATTTTTGGATGTCTACCTAAATTCCATGCTTGGACTACGAATTTTCTCCTAAAGGCGGGTGGCCACATTTTCGTGACTTCCCTATGGGGTTTCGTGTTTCTGTTCGACCGGAAGTTTCTAGAATTTATGGAAATTTGAGGCCTAATTCACCTGTTTTAAAATGTTTTTTGAAAGTCGACATGCATGTTGTTACGTGTGCGTAATGACTGGCCGATTATTATCACATTGCTGATCGATGAGAGTGCGTCTTACGCATGATAAGTAAATCTATCCATCCTTAATAAATTATACCGGACTTGTGGGTGAGGTTCTGAGACTTCTAACTCTGACTAATTCTGTTCTAGTTCGATTAGTGTTACGCTACGGTTTGTGCTGTCAAAGGATATTTTTTGTTGCAGGACATCTGTATTTTTATACAAACTTCAGTTGTTGGACGACTGCGGCCGGATATATTATACGCGTACGCTGAACTTCTATGCTAGTACAGTATATCTATAGTCCAACAGAATCACTACGATAGTACGGTGTCAAACGCTTACCCGTAACTATTTTTTTTGTTTTTCCGCTTGTGTGCACTTATGAAGGTCGGCAGATCATACAATATCATGGTATGATATGCAGTCTTTATTTAAATGAGGAAACATGAACGAGAACAGTCATAAAATCTCAGAGTTATCAAACGACAGCAGATCTACCGACAAGCACAGCTTTGCGCAACCATATCGTCGTATTGCTTCAGAATAACATTCTGTTCACTATCGAAATACAGCAGCGAAATACTGTATAGTTTATCAGGTACACAACATGGTGCGGTGACATTTTTGTCAAATTTGAGATTGTGAACTATACTAATAATTGTGGCATGGTTCGAGGGTTTGGATTCTTGACCGATGGGAAACCGACAACTTCCGCGGCAGTAATTCGCTTTAAATCCTTTCGGAGAAATTATCCAACTTGACCAGCCAATATTTTCAAAACTGACGTACAAATCATGGCGCTTACACGCTTCTCGGATTACTGGCCTGGATTTCGACTTCCTACGTTTAGGCTTGTATGACATTGTGGATGACAGCGCGGTGGGTGTTGCGGACTTCGTATTTTTTGTTTTTCCTTTCCCTTTTATGCACTCCTTCAAAATCCCGACTATACCCGGCTTCATTTTGGTACGACTTGAAGGAGCATCGCGGCGGAAACGGGCTAGAATGGACATTTTGTGCGCATCGGCATGGTCGACTTTAAGGTCATCGGGGGATTCGTTGCGGTTATGGTGGTAGTTTCCGGCGAGATCGTTTGTTCGGGAACGAATAAAACGATTTTGGTTCTCGGTGTCTATATAATCGGAGTAAACTATTATACTTAATAAGGCGTTCTAGGAATGCAGTATAAGTTATTTTTAAGTAAGATTTGCATACAGACCACAGTAATACGGCTTATGTACAGTAGTTTAATTTGACCTTTCAAGTGGTGCATAACCGAACGGTCATCATATTAAAGACTGTCTGCTGTACTTTTGATTCGGTATTTGGGATTCCGATCTGCCGGCGGTCTGCCATCATCCATAAACAACACAAGAGATGGCTGATCGTTGAAGTCATTGGATTTTTCCCATTGGCACTCGTCTGGATTCGCCTCTTCCATGTCTGAACCGTCCGAACACCCAATTATAATCCTTAAGCCTACAAACGAACGAATATATTTAGACTTAAACTAATTTTGTACTAAATAAATATGTGGCAGATAAACTGCATATTCAATTGCTTCTTCATAATGATTATGATCAACTTTGAATTTCTACAAATATTATGTTTTCAAATAAAATGTTTCCTGATAGCATCGAACTGTCTATTTTTACAAATACAAACGATAGTTGTCTTTATTGACAGTTATAAACTTCACACATAATGCAAGCTACCAAGTTACCATTGCAAGCTGTCCAGTGTCTACGTATAAGTATGTAAATCGTAGAAAATAAATTAAATAATGACAACTGACGCCTGCTCGATCGTGTTTGTATGTGTAAATAATTAACTGACCGCTTTCGGAATCGATTACAAAAAAAGATTACCTGCGCTCTGCTTCTGCTCCGACTGCATCCAATTCATAACCGTTTCTTTGACAGGAAAAACGTCTGCAAACTGCGCAATGCCTCCCGGTTGTACCATGACATAAATTGTTTTGGTTGCAAGTGGAACATCGTCTCCAATGTCCAGCACTGCCTGCATTTGATACAAGGTCATGGTGATTTTCTTAATTAACCGGTGCCGGTGGGGTTGGTTGTGGCCAGGTGAGAACGGTTTTGCTATCGTTTCCCAGATACCGCCACCAGGAGCGGTCGCGATATCTTTGAGCTTCGGAAAACGTACAGTAAATTTCACATGCAGTTCCGCTTCCAGCAGCGTTTCCTTCCCGGTTAAACTGGATAAGTTGAAACTTAGTCGCTGTTCGTTTGCTGCTGTGTCATCGTGAATTTCTGCAGAAGTCAAAGCATTTTTATTATTTTTATCTTTCTAGATTCTTGAAAGTGAATTATAGATTTCACTAAATAAGATCGCTTAGCGAAATTCGTTTGACTTCATACGCATCAAGAAATTCCGGCAATGAATGGAATATTTTCTCACGATTTATCCATTTATCGCGTAATTACCTGGCTGGTCAATCACATACTGCGATAATTGGTTATTCTCTTGTTAGCTCATAGGCAAACATTCTTTGACTAATCATGCGTTAACGCCTGTATGCATACAATATCCGCAAAGCAGTTACAAGATTTTACGCGACATTTGTTCTATTTGCAGCCATTTTATGATAGCACTGTTATTTGTTTAATTACATAACAAATTCATATGATAAATCGCTGTTGTTCTGGACGGTATTTTATTTCAGTTCACCACTAGTCGTAGTTCTGATGCAGGCAGATCGATAACATGTTTTAATTACTTATTGCTGAAGAAAACAACCTACTTTTATGAATGAAGCTTTTGATGAGATTGGCTTGGAAGGGATTGGGTATGCGCATAACGCCATTCCGGTCGGCGACGGTGTTATATAAATTAATCATATATGCCGGCACGTGCGCTGCATAAGTGTTATCGTCGGCTGATCTGACATAACCCGGCTGCAGCTGCCGGCTAGCTTCCGCTATGTTGTTGGGCACTTCACCATGCGCTTGGTTGTCCGTGGTTTCAAAGGGCAGGAACACCGTATCATTGGGAGCAGAATATCCGCTGTTGTACTGATACACACGATCACCGGCTCGGGGATATCGGGACAGCACCGCATTGGGAAACTGGAAGACTTGGCTTAATTGCTTAATGGCTTCATGGTCCAATAAAATATTTTTACCCGGCATCGATTGCTCGGGCTTCTGGTCACCGCTGGTGTGCCGCGCAGCCGCCGCTACTATCAACACACTGATTAGGATTGTCGATAATAAAGTGGCGCACTTATCACTTGACCAATCCATTTCCAAATAATTACAGACACATTAACGGCTGGTTAATTAATTAGGAAGCGGTCAGTTTGAAGAAGTACTACTCAACGCAGAAATCTCGGATCAGTACATTATCGGATAGCTATTACGCTGCAAGTGATGACCTTTCAATGTATAATCCTAAATGATCATGACATGTTGGATGAACTTGCTCGGCAAATCAACTAAAGATCAAAATAAAGCTGTAAATTATTATAACGCGACGCTAGAGTTGGAAATCGGTGTGAGTGTGTCTCTCATCGCTTGACTGCGTGGATCGTGAGATCAGCCGCGTGAAAATGTCGGTGTTTGTAGGTGTGAATTCGGAATTGTTAATCAGTCAGATGTGGATCTGGAATGTCCCTTTCTTTCTCTTTTGCCTTGGACGGTGTATACGCGACGTCGCATTCCGGTTGGCCCGGGCCGCGGTGTATACCAAAACCGATTACCTGTCCAACGAGTTTGATTTTGTATACACACATGTATTGAAAAGAGGGAAAATGAAGAGTCGGATTATAAGCCAGGTGGATGCGTACACATACATATATATATATGTGTGCGATGTATGTTGCTGTGTGGTCATCTCTGTGGCTTTCTTGCGGAGAGTGGCTCTTTGTTGTATTAATACTCCGGTTAAATACCTTTAAGTCTGCTGCAATATAGCGCCCGATATAGGGAAGAATGGAGCGGGCGATTCGTGAGATAATTGCAACCGCAAAACCAGTCACCTTGTGGGCTTAATGAAGCGGCTGTGTATGTAGCGTATGCGGTGTATATGTGCCGTCATTATTCAGGGGATTTGTATGCCGGGGGGAGAATTACGACAAGGAGGAGAGGCATACAAGGAGCATTTTGCTAAAAGGTGTGTTTGCTGCTGCCGGACTGAACAATTCGGTGTGGAGTATCGGTCAGTGTGTGCCGGCGACTTTGGAATGCGTGTTGCCGCTAAATGACCACTTGATTGATTGTATTCCCATTGGACAACAATCAGTATTTACCGCATAAATGATTTCCAGTACATTTGCGCCCTGATATGTTGTATGGGCAATCATCGCTTTCACTGCTTTGTTATGAAATTGTGGAGGTGCTTCTAACTTTTTACGCAGTACCACTGTCTGTATTGTACCTACATCTAAAGAATATCTATATAAATTTACGTAGTGTAAATACAGCAGTATTTCTGTACCTGTATCTAAGTACGAATTATATATTATACAGAGTGCAGAACGCAAACTCTGTACAATGTTCATAGCTAATCTTATGCACGAAGAGAAATGCTTAAGTGTTGAATAATAAATATCACACACTGATAAAATTAATACTATAAATCTTCTCATAATTGTGTAATTTAGCTAAAACCCCCTTATAGATACCGTATCCATCAAAAACCTAAAATTAACACAACAAAGACGAAAGCACACAAAAGGGTATTGTTGTTTAGCAGCAACAAATGCATCCGTGCGAAATTTGCAAAAATCAAAGGTGATGTGAAATATTATGAAGTACTCTCTAGTACGCTCCATTACATCCGACAACTGCACATACGTCTATATGTAATTACGTACGGAACTACTCTTTTGAAATAAATTTTATAATGTCTTTGTAGTATCTTCTCGACCGTTTGTCAGTATTTGACTAACACAGCACTTCTCATGGTAATAATAAGATTTCTGATGAATGTTGCACTTTACTATATCGTCTATTGGCAAGAAAAGCGCGCACAATCGGCCCAGGCCATCTCCGCGTTTTGTAATTTACCCGGCACAAAAGGGTATATATGCAACAAAGATGTCCGATTTAAAATACCACTAAAATAGCAGGCATTATTATAGTGTTGTTTTTTTAAAGCGAAGCGTATATTTTTCTATGCAACACTCAACGATTATCATATTCGCACGCAAAAGCGCACACCGACCGGCGATAGACAGCCATCGGCATCTATAGATCATTCAGTTTGCACTTTACCAGGAAATACCTAATTATATTTCATTTTTTTGCTCTGCTCATCTTAATGCACAGCATCGGCGCATAACACTTTACATGAGTTTAATTACGTATTCCTTAATTAATAAAATGCTAGCAAAACCTGTTTATTCTAATTATTGTCTGCATTACTTTTTATACTACTCTATTTTATAAAAGGAAACACATATTATCCGCTTGTACAATGATTCGCAGTAGTGCGGAAGCTGATGATCCTCATTCAGCTGATCAACTTGAGCCGGCCGATATTGATCTCAATCCTGATCTTGACGCGCAGTCCGAGTATTCGGGTGATTCACAAGAGGACGCCTCAGTGCATTCCGGCAGCCGGCGGGGCATCAGCGAGGATAGCTACAGCACGGTTAGCGATGAACCAGCCGTGACCTTGCTCAATTTCCGGCGCTTCTCCAAAATGCAGGCGTCACCGATCCTCGTGGAGGCCATGCTGGGACTGTCCGATGGAGAAAACGACCCGACGGGATCATTGCCAATGTCCCCGAAAATTATAACGCGCAAAGTCGTTAAAGATGTAGACGGCAAGTAAGCAAGGGCGTTATGCATCATTCAGAAATATTACAATCATATAGTAAAACTCTACTCGTACTCTACGAGTAGGTATTAATTCTGGTTAAGCAAATACTGCATTCAGTTTTTTATTAAATGTTGCAATAAGTTTCCACTATTTCAATATTACATGTTGCACAGTGTATGGTCACCGTATATTGTCATAAAAGCTACTGTATATGTTTTATACGAAATTGAAAGTGTCTATCTGTACGTGCATAGTGCATACTCGTATACTTACCATTAATCGTAGTCTATAACACTCTGTATGTTTACAAATACCGACGGTAATTTAACGGTAGTTTAACTAATCTGGTTTTTTTTAACAATTTATACAATGTATAAATTATGTACATTATACAATTCTTTTTCAAAAAGTTACTCATTTTGAGACAAGAAACAACAATCTCAAAGTGCAAACAACGCATGTAATTTATTTCAGATACCGACTGGAAACACAAACCGGCAAATCCCGTAATTCGCGCAATGGGTTAAGCGGTCGTAATCCACTTCCTGAAATCATGGCGTCCAGTTTAACGGATGACAGTGCATCGGAGAAGAGTGGCAGTACGACCGACCGATTGTCCTTACCCAATTCCAAGATGCGCTACACGTCCGATCCTAATGCCACATCTTCCGGGAGTTCAGATAACCTGACCTTCAGCTTGGAAGACGATGACCCTAAACTGTCTTCAAAACGCTACGCGTCCCCAAAATCGAAACGTTTTGTCAAAGCTCCAGCCGGGCTGACATCATTTTTCAAACAGAAAGTAGTCAGAATTCAAGAAGATGTACCAGTGGACAATACTAAAGACATTCGCGCCACTACTAACGACACGGACTGGCTTTATTAGTTGGCGCGTAATTTGAATGTAAAGAAGATCGTGCGGTCTGTAACGCGCGTTCTGTAATGATTGTTTCATTATCCTGTCGTTAGTTTAACTGGTTATTACTCCGATGCTGATCAGACATTCAGACGGTTCTTTTACGATTTCCAATTCTTATCCGTTACAGAATATGACTCCAAATATCGTTTCTATGTATAAACAGCACTCGTATCCAAACACATCTGCCTGTATTGCGTCTATACAGATACAATAACGAAATTCCTGTGAAGATCGACCGTTAATTCGCTTTCGCTACAATTAGCTGAATTAAATAAAGTACGACTCCCAACCTTCCGATAAACACGTTGAAACTGATTATTGATAAGAACATCTACAATAACCGGTACCCATCTGCCCAGTGCCCATAAAAGTCGGCAAATCGCTCTGCCATCGTGCATCACAGCTTAACAAACTCACGAAGAACACACACGTCCACTTTCACATAGCGGGTATAATCTTAGTTCGTGGTTCTTTTGGTGGCGCATAATTAGGTGTCCAGGGGCCTAAACTGTTCCTAGCGTAGAAATCCATGGGATATTCCGCCGGCAGATGGATGCCCTGCAGGGCGATGGTCAGCTCGTACGGAGTCAACAGCGGTTTATCAAAAGCCATTCCCCAATCGATCGACAGACGCGGACAGGCAATTTGCACCCACCTTTACAAAAAATGATAATGTTAAAAAAAGATAATCCGCAATTGTGCATAAGGATCTGCTGAACGCACGCATCAATATTGTGGAACAACTTTAACTTTCCAGGAAACACTTCGGAGAGCAGAACAATTATATACCGCTTCCCGGCGCTCTGCAAGCGATTTTCAATGGTTCCTAACACTTTTGGTGAACCCTGGCGCCCTGCAGAATTCGTCAAAATGTACACTGTTATCTTCTAATAAGCTGAATTACTTCACTGATCTAAGGCATACCCAGCGTTCCCCAAACGATTCCGAAAGTTTTGGCTTTAGCCGCGATATCGACACAGCTTCCTCGATTGGTTAACATTCTCGGCTGATCGTACGATTCCCGGGAGATGACTTTGGTGTAGGGATCGTATCGATAGGCAGGAGTGTTAGGATTGGCGATCATCGCGGCTTCCAAGTGGAAACGGCCATCGCCGATGTACAAAAACGCATCCACATCCTTCATCCGCGGAGCGGTGCATCCCAGGATCTCTCCAGCAGAGAGCGGGAGGGACTGGGGGATAGTGATCCGGTAACCTTTTGCTCTGAGCTTTTCCGCTGCACCCTAAAGCGAAAACAGAATTGGTATTAATCCAATCCGGTATTTCAGCCAAAACAGAGTGAAACCATGCTGTTTAAAGCCTGGTTCACAGTTTCAACAACGCGTGGTTTCACAAAAACCCAAGTTATTTAGCACGAAGTACTACTGTCCGAATATTCAAAGCAAATCGTTAGAATCATTTTGATCATTACTGGCACTCGTAAAGATGGAACAACTTACACCACATAATCACTTAAGACCGCAGATACAACAATAACTTATACCACAGACTTTGCTATATGCTGTAAAAAGTCTGCTATGCACACTTTTTTGAAAATTTTTACTGTACTGTCTCTAATACTGTTTAAAAAGATTTTAACGGAATCGCAGTGAACAATACAAAGTTTCAACTCACATGCAGGGAGGAGACAAACTGGATGGTACTGACAAATCCCAGATGTGTGGTGACAGGGAAATTCTTTTCGATGGTCTGGAGTAAATGGTCAAGATCGAAGACAATATCCACAAAAACATACAGCATTTTGATATCATGCGTCACGTCAATAGGCACTGTAAGGGGCACATCAAAACTAATAATGACCACGTCGCGCTTAAAAATAGAAACCTAAAAAGCAGACCTACCAAGGCAGCTGTGGCCGTAGTGGACCATGAAGTCACACCCCAGGGCGCGCGCACTAAAATCATCCACGCAACACGCTCCGTATGTCACGTCGCCCATTATCACTGTTTCCGCTCCTGTAAATCTATCAAAACAACAGAATAATAAATTGTACAAATTAAATTTTTATGCTATTATCACGAAAAAACTTTCGCAGAAAGTCGAAACTCCAGCTGGACAATTAGTACATGATATTATAAAGATAACCACAATAATGTTAAATCATTCATAGTGCGACTGGTTTTGACACTACGTGACTATACAACAGATTTCCAATTTCCAGATGTGGATATCTTTTAGGTAAAATATAGTACGAATAATTTAGATACCTTTCGATAATGTCAGAGATTGTGCACGCAAACAAAAGAAGCCCTTCGGGAAACTGCAGCGCCACGCGCTTGGACTCCGTTTGTTGGATACGCCAGATGGTCTTGGGTATTTCGAAATTATAGTTGGTAGGCAATCTGCCAATTTCAGTCAACAGATCCGGATTAGTCAGCAGTTCCTCCGGAATTTTGTTGATCAGCGCCCGAGTGTTCTTCGCTAAAAACACAGATGCCTGTGAGTTTTTTTGCAGGTATCTCTCATTGCACTGCGAGAAACTACTGGAACCATGAAAAATTCAAAATCATACCTGCGCCAGAGAAGACTTTTCGTTCAGTTGCACTGGCCTTCACAACAAGAGCTCCTTCGTTCTCACGTACGCTTGCTGCGATATCCATTTTAAATCGCGGGATTTTCTTAAGAGGAACGCAGAGAAACGTATCAGTTCACGGCTAATGTTTCAAAATCAAACATAAAATGATAAATTAATAAGTAACCAGTGTAACCTACAACAACAAACTGAAATGAATTTTCTTGAGCCTCACTAACTTAGCCACCACTAGGTAGTTCGTGCTAACGTTTTGAGTGCTCTACGGCTAACCACCCTGAAGAGCGGTTCCGTCTATGCAGTCATTCTACGGAAAATTCCGTGCAAAGCAAATCACAAATGCGTCCCGAACAGTAATAAAATTTTAATACAAGTCAGGTTATTATGGAACTTCTTAGTTACTTCTACATCTGAGATAGAAGTGAGAAGTCTGCAAAATTAAAGTCAGAAAAACGTTAGGTTTTTGTAATTTGTTCTTGCGTTTTGAGAAGAACGTGAGTAACAGTCTGTTTCTAATTTTCGTTCGTTGAATTCCGATATGGCTACGCGACAATCCCCGCGCTTCAAGCGCAAAACTCCTCGAGAAGAGGAGACGACTCCGACGCCAGAGCCCGAGAAAGCCAGCATGGACTACGAATCGGACGATGACAGTGTGGGTGAGCCATCCGCAGAAGACATCGCCAAATGCGATGTCTACGCGCTGAACGGGACCACCAGCCGCCTGTACAAATCTATTATCAAGCAGCATAAAGCGGAGAATCTCGTCGTCTGTCCCATCGCCATCTTCAACGATCTCCATCTGGCTTACTTACTGAGCAAAGGCCAGACTAAGGATGAACTGCAAAAAGCCTTCTTCGGATTCGATCAACAATTAGACGCCAAATCTGGCGTGTCGACTGGTTCCAAAGGGGAGGGATTGCAGGCCAATGTGCAGCAGATTCAGCGCTTGGCCAGTACTGGTTCGGGAGCAAAAAATGCCCCGTTCCAGCTGCTGACTGAAGGCATGTTGGTGGTCAGCTCGCATTTGGAGTTGAGTACGAAGAATAATCTGGTGCAGGTGGATTGGAATGATAAGGATGCAGCCCGCAGTAAGATCAATCGGCAGTTGCAGGGGAAGACGGAGAAGCGTGTCGCGGAACTGGTGAAGACGGAGCATATTCCCGGGAAGAATAATTCGGGGCTGCTTGTCAGTGCGGCGCGTTTTTCGGCTAATTGGGAGAGTAAATTCTTGAGCAAGAGCCGGACCGCGTACGCAATGCCTAGTCGGGATTTTATGGATGGATTGCCGATGAGTATGGAAGATTTCCATAATGCGGATGGAAGTGTCAAGAAAGTTCTGACGGTGCATTTGGAGGTATGCAATATTTTTCAGTACAGTATAAGATGATAAGTAATCCTCATTAATATCGTAACGCAATCGCAGTTGTTCGCAACTGGAATTCTTAAAACTGCACTTAATTTTCCGTGCCAGCTAGATATTTGATGAACTGCGTAGCGGGATTCATATTTTTGTAACATACGTCGTTTTAATAGTATCTTAATTTCGTGGAAAATTGTCGTGTTAAATAGTGTTTTGTGTAGCTGCACTTTAAGTCAGTATAGGTTTTGGATATTACAAGTATAATGCGTTTAAATCGGCAGATTCGGCACAGTGTTGTCAGTTTCACTTAATGTACGAGTATTTAACGATAAGCATTGTGTACACTAAATTACCGTACGAGTACCGTAACTGTGTTTCTTTGACAGGAAAAAATCATGTTGACCCGCGATGAAGATCTCAAAGTGACCATTCTAGAGCTTCCCTTTAAGAAGTACGCCATGAACATGATTGTGGTTCTGCCGGATGATACCACATCTAACGGTCTGCGCCATTTCGAAGAAAACATCAATCATCAGACCTTCGAGATTTTGCAGAAGAACGCACAAATGCCGTTGACGCGTGTGTATCTTCCCAAGTTCAACGTGGATTCGGAAGTGTCGTTGAACAAGAGCCTTACCGATATCGGCGTAAAACACCTGTTCGACGCTGGTGGCTTATTTTCCAGTAACACGGATTGGGCAGATTTGACTTCCTCTGGGGATGCTCTGACGCACATTACGGACGTTCTGCACGGCGCCAGTTTCAGTAAGTAAATAATTAACGTGCCGTTTCTGGTTTTTTCGTCTACAAAGATGTTGTGATAATTAGTTAAGCGTAAAAGGTACAACGTTTACCATTGATTTAGTTTGCACTATTTGGAATTATTTTTGCGTGTAGCGATTAATAATTCAGTATTGAAGTTAGTTAGGTAAAGCTTTCGTTGTTGTTTTCGTTCGTTAAATGGCTGAAATAAATGAACTGCCGATACTACTAAATTTCGAAATCGGACTGATTCCCGTTACATATTTAAAAATTTTGAGATCGACTTGTTTAAAGTAGCTGGTGTTAATTTGTCCCTTGTTTTTTTAGGTGTTTCGGGCGAATGCGATGCACCAGCACAGCAGAATAAGTCGGGATCTAAGAAAGCAAAACGCGACGACGGCAACGATACCAACGGGAATATTCCGCCGCAGTGTGTGCAGCTGGAGAGTGCCCGTTTCGCTACCGGCATGCACATCAACCGGCCGTTCTTCTTCATGGTGCAGAGCAGCTGGCCGACCATCTGGTCCTTTATGGGACATGTCCAGCATCTGGAGGAAGCCGATTCGGCCGTATGGCGTCATTTGACTCTCCCATAATAAACGTATCTCACCAGGATTTTCCCTGTGTAAGGTGTTTGTTTTAACGGAACCAGTAATCTTGTGGATTCTGCATTTAAGTGTGTGGAGTTTTACAGACGACTTTTTCTCCAGTATTGGTTGTTTTATCAGCACACGTTTTCCACGTATCTTGTCGGTTTTCTTTTTTGAACTTCCTGGTTAAATCGTTTTATCCTTCAAAGTATTGTGGTTGTTAGTCAACTTGTCACATTTTACAGGTTTTGTGTGTAATAGTTTCATTAAAAGCGGTGTAAAAGGCTTTGTGAATGCATTTATGTGAACTTTTTAACCAAACAGGCGGTTTCGGTAGTGCGATATACGAATATACTCGTATATCGACATCGGTGATGCTGTATTTACTGAAAATCAATAGCGAGTCATACCGGCGTGCCGGTCGCCTTTTCCGCCCATCGCTGGTGGAATTGCGCGGAAATCAACGCCAGGCATCTTGGGCTGGATGCGCTCGATACACACTATGCAGCAGTAATAATACTGTGGAACCGGTTTGCATTATGCAGCAGAAATAAGTCTGGGTGACTGAATGAAAAACTCAGGCGTCCTTCGTTTTTACGGCTCCTGAAATATTACTTGGTGTGCAACACTATTCACTTTTTCACGGATTGGTACTTTGACAAATCATTGGTTTCTGTTGTGGAGTGGGGCTTTTAATAGAGCGCTTGGAGGCGAATTTCTGACTGCTAAATTATCAGGTACGATGTACAGTAACTTTTTTTCCGCCACAACAGGCAGAGACTAATATGGAGCGTCTGCCGCATATCGTGGAAGATTAAACGGTTGTATTGTTTGCGTTAATCAGACGTTTGTGAATTATGAGCAATAAGCCTTTTAGCATATTTTGTCATTGAAAACTGCACTTACTAAGTTACCAGATACTTGTTAAATCAGCAGGGCATTTGTAGCAACACATTCTTGTGTTACTCCTGCGTGATTGCTACTTACCTCTATAGTTTAATTTGCTATCCCTTTAATTTCGTGAGTGATCGGTGGATACAGCGCATTTGGTTAATTTTTCGAATGTATTCCAACAGTATTTCTGTTAACCTGTCTCATCGTACAAAATCTCCGACAGCAAAATCGGACGACGGTATGTTCCTTTGGAGCGCTTTCCGTTATACGATATCAGTCGCTTAAGATCTAACTCTCAAGAGTCAAAAACTGTCGAGACTGCCGTTTTTTTGAAGTTGCTTATTGTTCTTGTAATAGCGTATGAAGTTGTTATTAAACTTACTAATGTTTTATGGGAATCCTACAAATTTTATGTGTACATATTAATTTATTCAACCATTATTATATTGTACAGATGATATCTATATAACGTTAAAGTGTTCATTCTTTTTTCATAATAATGGCATGGAATATTGAGTGATATAACTTAATTGTTATATAATTATATTGCTTGCATAATATTATATTTTTATTTCATCTGCATATATCGTACTTGTTAATCCTAACACTAATTATAATACTTTCGGTGCCGATGTAGCCATATGTTTGCTGTATCGGCACGTACAGAGGTATGTGCGCAAACTCAAACATGTTTAAGAAAAGAAATGTTACTGTACAGTAGTTTCATAAATATAATGGAATTTCATTACTTACAGATATGTTCGAATACTGCCTTATAAATGTTATATTTTACATATACAGACTGTACTACTCTTTACAGCCGACACCATGGAGCATCCTGAGCGCGAGCCGAGGAGCAACCTGGACGATCTGCACCACCTGAACAACATGGCCGTGCAGCTCTTCCGCAACATTAGCAAACACCATCCGGCCAACGAGAACCTCGTCCTCTGTCCCCCGGCCATCTTCCTTAACCTCTACGAAATCTACCTGGGATCCCGCGGCCGCACCCACGAGGAACTGGACGCTTTCTTCGAAGCCTCCCCGGCCAGTCTGACCGCCCTCACCGAGGACATCCGCAATTTCATTGACCTGGGTCACTCCTCGCGGCGCAACCGCCATTACAACTGGCACACCGGCAGCCGCATCATGGCCACGCCCCAGACCGATTTCGATCCCCGCTTCACGCAGGCCATCGATAAGGTCACCGGCCGGGGCATCGGACACATCGATTCCCGGGATGAATTGAATGTTAGTTTGGATCGACTAACAGCGGAACTGACGGAGGACCGCCTCTCCGGGGCGGACGCCGCACCGCGCGCAATATCGGCCGGGGAGAAAGAAGCGTTAGGGGCCATTACTAAAGCCTGGGGAAAGGATCCCGATGCGGCGTTCCTTATGAGTGCCGCGCATTTCCATGCTGATTGGGAGGCGAAGTTTATGAAGAGGGCCTCGAGCAACTATGAGGGGCGGATGCGGCAGAATGTGCAGGCGCTCACCGCTACCGTGGAGCCGTTCCATAATGCCGATGGATCGGTAGTTGACGTCATTATGGTACACTTGCAGGTATGTCGAAGGCAGCAAGTAGTGAGATAAATTCTAGACGTGCAGTACCGGTACGCGGGTGATCAATATTACCATGCGCTTTGCATTTGCCGGTCTGCATTTATGCAGTTACTTGCGTTAAGTACAGCATCATGACTGACTTAAGCAGTGTCGTGACCTTTGGATCTCTGTAGTAGATGTGCCTGTGCAGTGTGCAGTGAGAATTTTCCTTCTTTATTTTTCTCTATTTTTATTTTAAAGCTCATCTTTTTCTATTCCTCTTATCCTCACTAATTAATTTACGCTGCATTGCGCTATAACAAAAGCCTTTTTTTTGACAGTGGGGTTGTTTACCATGCCGGCTTTGCAATTGGGCTATAAAAAAATACATGTTCAGTAAAGTAGTATATAAAAGCTTAATGGTACTATCTGATTATTCCATCGCACTCATATTTTTAACCCCACAAAACAAAAAAGGAATAAACTTACTTTACTTGTTGCGTTTTCCTTTATTTGCGCACTAAAAGAGTGTTATATGATGTATTTACCGGATACGCATTGTCTTTTAGGAAAAGATATTTTTGACACGTGATGAAAATCTAAAGGTCACCATAGCGGAAATCCCCTTATCCCACTATTCCATGAACATGACCGTTATCCTGCCGGACGATGCCAAATCCGGTTTGAAGAACTTTGAAAATAACTTCACTTGCGAAACGCTGGAAATTCTGCGCAAAGACTGGCAGATGCCGCAGACGCATGTGTACTTCCCGAAATTCGCACTGGAAAGCCATTTAGGCCTGTCGAAGGCGCTGCAGAGTATGGGCTTGAAAGGTCTCTTCACCCCGCAGTCCAATGGGGATCTCAGCCCGGCCGGAAATGGCAAGCTACACATCGTGGAAGCCATTCACAAAGCCGGCGTCGGTAAGTGAAGTGAACGAGAGGTGCTAATACCGGCAAAGTGCATGAAACAGCCGCCGCCGGTTGTTGCTTTTAATACACGTCCCATATGTCGGCATTTCTTGCTGATATAATTTGTTGTGAGTTCCGCGTAATCACGACAAATGTGACTGTTTTCGCAGAAATCTCGGCGGAAACCGGTGAACCGCTGCCGCCACGGCAGCCACGCGCGGGCGAATGCTCCGTTATGCGGCCTGACACGTTCGCCCGCGGCCTGCGCCTGGATCGGCCGTTCCTGTTCTTCATCACGGCGCGCCATCCGGAAGTGTGGTGTTTCATGGGCAAGGTGGTGGATCTGACGCACACGGTCAATCCCGAAGTGTGGAGTCACCACAAACGCAAGGATCGCACCGAGTTTAACGAGTAATACCATTATGCGCAGTAAATCCAACCGGAAATGTATGAATGGTTTAGAGAATTTTACTGGAATTCGTCCGATCTGCAATCAGAATGTTATGTTTTAAAGGACGCAGTGCAGTAGATTTTTATTTTCACGTACCAGTATGCGCAATCCTCTTTATTTTATCCACTTCCGGTATTGCAAACAAATTCTGATCAGTGCTATACTTATTGTGTTGCCAGCATGTTACGCCAAACGTTTTGCCGAAAAAATAGTACAATATTATAATTATGCGTGCAACAGTTAATAAAATTACGATTTGTTGTATTCAGTAGTTTTATTTATCCTGCTGTTCCATGTCGTTAACTTTGGCAGTTAACATAAACTGAAACAATTAGCAATAAGCAATTAACAATAAGCCACCGAAACTTTTGTCTCAGGTCTTCGTGCATATGCCTTAGACTTAATCTTTGCAGTTTATGTTTTTGTCTGCTGTCGAAAACCAACCAACACACGAAGTATATAAAAATCATGTAAAGTGTAAACAAGAAGCTGGAAGGTCACTAATGGATTAGCGCTACGGTTAAGTATTTATGTGACTCGTGCTTAAGGTTTTGTACACATCTATGAACAGATGCATCCTGAGCCGCTCTTGACGGCTTTGGGACACCGGCCCGTCTTGTAATTTCCAGGTCCGCGCGGCCCATCGATTTTGTCCATGACCTTGGTCTTTTTGCAGCAGGACTGACAGAATTTATCACTACAATCCCAGGTATCCAAGCCGGTCATGTGCGGACAACATTCATCCTGCGCTTCGCACATATCGCGCGGCGTTGACGCCCTCTGCAACAACACACGACTTTTAACTTGTCTCTATCAATTAATGTCACAAATACGCAAATCTGGTGATTTGAAAAATACTTTTTTAAAGTTGTATAAAGTAACTTTTTGCTGCTTACCGTATAGGTCAAAAAAGTTGCAGCGAAGAGCACCGTAATTAGCAAGAGTTTGGTCGAATCCATTTTGTAGGTGCGTTTGAATAACAACGCGATAAACGAATCCAGTGGTTATGTATGTTTGCAACGGTCGCAACTGATTGTAAGTGCTGCTATTTTTTTGTTTATATGTGAAATCGGTGTATCCATCTGGTCCCTAAGGCAGTCTAGGAAATTTTGCACAACAGCAATTAAAAATCCCGCAAATTAACATGAGTTCTGTGAATATTGCCAGAAACAGCGACATTGCCTGGAGTTGTTATTATTGGCCTGATAAAATATTCCAGACAAATTAATACAGTGTTTGATTTGTCCTTCTTGTACCCATGGCCATCGGGGGTGATTACACAAGGCGCCTTTGAGGCAAAACATTTAGTGGTAATTAAAATGTTCATCCTAAAACTGCCAACTTACAAAGTATGTGCATACTTAAATAAGATTTAATTTTCGCCTCCTCCAGCAGCGACATGGCATGTCACCAAAGATTAGTAAACTAATAATTTGTTTATTTCTGCGCACTGTTTACAAAAATTAAACTCACGTACTTATCCAGTACGAAATACGTAATTAATATTTTATTTTTTATCAGATAGCAATGCGCGGCACCGCCGGCACATATGTAAGATATATGTTTCACGCTCTATGTAAGGTATGTTTAGTTTATGACAACACGCAAAACAAGGAGTGATTTGTCCATACTTCTATGTAAATACGGTGAAATTCGGATTAATAAATTAATCAATTCTGATACAAGTGATGTCTGTGCTGGCAACTGGCAAATACTATATAGATATGTTCACAACAGTAAGTACAGAGTATGCAAAGTATGGTAAAAATGTACATCATACATGAAACGATCGATTCGGTATTCTCATTCTACGTCTATTATTTCGAACAGATTACAGTTAACAACATTAATTGTACATTGTCGCTATCATTGAAAACATGTGCGGTACAAGAGGAACTGAACTCCAGTAGAACGTAAAAATTTCTCTAAAAGAGGTCATATACTAAAGAAACTCTCTTTAAAAGAGATACCAATAGACTCACGTCAGCTTATATCAAAAAGAGTTGCCGACACCCTCATGTTCCTTCATATTCACGTAGAACTAATAACATTAGACTGCACCGGCACACCATGACCTTTCTCAGGATACGTAAGCTTTTCCAGCTGTCGGCGTATTGCGCATCCGCCAGCGTGCTAACCGCACCTGGCTCCATCCTTTGGCACCCAACAGCGGCTTGACCTTTTCCGGTGCCAGCAGTCCCGCCGCTCCCGTCGTCTCCTCAGGATGCCGCAGTGCCCGCCCTTTGGTGTACATGATCAGATCCGCAGCCGGATGCAGACGGCTCCAGTCGCGTCCTAATGCCGACTGACTGATCAGTCCCAGACCCAATCCCAATTTACTGAAGGAGATGGGTGGACGGTGGGTGGTGGCTGATAGACTGGCCCAGGGGAACACCGGCACATCCATATCGGAGGATATGAAAATGCTGTCCGCGCCAGAAGATGAGGGCAGTGCCGAGCAACCACCGAAACGATTACAGAAAGGCCGCTTCGCAATACGGACTGTAAGGTCATCCGGGGCGGCGGAAATTATGTTAGCCACAACAGCGCATAAGATAACCGTTGATGGGAAATTATACTTTGTAAGCACAGATTTTTTAAGCATTTTGAGAAGAGTACTATGCCGGTACTGTATCCAATAGCCAAAGCATCAAGGTTTTGGCATAAAGATAACTTTGCGCTATTAAGATGATGGGATACTGTCGCTGATCTTCCCGTCGACAGGCATTTTCATATATGACTGTGTGATTTCCTGAATATTTTCTCGGCTTTTACCGCTGTCTCTTCACCTTTATAAGCAACACTTGATTAATATCCGACGACCACGGCATTGTAATGCGGTAGTTTACCGCGTCGTTCGACGTTGCTGGTTGAAATGTGCTAATGCACATTAGCCGTCATATTCAGACGCCGTACAATAGCTGGTAATTCTATTACTTGCTTCTCACACCGGAAATGCGTTACCCGGCAAAAACCATGTACGCAGAAAAGGGCAGCGCCATAAATGAAGAAATAAATGCTACGCGTATTAGGCGAGACATTACCCTTGCATCAAAATTTCATCACAAAAATATACCGGCGCTTATGACGTATGACTGGGCACTATTTTAAACCTTTTTCACCAACTATGTGTAAAGCGCGCGAGCCGAAGAAAATCGCCGCCGGTACAGTAATCATAAAAATATTTTCATGATTTGCATTTGATTGCACTACTACTAATTTAGGTCTATGTTTAGCATTTTAACGGCTTACGTGATTGTTAAGAAAATATGTTAGAAAGTCTTGTTAGAAGTGGATGTAATAATTCAAAGCTTATTTTTCTTTTATAGTAGTTGCACACGTTCGACAGTGAAGACAATGTATAGAGCGTTTTAATAATCAATCACCGTTCGTGTCACAACCAAACCTGGAACAGGACGAAATGTAAAACGGTCAAACCCGGGAAATGACCCGTTTTATACAATACAAAGTAAAAAAAGTAAACCAATAGAAAACGAACATACCAGATCATACTGCACTGAAATAAATGTCAAATTTTCTACGTTACGCCAATAATAATTAAAACATTATTTTTACAATTTTCTCCCTGAGAGATGTCTGGACACGCCACAAAAAATGTACAAATACAAAATCAATTTTGTAAACCCACTTTCCTTGCATGCAAATAAACAGTTATACTGATCAACATTATCACCGGATGCAGCAGATTGTGTACCAAATTCTCTGGTCTGTACCGATCCCTTTAAAAAGTAATTCTCACAAAAATCCCCGCTTTTTCTCACTGGACTTTTTCTTCAGCTCCCTTTCGCCGCTCCCACTACTGGTCTTTTCTGATAAATGGAGGAGATTGGTAATACCCAGTTTGGCTTCAGAGGCCGCGCGCAGGGTCGGACGGGGTCGGCCGGCCGGATGCACGGATAAGGAATTGGAGGAGACGTACGGGCTGTCGATACGGTCCTGAGCCTTTTCAACGGATGGAGAACTGTCCACGAAATTTCGCAGCTGAAAATTTAATCTTGATCATTCACTATCAGCAGCAATACTATGTCTCGTTGTAATTACAACGGTTAAGTTTAGTACGAGCCACATAGAAATAGCGTAGTATTGTGGCTTTAATCCGATACTGGTGGCGATTTAACTTGCATAGATGCAACAATCTAACTACCGATCCCTTAGTTACGTTTTGCGTATTAACATCTGTTTTTCGGGTAAGAAATTTCTCCACAAGTGGCTTCGAATACTTACTTAAAATAAACTGTAAATTGCCGTAATTTTATGTCATATCAGACTGCCAACTCGCAAAAACGTTGATTTACCTTTTCCTTCGCTGATTCGGCCTTCTTGTGTAATGACTCCATACTGCCCTTCCAGTTGGCGCTCAACGTCGACTTCGCCTCCTTAGTGGGCGTTAATTTGCTCTTCTGCTCTGGTCCGCCTTCCACCGATGCCGACGGGCTAAGCTGCGCCATGGGTATTTTAATGGTGTTCAGTGAATGTGAGGAGGAAAGCGGCGGTCGTGGCGGGAGAGTGGAGGCCGAAAGCGTGCGCGGTGGAGGTGGCGGCGGCAGTGGCCGTTGCAGCAGCGCCTGCCGGTTTTCCGAGGTCAGCTGGCCCGGACTGGCTGGCTTAATTTCCTCGCGTACAATCGGCAGCGGAGATTTAGGAATATTGGAGGAGAGATCCAGTCCGTTGGGGAAAATCTGGACAAAGGGCGCGTTGGAGCTGAGGACAACGTCCAGACCGCTTTCGCGCAGTTTCTCGCACTGGGCGAAGAGGGCATTACGCTGTTTATCCATGTCGTCCTTATCCGCTTTCAATTTTGCCTATTCATTTGAAGTAGCAGTCAAGTACTGAACACCATAAATCAGACTATCTGTAGCAGCTACATTTCCCAGAAGAGACATCAGTTACCACTCATCAGCAATGACCAATTTGTGAATTTACCATTTCTCGGTCCAATTCTTGGCGTTTTTGTTTAAGCCATTGGTTCTCATTTTCCCGTTCAGTTAGATACTGGTTCTTCTCCTTCATAAATGCCTCTTGAAGAGATCGCAGTTCCTCCAGCTGTGCGGCATGTTTATTTTGCTTGCGATCGCGCACTTCCATGGCGCTTAATTTCTGCTGTGTTTCCATGTATTTCGAGCTCAAGCTAAAAAACAAAAAATAAAACTGCATAAGCTATTCTGTATCTACAAAATCTATCGTACATATTAAATGTCATTTGCTTGCTGTCACTCTGATTATTTGTCATTGTCATAATTACCAGGTACTTGTTATTTCTAAGCCACAGAGTATAGAGCACATTACATAAACACAAAAATTTAAAAAAAAATGTTGTAGCAAGCTTTACAGTATCATGGCATTCCGCACCTCTCATATGCAGTTGACTGATGCGCCACACCATCCACGATCTGATTGAGATGCCAGTGCAATTGTATGACGGAATGTAGATACGCGCTCAAAGGAACCGAATGCGTTGTTACGCCACCGGAAACTGCCTCATCCGGCAATGCCACGGACATGCGCGGACTGGAGGAAGGGCTGGAGGAAATGGCGCTGGAGGAGGAGTAATCGGCCGTGGCACACGAGTCACGCGATGTCCATGTAGAAATTGTTGCAGTGGAGAGTTTTGAGTTGGGTGAGGTGTTCTGCAGATGTTGGGTGAGGTTGGTCGTAGCCGGACGTGGTCTAGCTCGTCCATTATCCTACGAAGCGAAGCGTAAATCGAAGTTGCCGGTACATGCGTAAATTATACAAGGTGTATTTTTTTCAAATTTCCAATTAACTCACTGACAGATTAATTAATACAAAACCAACATTTAGGTATTTTAAAATAAATATTACTACTATATCCGACATCCTAAAACATTTAGACTACAAGAAAGTACTGGCACTCACCTTCATGCTAATAGACCGGTTGGCATTGATCATCGATTCTTTGTTGCTGATATCATAGCCGCCAAATGTCTCGGCCCGTTTAGGTGTTGGCGACAGTGCCAGTTCATAGCTGGGCCGCAACTCTTCGCCTGCCGGTCCCATCGGTGGCGGAGAGAGGATGAGGGATCCGGGTTGGCCCGGCGGAATGGTGTTGGTATCACAGTTAGCAAGGGGACTGACCGCTCCCGTGGACGGTGGCGGCATCAAGCGATTCAGCTCGCTTAGCGCACTGACGAGCACATTTTGCAGTTGTTCAATGGCTAGATTGTCTTCTGAGATCACTGGGCCCAGTAGCGCCGAAGGGGTACCGTTGGCCGGTGAGGTGGTCAGGTTGGGTAGCCGCCACCGCGGCAAACCGACGGCATCCGCGGCCTCGCGCAATAGATCACATTTATCCTCACATAATCGGCTGATATTCTTATCTTTGGCTTGACAAATATCTACAAGCAAAGAGGCACAATGTATAATAAAAATTAATTTACAACAAGCTCCCATCGCTCACAGTTGTATAAAAAAATTCAACAAACACCGTTTAAGTCAATTTATTTTTGTGAATTACCTGTAATACAAAGTAATGCATATGAATAAATGTTTAAGAACCAACCACAATGAATAACCTAATAATGCGATAAAATATTTAAAATAATATTCTAAAAAAATTAGTAATCTGCTTAGTTTTCTTAAAGTGACCACTCTTGGTGAATGGAATCAACAATAAACTCTAAAACATATTCAACAATATCATACATGCGCAAACTCACTTATCACTTCGCGCATCCGTCTGATCTGCGCATCATCGACAATCACATTACCATCCAGCGTCATGATTCCCGTTTCCTGTCCACTGGCTTCCTCCTGGTGTCTAAGTGCTCCACAAGCCGCGGCAATTTCCACCCGCCACTTCTCGCACTCTTTCACCGTACTGCAGATTAATTCGTACATTTCTGCACGGCAGTGAGGGCCGGGTGGCGGCGGGATAAATGATCCTGAGGGGTTAAGCGGTATCCCGGAAGATATAAGGAACAGGGACTTCTCTGGAATGCCACTTCGTTCCGCTTTAGGACGAATTATCACGCGGTTCAGTGGCACCACGGCTGGCTTATCGTCCACATGGGCAAATGTGAATTTTTGATTGTTTTCCTGGAGGAAGACGATGCAGTCGGAAAGGAGTAGGGCCTGGACATCCACCAACTTTCCGTTGTTTTTGCGGAACTGCACCGGACCGTCGTAGATTAAAGCACGGTCAAACAGCTGGTGCTTCTACAAAGCAACACTGCATTGTGAAAGGTATTCGAAATTTTTCCAATCCGCGAATTCTGAACCTCATGTACGAGTACTTTCACAAAGCAGCTCTCAATGTGCAACACCATAATATTACTAACGATAAACAACAGTTACTAGGGTAGTTAGTTTAGTAATACATATTATGGCAACACATGAAGAGACGAAACCGTAGTATAACGGTCAGTCTTGACCCCAGCAATCTTTTGCGATCCAAATTTCATTTAAAACGTTCGGAAAATAGTATTCACTTATGGTTTGTACTAATTTTTGCTTAAATTTACTACAAATCAGCCCGAAGATTACCTGCCACGAAAAAAATCGAAATACTTTACCACGATATTCGACAGCAAGAGGGAAACACAAAATTACCAGCAAAAGCTACATTTCGAAAGATATCATAGATAACGTACAGAAATCCCGTCTTCATTTTCATTAGTCATCAACACAAATTTTATAACAGTTTTGGTTAGATATGTGTATCTTACGGTCGCAACATAGATAAGTACTAAAATATGTTCAAAATGTACTTGACTTACAGCATCTCCGAAAATTCTTATGTAATCAAAAATAAAAACATTAATCCGATCGGTTAAAAGGTCGTACGGTATCACCTTCCATTCTTCGCCGTTGATAATTGTGGAGGATTTGGAATCCATAGCTCGGTAGATTTCATTTAGACGCTTCCGCCGTTCTTCCGCTCCAATGGAGGCGTCAACATAGGTTAGCATCTGCTTGACACAGTCAAAGGCTTGCCCGACGTACTTCTTATCTGAGCTCTCCACTAAAATCAACAACACTCAGTTAACGGGAGGAAACGATACCGATAGCGCGGCATAAACATCGGAATGCGCGCCAACATACCGTCCGTCTTGTTGAGGATGGATTCAATAAGGAGACGGTATTTAGAGATCCGCTGTGTAACCAATAGTATGCAGCTCAGAATGTCAAACCGGCTCGAATGACACTTGAGTTTGTCGATGCACTTCTGCAAAACCGGGGAAGAAGCCTTTAAGACAGCTGTTGCGAGTAATGCATGTTTAAATGTCCCATGTAGAAACCCGCTTTGTTTAGACTGCGACGGGATGTAGGCTCAGCCGTTTTTTATTACCGTATCGAAGGCGGCAAATCTCCGGTCTTTATGCAGTTTACTTTTATAGATTTGGCCCGCTTCCTTGTGATGACTGCAGAATTCTCCATAGGCTTTCTTCATACGCTGCCCTCTTTCTCCATCAAACTACGAGTACAACCAGAATATATTTCCATGAATTTATTTCCACGGCCAAACTATTAAAGTTTATTTATATAATGGTGCTGATTAAAACCAAAAATGCGCCAATCCAAATTGATAAACTGGTTGCTTTATAGAATACTGACATTACATTCTATAGTTTTAAAAATTAGTTTTTCCCAACGTATTTCGTAAAATTTAATATTCGTCAGTATATTTATATTTGGTTTTATTAGATCGCAACAGACAAAACCCGCCCGCTTTTGCTCAACAACTTTCAAAATGCAGAAGCAAAAGCTGCCACCGCAGGAACATAAATTCCTTCTTTTGTTATTTTGTTTTCACGCAGTGCTGAACACAGTTGACCGTGTTCACCATGTGATACATTATGCAGCGTATGCTCTAACTGACCTGCTCAATGAGAATGTCACCGATAAACTCAATCACACGGGACTGCTGTTGACGATGTCGTAACTGGCGTAGAAACTTGATATGCACATCAAGAATGTCGGCAAATGATGGGAAAAATTTATGGATCTCTGTATCCGACCATTGCAGTTCGTTGCGTAAACCACGAATATAAATCTACACACAAAGAGATAAAAAGTCGCCATAAATTGTCACGTTGGTGAGTTTATGCGCTTTTGTATTCTCACCTGATCAATGATCAATAAGACGGCACAGTGGTTCTTCTCAGTTTGTATCAGCTCGTAGATGATATCCTGCCGTTTAATTTCCCGCTCGCACAGTGTGGCGAGAAATTCTTTATCCTGCGTCATGCTCCAGGCTTCCGCTTCCGGTACGGCGATGCGCAGTTCGGGGTCGAAGTCTAAGAGTTTGGCGTAGGGAAGCAGCAGAACATCTTTGCTCTCCGCGTGTGCGACTACATTCTCGCTAATACTGGTGACGTTTGTGGCTAAACTGATCTCGTCACTGTCAAAAAAATACCCATTAATTTTAATCATTTGGCGTCAAGAATTTAGAAAAATTTGAAAAATTCGACTAAGAACTTAAGAGAGACAGGATTTTGTTAACAACCAGAACAAAAAATTAGAACGTTTAAAAAAGCGGTAACACTACCGAGTAGTTTGTTGCCCACATTAAATCATAACTGCTAGAAACATTATAATTATTGCTAAAATAAACTGCAAAAATGAAATAAAATAATAACCCAAATAGTTACTTATAAATGTCTCAGTCGTGCAACGGCGCCGGGCAGTGTACAACTTAATGGTCGTACTATATTATTGTACCGAATATGCTGCAAAGTTTTAAACCACAAAATTTATAAACTTGAAACCATGCTAATTATTTCTAAAAATATCTAATGATCATGCTAATTGTTATGATAAATGTGCAAATATATGTGCAAATCAGCTAGTACTAATTTAAGTTTTTTTCCGAGGCGTTAACGGACCTGTCGGAGTCGGCGTGGGTGTCCGTCGTACAGCTGGTCGGCTTACTATAAAAAGCAAATAAGTGATTAGACATGTACACAATTTGATTAGACGGAATCTGTCTCATAAATGCAAATGGACAACAGACAAGACAGCATAATGCGAAATCCCTCAAGGCGTTTACGCATAGATGCACTAATAATGCCACACATGTTCCGCCATGCAAAAATGCCGTCGCCGTGCTTTTTACAAATATCATGTCTGTCACTCCCGACTGATTTAATTTCCAGACACAAATAGATGTGCAATTACTTCTATATCTTGCAAAGGTAAGCATTGGGTTAAAAACGCTTCAACGAACACAGAGAATGCTTTTAAAAAAGCGACATTAAAAGCAAAACATACGTTACAATTATTGTTATCGATTACAAATTACCAATAGCGAATCCATACAACCGTAAACGTACAAATTCCAGTAAATACTTCAATGCATGCAACAATTATAAAAATCTTTAAAACTGCAATAAAGCTACATACTTGAGCAGCTTATCAGCGACATATTTCCAACGGGAGAAATTACCCGGCGACACTGGGCGTCGCGAAGAAGCAGGCGAGCTAGAGGAGAAGGAAGAAGGAAAAGGACATCACACACAAGGAGAACCATCACCAACAATCTGCCATTAACAAACTGTCGACTGTATACACAGATACATCGTAATGCATTAAAAACAAGCACAAAAGACGGTAGCGGTTAGATCCAGATCGAGGCTGAAAAGTTACACGCTCTACGCAATGTCACCAACCTCACAGTCATACCGGCATCGACACGCAATAGTGCGGTAAAATGAAACAATTAAAAATTAATTTAAATGAAAGTAACGCTAGATGTAAGTCCACTTATGTTTTAACGGGTCATATACGTAAAGCATCTGGTCTAAGCACGACGAGTGACGAGTTTTGATCATCAAAACCTCAAGTGAACGAACTAAACATTAGTTGCATGAGCTTGCATCACATATTTTCCTTAACTGATAACGCTGTTACGCTACACACCTTTACCTCATTTCATATCACACATATGCAGAATTTCAGTGAAAAACAAATAAAATGTGTTGCTGACATGATTCATCAATTCCTTAGATACGATGTGTATATCCAAACGATTATGCACAGCGAGAAAAATTGCACATTGCTCATTTAGCTTGTACAGCGCTTTGTACAAACAAAAGGTTCTGCCATGGTATGTAATTATTGCTGATTTTTCTGGTACACCATCAAGTTTCCTTTAGGCGACACTTCTGGTTATTGTCAACCAAATATTTCAGAACTGACCACTTGAAAACATTTTTTGGGTAGTTTATAAGAAGGTTTGCAGCCCTCCGGTAGAAAATGTACTTCATTCCCAATAATCGGGACAAGAATGATTTAACAAACTGTAATTTATTATCTACGCTATTTAATTTGCGAATTTTGAATATGTATAAAGAATCGCGACAATAAATTAATCAATAATTACAACCTTGATAATTATTAAAACTCGTACATTTTGTATAAAGTTTTGGCTTCATACTGCGTAAAAAAAACGGATAAAATTTTTTAAAAAAAATAATTTAAGAAACAAAACTTTCTTTAATTGCCAAATAATGGCAGTTAAATAAACCACAAAGTAAATATCTGTTTCAAGTTTTCGATCAGATTTCCGTTACTTCGCCTAAAATGGCACTCTCGGCGGAGATAATGCGCTCTCGGTATGCAACGTTCTTCCTGCACAGTGCAACTACCTTTTCACTGCAGGTGAACAACACACAATTGGGACCATTCTTGATGGCAGTGGGTTGCCAAAAAAACGCTTATTCCGCACAAAATCCTACCGGTCATAAATATTTATTGGCTGTTTAACGCGCGCGTACACATACCTGGCAGACAAACTGGAATCAGATTGCGATTGCACTCCACTGCCGGCAAGCGTGTTCGTCTGGAAAAAAAACAATAAGCATGTGCAGCATCCGAAAATTGTCTCTATAAACAGTAGCTCGTAATCTCGAATTCGCTAAAAAAAAGAAGCGGCAATATTAAATCCATATAACACCAAAACGAGTGAACATTTTCTCAAAACCGGTCTGAATTACTAATACAATTTAATGCACTTTTACTAATACAAACATTTTTTTAAAATAAAATTATTAGAACCTGATCTGTTTCCAAAAAGCGACGGCCGGTAGTCACATTTTTCTAACAGAATAACCAAACAGTTTATAACTTCAATAAATTCAATAAGCTTGTACCTTTGTTTAACTAGTCAATTTTCTTGAAGATTGATAATGTTCTACTCTCGCTAAAAGCCTAAAAATAGACCACTAACACTACGACGCGACAAACTACTAAAAATTTGTCCGATTAAACTGCCGTAAACGATTCTCATTAGCCATATTAGGCAAAACCATCTTTCCACCTAATTCGGACTCCGATTCACCCGAACTATGGCTATAAAAAGTGTCAACAAAGACCGAAGCAAAACTACATAAAACATGAATTATGTACCATTAAATGATAATCAACCCGCATGAAACACAATAGAAACCAATTAAAAGCCGCAATAAACTGCAACAATAAAAGCTAAACTATTCGTGTAAACAAAAACCTGGATAATGTACAACTGATGGCAACAGCAACACGATGAAAACCTAGAACAGCGCGGCTTTGGCGCATGGTGTCTACACTGTGTAGTTCCGGTTCACAAGGTCAGAGAAACCGTTAAGTGGCGGCGCAGCAACCGATCAGCGCCCAGAAAACCACCCCATGCTTCGTTTACGGTAGAAGGTGATAATAATTACATGTCAGAGAAAACGATGATATTGAGGCTACTGCCGTTTGATGGATTCCCGCTGGTGCCGCTTAATGAACAGTTTTCTTTTTTTTCCACCGGCTACTTACACTACATTGACGCCGCGAGAACATGGGGATATTAACATGCCTTGACTAGCTGGTCAAACGATAGTTACTCGACATGCCCTGCCAACCGTCGATCAATCAGAAAACAAACATTGCGAAATGTAATCTGCAGCAGCAGCCTCCCAAACACAAACCGGCTGAGTATTAGCCCCATTATTCACTCTTCGCGTTACAGGTGATGAATGGAAGTCACGTTCGATAAGCACCAAAACGGAACAATTAAGTCAACAGATTAGGAACAGACGGTGATTTTAAACTACCACTTTAAACCGATATAAATCATTGCGATACAACGGTGGCATATGCGGATCGATTACTGTAAAGTCTGAAGTAACAATCCCAAAACCGCATCGATGTGCGCAGGTATATTCAAAGGGCATCATCACTCCATGTATATTTTCCGATTACCACTTCACAAAACTTATCCAAAAATATCGCTAATTTCACGTTTTTCCTTAAACTTGGACGGAAAGACTGACTTATTCACGTCAGAAATACTGAGGATTATACGATACCTGCTAGGTAAAACGGTACAAAATCTCTATTTTCGCACAGCCTGAAAATTTTGCTGACGTACAGTATATCAATTTACGTTCGCCACGTACGAAAAATAGGTAGAGTAATCAAAACGCGCATGAGCCGGCAGGACTAAATCAAGCGCTTAATCAACACCGAAGAAACAATAATTATTCTGAAAATAGCTTGTTATTAATCAACTTCTTCGTAATCTTCTGCGAACGAATTTCTCTGAAACTGAATTTTTAACTTTAAATGCTACAAAATAAATCACAAAATAAGCCAAATATCAATCTTTAAGAAATGTATTAACAATTAGTGGACTTACGCTTGCTTCGAAGCTGGACGGGACGGACAAGCGTTTGAGAGGTTGCGCCGCCGTTAAATTTTTGGGATCAATTAATCCAAGAGATGTCGCGTCGGCCAGATTATCCGCCGCATAACCATGTTCCGTCATCATTTTCTCAATAACCACACTGGGCAGCTGTGGCCCATTGCCAATCAGACCGCTAGAAGGCGAAATGGGCGTAGAGGGAGTTCCCGGTGTGCCGGATTGACCACTGGACAGACTGCGATCACCGCTGCGCATACTGCGCAATGAAAAGCCTACCGCTGACTGCTGTGGCGGTGAGACGGTAGTGCTGTTGGTCGTGTTTTTTGTGGCGAAGGGGCACGCATCAATCTGCTCCAGGCAGTTGTTATCATGGCATGTCAACAGACAATCTGTAGGGAAATTTTTTCTCGTTCAGAAAAAGAAATAATTTCACCAATTTTTCTAATCAGATGTACGGCACTTAACCACGCACATAAGGTTCACTGTACTGTTCAAGCGTGAGATAAAAACGAGCAGTAATACGATTTTTTAATGGTTATTGTGGCGACAGTGAGTAGCGAAGTGTTCACTGAATGATTGCTCGTGCGCGAAACCGAGTCAGAAGTCAGATCGCGTAATACAGTGTGCGACATTATACCCGTATCAGCTGAGATTGGTCAATTGCCGTACGAGATCGTTATATTCTTTGCCGCCGTCGCGGATCCGACGGAAAAAATGCGGCACTTTTAACAATACCCTCGCAAACTATTTCACTAGCTGCTTATTACTCACTGGGTAATAAATGTTTCACTGATTACTCATGTCGAGCACTCTCTAGAAAAGTGTTACTATAATTATTTATATGACAAAGATATTTTGGCGCCCGCCAGACGGAAATGCTATCCAAGGTCTCCAACGGAAAAACGCTTTCGCGAGCATAAAATACGTATAAACTCTGATATCATGACCAGGGAAAGCGGAGTTACGGCTCATGTTCCAGTGTTGTTGAATTATGTAACCGGTGAATTAATTTGCTTATTTAAATGCACACCCTAAATTTATTTGAGAACGGTACAATCCATTTTGTTTATTTGATCAACGTTATGTAAAATTGCCGCGATATTTCTATAAAATTCCTCTACAATTATCCATCAAACGTGTGGTTTAAGATTAGCTGTTTGCTTAACGCCGGTAATTGAAGAAATGGTGATCCAAACCAAATTTCATTAACCGAAATAATTGAAATTTTCCTGTACATCGTAGAGTGTCAAAAAAACCTTTCGTTTTCATTTTTCAGTTTGCCCAATGGAAAAAGTCATACCAAACTTTATGAAATAACTGTGCATAAAAAAACGCAGTGGGCTATTTATGACATCAAATTTATACAAAAAATTATTCTTATTGTTATACAGTTACAATATGCAAGAGCAAACAACAAACCCGCAAAAACTGTTTATTGAATTTCATGGAAGCTGACACCTGCAAAGATGTTTACCGAAATTCTGTAGCATAGTGTTGTGATAGCGCTTTGTCTAAATATAACTCACAATTCCAGATGGAAATTCTAATAATAACATTATAAAACTTTATTCTCCTGTACAACAGAGCAACCACTTACTTTGACACTGCGATGCCGATTTGTTAGCCAGCGGTTTTCCACAGATTTGGCACGGTGTGGTATTGCTGAAGCTGACGGAAACGAAGCTGTGCGTCTGCTGACAGCGTTTCGCTTCCTCTTTGGTCTGCAACCATGCACAACAACAAACTTACACTTAAGCGTAAACAAGCGCTCTTTCTTACTTCACCACGACGGACTGGCATTAGTTGCCAATTAATCAAATTAGCACTTGACACAAACGGTTAACACCCATCATGTTCTGGACGACGAGTGTATATTTTGCACGTTTTCCCGCTGTAAGTTACTCGGAAATACCCCGACTGTTGAGCTGCTTCTATAGATTCTTGGAAATAAGCACGCCGGCAAGTTAGTTTCAAAAGTTTTTACGACATGAAAAATCACTCGGATCATAAAACGTGGAATGCACTGGACTAGAGGCGGGTGCAGGTTTTTGTAGTGTGACATACTGAATCTAACAGGCGCAATATTAATGTGATCATAAATTATAGCCTAGTCTGAGGAAACAACATGTACTCGAGCCATTGCCGTATAAAGTTCAAAGAATCGAGATCTTATTTTGACATCCAGTTCAAGGTTTCAAACGGTCTACCGAAATAGGACAACGAAGCGGGAGAACGTGTAAAAACAACATCTATTAATCAGACATCCATGGGGAAATGCTAAATCAGGTTCCACAATGCATGTGGATATAATCACATGCAACCAGAAATGGATTAAACACAGTATATGTAGCGGACATATAATCGGAATCCATATCAGAGAGACGAAAGTATGATCACTACGCTAAGAAATTTGTCGTTTTCAGATTAATTTGCTTGAAAACTTAAGATATTTTTGCACGAACAAAGCTTTGATGTTTTCTTCGTAGTTCTCTTTCAAAAAATTGAGTGCAGCGTTTCTTTAACTTAACCATGTTTACAGCCTCCATACTTGTTCGCGAAATCCTGAAAAACAGCTACCGTATGTACCGGCCTCAGTGCCGGTAGTACCGGCCTCATGCTTTTGTAATTTATGCTCGGCTTTCTGCTTCTACTGACCTTTTTAGACTTGGATCCGCCAATGCCGAATATCCTACTGCTTCTTCTGATTTTCTCCTTTTTCAGCTTTTTCACTAGGTTGCCAGCTCCACCAAGGGAAATATTGCCCTGCAGTATGGTACCTTTGGTGGGAGTAGCATTGTGCGGCAAATGAGCCAGATTAAACGAGGAGGATGACAGTGATCGACCCTGCGTCCCATACATTCCCGCCAATCCTAACCCTTTCGAATCCGGTGCTTTGCCTTTATTCATCCGTCGCTGATTCAGGTCATCCGTTGTCTCGGTGGAGGATGCCCGCCCGTTGGACAGTTTGGCCGACAGATGGTTCCTTTCCGAAACCTTGCCATTAACGATGGACGGACTGCAAAAATTCTCAGGTCAAAACAATCCAAAAATACCAATAAAAGCATGAGTTAAACAATTACTGAAATACGAGTTTCTCCGTAAATAATAACATAACAACAGCAACTGGGCTAATTTTATCACCAAAGTAAACAGAAACATGACTGCACAGCGGCAACCAAACAAAACCTCTTACTCATTGAGCGCCTCTGATAGACTAAGGCGGACATCAGAAGGATCACTCGGAAGAGGCAAGGAAGCCCCATCCAGAGTGTCAGTACAAAAGAAAGAAGGATAACTGAAGCGGGTAAACTGAGGAAGCGGGGACGTCCCGCCCAGGCGGTCACGTAAACAACGGTCTTTTCTATGAAACAGAAATCGAAGACGTGTGCATTCGAGAACAACAAAAATGTAATTACAGTACTGTGCATGCATTGGGAAACAGATACTAATCATGCAGAAAACAGAACTCACAGGTATCTTGCAAACAGTTCCTGCAGAAGAACATGCGAAGGCCTGAAAATCCAGCAGGGTCACTCACTGTACAGCAAATCCCAATCACAAATAAATCAAGAAAAAGGATCAATGATGCAGAATGGCAAATGATTGCGATGTATCCCGCACTGCATGGGTGGTGATCATGACGTGCTCAGTGCGCATGCTTTCTTACGAGTTAGAGAAGGAATAATTGCCACTATTACATTAATTATGCAAGGATGCATTCGATAATAATGGAAACAACCTAATGAATGACGTGCTGACGGGAACATGCAACGTAATAACTGACGAAGATATATAATTTCCTTTACTTACGGACTCGTTGGGACACTGCCATTATGGTCATCAAATGAAACGCCATCAGTGGTTAATAATGCTTGATCTTCTGCGAAAAATCCAGAACAAAATCTTAAAGAACAGCATGTTTACTAAACAATACGCCATTGCAAAAACTGCAAAAATAAAAAGTTTTATTATGCGTAATTTACGACAAGTACCGGTACTGGGAGTAGCAGGCAGCAAGTTGCGGCCACTGGCCACAGAGATGTCCGGTGTGGATACCGATTTAACCAGACTAGAGATGGAATTCGACAAATGCAGACTGTCCGCCTTCCGATCAGAATCCGTGGAGTCCAACGACACATCCCATTCACTGGAACTGGTCGCCCCCGTACTGAGACACCGAGGTTTGCTGCCAGATCCCTTAGAAGCGCGATCTGAAGTAATAAGATTCTGGATAAAAATCGTGTGTGATAAAAATGGAGGCATCGCGTAGCAGTACATTGTGTGTTGGTTGCATTCGCAGCAGTCGAGTCGAAAGATTCGTTAAGAGGAAGTGTCGAAGAGGCAGCCGCGGAATCCGGTGCAATAATATTAACGTCCGCTTTACCAAATTCATTCCAGTTCGATGCTTCATCGATGAAATCAAACGACGGTGCGCTAAAACTACACAGAAGGATTATTATTATAATATCAGCATATATATCATTACTTTCTATCCCGGGAAAAGAGTGTTTACTATCCATCTGACCATATTCAATGACCAAAACCTTCATTCACCTGAACGCAGAAGGCCATGTACAGAATCTGCTGCAGCAAAAATTCTCAAATTCCGAAACTTATTTACCAAACTTCGCTAAAATTCTTACCCTACAGATACAATAAAACGGAAAAGAAAAACGTTCAGCATCCATGAAACTTTCCGGCGCTTTACGAAAGAAATATTACAAAGCTGGGTAAAATGTAACTGAAAGCATAAAGTTGTGTACAGTTTACACAATGAATGTATAAAATTAATGTAAAGCAGTTATGCATAACACTGAATGGTTACATAGCACATCATTCAATACTGTGAGCACATATAGATGTTTTACGATACTGTTATTCGTGATCGTTTTACCTTCTAGGGCGGGAAGGAACCGGAACAGTCAGGGGAACCATTCCAGCGATCTGGACATCAAAGCTATCCGTTGCGTGAGGATCGGGTATATCCGCCATATCGGCACTGTGCACAACATTCCCACTATCACCGCGGTGCGTCGACGACGTTACATCCAGATTGCAAATGCTTTCCTGGCTGCTCTTGTGCTCGAAACTGGAATGATCGAATGTGGCGCCGGTGATCTGTATCCGGACGTCTTGTGCGTTTAAGCGGCGCCGGTGAGGGCTACAAGGAATGTCCGTGCTCAAGAAGGTGTCAAAGCGCGCGGTGAACTGGGTGGAAATTGCGGGCTGCCGTTGTAAAAATTTTGAAGGTTTGAAATTATCGATTGCATTCACGGCCACGGGATGCGGAACGGTTGCCGGCAAATCAGCTTGATCTTCCGCTAGATATTGGCAGGAGCGCCATTCGCGATTGGATGTCATGGAATCTGACGTGGGCGATGTTTCTAAATAATAGGAGGAGAGCGACAATTCTTCGCTTGCATGTTCGATAATCCCTGTAATTATCTTTTTTTGCATTTCATACATCTTCGCATTCAAATTCCTTTTTGTTAGCAACTGAAATTAAGTTTGTCTTTTTCCTTTCGGACAATGCCGTCAGTTTTCCAAAACATCACTCTCACATTAAACGCGGCAAAATCACACTCATACAATGCTAACTTAACACCGTATAGAACAAAAAATTTAATACAACGTTGCAAACAACTGGCAACTGTTCGTGATCGAAATGATTGTCATTAATGAACGATTGCGACTTCGATTTCACAGTGCAATAATATCGACTCACCGCTACCGGCTCGATCCAGTTGTGAATTTCCGGCCGCCAAGGGTGTGAATAAGGCTGGACATGATTCGGATGAATAGGAGCGTAGGTGATCAGCGGCACAGCTGGGTACCGGTGGGATACTGCAGCCCGGCACTGCGCCTTTTTCGGACTTGGATTTTAACCTTCGCGCCCACAACTACCAAATATAAACATTTAGCGCAATATCGTTAACTTTAATTTCGAAAAAACATAATTCCATTAAAAACTGCCTTACCTGCTCGGGTACTAAAGGATCCGCTGTCGATTTTAAATGTCCCAACGCCGAATCCCACGGACTGCATTCTTCCATGTTTAGCGCAATTCAATGCCGAATGCGAATGCCGAGTGCGCGAATGCCGAGAAAAACTCGAAGCTCTTAGTCCGCCGTCATCTGAAAAGCAGTGGCAACACGAAATTTACAGAAATGCAAACAGACCGGCATCAAATTTCAGTTTGGCGATTTCATACACAAGACCTCCAACAAAAAAAAAGTTTTTCCAGAACTTCATGCTACTCATTTTCTCTAAATAAATAAAAAAACTTACTTGTTTAAATGTATGTTAATGCAGTCTGTACTTTCGTACAATAAGACAACAACACTACGGGTATTACCGTATACGATCACGCCTAATAAAAATTTTGTATACGTGTGTCTTATAAGGGCTATAAGGTAGCATTAACGCAATCCATGATTTACATCTCTTGTACATGCCCTAATTTCGTAAACCACACTTTAAGGTACAGGAGGTACAGGATTCTACAATACACAACTTAACGGCGAACTCGTTATCGGTGGTGCGGTGCCCGGTGGTGCAGAGTTACATTGCAGGGACAGTCCCGCTTACAGGAAACGCTTTGGGAAAACGGTAAATTATGTAGCGCACGTCCAAAATTATGGATCGTCGCGGTTAGTGTAATCGCGCTGAAGACCACCATTTCCCATCGTTTGCGTTTAATATGTTTGTTTACAACATCATCGCCATTCGCCGGTACGCCATGGAGCAACCAGGGCCGATAACTGCACTGGCCATCTCGGAATTTGTCTAAAGCAAATAAACTCCGACACCTATCGAAAGTTGTTACTGGCATTTTTCTAAAGTGTCAAGCCTAAGCTTCCACTCCATGTCGGATAAATGCTGCACTACGTGGTCCAACGCAGACCCCAAAATCAATAGTGCCGGCGGAAAAGATGTAAATCATCTCGTCAACCGCAATTACGCCGGGGCCAACTGAGGTCGCTTTCATTATACGCAATTCCATTTTTCTACTTCGTCACGCGGACCAGTTGACGGCTTCTAGAAAACCTCTTACGACATACTGGGAGTTTTTTCCGTACGTCATGCCTAGTTCGCCATAACAGAGCAGACAAACGATGTCCTTGTAAATACATAATCATGTCACAATCGCCGCACAACCCAAATTGCTGCCAAACCAAGCACACAAACAAACTAAACGAACCAAACTAACCAGTAAGTATTAATTCCGCGTACGTCCGAGTGACCACGTCCATATGTATACAACAGTCACAGCGAATACTTCTAAACATAATTAATACAATCAACTAGAAAAGCTAACATATCAAAAAAACTGCGTAGTGAGCAGTCACGTAATTATGTGATGAAAATCGACAAAATAATGCCAACATATGTGTCTTCTGGTCATGTTGTTTTTAAAGTATCTATCTTCCTGGACGCATCTTTCGTTTATTACAATTTGTTGTTAACATACTTCCGTACTCTTGCGGAGCAACAAATGCTATCGGCTTATCAGTAAAAAAACTGGAAAAAATCCAAAAAACTGCCCTGAATGTTCGGCTTTATCGAAAAATAAAAAGTATCAGACAAATCACACAAAAACAGTTTGCAGGGAATATGTAACCGCCTACAACATCCGGGTCTTCTAAAACAGTTGCGACAGTCATGTCAGGTGGCGTCACAAATTCTGCGTCGCTGTAGGGGGACAACCGCGCTCCTTTCTCCACATTAATTATAAAATAAAACATTTCACGGCACTCTATCAATTAGATCCTATCACGCACACCTACATGTTCGGCAGCAAGAAAAGTCGTCAATTTAATTTCAACACGCACGCACATTACACGGAAGTTTCACTATAAGGTGTTATTCATTCCTCATCAGCCATCAGAGCTGCTTGTTGCGAACTACAAACTGCAACACCACAAACATCTACTCGTAAAATGATCCTGAGTGGACAGACAATCCTAAACCTTTTACCTTAGTAATCACAATCTATTTCTACAAAACACAATCACAACTAGTTGTTTCATAGTCAAACGTCTGTGTGGTCAAATGAATATGTGTCATGTTAAGCTGTATCTTTAGACATTTCACTAGCCGTACAAATTGGTGCAGTGCGACACATTTACAATTAAGCCGGTCTAAGAGATTACAGCAAATGAGGATTTCCATTGTAGGCTTTTAAAATAGATCGCCGCGACCACCACCCGACTGATCCTATAATCGTCTCGGCGTACTTGCACACAGCCGACTCCTAGAACTAGTTTTTCCCTAATACGGATTAAAGGATGTCATAGAAAACTTATGCGTACGAGCAGCTTTCGCAGGGCTTCGGAAAAGGCGGCACAAGGACGAATCCAGGAAATTGCGACATATCCCGAGGGAGATTGTATACAAGGTGAATTATGTCGTTAGTCTCGTTACATCGACCTGCTTCCGTATGTGAACGATGCAAATAACATGCTCGCGTACAGGAAGCGATCAAAAAATTGCAGATCTAAGAGCAGAAGTTTCCGCCACACAATAAACGAAGAGTTACTAATTTTACAGCAAACGCATAAAAGAAAGCCAATTCATACAGCCTCCACAACTTTTTACGCAACGGAAACTGTCGGATCCTTAAAGTTTTATTACGTGACCTTGGGTGTAACTATGTCACGAAGCGCTTTCCAGCCGCTTTGGATTAGTGGAAAACTCGCTGAACAAGCAGTTTAACGTTCTCCCAGTTCCCTTTGTGTGTAATTTTTGTCTGTTTTTCGATCGGCAACAACGATCTTCCATTTACATACTAATAAAAGTCCGTATGTAATGGATCGAGTAAACATCCGATACTCTTGTAAGAAACCCTAACCTATGGCACTATACACCATCAATCGGCAAAACGGATACAAACGTTGCCTAGTAGACAAAAAGCCGCACGATGCCCATGCAAACATGGACGGACACTCGGATTATTGACACATCCGCGCGCTGGTTTAGGATGTGTTTTTTCTAACAATTTACTCAGTACCCTTAATAAGCTAATGGATTATCATTAACAATCACACATATATCTAACAATCAGTCCACGCATGTAGTCAGTCAGCAGTTTATGCCCGTGTCTATTGATATTAGAATCGGATTACGAAGCGTTACCAGTACAAATATATACACAGTAACATCCCTTGAAACGTTAATCACTTGCGTATACAGTTATGCCGGGTGGAAACTGTTGGCAGAGTCCCTGGGTTTTGGACATCACGGTGTGATTTATCAACAGATTTATTGTTGAGCGTGTATAACATAACCGCGACACGAACCTATCCATCAATATATGAAAACCACGGCGAATGCTTAATCGAAGCGCTTACGAGCTAGTGCGCCCCATTCACTTGACGTCAAGGACGCTAGGTGAATATTTTCAAAACATTATTGACGGTCACTTGATCCAGGATTTGTTGCCGTCGTTTGTATACCGACAACTACCTGAGCGATGCGGAGCGGATGATTTTCTAAAACATCATCCAAATACCCACTTGGCGATGCCGAATGCCGTCGCAATATTAAGCGGCGCGATCGCGCTACCTTCAAGCTGAAAGACGATCCCGGTCTTTTTTGCAATTTATTTGGTCTAGGAGCATTACAAGGCAGGAAATTACATTTCCATACGCAATCCAGGCACACTACTCAATAATTATTACACCGCTAGTATGAGGCATCTTGTTCTCCGTTCAAAAAATTGTAGTCAGAAACTGCAAAATGATAAGCTTAATAAGATGATAATTACAAAGATATACAGAGTAATTATTATTCACAAGTCTCCATTCATTCTGTGGCTGAAACATGGCTGCAGATTTACAAAGTATGTTGAAAATTAAGCCAACCATTTATTTGCAATTCAAAGCAAAAGGGCTTCCAGTGAAAAAGTCGGCTTGCTTCCAGTATCACACTGAATTTATTCAAGCCTGAATTTATTTTATTTAGCCTGCATGGAAAACGCATGAAAACTTTGGACATCGGGATCGCGCGGAAAAAAACAATGCAGGCCTGGAATGGGGTCGGTGGAAAGATTATCGCAGCAGTCTTCATAAATTCAAACTTGCCAGCCACATAAAACTATCGGCGTTGCTTTTCTGTAAAACTGTATGTCCGTATAAAACAGTATGTCCTGGGTGTGATTACAGAAACTGGTAACTTTTATCTCAGAAAACCAAACTAAACTAAATATACAATTTTTAAATTAACTACAAATATTTCCAAACCAGTAACCTGATAACATAATATTCAATTCCCGTTAATGGAGTTCGGTCACTGTAGTTAGATACGGTAACCGTACATATTTTAAAAATCAGCCCTATGCCAATAGTGAATGAATTATTCTTATTCCGTAAACGGATTCTACTCGTACATCTGTTTAATTACCAAAACTAACGGAGTGGCTTATTAGCTCTTAAAAATAAGGAAGAAAATTCTAAAATAAAACACTGCACTGCGATAATAAGGGGCAATTGTCAAAACATTTTAATATGTGAATGCGAAGTCTAATGCGTCTGCACCGTACTGCACAATCTGCATCAGGCCCAACAATAAGATCTCATAATCAGGCTGCCGCAGGCGACAAGCATTTCATTAAGTACTCTTAAGTCAATTAAAAAACAGCATATTGCAAATAAAAATAAAAAGGCGTTATCCAAACTGTCCTCGTCAAATCTATCCATATTACTCTGTGTACAAAAAACTGAACCAAATGCTGGATGAAAGCAATGGGCTTCAACAAAAACTGAACCCGTCTTTTGGAAAGACAGACAGCAATAATAAGCGGAACGTGCAATATTTTCCGTAAAAAACAAGTCCTGGAACACTCAAGGTTGGCGAATGACGATTTGCATAAATTTGGATAAACTATAGGTCACACACACGTGCATGTATCTCCCGACGTACCTGGTTATTAAAATATATAAATCGTTTGTGAAATCCAGGGTGCAAGTTAAAATATGGGAAAAATCCTCGCACTGGCAGCCATAGGACGCAATATTAGCGCAATACTCGTCTGGGAGACCAGTGTCCAGGAACAAAGAATGGCTGCAAAAGAGCTGCTCTGATTACGCCAAACGGCTGTCGACATTGGTTCCCGTTGTAAAATAGCACAAAGATCTCATATTTCTGCCAAGAGATTTACAATACCATCACAAGCGATAATCATAACAAGTGAGGTCCAGCGCAAAGGAAAACAAGACCTGAGCAGTGCACCATAAATGCGCATGATTAGAATGCCAGAGCGAGATGCAAGGCCAGGTGAGCTGCTGCTGGCTGACGATTTGTCAAGAGATTGCCGTACGCGCCGTCGTCTCGGTCAGTCGGTAGTCAAATATTGACCATGGTGGCCGGGAGGTTGCTGCGGCCTTTTCAGTGCAACACAGTGCAGTGCTTTTCAGTGCATTAATGGCTGATTTGCAAACTATCCAACGCATTAGGAAAATCTTTAAATTTTTACAATGTATCTGCTTGTATACTTTACATAATTTTTAAACATGTAAGTGTAATTCATACTTCGGCATCTGCAGCCTGCAAAACGAATACACCCTGTAAACTGCAACTACGAACAATAACCGATCTGGTCCGATCACGTTGGGCTGTGGTGAGGGGATGGGGAGCATATCACGGAATGCGTAGCTGGAAGTTAGAGCTGTCCAACCGGCAACCGGAAGTTATCCGTTGCGCATTCGTAACGGGATTCGGGAGTACTACCGCCTTCCGACCGCACGTCTCGTGTCGACATATAGAGGTATGCGATGTGTCACAGAAGGATCAGTCCAGACGCTTTTGATATTATAGGTGATAAATATACAGTAGTTATAGTTACGTGATAGTTAATACTGATTTACTTGTCAAGTAATTCGTAATATTTCACCATTTTGATCGAGCATATGAATTGTGGAATTACGATACGTGTTAACAATGATATTCAATTGAACGACGGTGTAATGTATCTGTACTCCTGTAAAATAAGCTTCTGCATAAAAAATCGTTTAGCAGAGATTATGGATCATAACGGTTATAATCCTGAATCCATATGGTCAATGCAATATCTCCGAGATATATTTTTTGAACCATTATTTACATAAAGGTCACACCGAGTCTGAGCTGCTGTAGTGGTCGCAAACAATAATAAGGGAATTCGAAGTCAGCTAGCCAGTTATTAATACGCGAAGAAGTCCTCGCCTCAATCACCAGCTCTCTCAAAATTTTAAAAATCACTGGACTAAAATCGATGCATTGCAGTTTTGTTAGTAATAGATTAGGCTGTCGAACGATTTTTATACAGATTTACGGCTGTACAAATATAACGGTGAGCCTCTTTTCACCTTCATAAAATGCGGCATTTACTCGTGATCCAGAAAATATATTCCATGAGCGTTTCTTAACGTTTCCCTTAAGCGGACAAAACAAATTACCACCGTAAGTGCTACTTAAGAGGTTTTGGGGAAGGCTGAAACTGACAGAAAGACAATAACACGCGGCAGCAGTATAAATATTTTGTGCGAATCATCCAGTTAGATCATAGCGCATATGAAGAATTATAAATTATCAAAACATTTCTTATTTCTTATTCACGTATTTCATGAGTTTGCACTGCGGTACCAGAATGATATACGTCATTCTGATGATAAACTAGCTGTTACACAAACAACTAATTGAAGATGCTCATTTAACAAGTACTTTCTCATATAAACTCACCATCAGCTTGTATTGGTTATCATTAATATACCTAATAACGCAAGTAAAGCGGTTCTGCCGGACCACGAGATCCGACAGAACTGCTTAAGAGATGCAGTATCCTTTATCAAACAACATATCGGATTATTTTGACGAGGCATTACACCATTTCTGTTCGATGCGGTATTTGTTATATCTATATGTACATAAATACGGCCACCACCAGGCATCAATGAAAAGCCGGACAGCTAAAATGAGCACTACAAATCATCCACCCTTTCACACATCATTTTAAACCTACTATGCACATTTGTCAAGCTCAATTAGTTTCGCTAAAGAATAATAGAGAAGAGAGGGGAAAATCGATGCATCATAGCCGTTTCCCTTCCTGTTAAACAACAACCAACATACCCGATGTCCACAAAAGTGGCAAAACAGAGAAGTCGACGGATCATAGCGTTACGGACCTGTTCATTATGTAACACTTTTCAAATCCTGCCGATTATACTATGCAGTACTTAGTACTACTTACTGACAATATGAATTATGAAGTCCCACCATGTTCCGCGGTATGTTCAATGCGCTAAACAAAATTAATACTCGGATAGGTACGGTACCATATTAGTATTTACTCTGTACAGAGTACACAGTACAGCAGCCAAACCGCTCGTACCCGTACTTCTGCTTCATTCCACGGGAAAACACTCACCGTATACCTATTTTTAAAAACAATATGTCTGAAATTTTATATTATTAAAATGCCATATTGACACACACTAATGGATATATAAAAATTTTATACACTACTGTAATACGTTTGTCTTCTGTAGGGAGCGTAGAACAATGTGCATGGTACTGATTGGGCTTTGAATCGATTATCCGGCACACCGTTTACATGTAATTTTCTGAAGTACAGCTGTATTGTTCTAGGCAGGTGCTACGACTTTAATTTGTATGATATGATACGCTCTTTTAATTTTTACTAATTATGATGTTTATGACAAGATGTTTATGATGTTTATGTTTAGAGGATGTTTTACAAAGTAATATTTATCAGTTGGTGGTAATAACATTACCTTTATCATAGATTATTTTATGGGAAACTGTTTGGTGTTTTCTGCTTCAGAATATAAAAATTCTGGGTGTATATTGATAACAAATTCTTCTATTTTTGCACCGTACACGGTATACGCAGTATTTCCATCGTTGGATGTACTGTGTTCATTACTTCATACTGTGCAAAAAAAAGAATTGCAACTGGGACCGACAAAGGTGTCAAATCCTTAATGCCACACAGCTTCCGCCATGTCTCTCACCAATCAGCTATTAATTCAGAATACAGAATGACACGATTGTGAGGGATCTCGAAGAGCTTATGCAACACGTTACATTACTTATCTGTATAGTTGGCCATTTTACATACGTAAATTTTGAAAAGAAAGCACGATCTTAGGCAGTGGACACCCGACAAAACCGATCAAACTAAACGAAATAGCAAAAGAATAATTAATTATAAGTACTGCACAGCATGCAAAGTGGCAAAGTATAGCGTATTGTACATGGAAAGACTCGACAATGATACACAAAACATATATAGATATAAGAGTATTATACATTTTGTGTCCTTATTATTTTGAAGCGTTCTTTGGTTTGAAACCAAGAAACTATTCAGAATTTTGAGTTCGACACTAAACTGTACATAATTGTGAGTATACTTGTGTGAGCGCATAACTCACAGCAGCTGCGTAATGGCTGTCAGGAGTATAAAAATCAAAAATGCATTATAATAAAATAGTATGCAGTTACTGTATTACTTAATTTTAAACACTGGTTTTAAGCAAGCACTAATTTCTGCAGTACGTGTACGAAGTAGAAGATTCAGAACTGGTATACCGGTTCGCTTCCGCTTGCATTGGCCAGTTGCAACACCCAGTCACACCCGCTCAAAAGTTATCCAAATTTCATTGGACCAATACAGTGCATAAAGACGTACCAGTGTGCTTTAAATGCGTACTGCTCTGCTTGCAGTTTTCAAGAAACTCTGCGTTTCGTTTTGATTTTTAGAACTTGTTTCACCATAAATATTGGAAAATATTGTCAGAGTTTGTACAATCTACGTCATTGGAGTCTACGATGGTAGCCATGGACCTTCAGAACCTTGCTAATCTGTTTGCGGCCACTTTGGATCCGGCGAGCCGGTCGGCCGCTGAACAGCAGCTGGAGTCGATGAAGAAGGTGATTTCCTTCGGCCCGCTGATTCTCCAGCACATCAGGTCCCACGGGGACTTACCGAGCCGGCAGGCGGCGGCCATCTATCTAAAGAACTATATCTCTCACAATTGGGATGATCCCACCGAGATCCAGATCGAGAGAGCCCGCGAGAAGGGCGAACCCGCACCGTTTTCCATCCACGAGCAGGATCGTGCTGTACTGCGCGATGGCGTGCTCGAAGCTACCATCGAGTGCGCTGAGGTCCTGCGTACGCAGATGGCTGTCTCACTGGAGACCATCTGTAAATCTGATTTCCCCGATAAATGGACGACTATTGTCCAGCGAGTTAATTTTTGTCTGCACTCGCCTCAGCATGAACTATGGTAAGGAATGTACAAGTCGTTTCTCACATTTAAAGAACCTTGTTGGAAATAGTTGGTACATAATATTAATAGATTTTTACAAGTGAGTTTTAATTGTATTTTTTATAAAGTTTTTATGGTTTTTCTACCAATTTTAGCCTAGCGGTTTAATTTTGTCGGAAGAGCGCTTTTTGAGATTTGGGGAAATCAGAGCTTACGTGACTGTCAGTTTGCTTTTGGTGTGTTATGAAACGCACTTCACTGTGACACCAGCTTCGCTTGGTTTTGGATTTGTCCAATTTTTCCATATTCATGCTCTTTAACAACGTTGCTGCCATAGGTATGGGGCATTGATAGCATTGTACCATTTGGTGCGCGCATTCGAGTACAAAACCAACGAGGAGTGTAAAGCGATCGATGAAGCCATGAAATTCTTACATCCTCTCCTCTTACAACGGGTCCGTGAGCTCATTCCCGATCTGTCGGAAGCGTCGTACTCCCTCATCAAAGTATGCCTGAAGATCTTCTACTCCTACACCCAAATTGACTTCCCCAAGGATGTACTAACGTTCGAAGCGACAGAAAAATGGATTGATACGATCCGCCATGTTATCGACGCGCCTGTGCCACCGAAGGTAAAATATATTACTGAAATCAAAATTAATTTATTCAATTTCAAAATAGACTAAGACTGCTTATTTAATTTTAATGTATTATCAGTTTGTCAAAGCTGACTGCAATTTGTTAGACACGATGTGACATTCCCTGTTGTAGGTGGATGAGTTAGAAGAAGACGAGCGCATGGATACTATCTGGTGGAAATCGAAGAAATGGGCATTACATATATGCACCAAGATCTTCGATCGCTACGGCACACCGGGAGAAGTGCGCAAAGAATACAATGGATTCGCGAAATTCTTCGTGGGTCGACTAGCCAAGGATATTCTGCAGTCGGTGTTCCAGCTGCTGGATCGGAAGATCCAGGGACATTACGTGTCCAATCGATGTCTCCAGCTGGGATTGACATATATCCGTCAAGCGCTGAAGGTAAGGAAAAGCCACAGACGGTGCTTTGCAGTTGCTAATAAAGGGCAATATTTACCGGCAATGTCGGATAATAATTAATCATTGATTATTTTTGCAGGTGCCATCCTGTTGGAAACTCATCAAACCCCATGCTCACGATCTTCTATCCCGTATTGTCTTTCCCTTGATGTGTTTCACGGAACAGGACACCGAACTGTGGCAGGACGATCCGGTGGACTGGATCTTATCGCGTACCGATATCCATATGGAATATATGTCGGCCGAATCCGCCGCCTCCTATTTACTACATACTATGTGCAGGAAACACCCCAATTTGCTAACGGATATCCTGAATTTTACATTTGCTGCCTTGGGCAGCGATAAATCATCGCCCAATGACAAAGATGGCGCACTGCACTTTTTCGGTAATTTTCGGATTTGTTTGGACTTGTCAATCATAATACGTGCATTTATCGTACGTCTTTCGGTACAGGTGTAATGGGACGCACACTGATGAAGCGAAAGCCTTATAAAGACAGCGTGGAATCGCTGCTGGTGAATCATGGTTTTCCGGAAATGAAAAATCCCCATCCCTTTATACGCTTCCGTGCGGTGTGGTTGTTCCGCCAGTTTTCTTACATGGAGTATCATAATAAGGATAACTTATATGCCGGGTTGGACGGTGCATTGCAACTGCTAATGAAAGACACACATTTACCGGTGCGGGTAGAGGCGGCATTGTGCTTGAATGAAGTGTTGGATAATCAGAAAGCCGCCGAAGATTTCTTACGGCCCCATGCGATCAGTGTCCTCCAGGTGGCACTGGATCTGGTCCGCCTGACCAACTACGAAGAACTGACCGAAGTGCTGCAGACGTTTGTTGTGGAATTCCCGGAGCAGGTGGCGCCGTGTGCGACAGAACTTGCCACACACCTTCTGCTAACGTTTCAGGTAATGCTTGTACAAATGTTGTTAATCCAATTTTAACAAAATGGTGTGAGCTGTTCCTTTCGCTGAATATGCCGGGTATGTAAGTACATACAGCTTTTTCGAGTTCGGGTATGATTTTCTGTAGCTGTGTGATGTGTCATTTCATTTTCCAGTGGGATTAATTGTTATAATATTTTATAATCTAGATGGTTCTTTATAATTTCATTAATTCTGAAATAAAATTGTCTTTTTGGTTCTTTTAATTTGTACTGAGGTTGTTGTTATATTTTATTGTTCGTGTTTTAACGGTTTAGTTTGAAATAAAATTATTTTTTCAGGTTTTTGTACGTAACGATGACAATTTTTTGCAGAATATTGTCCATAGAACAGATCAGCAGAATAACGACGACGAACGGAGTTCGGTCCTGACCGGTATGTCAGTGTTGCAGACATTGGAACTGCTGAATGACTGCACGGTAGAAAAGCCAGAACTGAACGCTCAGTTAGCACCGATCGTCGTAAAAGTCATTCAGATCATATTGGAGCATAATTTATCGGAATTCTACGAAGAAATGTTTGGATTATTGACATCACTTACATCTAAACGGATATCGCCGACTTTATGGGAAGGGTTCAACGTTTGCTCACAGATATTATTCAAGGGCGATGTTGGCGTGGATTACTTCAGCGACATGGTAAACATTTTGTCTGTTCTCGCGTTTTATAGTTAGGTATGACGAAATGTTTTGTAGGTTCTCTGTTTGTACAATTACGCCACAAAAGATCCTGAAGGCTTCATCGGTGGTCCCGATCGAGTGAAGAACATGTGCCACATGTGTGAACACGTGCTGTTCAACGAGGAAGCCGGCGAAGATACACAGTGCCATGCGGCTAAACTGCTGGAGGTGATTATATTGACGTACAAAGGACAGATTAACCAGTTTCTACCGGCCATTATTGAGCTGGTCTTCAAGAAACTCTTCTCCTCGCAACATCTGATGGCGGAACTGAAGACGCAGTTACTGCTGGTGATTATTGCCGCGGTGTACTACGATCCACCGTCGGTGCTGTCCTTCCTGCAGGCCGCCACCACACCGCAGGGTGAATCGCTGATCAGCAAATTCTTGAGCATGTGGCTGGCGGAAATCGACTGTATGTTCGGCATCCACGACCGGAAGTTGGCGGTGTTAGGACTGACGCTGTTCATGCAGTTGCCGGCGACGCTGCGGATGCCGGCTATTCATGCGCTGGCGCCCAATTTCCTTCCAGCATCGCTTCAGCTTTTCCAGGTACCGTATACATAGTTTATGTTCAAGCGTTCGTGCATGCACCATGCAGTTAGCCAGGGACTTATGTTGACTTTTTCACTCGAATTTGAAGGATGCATTAGTTGAATATTAATTTTTTTTAGTTGCTCTACAATTTAGCACAAAGTTTTATTACTTTGTTTCTTAGTTTAGTGGGAAATAGTGGGGTTTTATCAAACATTAACTAATGGCTAAACCACAATTTCGTAAGTGGTAGTTTTGCTTTATTGACAGAAAAACATTTTTCAGGGTCTGAAGCGGATGTACACTCACGCGGATACGGATTCCGAAGATGAGTGGACGGATGACGAAGGCGAGGAAGATGTCGTGCACACCGACGATGAAGACGTTAAAGAGAAACCGAAGCGCCAGGACAAAATGGAAGGCGAGGGGGGCGATGAGCCCGAAGAGGAAGAGGACGACGATGAGGACGATTATTATTCGGAGGATTACGGATCCGAAACACTGAAGCAACTTACCACACCACTGGATACCAATGCCGTTGACGAGTTCGCCATCTTCAAACAGACCGTACTCGGAGTGCAGCAGCATGATCCCGAATGGTGGAATGTGCTGGCGATGAAAGCCAGCGAAACCGATAAGGTAACGTTATTCGATAATTATGTAATTATTTTAGCATATTTGTTTGGGTATTATTATAGCAAATCTGTTATCTAATTTTGATGTGTTTTTTGTAGAACTTACTGCAGGAGATGTTAAAATTTGCGGATGAACGCCATAATCCACCACCCGAACAGCCTCATGTTAAACAGCAGTAGACGCTGCATATTGCCCGCTGTTATGCAGTTTGGTTTGAATGATAGAAGTATAGTGATTGATAAAATTTTTATCTTTAAATTGCGCGTTGGTAAACTGTTGATCTGTTTGTCGCTGAGGATGCGGATGTTGGGGCCATAATGTGCGTGTGTGCATTGTGTATCGGATCACGTAACCCGAATTTAATGCTAAATTTTAATCGTTTTCCCATGAAGGGTAAAACTCGGCTGAAAATTTTTCGTGATTTGGTCCTCTTTTTAAATCTGTTACAGTTGAACTGGATTAAATATTTGTCAGAATTGCACAGCGGGCCCAGTCGCGTGGGATAGTGATCAACCTTCATTTCTGCATCACAAATACCAAATAATATAAACCATCCGATAACAGTATCAAGGGAATCGGAAAGAACCAGTTGCGAATCAAAGTAGAAAAACGAGAGAGAATTGAACAGTTGATATTCGGCTGCTGGTTACACATTTACAACCAGCGAACATTCACTATCAGCTGACATCCTGATGGCGGGCCCGCTGCGCCTGGCGTTCCTCGATGGACATGGGCACGCCGGGATTGGAAGGGTAGGCGGAGCGGGAGTGGGTGTTGGTCAGGGATTCCGGGTCGAAGAGCTTGTACCAGCCGATGACAATGCTGGACAGATCAAGATCGTCCATATTGATCAGCGCCAGTCCGATGAGCACTTTCTTCTCCATGCGTCCGTAATCGCCCCACACGCTCACCTGCAGGATGCGGTGTTCGATGCCGTCGGTGAAGCTAAGCACCTGCCGGTAGGGGGGATTCAGGGAGCGCGGCTGGGTGGCGGTCTTCTGTTTAGCGATGATGCGTTTGTCTTCCATGAGCTGGACTTTCACATATGTCGCTATGGCCGAAAACAGATTTTTATATTTATGTATTCTAGCTGCTGATAAAGGCAGTAAAAGGTGGAGGCTGAAAGCTTTGCTTCACCGACCAAATTTAAAAGCAAGAGATGCCTGATATTATAAACGAAATACGAATGCAAAAACTTCTACGCTAACACACTGAACTACATAGTTCTGAAGTACATACTGCCAATATAAGGGTATAATTATTTTACTGAATAATTATTTACTGCAAATGCGATCTTAATTTCTCAAAAAACACACTTATGTGACGATACATCTTTAACAAATACGAAGCAAACACGATTAACTGACCAAAAGCCTAAAAGTATTTCGTATATATATTCAGCTAATATTTATGACTCGCAGGTGAATAATTGGCTTAGTTAGCACTTACAAGGAAGAACGCGCGTGCCTTGGCGTGGCACGAGTCCGCGGCCACGGATGACCTCCACATCGAGTTTCCCTTTTTGGTACTTAATCGTCAGTTGCAGTTCACCCAGACATGGTGACGCCAAAACCTGTCGGCCCACCAACTGACCGGGCCCGAGCCCTTCCACGAAGTTGAGAAGATGGGTGGCTTCGGCAAGATGGCTTTGACTGCGACTGTAACTGTGACCGCTACTGCTCACGCTCCCGTCGTTCGAATCTTTGCTCATCTGTTTGACCATGGAGGCCGGCGACTGATGCCCGACTTCTTCGCTTCGGGTGAAAGTCGGTCGTTTGCTCTCTGTAAAAAATTCTTAATTAAAAACAATATTCCAAGTAAAACTTATACAAGACAAGTGTCATTAGTATTAGTAAGTAGTATCAGCTTAGATTTCGGAAATCATGTAAAATATGACCATGTTTTTTCCAGACCTAGAAAACGTTTGCGATGAATATAATTATGCGTTCACCGTGCCGGTGCACTGACCTTTCTTCAAGCCGAGTATGGCTGCGGCTTTGGAGCTGACGCCCTTGCGATTTCGTTCTTCCATTTGGGCCAGATATTTGGATTCGAATTCATCATAGTTGAACTCCTTTTTGCGGTTGAACACATCGCTAGCGCTAGTGCTCTTTTCTAAGGCAGGAGGTTCGCCGGCGCCCACTTGGGAGCCGGTGTCATCCAGATCCAGGCTTTGTAATCGCGATACGGAATCACTAAAATCACAACCATTTTCGTAAGCGTTTGTCCCTTTTCTGAGTACGTAGAAAATGTGTCGTATAACACGAAAAAATACGAAATGATATGCTGGCGGCACAGTGAAAGTACTGAAAATAATAAACGGTCATGTCAAATAATAAGAATAAAGAACAGAGCAAAATAAGAACAGAGCAGTTTAAATGAAACAGAAGTTCGTACAGGAGGGAATATAATATAATCCAATTACATAACAATTTGCTTTCACAGAATAATCATAAAAAATTACGCGCAGATGATCCTACGATGGATTACAAGTCGCTTATATAAGACAAGACTAATCCGGCAGTATTACGTAATTCCGTAATATGTACCTAAGCTTCCTGCGATGATGATCAGGCACCAGCAGGGCCAAATCACTTTCGCCGGCTTTACTGGTGGGCTCACTGGAGCGGCTAAGCGACGTGCTGGTATTCCTCATGGACCGGCGACTAGCCGAGCGGGAATGGCGTGTATTGGAGAAGGGATCATTTTGGTCGCTGGGGACGGAGAGAGTGGCATCCATGGCTGTATTCCCGTTGCCGGCGCCGCGTCCGGCCACGTCGCCGGACGACAGCAGCGGTGTACTGCCGGTACTGCTGATCGTCACACCCGATCCATACGTCCCACTCCGCTCCCGATCACGCGGATCAATGTTCTCCTCTTGTGAGCTGTTTTTTAATAACTGCTCCAATTTCGGCGGATGATGATGACTATGGTGGTGGTGGTGGTGACCGTGATGGTGGTGGGGCTGAGGGGCGGGGCGGAGGGCATAATAACACTGGGATCATCCGGGTCACCGGGTACTTTCAGAGTCGCGTTGTGAAGCTGTAAGGGAGTATAAAAGAGACAGCATTGTAGACCAGTCAGACGACAGCGTCAAGTGGCAAACAACACAGCACAGTGGGGAGAGGAGGTTAAGCACCTAGTTCGCGTAAGCGCTCCTTCTACCTGCATAATTGGCTTGGCATCCCGCGGATCAGTGGAACGCGGCTGGCTGTGGCGCGAGGTAGAGGAGGGCGAGAGAGAGGCGGGTGCGGTCGGGTGCGGCGAGTGCAGGTGGGAGGCGACGGCGTCATAGTGCTCAGCACCCCCACCCGGGAGGGGAGCGTTGAGGGAGGGACGGCGGGGGGACGACGCGGAGGGGTTGGCGGCAGGCAGGATGGGCAGTTGACGTTTGCGGGCCGAGTTTGACGTTCGGGATGCTGGGCGAGAACCGGGAGGTGATCTATGCATGTACAAATATCATTAGACCATTAGATCATTAGATCGATATTTATGAAAATTTCAAAAATCGTCCTGTTTTATTAAACTGCTGGCTATAATAATTATGGCAGCGTAGTCCACAAATTATAGTGTAATACAGATACAGTTATGCCCAGAAGAGCGTTTTTGAATTCCAGTTTCATTACAGTACGTATCGGTGTCATATGGACGCATAACCGAAAAATGTCGTTAATTTTTAGTATGCCCTTTCCCAACTATGCGATAAGCTGTATTTTCGACGCGCGATAGATGTGTGGTGCGGTATTCCTTCTGTTAGTTTATTCATGTCAATAAATAAACAAACACTGTGAAGATATATATGTACGTCAAACGATGCATCATGGATAGTGCATCGTCATCAAAAAAGCAGTGCTCTTATGAATTATGATGCAGTTATCAAATCATTGTTCACTGTACTCTCCCACACTCTGCACAGACACATCAATTACGCAGCACTAAACGCATTTGAATAATTTGTTTAGCACAATAACAGTCATATGGTTAATTGTGTGGATAATCAGCTGGAAGTAAACTGCCGTCTTCCTGTGCTGCTAAGTTTGGACTACCCACCCTTCCTGTTCATCGTAATAATAGCTCTCCTGACCAGCAGGAGGCGCCGAATGGGCTGAACGGCGATGGGAGCGTTGCGAGCGCAGCTCACTATCCGCTAAGCCGCCGGTCGGCTGTCGACTGCGACGATCTGCAACGGGGAATTAATTGAACAAGTCAGAAAGCATTAACGTTTGGTTGGACCAAGCAGTTGCCGAGGTATACCGGCACCTACGTACCCTGATCGTACGGCTGATCGCGATAACTGCGCGGACTCTGCTGCTCCGGATACCGCGTACTCTCGAGCAGTCCCGACGGTCCATACCGTTGCCGGCTACTGCCCACACCGCGACTGGGATCCCAGTATTCGCGCTGCTCTCGCGATGACCGCTGTTTTCGACGCGGACCAGCTGCAAAAATCAAAGATGTTTATTTACAACTTCTTATCCAAAGCTATGTTAAAATCCCGCGCAATCAGTTTAATTATGTAGATGACAACGTAGGACTGCCTAGTAAAATTATACTGTGCATACCACGCTCATTTTATTGTAGTGTATTATAAAAACCGAAGATTAAAAAATTTTGCTATATTTCCAAGCACGCAGTGTGTTGCAGCTTGATGACTGTTTGGCTCCAAATCGTGTCATAAAAGCATTAAGGTGCGTGATTGTGATTGATGCTCCACCCGTTTCAACCATTAAATCTTAACGTGAAACCGGAAAAGAAAGTATTAAGTTTCTGGCGTTGCGATGGCGTTAAAGCCTGATCAATGTGACACCAACCCTCGAGCATATCAGGATCGGAGATGTAGTCCATATCGCTTAAGCGGGACACCGAACTTCCGGCAGGTGATAAGCCCTCGGCCGAGGCTATGCTGTTGAAGTCCGGTTCCGCGTAATTAAGGGCCGGAGGACGGCGGGTCTGCAGAGAAGGAAATGGGATGAGCAAGTAAATCGCCGACATCCGGTTGCAAAACCGATAAGCCCATGCATGAAGAACGTTAGCATAATGCAGTGTGATTATATACAGACTACAGAGTACTTGTACGCGCCAAGCGCAAAATAAATATAATACGGTGACCTTAATTTTGCAACAATGATGACGTACATCAACTCCAGTGTCGGGATATGTCAGATAGAACCAACGCGGTTCGTCGTTGAGTGCCACGGAGGCCAGCTCGATCAAGGACTACAAGAGATTTAATTGGAGTTAATGTCGTAATGGAATGCACTGTATATGTGTGCTTGATCGATAATCGCTAATCAGCGTACTTCGCCAACGAATTCGTTGTTGGCCTGGGAGTAGCGCTCATAATCCCATACGGTGATTTCCAGTGTAAGGTCATCCAGTTCGGATTCTTTTAGGGGCGCGTAATGGAACATCTGCTGCCATTGTGGATCGTTGGTTTTGGAAATGATTTTTGTGCGGCGCTTCGTTTGCTCGCTGTAATTTCAAGGGCAAATAAATACAGAGTCAAAGCCAGGCCAGACTACGTATTACATGATACCGGATTTAGCATACAGATACTATACAATTCCACAAACCGTTGGTGCTGTAAAATACTGTAAGACTAAAATAAAATACTGTAAGATATTAATTTAGTACCTACAATTTTTTTAGATTTCCGTTATTAATTACTTATTACACTGTTTATTATAATGACCTGCATCGACCACTTATAGTTTCTGCAACTTGTTTTCAACTACAGGTAGATATCTGAGCGACTTATTTGCCTGTGCCGCACTTTCGCATTATAAGTATTGTACTGAGTCAGCGGTTAAAAATAGGAATGGTATGTACTATATATCGTGTACCACCAAATTAGAATGAACTTCACTCACATGGTATGATGCCTTGAAAACGAATCAAAATATAAATGCACAGAGACATACCTGCGATTTGGCAATAAATACAATTTGGCATAGGCATTGCGATAGGATTGGTCCGGACGGGGAAGCAGTTCGGCGGCCTGTATGACGGTGACGGTGAGGCGGGCATCCGAATGCGAATAGTAGAAGCTCAACTGGATGCGCCCACTGACGAACGGAACGCCCGGTTGGCCCGTGCCCCCGGCCGCCGGGAACTCCAGAGGCGGGCCGCCGCCGCCTCTCCTGCGGCCGCCCCGCGGACGCGGCGAATAACGGCGCGGATCGTCGACCCCCGCGCCCGGCATGCCGTAGCTATCGCGGTCGGACATTTTGCGGGACACCATCAGTTCCACTTCCGTCTCCTCACGTGACTCCCCGATAATATCGTACACTTCCTCAAAGGTCAGATTTCGCAGCGGCGTGCCGTTCCATTCCAGGACTTCGTCGCCGGCTCGCAGATGCCCGATCACATCGGCCACACTGCCCGGCTTGACGCGGGTCACCAGCGCCGCCATGCGCCCGCTGGCCGTCATTTTGCCGCCTTCCACCTTTAAACCCAAGATCGTGGCGGAATTCATGGAGCGCGAGACGTCACGTGTCAGTTCGTTCGTGTACTTCCGGAGGATCATGTGGCCGATTAGACGGTGGCCATCAGCACTCGGCTGCCAGGTGACATTTGCCGGCTACACAACGCAGTAACGAAATTACAGCAAACCTTCAATTTTCGTAGCACGTATGTACCAGCTACTATTATTTCGCTTAATTAATTTAATAAATTCCGCATCTACAGATGTCTTACGCCCTATCTTCAATTTTTCCGGTTTCAGTTTCCGCAGCACGTATGCAAACGCTATTACAATTCCGCACAATTAATGTAATAAATCCAACATTTAATCTATGATCTATCTTTAATTCTGCCGGCTTTTACGTGCGGAATTCAGCATCTATTTCGTGAATGCACAGTCTATAATGCGGATGGCATTTTCGGCAATAATTGAGCTGGGATGAAGTCCAAGGCTTTAGAATTTCCGCTGTAACGGTGGCTGCCGTCAGTGTATGTGTACTGGGGCTTTGTGTCGGAGAGCATAATCAAGACGATCATTGCCGTGAATTACAATTTGGTTGTCTATCGATCGGATATGTGTGTCAGCTGTACACGCGCCCGCGCGGATGGTGGGAATAGTGGGTACGTGTAAAAAGGAGCGGGTACTGGGAGCTGGGCGGGGAGGAAGAGATAGGGAACGAGAGAGGAAGTAAGCAGCGCATCGAATTGTAACTCTCTGGTTAGGCGTTAAGCTAGCGATCAGTTCAGAACTATAGCCAGCGATTTCCGGCCAACTTCCCATTCATCTGCACATTTAACTACCACCACGATTTGCATATTCACCCAATGTATAGACCCTTCAGTGTGTACGAGACCCCGGTACACAATTGTCCTTCGACCCTTTTCAAATGGCACAAAATGCCCAGCTGTCCCGATAAAAATGCGCTATCGATGCGCAGTTTTTCCTCATGTTTAGGCACAACAGTACAAAAGCACTTTTGTAATATTGACAGACCGTCCTATCTATCAGCGCGCTGTATTTCATACGAAGGCGGACGTCCTCGATGTCATTAACATAACTCAAAGTAAATTGTAATAATTTTAATTTAATAAAAATTACAACCTAGCTGAACCTACAGTAATTAATGCAGGTTATGCAACCGACCAAAGAATACGATCGAAATGCATGCACTGTATAAATCGATTACTAAAGTGCCAACATTCTTAATTAAATAACATATGCATGAATTTTTTTATCAATATCTCATTATAGAAAACGAACATACCGATCGCGACTCATCGTACATTCCTTCCTGTTGATAATAATCCGGCTCTTGTTGCGACGACATCCGCCAGAGCCGGCCGGCGCGACCCGACCGGACCGGATGCCGCAGTCCGGGATGCGTCCGCGTGGAATACTCGCTGCGGTAGCTGTGAATACTGCCATCATCACCGGTGAAATCCGACAGATTGGACCGCATCTCTTCCTCGGAGCTGCTGAAGGAATTCTGCTGATACGCCCGGCGTCGCTCATCCACATTGGCGTATCGCGATGAGCCGGCACCGGTTTGGCCGGAAGTTCGGTTTCGCGCGTCCCAGTTGTCGTAGGGACCGCGGCGGGCGTCCACTTCCCCGGCGTATTCCCGCTCCAGCTGGCCGTAGCGGTCGTAGCTCTGGGTGCGACGACGCGCACCGCCTTGCTCACGGCTGTCGTCCAAACCGCGTCGCGAAGCCCCCTGTATCACGCGACAAAGCTGGCTTAACTGAAGTCATTGCCAGATTTGTAATTACACGGTTTACACCTGTAGGCGAATTATCTCGCTGGCGATGTATTGGACATCACCCATAAGGTCACAGTCCTAGCGCAGTGCATGTGTGCTTGTATAAAATTTAACTCATTAGAAAAACAGCTGTCTAATCAAGTTTTCATGTTAGAACAGAACGGTGTTCTCCATCAAATGCTCTGCAACCGATAGAATTTGGGATTTTCATGGTTATCGCCTATCGGTATAAAACAGGGAGAGCGAGATAACATTACTGTACAATTCTTGGTGTTAAAATAGCACTGCAACAACAATATTATTTTTAATAAACGTTTCTTTAGAAAAAAATCAAAGCGATATATATGTCAGTTATTAAACAGAAATATTTTATAGAGTTCACAAATAGAACAGCGTATTACCGCAATTACGTGCAACTCATTAATGAAATCATGCAGATTACCGACTTAGTGGGACGCTTTGGCGTTTCCGCCTCCTCTTTCCCCTTCTTATTCCATAATAACATCATCATTTTCAAGAAAATTAGATTTACTGCTGAGCATTCGTAAAATTTTGACGATAGAACTTTTTTTGTTATAATAAAAAGTATTTATAATTAAACTTGATACAAAATGTAAAAATTGGATACTGGTCCATACTATCTTATCCTAAATGCATTCAATCGCTGCTTGATGCTTGAGAAGGTAGACTCACTGACTGCAAAACGTCTGACCCATCCCAAGAAACAGCAAACAACCCAACACTCTACCCCGCCAACTTGCTCTACCTTTTCAAAGGTAACTTATGTTGCTTTTGAATACCTATTCGAATCGTCTCTGATTTGAGAAAAGATGTTATCCATTTCTGATTATGGACTACTTCACAGTGTCGCTGCGCCGTATTCACCTTCCCCCTATAATGTGCCCACACGGCACATTGCATACTTACGCAACCCACTATTGACAAAAAAATTGTAAAAGACCCTTTAATCGACAAAGTGCACTGTCGATCTTTTTTCCTAACACAGAGAAGAAGATACCCATATGTTGCGCCATCCCACGGCCGGCTCGCAGATTCCCAGCGACGTATCCATTGGCAAATACAATACCGTATATATATTCTATATATATGTCGACACACACATACGGTCTCGGCACGGTACACTGCACATACATATAGCCAATAGATCATATCATACGGGATATTGCACAGAGAACACAGCGTCTGATCCTCAGCTAACGATGTTTAAACGAATTCTCCCCATGTTTGTTCAGGACAAATATCCGCTAGGATAAAACCCAGTCGGCCCCGTCCGACTGCTCCGCGCTCCAGCTCTGACTTTTAATACCGCAACATATATACTGTACACCCCGCGCGCAGCGGAATGGCCATACGCGTGGGGCGTAATTACGTATATACGGCATCAATTCCATTCGGTGCGGGGTAACGTTACACCCCGAACACCCACACTGACTTGCACACGCTAATATTCACCTGCGAATCCGGTCGCCGCGGCATCTGCCGTGTCCGATTACGCTCATCATGGAAGTCCTGCTGCATGGTGCGCGGATCGGGTAGGGCACGTGACCGGGAGGGATCACGGGTACGGGAGGTTACCGGCGGTGTACCGGGACCATGCCCGGCTCCGGGGGCCGCACCGGGTGGCGTGTCTACTTCGAAGCCGCGCCGGCGCATGGAGGCCTGCCGCCGCATCTCATCCTCCTGGCTCATCCCGTATCCCGGGTCAATGGTGCCGTGACGGCGGAGGGATTGTTGGCGCTGGTGTTGGGTGAGGGGCGGGCCACCGGCGCCCGATGGCGGGTATTGGCTGGGATCGTGGCTTAGCTGGCGCCGGAGACCGGGATGCGGCGGACCGCCGGGCGCGCCGGGACCACCAGGCCCACGGGCGGACATGCTACCGTTGAAGCGCTGCTGCGGACCGTTGGGTGTCTTGTTGCTGGCCGGGGCGGCGCCAATACTGCCGGCAGTACTGCTGCCCGAGAGCAGCTCTTCCGGTTTGCCGTGATACCACTGACCAGTCTTCTTGAGCAATTCCTGCTTCTTTTTACACAGAATGCAGGTCCACGTAAACTAAAGCGTTAACAGAGCAGCAATAAGTTAATTGTCACAAAACGTCTGTGATTTATAAAACATTGATAGTGATATGTTTGTAATATTCAATATCACACCAAACTTCTGTTGTGGTACGCTCATTCACACAGAAACACACGATTAGTGAATTTGAGGAAGAATTTGTCGTAATCAGTTCTAATACAACTTGCACCAGGCATCAAGAAAAAATCCCGCAAGTACTATAAAAAATATAAATGAATTTTTCCAGTTATCTGAAACCGCTACACATGCGTTTTTTTCCCGATCAGCAAGCCTTACAGCGCTTTTTTCAGATTACATTATCCAGGCTAAAATAAAAGCCAAAATACATTATACAACACAGAAGTTGTGAATTTGCAGGATAATTTTGCATAATATAGTTGCTTACTCAATTAGCTATGGGTTTGCTTGATACCTAGTACAATGAAATACTGACCGATAGCCGTTGCGCTGTGCACTAGCGCAACTTAATTAGAATAAAAAACCGTAAACCACAGCGCATTCTTATACTTTTTACCATAAAAATATTCATTAAAAATGAATTGTTTATACAGACATTTGTCTGAAACACATACTACACAGCATGCGCTTTATCTTATGACATTATCGCAGAACCTTTGCTCGAGCGACAGTACCATCAGTCCATCACAACAAGGTCATAACTACAATAGGATAGACACCTAATAATTACGGGTCTCACCTTGCCGTTTTTGATGGGTACTCGAGTGCCGCAACGGGCGCAGCTATGACGATGGCAGACGTTGCACTGATGTCCAATACCATCAGCAAACTTGACCTTCTGGCAAATATCACAGAGTCCTTCCTTGTCGGGATCGGACATAAGGCCACCAAAGGGATGCGGCTGCAGTTTCTGCGTCTGGACACGCTCTTCCATCTGCTTGACTTCCGCAGCCAGATTTCTGCGCAGATCACCGTGTTACACTTTACCAATTACGCACTATACCAGAATTCATACATGTGAAATTGTGGCACATTGATAATTAACAAGGTCCGAATTATTATAAACGAATTTTGGGGTCAACTTGCACAAGCACTACTCTCGTCACAAGAAATATTGGACAGATTTCCTCCAGATTTACAGAGGTGACGTTCACAGACGCATCCCCACACACGAAATGGCTGGCGTATATTGGCGCGGGTGATGGTGATAATGTCACACCGGTGAATAGCGTCCCCTAGCGTGCTAGTTTGCTCAGTATAGTGCACATCAGATGGATAGTTTTTACAAACAATTACCCCTTGTTATTCCAGTAAACAGTGCTCTACATTATGATAGCAATATGCAGTCATAGCATCGGCGGCGAATTATAACCGGAAAAAGTCACCATATTTACTCTGGGAGAGGGATTAAAGGTTGGTGGAAGGGGTCTGGGATGCAGCGAATTAGTGCAGGAAAGCAGCATAGGCAAGGCAAAAATGCCCTGTTCAAATCATTCTATCCGGATATACGCCGTGTATGCTTTATGCTTTAAGCCACCGAGAGTCTTTTAATATGCTGTAACTACTTAATGCACATTTCAGTCAGGTTCAGTAGTATGACTGCGACCAGTGGCTGATACAAGTACTTAAAATTTTTAATTTATTTTGCTAAAAAAAGAAAAAAGCTACGTTTCGTAAAGAAGGAAAGGCGTTTTCAGTGGTGAGCAAAAGTGCCCAGATTCTAGCAAACAGCGCCATCAAAAATTGTTCGCAATTTATTTATGTTGTCATATTTAATTTCTTACAGCAAAGAATTATGCGCAAAACTGATTCGTTTCAACTTTACCAGTTCACAATATATTAACGAACGAAAAGGTTGAAATATATAAATGCTGGCGCATACGCAGGCTGTACAAGACTTCTTCTGATTAATTTTACAGCCAACGTTTGAGAAAGCTTTAGCGCATTTGCAATATTGTTCAATGGGTTATATGTAATGATTTTGTCAGTACCACATCTATTTGAAAATTTATGGCGTATTAAACGCTTTATCCGTTTCTCCAGTGTCGCTTCAAAACAATCCAGGAGACAATTTCATTCGTTAATTCTATACAATTAGCGTCCACTAAAGGAAATTGCAGTTGTGCTTTCTGAATGATATCGCGGCATGCCTACATTGTTAATAATATCTTTATCATGGGCGTATGCGTAGCTGAACGTGTTAATGGTAATATTGCATTGTATTGGGATCGATGATATTGTGGAAAGTAAATGGATCAATACATATCATCATTTCGTACCATCACATCATATTGGCTGCCGTCAGTGACTAACGCTACTGGCGCAAGAGAAGGATGAAACTGCATTCCCGTTTAAACTGGACATTCTGGCTCCGCCATTGTAACCATATACATATCTCCTCGCAAAAAAAGTATCGACCCAATATGCTGCATATGTTATTCACTACAGATATGACTGCACATATTAGATCATAATTCATAGGAAACCATGCCGTCACCAGTTTGGCAACACGTTAAATTCGCCTTGGCAGATACGAATAATTATAAAGTTTTCAGTACGAACACTCCTTTTATGCAAAATTAAGTTACTATTTCCTATGGGAAAGGTAGTTCTTCATTCAAAGTAATGCTATTATTTTGAAACTATTTCATCGGTTTGGGATGAAATGAAAACTACATAGCTAGTACCTTTACGACAAAAGTATCCAGAACGATAATCCAAATAAAAACTGGAATGAATAATAATTACTTAAAACAATCATGATATAATCACGCTCACTCAGGATATCCTACAGTCTTTGAATGTTATTATCGTATTTACTGTTGATTACTTTCCGCTCGAGCGGTTTGTTAGCCGGCATTGGGCGCGCAAATTCTAAAGCCATGTTAAATTTTTCGCTTAAAATCCCGATAAACACTCCACAAAAAATGAATAGTCTAAGTAGCAAAATGTCAAATGTTGATAGGAGCTTATCCAGCCGTATGATGGCCGGATGAATGGGGGAGAAATTATTCAATTGTCCCGGCATCCCGGGTCCCATGCCCTGTTGCCTGACAGGGCCAACTAGAGCTAATACCGGTGGCAGGTATGCCTGACCATGACAAATCAAACATCATACCCCCTCCCGCTCGCTCGGCCCTAATAATATTGATAAAAAGCCCAAACGGAACAGCCCGTCATATATATACACTTTCGGCCCGGCTCCCCCATCAGCAGCTGTATACATACAACACTACATGACCCCGCCCCAACCGTAACGGCCTACTTTCTCGCATATAAACTATTCCCGCTTTGCCACTTTTCCTCTCTGATTTAACCCAGCCGCCTCGCACAACTGCCGTATACAATCCCGAGATCTATTTTATTCCGGCCACTGAAATCATCGTGTGTGTATATGAGAGCGCGCGCGCCGTGCGTTCGCTGATGGCGTCGGTCCGTGTGTTTGTTCACGGAGGTGCACTCATTTCCTACCCGTCATCGGTTTTGTATGGAAGGAAGACAACCGATCTCGTTACTTAAATCCGAGGCGCGCTTCATCAAATGAACAAAAATAATAATGGCATCAAACAATAAGCAAGCCTTCCGCCGATAATGCGATGAGGTTGATATGCGATTCCAGATTACTGCCTTTCTAATTATAGAGATACAATAATTATTTCCTCTGTTTATTTCCTCTTTCTAATTATACAGAAATAATATTTTTTTCCGCGGAAGAAAATATTTAACCAAAAGACAAAACTGTCGAAACTGTACGTATAAAGCAACGCACATATCGAGTGAAGTGAAGTCAGTATCAAATGGTATTTTTTTCGACCAGCGTGCATTTGTTCTAATGGTAAATTTCATAAATGCGCTGCCTGATTTCCAGCATAATAAAGCAAATTTTAAATTTTAAGTTGTACAGTTTCCGAAATTGTGAATTTATCCTAATGGTAAATTTCAGAAACGGCTCCCTGATTACAATTTACGAGCAAACGTTCAAGTAAAAGACATAAGTATTAAGTACCAGAGAAAAACAGCGGCCGGAATTCATCTGAATACCCATTAATGTCTATCACGATCAGATGGAAGGGTTTTTTAAGCGGCAGAAGTTTGACCCGAGGCCGCTCTATCCATTTAAACACGTGCGCCAGCCATCAAGTGTAACAATCGCCCGATGGGTCTGTTTTTCGGGGGATATATTGAATCGGCTACATCGTTTGCTGCTACACAGTGCCCATACACAAACGAGAGTGACGAGGGCCAACACAGCAGCAGAGAGACACAGAACAGAAAGCCCTGTATAGACATTCAACTCACTTGACAACTTCTTTATCCTTTTCTTCCTCATTTTTTTGCCGTTGTAGCACTTCTTCAATAACACGGCGTTCCTCCTCGGTCAGATGGCTGAGATCAGGCGCAATGTCCGCCATGTTGCAGCAGCACACAGCGACAGCACAACGACGACAACGACAACGACGACACAGGTCCGGTCATGAATTCACCGGGCCACAGCTGTACGTCACAATGACAATAATCCCCCGACAACAACGGCACGCGGGCACACACGCTCACAACGACAATTGTCCCCAGACGAACTGGTCGGATGACGTGTAATCTGTCCGTTGGGCAGGCAGAGCAGATGCGCAGTGACGATGACAATGGTCCGGCCCAACCAATGAAACCCTCTTCAGACCAGTCCGCACCGCATGGGGAACCCATCAAAAATTGTGCAGGGAAAATATCGCTCGGGTAATCATCGCATAATAGGTCACAGAGTAGATCACACAACGCCACAGACAATCACAGCACACATATGCACAAAAACAGAGACAACCGTCGTTCGCCCAACAAACACCGCCACTCGCTGTTTGCGCGCCCTCCGTCAACCGGCCATTCTCCCTGTGCGACAATGACGATTCAACGCGAGACAATGGAGGACATTAATGGGAATGTAACGGCACTTCATTATGGGCAAATTAGCTGTGGACGATGCGTTGTGATCCCTTCACTTTTCATCAGATCATTTACACAAGGAAGAGTACGCGTACATGCGCGCACAGACGTTGTTGCACAGGGCCATATGCAAGATCGTACGGCATACACACACAGTTGGAAACACAACACAGGGAATCAAACGCGAAGGAAATCGACGTTGGTGTGCGCCCTGGCCATGCGGGAGAATTAATGCCCCTGTATACTGGAAACGGGAACTCTCTGCAGCACTGCTGCGGCACTGTCAGTCTGTGCAGATGGGAGCCGCCACACTCGCAGCAAAACAGGGGAATCGATATTGGCAACACACTGATGAGGAATATTTTTCATGCGTGAGATTTTTCGCGTGCCCATCTGCACACAACACACACACACTAATACCATACTGACAATCGGCACATACAATATATTCGCCTATACATATCCCGGCTGCATTCCCTGCCACTGCGAGCCGCCGGCTCTCTCCCGTTCCGGCGCGTACAATCATAGCAGTGTACAGTGTACATCCAGCAGTCTGTGCTAGGGATGTACGCACACTCACCACCCATCCCAACACGATCAGCGTTTGACGATGTCGGCCTGTGTGGATGATTAGGTAGTTGAGTGTCAGGATGTGTTTTTCCCCGACACCATGAGCCAATTTTTTTGTTCTTCTGCACAACTGCACTGACGCTATTTGTTTTTGTCTTATATGGTTTTAATCTTAGGCTGGGCAAGATTGTTATGTGCAGAAAGGTGATCCACTAGAGCGGCTTACCATATTTTGTCAGACCGCTACAAAAAAATAACTGACGTAATCTACGAGACTACGGCGTCATCGTTTGTTGAAAAATATTATCAAGGAAGATACAAACCATTAAAATGCGTTCTAAGCAAAGAAAGCGAAATGTATTATGTAATTGTAAATGTATTAGTATTTACTGAGTTCGGTAGGCTGTGCCGCTGTTGCATTAAAAAATTAAAGCATTTAAGGGAAGTGGGCCTGTACATGGTACCGAATTCGTGTACATGCACGAAAACTTTCACTTTCGCGCACTCTCAAACACATTTTTGTTTCGGTTTATGACGTTTTTGCCAGAAGATTTGTACACACGGGCGTGAAAACCGTTTGTGCGCGCAACATTCGGTTCGGGAGTTATGGCTATTACAAAATTCCAAAATGTTTAAAAGCGTTCAGGTGTACTAAAAGTCTCATTATGGACCGATCTCCCTCAAATTTTGCACGTAAATGCACATAACCACGAAGAACGTTTTTACGCCGATCCACTGTTCTAGCATGTTTTTCAAATTTTAAAATGAATTTCAAAAATTTTAAAATTCATTTTAAAATTTGAAAAAAATCATGGAAGTCTGGATCGGTGTAAAACGATCTTCATGGACGTGCGCATTTACGTGCAAAATTTGAGAGATCGGTCTATAATGGACTTTAGTACACCTGAACGCATTTAAACTTTTTGAATTTTTAATAGCCATAACTCGAACAATGTTACGCGAAAAATTTTCGCCGTCAATTAACCGATGAAGTGTGAGTGTCATCTTATACCCATTCTTTTTTGATACCTGAGAACAAAATGCCCAAAGGAACGCAATTTCGAAAACAATAATAACTGCGAAATGCCAAATGCGTATTGCTTAGTAATGTACAGTAACTACTCATGGCCAGTAATACATGGATAATTAGTTAATGATTTCTGCAACTTACGATTACTAACCATAAGCCAGTACGTTGGCACATATACACATACAATAGCTTAACAACATAACTTTAATTAAAACACAGCGGTACTGACGTAACACTGATAAACTGTTTCTGTGTAAGCAACAAGCCGCTCGCAAGTTAGCCAAGCTCCCTGTACAACAACCGGTTTTTGCGTGCCTTTACTTAATTAAAAGTCTGGTAAGTTGTTGTGATTTTATACGGGTTTGTAGTTGTGGCAATCGATGTTTTAGTATTATATACACCGCCATTATTGTACTATGCGTGTAATACATAATAGCTCGAAAATAACATGGTCAAAATAGGAAGATTACTTGGGTATTCGAAGCGGAACCGCAGCCCGGGCGCTTCATTCGATGGGACTAGTGACAATAGTTAAGCAAACATAGCCTGCGTATTGGCCGGCGTGTATGTGTGTATGTCGACGTTGCAGGAACAACGGAGGGAAAATTGAATGGCAGTTGCGCGCGCCGGCCGAGCGGACCCACATCCACACACAGCGCACTCACAGACTGATCGAATGTAATCCTAGCTGTAACCATCAAATCAAGGACGTTTACCCCGGCTGCCCCACCCGTTTTTCCCTTTCGCTGTTCCTGTATACTTTGGCATATAGAATCGATAACGCAGCGCCAGCACCCCATACTGAAGTGCCCCGGCCAACAACGTAATATGCGTCATTGGGTGGCCGACGCGATCGGCTGTTGAGCAGCCTTTTGTACGTACAACACGTACCGGCAGGGCAGACTGCAGCAAAAAGTTGTATGTGGGCAAATATTGGCATGCATCCCGTTTTTGACACCCTCTTCTTCCTATACCAAAACCCCGCGCACACCAATTCCCTTAATTGCCGCAACCGGAAATGTGGAAAAAATCATTTTAAATAACGATCAATAAGTACAACTTCAGCACAATTGATTATCGGCCGCTTTTAAGCATTTTCCATGTGCCGGGTGAAAACCTCTCGGCACACTCACAATCACAAAAATAATATGTCAAATACGACTGCATACAATGCAGTAAAATAAAAGTGTGGTACACATGGTCGAATCGGAATTATTTGCTTTTTAGGTGAATCTTGTGGGCTAGTTTATCTAACTCTTGCTTCATTATTTGTAGGCGACTCAGATCAGATGAAAACGGTTTTTCCGGGATGTTCTTTTCACGTAGGGTGGTTTTTTTGACCGCATTCGTGTATTTCGGGATTTCCAGTTTGGTCAGTTGCTGGTCAAGCTTTTTGCGGAGTTCGTAACGAATGTATTCGCCAGCTAATCGCTGCGGACGACTTTCCCATTCTTCTACATCTGTTTACAAAACAACTTTTGAATGATGAAACGCGCTACTCGAGTAGAATAAAAGATACCGATGCCAATATCAACATAAGATAATTGGATACCAATATCAATATAAAATATTTGATGCCAATATTAATATAAGATAAATTTCCATTCTTCAACATCTGTTTACAAAACCGCTTTTAAATAACAAATGCACACGCTAGATTAACAGCTACCGATGCCAAGGCCAACATCAATATTAGATAATTTTGCCAAATTTTACAGGAAAGTTTAAGGATAAATTGAGTACATTTGCAGATATTAAAATTATAGTTACCCGATGCATTAGGCGCTTCGAATAAGGGCTCGTCAATCATACCATTCTGGATGACCACCGAAATGCTTGCCGCTGTAAAACTGACAATGATATAAGCGAAATTTAATCAACATGCTATTTGTAGAATCAAGGCCGCAAATAATTAAGATTTTGCTCTTACCGGAAATATTAACAAAATTAATCATGTAATTCGTAGAATTATTAACATGGTTCAGAATAAGAGTATGCTCTTACCGGAAAATGGTAACAAAATTAACCAGCATGCTGTTCGAAGAATTATTAACACGATAATTAAAGAGTGCCTTTACCGGAAATGTTAACGAAATGCGTCAATGCTGCAAAGCTCAGTGATTCCATATCCATATTGCGAATACTGTGCGTTTGTTGGCAGTTTTGGAGGTGCTTAACTTTCTCCAAATGCGAATAATCACAGAATGCTCCATCCAGTCGCGCCTGTTCTTCGAAGTAGCCGGATGTGCATAACGTGTTGCCGACAATCACCGGGAAGTGGATGTTCACACTGGACGCATGAAACAACAAATCCTGCACCATGTTCTGATCGAGAACTGCCGGTCGGAAGACGGCATGACCCAGAATATGCTGTCAGAAGCTTATTTTGAAAACCCAAGTAAAAATTATACTATTGTTTCTTAGCAGTTGCCTGTTCGTAAAAGGACTGCATGGATGCGTTGTACACGTGCTGCGTGATGACAGTCGTGCCGGGTCGGACTCCCACACCGGTGCTGATACCGATGCGTAGAAAACGGATAGCCTTTTTCGCTTTTCCATAATGCAGCAGCTTAAACAGTTCGTTCAGTAAAATGGACATGTTGGAATTTCCCACTCCGTGCTAAACAAAAGTTCGGGGACTGTGTAGCGAACAAGAATTCGTCATTTACACGTTCAAACTACTGTTTTCCTTTAAGTACTATTTGCTTTTTATTCAACCGTAATACAAATTACAGGAACGCGACAACATTCGACAGCTAATTGCTACCGGCTTTTATAGCACGGACTGTCACTGTTTCAAAATACTTTTTCCAAAAGCTGTGGTCAGTGTTCGAAATTCACAACTAGCGCTAGAAGCATATTTTTTTAAATCTTCAAATCAACATAACACAATCAACCTTGCGTATGTACGAGTACTAATTTTCTATTAATCTAATACAAAATAAAAGAGTCTTACACTGGCGATGAGCACCGGTCCAACTTTGTACAACACAAACCGAGCATGCGCTCCACAAAGGTCAGCCACCCCTAATCCCACCGGGGCACTAATCTTCAGTAGTTCCATGCAATAACCGGCAAACTTATACATCCTGGCTGGTGTATCGCCTACGCAGACAAACTGCAGATTTTTACTTGACGTTTCAAGACGGTACCTTGCGCGCGGTGCACCGAAGCATAATTATGCATTTGCGCGGTTTTTACAAATTTGAAAAATAACGAAACCGTAGAAGACAAAACACAGAAAGGTACCTGAACATCATGGAAGAGGCTGGGCGACTGTTCAACCGATGCCAGCATATCCAAGTGGTACAAATATTCCGATTGTCCCGCTTCGCATTGCCGGTGGATGTGCGGGTTGGGCACTTCGAATAGTTCGTCATTCCTAATAATTATAGCAAATGTTTTTATGTCTTTGTGCCACAAGAAAGTCTGAATAATAACATATTGCATTGTTAAAATGGATCGGACGTCTATACAGTAATTCTGCAATTTTATTGTAAACTACATGCACATTCTTACAGGCGCTTCTGGCAGCATAATTTAAGGTGTACTCGTAATACCGTATTGGAGTACAGCTAGCTGTAGTTTATCATCATTTTCTTAATTTACTGTACTTATATTTGGAACTAATTTGATTCTTAATAAAGCGCATGGCCATGATGGCTTCGCGTTATATTGTACAGACTCTTCTATCTCCAGATGGTTTTGTTAATTGTCACAAACACTGAAACACAAGTCATGGTAATTTCCTTTTGGTAAACAACTGTATACAGTATAGCGCATAATTAAAGACACACATATCTTTATATAAGATACGATAGTCGGACATTTGTATTGTGTAAGCAGTCGTCTAACATTAATATTTCACTTATACACTAATATAATGTTATTATTAATAGAAGTAGTAAAGCATAGCCGGAGATTAGCATGTACTCAAGTATAGTGGCATGAACTAACTGGTTACCTGGTGGATTTGGTGGAAATTTCGTTGTCATCCTCGTTTGTGTGTTCTCGTCGAAGAACGCTGGTCTCATGTTGATTCTGCAGTATTTTTGAGTAAATAACAGCATGCCGCAATGTTGATAAATTGTCTACAGTCTCTTTCATTTCTCCAGGTAAATTCTGAGTGTACTGGCAATAATCTTCAATCTGCTTGCGAAATTTATCAATGCTCTCGAGCGCATCCACCGCCAGCTGCGCTAATTCGCTCCAGTCCTCATCCTCATCAACAAATTCAACTTTTTTCGGTCTAACCGGAACCTTATCGCTTTTTTCTTCCTGTCGATTGCCAACACTTTTGCGCACTTTTAGCATTTTCTTACCAAGTTGGGTATTATGTACTCGTAGAAGCAGTTTTCTGCCAAAGTTTAAAATTAGGAGGCAGGACTAAAGTCTTAGGAAAAGATTTTAGCTACTTTATAATAAGTAAGTACTCCTTACGCTTGTCGTCCGTCATTATCTGTGCTCGTATGAGTACATTGCTGAGCAACATTTTGTTAAATACTCGTACATACTTTTTGGTGTAATGTAATATATTAAAATTAATAATTCATTAATAATAGATAGAAGTGATACAGCATTCAGTATGCGGTGTTACAGTAGATAAAAAAAATAAAATTGCGTCATGTAAAAGTTTATACATGTAGGGACTCGTTTTTAAAACGTTTGTCCATATTGAGTAATTGATTTAGCGCTCGCGAGCAGGAGCAACGAACAAAAATTGTGACGGCCAAGGTCACATGTACGAACCCGGTGTGGTTTGAGCGCTAAGTGTTGTAATTGTAAACAAACTGTGCGCGTAGTTTACTCCATCAGTTTGCGATTACCTAAGTCAGTTGCTTGATCATATGGCTTCTGAATTCCTCTAAAATTTCCAAACAGTTTTCCGTCAAATCATCGAATAAAACTTTGTTATTATACATACTGGTAGTGAAAATTAGCGGAATGTCACAAAATGCTACCCTTGGTCTAAAGAACGTATCAATTAGTAGATACTGAAAGAATACAGTCGCTGCACGTGTGCTCGGGAAAAGTACTACTCGTATATAGTACAGAATTAAACTAGAGCTACCACAGTACCCGAGAATTACAGGCAATATAAAATATGGGCCAACAAGAACTGATGTATTACATGTTACAGTTTGCATTATAACTTACCGCAATTTGTAGTATAGCCGAATTCGGCAATATACTCTGCGGGTATGCGTATCATGACTCAATTTGCATATATGCATTTCGGTTGCGCCGACAGTGCTCTGGTACAAATTAAAAAACGCCTCCACCTAGTTGTTAAAAATGTATCAAAGGTTATTGTTTGTCCATCAAAAACCTATTTGTGAGCATGGCGGAATGATAATGAGAATTTGCTTTATAACCAATAATTTTATACAACACGGCCACTTGGCCGCTGCATATCAGGATCGAGAATGGTTTCGAAATATCTTATGCGCTCCCATTGAGCCGGTTTATTAGGCAAATTATGCGATGTATTTATGTGAGCGGTAGGCTTTAAGAAACGGTCAAGTATTGCGCCAGACGGTACATATTTATTCCGTTATTCCAATTTATCAGGTGTATGATAAATTATTGTCCACTTAATTGGCCGACTCCATGCACTGACAGTGCACGACAACCTGTTGCTTATTGCCGCATCATTCCCGCGCCTGCGGATGCTGGGACTATTTTTGCTATCCGATCCGCACGGTACAACCGGCGACCAGTTCCTACCGTGACAGTTCCACTGGTTCCGTTAAATGATGCTACTGTGTGCGCGGTTTAAAATCCAAGTTCATTAGCAGTTTGTATACAGTAATAATCTTATACTGTGAATAAAATACAAACGTGATGCGGTGTTTGTCTATTACACACTGGACTGGCTTTGTTACATTTATGGTCAGTCGCAGGTAACGTTCAGGCAAGTCTTGGGATGTTCGTGATCAAGTGATTATTTTAAGAAATTGCGCAGATGATGGTTGACAATGGGTGATCATGCATGATGCAGCAGCTGATGATTTTTAGTATGTTGATATCGGACAAAAATCGTCCGGATCTTTTGGGAGATAAATTCATCCAGGTTTCGGACTTCTGTTCGGCTGTGATTTATGCAAGCACGCATAAGTTATTTTTCTTAGACATATGTACTTGAGCTTATCAAAAACTTTTGGTATAATTTCTTAAGTTGTGTTTATCTTTAAGCGGAAACCGTTTATCTTTAAGCGGAAACCGTTTATCTTTAAGCGGAAACCTTTAAGCGGAAACCATAACCATAGTTCACATAACATTACTATGTTGGATGTCGGTTTGATGTTTCCGGAAGAGCGCGTTTTGTTATAAACTATTCCTTTTAACGTTTTTGTGTAAATGGACCCTGTAAAAATGCCGAAAAGCGCATGCTGTGGAGAAGCGTGGCCATTTTTTTACTCGTGCATTTCGTCATTTCGAAAGCGATGGAGTGTATGTGCCGGCAACGTTCAAACAGAAATTCATCCAGAATCAGAACCATGCCGGCCTTGTTACCGCAATCGCAGGCATAGCAAGCTTAAGCGATTTACCTGGTGGAAATCGGTTTGCTACCATTATTTAGCAGATGTTGTTATTACCCGAATTTATTTGTTACTTACGTGCCAATGGTTATTGCTGTCATGGATAATGCCTGTGATGGATGCTGCCGTGTTCACTTCCGATCCGCGCTACCGACTCTGGCCCAATCCCACCAGGATACCTTACCAAATAGAGATTAACAATATAAGTAAGCCTGATGTGTTATGGCGAACCAAATTAATTAAAGTAAACACCTTCATGTATTAACAGCCTACAGCATGTGTAAAAATCTAACAGAATATAAGATCCACACTTCACAAATTGTAATCAACACTGTGTAGTATAGTCTTTCAAAATTTTACTCGTTTTCTTTGTAGATTCACAGGACTTCAACTCACTTATGGCTGCCATGGCGCAGATATCTTCGGATACAGCCCAATGCATCCAGTTTATTCCTTATGACGCCAATATTGACAGGGGCGCCGATTTTGTACTGTTTCGTAACCGGCTTACCACAGGGTGAGAACTTTACAGAATTATACCGGAATTTTCGAATTCGGATATTATTCAGCATGGGCTCATGTTTTACCGTAGATACATACACGGTGCATGTGTTTACCGGTACACAAGTTAATATTAGTCACAACAAACATAATTTTCTGTGCCCCTGTAATTTTTAAACGCATTAACACATTCTCATAAGCGCATCGAAGTGTTAACGGCGTCATTAATATGCTTGTCATAGAATAATTGATATTTGCTACACATTTCCTGGATTGGTTACCAACAACGGATTCGGCCAAGTAGCAGTCGTATTTGGCTCCAACAGTTGGCCCGGTAATAATGCAACGGGTGCCAGTATTCCCGGGATTGGCAGCGGCACCACGATCGGGCAGCCCAACTTACCAGGCGCTTGTTTAGATAGGTACAGTAAGAAAATCATTACTATGGACAAATACTATAGAAAATCATTACTATCATTACTATAGCAAATCGCTATCATTACTATCAGTATTATTAAAACTCATATAAATACTACTGTGTAGAGAAATTCAACCCAAAGTAACAGTAATGTAACGCGAGTTCCATTGAGGCCCGGCAAATAATCCGTTCCATTTATTTAGCCAGCGTGACACGATGCGCGTACTGATGAATATTCTGGGTATTCGTAACGAGCACAACCGCAACGATCGCAGCTCGTACCTGGCCTTTCAGTCCGCCGATCCCAATACACTGGTAACGTCCACTCTACAAAAGTACAACATCTTTACGCCGTACGCCAATAATTCCGTGGCCACAATCGCCAGCACCTTCGATTATAATTCGGTGACCTTAGTCACCGGACAGCAGTATGCTGCATCGCCCAATGCACCGGTCTTTGTTCCGCTGGGAACGAATATCATTGGGCAGCTGCCCCGGCTCAGCCGCACCGATTGCTTGCTGATGAATTTACTGTACAGCTGCAGTTCGCCATGCCCAGACCGTAAGCAATCTTCCTTGAACCTTACACTGAAGTGGGTTATTTTATTTAATCAAAATTTCTTCGCAGCATATACGTCTTCCGGCACGGTAATTTTTGGAACTCCTCGGACCTTTCTTAAACATGTATACTGTCCGCCGTTGACAGCGTCCAGCTTTCTGACAACTCCACTGGTGATTGGCGATGTAACTGTAAGTAAAGGAAATCGGATATTGCCTGGATTAAATAAATTACGTTTGCTTTTATTTTGGTCAAGAACTTTGTACAATTTTATACATGCAGATAACCAATGCCCCGGGTGTGGCATTTCGCTACACAATAAGTCCTCAAGCGGGTTACCTATCCGTGATCAGTACGACGAAGTCATTTCCGGGCCGCCCAGATTTGCCGGCTGGACGGATTGTGCTCACACAGATCCCCAGCAAAGGTTTTGTCAATGGACAATTTACCGTGACCGCTATTTCGACCAGCGGGGGCTTGCAAGGCACCACTACCGTCACGTTGACGGTCAACTGTGTGCCGAATTTTGTTTCGTCCTATGGAGGAAGACCCACGTAACTACCAGATGCACTCGTCTTGATCAGCAGTCTTTGGATACAAGACAAATTTAATTTTTCTGTAGATTCACACAGCCGTCAAACATTGGACAACCCACCACATTCGCCACGCCCAACCAGCCACCGGACGTATTTTCCATTACTATTGGTTAGTAAAAATTATTGCATTAAGTTATTTGCTGGAAGCCGCGCGTGGTTGTCGAAAATAATTTAATAATGGTTAAAATTTAAAATAGGTATTTAGACAACAATGCAAAACAATATTTAAAAAACAGTGGACAATGTAGCTTATTTTCTTTTCTACAGCCGTATTCCATCGCTAAGTTATGGTCATGGGTTTTATTTTGATGTATTTATATAAATTTATATGTACATATATTAATTTACACTTGAAGTAATTAATTTCGTCAATATATTAGGTTCCAATGAATCTCCGGGTATATATGTCAACTGTTACAACGAAGACCTTCCAAGTAACGCCGCAGTTTATCTTCCCAGCTGTGTTGGCTTCGTACAGGTACAAAGCCACTACAAACCCTTCCTTCTTAAAAAATCGCTTAGGTTGTAATACCGTTGTATCACAGGTTCCCTAATAAAAGCAGATTACCATTATACACTATCCCGTATGTACGGCAACGCACATTTTCGTCTTGTAACAAACAATTTTTCTATACTGTGGTAGGCAGCCGATCCAGAAGGCGGACGAGTGTCATACTATGTGACGTCACCCTTCCCTGATGCCAACTTTAACCGCGATTATTCCGTAACACAGGACGGCGTCATTTGTTTCGGCGACAACAACGGTCTTCTTCCCGGAAATCCTCCCGATATTTTCCCCTACGCAAGCCCCATTACGAGGACCGAGGACATCTACGTTGCGGCTGTTGACCCCATCGGTGGAATAAGTGTTATTCACTACAGGATATTTATTCAGGTACTGGACGGTTTTTACTGTATTTTCGCATTTTTACGTACATAATTAGACTACTGTCCGTAATGATTAAACTTTCTTAGCATTCATTCATTCTTTTTTATCAAAACTTGTACAAGCAATGCCATTCACACTAGACTTCAAAATATTATTTCGTATGTACATATTGCCGTTAACAAGGTCAACGGTGCTAATTTCTGTGCGTAAAATAAAAATTCAGTTTCCTCTTTTTTTGCAGTGCGCTCCTATTGGTTAGTCCAGCGGATGCACGGATCAAGAAACAACACTCTACCAAAATCTTAAGCCACCTGAAAATTTCTGTAACTAGTAACGTACCTAGCTAATTTCTTCAGTGAACCCGCTCCAATAAGCAAATCGGTTTTGTTTTTGTATCAAAGTGGAAAACGCCATTGCGTACAGCATTTTATAAACCATTTTTAATGTACCCAGCGCCCATACCTCAGTAATTCGCCTATTCCACTTATACAGAGTACATCGGTATGCAAGAAAAAAATTTACGCTGACTAGATTGTTTACTCAAACACCGTACAGTTAAACTAGCAAATATCGATGCACAACGTTAAGCAGCGCAGTACATTATGCAACGACGCGATGACCTTTACTCCTCTTCCTCGGCCACTTCCTCTTCGGCCTGATGGGAAGAGTAGCGGCTGCTGCCATAATTATCCTCATCGTGGGATGCTCCCCCGCCACCGTAGGTGTTCTCGGCGGGCTCCTCCTCCAGATCCTCGGCGTAGGAGTGACGTTGGCGCTCTTCACCCTTCTCCTTAATCCAGGTCTCGCGCTTCTTGGCCAGTGGTTTATTGAGTTCCGGTTTATCGTCTTTCTTGTTGGAGGTGTCAAAAAGGCCGCGCTTATCACCGAATGTCCGTCGGTCCACCTGGCGTTCGTGCTTGCTGACGATGCGGACTTTGGGCGGGAAACGTGAGCTGGCTTGTTCCGCATCCAGACCGGCGGCTTCGTACTTCTTCTTGTTAATTTGACGCTGACGTTCGTTCAGTTCACGCAACTGCATAATGTAATTAACATATGGTCAGTACTTCTGTAAACAATATTTGTATGCCCGAAACATTAAAATTAATGTTAACAAGTTAAGAAAGAAAGTGAGGGAGACCTAAAGTAATGCTCAAAAAGTACTGCAACCAAAAAATGCTTAGTGCATTCGTGCAGTTATTATTGCAAAGATTCGCTACTGCAGTATTTCCGGATACAAGAAACTCTTTTGTATAAAAAAGACGTTTTGTGAGCCTCTCGATTAAGGAATATAGGAGTGATCTTTGGATAATAGAACCACGTCATATAAAATTTTATTTACAGACTTCACTGTGCTACTTACAAGTTGCAAATAATCAATATTATGTACTCGTGAGATCAGCTGTGTTAGCATGAGTTAAATTGTCAACGTCCAGATTTTATTAACAGGTTAGCGTACAGTACAGTTACTACACTACAGTATTAGCGTACAGTTTGCATCGTAAGTCGTATACTGCACTGCATATACTGCATTGCCCATACGTACGTCATATTCTTGACGCTTAGCGCGTTCTTCCAGATCGTATTTAGCGGTCTCCACTTGAATGATGAGTTTCCACAGCTCTTCCGCCTTCGCCTTCAAGCCGGTGTTATCCAGACCTTCCACGGACAGTGGTTTAATGCGGTCACTGATGGTCTTGCGTTTCAGAGCTTCCAGTTCGTTGGAGTTCAGGCCCATCTCGGTCTTCGCTTTGGAGATGTTCATGAACTGTTTAACAGTTTCCGTTGCATTTCCATGACCCTTTGAGCACCTCACGGACATTTTACTTATTTTACCTTGTCAATGGTGCTTTCGCCCTTCTTTTCCTTATCGATGACGAAGTTGCGCCCGCCCGACATGGCAGCTGCCGCGGCGGCTTTCTTGCGTTCGGCTTCTTCTTGCTTGCGACGTTTATCCTCTTCCGCCTTTTGCTTGCGATCTTCCTGTGAGGCAGTAATTTTAGATTATGTGGCTATGATTTTGTTACAAAGTTAGTCTCCCATTTGGACATGTTATTCATACCTGCACTCGGAACATAAAAACTACCGTAAAAGTGTGCAAAAAGCCTAATGAGACGTAGTTGATTTCAACTTGAACTTGCATATCACAAGCAGTAAATGCATACCTCTTCACGCTTGCGCTGTTCTTCCAGTTGTTTCTTTTGCTGTTCCAAAGCTCGCTCTTCTTCCTCACGCTGTTTTTGCCGCTGGGCCTACAAATGCGCATAAACCATGGCCAATCTGCATCATGACCTTTGCGCGATTCGGCGACATGCATTAACGTATTATTACTACATGGTTACACTGCACGATAATATTTCAACTTTACATGTAAGGATTAAAATAAATATTGATTTCTATATGGTTTTACCTGTTTTTCCTTCAGACGCCTTAGCTCTTCATCTTCCTTTTCACGCTGAATGCGGCGTTGTTCTTCAATTTCCCGCAGGCGTGCCGACTCTTCATCTTCATGCTTTCGAGCCTTGGCTTCCATCAGCAACTGAGCCTCCGTTTTCTGTTCTTTTGGCTCTTCCTTCCTGCACAAATGTGCCACATTAGCGCACGGTGCTATCTGTGCACACATCATTATGTATGTAAAATTGTAAACGTGCGAAGCCGATGATGGACGATATATCACTAATTACCAGTACAAAGAAACTGTCCGTACAACATTAGTAATACTACAGACTCAAAAGGTCCCAAAAGTTGTAATTTCAAATGCAAGCTGAATTCGCTATATAGCCAGCCAAACACTCAATCATATCTCTAAATAAGTAGTTTCCTAAAATGGCACATGTTGCTGTTAGAATTACTGTATACCGGTACCGTACTACGTACAGCATGCATAATACGCACCTGGCTTTAACCTTTTCCTCATCCCTGCAGACAAAACATGAATGATAATAATATACAACTGCACATTTCATTATCAGATTAAATTAGTTTTCTCTGAATGAAAAACAAAAAGCAAATTAAGGCGACCGCGATGACCTTTGCCACAAGGTAACTACATAAGCGGATAACCGCTAACTGCAAAGCGGTAAAGAGCACTATTAATTTAGTTCTTTAACGTTAAACCAGCAAACATTAAGCTGGTTTGGAGAAAAGACAAACTTGTGTAGTAAGTCCGGCACTTACTCCGCATCTCTGGAAAAGAAAAAAAGTACTGGTTAGAAATTCGTGACTGAAAAGTCTAATCTAGAATCATATAAACGCATGTCGTAGTTGGCTATGTGAAATCGTATTAATACAGTAATAATCATTTAACCGTGTACTCAAAGATCGATGCAGCTAACATGCAACGTACTCGTCCATGATTTGCAAATACCGGTAAGTTTCGATTAGGTTACACTTTTAACGAAAGTTTAGGTACTGTAACTGTAATTTCTTCTGAACGACGGTTTACAGTATAAACATAAGGATGAAATTTCGTCAGCCGATGAAAAAATTCCCCTTGTCGACGATGGAAAAATGTTTATATAGCGCGTTAAAGCGATAACGAGTAACAACTAACACTAAACGATTGCAATTTTGCAAATAACCGTATTAATTAAATTGTAAGACACTTACTCCATCCATCCTCCTTCTTCGTCCGACATTTTGGCAATTACAAGTTAATCAATAAATCTGGCTAGGCTGACCCAAAGCGGCAGCAATTACAGGCGCAATTAATAATGCAGGATCGTTACAGTCAGATGTCAAATGGTGGGGATCTTGTGGAAGGTCAGACAGCGTAAATGCAAAATGCCGAAGTACTAGTGCGACACAGTGCAATTTGATGATGAGAATCCCGTGTGTCCGCTGAAGAAAAAATTCCTAGCGTCGCTATTGCATATTTTGCCGGGTAACAGAATTATGCCGGGGATGCTGCACAGGCCTGTCAAGAAGTGCGCGGTTGGGTGGAAAGTATGCAGTGCAGTCGGATAATATTATTTTCTTGAGTGATGATACATAACACTGTCGGCTTAATGGAGATCTGACTCACTGCAGTGTCTCGACCAAAGACTTCATAAACTGTTTGATGCGTAATCAAACATTTTATGTAATTACGGTAATTTCTTCGAAAACTTTAGTATATTGAGGTGGCATAGTCATAAAATTAGTGGTTATGTAATTATTAAACTGAAATTCTGTTTAATGTGCAATGTACACCTAATGGAATCTAAAGTTGTATATTGGCCGATATTCTCAGTGAATGAATAATAACTACGGTAGCGAACTAAACATAAGTTTCATTCACATTTCTCCAATTTTTATGATCGAATACCCCATCAGTATTTATTAATACAATGGAAGTCTTTTGTAAAAACCCAACAAACTGTAATACATGTATATGATGCTTTTGTGTGCACTTTCGTATTTTGCTTGCGCCAAGTCCGGAAACCTGCGAAAACGGGCGCGATTAAACGTTTGGAAGGAAGATTTTCACAAACTAATTTATGCACCAGACTGTTTTTGCATTTTATTTTAATTATGTTGCATCAGACTTGCCATTCAGTCTGCATGAGTAGTACCTCTGAAGTATGCAAAATCAGTGACGCACAAGCTTGCAACGTTGAATCAAGTGCCACAAATGGAAATCTAGGCTGGTTAGCCACACTATGCACACTGTACAGTACATATTAGTCGTGCAACTGCGTTCAACTGTGTATACGCCTCCAGGGTGATATGTAAGTACCGTACGCGGATGAATTATTTTCTTAGCCATTTTCCTTATCCACCGTAATTATTTTAAGCACCTTCGCATGTCCGAACGGAAACTTGGCTATTTTCAGATTTAAACCGTAATCTTATCCATGCTCCTCATGTTACGTTCTGCGTGCCAGATTTCTGTTTTTCCTAATCCCGGCGTGGATGCGCAAATCAGTGTTGTCAGCGTCACTGTCGCCGGCTCTGCGTTGCAGCCTATGATGATGCGATAAGAGCGCTAACGTTTTATTCTAACTTCCGTGCGTTTCAGATGTAGCGAAAGTTGCGGAGTGTGCCAGTTACAACTTTGTGTATCTGTACAGTTCATTGTACCAAAGCAAACGCTAAGATACAACAGATACCGTAATTAATTTTCTAGACTGCGCACGGCACTATTTAAAGTAAAGCAATCAATTCACATTTAATTCACATCAATGAAAGAAAAATAAAAGCAGTGACCATATTTTGTACAATGTAGAGAATATCCACTCAAGTAAGACAAACTCAATTTAAAAACATCTAACGCGAACTAGTAATACCAGAATAAATCATAAAAACGAACGCAAGACTTTGAGCATACCAATGCAGAAGATCGAAAGCAGGTGAGAAGACGCAGTAAAAACATAAACCGAACTTGTAAACCTACGACGTATTCTAGCGTCAAACAGCTATTTCTGGCTATCGGTGCCCTCCAGCGCCTCGGTCATTCCACGGATATACTGCCCTTCCACTTGTTTAGCTTTTTCCCCCACAGCGGCCATTCGATTAGTATAGCGGTTTAAATGCTCAACGCGAGACTACAAACCAAAAAAATCACACAATGCTAGACAAGGACGGAATATCGAATCTTTAACAACACCAATAATACTAAGAGTCTAAGACTGCAACTAGAATCGAAAGCTTCGAATGATAACGTGTGTATAAAACTCGGTAAAAGTACCTGCTGTTTCTCTGAAATCTTTTCCAGGACTTTTTCCGAGGCGGCCTTATGTAAAGCCACTCTACCCTGCAGCTTCTTGAAGGTGGATGCTTTCGTATTTCGCTTGCGCTGGGCGCCCTTCAGCTGACTGTTCAGTTTGTCCAAGTTGGCTTCGCGTTCCGACAGTTCGCGCATCAGACTCTGTTTCTTTTCCAGTAATTTGCTGAGATCAGGGAGACTTTTCTCGTCTAACTAAAAACATAATACAAATCGTAAAGATTTCAGCACTGAATTAAAAAAAACATCTTCACATCCTTCTACCTCAAAGGAACTTTGCGCTTTTGCCAGTCCCTCCTTTTCAACTTGATAACGTTCGGCTTCTATCTTCAGTGCTCCAAGGGCCTGCTCCAACTTAGCAAATTCAGCGGCTTTTTCATCGTTAGCTTGACGGGTTTCCTCGGAGTGCTTTTGATAAGAAGCCATAATTTGTTCCAGGGTCTTCTTGATCACCGCCATGTATTCCGTCATATCTGTCTGGTCACCGAAATCGGGAATGTTAACTACGCCAACAGCTGGGACCTTTCCGCACAGATCAAGGACAGCCCGTCTCACGGTCTGAATTGATTCCCGCATCTGAACAAAAAACCCCACAATTTAACAAATTGTGCGATAATAATTCATAATTCTTCAAAAAACAACCAAATAACTTTGTGGGCGGTAGAAACGTGGCTTACAAGATGGCATAATGTAGACTTCTTCATCATTTGCTCTTCTATTCGGGCCTGAAGCTGGCTCAACTGCTTCATCAGATCGTTTCTGGCATCCTTCTGGCTCTGTATTTCGTTCTCAATCTCAAGTACTTTGTCCTTCTTTAACGGTTGGGTCTGAACCTGCTTTTCCAGCTGTGCAACTTGGGCTCGCAATTCAGCCAATTCTTTTTCTACGAGCATAAAAATCACGGATGAAATCAAGACTGCAAAGATCCAACAGCGTCTGGATTAACGCAAAACCCTTTCACAAATTCAAATGCTAACAATTATGACAAACAGGGAAGCCATGTAACGTTCAGTACGCGTCTCAATGCGATAAATGCAACTCTGGTAGTTATTGTTAGTATTTTTTTACCTTTAGCCTGCAATGCCGGACCAGCAGCAATAATCTCGCGTTCCGCTTGAGTTGTATTTCGTTGATATTCCTGGAGTTTTGCGGTGTTCTGAGCGCGACTCTGCATCACCGCTTCGTATCGGTTCTTCAGGATTTCCAATGACTGAAAGTAAAATCACTATTTTTGTTACCAATAAAATAAACTAAATTTATTTCGATCACGTACTTCGTAATTATTTATCCGGTCGTTTAACTTTTCCTGCTTCTCATCCAGTTCAGCTTTCAGACCGTCTGCTTTGGCTTTCAAATCTCCAAATTTATCGACTGAAATCAAGAAAATAAAACGATCTGGGGAAATGCACAACTTTATAGTACTGTTTGCATTAGCGAATACGCGATTACCGGTAAATGATCGTCAATTTTATAAACGATGTGCACTACGAGTGTCCAGATCGTAATCCAGAAGCTCGAAAAGGTCGCTTCAGTAAAACATTTGCAGACAGACGCAAATCAGCATGAAATTAAATTAACGCGCCAATTTGGAAAAAATGAAATAAACAAGGGGAATATGAAACCGCTACAAGTACACGGCAAAACATACAAAATACTTACACAATTTCTGATCAAATGCCTGAATCAGATCATCATCGCTGCCATGTTCCGAGTATCCGCTGCAAAAGCGATGATATGCTTCGATCATCAAATCCATTCGCAACTAAAAAGCACCCGGAATAATCTCCGTACACACTTCACTAACGCTTCAAAACATCCAGCCAGACTAACCTTATAAAAGAACGCGTCCGTCGATAGATCATCATCCGCGTCCCCGTCCGGCTGGATTTTGAAAAACCCGGCAAGCCGCGATTTTGACCCGGTGAGATTCAACCACATTAACACGATTTCCCGCATCCAATCGAGAAATCCGCACACCGTCGGCCAGGCGGAGTTGATATTCGGGGAAGTTAAAGTGTTCTTCGTCAATTTCTGATAGTACGGATAGCCTAGCTTTTGGCTCCATTTGGGCACTTCTTCCTCAAGCTTTTTCTCGCCCGGATCGTAGCCTCCAAACAGAACGCCCAGAAGATGGTGGAACACCTTGATAAGCGTGGCCCTATCGATGGGCACCAAATGCCGCACCTGCAGACGATGTTTGGGATTTTTCCAGTCGAAATTGGTCGCTTCCAAAAGCTGCAGCAAAACAATTATTTCACTAATCTATTTTGAGTGGACTGCACAAAAAAGAAAGGCAACCTACAGAACCAACCTACAGTATCTGTATACAAACACAAAAAATCTGCGCAAACAATATTGTATCTAACAACAAAAAAAGAAATCTACCAAGTCCCATTAAAAATACGAAAAAAGGAAATCTACCGACCATTCCATACAATCACATCAGCTAATTACAGTGTTTTATAAAAATCATAAACAAATACTGTTACAGTGTTACCAATACAGTTATAGCAGCGTCAACAAAGTTTTCTACTATGTACCTCAAGCAGCTTTGTCATCGCCTGATACTGCCATTCGTGATTCGCTAGCGGTCGCGGATCCTCCGTTAAGGGCGCCGCAGAATGATGCGATAAATTGGCGAACACACCGATACTCGACGCTCGCACCATAAAGTCACTGCTCTGTATGCTGGCGGACGTGGTACGGGATTCTTCGTGAGATGGCTGTTGTGAGAATTGGCTGTATTGTGATCCTTGCTTGAAGTTGTTAACGCTCGAAGCGTCTGCCTGTGCAAATCTATCAAGAAAAACAGTTTGTACTTCGCGTGTATTGCCAGTCAACAATTATACTGTAATCCCATTCTGGAGTTTCAAGTTGCAATCCCACTCTTAGTAACGTCAGCAAAATCTTGCCATAAAAAAATCCATAAGGATAAAAATGAAACAATAACAGTATGGTATCATCTGCAGCAGTTAATAATTCAAAGCGAACATTAAATGACAAGGGGAAAGTACCTCTCGGCCAGAGGAGTTGACTGAGGTAACATGGAGTCGCGATACGCGCTCATACGGTGAATATCATTGTTGCTGGCAAAAAACGACATATTCTTGTTGAAATCCGATGGTCGGGGGATAAGGGACTGCAGGGAGCTAGCAGGGGCCAAGGGACGCGGATGCGCAGATGGCCGCGGGCGAGCATTACTGCCGTAGCTGAACATTTTTGAAACCCTGGATGGCAGAGGCCCCTAATAACTAGTAAGTAAGGAACGATTGAAATTAAAGCAAACCCATACAAGCAACTAACAAGCAAAACAGTGAAAACACTAAACAGCACTGGAAGCACCGACCAATCTTTAGAGTTCAGATCCTATCATCGGGAAACTAGTTCAAACAACTATCCAGCCAAAACTCAAAGTCTAAAAAAATTTCAAACGTTTCTCGCGTTTCCGTTTACTGCCGTACTGAGATGTGAGGCTGGTGAGAAAAGTAAAAAGGACCATGCGCTGATTTTGGTCCGTACTCAATACTACTCGTGTATGGAGCCGTTATAGGTACAAAAAAATTGCGCGAACGCGTGGCGAGCCGAGCTCCATTCCATCGGTATCGTAACGCAATATGGAGCTGTTCATTTCCATACGAGTACCTTTCGCCTTCTTTTGAAGAGAAAATTTATTTTGACAGATTTTGGTGCAAATCTCTATCCCAAAATCTGCTAATGTTTTTTCCGATTGTTGATATAACAGTCAACTTGATAATTTTACTGTAATTTCACAAATCTAATAATATGCACAGAACTTTATACGTCGCACAAAGTCAAATAACTTTGGTTTACTACCTGCCACCTGGGCCGATTTCCCTAAACCATAAACTTCAAATTCCCGTACGACCGAGACCGAATTATAGAATTTTTATGCTGTGGAAATTGCAATCAAACCATCTAAACGCAAAACAGTACTGTACTCTCAGGTCAGGAAGTCAAAGTAAAACTACTTATTATCGTAGACAACTGCAAAACACGGAACAACGCATAAAAACGCATAGAAAAAGTCGAATGATGTTACAGCATTGCATTCAGCCCATGTCGACACGGAAGCGGGCTTTTAGCTGATTAAGTCGAATTAACATAAAACAGTAACCGTTTAAATCTTGTTGAAGGCGACAATATCAACGGACTGGACAAGATCTTCAAAACCGGTAATCTGTTCTTCCAAATAATCCGTACCAACTTTGTCATCTTCCACAACACAGGTAATCTGCAGTTTCTTAATTCCATAGGCAACTTCCACAAATTTGGCTGAAAAAATAAGAAAAATGCTTTGATTTCTAATGGAAGAAAACAGTCAAAAAACATTGTAAAATTCAAACGTCATGGACGAAACGTATGGACGAAACGAATATCAGCTTGCAGAAAGTAAGTATATTCGGTAACAAAATTATTAATGATCCTGTTTTTACTTACATGTTCCCCAAATCAAACCATCAGTCTGAATGCTTCGAACCTAAAAAAGGAGAATGCACAATAACGTAAGCTGCAGACTATAGTTATCGTTTAAAAAATTTTTAAGCATTAGTAACTCATTACTTTCTAACAACCATTAATGCGAGGAAAAAAGTGAGGAAAAGCGAATCTAACATCGTCTGTTTGCGTTGAAACTGTGAACAGACGCACAGCGCGCCTGCGCAGAGTATTTACTCGTTAGTAGTTACTAGTCACTATCATAGACACTACCCAGTAATCACTACACTGAAGACAGTAAAAAACTTGATCCCTATGTACCGTAAATCTGCGTATGTAGCAGAATCAAAAAAATCAAAAGTGCACTATCTTTGTTGTATTATTTGAATTGTATGGAACATCGGTGAGAACGGCGAACGCCAATAAATGCGACAAGTGTAGCACAGTAAGTACCTTAGTTTCCATTTCCTTAACATCGGTTTCATCGTCCCAAGGCTTAACATCCAGAATGATCATAGATTTGGCGATCAAAGCGGGCTTCTTGGCTTTTTTCGCTTCGTATGCCGCTAGTCGCTCCTCGCGACGCTTCACAGCTTCCGGATCCTCCTATTGAACAAATTTAATATTCATATCATCCAAACGGAAGTTAACAGAACAAACATCCAAGTCCCACAAAAAATAAAAAATATCTCAATAATAATAAATAACTGAATACACGAAGCCGTCGAAGCATTTACAGTTTTACTGTCACAGTCACAGTATCCGAAAATCACAAGTCAGTACTGCCTACTGCGTAAAATCCGAAAATTTTCTGCTGATCAAGGCATCAATCAGATCTGCATCTTCCAGTGCGCAGAATTACACAATAACGATACAAGCAAAACTTCCAAATATTAATATTTAATTTTATAAATTTTTGGTACGGACACAACTTTACAAGGAAATGCGGAACATAATAACACCTATCTGACTGCCAAGTTGCCAACTATCAGTATGATGTGCCATACCTCCTCTTCGTCAGAGCCAAACAGATCAATGTCCTCGTCGTCTTTCTTTTCCGCTGTCTCCTTCTTGACGGCATCACCGGCGGCCTTGTGGGCCGGTGCGGAACTCTGGCAGGTTCCCGAGGCAGGAGCGAGCGACAGGCTGTTCAGTTTGGCTTCTATCTTGCCCAATGCGGAAACGAATTCCTTTGACACTGGAAATACCGGGAATTCGTCATGAGTGTTACAGGGAGAAGCAGCGGAAAGCATAAAATGTAGTGCAGCTTAATCACACGCTACTTACGCTTTTGCACTTCTTGTCGCAGGCTCTTCACTTCAGCGTCCAAGGTAGTCAGTTTATCCATAGCAGCCGGCATGATTGCGATGAAACGGGACCTGCTCAAGTTTTGATAATCAGTGAAGAAAGTAAAGTATTTTCAGCGATGAGAGATATTCTCCAAATAACTTCCACTGAAGCGAACTAAGTCTAACTGATTCAAAGAAACCCACAATTCATGAACGAACCACGAGTCCAGTTTCAATAAACTACTCAGTTACTACTGTAACTCGCTCCAATTTTATTGCTAACCAGTGCCGACTACAGATAATATACTTACTGGAAATTAACGAGAAAATAATTTTTCTAACAAAACGGACGTGATCTGAAGAGATCCAACAAAGCAGGAGGAATCCAAAAGCTACGCTGGTGGTCGTTCTTAAAAAAACGAAATATGAACTGAAGGCAAGGCCTGCTATTAGTATTCGGCTACATATTGCAAAACGCCACATCGGCATACAGGTGCTGTACATGGATATCTGTGCCGTGCGCCACGTTTTTGTATGTCCCAGTCCCACCGCAAATTTAATAATGTAAATCTGCAACCGGAAAAAGGATGCCGGCTATGAATGTGGTATAAGCAAGCGGTAGCATTTCTTTCACTGCCACTTCGGTTTGGTACAATACGCATGAAAAAATTTAAAACAGACAAATTTCTACAAGCATACGTAATTTAACCATGAGGCAAAAATTGCCTGGGATCGTAACCATTACCATGAACGCAGAATGGGACTTATTTCAGACTTGAGCAGTGTCCTTATTTATGCTTCGAAGTTCGAACATAAGTTCGAATACAGACGTACCCAAACTATATATGAAAATCAACAATCTGCAAGTACTTCCTAAGCTACTACCAGTAGTTACTATGCATAATTAAGTTATGTAAGTACTCACAAAAGTAATCAGTTTGATAGAAAACCAGCCTTTGGAAAATGTTTGATTGTCCAACGCAACCAGGAATAGCTTCAGAAAGAAAACAAAAAATTTAAAAAAACGCCGCCAGGAATGACATTTCCAGATTTCGATCAGGTGTAAGTTCTTGACTGCGAACTGCTTCCCCGAAGTACACGTCCAATCTTGCTGCGTTCCTCGAAAAGGCTTCTTACCATAACCACCTATAAAATCCAATAATTTCAAAAGGCTGTTTCGCTACTAACAAGTTAAAGTACTTTGAACTGCGTGCAAACAAAAGAAAACGATTATCATCCAAAAAAGCAAGCGACAAATTTTAGGTACGTCAACTCTCCGCAGAACATTACCTGGACAACGCCGACCAGAATCATCACAACTACAAAGAAGACAACTTAAGCACTTCGTGATTATTATTTACAATGAAAAAATCTAAAGGAAAACATTTTTACGTTACTTCTGCGCCCAGTGTCTTATACCTGTTTGACATCCGGAATAAAAGTTAACTCTTTCGAAATTCGATTCCAGAACCATCCTATCCACGGCCTCCAAATGCTTTACCGTCCCTTGTGTCTTCACCACCTTTTCCAAATTGAGATGCACTCGCCCCAGGCCTTGTTGCAGATCCTCCATCTTGACGCCCATCGTATCCACTTGACCCTGACCCAACTCGTGAAACTGCGCTACATGTGTCTCTTGCTTGTCTTCGAATACTTCGAAAAATACTAGTTTGTGTTGAAACATGGAAAAGGAGTTATCAAAGCAAATCTGGTATTCGCCGGGCGCTCGACCATCTAAGCGGTGAAGATTGTCGCTCTTCCGCTGCTCCTGGACAATCATGGCGCCATTCGGATCGCGAATGGCAAAATTAATATCCAATTCTCCACCGCTAATCACCTGCAAGATAATACAATACTTAGCTAAGACGAGAATCAATACTTCTACAGCAGCTCCTGATGTAGTTTTAAATTTCAGAAACAAAGTCGAAGACAAACAGAGAAAGTGGTGGATAGCGGTCAAGCAGAAACAATCCCACTCAAAGAATCAAATTAAATACTTCTTTTACACTACTGTACAAAAAACAAGAATGCAAATCGTATATCTAGAGATTTCATAAAACAAATACAACTGATATTGTAGCGCAAATTAGTAAAGTGCATCAAAACTTCACAGAAGCAATATTTCAAAAATATTAATTTACAATTAACGTATTTAGTTTTCTACAAGCCACAAAGCGTTCGACATACTACCCAGATTCATACCATCCACCATAATTAATATTGATTTAAAACCTTAAATACTTACGTACTTAAAATTAATACGTACTGTACTAAATTTACTGTAAGCTTAGCAACACGCCCGGATTAAGAGCACTGTAATTACAAGTACAGTATGTACAATACTCTACTCTATAAGAAACCGAAAGGATATTAAACGTCCACGAAACCACTACTAACCATAAACACCCACCTGATACTCCACTTCGAAAGGAGAATTTGCAGCCGCTGAAACGAAAAAAATCAATATCATCGATGCTGTAAAGTGTCTTGCAAAATAATTGCATCTTCACTAACCATGTGCTAAACAGTAAACCGGTCACGCGTAGAGTCTTAGACACCTACCTACGTGATAGAAACATTCTATCTTCCCAGCTGGAATCTGCACGGTCAGTGTAGCGATGCTTTGTCCAACAAGCCCCCTCCAATCCAACACAATGATGAAGAACGATAAAACAAGACTCAAGGCTGATACACCGCTCCGTAACGATAATTTCTCCATCACTTTCTTTGAGCTTCAGACTCGGCTGTAAAAGTATACAATGGGAGCTAAAAAACCAGAGTTACCAGAGCACAGAAAATCGGAAAAGACGCGTATACGATTCTGCGGGCCCTGGAGTTACTACGTACGTCGGTATCCACAAATTGCAACCAAGGGGCCGAGAAAGAGACACTAGTCTATGAAATTTTTTGTGCGTAGTTAGCGTAGCTGCGTAGAGCATGCACAGTACCTGTTAATATCACAGAGGAGCGGCAAAGGGTTTGCGGATTGTTAGAGCATCAAGCGCAAAACGAAGTCGTATCAAAACAAAAATCAAGAAATGGAAGAAACGTTTTCGTTGGAGTATTTGAAATATTTTGGTTTCTAGCAGCATAAAAGCATGGAAAACTGAAAATAAATTTGCTATGTGCGCTCGGAGATTTGCTGCTTTGGCAAAAAGCAAACAGCAAAAGTGCAAAACTGCGAAAGTGCGTCACTGCGAAGTTGCGAACGTTTCCGGTTTCCTGACAATAGACACCAGCCTCTGGGTCGCAGTCACTAACATTATTGCTTTTCCACATTTCCAGTTTCCATTTCCACTTTTGGCAGAAGAACAGTATTAGGACATGTAAGTAATCCTGTTTTGATTTTCTGTTGATTTCCCATTGTTGTTTCGTATCTTATTGAGTTTATTATTGTATTCTTAACAATGTAGTAAAAATTAAGTAAATGTTAAAGTCTGCGAGTTGATGACCGCAGCGACTAGCGAGAGATAAGAGTTTTATCTGGATGGTTGCGCGTTTGCCGCTGGGATCGATGAAATGGCCGCGTACGCGAAAGGAGACTTGGTTTTTCGGAGTAGACCCTTTGTTTACACGCTGAAGCCTGAGCTGCTGGACTGTCTTTGTTATCGTTGTCTGAAGCCACTTCCATCAATTCGAGGCAACATAAATGAACAGGATAAGGAGAATCATGCTATCCTTGAAGGTGAACCGGACAGATGGCCGGTTGTCGCAAACAGTAAACGCGCGCACGAGAATACCGAATCAGCTGATGAACACCTTTGCGAAGCCAACCGCGACGTTCCCTGTCCGCACTGCCACATTCCTTTGTACTGTTCCCCGGAATGCCGAGTAAGTTGTTGTCTACAAGGTCATGCAAAAGAAAATATCCCGAAGAATTGTGCGAATGTTCAAGAATAACGTCTCCAGATACTTCGCAATATAAAATTAAAAACAAGTGAAATTTCTGTTAAAAAAATTTTATCGATTGGTGTTGCGCTATATCAGCCGTTCCCTTCTAATGAAGTACAAGATCACATGGATTATTTTAAACTGTTTTTAGGAATTGGATTGGTTTGGCGAAACTCCGACAGCGACGGATGCTGAAAAGACTGAAGAACCACTTGTTGCACGAACAGGTCGCCATCGTTTGGAATGCTCATACTTGCGGCGCTTACGCAATCGCGAGGAGGCGCGGAAGGCAGCCTGTGACTTCTTTCTCATGTTGGGAGTGGTTCTGAAATTACGAAGTGGGCAGAATACCGATGTGGATGGCGATTGTGATCCCATGCCGGAAAAGCGACGGGTTTTCTCGTCGTTGCTCACACACAGTTAAGTCAGCCAAATTTAAGACTATTAGCGGTGCGTTGGCCCCGCTGTTCCAAAAAATGTGTAAGTTGTATCAGAAATGGCTATTAGAAATCCGTCTTTGACTTTTGTCAAAATCAACTTCTTTTGCTGCGCTCTTTAATATACTTTTTTGACCTTTGTCAAAAATTTGGTGCTGACGAATTGTTAATGTTTATTGCATTTACCACGTCGGTTAATTTCAACAGTTCTTCTGTACATTAATTAAATGAAATGCGTGAAATACATAGTTGGCGGATACGTGTTGGTTTCGTAATTTACATTTTCCTACCTTGTACGTATGCAAAATGAACGTGGTTTTCGTTGTGCAGTGGGAAGATGGATGAAGATCGACTGGAGTGTTTGAAGCGAATTACGAAGCTCTTCGTCGACATCTTTCCACCGGAAGATCTCCCCAGCGACGCAGAATTGCTGGAGATCTTTGGCGCTCTGCAGATCAATTGCTTCGGTATTCGGGATGGTGCATTTACGGGGATTGGGGAAGGTTGGTCGGTGTCTGGTTTTATTTATACGCTGTGTTTGTAGACATTGATGGGCTTGGACTAGGGCTCTACTTGCAACCTTCCATCATTGACCACAGTTGCCAAAGGAATGCCGTATTCTATTTCGATGGGACAACCATTTATATTCAAGCTTTGGAAGACATTCCCGATATTTCTCAAGTAAGGCTCATCGGTACTTTGAAGTATTCCTGGTGTGACCATTTAGTTATGTACTTATAATTTTTTTTCGCTTTCCAGTTTGTGCTATTTTTAAAAACTCGCATATTATACTTTACTGTGTTTGACACAGGAATTTGTATCCCCGTATTTCTTTTAGGTCAGAATTTCGTATACAGAGCTGTTTGCTCCGATTTCCGCGCGACAGTCCCGCTTCAAGAATGGATATCATTTTCGGTGCCAGTGTCAGTTGTGTTCCAATACCAAACAGGTGAACATCCCAACTTTGTGCTATAGTTATTGCTTTTCCATATCAAGTAAAGTACTTTGCAGAATGCTGAACTGTATCCAGTTATGTGCAACATAAACGATTGTACGGCTTCCATTCCATTAGACGATCGGCTGAAGGAACCGTGCCCCCATTGCAGACAGGTAATGTCGGAGGAAGAAGCCGACGATCGGCTGACGTCGGTCCAGCGGATGATTCGCCGCTACTTGGAAGGGCTCGAAGAAATAGACGAACGAATGGAGTTGTTTGGCCGTAGTGCACTAAATCCGGCGGATATTCAATGGTCAGTGGAAGATAATTTGCAAGACTGTCGTGTCATCATTCGGAAATGCGAGAAAGAACTGCACACACGGAATATGCTGCTGGGAATGGCTTATGACCGTGAGGGAAGACTATTACTCAATAGAAAACCAAGAAATTATGAGGATGCATTTCATGCTTTGAAGCGAAGCATTCCAGCATTACGGTAAGCATCGCTGTGCCTGCTGAATTTAACTGAAGTACTAGAGTAGTACCGTATACGGACGTGAATTGTGAAAAATTTCTTCGTCAGTACTTGTATTGTATCACTGGAACTGTAGCCTGTAGGTGTGCGCGAGATATTTAACATACGGTACCGTATTACTTTATGGTTGATTTTTGTTAGGTTTTCAGGATTTTAGTAAGAACCATGTGTTTTGCTCTTTTAATAAAATTAATTTGTTTATTGATCGGATAAACGCTATTCTTTCATTTGCTTGTCTTAATATGACTGTGTAGTGCTGACCGCCACTGTTATTTTTATATCCTATGTTACTTCCAGTGGCGTATTTCTCGAATCTCGAATATACTCGTACTTACTATTTGTTGCATTTCAACAGGAATTATTTTGGTGAAAAGCGCAGCGATCCCAGAGTGGCGGTGCAGTTGATGCTGGTGGGGATGTTGGCATTCCTTCTGGGAAGTAAATGGAAAACCGATTGCATCCTGTTTTTGGACGAAGCCAGGCATATGCTGCTGGAATGCGACGGCAGTGGAGAAATCGGAAAAAAGAGCCTCCTGGCCGAGGTGTGTAGCCTACTATTGAAAACTGCAGAATCTGATGGGATCAGCGATGATACGAGTGAACCTGCTAAAGAAATCCGGAATTTTAAAGTCTTGCATGTTAGTAAAATGCTTAAAAACTGGTCGGCTTGTACGGGTGATGCAGATGAGGTGAAGTTGTTTACCGAGAGAATGGTATTAGTGATGGGTGACTTGGAGCAGATTGCGCATCCGAGGTGGTTTTTGTTGTGATCTGTCCAGTTTAATAGTCCGGTTAGAAACTTGATAATATTTCTGACTGCTGTGTACTCAGTCGCATATATTTCAGTAACACGAAACAAGTTAACACAGTTCAAAAGTGCCACCTGCTACTGGGTAAAGAAGCACATTTCCTTTCAGCCGTAAAATCTGAACACGTTGCGCCGATTCTACTTTTAGTAATTACAAGTTCTTCAGCGTTTTATACATGGTATCCAGTCCCACAGAAATTCCACGCACAGAAAGCCCAAAACTAATTATATAAGAGTAGCCAGTTTAAACTTCTTTGGCAGAGGATTGGGAATAATGTGGATATGCTTCTTAAAAATCAAATGTCCTTTCCGTCCGGCATACTTTTGTTGCACCATCTCGTTGTTCCAATCGGGATCAATTATTTCACTGGTTATCATCATACGACCTCCTTCCTTCGCTCGCAATGTCCCATCCCATTCGACATCCACCTGCAATACAAACAGTCTCAGTGTCACTCACAAAAAATTTTTTTGCTTTATCCGCACACGGATATCAAAGGTTTCCGATTCGTAAATTTGCACTGCAACAAATTTAACAGAATAAGCCAATTTTAGAAATAAATTATGCAACAATGCCCAGTTTTACTATCAAATATTAAAAAACAATCAACTGATTTACAATTTGTGGTTTAAAAACTGCGTAATGGAAGCCACAACCGTACAACAAATTGATCAGACGTCAGTAAAAGCAGCTGCATTAAACTGAAAACAATTAACAGTAAATGCAACCAAAATACGGAGGATGTTTGCTGAAGTCTTCTCTCGCTTACATATTGTCCCGGATGGTACATGAGATCGTATTGGCGGCACAACAGCTGCCCAGGCACCACCATGTCCCCGTCGAAGGCATGCAGTCCACGGTCAAAAATACCCCAAACACGCCATTTTCGTTTTTTGTCGATTCTCACTTCCGTCTGCGCTAAGGCTGTCACTAACTGTGTATTAACATCTGCTGTTCGGGTTTTCAAGCTTGGCCGCACGGTACTATCACGCTTCTTCGTGAAGCATCGGTGCGGCACGATCACTTGGCAGGCAATTACATTGGGGTCCAAAGTACGCCGTAGATGCTGACATAAATTCACCGATAGCCTGTTCATTTTCCAGATCAGGCTCCTATCGTGGAAAACAACTGAAAGACCAGAAAAGGGAACATCAATTCGAGTACTACAGCACGTTGCACAAAGAAAGCCAACAGCAACGAACACTCCAAACCCGTTAGTTAGGCGCGAGAATGCAAAGAACACAATTTTTTTCGTTAAATCTTCAAGGTCTTAAGCTTTCATGATTTACGTCTTACACTTCCCAGTTTGCTTTTACGGCTTTACCTTTCGGGTTCTGGATGTTAGCAGTTCGAGGTACAAACAAAATCACAAACGATAAACTGCAGCCAATCGCCCACGGTAATCAGCTGTGCTTCGCTTACAATCGAGGAATATCTCCCGTTACTAGAACAGTAGTTTAAAAATCACGAAAATGGCACAAAAAACATTTTTTGCAACTTCTAAACAATCTAAGGAAAATAAAATCGTTTTACTTTTTACTTTTAACTTCCCAAATAGTCGCAAAATTAAACCTTATCTAGGATTAGGCTTATCATCCGCGTATGGTAAGAACCTTATGGCTCAGAGTTTTTAACGTAACAAAATAACGGTGCGGGCGCCGCTGCGACCAAATTTATACGTTTACAGTACATGAAATGGCAGACCGAAAACTCTTTGACAAATTTCCAAGTTTAGTTTGTATTCTGTTTGTTTGCGAATTTTAACACAATTTTATTGTTTTTTAGACTTTTATTAGTAGTGGGACGATCGTGTTTTTCGATTATGTGGGGATTCTCAGCTCGGAGCGCAAACTAATATAATTTATAAAAATGTCCATAAGATCTGGTCTATCCAGACTGCTAAGCGTTCGGCACCGACTGCGCGAATTCTATTGCAGTACCAACACCTTCGAACCGTATTTGAATTTATCCATGCGCTTTCCTCTGACCTGTGGTGTCTGTCGCAGTTACAGCCAGAACGCTTACCAGAATCAGGACGATGTTGATTTTATTGCGGAAGAGCTGGAATTCGACAGCACGGACCTCGCCGTCCCTAACGCTGCTCCATCTCCTGCTCGCACTGAGCAGTTCTCTTCTGCAGTCAGGTCTGAACATGGCAAGTTCTCTACCGCGGTCAGCACGGAACACGTCCCTTCTCCCTCCGCGATGTGGGATCGTCGGGTTCCCCTGTCTGTGGGTATGCCTTTGCAAACCACGCATTTTTCGCTCAAACTGCAGTCTGCAGCCAGCGATAACGAGAATTTATTTTCTGCAGACGAATACAAATCTCTTACGCTGCGACCAACGGAGCAGGTTGTAAATCCGCGATATCTGAGAGTATCCATAATCGGCTCCCCCAACGCTGGCAAATCTACTTTAACTAATCAGATTCTTGGCTGGAGGGTGAGTGTATATTGCGCGGTAATTTTCTGTGTTATTTTGTTGTCAGTTATGAGAAGCAAACACTAAATTTGTTACTTTGTTGCAGTCTCGGCTTGTTCGGTGCATTCAGACCAATCTCTTTTCCTCCTTGTTTTACAAGATTTTATTTTCAAATTCAATAGTATTTTCAGTATCAGTATGATAACCGGCCATAACAGAAAATTATTGTTGTAAATGTATTAGAAATTTTTTTAAAAAATAATTTTTAAAAATTAAAATTTAATTTAGAAAATTGAGAATTTAGAAAATTTAGAATAGAAATTTTCAGTTTAAAAAATTTTTCCTAGCCAAGCGAAGACAGGAAAAATTCTCCATGATGTTTTTCGTTTTCAAATGACGAAATCTTTAAATACTGTACAAGTACTCCTTTTTTGTATAGGTGAGTTCTGTTTCGGCCAAAGTCCATACAACCCGCCGCAACACATTAGCCATCATGACGGAGGAAAACGTCCAGCTCGTCCTCGTCGACACACCCGGCATCGTCAATCCGAAGCACGCTAAGAAGCACCACTTAGAGCGCTCCTTAGTGACGGATCCCGGCGCCAGCTTACTGGCGGTGGATGTGGTGGCCGTGATCGTCGACGCGTCCCAACCGTATTCCGAGCGCACCTTGGATCCCCTCATCCTCCACATGTTGTACTCCAATCCCTACCTGGAGTGTATCCTCATCCTGAATAAAGTCGACCGAATAAAGAAAAAGTCTAAGCTGCTGGAAATGGCCAACGTGTTGACGTGTGGCGTGGTGGATTCAGTCAAAGTGCAGCGGCATGAACCGGTGGAGTCGTATTTGTCACGGGCGCAGAAAGGGCAGCTGAAATTGGAGCGTGCCACGGGATTGCGCCCGGCCGCCGCCGATCCGGAAGCCACGTTCTGGGATGATGTGGAGGCGTTCGGCAAGATGGAGTGGTTTGAGGATAAACGGCGATTTGTCGAGGAACGGTGTGGCTGGCCGAAATTCAAGGAGGTGTTCATGATATCCGCGCTGGATGGAGATGGTATTGAAGAATTAAAGGTATAAAAAGTGTGCTGTTACTGGTTAACAGTGCCGATCGACGGATATTATTTTTGTAGAGTTATCTGATGAAGACCGCGCATGCAGCGGAGTGGCGATTCAATCCGGAGCTTGTGTCGAACCAGTCGCCGAGAGAAATTGTTCTTATGGCGGTCAGAGAGAAGCTGCTGGAGCATTTGCGCTTCCAGCTCCCGTACCAGGTGGAACTGTTTTTGAAGGAATGGCAGGTGGATGATAGGGGCACATTACGACTTTCTGTGCAAGTGAAGTGCCCGAAAAAGTCCGATATGGTGAGTTTGGTGATCACCGATATGGTGATCACCTGGTAAAACTGTTTAAGTTTTGCTCATATCAATTAGCATTACAGTTCAGCGTAGCTTTGTCAGATGAAATAATGAACTCGTAGCATTTTTAAATTCTTCTGTTTTACAGAAATATGTGGTTGGAGAAAATGGTCGACGTATTCGCGAAATCGCATACGAAGCCGGTCAAGAAATGATGAACACTTTTCGATGTGAGGTGTTGTTAAGATTGATAGTAACCTTTGATTTGTTTGATTGTTCTTATGAATTCTTCGTGGCAGAGCAGTTGTGACAAAATATTTATGTGAGAATGCACAGGCAGTGCATTAGTTTCGGTTTTGGGGAGTTGTTTGGCACTTTCGTTTTAAAAACGTAAGGTACGTAGATGACACGAGTATGATTGTTATAAATTAAAGTTTTAACGAAATGGAAATCGTGACATGGATTAATACAGTGTTAACGTTGTATTTTGCACAATGACATCGCATTTTATGTGTTTCGGAAATACTAATTTTGGCACCTGCATTTATGAGAAGTTGCATAAGTAATATCATTCTGTTAGACTGCGGCACAAAATAGAATAGACACAAAATCGATAGAACACACAGCGCACGGAACAAATGTACTTATGCATAAAGCGCGTAAACATTCGTTTGTTTCAGTGAAAACAAAGCTCAGCCACTTGAGATTTGCTCAGTTCAACCAACATCCTCTTTTATCTGCGGAAGTATCAGTTTCAGTGTATTGCCTAATCCGTCGTTGTTTAGTTTATTCAACAGCGCAACAAACTGACCCTTGGTCAACTCCAGCCCGCGTAACGCTGACTTGACTTCGGGACTCAAATTGCTCTGCATCAAAGAATCCGTCAGCAAGGTGAACACACTGTTCCGCTCATTCCCGTCATTCCAGTAAAGACTCTGTGAAACCGGGAACAAATTTCCAATAAAATGACCTTGTAAAGGAATGCAGATAGCTGGTCCGGTCAGCTTGGGCATATTGGCGGTTGGCCTTGGATAGTGCGGAATGGGCGTCACCCCGACATCCAGTATTCGCTCTTCGGGTGCTGTTGCCGAGCCGTAGAACATCGCGAACGGGTCCAGAGTGGAAGTGGAGACCGTCGAGGTTGTGGTTTCTTGGGTTACTGGTGTCGTGGTTGTTGTTGCCTGTGTTGAAGACGTTGTTGATTGCAGCGTTGTGGGTGTTGATTCCGGCGTTGAAGATATTGTTGAAAGAAGCGTTGTCGACGTTGATGTTGATTCCGGCGTCGTAGTTGTGGTGGGTGTGGTCGCTTCGGTTGCTGTTGAGGTGGTGGAAGTGGATGTCGTCGACTGGGATGTAGACGTAGATGTCGTGGTAGATGTCGTAGTAACCGTACTTTCCGTAGGCAGCGTAAAACCCGGCGGGCAGTTCGGGTTACATTCGGGCGGAAGATTAAGAAAGATGTTGTATTCTGTAGTGCTTTCCAGTGTTGTTGTATAAGCCGACGTTGATGTTGTCGCTGCTGTCGTCGGCGTTGAAGTTACCGCTGTCTCCACTGGTTGACCAACAACTATACCGGAATCGCCGGGTGCTTGTGGTATTTCATCCATGAAGACTAAACGGTCTCGTTCATGGCTGACAGTCGAATCACTGCTGTTCTCACTGATATTGGTCATGTTATATCCGGTTGTGACACTGGCCATCTCATATGCGGCAGAAGCTGTCGGTGACCTTTCGGTCGACGATAGTAGCGCAATTAGCGCTTCCGTCGTTAGATCAATATTCAGACGCAGTTTAACGCGATTGTTATCCAGTTGCAGTGATAACGGCGGGATTGGTTTGTCAATGGGAAAGGAGGCGTTAATGCCCATATCTGTGATATGGACATTCGATTTGCGGAGGCTTTTCGCTTTCCTGTCAAGCACGGTCCGGATAGGTTCGTCGTCAAGACTTATTGTCTTGTCAGTAATGTTCTAGCAAAAACAAACACTTCACAATATCATCACTGAAGACGTCGTAAATTTATAAAAATAGTAAGGAGATCCATCAAGTCGCAAACCTGATTCTCAAGAATAGATGATGTTTGGTTGAGGATCTCCGTACGCGGATGAATATTCCCACAAAGCCCGGAAATAGCTATACAGAGTACGATTATTCCTATCACGTAAATCAACCTAACGCAAGATCTGCTTTTCTGGAAAAACGTTTTTAGAAACGTCAGTATATTGCTGATGACATTATATGACATTTTGGGTCTAGTTAGCACTATTCGCAAACATATAAGGCGTGCGAAATTCGGTACTAACGTAACGTTTCGTACTAATTAAACGATATTAAATTGACGCATTAGGGTATGTTGTAATAATGTCTGACGGCCTTAAGAAGCAAATCAAATTTCAGAATAATAAAAATTTACAAACAGAACGTTGATGTAGAACACTATTATCATCAACGCTGACTTGTGAGCGGAAAATAACTTAATCATTGGAAACCTGTCTAAGCGCGAAGTATGCGTTGCAAAGAAATAAATAACTAACACTAACAGTGTCTTTCGGTATCGCCGCTTGTACACTTTTTGTTGGAGACCGCAATTGCGGCATTGTACAATAATTATCGTAATGCAACATAATCCTTTGTTTTTCGATTACAAGGCGTAAGTAAGTATCCGGAAGATTCAGCATGTTTGCATGTTTTTCGGATATCGTTGTGCAATTTACGCTGCTCAAGTAATTAAGCCGAAAGAGCAAATTGGGTCGACAGTACATAGTGTAGGGTTCAAGTGTGGGATCAATGGGCCTAGACTCCAACTCTGACTCTGACCGCTCAAAGTCTGACTCTGACTCTGAAGGTTTCTTAGGTTTCTTAGGTTTTTTAAGTTATTCTTAGGTTATGCAGTCAGAGTCAGAGTCAGAGTTTGGACAGTCAGAGTCAGATATAGCAAAGTGTCTGTGTGATGCGAATCGTGCAATACAATATGTAAAATTGCATGTGTCTGTACTTGTACTACTTATATACTCCTTATGCTGGTAATTAATAGCGGTGGCTTTTGCAGCAGCTTTCACTTGCATTAACGCTGCATTTTCAAGAAATCCAACTGAAAATGTTACATTTTCGAAGTGTATTTTCCAGAAGACGCAAACCATGCGCGTGGGAATATTTATATCTTTATGCATATGTATACTACATATATATAGATATGTGCGACGCAACAGTGTCCTTACTGCACATAAGTATCGTATTCAGGTGGCCGGCGCGGCGTGTATGGAATACACACAATACTCGTACTAATACAAAAGCATCAACCGATGGCCCGCAGTATCGTCATCATCATTACTTTGTTTGGTATCTATTGAACATTATAATAATATATAAAATTACGAACCGTGTCAGCTATCTGTGCCACTTTTATCGGACATTACATTGGCCCATTGATCATGACTCGTGAGAATTTAGCGAAAAGATGTTCCCGCAAGCAACTTTACGATTTCTCGGTCATCACACCATGCAGAAGGTCGTCTGTCGGTGTTATGCGGAAGAGCAAGCGCAGCTGGCACAATATACGTTAATAAAGTTTTTTCTCCATATTGACCACCGGGACTGTTGCTGTTTGCAAGGTAGATAATTAACTACCTATTCTCGAAAAATGGGAATAATATTATGGCCAGTAATACTTGTCGTTCTGATATCTTATTTTGCACAAGCACAAGACTTCGGTGGCCCTGACTGTAAGTTGCCCGCTTATATACCGCGAAGACAATATTAATTTCTGTTTTACTTTCTTGTTTATTTAAAAACCTTTTACATGTTAAATAATCATTAAGGCGTTTTCGAATTTCCATGTTTCGAAAGATTGTTGCATTTAGGTTTTGAAGAATTTCAAAATGACTAAAAGACATGTGATCTGCCACCGGTTTTTATTGCTTATCCCAAATTGTCTCTAATTTGTAACGATATGTCCGACATATGTTTATATAGGATTAATGAAATTCATGATTGAAAATTAAATGATTGTAGTTAACGAATAATAATTGGCACACGTAAAAGTAAGCTGTGTACAAATTACCATATGACAAACCCAGCGGATTGAAATAATTACTATTAAAATATTTAGGTTTACTGTAAATGATCAGAAGGGTGTTGCCGGTATGTGTAGCAGTTTACAATAAGTGGGACAGGATACAGTATTATAATTATTCAAAAGCACGCGGACTTCCATATAGGGAGTCAGTCGAGGTTTGTTTCAAATCTGCATTATTGCATCGGTGTATACTCTTAAGTCATAGAGCAAATGATAGCACTAGTAAGATTACTTACTATCACAAATGAGAATTACCGGTTGTATGTAGCAACTCATTTTTACGACGATACGTGAACGACTGAATTTTAAGAAAAATAGCTCAAGGTTTTTGAAATCAGATTTACGTTTCTGACAAAGATCTGTACAATATCTGGACAAGCTGAAATTTTACACCTACTGTCGGCATTTTTAAATTCAGTGCTGTAAAGACACAGTCGTACCACCACTTTAAAAGTCTACAGGATCCAGCAGTTCGCTTTGCTGGAAGACATACTGACGTATAATCGAAAAACTGCATATTTGTTGAATTTGCTATTTAGTGGGTGACGCACTGACCGCAGTCTCCCAGGCTCAGTTGGGAAGTGGATTAACCGAGAAAGCACCGTCGAAGAAAAAGGCTACTCCGAAACCAGCCGCCGCCAAGGCACTAAATGCACCAGCACCGGCGCCGGCCGACAACAGGGTCGTCCTAACATCACCCGGCGACAACTCTGGTTTCCGCCGAGCACCCCCTAAGGGCAGTTCGGCAGCGTCCGACACCCTCTTCCCCAGTAATCCCGGCGCCGTAATACCTCGTCCAGTCGCCGACAGTATCCTGACAACGCCCCAGCAAGCTGTACCACAGGGTGCTCCCCCGGGTGGAGGTGCCGGTGGCGGTGCTGCAGCAGGGTCATCATCTGCAGGTACACCACCTGGAGGTGCCGCGGGTGCCGCGGGCGCCGCAGCAGGACCAACTACCAAGCCGCCACCTGCTACTACTTTCGCAGGATACTTGGTTGGATCGCCGTATCCGTTTGTTCTGCCACCGCCGGACATTCCGTACTTCGGCTCCAAATGGAACGGACCTTGGGGGTAAGTCGCAGTGGTAACCTATTGACCGCAATACAACAGATTCGTGGGTAATGGGTGCGGGCTCGAATTCATAACTACGCGTCATCGTATTAATTGCAGACTATGTATTAACTGTAAGGTTTTATTAATTCATACCACGATTCTGATTTCCGATTTCAACATATACTTCAAGTACTTCCTAAAATTTCCCTGAAGTTTGCTTTAAATGAGTGCTTCTACAATACTGCATAGCTATGTGCATAAGACATGGTAACACAGCAAATGGCTTTTCTTGACGCTTTTCAGTTATCCTGTTGGACATTACCAAGCATTTCGCGGGACTGGACAGTACATTACGCATTACAGCTACTATCCTCTTTCCTATTTTGGTTCTCTCATGGCGCCTTTTGCTTACGGCGTTTCCGGCAAGCGGTAATGCAGCTATAGTTTTGTTTACAGTTACAAGGTTGATCTGATGGTTGAAGCAGATTGTGTTATGATATGCGTTATTGTGTAAAATTTCCTGGATTGCTCGTTGTTTATTACTATTGCTGATTTTCAACTAAATGCTGCAGAAATTTCTTATAAAAAACAAATTGTTACAAAATATGCGGCGCAACGCCTTCCCAACAAAAGAACAGAAGCACGGAAAAAGGATATCAGACATGCGCATGCGGAAATACATAAATTACTTCATACTTACGGACATCACACGTCACAAACAACTAACAAAATAATGTTTTTGAAACCAGTAAAACTAAAATCACAGTATCGAGAAATTCATTACCGAGATATTATGTGTTCCATCCATACGCAAAGGGTTTCAGCATTCCCAGTGTCTTGTCACGAAACGTGGTAATCATATGCTTCTCATTCTTCCCTCCAACCATAATGATTCTTCCCGTGGCAAAAATCAGAAAACACATCCCGAATCCTCCCTTATAACCTTCCTGACCGGCCGATTTTTCAGGTAGATGAGTCACCGCTCCGAATGTATCCTGATCCAGATACGTGCTGTCCTGATACTTCTCCGCAAATCCCGATATATCCAAATGCACTCCCAATTCCATCATGGCAGTGAGATTCTTGGCGCGGAAATTGCGTTTGGAGATGTCCGGTGTAAAGCCGCAATTGCGTAGAATCTCCAAGGTGTTGCGCGTGGCGATGAGGGCGTTCTTAATCGTGGCCACACCGGTGATGACCATCTTGCCGTTCTCAAAGACGGCCACCCGCACCTCCGATCGGGGAAAGGTGATAACCGCGTTATGGAACCACGTCGGGTCGAAATTACAACATCGCACTCGGGAGTGCAGATCTTCTAGGGATATCCGACATTTGGCATCATACGTCGCCACAACGGAGACGAAGGCGAATTTAAACGGGTCGGCTGGATTGGCACGGGTGTTGGAGTTGTCAGGGAGTGGTTGCGGTTGTTCCGTGGAGACAGTTGTGTTTTTCGGAGGTACAACAGGAGGTGCTGCAAAATATAACTGGTATAATTATATGAGCAGGTAAAACTTGAAAACAAGTCTCTTATAATTAGTCTCCACCCACCGCTTCGTCACAACCGCAAAAGTAAGATACTCATACAATAGGCAGTACAGAATAATGATACAGACTGTAGAAGTACTCGTTAAGGTTAAACGAAATGCGGCCTTTTCTTTCCTGTTTTGAGTGTTTTTCTACTTCAGTTTAATTTTTTATTATTTTCGGATTAAAGGTTTTTCGTTTTCAGGAACAAATCGTCATATTAAAAGACAGAAGCTAAAACAAAAGGGAAAAAATTTCCGGGAAAGGGGTTTGAACTCGGGACCCACAAAACCCTTTGGCACTAATGTTTGCTTAGCACGAAACGAATGCATTACCACTGATCTACGGGAGCAATATTATCCTATTAACCATTTTGGTATCAGAACATCTTAAAAAGAACAATTGTTTTGGTAAAAAAAATTACAAAGATAACGTACTAAATTTGTACGCATACGCCGTATAGTGCAAAATTATTTGCCGCAAAACTGTATTCCCAATAACAAAATAATTAAGAAACCAATATTACCGACTAACAAAATCGCAGCCGCGCAATATCAACGAAAAAATTATTTTTAACCGTTTTAAGCGTTTTTAGCGTAAGCACTTACGCACAACCCGATTTTTCCCTGCCGGATGATTTTCCTCGATCGTCCTGGTAACGAAGGCCGTCAGCTTATTCAGAGCCGCCTGACTGTTGACGCCCAGGAGGTCTTTATCCAGTCCCTCCAGCGTCACTTCCACATTCTCTGCCGTCAGCTCTTCATCGAGCTGAATGTTGGCGTCCTCCGCTTCCTGCGCTGCCTCCGCTGCTTCATTCTGTTCCGCCGCTTCTTCATCCTCCTTGATAATTCGCTCCAATTCCTCCACCGTCTCCTTGCGGATGTGCATCCCCACTTTCCCGAAGGGACCCCATTTCATCTGAGCGAGCTGTTCGAGGGATGATGAAATCGGGGCAGACGGTCGCGGTAAAGCGCCCATGTTGTGTTGCTCGCGGATGGCTTTAGTTTTAGCGTTGATTAAATTGCACAGCGTCTCCAGGCCGTCTTGCCGCGAGGAGCAAGCGACCAGCTGCTCGATGTAGCGGCTGGTAGTGGGAACGGGGGCATCGCTGGAATCTTCGGCAGCGGCTTCCAAATTGGAAGCGAGTTCTGTAAAGTACAATTTCCCATGAAAAACTGCTGCATTGCTATTAACGTCCTTGGTATCCCAAACACCGCTTTTCTGTCTGCCGAATAACTGTTGTTATACGGTCAGAATTTATCAGATTTATCACACACCGTAGCGGGTATCGGATTCGGTCTCACTGCCGAAGATATCGTCCTCGTCATCATCGAGACTTTGTGAGGTAGTCGGTTTGCTCGAGGAGGCTGTATTGCGCGTGGAAGGCATCTGATCAATTAGGAAACGAACAAATATGAAATTTACCCAAGCTGTCTCTTCCTGCTTTTGTCGAAACTCTTCTTTGCGTAAAACTATCACGAACTTCGCACTGTTAAATGCGACTGTCTTGAATTCGAAACATTCGAAACAAAACTTAAAGGCAAAAACAAGGGCCACAAGGCTTTTAAATTTTTGTAGAAACAATTCAAAAACAGAAAGAGGCATATTTTCAAGATCAACATCTGGCGGACGCCCACCGCCTCTGGTTGTCGATTGCGATCTGTTGTGTTGTCACTTAATATCTCTTCCTTCAGGTTGTCACCGTGGTTGTGGTTGCAGTTTGCAGCTGTTAAAAATTAAATCGCTCCCTAATTGTAATTTTATCATACAAATGTTCCCGTTGTGCATACAGTATATTCCTCTAAAATATTAACTACAATGGAAAACCACGGCATTGTAATGTTTCTGGAACAGTCTCTGGATGATATGAAACAGTATATGCAGAGCACCATCACGGCTTATCTACAGTTGCGAGGTATGCGATCTGGATCAACGATTTTTGTGCTTTTTTAGCTTTTTAAATTTTAATCCTGGTGTTTGTTACGTGCAGGCCGTGGAAACTCTTTCCTGCCATTTTGGGACTGTGTTGTAATAACGGCATGTGATGCCGATCAGGCCTTAGCTTTTCGTTTGCAGCTGGATCAGAAAGAAAAGGCTAAACTGGTGCCAGCAACCAAATTCATCGTGGTCGAAGATGTGCCACCGTTTCCTGGATGTAAAATTGGTAGGAGTTTGCAATTCACTGTTTAAAATGTGGTGTTCGCTTATCAACTGCCTAGCATTTCGATTATCGTTAATTTTTATATAAATGACTTGCATTTATGATTTATGGTTGTTACAGTTTTATCAACGATTTGTTTGCACTTGTTTTTGAGTATTCGTACAGTGTTTTCTATGCAACAGGCGCTGGTGGATCAACGTTTTTGGTTATCGAACGATTACGTAAGCTTTACGGAACCGATTTGGAACGCCAGAAAATTCTTCTCATTCACGCTGGAGGCTGGAGTCAGCGGTTGCCATCGGCAAGCATTCTGGGCAAGCTTTTTATGCCGCTACCAATCGGTAAGGAATTCTGAACAACTGTCAGTGGAATTTTATTAAATTAGTTAAACAGAAAAGTAAAAATAGTCATTTTTATACATAAAACATAATCGCATTTAACTCCTGTTATGCATTTAGTCTTAGTGTAATTATTTTATTAGCTAAACATTGTCATCCGTAAATACTCTGCGGAAACAAGCTAGTGAATTATACAACGTATCGGTATCGCTTCATGAATCGAAAGTAATTTTAGCGTTTCCTGTTTTCAGGCAATTTTGACATGGATATGTTAGATTTAAAACTTGCATTATACATGCCGTTCATCCCGTTCATGAAACCGGGGATTTTTCTGACCGCATCCGACGACATCGAGCTGTTCAACTTGACGTTGCCCACTCCGTCTTCTCCGCATTCCGGTTTCGTCTGTCTGGGACATCCTTCCAGCCTGCACATCGGTTCAACACACGGCGTATACGTTTGTGATAAATCATCCACTGTTGGATTATCCTCATTCCTTGGCTGCCACCGAGTGTTGCAGAAACCCACCGAGCAGGAGATGTGGAACGCCGGAGCGGTGCTTCGCGGGCAGAGTGGTGGCGCAGACGGCATTCCTTTCGTTATCAGTGATAGCGCGTATTGGTTTGATATGGAGATTGTTGGCAAGCTGGAACGGTTTTATCAAAAACATGGGATACCAGAAGTGGAAGTGGATGCGTACGGTGACTTCCTTCAACCGTTAGGCGATGCGGCCACCCAGGATTATATTGATAAAGGCAAAAATGCCAAATTAAGCGACACACGGCGTGATTTGTTCAGTTGTCTTCGTGATGCTCCGGTTCAGGTGCTGTTTTTACCGCAGTCATTATTTCTTCATTTGGGAACGATGCCGGAATACTTACACAATGTATTAAGTGATAAGATGTTTCGGGAATGCTTTGATATCAGGAACACCTGTATGAAATCTAGCATTTCATCGGACTGTGATATCTCCCCGAAAGCTGTGTTGGAATATTGTAATTTTTCTGCACCGGTGAAAGTTAATGATAACTGTTTCCTTAGTGGGTGCTGTGCAAAAATCGGCGATCCCGTGGAAATTCCGGAAGGCACATTTATGCATACGGTGGTGATTTCGAAAGATGGCCGACGGTGTTATGCTACTATTTTCTGTGGTATTGGAGATGATATCAAGCGTGAGGTTGACGCCAAGAACGTTGTCGATTTGATGCTATTCAATAAGCCTTTATCAAGCTATGGGGCATTCCGATCGATGCGACATGAACCAAAGCTGTCTCTTTGGACATTGAAATTATTTAAGATTTGCTCCACACCGGATTTATCATTTTATAAAAGTCTGGAGCAAATAAACAGTTTGCGTAACGGCATGGAGGTCGGTTTGGAGCGTGATGAATCCATGATTTCCATGTCAGATGTGCTGGCTTTAAAAGATGTGCAAGGAATGCTGGAATTACGTTCGTTCCTCAACCACACAGGGATTTCCGGTACTGGGATTGATATTGTGAGTACCGGCATCGAAGCAGTTAAACCAGAATCACTAATAAAAGCTAGCGTTAGTGTGAAAGATGGTTTGCTCACTTTAAGGGACTTTAATGGAGCGGTCAAGATGACATATCCGGTGGCCAGCCGAAAAGATGTCTATATTTTTGCGGTTGGGAAAGCTGCACTGGGAATGTTCAAAGCGGTGTATGCTCATTTGGAAAATTTTGTTGCTGGTGGATTTGTTATGTTGCCCTGCGAACAGGGAGAAATGACCGAGCTCAACAGGTGAGGATTTTCCAGTCCTAGTACTCGTACTTTTGTAATATTTATGACCGTGCCGCGGTAATTGCAGTCATTCTATTTTATAAAATCTCACAAGGTTTCGTTCTTGATTTTTAGATTGAAGTACCGATTATTGAACGTGATCTTTTCTTTTGGTGGCCGTAATAATCTTCCGGACACCTCTTCTGTTGAGAGTACACAAGAAGCCATTAAATTTCTGCGTACTTTACCCTCTGGAAGCTGTCTGATTTGTTGTATATCCGGCGGAGCGTCAGCCATTTTGGTGGCTCCGAAATTTCCTGTCACACTGGAAGACAAGCTGACAATTATAAAACAGCTGGCTCAGCATGGTGCGCCGATAAACGAACTCAACACGGTTCGAGGATGTTTGTCTGACGTGAAGTTTGGCCACCTGTTGCATCACATTCCAATAGGAGTTCAAGTTGGCAGTCTGGTTCTGTCGGATATTATCGGAGATCCAATAGAACTGATCGGAGGAGCACCAACAGTGAGTAGGCGAATAGAGTCTGCAGATGCTGTAGGGATTATGAAGAAATATGGACTATGGGACGGCATACCGAAAAACGTGGAAATGGTTCTGTTAGATGAGCATGCTCAGGCCGTGCCTGCCGTTGCACCTGCGAATATTTTAATTGGAAATAACATGGTTGCTCTGCGGGCATGTCGTGATACAGCGAAAGCTTTGGGTTATCAGCCTGTTATTCTTTCCGATTGCTTGCAAGGTTTTGCCAAGGATGTTGGTGCGGATTTTGTCCGTATTCTGCGAACGGTAGCAGCATTGCGAAATGGTGAAAGAAGCGATGCTGCTGATCAGCCACGACTTTTGGCCAATGTCGAACTGCCTAATATTGACTGGAGACAGCCGGTATGCTTCTTAGCGGGAGGAGAGACTACCGTTCGGGTTCACGGGACCGGGAAAGGAGGAAGAAATCAGGAAATGGTGCTGGCCTTCGCCATACGGTACAGCGAAGAAAGAAAGGCGTGTAGCGGTGTTCAGGGAATGTTTGTGAGCGTCGGCACCGATGGGCAGGATGGACCCACGGATGCGGCTGGAGCTGTGGTTTGCTTTCCGTTGACTCCTGATCCAAGGGATGTGGAACGAGCTAACACGGCGCTGACCAATAATGATGCGTATAATTTCTTCTGTGATGCTAATCGTTGGGGTCAGTTAGTGAAAACTGGACCGACAGGAACAAATGTGATGGATTTGCAGTTGTTGTTAATTGATTGAGATTTTTTGACGAATTTTGGCGTGGTAGTTTGCAAGAGTAGCAGTTCGAAACAGCAATATTCTGTTATTTTCTTCCAATGTGCCCGGTGCCAACATTCTCGTGTGATGGGATGTTTTATCTGTTTTTGTTGTTATTTGCCGGTCTTGTATTACAGTACTGTGCCATCGGATTGAGACTTTGTAGCCTGGTAAGCAGATATGATAGGAGCTGTCAAGCCGCACCCAGAAACGCGCATTTGCCAACAGCTAATTTATAATAGTATGGTACGTATGCAATCTGAAAAAGAAGCCCTGAAAAACGTTAATATTGTAGCGGAAAGCTGGCATTGTGTAAACGTATCGGTAGTAAATTAGTAATAATGGCGTGCGATTCGGTGAGTTGCAACAGCGGTTTTCGCGAATAGTTACTGTACTTACACCTATCTGTATATGTTTCCACCTGATTTAGCGTTTCCATGTGTATAGTCTGTACTCTGTATATGTTTCCACGTGATATTGCTGCTTTTTTAAGCCTGAACCACTGGATTGTCCCACTGACCTTTGCGGACCACTGGCGATCCGGGACTGACCACGCTGAAGCAGGCTTTGCTACAGCTACAGAGAAACTCTAACCATTACCCAAACTTCTTTGTTTATTCTTCTATTTTAATTGCACAATGGGTGCGCACTTGCAGCGCTCGTACATTACGTGCCTGTACAGTGTTGTGTTCTATAAAGCACTTGTTGGAATCGCTGTGTCGTTTTGGAGTGATTCACCGTACACGGCGTGCAGCAATTCGATCCACTTTCTGTCTGTGGATTTTTCGAACTGAAAATTGCGAACTCGAGAACAATCATAACAACACTGCAGCTTATGATGTGATGTTTATTATGTTATCTTTAAACTCCGACAATTTGTATGCTTGCGCCGTGTCAATTTGTGCGTGATCTGACTGGAAGTTGTACTTTTCCGTCGCTCTACTGTGTGGTGCTGTTATAGCGCTTTATGCCAAAGTAGCGTTTTTATCTTTTCTGCAGTTATTATCCGGTCCACAATTCCATCATGGTATTCTATTGTCAAAATTGTCTCAGGGATTTCCCTGCTGGGCTCCCGGTGAGTGGCAAGCTAGACTCAATACGTAAACAAACAGAACAAAACGTACAGCGAATTCCACTCAGAATTTCATTGTCCGTGGTAGTTAGTACGGTTACGCTGGCCGGCGGGCTTCTAGAGTGGACGTTGTTTTGTCTGCTGCAGTACGTTGCAGCACGAAGCAGTCCGGTCTGCAATTTCCCATGAGGGTTCTCGCAGTTGCGATTACCATAACTGTTTTTTTTAAATTTTGAGCTTTATTTGTCGACCTACGCCACTGTTTTATCTAGGATGGCAGCTGTCCTGATTGTTACACATTGGGTGCAATTGGAGATCTGGCATCCGTGACGTCATCGCTGCAGCAACTGCAGGTAAGCAATCACTCTGACATTTTTAACTCCACGTTACAAAATGTATATGATGTAAATGATAATTTATTAATAGATAATAGTTACCTACTGAAAATGCTAATCAACGCAAAAGTCCTCGTTATAGAAATACTCGTATATTAAAATTATTATGTTTTCGCGAAGACGACCGTGCCCAACGTAACTCCACCCGCGGGTGGTGCTGCTTCTTCGACCGGAAATGCTCCACAGTCGTCTCCTCGCGCTGCTACTGCTAGCCTGCAACATTCCGCACCTGCCGGGACGAGCCAAAACCGTGCAGCTTTCCCCCCTACGGTCTGGCCTCTTGAAGAATATCAATTATATCATCGACAATATTCCGTGAAACTGCTGCATTCGTAGGGACCAAGGTATGCTCGGGCAATGCCGAAGTTGCGCTCGCAGCGACTCGCACCGAACACATTCCGCATGCCCGAGCGTGCGGCTGCCCCTTTAGCCACCAATAACGGATTTCCTGGTTTGGGCGCTCCAGTGCCGGCTATGAATGCGGTGCCCGCTAATCCCGGTAAGTTGCCTCTGCGCGGAACGGGCACGATGGGAGATGCAGGCGGACAGTGTCCAGTTGCCAATGACAAGCCGGTTGCTGGTACTAACGGTGTGTAACCGTGTGTTGCTTTCGTTACTTGCTTGGAAGAGCTCTTGTCGGCCTTTTAGAGTAATTTATTGATAGCTAAAATGGTTTTGTAATGTACAAAGTACCGCTGAATATTATAAAATTCAATTTTCTCGTCTTAGGTTATGGCAAATTGTGTGCGAGCATTGCACAGCTAAATGCGCAACTTTTGCCTTACCTGGAGACCTGTGCGGATCCCCTTGTTAAAAACCAGCTGGCTGATCTGCTTGTAAGATAAAGCATCATAAGAAAAGTCATGGAAACGCAAAAGAATATGATGTCTTTCGCCGTTACAGGAAAGCACTTTGAACGTTGTGGATTCGGTCAATGGAAAGCCAGTTGAATTGAAAAGGTTTGTAATTGTAAAATTGTAATAGCTAGGTGGACCTACTCTTAGAGCGGTAATAGTTACTGTATTGTACTGAACCAAAATTATTTAAGCACAGTATTAGTAGAATATTGTGTGACAGCATTATTATGATCACCTTATGAAAACATACCTGGCATTCAGTTGCAACTTATGTTATGAAATGACCGAAAAGATTCATGCATTGTTTTCTAGCCGCCCGAGCTTGGTCGAGACCAGCAATGGAGGAAAAGAGAACCGTGCCATTGCCAATGCCAACCAAAACGGCTCCCATTTGAAGTGCTACTTCTGCTATAATGATCCCATGACTGTGCTGTTCTTACCGTGCAAACATATCTGCGCTTGCGAGAAGTGTTCCCGGGAAGTCGTGGAATGCCCTTTTTGCCGCAAAAAAATCACCAATAAGGAAAACGTGTATATCATGACTATCGACTAATGGTCAGTACGCGTACATTACTTGACAGGCCTGCTCTAGCAGTTCTGCCTCTGCAAGCGGAAATGAATTCAGATGGATGGATAGTCAACTTCGGAGTTTCTTTCTGCTTACTGATGCAGTAACTAGGCACAGTTGTGCTATCAGAACGAACAATTGAATGCTAACTTTAGTTTGTCGCTTTTAGATTTTTGGCATAATGCTGGTAAACAATAACGCTCTTGCTTAAAATTGCAGAAGCCACCGCGACTGCCGTAGTGATTTTGCTGTTATGTGATTTTCTTTGAATTTTGTGTTTGTCGACAATTCCATAAATTGATGTCATGGTGGAGGGTGATATGCTTTTATAATTTTGTACAATTGTGTATTTAAAACAGTTTCCGAACAATCAGATTTTGGCTAAACAATAACAAGTGAGAGTAACTTTTATACTCCACTATTCTTCCAATGTCTTACTTGCTCACACTGCGCCTGTAAAAAAATTGACAAGAAGCGGCGTCTTACTCTTCCTCGAACAAAAGCTCAAGAAACCACTGACCGTCAATTCGTAAGTTTTATCCTTTTTCGTTTGTAAACTTGGAGCACCGATCGAAGTTGAAAACGCTCATGTTAATTCTTCTTTCCCGTGGCCACTAGCCAGGGCCTCGCAGAGTGTTAAACTGCAGAAAGATAGTTTTATTTTGATACTTGCTGTAAAGTGATAAAGGTAAGCACTAAGCAACAACTCGGTATTACGCTGGTTGCTAAGCATATTATATACAAAACAAAAATTAGTCTCTAAGTTTCGCTTGCCGTCACAGAGGTAAACCACATAATTTAAAGTGTAAGTACCACTTTTACGAAACCTGTCTAAAACTCAAATGCTTATTATTTTAATACAATACAGTAATTTAATAGTGTTTATAACATGCATACTGCATAGCATGTGTAAATAATAAGTAGGGAGCAAGTGTGTTTCAAGTAAACTCTGAGGTTCCGGAGCTGGTCGCACTACAGTATACTCATTGTTTTTGAAGTCAAACTGAGATCCTGATATCTATATGCCGGTAACGTTGGTGCAAGAACGAAAACACACTATCGGCTTTTAAGCTGATTACTTGCAGTACGAGCACAGCTAAAGACACAAGTCTAGCGGGAATGAATACTGGCTGATGAGGAAATAACAAAACTTCGATTTTGATGAGAATCATAGTGCAACTTTGTCAGAACACAATTTTATTACAGTAAATATTGTGCTGTACAATTAAATGCTCATAAGTTACAACGTAAACGTTGACCTGACACTATACGAGTATTCTTATCAAAATACGACAGATATATGCAAATATTAAACTACGCACATTATTGCGCTGGGCAAAGCGATATGCGCTTTCTTGTCGCTGCAACCGTTTTTGAACTTGGCATTATGTTTAAAGTTTATTATTTAATTCCGAACTCGGAGTTATAGTATTTCATTTCAGCTACAACTACAAGCATGTCCGTTTTATTCCCGTCTTACCAGGCAATTTGGTTCGTGCAATACTGCAATATTGAAACACTGCAACCGTTATTACAGTTATGAAAGCTTCGAGTTTCCCCACAGCGCGTTTCCATGATAAATTGCCTGTTCATGAAAATCGCCGCAACAACCGAGCTGCTGCGCACGTCAGCTCATCGGTCAGCAGCGTGAATATATCCACAAACTCCAGAAAACCCAAAGCAAGTGTCTCGCAAATTAGTGTCGGCCAGGAAGCACAGCGTGTGCAGAACGAATTAGCACACGTACTGCAGAGTCTGCGCGATGCCAGCAGCGTCGCCATTCCCGATGCCAATGACGAGGACACTGTGGATTTATCGGACCGACTGATGCGGCGCAGTGCAGACTCGGTGAAGCTGCACATGATGAAAGCGCAGATGCGCATCCAAGAGGAGAACATGCAAAAGGTCACCAGTCAAGCGGCTGTCAATACACAGCAGTCAGTGAAACTGTCAGCCGAAAGCGAGAAGCTCATCAAAAACATACGCAATCTGAAAGCGTTTGAAGCCCAACAGGTAAAGAAGATTCAGGATTTGCATAAAGAAGTGTTGGATGCCAATAAGTCAATTGGACATTTAGTGAAAGAGGTGGGACGCGCCAAAGCCGAGCTGAAGTGCGATGCGAAAAGCGAGAAAGAAGAAAAGGAGAAACTGAGTCTCCAACATAATTCGTGGGATCGTTTGTTGGCGCAGAACGAAACACTGAAAAGCGATGTCCAAGCGGCGAAAGAGGATAATCGGCGCTTGCAAGAAGTGGTTGGGCAACAGCAACGACGTCTGCAAGAGAACAAACGACGGCATTTGCAAGACCGTAAACGTTGCATGAATGTGATACAGAAACGACAAATGTTGGTGGATCTCCTGCGGAAGAGGCGGGACCAGGTGGAGAATTGTCGTATGCTACAACTGTCCGAAGCGGAATTCAAAGCGGCGTTTAGACCATCCAGTAGTTTTCATGACGAGCAGCATTAGTGGCAGTTGCTTTTCTTTTTCTGAAGAGCCTAATAAACTCATTCGCATTCCAACCGGTACAATATTGTTGCAATCTCTGGCATCCAGACATTTGCAGCATTACCATGGCGGTACTGCAATAATAATAATGATTACTCGTACCGCTTATGTGTAGAAGTATACAGATAGTGTACTGCGCCTGGATGTTTTGCTGCTTTGAATCAGATAATCTAGAAACTTATCTGATGATAGTACGGTAAATACGGTTACTGCAATGTTGGGATACATGCTGGAAAACTTACAATCCAGAACACATAATACAAAAGTTGATTAGAGTTTGCGAACATATCTGCTGCTTCGTGAAATGCATAATCAAACACCACCAGCCGGCTAAATGTGCTGGACGACAATATGAAATCAATCGACAGTACCGAACTATACTCTGCAGTCTGCACATACTGTAAGTCTGTAAGTAATTCTTCCCGCGACTCAGCCGCAAGTATTATTCGTACTTTATGCTTGTGAATTATAATATGCTGTTATGATTGGTACCGACAGCCAAAAAATGTCTATGAAAATCAACTTAAGAAAAATTAGAGCAACCGGTTTAACGCACCTGTTCGTAAAACACTAAACTGCGATTTCAACCACTGCGCTTGAATAGGACTGGGTTAGTAACGAAACCGGTCAGTGCAACATAACTTTCCCAATATTTCTACTGAAAAAAACAAATACCGAACAGACAACAAAGAAACACGAAACATACGATAAGACCGTTATCCGACGGCATTAGGCTTCATACCATTCGTGCAGTATAAACAAGGTCAAGTTGTTCAAACTAGAAACGCGAAGATCCATCGTGTCCCACTGCCGCCAATTATCACCGGGACGAAGGCAGCTGAATCTGAGTGAAAGAACAAAAAAAATGTCTAGTTGCCCATCAACGGCCCTGGTAGGCATTCCACGGTCTGGCCACGATGCACGAAACGGCACTCCGTTGGCTGGTGGTCGTCCAGACGTACACCCAGCATCAGGTCCCTCCACTCCGCAACGACCGCAGCGGGACGGAACATCATCGGTCCACCGCGGCGTTCCCACAGCGCCACCTGCACGGTGGACTGGGGATATCGTTCGGTGCGTCCCTAAGGGTCAAGGTGCTCGACAAACGGGATATGGTGCGGCCAGAGATGGCGACAGTGAATCCATTCGGCCGCTTGGGTGCTGGCATCGAAGTCAACAAGGAAGTAGTGCTCACGGATGTCTTGCACGTATCCCAGCCACCACTGGCCGTCGTCGCGCAGCACCAGTGCTGTGTTACCAAAATTGGTTTCCCGCACATCCGACCATAACTCGCGAAGGAAGCGGGGCGTTGCGCTCATGATGGTATAAAGAAAGGAGAAGCAAAATTAACTGCAACTGCAATTAAGAGGACTGTCGATTGAAAACGCTTGTTTTTCTCGAAAACGCAAATACAGTACGATATGTACGTACTGTGTTGTCGAGTCAACTTGGCACCTTTTTTTATAGTGAGTCGAGTAATATTTTCAAATACACAGCTCGCCAAACAGCAGTGTGCAGCAAACCGTCTGAACGAGCCGGTGAAGTAGCTGCCTTCTCACAGAGGTTGCGCAGTACTTGTATAACAGGCTCCGGAAGTTGACCTGTGCCGTATTGCAAATACCATAAAGGCTAAAGCAATGCAAAAAAGTGTTTGGGAGTGCGCGACAGCGAAAGTTCCCGTGGATGCACACGAATTTGGTGCTATGTACCGGCCAAATCCCTAATAAAATTGACAATTTTGATGTCCATAGTTGGAGCGTTTCCTGTACCGACAACTGTAGTGCTTACAACTACGCACTCCTACTTGTACTTTTAGTTTTGTTGAAGGTCCAACAGTCAACATATACAATGCAAAATCTGTACGTATGTGGACAATCTGCAGCTAACACCTTAGCCTCTACAAATTACTGTGAGTAATTTGTGGGTACTCGGGGAGTGGTAGTTCTGAATTTGATATCCTACTTGTTGTATGTGCTTGTGATTATTGTTTACATACGTTATATTCATTATAACAATTAAAGAATTATAAAGGTGCGGTGAATATTGACTTATCTATAAAATACAGATACTTTTGTAGGGACTATAATAATAATGTCAAATGTACTGTAGTCTTCTTATGTGGAATTCAAGAAAAGAATACTAAAGTTCTGTTATAATACGTACTTGCATTGATATCACGTGTTCACTCTCAGCCTCCGTTGCGCGCAAAAATCTACAGTACTCGTAGTATAACACATACAAGAAACAGCCTCGGCTTCGCCTCTGCGTTTCTTGTGGTCTCCAGTCTACGGCCGGTTTATTTAAATGATTTCGATCAGCTATTTAGTTAACACCTTATTCCTTCAGCGAAACAAAATGGTCCGAAAATAGCGGTAAAACACAGATAAGATAAAATGTGAGTTTATGGCTTTTGTGCACTCAGATGCAGTCACTTAATTTGACTCAGCAGGAAGTTTTTGTTAACTTTCCCTCCCGACTCTGAGACTACCAGATAATAACTTTTTACCTAGAGAATGCTTGCAGTAGATGCTGGTGGTAGTTCCGTCACTTATTCACCTAGCGGGTTGCGTGCTCTGGACAGCAGCGGTAGTTCGGTCACTCGTCCTAGCGGGCTTTGTGCTTGGAGAGTATTGTTACTTCGGTCACTCGTTCACCTAGCCGGCTTTGTGCTCTAGACAGTAGTGGGACTTCGGTCACTCGTTCACCTAACGGGCTCAGTGAATGTAATACCGCGCCGGCCTTTTGAATATGGCCCACATGGGCATTCAGATTAGGGAAATGTTTTCTGCGGATTCTGTACGGGAATGTTGGGTTCGTGTATCCCTTTTCATTTTTTGTGGTAATAAAAAATCAAGAATATAGATACCGTATTATTATTCCGTATTATACCGTATACGGAATAATTTACGGACTGGTATATGCTGATTAATTATTACTCACTGTCCTTAGTTTTGCTCGGACTGTAACGAAAGGTCAGCCCCTTTGAACGATTTCTTTTGGTCGCAGTCACAGCTAAATGGCTTTTAACGAGCGGTCTTATCCTTAAGTCATGTTTTTGAGCGCTTTAAACTGTTAACGATTTATTGAAACGAAGCCAACCATTAGCAGCATCGTCTGTGTTACTGCTAATTGGCTTTTCTAATTTTGTAGGAGTTACAATAAAACCTTTTTAATTTGTTGATCTGAAAAAGTACGGCCAGTTTAAATTTACTGATTTTGTGCACTATGCAACCGGACTTTGAAATTGTTTTCAAGGTAACCTTGAGCTTTCAGCTCTACCGGCACCGGCGCTTGTGAACGGGAGCCGGAGCGGTGACACAGTTTCCAGACATGCTGAATCGAATGGCGTTAGCAGTTTTTCGATTAATTTTTTGGTTTGTTCTGACCAGATCGTACGGGGTTTTCCGTTGTAATATAGATCTTTACTTTGATAGAGCATTAATATAGTAATTTAATTATGGTACATAATTATAGGATTTGCGATAATGTAAGTGCGCTGAAGAAGGCATTCATGACCTTGTAAAGCAGGATCCACCTCGACTTACGAAAACACCACAAAAACAGTCAATTTATGCCAATCATCTATAAAGTTCAACATCTCAACAACATCAACATCCCAAAAATGTATGCTGTGTATCTCTAACAGCTGTACATGTGTGAATAATTCATTGTTGATGCATGATCGTCAGAATTTCTTGCTTAGTCAGAAAAAAACATCAAACTGATACATCATCACAGACATCGCAACTCGAGCGCATTGATACAGATGCTGGCTAATTCCAGCGCATTGTATGGCAGCGTCGAAAGTAATTTCTAGTATTACAACCACGGCGCCCGGCTTATATTAAACTATAATGCTGTTCAACACATCAAACACAAACTTCCTCAACTTTCAGCAGCTCCTGTCGCTCATGCTGCCCGTCGGTATTAGCCGTGGTAATGGTGATGACCTTTTCGTATCCGGTATGATGGTTGGCATGGTTAGTGTCCACGGATGGACGGCGTAGGCGGTTAACGTTGTTGTTGTCCGGATGATCCATCGGGCCCGTCATATCGATGGTGCTCTTCCGACTCCGATCTCCGGCTGTCGTCAATGGGGCTTTTGACATCATTACCGATCGCTCAAACATATCCCCATTGTTGTACATCCGCTTGGTCCACGGTGAACAGAATACATTGGCGAACGTCGTCCGGAAGTCACTGCTGCAGCCGACGTAGACGTAAAAGTTCAGTGCGTAGTTGGTCAGTTCCAGTAAATTGGCAAACGCCCGGAACAGCTTCAGTCCGAACCCGAAATCCTCATCGCGTACCGGTATGATGAGGAGGATGGCGGCCGGTGTGACGCAGACAAAGAACATCACCACAATGCCGATCAGCAGCAGCACTAACCGGCGTTCTTCCTGCAAGCGCTTGAATTCGGCTTTTGCGGCGGGTGTACTGCTGATGGACTGTCGGTTCGTCTCGTTGGCTTCGTTAATGCTAATCGCGCGCTCAGATTCTTTGCGCTTTTTTGAACCAGCACCTATGGTCGAACCTGCCAGTAAAAATACCATGTTTATTATATTCTTATGATTACTTGAAATGCTTTGCTTTATAACATTCTCAGCTGATAATTCGCTATGGAACTGTATATACAGTGCGCATATTGTTCAGGATTTCAACAAGGAACATGCCGATCTATCCATTATGATCGTCATAGATCTATCAACATCAGCAATTATATCAATTTTCAAGCGTAAATGTGACCGGTTTTACCCGCCATCAACTAGGTCGTTCTCTGTACAAACACAAAATCAAAACGTACTCGCTTCGTCAGACTTCTGAATTTACATTTGCATAATTCGTGTACTGGTATCTTTTGCTTAACACTGGTAACGGCTCTGTATAACTGGTGTGCCTGCAAACATGTTTACATGTTTGTCATTAATTTGTCTGCATTGGGAAACCTCAAATGCTTACATGGCGCGAGTACTGCATATAGTGCATATGCAGATCGTACAATGTTTTTTTATTATTTTCTGGCAATAAACCCACTAAAACCTTAGAAAGCATTTACAACAGGCAAAAATTAAGTTGAATGCAAATATCATACATGTATGGTATAAAGATGTCACTAACTGAAAGTGCACACCTCATTTAAGCATGCACTTGCAATAAAAAGTCGCTCAGCCAAAAGACAGTTCCTTGTAATCGAAAGTTAATAGTCAAAGTAATTTATGACCCTATTCGAGAGCATCCGAATTGGCTTAATTCTGACAAAATGGATAACGACTGTGTGAATAAAAAATGCATGTTACGTAGAGTGAACGACCTTCGTTAAAAAGTAAACAGCTGTGCTGTACCTGCAGAGAATCTTCCTGTCATATTCATGACCCGAAAGGTTGCTTATTACAACACTGGACTCGTGATTAAAACCTTGAAACCGTATAAATTTCTTGAAATTGTCAGTAATACAAATTTTCATATTAATTCCACTGCTCTGCGTCGGTCTTTTTATCAGTTATACATACTCCACTTGGACCACATCCACCGAACGAAAGTTAGAATAAGAATATGCGTAGAATATGCGTACTTGTGTGTACATCCGCATATACGCATAAAGCTATTGAAATAATAAACTGAATACCTATTGAAATAATAAACTGACTGACCGATTTCAAGATTTAAGGCTTTTGAAAATTCTGACATTTGCGGACACATTTATGGAAGCAAAAGCAGGCAGGGAGAATAGCCTCGTAAAAAGGTTGCTGATATATAATTCAAAGGTGAAGGTGGATTTTCAGAGAGACGACACTGGAACGTACGGTAGCCTGAGAATCTACCGGCAAGTGAAACTGCTGTTATTACTGCTAACGAGCTTATTTACAGTAATCCACGATGGCATAAGAGCGGATATAATACCTTTTAATTTCCTCCTACGACTCTGGACTTTCCTTAGCGCCAGGACAATACGTAGATTAAGTACAGCCAGAATGGCCATCGGAAGTAATCGGAGAACGGTCTCCCTCACCCATCCGTACACCACATAACCACGGCTGTGTGTAAAGGCCTCATCCTCCACAATCACATAGCCGGTACCACCGTGCAGCGGATGATGGCAAATCTGTACCGACTTCCGGAAGCAATAGGGCAAATACAGGGCAAACGATATCACCCATCCGGCCGCGATGATGATTTTGGCACGCAGCGGACTCTGAATATTCTTGGCATGCATGGGATGACAAATGGACAGCCAGCGTTCAAAGGTCACCGCTACAATGCACAGTACACTGCTGCCCACGAGGGCATTGAGGCACGGCAGGAGAACGTGGGCGTGGAAGAGGTTGCCGGTATAACCGGGAAAGGCGGCACCGCTCAGTTCGGCCACAAAGGGTATGACCATAATCATGGTCAGCAAATCCGAGATGGCCATGGCACGGAAGTAGGTGTAGGTGATGATCTTCATCAGATTGGGCCGTGTTAATACCACCAGATTAAGGATGTTGCCGATGATGCCCAGACCGGATAGGATGGGCATCAGAATCCCGTAGAGAATACGTTCCACCTTCTCCACGGCAATATCATCGGCGGAGCGCGTCTCATTGCTGGCCACGGATGAATTATCCAACGGGAGAGTACAGTAGAGTAATTTGTCGTTATCCATTAATAATGTCGACCATGGGTTGGCGTACTACTACCCAATGTAGCGTGTGCACTGTTGCGCGCGGCGACCCTGGCGCCCGGCTTCCCACACATATATGCAGAATATATATATATGCACACAACTGTGTCCGCGTTTAATTGCTAAACAAACGGGAAATGAATTTCCTCTCCTTCCAGCTGCAGTGCAAACATGATCGCCGATGTTTGGTTGTTTTAAGCAATCGGCAGCACATCCAACGGCTCCATATGTTCCGGGTAACTAATTTCTTGGATCATGTCGCAACTGTCCACACACATAGACACGTATATACATACAACACCCACCGGCGCATCATAGTGACCTGGAATAAAGTGAAAACGGAAATTATGCAATGATCGTGAAACACATCAGGCTGCACACCAACGCTACATATCGCGGCTACTTCCTGCTGGGTATATATATTAAAAATTGTAACGGGGAGCACGTTGATGGAGAGTGTCATTTAACCACGACAATCTCCATTAAGGATGCCGACATTAGTTTGTAGTTATTAAACTTTTTTTGCAAAACGTGATTGTTGTGAGTTTCGTAATTGAATTAGATTAGGGATGTGTACGCACACGTCATGATCATGCCGGATAGGGGAATAGTAGACAACAATTTTTCGTGACTGGCATGCTTATGATCATTGTTCGTGTACTGTAGTGTGGTATTACACACTGTCTGCTTGAACAATGACTCTATTGTGGCAAAACTGATATTGATGATCCTATTTCAAGAACGTTACACTGTTTAGAAATACCACATTGCGTGATATTTGTTGATCTAGCGTTGCGTCGTTATTTGGAAGTTTGTTATGTACTTAAAAAATTTTTGGATCAAAACAGACCGCAATATTTTTGTAATTATTCCCGACAATGGGTATAGTAATTTTAGTCATACAATAAAATGTTTTAGTGTGATTTCAAAATATGCATTTATCATCGGCCAAAACACTTTTTCTCTTTGAAATAATTGCGCTTTGCACACTAAAACAAGTTTTATTTACCATTAAAGCAATTTCTTTAACAAACATGACTAGGTTAAAAGTCATAGCCATTACGAACATCTCACCCCCAATAAAACCCACAAATAAATGGACAAATTCAGTACTGGTCACGTTTGGCGATTAGCAGATAGATGTTACTGGCTTTCCATCCAAATTAGTAATTTAAAATATCGTTAGCTACTTGGAAATATGCGCATTTGGGAAGTTAATGTACATGTAAGGAATACCAGCCCTGAATGCAAAAATCTCCAATCTGGCGGAAAGACCATTGATCATTTTTAATTGCTGTGGGAGCACGAAGATGGAATGTGTTCAATTTTTCCATCATGCATACAGTATGCGGGTCGGCGTCAGTGAACATGTCGGCATGTTGCCACTTTCATCACTCTCTACCAAGAATCTGCCGTACCGCATAGCATTATTGTCCTTTCGCATTGACGCAAAACCTGCCGCTCAATAAACAAAATAAAAGTGCATGCATTAAAGATTCCGTTTTCTTACAAGCCCTGCGCTGACATATCTTTAGACTTTGATTTTTAAAAGCCTCGACTGTGGACTTCGAAGTTATTTTTATTTAAAATAAAATAACTGGAAAAAAATTACAAAACATTTTGAACCATAATTTGCAACAACTGGGCTACATGCTTAAATAACGTTAGTTTTAGTATGGATTCTGGAACCGCTGTTGAAATCGGGTCGATAGTTGTGTGACAATGTAAAATTTATTGAGATTCACTACTTTAAACCAGCCTTTTCAAGTTGAGCATCCTGGACTGCAAAGAAACGCAGTAATAAAGCGTATGCGCATGGCATTGGTCGATATTTGTCTAGCTGGCGGGAAAGTTTATTTTGATAAGAGCTATACGATCGTGATCACGTTATCGATACAGATTGACCTCGGGACAACAAGCCGGGAATCTGGCCAATGTGTAATTTGCCTTGTACCGATTGTACATATATAACGGGGCGGCTTTGCCAATGGCCACTTAGCGTACGCTATAAAAAACGCTAATCTCAGCATAATGCGAATGCCTTTTATTACGGATATATACTGCATAGTACACAAAATGCACACACGCGCGGCAACACAAGTAGTGTAGTGAGAAGCCTTTAGAGTAAATCATTTTTCCATTCATGTCACACAGAGGGGCCAGCAACGGGTCTATCGATCTGTTGATCCAATGCCGACCGACTTCCGGTTGGCGTGGGCATGCAGCGCGCGACATTGCAGCTGTGCACCACTGCATAGGTCACGCCACCAAATGTCCCTGCTGTACCGGCACGAAATCGCTGTTTATATTAAGGATTGTACCTGATTTTCAGGTAATCTTTTCACAATCATCAGGGATTTGTATTGACTTCTTTTTCTATCCTTTATCATATTATTATGAAACTTTTGTTAAGAAATACGTACACAGATGAGCGCGTTACTGAAACATTTTATTCTTTGAAAGTAAAAAGGTTATTTTCAAAACAAACCCTACTATGTTCATAGATAAATACACTATAGTAGTTTATTATTGTAATAATGCGTTATAGTTCATTTTGCATCATAATAATTCCTTACTCAAAAAAATATCCACAATTTTAACTTTACGAATCAAATTTCCGTTCTGGAAAATATAGATTGGTATCGTGCACAGGTATGAGTACGTATTCTGAGCACGCAGTTTGCATGCATACACAAAGGTCTATTCGTACAATAATTAGACCAAATTTCGCAAAATTTGCCTTATAAATGATGTCTATACAAAGACGTTTTGAATTCAGATTAAAATATTTGTGTTACCGATTTCATAAACCACTTATCTATATTGCTCGTATAAAATGGAAGGAAGTAAATTTAGAGTTGTTAAAGCTGTTATATAGTAAATTAATTCGAATACCCAGTCCGATTTTATTTTCCGCAGATCAATATTACAGAGAAACTGAAAATTGTAAACTGAAATTGAAAATTGTAGAAATTGCAAACTGTACAAAGATGAAGGTCCACAGGTGAACAACTTCACATACACTACTTTTAAAACTATTCAAGTAATAGCTTCCCCATACTACGAATATCTTTTGTTCATTTATGAAATTCAAGCAATTTACTGGTTATACGCACATACGCATTCAGACGGGCTGACCGTTCCGTTAAGCAGGGCATTTCGAGCATTATAGCAAAGCGGAAGAAATCCCACTGTCATTTCAATTTAGGATCCTTGGAACATGAAAAGCGCAAAGTGTGACAACTAGTACAGCCAGCGGACTGGATAATTACAAATCGATGCACTACATACACAACTGTCCAGTCTGGGCAGTATAATAATGCCGGAAAAAGAAGGCTTTTCCTCCCTGAAAAAAAGCGACGAATACTTCTGCAGACGCAAATTTAACAGCCGGCTTATACTGGCCCGTTGTGCCACCGAAGTCTGTAATCGATCTATGCCGGGTTACCAGCAAAATGAGAACTGCCGGCAAAAAAACGCTTCTGCCGATATATATCTATCAGGTACCGGATAGCGCGGCTGGATGATCATATACACTATCAGGAAATCCCATCAGGCATCCAAGTGATTTATGTACTGAATGCCAGGCAGGCTAATGCCATCATTTATATGCAGACAAACATTCTATACAATCTATTTTCAAGGAAAAAACTTGCAAACTACCAGATGAGGTTAATCCTCTAAAACTAATAAATTTGCACCAGTTGACGAAAAAAAGCACTGTTGAAAATATGATGTATATATATTTAAGGGGAGTTGAAAATTATGCAGTTTACACTATATGAAAGGCAAATGTTTCGCACAAAATGAATTTTCCGCATATTCACGCTGTACTGCGTACTTCTGAGTACATCGAGAAATTAATACAATAACGCATTTCATTGAATCCTCTGAAGAGTTTGTAAACAAAGTGGGTCGATCAATCATCAGCAGGGCCTTTCTTTCCACACATAATAAGTGTGCAACGTGATCTTCATTACAGCTTCGTTGACTTCGTTTACGGGTGCCGAATATGCAGTCCCGACGGCGCTGATTGATGCGTATATAGCCAGCGATGCCATCGCCGGGCGACACTGTAAGGTATCGTTTAACTGGCGCGGATGAGAGAGTTTAAAAACAGAAGCCCGGGTGCTCATAATTACCGCGCAAAAACTCCAAACCGGCTATTATTCTGTCACACGCAACACATGTACATAGAGACGTGTTGCAGTTTGATATCGTTTACACCACTTGTACGACTTTTATCATCCCCAAAATATTTCTGCAGAAATACTGCAGTATCCCGTACAGCACGTTACTCGTACGTCGTAAATTAATCATTACGCGCATTTACAACAGTCCACTGCGCTGGCAAAAAAGAAACCGTTTTCCCCCGAACAACAGCGCGGAATGATTTTAAGTGAACGGCAGAAAGGGTGCGCATAATCTGCGCCGAATCGGGCGATCATTAGTTGAGAGTTTTATACAAGTTGATTAGTGCGCAAAATTGCTTTTTAACAGCAATTTAAATCAATTCAACAAGCGAATATCTTCGGTCCCCGGGGATGACAATCCGGCTCGGTATATAATGCCGGCATCCATAAGGCATCGCGCCCGTATTACTACGGGCATGACCAGTCGCAGCTATAGCCGGCTTTTGTATGCCGGTAATGTTTAGACTCAATTGAGACCCATACGATTCCCGTTCAATGGGCGCTTTTGTGCATAATCCCCATGCTTAGAGCTCGCTGAAGATGGCGATGAAAAGTAGATTACCGTCATGTTCCACCCCAGATCGTACCATAATCAAATGGAATTTTTAGAATAATCATTACAGAGTCAATTACCGGCCATCGCGTCGCATGTATTGGGCGTAGGAAAAAAAATGAATTATTTGAATTGCACAATTTTTGACGGGGTAACTGCATCATTTTGTGTATTCACGATCCGGTGATTAACACGCAAGCTGAAAGTAATGTGTTGTAATTTGGCTCATAAACAAAGTAGCCACTTGCAAAAATAAATGGACACTATAAAAAAATAATCACGCGAACAACTTGCAAAGTACATCAGCGCGAAACTGCCGGTAACTTTTGTTTTACCGCATAAATAAAGGTTTCTTGCAGAATGTCGTTAGTGGTCGTTAGTGTTTTTGCAAACAATGAAATGTTTTAGAAAACAGAAACCATGTTTTGTTATTTATTTATCGAGTTTGAAATTAATATTGCGTTATTCAATATTTCTTAATTTTCTTAATAATTGAAAAATAATGCACATCCACGGTAAGAAAGATTAATTAAGCATGGGAATTAATGTCAACGTACGCTGTCTATTCATTCCGTACGCAGCGTAGATCAAGGAAAAAAATCAGACGATTAACCTTGTCTGTTGAAAATTGAAATAGAGGTTACATTATGAAAGGAGAAATCATTACAACAATACTCAGACTGTTATTTTTAGGCTTTGACAACAATAAAGGTGTGTAGCAGAATGGGACGACGTGGTATTAATCCAAACAGATTAAGCTGCTCTTTTTTGAACTAATAAGCACTGCTCACATAACATTGATTTGCAGCGCAAACATGCTTGGCAAAATTTTCCATAGTTTTGAACCATTTTTCCTCCCTAACTTCCGCCCAGGTCCAAAATGTCATCACATAACCGGATCCGTTAAAGGCTTTTCGCGCTGTTTTGTAACTCTGTACGCACTTGACGTGTGGCACCATTTATATTATATGGACAAGCGTATGGGACAGCGCGGGGAAAATCTCTGCGCTCGCCGGCGCGGTAAGAGTTATTTAGGGGAAAATTTATCGGTTGCTTCCTCCGATCGAAAGAAACCTTTTTCTTGTCTGTTAAACTGATTCCCGCGCTCGACATAATGTTGCCGGCATTTTATTAGTGAGAGTGAACAAACATAAACTGACAGTGTGTATCGTCAATCCTTAAAGAAATCCACTAATGGACCTGATTTTTCCGATGCAACATGAAGCACACTGAACTGTATAGTGGGAGCGGCGCGCACGCCGGAATTCGACAGGAGCGCCGTAGCAAAAATTCCATAATCGCTGCGCGTCGACAACATCCCAGCCGCCGCCACAGCATATAATCAATTCCCATCATTTGTCTCGATTGCAAATTTTTCTGTCCTCTTGCATTATGTTGCGTGAAAGAAGACAGAAAAATCCATTATCATCCACAAATGTTGTACATAAGAGAAAAACATATCTATACATTTATTCACGTACACGTGCGGCACGATGCGTCGCGCCGTGCAGAAAACGCTTGTAATCTAATTTTGCTAATTAAGTATTTATTTGGGGCGGTAGAATGCAGACACATCATACGTGTAAGAAAATTATTCAATTAGGGCTGCTGTTTCGCTCTTTATTAATTTGTCACATATACACGTGTATCAATTTACATTCTTTTCTATTAGTATATGCCAAAGAAAATTAATCCTCTGTAATATTGTGCACATACTGTTTTTATTGTAATATATTTCAGTGTTAAACAAAACATAACCTCATGATTGCTTAATATAACAAAAGGTTTTGGAACAATTTTGTATGTAATTATAATCACAACCATCTCAAAACGCTGGTGTAATACAGTTTAAATTTAGTAACTTCTGTTGGAGAGTGTAAAGTTATCAATCAGTTGGCTGGCTTCGTATGTCACGGTTGCGATAAAGCTGTACTGAGCGAATTAAAATGTAAGAACCAATCTTATAAGCTTAGCAGCTGCCGGCTACGCTTCACTAATGAACTCTGCGAAAACTTTAACAACTGTCGTGTCTGCTCGCCATTTGCCACATCCAACCCAGGGATCATATATATTCATAAACAATTTGTTCGTGTTGTGGCAGGCTTCCTAAAGGATTACCATGCAATCTGCCATTATACATCACAATCAACAACTTACTCATCATCGGATATTTTTTGTTATTTAATTTCCATGTTACCCAATCATACGTACATGGTGTAATTACCAATACCAACTACGCAGGTCAATCTAATAATAATAACTCACAACATCCTGCGCATGAGCTAATCAAATAGAAATACGGATGCACTTACCGATATTAACAAGCTGTATGATTCAAGAGTTGATCCCGTCTATAACAATGGCAGGTTAAAGGTTACGTACAGGCAGTAACGAGGGGTGCGCGTATATTCCGTTCAACAAGATAAAAACAGGATCAGATTAGCAATTTGGGCCATCATGTGTGTGTGTATATATGTGTGCCGGGGATCATTTCCTCCATGTGCGGGCTTTGGGTGAGGATTTTATGTAAATGCAAGTATATTTTAATTTGTTCTCTTCCGCTACTGGATATGTTGTTGCTGCAATCGCCAGCCAGCCAACTAATCTGACACATTGTGTGTGTGTGGCTTATAGTAGTGCAACCGGCACTTTCTTCCCTACTGTGCAATATACACAGCACACACTGGAACCATAAGCCAATCCCCTATTGAGCGTGTGTACGCCGCATATATATACGGTGCGTGCCATCTACGCTAAGTGACCCGTTGGATACCGATCGCGAATTTCCGCCCCGGTATGCCCAATCCGCCCGAGTACACTTCGCACAGCAGCCTTAATGGGCACAATTGTATTTGATATACGGACTAGATTATTGATAAACGGCTAGCATGTTCTTTACGCTCCGAGATATTGGATTATTTTTTCGGCGTGTACTTGTTTGTTGTGCATTGAGGTGTTCGTACAAGACTTTACAATGCTGCTGTGAGGGATAGTTACATATTGGGATATGGGCGGCCGTTGGGGAAAGGGAAGATGTGGCTGCAAGAATTCACACGTTATCCGCCATGGGCGCTCAGGAGTGCCGGTCAGTATCGACCAGAGCGGTTAGCAAGGGAGAAAAAATGCAGCTTGGGCTTTGTAATCATGTCTAATTTGGATCGATTTAGCGATTTCTTTGCCATAGTTGCCCGTTCAATCGGAAAGCCAAAGCTTGTGCGGAAAAACTTTGTTTGTAAAATGGTTTTACTACTAAACTTCGCGCAGACGATTAACAGAATTATACGTTGCAGTTTTGTTCGTACCATTGCAAACTGCACGTACATTTTTTTGACCATGACATGCTTGTATTACTTCACTTGCATTGCGTTTAACGCGATCGCCATAACACTTTCTTTAACAAATAATCATCAATATGTAGTTTAAACTTCAAAATTTTATTAGTCAAAAAACGGGCATTTTTAGTGAAAGGTGGATGCGGCTCATATTTTACGTGTTACGTATAGAAGTACTCAAGTCTGTGATTGATAGCAACATGCGCAAGCGCAGTTTTGTCGCGGAGTATTTAAAACTCTTCACGCACACATTCGTGCCAAAAAACCATTAGGAATAAAATGTGTTCCTACCACCTGCTGTAACCACATCCATCGCGCAGCCAATTTGCGATAGTTTGGGGTAATAAAAGTCTTTTCATACTTTTAATTCCATATTAGCACGGACAAAGTTTATTCTGCAGCAATGAAATATGTAGCGTTAAACGGACTTTTACTGGGCTGCTTTGTGTACCGGCATCCGTATATAGCTAATAATTTAATAATGAATAAATGCAGCGATATGACGCAGTACAGAAGTAATTCTATGCTCCAACTTCCGAGTTAACTTCCGTTTGTCGAGTACCAGATGGCGTTATGACTTCCATTTTGTATAGATGAAGACAATAAATGCTTCCTGCGACGTTAACACGCATCTAAACATAGTCGGCATACAAACAGAAAATGCCCTAACTCTCAGCTGAGTTTCGTTCGATTTCTTTTCGGTGTTGCGTTGGTTTTTTATATATTAAAGCTGTCATTCGTCTGCACTAATTTTTAGAGTAGATTATCGCCTTTGTACAGCGCAGTAAATCCAAGTGTCGAGTACGCAAATATTCATAAAGGTCACAAAAATGTTTAACTTTCAATGTATTACTAACGCATTCTTCCTTTGAAAAGCAATTTGGGTAACAATTTTTTATAATTTTATTACAACTGTATACAAAGTTTCTCCAGAGCTTACAGCGTATGATTGCACCGAGTGAGCATAATAAATAATTATTACATTATTCAAAACCATTTATACAGCGTTATTTGGACTGGGTACGGTGTTGGGTTGTGTATTGCGCGAGGCGCCGTGAGTATTTTTGATCCAGGGATAACTTTCTGGACACGCTTCGCATGTCCTTATGTAACGCATGCCTCCACGGAAGAATGTTGGGCACACGTTGGGTTTGTTACAGTGCGATGGCCGGTTGAGATTATTACAGCTCCATGGCTCGAATTGGTTGATCACCGACAATGGTGTGGGATTTTGGATCCACTGAAATTAGAAAGTCATTATCAAATGTTAAACCAGTTGGATTTATTTTGATTTTTACATTAACAACTGCCCACTATCGCGTTGCTCCCGCAAAGGTCACAAAGCATACGGTTGCACAATGTCACAATGTCGACTTCAGGACGTAATAGTTTTTATAATGTGATAGGTGTTCTAACGTTTTTTCTATATATAATTTCTTGCGAATTTAATGAAAGTGTACGTCAACTAGAATAAGTGCGCATTGAGCGACGGTTTTTCCCAGCATCTGCATTTTGCATTAGGCACACTTTGCTCACCTGAATAACCTGAGAAGCCGACACAACCCAGACATCTGGCATACTCAGTACCGTGTCCAAAAACTTCTTAAAGCCTTCCATGTGGTAATTATGTATGAACCAAGCGGAATGGTAGTACATCCCGAACGGTGCCCGGTTGGTTTCATAATGCCGTTTAAAATTATTCATTAGGAGCTGGTACACTTCATCGGCATCACCCGGATTATGACACGCGTCAGCCATGGCACATCTGTAACCCAGCAGATCTTCCCAGTGTACCAGCGGCACTTCCCACAAACCCGGATACGATTTTGTCGGACAGGGCGGTATCCAGCATTTATGCGGAAGGGCGTAGTCTAGTGTGTAAGGCCACATTGGCGGATTGTTTTCCGCAACGCTCATGGAACTGTCGTATAAAAATCCTAAAATCAAATCGTTAACCAACAATTAAAATTAACTTCCAATCTAATCATATAATTTATACATAATAATACTTATGTAATATAATTCATACATAATTAATTTACACATATAAAACAAAACAAAACATTATTAAAACATTATTAAGTCTATTTGCACTCTATACCATAATTCGTTTTGACCTTTAAATGAGAATGATATTTCATGTTCGTATGTTTATTATTGTATGCGCAATTCAGAAACCCTTCTGACCTTTTTCCCAGAGCATTTCGAATTGGCTGTTTCCGCCGGTCTGTAAATACGGAGCTCGCATGCCCTTAACATCCTCCGCTTTAACGTTACCGAAGCGGTGTAAAATCTCTCGCTGTCCTGAGATTTCATCCGCCCAGTCATTTTTGGTGAAATTCTTCCCCGGTAAAGTATGCGTAACCGAATGCGATCCAATCTCATGACCATCGCTATATAAATTCTGCACTAAGAAATACTCGCTCCACTCATGACTGACGTAGAATGTCCCACGGATCGGGCAAGTATTTGGATTTCGGCGATTCTCGCTAAATATGGACGTGTACAGGTGATAATTCTGATTGGTCACTGCGTCATCAAAGGTCAACATGATCATCTGCGGTGTTTCCCCAACCGGCAGTCCACCGGGAATTTCAGTCCCACCACACCAACAATCCGGTAGTTTACACGTCTGTCGTTCACACGCTAGCGCTTCCGCCGGTTTGGCAAATTTGGCGAACATCGACGGATTCCGACCTAAATTCGGCACCGACTGCGACACGCGGGACGAAGCCGACGCCATCAGAATCGGCATGCTGCCGTTGGTTGTGTCCTGCAACCACCACGGCATACGGGCAGTGGTCACGTTAATTGGAAACGGTGTCGTGGTGACCTCGCGCCGGGGCGTATCGCTAGTCACCGGACTGCTTAACGACTCGGTGACATCATTGGCCTGACCAATAGCGAACGTTGTCTCGAAATCCAGGATGTTGGCCGGATGGGTGGTCATTTCGGCCGGGCGACCGAAGTTATTTTGGAGAATCCGGGGTTGGGGAAGGATCCCGCCGGGTGGCGGCATCCGTGGGGAATCCGTCCGGAAGACGTTCATCGGAAAGGGCGGGACGTTGCTGTCGGCGTTAACGCTGCCCTGCATCCAAAAAGGTAAGTTTGTTGTGCGCCCGTCCGCTCGCATTTCCGGTTGTTGCCAGAACGGTCCGCGGGTTGTCTGACCGAATTGCGTTAGTTCCGTCTCATGTGCTTGATTGTCATGAAAAGGCGGGTTTTGTTGGAAGGGTTGGTTGCCCCGGGGAATAAATCCCGAGGTATTGGGCATGTCATCCTGATTTTTCCGGTCGTTGTTGGCTTGACCGCCGTTGATGCGGTCGCTGGGGCGAATTATACCGGCATTCTGTTGCGGTGTCGGCTGATTGCTGGGTTGATCAGCGGCAAACCGGTCCGAGCCGAACCCGAGAATCCCGAGTTGGTCTGGAGGAAAGCGAGCCATCTGCTGCATGCGTTCATGGGCTAACTGCTGCAGGCGCTCTTGACTAAGCTGGCTACCGCCACCGGGGATGAAACCGGGCGGAATGTCCGCGGATAGACTGGGCCGTTCGGGTCGCGACGAAAAACCGGGGAACGGGAAGTTGCCGGTCGGAGTGCGGGCATTTTGCTGTGGCTGTTGCTGCTGGACGTCATCCGCCAAACCGGAAATCGGAAAGCGTGCGCCAAAATCCGGACGATTGGCGGTGACCCCGATCAGATCGGGACGGGCCGGGTGGGCGCCGAAATCCAGCAAACGGTTCGGATTAAAGTTGTCGGGCCGACTGCCGGACAACTGGCCGGTAAAATCGGGCCGGGACTGACCGGTCCCAGAGGAGCCCTGAGCCGACGGGCTGCGCGGCGAGGGTGTTGTTGTGGTTTCGAACCGGTCGGCTCCGAACTGCGGGAAGCCGGCGGCTCCGAAGAAGGGCGAGTCACCGTGGAAGCCAAGTTGATTTTGCGGAGGGAACTGACCACCGAATGGGCTGGGTGTGTTTCCGCTGCTGGGCGTTAATCCTTGTTGTGGCAGGCGGCCGAACGGTGAAAACTGGTTGGATTGGCTGATTTCGCGGCTGGAAGTGGGACCGTCGTTGGCTTGAGCGGTACCGGTAGGGCGGATGAAAGGGAAGCCGAACATTTGTTCGAGTTGGTCCGGCCGCACTGGAGCGCGGTTGCCGGCGAACAAGTCGGCCTGATTGCCGGTGGTTTCCGATGATTTGGATTTGCTGTTAGCGTTTGCTGCGGCAGGATTTCGTGAAGGCTTGGCCTGTAAAACATTTTTCGTGCACTTTTAAAATTCCTATATAATACATCGGTGATTTAATTTTGAAAGTAGCTTTATTTCACGGTTCTGATTGGCTACAACCAGATACTACTGTTGAAAATTTTGATTAAGAAGTGAAACCAAAGCAGCCAAAACCGTCTATAACTTTATCATGTGGTTCTTCTACTTCAACTTTATCATTTCTAATTAGGTTATGTCAGTTTACGATAATTGTATGCAGTAAGTTTTTGTATTTTATTGTTTAGGAAATGTAGTCATGGCTGCTTTTGGCTGTTTACATCGGCCGCCATATCTGGGCGATTGAACGATTCCGGGAAGAAATTTGGTCTGATGCCGTTTCCAAACAACAGCTCCTGTCGGGAAGCGATTTCCTGTTGCCGTGAATTGATTTCTTGTTGGCGGGAATTCATTTCTTGCTGACGCGAATTCATTTCTTGTTGCCGAGAGCCTAGATCTGTCTGGCCGCGGGCGTTGATTTCCGATTGCCGGCCGCCCTGTGCCAGCTGCAGTTCCCGGTTACTCAAGGGGTCCATGGACGGATTCAGCTGTGCCGTCAAGTCAGGCCTCCCAAATAAATTCGGTCGTGCCTCCCGCTCCGCGGCGGCGGCCGCCATCTGCTGTTGCTGGGCTAATTGTGACGCCTGCTGAAATTTGGCAAAATCCTGCTGCACCTGGAAGGGTGTGGGCAGGTTCTGGAAGTCCGGTTGACCTTTAGGCGTAGTCGTGCCAAGGGGCGACTGGGCAGAGGGTTGGGCATGCGGAGGCCAGGTGTCGTTGTTTAGGCCGTTGGGTTGCCAGGGATTCCACCAGGGTCGGCGGGTGGTGGTGAAACTTCCGGTGGGGAAGGGCGGCCCGAACAACGGCCCCTGCATCAGCTCCGAGGCGTTGGTGGGACGCGGAGCTTGTCGTTCGAACAGCGGGGCATCGTGGAAACTGGGTTGCGACGCCGGCGCCGGTGGGGGCTGGCGTTCCGGGGCACCGCGGGAGGGCGCGGCATCTTCGCCCTGCAGCCACCAGGGGATGGTGGCGCCACGGGCCACCGGCGCCTCGGTGGTTGTACCGGGGATGGCAAAGAATCCATCTGTCAATATTGAGTGTACGGATTAGTAACGTCAATGCCCGGCTGACATATATATCACATACTGCTTGACATACTGCCTTTGCCGGGGCATTCAGTGTTCTTGGGCCAGTCACACAGTCCTAACTGGGCATTATAGTGCAGGCCTTTCGAGCATTCCTGTACAACCGGTATGCCGAAGACGCAGACGAAAAAGCGTGAGCAGTTCATCACATCACCGTAGTGACCAAAGGTCTCCTCGCACACAAAGTCGGGCGGCGGTTGCAGATGTTTCGGTAGGGGGGTGGGCGCGGCGTCGGCGAACTGGCTGGATGAGGCGCTTGGTGGGTTGGGGCCGGCGTTGCTGAAGGGCTGGTCGGCCTGTTGACCCGTCGGCATGCCGGCACTGGAGCCAAAACCGTCGGGGAGACTGGGTGGTGGTCCATTCGGGTGGGGGAGTCGCGTGTCCACGAATCGAGAATCGGGACTCTGAAACTGATCCATCTGCGTCGATGGGTTGGGTATGAAGAATTGAGCTACCAATGCAAGAAAAGAATGTAGTGAAGTAATGGATACAAATCAGCGAGCGCATTTTTGTTGATCATCTTATTTAATTTTTTGGTTCACCGCATTATACTCATTTTATTGTTAGCAAAAATTGTTACACCTGAAACGATGTTACAATGCCGTTATTAAGATGCGGTAGTAAGCTGGTAAACAAAATGCTTATCAATAGGCCTAAATTTGACATCTTTGATAGATTTCATTTTACCATTAGGAGCTAACAATAATATTTTAAAAAAATCATACGTGTGTAGTGTAGCAATTTTACCTACCCTAACAACCTAACAAAAGTGTAGCAATTTTGTATACATTGCAATATTATATTATGGGATTAATTCTTAGAACAAGTTGGCCAGTTTAGCATGTTCCTACAATCCATATACGTAAATTTTTATTTATATGTCAGTGTAATTTTTAGAAACAGCTTCTTGAGACCGTGTAGTGTGCTAGAATTCTGAATTATGGAAGTATTCCATCGCATAACCATAATTACTAGGAAATCACCAAAAAACGTACGCCTGTTGTGAGCGACAAGTGAAAACTACTTCCTGTCGCGACAGAATTTAATCTGACCTCCTTGTAATAACAGGAAGACACTTTGAAAGCAAGGTAACGTTACATCACCGTCAACGATGCTCTTCGGAGTAAATCATTCTTGATTACCTGCGTGTTTGTTTAACAATAGAGTCTGTCAACATGATCATGCATACGGATGACCTTTACGTACTGTTAAACAGATGAAACCTTTCACGCACTGACAAACTACTGTACAATAAATAATAAGCGTCCCACATCGATAGCTGTATTAAATTTTGCCCATAGGTACCTACATACTTTCACTTACCATTTATGAAAGTAATCTGGCAAAAAAGTAGATAATTTATCCATGATAGATAATTCCCAGCCGTAGCAGCGTGTGAAAGTGGCGACGGTAGCCGCATTTTTGATGAGGTGAATAATTACGGCGATTTGTCACCAGGCCGGACACGAAATTGTCTTATCACGTTGTTAAAAAAACACCAGCACAGTATAACCGTTGCAAGCACCGTCGACGACAATCACACCAATATGGATCACAATTCCGGTCGGACAATCTGATTAGCCCCGTCACCATTTAATCCATGAAGAAAAACAACATACACACAGACAACGGTAATCGATATAGGTTGGATAGGGGGCGATTTGCACCGGTCCGCGTGTGTTACGACAACCACCAGACACTACGATCCGGCATCAGCGACGGACTACTTAACATATCCCGATAAATATGCGACACAAACTGCCGATCGTACACACACTCTGGCGTTCAACCGACTGTGGATATATGCCACTACTGAATTCCAACCACGATAGCGTCTTCGCCGCATCTGACGGACAGTCGGAGTGGAGAGCTCGCGCGGTCAAGTCCTACTTAAGTTTATCTATCAGTTTCTCAGTCCGCTGTGTCACGACATTTGCCCAAAGGATGGCCACTTAATCGCGGTGCACCGGTATGTACGGCACCAGTATGTGAAGCGTCCCAGTGTTGGGTGTGTCCCCGTGGTAGCGTTATAACAGCAGCACTTTAACCCGTCGCTAAATTGGTCAGTGTCAACATATGTACATTACATACAGCTATACAGCCACTGTTGTACCAAGGGGTATGCTAGGCCGGTGCTGGTCAGGCTTAAACGGTTCTCAAGGTGTTTATCGTCTTAATTACGACATACAATGGGAAATCAACACTTTCACTCGCTAACCTGATGTATACATGTGTGTTAATCGCAGCTCTCTTAAGGGTCAGATGCTTCACCGGCAGACGCTTCCTTCCGATAACAATATGTATATTTGTGTTGTGTAATGGATGTGATTCCTGGTGGTGACGGTGAATAGTGGAGCACAATAATTAGCGTGGGTAGACCGAAAGTGGTGGACACGGTGTGTATTGTGTATCCGGTCAATGTATGGTGCGTTAGCATGCGTGGTTGGTGTTTAGTGTGTACTGGAGTGCGGTTAGTGTTGCAGCGGACTTTCCACATTATTTTGTTGTCATCATGTCATCCCTGACCGGTGTATGTGTTCGATACAGCTGACGATTATAGCATACACTGACCACTCCTGGAGAAAACATCGCCACCTGCAAGAGTGCGTGAAGAAATTTGTTAGCTTGTTTGCGTAGTGTACAGTTCCTTGGTGTTTATTTTTTCGTCTGGGTTGTGTTACATCAAATGTCATTATAAACGTACAGTAGAAATGTACTATCTACAGAAAACCTAAACCAACGAAGAATGCTGTTGCATAATGGTTATTTGGTAGCAGAAAAAGCAAAACTCTAAAGGGGAAAAAAGCTAGAATTTGCATTTTTTTGTTGCTGTAATTAGCATGATTACCTGACACTAAAACAAGCGGTCGAAACAATAACTCATTTCTGTTAGTATAAAGCAGTACAGCAATGACTTGGGCAATAATTACTGTAAAATGTCGCGTGCCGCACCTTATGCTGAGAGGGCATTAGATAGGTAAAAGTACAGCATATCGACACTTGGTTTACCTGCGCGCATAATTGTATATTTTTGGTATTAATTAGCATAGAACGTACAAATACGCAAAGAAGCATTATTTTGCAGCTAGAACCTTTTAATTTAAGCAAACTGCCAGTTGAAATATTTGTAATACACATTTAAAATACAAATAAAATCTCAAAACCCATAATAAAAAGTTTACTGTTTGGTTTGCATTTGCATGCGCAATTAGTCATGCATGGTTGGTAGTTACCTACACTCTACAGCAGGCTAAAAACGTTGACTAATGACATTATCATAATTTGTTTGTTTCAAATCAAGGTCATCATCTTCAGTAAATGTGTACACAATCAAACTGATGTCATTCACCATATCTTCCCTAGCCTTGAGGAATACATCATCTTTATGTAAGTAGCATATATGCACTTTCACATCGGCTTACATATTGCACTGACGTAAGTTACATTTTTGTCTTCTGGTAGAATATCTATCATCATAACGCAAGAGCTTAAAACATAAAAAGCGAATATAGGATTTGCCAAAACATTATGGTATAATTTGACAATACCTTTTACGTACTACGTGAAACATTATAAGTGAAAGCTTTTGTTGCGCAAGTTAAATAACTAATTGCCGAATGTACATATATGTTTAAGTAAAGAGTACGATCGAGTAAATGTTTTGACTATAAAATTTTAATTACACCAATTTGAACACATGCTTTTGCGTAAAACTGATTTCGCTTTGAAGCCGTTCATATTTTTTTCATATTAGCAGCCATACAGTGGTGCGTGCGCCTGCTAACAATATAACTAATATTTTATTTGTACTATGTGTCGACAACGTACGTGCCTGTACAAACATTTTACATCGCAACAATCATTCCCGATCATTGCACATTTGTAGAGTTCGTATAATTATGCAAATAAACCGTAGTGGCGACAATGAGCTCTAATTACTATATCGGCTTCATTGTCTCCATCATTCGCTAATGTGTCCGTACGATGGCTTAGCGGATGTTCGGACACCGCATGTACCGGTAAACGACACACGCTTTGTCACACATCTTAATCATGGGAAACTGTTCACATCACCATGCGGCGACCTCCGACACAAAGCGCCGGCTGAAGTGATGCAACTGTTGAACGTTCACAGCTGCAGTGGTCACTCGTTCTCCGCCGGCACATCGTCGTCCCGCTACACTCACAGTAAGTACGGTATACGCAGGCTTTACCGAAGTGCGACTGTAATATTAATTAAGGCGACTGTTTGTTTCCGCATCCGGCACTCTTCCCTATTTCTGCACGCGCTCTTGATGGCAATTGGTCAGAGCGGTTCTTTGGTGCGTCGGTTATGGTTCATCTGATGTGGAACTGTAGAAGGTTGATCAGCGCGACAACGCAGCTCATATATGCAAGACAACATGCACTGTACCGAGTACCTATATATGCAACTGTTATCACGTGATGAAAATAATATGAAATTAGCGCTACACTGCAATGGGCTAATTACTGTTAGCGCAAAACAAAGGGCAACAGCTACATGTTGAGAAAAATACGCTATTATGCTGACATCACCTACGCAGAAGACAATTAAGAAACTTGAGCATGTAACTGGGTCAGTGATTATCTGGTTGCTTCATATAAGGTGTCACTGCAGCTTGCGTGGTAGTTCGTGTATTGCTGAAATATATTTTACAATTGATGATGTTGATTAAAATGGATCTTCGTAATAGGTGTATAAGTCTATCATCCTTTTTACTAACCTTTTTCATATTATTATCTCATGTTAAAGGTAGGAGTCATGTCTTTTACAGAAACAAGTCCTTAATAATTAATCATGTCTTGTGCCGTGATTTGAACTAAGGGATTAAAAGTGATGACTGCCATTACTTATATCTATCTGGAGCGGTTTTTATAGGTCATGTTTTAACAAAGCGCAAGGCTGTGGATGTAGACTGTGTGGAAAACGGGAAATATTACAGAAATCCAGATTCCGGGCGCCGGAATTGTTATACGTATTATTTCTGCCTGGGAGGAACTGTGTTCGAATATGCTTGCGCAGGTAAATTTGTCCGCTTTTCGTGATACCGGAATAAAAATTCTCACGGAATGGCTGTGTCCGTAAATATCGTTCCACAAAATGTCGGTGAAAAGAGATTGGATATTCGTATATAAGACTGACCTTCATTGTCGGTCCTAATTCTTGGCTTAGGAAACGAGAAGCCACATATTATACATGACTACTGTATATGCAACTGCATTTACGTTTAACTATAACGGAAATGACATTTAATTTCCAATGCACACGAGTACAGAAAATATTTATTGCTGTCCGTGACCTTTAAAATTTCTGTTATCTATTTTATAGGTGGGCTTATGTTCGATATCCGGCAGCAGATCTGTAATTTTGAGGATCAAGTGAAAAACTGTGAAGATGGCAATGGTAAGAATTATGTAGCAACAACAAATCAAAAAATAATGTAATTCCTTACTCGCAAAATGGAAAAATTAGCGTGGCAATAAACAAATTACAGAAGCAACCAGTCCGCGTCCCAGGTTGAACACGATCGAGCCGATTTGCCCACCGGGTCAGCTGGCGTGTGCCGGTGGTCAGTGCATAGACAAAACCCAGTTTTGTGATGGAAACAACGACTGTGGAGATGGCAGTGACGAGTCGGTGTGCGATTTCAAGGAAGATCCCAATTTGGCGCCAACATGCAACCGTACGTTCTGTGAGCTACCCGATTGTTACTGCAGCACCGGTGGCGCTACTCCGCCGATAAAGGACATAACCACCATTCCACAGATGATCATTCTCACATTTGACGACGCTATCGTAAGTGCTGCCGTTTTCGAATTTTGCGATAATAACCTGATCTCGAATATGCACACAGAATGTACAAAACTGGGACCTGTACAATACAATATTTGCCGCCAATCGGACGAATAAGAATGGCTGCCCAATTCGTGGAACTTTTTTCGTGTCGCATGAATACTCAAACTACATGTAAGTGAAATAAAAATTTTAAACGATTTGTAAATTACGTCGTTTATCCCACACGGTGGAATTTATGTCGACCTTTAGGTACGTGGAAACCATGTGGAAAAACGGGCACGAAATTGCTTCCCACAGCATCAGGTGTGCTTTTTGTAGCAGCACTTGCTACTTCAGAACGTGCGAAGCCTTTTCACACTTTCGTTTGTTTATCTAGCCATCGGCAACCAGAAAAATGGTGGAGTAATGCATCCAAAGATGAATATACCGCAGAATTCGAGGGCGAACGCAGTATACTGAGCCAGTTTGCCAATATTCCCATGAGTGAAGTAAAGGGCATGCGTGTGCCCTTTCTGCGACCGGGATGGAACGCACAGTTTGACATGATGACCGACAGCGGCTTTTTGTACGATTCGTCAATTGTTGGTACGCAATATAATTTTAAGCTACATAATCAAAGAGCACGCAGTAGTAGTAGTACTTACTTTTAATCGGTACGAGTATTAAATGAATTATTGCGATATGTAGCTCCAGCATCAACACCGCCATTGTGGCCTTACACTTTGGACTTCCGCATTCCGCACAAGTGCAGCGGCTGGGAGCAGAAATGCCCCACCCGTTCCCATCCAGGTGTCTGGGAACTTGTCATGAACCAGCTACAAACTAAAAGGTCAGCAAGCACAGTAGATACTCAATCCCGAAGAAGTGTTTGACAATTTGCATGACTACTCACGCGACAGATTTTCATAATTTCATCGCAGATCTCGATTTTAAAATTTTGTACGAAGCACTAATGGTAAGCTGGTACGCTTGCATGTTATTACCGTATTAACATTTGCAGTGGATTCTGGTGCTCCATGATCGACAACTGTCCAGGTGAAACCAATGCCGACCGCATGTACGACTTCTTTATGACCAACTTCAAGAGATATTATGAATCCAATCGTGCTCCTTTTGGCTTGTACTTCCATACCTTGTAAGTCAAATATGCAATTTACGATAATTTAGGCGGCCCGCAAACAAAATTAGTATTCGCTTTGCTTCATTTACGCAGTGTACATTGGTGTGGTTTCTCATTTTTTTATGACCTTTATTAGATGGTTCGATCCAGAAGCCCACCAAAAAGCTTTCCTTCGCTTCCTGGACGAGGCAGTGGCCATGCCGGATGTGTGGGTGGTCACCGAATGGCAGTTGGTGGAATGGATGCGTAACCCCACCCCTTTAAGCCAAATCTCCCAGTTCGGACCCTGGCAGTGCAATGATCCCCAGGATATCCGTAAGCTAGTCGACCCGCCTTGCCAGATTCCTAACTACTGCCATCTCTCATCACCCGAAGTGAAGGGCGACCGTTACATGGGTACGTGAGCAGACCGGACCGCCCGGTTTCCGCTTGACCAGTCGCGGTGCACTGCTTTAATTAATTCAACCGTTTGATGATCGTTGGGTGTTGTTTTTTTCTCCCACAGCCACATGCAATGCATGTCCGTCACAGTATCCGTTTCTGAAAAACCCATCCGGTCAAGACTGATCAGTGCAAGGTTGTTCGCTGCAGTGGACCGTGTCCGTTAAGCCCCGGCAACCCTGTATACGGCATGCATGACTGGATGAAACTGTATTAATTAAGTAAAAAACTGTATTACGTACGCCACGTACGTACTGCAGTGCAGTATGCACTATGCACGTTTGTTCTCGGTAGCTGGTATACTACACAAGCTTTTTATGTATATAAATGCGATATTAAAAACGTGAAACAGCTTTCATGATCGTTCGCTACATGACCTTTTGCCAGAGCACATGTACAGAGTCAGAGCAAAGACTGTATATAACGTACTTTTGTCACACGCTTTAATTGTCATACCATTTCCCATTAGCATTTAAAATTGCGCTTCTACCAACTGCTCACTTAACTGCAGCAAACTCAAAAAATCCGTACTTTATTTCAAAAGTATGGTTACATCGTTGCTTTATAGCATTTTGGCGTACTGTGGTAGGTGGTCCTGCAGCATTCGCGCGTGCTGTTCTGAGACTGCGTGACAATCGATATTAAGAGTTTACGGATCGTTCAACATTTTTATAAGCCCCAGCGTAAGCTCAGGAGTAATTTTCAATTTTTCGTAAAATATAAAACGAAAAAGGGTACGTTAACTTTAACGGCCGGAACAGCTACTCGTGAGCACCTACTCGCATCCATAACAACCCGTAGCCGAAAGCCTTGCCGAAACAGTACGTAATAGCATCGTAAAAAATGGCTAAACTGATTCACGTCCGGCTAGTAGCAAAGTTCATGTATCAGATATCGATCTTTCACCGACATTTGATTACATTTTCATCAGAGTCTTTATTCCAAGTGTTTCCAGTGTGCATCACAAGATGACAAAATATCTTGTTGACTGTGTTTTTTGCGGCGCTGTCCATTATACTCATGTCAAAACATATTTAATTTTGATGCTTGCATGTCTGTAAAACAAACGTCTATGAGAAAGTGCGGACGGAGAGTACAAACTGAACGAGATTTCGTTATATGTAGCTAGGCGGTTTTTTTTATATTGTACGCACAGGTTACTTGTAGTTAAATTCGGTACTGTGATGAAGGTGCCGAATGTAACCTTAGTTTAGTATTACCGAACACAGCGTTAGTTCTACAGTGGAGCATTTTTCCGTGTACCTATACCGCAGCCCGCCCTTGTACGGTTGTACCTATACCACCAATTTCATCCCTTGATTGGTGTTTGTGTATATGCTTATTGGCCGAAGAAACTTTCGAGTTTTTCCTGTGGGGTTTCGGTACAGTGATTCCAGGCACGAGGCTTCCGCGTGGCTTTATTTTCAGATTCCAGCTTATTCCGTGCATTAATTAAGTATACACCATTATTTTCGAACGCTGCAGCTGCAGATTCATGTAAAACATACACAGCGAACTTATCCCGTTAATTTTTAAATAAACACCACCGTAGAACTGTCCCTTCGCATGCAAGTCGTACATGATGGTACCGAAGTACCTATGTTTGAGTTTTTGAGACATGGTAAAATTAGTACGGGCACTCGGACAGATCATTCAGTGGATGCTGGCTGTGAGATATTGGCGCAATTAGATTTTGCTCATTGTAGAAACCCACACGTTCAGAATTTTCCCAGGTCAGACAACCGTGGGAACTGGGAGCGCTTGCTCAACGCATACGAGTGGTTTCTGTTCAAAACATCTGCTGATGAAATTAAATGACCGCTGTCCAGCTCTGATGTGAGAACAGAAATCTTTCTTTATAATTTCACCAGAAAGAGCTACTAATTACGGTTCTTCCAGTTTCGCGTTTCTCTTTCCGATCCTAATGTGGCGCGACGAAGTCATACAGATCAAGCCGCAGCGTTGTTATCAGAATTACGGTGCCCAAATTACAATCTGAACTTGGCGTAAACCGCCGCGTAATGGCAAGAGAAAGAAAGGAACTTGTAATTACTTAACGTGCCCAATGTAGAAATGCAAGCGGTGCTGGAGAAGCAATCCGTGCATTCGCTATTACCGAATTCGATCCAAATTAGCGGCTTACGCAAAATGCACGTCACATTCCTGGCAAGCGTCCATATGTATATGATGTATGTATTACTATCTGACCACAAGTCAACGATATGTGCGCTGTTTTATGCTTGACCATTGCAGCGTGACCATGCACAACCGGTTACGCAATACCAATCTATTCTGCATCAGTTAATCGCCAATCACAATGGGACTAATTGTGAGATACGAACGCCGCCATTACATACACGTCCACTACATTTTCCCATAAACACCGTGCAACATATCATATATGTAACGACAGATTGTAGTGTGTTATTAAAAAAGAGCAGCCAAAATAGCCAGTGCGGAAACTGCACTATCCGCCTGAACAATTCACGTCAAACACCATTGTGACGGACGACAAGAGAGTTTGAGGTCAGTAAGACAGTGAGTCTCTCTATTTCTGCCGCTATCAGTGTCTCTCTGTGGAATCTTTGTTGCGCTTCAATTAACAACAGCTACTGTAAGTGTATTGTACACTCGTGCAGTAATTTCTCTCTGTTGTGGCAGACTGAGTGAAAACGGCGTGTTTGCAATTAAATGGTAACAATACCTTATGGCGCAGTAATATTGTCATTTGGCCAGATTTCTATCTTGGTTGTGTAATCGATCGGTTTTATGCATTTCTCCTCCAGTCGTCAAAATCCTGTTTGGGCCCATTATGAACCGTATTCTGTGGATTAATTTGCCACCATAATCAGTATACTCGGCATTTTGCGAATTGCGCGTTATATACGCGCCCTTTGCCGGTGTTTTAAGTGTCGTCCACATTTTTACGCTTTTTTTTTGTCATTTCACAGAAAATCTTACAAGTTTAATTTTTCTGCGCTATTCATATTGGAAAGCTTAAGAACGAATTATCTATATGGAATTATGGAATGCGATTAGAAAATTCAGTATTCAAGGATCCTGCGAAAATGGCACGGATATGACAAGGATCGCTCAAACTTTCCGCCACAGCTTAATGCACTGACCAGGTAAATTTCCGATATACGATATGCTTTCGTCGCCGACACGACACTTTCCTATTGCAGCTGATATACGAGTATTACATGTCATAGATACCTGTTGCATGAGTGGTTAATGCTCACCTACCAGTTTACCGTAATTGTTGTTATTGACACGTTTTTCTTAACCGATACTTTTAGGCCAATCGATGAAAACCAGATTTTCTATGCTTCTATAGCCATGTAATTATATCGCAACTGGCGCTGGCGCGCTATATCCTTTGTCCAAAACTTAAAGGTGTTACCGAAAAAATTAAAGGAATGTTGCATATGTTCGTGCGTGTGTTGTGAGAACTTGCTAGAATACTTGTATTGTAAGTAGCGGTTGTATTCATTCACGGAATGTTCTACGGGAAGCCCTCAGAAAATTGGCTGCAGGAAAAATGTATTGTTAGCGTTAATCAGCTATTTTATCTTTTAAAGTTGAATTATTGCGCAAAGTACCATTTGAAATATGTGAATTCCACGTTTTACATAATGTTTTGCAGACATGTATATGTTGTGTATTCCTGTTTTTTTCTGAAGTATTTTGATACATAATCATACGCCACGCAGTATTTCAGCACTGCGACGCTCAAAAACTGCCAAGTGAGTTCTATACAGAGCGCGGGAGTGGTTTCAGTTTCAGTGAAGGCAATTCAGTACACTGGAAAAAGGAGTCTGTAAATTATATTCCGGCGGCGGCAAAAATTTTTATAGGCGGCGGCAAAAGTTTTTATAGTTTTAGATCACTGAAAACATAGAATATGGTAGAAGTACAGTCGACCGAATTCCGTAATTGGTAATTACTGTCTTAACCTGATAGTTACAATTAATTTGTGAACCCATAAAGGAAGTTTAGAATCGATTATATCGTTAAAGTTTAGAGGACAAGAAGTGCTTCGAGCGTCGGGCGGGTACGTGCTTTTATATAAATTATGTCGAACATCCGGCCTAAAAAGTTCTGGACCATGCGGTTATTGATAACCGACGTCAGTTTTGACAGAATTCATGTTTTATTTATCGTTGCTGCTGCGTTCATTCAACAAAATAAATGCTTTAGGAGCATAGATTTACTGGTAGGTGATTACTGTCAGTGTAAGACTGTTAGGTAACGATAATTATTTCCGAAATCGAGAGTCTGATTTCAGATGATTAATTTGGTTTGTTAAACTCCGGCAAGTTGTGTCGTCAAGCGCTGCTCAGAAAATGTCAAACCACAAATTACAGTTGAACAAATTAATCGGGTGAAAGGCACCGAAAGCGTAATCATTTGCTTACTCGAATTCACAAAACATTGTAATCAGGCAAATTTACCCAGAATTCAGAAAGCAAAATATTAATGTTCATATACGGTATAACAGTATCGGTGCACAAAAATTTTCTAGGGAATTTTAAATTTTAACACAGATGGCTCTTAAGAGTTTTGATTGACAGTATGATAGTACTAGTCTGCAAAAGGGTCTCGACTAAAAAATGACGAATCTCCTAGAGGGTCCATACTCATAGCGTTTAGCCAAAACTGAGTATATCCATATTAAAACGCAGGCAATTCCGGCACCGGATATGACTGGACAATGTGGAATGAATCAATCGCACAGCCGTAATAGAAATAATTAACATTGGTCAGAGGCGCCATGTAGCAGTGACAATGCAATGTGCACTGCCGCACTTATATACCCTAAAATTACCAAAAATGATACATTTAACCATCATTTTGTCTGCTTTTTAACTGCACCATCATTAGTGGTCGCCGATTTATTATTTAAAAAAGCCCCGCGTAGGCTGTTATATTAATGCACGGGTGCGCCTGACCGAATTCGTTGCACTCTCGCTGATCGTACTACGACTTTGCCGGTACAACGAATCACTGCAATAGGACTGATTATTTGTCGCAGGTCTGCTTACATGTATAACCTAAACACTAATCAGTTTTAATTGCATATTTATGAGAACATAATGTGTATAACGGACCTGGTGTAAAAACACCGGCGAGCAAAGGAGAGAAAAACTGCCTTTAAACTATGACGGTTTTTCATTATTTACTATTCAGTGACCGGCGTGCATTGTAGATGCGCCATGGTTGAACCTGGTCATCTGGTATACTGTATTCGCTGAGCGGAAAATTAGTTCTAACGCGGACAAAATGGACGGTGTTTTTGGATTTTGGACCATACTTGTTCTGTTATTATTTGGTAAGTCAGCATAGTCCACAAACTCCATTGAACCGGAACGTGTTTTTAATTTTGCCTATATAACTGCACTTTCAAATTTAAATTAGTTCAACTTGTAGTTCTAGTGTACAACAAAGTACAGCGTGAACGTTGTGCAATTTAGTAGAAAAATGTTTCGGCAACTTTACATTTCTCAGCAGGTACGCAGCTAACATCCGGTGCAACTTTCGAATGCCCATCTCGATTTGGCTACTTTCCCGACAAAACGGAATGTGCAAAATATTATATCTGTAATTTCGGATTCGGTGTGCAGCAGGAATGTCCCAATGGATTACAGTTTTCCACGCGATTAAGAAACTGTGATTGGGCGCGAAATATCAATTGTACCCAGTATAACGGTAAGCGCATTTCCATGCTACTTGATTATAAAAGGAAGCACGATACATATGCGCTAGCGATAAATACATTACGTATACGAGTACATTATCACCTTTCAAAACTTTCTTTCTTAATAACTAAATTTTTATTGTTTATTTTTACCTGTCATGAAAAGGATTAACAACGCTTTTCTTCTGTCACTCAAAAGAAAACAGCCAGCAGTAAGTACCATTGTAACATTATTAAAATATTAAATTCGGAACATTTTATTTCCTCCAACTGACCACTAGGAAGGCTTCACAAATTAGCGCCTATTTGTGGTCGAAGTAAGCAATATAGGCGTATATATCATGGTATATTCTGCAGGAGTTATGAGTGATAATTTCATTTCCGATCTAGTCATGACCGTTCAGTAATTCTGACCATTCTCTAAGCTAATAGCTTTTATATTTATTAAAATTTACAATGCACCAGCTATAATTTACATTAGATTTTGTTATGTGCAGCAAACAGATTTCATTTATACATGCTGCGCTGGAGACATAATCGTACAGTACTGTACTTTAAAAACACGTGCTTAACAGTTACGACGAAGATGAGAATTATTTGATCGCTCAAGTTACCATGCGATGTATGTGTTTGCATTAATTTTTGACCTCTGAAATGCGCTTAACTTGTTAACAGCTACTACTCGTAGTTATAAAACGTGCTCCTCTTGTCCAGGTTATGCGTATCGTGAAGGTGAGGACAACCTGCCGCCTGATACAACCGAGGTCTCCACGACACCGGAACTCTTCATCTTTCCCTTGAACAACACACGTTTCACTCAAATCTTTGCTCAAACTAGTTAGTATAATAAAAGCACTCTTAACTTAATCGATCATTACATGCAATTAAGGCTGTCCGCATACCGGAACTTTTTTCTCTTTTTGCCGATCTAGCACAACGCACAGGTATTACGAAGAAGCCCAAACTGCAAATATGCCCGGCGCCACTGTGTACCAAGTCCAACTGCCAGGCACCCGGCTGCCGGTGCGGTTCCGCCGATCCGCCCAATGTCATGGATCCCGACGACATCCCGCAGATGATCCTGGTGACCTTTGAGAATGCCATTACTGACTGGGCGATGAGTGTGTCCGAGAATACGTTCACCGATGCAAGGAAGAACCCCAACAATTGTCCCATTCGGGCGACATACTTTGTCTCACACGAATGGACGGATTACTCCAATGTCCAGAATCTAGCTAACCAAAGGTCACGAGATTGCTGTTTTGGGAATTTCGTAAGTACCAGTTTGATCAAAAGTTAGATAAAATGCAGTTTAATTTGAGTACCGTTTCGCTCCTCCTTCGAGTAATCTGAAACGTCGTAGAAAACATACCGTTATACTGCAGTTAACTTCAAATAAATACGTAATTACTGAGTCGCGTATATATTTAGGCAGTACAAGCGAGATTATAACTTTCCCTTTTGTGAATTCAGTAACAACTAATAACCAATTTCGTTTTCTTTTTTTGACTTCTGTATACGAATACGTTTACTCGCAGCTCGTGAAATCGCTTCTCTACAGCCAATGTTCTTGGATATAAAGTATACAAAAACAATAATAATATGGATTTTGTACAGCGCACCTTTCGATTACAAAAAGAGAGAGCGAAAACCCGTCAGTTCCTTCCTTAGGTTTTGGTTTTATGTTCGCACAAGTCTTTTTCATGCGCAATTAGCTCTGCATTGTAGCCGAAATAATCTCTGGTGGTTAGCTATAAATATAAAGTTCAACTCGTGATCATTTTATGTGGATCAGCTTTTATTACCTGTCCAATGTTTTTAGTGCATCAAAATCATCGTAAAAGAAGGTTACTACCCATAAATGGTTTCGTACTGGTATTAATGGACATAATTATGAGCTTAATTAGAACTATTTTACGGCTTTTAATAAGCATATAATCATCATATTGTGACAAAGTTTTCAAGCGCCAGCTTTACCGCAGACGCCGTTGATGTAATTGGCAAGAATAAGCTAACGGAATCTGGCAATGACCGTTCAACTGGTGCACACTGCGCCAGAGGACGAGAATTCTCAACAGTTGCCCCCCGACTCGAACGATTAAACGGAATTAATTGTTTTCCAGTTATTCGGAAGTTTTATGTGTACCCCCGGGTTGATCTGCTTTATATTAATTAATTATGTCGTCGCTCCCTGAAATATAGATTACATAACGGAACTGCCTAGACAAAAATCAAACAGTATCGTATGTGCTTGGGTAGTACGTTAACTTTCGCGTTAAACAGCGGGTGCCTTGACATCGCGTAAGGTTATTTTTAATATGGTAATCTGAATTTTGTCAATCATAATTTCGGAGCGTAGAAGTATGAAAAACCTATTTTGAATATCACTTAGCAAACAGTATTCACATCGGCAGACTTCCTAATCAAAATCCGTATATTCCAGTTAAGTATTATACAATACAAGCCCAGCACGGATGAATACTGTCTTAGGATTTCGAGCATGTAAAAAGGTTAACTGCATATGTATTAAATAATGGCACGATGTTTATTACAATAAGGAGGCATGAACAAAATAAACAGGCGTGAGCAGAACCTGTTATTTTTGCTATTTCGCAGTTCGCTAATTTCAATGACAATTCGATATAATAACACATAGTAACAATCTGGGGATTTACAAACAGCCCATGTGCTAAGCTAATGGCCTGTATGACAAGCTTTTGAGTGACCACTGGACTGTGGGAATTGGGCTTTTCAGAAATTTGAAGATGCAGGATTACTCTCGACACTGAGAGGATTCTGTAGAACTTTAGAGCGTGCAGATTGGATGTGTAGAACGGGAGAACATTGAGTACAACGGCAAAGTGTCGAGGACCCTTGTCACGTAGTTAGTATTCATATAACTACGAGCAATAATAATTAACAACGTCAGGCTTACTGCATTTATTTTTCAAGTGCCTAACATTCCTAATTTTCGCAAGTAATATGAAGTATTTGATTGTCAACGGTGACATACAAGTTCAATACTTTGGAAAATTAAAAAACATGCGTAGCCAGTGCACGCTTCTTTCAAAAACGTAATTAAATAATTTAAGAGAATGTTTAATCTGCTCCTCTCAATGCAAAAGCGTTTGCTTGGCTATGATATACTTACATATATAAATACACCACATTGTTATACAAAATATGACAATTATCTGTTCTGTTTAGGCTGGAATTTAAAAACAACCGTTCACTGGAATCATGGGAAGCCGAAACGCAGGGTCAGCGGAAGATCCTCAGCAAATTCGCCAACATCCCCATGACGGACATTGTCGGGATGCGCGCTCCCTACTTGTCCATCGGCGGCGATAATCAGTTCATGATGCTGTACAACAACGAATTCCTCTATGACTCCTCGATGCCGGTCTTTGAAAGTGAACCACCCTTCTTCCCTTTTACATTAGACTGCCGCATCAACAACGACTGCATGATCGATCCCTGCCCGAACAACTCTTTCCCCGGCATCTGGGAGATGCCCATCGTTATGTGGAACGATCTGTCGGGATCACGGTGTAATATGGTGGACCAGTGCACTGACGCGGAGAATTACCAGGAAGTGTACGAACTCTTGATGTCCAATTTTGAACGACATTACACCACCAACCGCGCACCGTTCAACATTTTTGTCAGTGCTGGCTGGTTCGCCAAAGAGATGAACCAGCGAGCGTTTCGCGGGTTTCTGGATACGGTATTGGATAAGACGGACCAGGCCAAATACCGTGATGTGTACTTCGTCACGATGAGTCAAGCGATACAGTGGATGAAGACGCCGGTCACTCGCTTCAATGCCAAAACCTTCAAACCCTGGCAGTGCACCGATACGCCCAAGACCCCGCCCTGCACAAAGCCCAACCAGTGCACGCCGTGGTTCGAGAAAAACAAGGAGATCCGTCCCTTCAAAACGTGCCGGGAATGTCCTAAAAATTATCCATGGGTTGGTAATGAAGACGGTCATTGAGACGGTGTGTGTGTGTCACGCATTCCGATCAATTAACACATTAACAACCCGATTACATACTAATCGGCTTGCGCACTGCCATATACGAGATAAAAGGGGATTGCAACAGCCAATCAGCGTGATGGATGGACATGATGGTGTCAGTCCTTTTAGGCTAATTTGGCTAATTGGTCCAATCGGAAGCGTCTGCTCGATGAACCTGATGCTGATCTGTTTTTAGCGGCCAGCTGCTCGTTGGAACGCGTGTTTCGCTTCAACGCGCATTGTTATTCTAGTCATTTGGCAAACAATCTGTGTTCTCTTTAAATCTTGATTTTGTTGTTGTTGACAAGTATTCTCTATTTTTGTCTACCATTTTAACTTTACCCGATATACAGCTGCCACGGAATGGTTCTGTACGGCAGCGTGTCTACATATGGTGAATTCTTCAGTATCTGAGACTGAGTAAAAATGGCAAAAGAAGTGTGATGCTAATTTTAACTACATTAGACTGCATAAATGAGACGTTTGGTGCACGACAACGCGAAACATTTATTTCGACGTTCTGTTGTTGTTAGGTCGTCAGGGTGTGGCTCGTGTGAGACGGAGTCGGTCTCAGCTTCGTACAGTGACATTCAAAACATTTTGGTTTCTGGGAGACACGATTTTTATTCCCGAATTCAATGCTATAAAACTCATATTCGCCATAAAAGTTTGGTCTTAGTTTTGCCAGTGTTCCCTGAATTCGTCGTCACTGGTGTTAAGTGCTAACTTATCTACTATCTAATCAACTGGAATCGAAGGCCTGAAACAGAATACTGTATACTAGTGGCGAGAGCAGTCTTTGACTGCTTCGGCCGTGTGACTGTCACCGAGACGATTTGACGACAGACTTGTCAGCGGTGCGGTTTCCGGTGGGGTCGGTGGGCGTCGTGACGCCTTCGCAGTGCATTCCGATCTTCTATTGCAGTTGATGCAGAAGACTAAAATTGTCGTGGCACGTATAGTATTCGCACTTCGCAGGGCGAATATAACTTTGTTCCAGAAAACGCACAGGCAATTTTAATTTACGTACTAATTTGCGTTTGAATCGTATTGATTACAATTTTAAGACGCCGTACGGATATATCTGCCACTACAAGCGCGGCTGTTGTTTTTCTTTCAAAGAAAAGTACGAGTACTAACTACAAAACTAGAGAAAGGAAGTGAGCTCCCCGCTGCCGCACAGTGTGCACCGATACCGTGGTTATAAAATTACACAGTGCAGTCGGTGGCGAAGTGGAGAATGTTTACGAGAGAACAAGAAAACTGATTCGCCTTTCTAAAACGCATAACTGCTGCTGATTGGATACTTGCGACCTGTTGGATTTTGTTCTTTGTTTGTTTTAAAAACAAATAATAATGTCAAAAACACATCACTGGACGGTCATCGTGGTATATGTAATAACTCAGCGATATCACTTTTCCATATAAAAAGCGTGACTGGAACTGAATAGCGGCAAAAGATAGTGAAAGTTTTGGTGTAATTTCCCTAACCAGTAGCACGAATACATGAACAGTGTGCCCATAACCTCAATGCCAACGAACACCGGATATCAGTTTCTTTTTATTTGTGCCACGCCATCACTGTTTGCACCAGGCAACGCCATCGGAAAAGAAAAAGCAAAAAACATCTGACAGAGAAACGAGACAACCACAATAACAAACTGTGCCCTTTTACGCCTCCATCACTTCCCCGTCAGTAATCCCGAAATCAGGATAAAACGCCGGGCAAGTGAGGCACGTGATCATGTAGTTGCCCCGCATCTCTGGTACGGCCCCCTCCAAATTACACCCGTGCGGCTCATCACACACCGGCACCGGATTGGGCTGCGGGCACTTCCAGGGATCAAACCCGCCAATCTGGTCCAACGGTGTCGGATTCTGGATCCACTGGATGGCCTGCGAGGCGGTAACGAAGAAGACGTCCTTATGTGTGGTCAGCGTCGTATCGATCCACTGCATGAGACCCAGGAGGTGTTCGGGGACGAACCAATTCGTAGACATGGACAGGACCAAGGGGGCACGGTCGGTGGTGTAGTACTTCTGGAAGTTCTTATCCAACATGGCCACCATATCCTGAATGCTTTCCGCGCGGGAGCAGGAGCCGAGGACGGAGCAGGTTTCGTCGTATACACCGGCCAGCGTGTTGAGCGGGATTTCCCACAGACCCTTGAAGGGGCGAGCCGGGCACTGGGCCTGCTTCTCCGGAGGCCAGCAGCGGTGGGGGACGCGGTAGTCCAGGGTGTAGGGCCAGATGGGGCTGTCCAGGGGCTCGATGGCGATACTGCTGTCCCATTTGATGCCGTTCTTGGCCATGAAGTCGAACTGGGCGTTGCCGGCACCCTTCAGGTACTGCATGCGCATACCGGTCATGGTGTTCTCGGGGATGCGGCCGAATTTGCTGATGATCTTGCGCTCACTGACATAGTCTTTGACCAGTTTTTCCTGGGTGGCTTTAGTCCAGTACGGTTCCAGACGATCCGTACTACAAGAAGAAGTATTACCACTGTGTGAAAAAAAGATCCAGAGAAGCCTGTTATTGACGAAAACTGACACAATTCAAAAAAGTAAAAGAGAGAAGAATATAACAAACTATAATCAAAGCTCTATAATAAAAACTTTGTAAATTTATGTACAATTTTGAAGTATAATTTATTTACATATATAGTTAGACATTACCTTTTTTTATAGAAAACTATTTTAATTATGATGTTTTTGATATTAAATTTATTTGCAATTATAACACGCTTAGTAATCACATATTTTTACAGAAAAACAGAGTAAAATTTTTATCGGAAATCCTTACTCGACTCCTTTGAGAGCGATTTCATTGCCGGATTTGGCCAGCTTCTCCAGATACTGGTAGTTATTGAAAACGTGCGTAACGAAGAATGTGGCCTTAATGGGGCACTGCTGGCCAGGATTGGTGCGGTTGGCCGTGAAGATGGCGTCATAAATAGGAATGTTGTTGTCGTTGATGGCATCTGCAAAACAGACTTCTCAAACAGCGCTCGTCAAGACAACCCCACTGACTAACCGTACCGTCGAACATGAGCAGCACCATCTGCGGCACCTGGTTGACCGGCATGTCGTCGGGCGTGGAGGTGCCCTTTTGACTGCAGAAGCAGTCAGGTAATTGGCAGGCATCGCGGTTGCAGGGTTCCGCGCGCTGCGGATCCTCATCGATACCGCACACCAGTTCATCACTGCCGTCGGAGCAATCATTGTTGTTGTTGCAGAACAGTTCTTTCGCCACACATTGACCACTGGCACAGGCGTAGTCCGTCTTGGAGCAGTTGGTGTTCTCGAACTGCGGATGCGGTGTGGTCGCTGGCTTCCAGTCATCCTCTGTGGAAAAAAAGCAAATATCGCTTTCTATACGAAACTAAAAAGTGCAGAGAAAAAGGTTACGAAACACATGGCAATTTTGATATTATCGTTTAGACACCCTCACAAGACGGCAATTTCAAAGTGGAGATGCCATCGCACTACATTATATCTATCCAAAATTTTTTTATGAGTACCAATTAGGCCAAAATTTTCAAACTATGCAAGGAGAACTTGTGCAACCCTGCTGAAAAATATCCACCATCTTAACAAATCCCATAAAAAAATGAACAAATAACTATCCCGGAAAAGGTCATAATGCGCATACGGCCGGCTTACTTGTGTCCAGAGCGCAGTTTTCGTCCGTCACAGCCTCAGGCGAACTGCATCCCTGAAGGACAATATCGAAGTTGGTCTGCGGTGAGCAGCTCAACTGGAAGACCGTGCCGCCGACACACCGGTAGAAGTTGCGACACTGCTTCCTCAGTTCTTCCACGGAGCCACGCGGCCGTTGGGGATTCCGATAGAAACCGGCTACTTTCAAGCAGGTGGCGGCTTGAGTGAAGGAGAATTGCCTTTTCGCTCGCAATAGTGGATTTCCCATCACTGAACAGCACATGTACACTTTAGTCACTTAACAAAAAACAACGTGATGTTGTACTTCTTCATCGCCAGCAAATTCAGAATAAGAAAAAACTGTAATCGGAAGTGCATTCACACGCCAAAAAAGATAATAATACAGTTACCTTTTTCGGTTATTATTTCTGTATAAAGAAGGTCTCGTCATTGATCTCCAGTTTCTGCTAACCGGAAGTAAAATACCGAACACCATTAATCAGAAACAAATTATCATACAAATATTCCGAAAAAAAACTAAGCCAGTTCTGGCAAACATTTTTACATACAATTATCAACACTTATTTTAACTCGAGCGTGTGCCGATTCTGCTTACCATATCCACATCCAACAAGGATAAATAACAAAGAAACAAAGGAAGCCATGGTTTACCGGGGCTGCTTTCCGTAAAAATAATATTTTACGGAGACCGATACAGCAGCCAACCAACGTGACCAATAATAATATAAATCCACGTAGCTGACTTTCGATCAGAACGGAATGGTGTTTGGCCGGCGGAATGGCAGCGGAAGAACTAATTAATATTATATACCCCACTGCATTATATAGGTCTTTGGGCCAATGCTTTCGAAATAACTTGGCACACAACGTGTGTGCTGCAGTGCTAAATCATCTGCTCGTCATCAGACCTTCATTTAACCAAACCATGTATTCTGATCCAAAAAGCCTCAGCGTACTGTATTACAATGCTTACAACCAACAGAAAGAGAAATTCGGATAAACCTGCCGTGGAAAATTGAGTTATGAGGCCAAATAACATGCTCACCAACGTTGCCCGCAGGTCACAGCGGCCACCAACAATTATCAATGATTTTGCACGATAATGCATACCACGTCTTCCTGATATGATGAAATTCTTTTGAATAGTTCTAAACAAAAATTTTCAGTTGGTGTACACCGAACTGGTGACTGCAATACTGACGTGAAAAAAGTTGCATTCCAAAGAAAAAAATGTTCTATTTTTTATTTAAATTTTTTATTTTATTGTTACCTCTTGTTTCCACTTAAATAAAAATTTTAAGATAAGTAAGTATTTTTCAAAAATGCAAACAAAAGAGTCGGAGAATCAACATCTGCAAGGCTGCACTGGAAAATGCACTACGTAGTACTGAATGTAAATATCAATAAAATGCAAGAAAATCCAATTTCCCTGCAGGAAATTGCTTTTAATCAGACTCTTACATGCAAATGTACCCATCATTACGAAATTTGCATTCCAGTTTAATCGTTCATAAAACAGAGAGAACGGCATTAGAACAAGAAAGTCATTATATTCCATCTGTAAACTAAAACATCAAGGAGAAGTCCCAACATGTAACTCAACCTTATGGCCAACTCTTGCAAAGAATTTTACAAAACAACCAAACCTTCCGGTACAGCTGAGAGAACCATCCACTTAGGCAACGTAATTATATGTGGCCTGATCATCGCGATCCCGTGCCATATAATCCCGCTCAATTAGACTTTCAATGCGCTTCTTCAAATCATTCGGCGTCACAGGGAAACGAAGCTGCTTGTAGATTTCCGATAAAAGAATGGCATGTTTCAGGCTTTTACGAGTCTTCATAATCCTCACTGAAAAAAAATAAACTTTCAGAATTTGTTTAAAAATAAGACAAGATTGTATCAGCAGGAACGTCTTATTAAGGACTATTACAGCCTTATAAACAAAATAGAAAGATCATGGGAAAAGAAGGACTATACTCGCTTACCAATAGCAGCATCAATCTGATACTGACGATCCATGAAGATACCTTCCTGCGTCTTTTGCTCTTCTTCCGGCTGCAAATTAAAAAGTTACATTATTTCAAATTAAATCAGTAATATCGCATTAAAGCATTAAAGCTGATATGCGACGTTCATCGTTGCGGTAGAGAATATCAAACACATGCAAAATTGCAAATAAAAGTTGAATCACATAATTTAATTTCTGTAAAATTCTTACTGTCTCCTGAGCTTGTGTCTGGTTGATCTTTATCCGAAACTGTTTGGCCGTATACGTATCATTATAGGTGAACGTATCCGACACACTGACTGCGGTCTGGCTTCCACTCTTGTTAAGGACCCCTTTGATTTTGGGAATCGTAAGGCTCACCATCACCCGCTTTAATTCCTCCACCTCAATACTAGTGGCCTGCTGAATCTCCTGGAAACCCAGCTCATCCACATTGTTGAACAGCAACAGCACCACCGCCTGCAGCTGCGACACTTGCAGCTCCTTCTTCCCTTTGGGGAAGTAGGCACTCAACCGGCACTGCCCCAGATTGTGGATCCACTGCAGTTTCCGTCCGTTGTGATTGGACAGGTAGAAATTCTTAAATGTATCCAGATACTCCGTCATCTCGGGCGGCAGGGTCACTTCCACCACGGGATAATTCGGCCAGATTCCCTGGGTCAGGACATTCACCTGGACGTCAATGCCCGCGTGCTTCCATTTGGTCAGCTGCTCCTGAAAACTTGACGCCTGTTCTTTACTGACTTCGATATCACGGAACATACCCTCCAGACGACTGGTGAACGCGCTACCGCATTCCGTTTTCAGCTTTTGCAACATTAATTTCTCGGCATCCACCGACGCGGATAGATTTAACAGGAGACGCTTGGCTAGGTCTTTTTTGTAGAAAGCTTCGAAAACATCCTTACCTAAACGATCACATTGCTAAATCATCACATTGCAAAATTATTATCACTGCATTTGTCTTCATCTAAATTCAAGCCCAAGAATTTACCAAAATTAACCACTTTTCCTTAATAATTCAAAGTAATATCACCGACTTTTTCTCCCCAGCTTTTTTAAAATGAAAAATACGTGAAACGCTGCACATTTTATATTTCAATACTTATTAAAATAAAATTTTCTAGGGTAGCTGTTTGAACGAGTGCGACAGAAAACGTATTAACTCACCATGAATATATCGGAAAAGAATCAAAAGGCGATCCATCAACATTTCCAACTCCTCTTCCGAAACCTCTTTATTTCCCATCTTCAATTTGGAATCAACAAATTTCGCGATCATCTCCGCCGGCTTATTGGCCCGCTGGTTGATAAAATGCTCAAATCCTTCGCGAGCGGCATCCTTGAAGTTAGGATCACTGCTGAAGCAATTCTTCAGGATGTCATCCGTCTTGCTCTTCAGGACGAGCATGTTAGGAACCATATCTTTATCCTGCTGCTCATCCATGACGATAACGCGACCGCGGCGCTTAATGTAATCACAGAATGCTCGATGCAATTCCGACAGGCCGGTGGCCGTGCGGGAACATAACTGATACATGAGACTCAAATCTTCCATGCGCTTCTCGTCCATCAACAAGTCCGTGCCAGCGGCGATGACGGCGGATTGATGGGTCTGAATCAGTTCCTGTTCGACAATGGGAATCAGACGTTTCCGTGTGGACAGCTGCAGGTAGTTCTCGATTCGTTGTTCCTCTTCATCCAAGCTACAAAGCAATAAAAAATTAATATCGAGACTTAAAAAAAACCTAAATAAGTAAGTAACAGTAAATAATACTGTAAATAATACATTTCAATAAATATTTTCATTTCTTTTGACACTTTTTTACCAAATTCCCGAACAAGACGAGAAGGAATTGTTATTTATTATTATACTTTTACGTAAAGCGAAAGATGGCGAAACGTCCTTCACTCAAATTACTTAATGGAAGCGAAAATTATGACAAACCAAAAATCCTTAAAAATCTCACCGTTTCTTGACGTATTTGAGATACGAAGAAATATCATGTGTGGCCAGATACTCGCGACTCTCCATACTGTACATGGTCTGAGTATCCTTCAAGAACAGGCCTTCGAAGGGATTCTCATACAGTGATAAATCCGCCAACATCCGGATGATATTCTTCAGCAAACCCTTGTTCACCTGATCGCCACTGCGTTCCCTTTCAATGGACTTTAGTAATCCATCAAAAATTTTCTTCTCCGTGCTCTGCGCATTGACTACAAAATTACGGCACATCGCGATGCCCATATCCCAGATGGTCGGCACGTCGGCTCGTTGGAGGCAGTATGTACGATCCAAAACCAGAAAAATACAACGGATCAACTTGATCTTGGCGCACAAGTCCTGCCACGCACTGTCGACTTGTTGCAGGAATTCCCCGTCGTCGGTGACAGTAGCGCGTGATTCCAAATCATTTATCCACTACAAAACAAGAATCTCATCTGAACAATATTATTACCAAGACTGCCAGAAACCAAAAGACGAGGAAACAGAGACCAGCCAAAATTCAAAAATTCATAAACAAAATTAATAATACCGAATCATTCTCTCATTAACGCAAAAATAATTCGGCACGACAAAAACGCTATTTAAAAAAGATAAAAGGAGCGAACATTATTGAAAGATAGTTTCAAACTGTCTTGCGAATTCGCACTATCCCGCGAAATAAAAACATATAAAATGATAAAAAATTATGAAAACAGTGCCACCGCAGTCTTACCGTTACGACTCACAATAACAAGCCAAAAAGTCAAAAATACGAAAGATTATTTCGACGAACCTTTTCTAGATAAATCTTGAACAGCTCGCTCAGATCCGCGAACAACCGCACTTCGGACTTGCTAGTACAGGCCAATTCCACTTTATTATACAGCAATTCAAAGGCCTCCGTCAGCACCATCCCCTGGAAGACTTTCGCGCTGGCCTTCTGCAGAACATCCCACAGCGTCTCGTAGCTCTGCTCCACCAGCCCGATACTGCTGCCGTTGGGTGGACTGACAGCCAAAATGGGTCGCCAGTTACGCACTGAGCCCTTCTTGGTCTCGCTGTTGGGCACCTGCAGTCCAAAGGCCGCATGATCCGTGTTGTTTTTGCGACGGCGCGCCAACGCCGCCAGACTCTTGTCGCCAGCCTCGTCCATAATGAGAAACGACGGCTTGGTCACCGGTTCAAAGAAGATAGTCTTCCCTGCGAACTGACTATCCGTCAGATCCGATAGCTTCTCAATATGCTGCTGTGCAGTAATATCCTCGGCGGGCACGCTGCGTTTAGGATACTTACGACGAGGCTGGTCCGACATGGGAGTTGTTGTTGGTGGAGAGAAGAACTATTAGGACATCAGCGCGCAGCTACAGAAATCAGATCTCACTTTGATTCTGGAAGAAAACAGCGACGGCTATTACATCCTATGATTAGCATCCGAAGATAACCAAAGGAAAATACTGGTCTAATGTTAAGCGTACAGTCGCGCAACGATAAAGTATAAACCACAAAGTCACGAACCAACCAAATTGCGAACTCATTCCAAAACTCGATAAAGATAAAAATTTAGTCGTTTAATCTACTTTAGTCGATTAGTCGTTTATAAAATTATTAAAGAAAAAGAACAAAGACATGGACGCTGCAGCTCTGTATTATGCAAAAAATAACACAGTTCTCTTCGAGTACGGAGTAAGCACTTTATCTGTCTTTGTGAATTATGAGTAATATTTTTCAGTAATATCTTTATAAAGCTACTCCAATATTTTTCAAGCGCTTTACTGTTTTTACAGCCAACCGGATGAGCGAAAACTCAAAAAGCATTAGATAGGTTCTGGCTAAAACCACCAGCAAAAATAGCAGCAATACATAAAAAAGCAGACCCAGGACTAGGAGCTGCTTTATTTTGTTTACTTACGATTCATTTGAGTTTCACTACCATCAATTTCATTTGAGCATTAAAAAGATTAATGGATAACATCAAATCAATTTTACTGGCAACTTGGCACACAATACGACACTGTTAAAAGCTACTTTCTATAACATGGAATATGGAAAGTCCCATTCCATGGCGTTGTCAGTTGTCCCACAACGAGACCACTCACGGTGACTCACCTTAAAAAGTCGCGGAAAACAGCTGCCTTTTTGGGAAGAAAATCCCTACCCATGAAAAGCAGTAGAAGTATAAAAGCCACTACACTACAAGTTATAAATGTCAAAATCTTCCAGCAAAGATATCGCAGTGCGAAAGAAAAAGCTAAAAATTAAAAGGAAGACACTTCAAATTCTCAGCTGGTTCCTCGCCAAAACCGAACGCTCATCCAGGAATTATGGTACGAAATGAAGCTAAATCCGAAGGGGCTAAACATTTGAGCAGTTTTTTGATACATGCACCTTCGGCACGCTGAGCCACTACGTAACAGAAATAATGGTACTTAAGTAACGATAAGTAACAGCCACCCGCTCATAAAGTCGTTCTGCAATGTCTGTAAGCCCCGAAGCTGATGCATCGCGCTAAAGTCACAATAAACCGGTGGAAGCCATAATAGCCATTTGAAGTGTCCGCTGTCCAATCTAACTACAGATACGTCATACGAGTATTGTATTGTATAAAAGGAGTTATCCTATCGATTTCAGCTTTCTTTTGTTATTTACGGTTCTGTTGTTAACCGGTCGACAAAAACAATGTGCTAATTTTTAAATCACTAACTGAACAATGCTGCCGCAAATTTTTAATGGGTTTTACCTTTGAAAGATGTTTATTGATTTATACATTTTAGTATGAGCTGTTAGATTGTAAGTATCTGTAAAATTAAAGGTAGCATACCTTGTGGGCTTGTTCTGCCCCGGTTAGTAAATATTTTCCGAATCGGCTGATAAATCCGTATCAAACGACTTATTTTTAAGCCTTGCGGTTTCCCAGCAAATTAGAGCACTTTGTTTTTGTACTGCGTGGTACTTTATGCAAAGCAATCCTATTTCGGATCCGGACTCAAAGCGATTGTTTTCAAAGCTATCAAGGTGCCTTTTTTTAGTTTTCTCGTGAAGTATTTTCAATTGTCGCCGGCCGCTAATTACAACGGCTCTCCAGGCATACTGGTATGCATAGGAAGATTTTCCGGCCGAATTTTTGTAAATCGAGCTAGTCCGGTGGCGTAGACCAGTGGCTTTTTAATTAATCTCATAGCATATAGAGAAATAAAGTTAAGTAATGTTTACTGGAACTCGTCTAGAAGTATGATAACTAACAGTTGCCCGATAAGCGATTTATCACGATACGGTCGTTTAAAAGCTTGTGGTACCCCGTGAAGAAAATTTAGTAAGCAGAAGCACTACAGGTGGTAATTTACCGTAATTATACTGCTGTTCGGCAACAGCCGCAACACCCAGTACACAGTTGAACACGCTGGCGCATGCTTGTACTGCCTAAAATGATTAAATTTTAAACATATTAAAAGGACGTACCAATTGTCCCGAGCGTTTCGACTGCCAGAGAATAGAAAAAGTGTTCCAAACCGTCGACGAAAGCGTATTATTTCCGGCGGTTGGTAATTTGTAGTACGGTTTAATTTTTCAAAGTTTTATTATACCCATTCCGCTTATAGAAAAACAATTATTAACATCACAACGCAGTACACTCAATCAGCAGAAAACAGCATCGGGAGGTCTAACAACAGAGAACAACTGATCTAAATTTGCTCCCTGTTCCCTGAACGGAAGCCGTGTTCCCGCGCTGGATTTCTACCGTAGTACAGTAAGTATAAAATTAAACGTAGCTGCAGCTGCTTGGCTGTTACCCGCATGTTTGTGCATGCAGCGCCTTTCTTTGCAAAGTGCAGTACATGTACTCAGTAGTCACTGTCAGTACCGTATGAGCCTATGAGGTATTCAGCTTAATTCAGCTTAATTAATTCACATAATTCAGCTTAAGCTGTGTACAATGTACATTGTACAACATTATTATGTGATATTACGTTACAACTAACAATAACACAGAAATTATGTATTTTGGGACACATTTTAAATAATAACCTTTGCATTACGGAACCGTTATACAAACTTTTTGATTTCCTTTTCGTCGTTAATTCTGTAGAGTTTGTTGTAATCATGGATGCATGTTCTTCTGCGGTTGCCGTTTACCAGCAAACCATTGAGAATCATGCACCGGTCTTGTTCTTCCTACAATCTGAGCGTGATGAGGATGAGCGGTCGGGTGAGGTCCAACTAGTTCGTATCATTGTTACTGAAAGCGAACAGCTGCTCCATTTCGTCCTTCCCTCTGGCCACGCATGGACGGTCTCCCAGTCTGGATCTCACCCTTCGGCGCCTTACCAGCCCGGAATTTGTGCACCCCCTCCACCGTTGTACACTCCTCCGTCTTCTTTTGATCCGGTGCTGTATCGCAAGTAAGTGTCGCGCATGGACAGGAGAGCAGATGAACGCTTGGTTTCAGCTGTAACATACATGTGCCGGGATGTTTGCAGTTTTGGAATCATGCGGAAGATCAGTAGGATGTTCTTAACCATCTGTCAGCAGCTGCGTCGGGGACTGGTACCTGGTCTGGATTATGAAGGGCCCGGAACGCAGTGGGATGATTTTATGTGCGTCCAATGTTCTTTTCTTGTCGGTTGTTGAGTAGTTTCTTATTGATCGCACTGTCTATCAGGCTGGATGATGAAGGGGTGTTGGCTCCTAAGCCAGATCGTCTCCGTCGGAATGCGTTGTCGCTTTTCCCTGAACGTAACGCACGGAAGTTTAGTGAGTAGCTTCTCGTGTGGTTTTCATGTCGCTTTTTCCTTGCTTTGCAGTAAGAGTGTTCTCTTTTGATCTTAATCGCGATAAATTGCTTATTTGTGGGGCATTAGTTGCAGTTGTCAAAGTCTTAGCACGTATTTACATGCTGCTGAAGGAGAACCTTACCGCTACCTTGAGGTAGGCTACCACCTCGTGCACCTGTACTTTTTTGCCATTTCTAGTCCTCTGTAGACTGTACGTAAGAGGAATCGTACTCTTGGTGTTTTAAGGGCGTTGTTTTACGAAGATGTCCCGTTTTTCATCGAGCAGGAAGCCGTCAACTGCGCCGTGAATATTATCACCCTCATGCTGCGTGTTCCACGCTATCATCTGAACATTGTGGCGTCGGAAAAGGCGCTGGTCGCCGGTCACCTGTCGTTTCGCGACAACAATGTCATTTTTGACTGCATGCACACGTATAGCGTACGTACTGTAATCCTGAAAACGTAACCGTGTTACAGTTATAAAAACAATGGTGTGAAGTTTGACTGTTGCAAAATATGCAGGGCATCTCCATTCCCACTTCAGTGGACAATGTAGAAATCCTGCAGTCGGACGCCCAAGTTATTTTTATTATAGAAAAAGATGCCACCTTTCAGCAACTCATAGCCGAAGGGATTTGTGGCCCCGAGTTTCCGCTGCCATGTATCGTTATGACTGTGAGTAAAAATTTTGATAGCATTAGGGTCAAAAATCACATCGTACCACAACACAAGTACAGGTGTTGTTGAAAATTGCAGGGAAAAGGTTATCCTGATTACAGTATTAGATTATTCCTGCGCAAATTGTGGATACAGCTTCAGATTCCCATTTTCCTTATAACGGATAGCGATCCACATGGTAATATTGCTTTGACAGCACCTTGGAATAAATTTTTTCAACCAGAACCGTTTCGTTTCAGGAATGGACATCATGTGCGTTTATCGGTATGGTTCAAAGGTACTCCATACCATGCTATCTGTGCTATAATCCTAAAAAATTGCTCGTAATATAATTGATCGTATTGATAACTGGTCAGTAATTGTGCACATATTTAGTGCTTAACTAGAACTTGATAACTGTGAACTATATCAGCCTGGAATTCAGGAATCAGGAGAGTCCGGGTAGCATTGTATACGAGTGCATTGTGTACCAGTTCACGTTTATGTCTTTATCTTCGATTTACAGGCTCCCCATTTTGATAATTTGATTATGGCTGTTCCTACGGTGAGGTGGCTGGGTCTTCTCCCGTCAGACTGGGAGCGTTTTGGCGTTGATGTTCAGAGCCTTCCGCCGTTGATAGACGATGATCGCAAATTATTGTTAGATATTTTACAACGACCTTATTGTTCAGCGGAAATGCGACGAGAAGTGAGTAGTCAAAAATCTCTTGGATTTTTTTTAAAGTTTGTGATTTTGTGTCAGATTGTAAATGGTATTTGCAATCATAATTACGACTTGCTTACATCTCTTAGATCTTCTTACAATTAGTTTTATTTTTAAGCATTTACTTTTTTTAAAAACCGTAGATTGAATGATTTCTGCATAAGCAAATAAAGCAGTAAAATTATCTACAACAGATACATTTCTTACAGGTTGAAATTCTTTTGCAAAGTGGACGCAAAGCGGAACTCCAAAATTTACAAATAATACGAACAAGATTTTTTGTTCATACTTATCTCGTAGAAAAGTTAAGGATGAATTATTTCATTTAGATCTGTACGCAAATAATCACTACTCTGAAGATTTTTATTGATGTTGGTTTTAAAATTTTAATTTGGCATGTGATTGGCAGTGAGCCTTGTTAATAACTTTGATGGATCAAACAGCTATTCAAAAATTATGAAACCGAATTTCGCATATATGTGCTCGTATTACGAATAATCTTATTACGACGCAAGACTTACGATTTCGATGTCCATGCGATAACATTCCGGCGTTGATTGCGTTTTGTGCTACAATCTGCACGGACAAGTTTTTCTGTACATTTCACATCCAAGTGTTCGCGTTTATACAGAGTTTTTCTTTTAAAGTGCCGGAAAAAGACAAGGTAGTAATTTTTGTCAGATGTAACCAGAAATGGTCTGTTGTTTTGACCCTGCTTGACTAATGAACCGATAATCAGCGCCACTGCAACGGATATGACATAGGCGCTATTCGAACGATTAATTCTTCTTACAGTAATTATTTCCATTTTAATTACTGTCATTTGTCGCGTGCACGAGCTCCACCTTATAGTCAGCTGCTGCAGGAGTATTTTGCCGCTTGAATCATGTGCTGAATTATGCAAATTTTAATCAGCTGTTAAATTGTATTGCTGAGCGCTGAATGCCAAAACGGGAAGCCATGGAGCGTATGTGGCGGTTATGTGTCCAAAATCTCTGGATTGTCTCAGGTAAAGCGAGTAGTTTACTTTTTCATTCTGGTGCAATTTTACGGTTCGTAAAACTATCTGGTTTCAGTATTATTTGTTGTTCGATTAACATCGTGCGATGCGTTACGAACCTTTATGAAATCAACATTTATCTGCCCGAAACCGTTTGGATCATTTCCGGACCCCGATTCTTGCGAAAGCTACTGGATTTGTAATAACAACAATTCCATTGCGGCAACGTGCAGCTTCGGCTTAATCGTAAGCATCACCTGGAACATTTAATCTGTCCTCAAAAAATTAACTATTCCGTTTTTTGGATATTTCAAGTATAGCCATGTCCTTCTGAATTGCGACTGGGCAAGTCCGGAAATTTGCACTAGAGTAAATGGTGAGTTTATGCTGTAAAGTAGCCTGCAGTATTTTCTTTTGCCATTACTATTACTTAAAAAATAATTATCACACTGTCCGAAAACAGGTAGGACAATATGATGTTTTTGACATTGATGGCTTACCGGTACAGCAAAAAATAATTTGCAGTAAGTACTTGTTGAATTTTGGCCGCCAACTTAAAATACCGAATAGTCAATCAGGCAGTCAATGCATACAATCCCTACTCACTGGTCAATGTAAACTGAATCAAATACTTTCCTCGTGCAGGAAAAGTTGTGCGCAACTGGACACCGCCTCCCGCCCCGGTCTTCCAGTTTTCTTTTGATAACACCCCCTCGCCGGTGCTCAACAACAACGACAACAACACCATTTCGGCGCCGGAAGTGGCTTCGCCCAACTCGGTCACTCCTATTCGTCTACTGAGCGCCAAGGAAATCCTTGCCAAATGGCAGGAAGCTCAGAGCGTATCCCGCGTTCCCTCCCACATCCTCGCCACCACAACTCCGGCCTACGTTCCACCGGTGACCGGACCGCCCGATTACACCCTTTCCCGAACGTACACTTCCGCCCCCAAACAAACCTACACGGTGCAGCCGTTGGGCGAGAAGCCGCTGGCCTGTAATGCCAAGAACTGTAAATTACCGGACTGTTACTGTACGGCCAAGAAGATTCCTGGCGGCCTTAAGGCCGAGAATACGCCGCAGATCGTCATGGTGACCTTTGACGATGCGGCCAACGGAGGAATGCGGAGCTGCTGGATTTATTGTTCGCCGCCAATCGGACGAACCCCAATGGATGCCCCATAACCGGGACGTTCTTCCTCGCCAATCCAGCGACGGATTATAATGTGGTCAGGAAGTGGGCGAGACGAGGTCATGAAGTGGCCTCGCATTCGTTGACGTAAGTTGTCTATTCAGTAGCTGCATAAGTACAGTAAGTAATGTTACCATAATGTTACTATACAATCAAATAATATTAAAATTTTAAGTTTTAAAGGTGTTTTCCAGTAAATTATCGCTTGCGTAATTGGCTTAACTGTAAGTAATAAGTTTCTTCAAAACTAGTCTGGTTTAAGTGTCAGTTTGTATTGTGCAAAATTGCGTAAGGGTGGATTATCTGGTATAATTGTCCAATTTGGTATCTGATGTAGTGAAGTGGCGCATTTCGGAGCTCCGATACCGAACTAGAGTTTGCTCACGCTACACATTCACGATGACTAAAATTATTGGAGTTTCTTCTATAATTATGATAATATAATTAGCGTGATCATTAATTTTTACCTCTAACAACATAAAATGGAAAACAGGGAAGAGTAGCAGTTTTTACGTATAATAATATCTTCCTTGCAATTTGTAGGCATAAGGATTTTGGCCGGTACAAGGAAAGTCAGTGGCAGGGTGAGATTGTCGGTGAAGCCAAACTGACCGAACAGCTGGCTGGCGTGAAAGTGAGCGACATTGTGGGGATGCGGGCACCCTTCCTGGCCATCGGCGGCAACACCATGTTCCGGATGCTATGGAAGAACGGTTTCCTCTACGACTCCTCCATACCATCCTCGCAGCTAGACCCGCCCCTGTGGCCCTACACCCTGGACACCCATTTGCCGCAGAAGTGCTTCCGCAATTGTCCCACCGGCTACTATCCCGGCTTATGGGAGGTGCCTATGACGGATGTGTTGGACATTAATGGGATGGCGTGCAGCATGTGAGTGGCATGCAATGCATACATTGTCTGCGTCGCCGGCGATTAACCGAATCCCGTCTAGGCGTAGTGTGTAAATAATATACCGTACCAGTATCCCAGCTTCGCAGAAACCTTTTCTACTACAGTATCCAGATTTAGAAACCTTTCCTTAAAATCACCGACATATAAAATACCCAGCCAGCACTTTCTACTTTTATATTTTTATTGCAATGTTTGTAGCAGGGAGCGTAGAACATAAAATTGAAATACTCTATTCCAGTTTTTGTTGAAAGTGTCGTATCACTGCCGATAGTTTAATTTCTGCTGCGAAATATGCCAGCATCGTGGGCGTGAAATCGTAGGCTTTCTGCTTACTCAGCTAAAATATCTTACATAGCACTACAAATTAACTGGGATAATTTCTCGTGAGACGAAAATATCTGAATGTTATTAGATGAACCATAGAAAATTAAACTGATTAGATGTATACTGATACCGGGCATTCTATATCGTGGTTTCTTTATTGACCATGTATTTTGCACGCAGGTACGATGCCTGTACATTTCCCGGTAATCCCGAAGAGATCACCGACGTCTTCTGGGACAATTTCATGCGGCATTACAACAGCAACCGGGCGCCATTCCTGTTGTCAGCCCATCCCGCCTTTTATTTCAACTCGCCCAGCCGGGTGGCGGGAATGTTGGCCTTCATGGACAAAGCCCTGCAGCTGGGCGATGTGTGGTTTCTGTCGGTTAAGCAGACGCTCCAGTGGATGCAAAAACCAACGGACATAACCAAGTTGAATGATTTTAAGCCATTTAAATGTGGCTAGATACCGTAACTTCATCATTCATAAGCGTAAACAAATAAAGCATTTTCGTGGAAAGATTCGATGTGAACGGTTTAGTAATATATATGTTAAGTATATGTAATTGCATCACAGCTGCATAAACAAAACAACATTGTTCCGCAGTAAACGAACGCCAAACATTATGCTGCACGACACATTGGCTTAGTTTTTCATTGTAATTACGGCCTAATTTTTGCAATTACAGTACTCTGGTGCCTTTTTTTATATGGCTATAAAATGGTAGTGAAACGTTAAATAAATTTTGCTCGAGCAGTATTTTTCCGGTAATCTACTGCATCTGTACAACAAATTCATTTTCCTATAGATTAAATGTTATACCGTATAGTGCATTTATTTTAATTTATATCACTGCCGAATATCATAAGAACAGGTCGAATAATACTTTTTTATCGGTCAAGTTGGATCTGCTCTTGGCCTTGATTATTTGATACACAACGCTGCGGGCATGATAATGGTCGCCAATGTGGATCATTATGCCAAACCTCTGTCATGCTCATCATCTATGGTCTGAAAAGCTGTTTCGACTGCGCATGTCTATCGTATATGTAATTTCCATCTTTAATTATTTTGTCAGACCATTAACAGCGGTGTGTTTCTAATTTTCTGCGTGGGCCATCATGCAGTCCATCGGACGAGCAGCTCATTTCCGGTTCCCGGTGCTTTCCATATTATGTGGACTTATATCAGGTACACGGAGATGTAAAAATTAGGATATAAAATGGGAAAACCCGAAATTCGATGCCGGTTTTGATCTGCTGAAGAGTTGGTTGTACGGCTTGTTAATTAATCTTGTCTTGGTCTGTATAAAGAACAATCTGGAGAATTTTAATTCAAATTAATTAGGTATTTGGCGTGCAGAAGCCTTCAGCATTCCGGGCATCACGCGGCGTTCCAGTGATTTCAAATGTCCCTCGGATTTCGGAAATTTCCCGATCCCTACTCGTGTGAAGCATACTGGATCTGCAGTCAAAAAAATCCATTAGCGGCAAGCTGCAGTTTTGGATTAATCGTACGTACTTGGTTGCCGTATATTATGTAATTATCTATTATGATAACCGAAACACTACTAAATCTATTTTGCAAGCTAAAAACATTTCCATTAAATGCAATGAAGATTATGTAGTGTATATATATATATATCTGCTTAAGTATTTCTGTAATAACTTTTTTTTGGCGCGCTGTTTAATAATCTTCAGCGACAAATAACCTGCGTTACAGTACTGTATATGTATCGCAAAATCATGATGATTGCGCATAGCGCATACAAATTACTTCAGTTACTTATACTGATATGTCTGAAATCGATTCTAATGCTGCAAATAAAAGTACAGTTATTAATGCATGGATAATACATACATATAGCGTAAGTGTAAGGTAAAAGAATAACGCTAATGTAACGCAGGTAAGTAATATTTGAATGCATCAGCATGGAAACTGTATTTAGTTCAGCCACAAGACATACAACTGCGACTGGGCCAAGCCGGAAATCTGCACGGTGATCGACGGTAAAAAAAGCGTGACTCATCAATTAACCCAATTCCTGCCGTGTCATATTATTGCGGATACATTTTTTCCCATTGCTGACAAACAGGAAAAGTCATCCGCGACTGGGTTCCGGCCACCATTCCGCCATTACCGGCAGCGGAAAAGGCCAAGCTGGATAAGATCGAAATTGCCGTGGACAAAGGTTACAATTTACTGTACAAAGCCAAATTCATGACGTACAAGGAAGAAGTGGGAGACAACCCGGATGATGATATCACGCACAACATCATGCTGCGCTTCAATATCACCCGCAAGGGAACACCAAAAACCGTCTTCGAACAATACCAGATGCTGGTGGCGAAGTGGAAAAAGCAGCAGAAGCTCTTGGAGGCACTAGGATATACGACCACAAAAGCGCCGGTAAATTATGTAAAAGAAGTTAAAGAACCCGGCAATACGCACATAATGCTTTTAAAAATTCCCGAATCCTTGTTTACAGACAGGAATCAGCAAAATAATTTTAATTAATGCATTAAAATCGTATACCTAATAATACTCACTGGAAAAGCTGTTAGAAAGTGTTATCAGCTAAAATGATATTAACATATCGCTGCAGATTAAGCTTGCCAATATCTTTAAAAACTCAGGCACAATAATAATTATACATGATCCAGTTAACATATATTTTGCGAGCATGCAGATTACCTGCAATATGGGCACAATAATAATTATACATGATCCAGTTAAAAAATTCACAGCGTATATTTTGCTATGAGCATAAAAAATTTCACTACCTGTGTTTTACAATGGTGTAATCATAAACATGGTTTTAATAGCCAATTTTATGAAGTATGTAGTTGTAGCCTTTAATTACGTATTTTTCTAATGTCTCGAATATCCATAATGCGTCTGCCACTTCAATTACATTAAGGCATGAATGACGAAACAACGAAATATTTCGCAAGAACAGACATTTAATTAAAACCACCGGTGACGTTTGGACCGGTGACCTTTAACCGTACATCCGCTGCGCAGGTGACAACGGCCCGTGAAGCCCCGCTCTTCGGGCCCGACAATTACGTTCTGCCTGACACGGTTACGCCAGCACCAAAAAAAACTTACACCATCAAACGAGTGGGAGACGCACCGATTCCTTGCGTTGAAAAACGATGCCGCCTTCCGGAGTGCTATTGTGAAGCGAACAATATCCCGAACAATCTGTCACCCAAAGAAACACCGCAGATTGTCATGGTGACCTTTGATGATGCGGTCAACGGAGGCAATATTGATTTGATGGACAAGGTATTCTCGTCCAAGCGTCTCAATCCTAATGGGTGTCCGGTTACGGGAACGTTCTTCCTTTCCAATCAATGGACCGATTATAAACTCGTCAGATATTTAGCCCGGCACGGACATGAAATTGCCTCGCATTCCCTGACGTGAGTATATATGGTAGTCGGAAATTGGAACAATGATCTCTTTAACTGTCGTTATATAATCCAGATTTTATTTTGATACAGCACAGTTAATTAGGATGACCTGCGCAACAAAAAATTTGACTCTTCTACGCAGTTAATCATAATGAAGATTACCATTAGGTCAAAATAAATTTATCGGTAAACATCCTATACACAACACGCATATCCTGAAATGTGGTTTTTGAGAGATAGTATTATTTGTAAGAGTGCGATTCCGTATAGTAAAATCATACGTATTTGGAAGAAAATAATATTAATGTCTTTGTTATACCTGATTTTCATTTTCATGGCAGAACAAAGGTCTGTTTGACTTTGACATGCAGCGTATGAATATGTTTAAACAAGTTATAAGTTATTATCATAGTGCCTCTTTTAACGGATGATGTAGTAGGGCTTTAAATTGTCAACTAACTTTTCTTATAATTTGTCATTGTTAAAAACTATTCCCAACTTTTTTTTATTTTGTCCGCGACATTTTCGGTCCATTAGTTAAGATGAATCCTGAATGTGCGTTGAATACCAGCGATAATTTAACCATTGACGCGATGCCCTTTACATAACTCTTGAATACCGCTAAATCGGTCTGCTAATTGCTTTAATCAGCGCGTCTATTCCATTAGTGGGATGGTGATTAGTGCCTACACTAACTGCTGTATAAAAACGGGATACGCGTACATTTGACCCACTTACGCGCATTGACTTCTGCCGGCACGGTACACACAAACAACATAACAACTTCTTTTGTGTCCGTTGCACAGACATCAAGACATGTCGCGCTACACTTATCAGCAATGGCGCAATGAGATGGTGGGTGAGGTGGAGTTGGCGGAGGAGTTAGCCGGCGTGAACACGTCCCAGATTTACGGAATGCGTGCACCCTTCCTCAATATTGGCGGGGATGTACAGTTTCGTATGCTGTGGGATAACGGCTTCCTGTACGATTCCTCCATCCCATCGTCCCAGACCAATCCGCCTTTGTGGCCGTACACCTTCGATGCGCCCATGCCGCATCCATGTTTCCAAGTATGTCAAACGCGCTTACCGGTATAATTCAGTTTTGCCCGAGTACGTTAATGTGCCGCTCCCTGAATTAAATTGTTTTACATGGTACTGCAAAATTTAATTAGGTACTATCACGTACAGCAAGGGATCTGCTCCTTCTTCCGGTGTTATAATTATTTTGGGCATAAGTTTAGAATTACTCGTATCTTCTCGTTGCCCACCGCTGTGCTTCAGTAAATGTAGCGTGATTCACAGATTTATACAAAAAATAAGAATGAAAATAGATAAGAAGGAGAAAACAGAAACGATATTAATGGATATTATAATAAGAAGGAAATGGATACTACATGTCTGATAGTAAACTTAAGTTTAAAATTTGAGATTTGAGCTGAGATTTGTGTAACAATGTTTAACATGCCAACAAATCCCTCTGTGATACTTTTTTTAATCGTAAACCGCGTTTTCCGGTGTGTGCATATGAATTGTTTCGCTGAAGTGTTTTTTCGATGTACTTTCTTAGGAGCCGTGCCCGAAAGGTTACTTCCCGGTTTGTGGGAAGTACCCTTGACCTATTTCCACGGGTTAAACAACGTTTCCTGCAGTATGTACGACGTGTGCGCCTTTCCCAGCTATTCTGAGGAAATCGCCGATTTATTCTGGCAGAATTTCCTGCGGCATTACAACACCAACCGGGCACCGTATCTGTTATCCGCGCATACCGCCTGGTATCTCAACAGTCTCCAGCGCGGCGAGGGTCTGACCATGTTCATGGATAAAGCCCTAAAACTAGGTGATGTCTATTTCGTTAGCGTCATAAAGGCGCTGGACTGGGTCCGACAACCTACACCGCTGTCAAAGGTCAACACGTTCCCATCGTGGATGTGTGAGAAACCGGAGCCGGTAACGATGGCACCACCACCGCTGACCACGGTTACACAACCGCCACCGGCTACCGCTGCGGTACAACAGATTGTGCAGGAGGTGTTCACACAAGCCGCGGTAACCACGGCTACTACCACCACTGCTACCACTACCACCACCGTTACCGCACCGAAAACCAGGGCAACGACGAAAGCGGCAGCGGAAACGAGACGAAAACGGCGAAGGAACACTAAGAGAAGAACAACTGCCACCACCGCTACCACTACCACCACACTGCCGGATTCTGAGTATTACGACGATGCAGAGCTTGCTGCTGCACCGAAATAGAGATACGCATATTTCAGCAAGGTTGTATTCGTTAAAAAAATTGTTGGCTTTTGGATAAATTCCAATGGAATTCTTTGCTCTGTAATAAGTATAGCTCGTGATGAAAAGTTTCATAGAAAAAGTGCTGGAATCCTGTCTGCGTGGAAGATGTACATTAGTGTTACCAGATAACTGGCAAGAATGATTAATATGGCACTTGGCAGATATCTACTCGACAGATCGAATAGCAGTGACAAGGGCACGTTATTGTTGGCCGTAACGTATCTGGGGATAAAAATAGGATCATCCGATTGAGCGCCATATTATAGTGACCTGATGGACCTCCGGTCGGCTTGGAAGTTGTCAAAAAACACTTCAACGCCGGGTATATGTTGTATATTAATGATGCAGTTATTCCGAAGAGGAAATGGACAAGTGTGCTCATTATAGAACCGGTAATTTGGCGCCGGTATGTAAATGTAACTCAGCCATTAATCTCAGTCGTTCATGATCTGTTATATGTATATTCATACAATTAGCGACAAGTGCTTATTTGAATGCGAACATAATTTTTATGCGTGTAAATTGATGCGCTTACATAAGCCAGCATTTACTTTCACAAATTTTACAGTACCGGCGTTCGGCAAACGATAGACAGACACTTATTGACGTGATTCAGTTCATATACTTAACTGATATTGCGCGACCATAATAAGCAAATCGATGTAACTGTAAACAGGTGCTATTTTTATTTTACAATGAGAATAAACCAATTATCACGATGAACGCACAGAGAGTGCCGCATAGAATTATATTGTGAACCCCGAGACATAGTCCCTACATATGAGAAAAACCAGATAACAGTAATAAATTATGGAGCGATCAATAATAGATGAATATTGCATTACCGCGTATCCTATTCATAACCTCATAAAAACCGACAAAAGATCCAACATTTACAAAAATCAGATTCATCAGCGGTTACGTCTGGATGGAACCGATATTGTTGATGGAATTATAGCGCATGTGACCAAGCCGGACACTTGAGAGATCCAGGTGAGTTGATGACATAATTATATTTACGCCGGGGTATCGCGATTGGTATAAGGATCGGTATATCAGCCGAATTCTTTCATTAATTTGGCATTATCCGACGCGGTACGGGATTTCTGCATGAGCCGCCGTAAGGCCATCTGCTGTTTCATCTTATCCCGCAGTACATCCAAAGGGCTCATAATGGACAGGGTTAATCCGGACTCCTCGGCCGGTTGAGGGCTGCGTTTGCCCATGGACGATGCAGCCAGCAGATTGTACGAGGTGAATACCGGCTCTTCCGCGACTTCCGGTGTTGGTGCATCAATAGCAGCAACCGGCGATAAGTCGTCCGTCGGCTGCACTGATTGTTCATCGGTGAAAAGCGGGAAATTTCTGTTATCAGGCTGATACGGAGAAATATCATTAGCCACATTGACGTCGATGCCGGCATAATTTTCCATGGGATATTTGTCGTCCTGACGGTTAATGACGGCGGAAAGTGCTTGATGCGGGCATAATACAATTAGGCATATGTTAAAGTACAGTCCAATCAATACCCATATCGTTTCCATAATTAGTCGCTGTCGTTTGCACTACTGTCGGTTATGAAGCAGCGGTAGCCTGTGTGCGGCGGATCGTTGTTCCCACGGTCGCACAGCGGTGGGAGGAAAATGCTGCTTTATATTTTCGGTATCTACGTAATGGCAATCATCCAGTCCAGCTGGATCTGCAAATTACACAGCTATTTGACACCATTTATCTCCAGTTTTTAATTAATATGGCGCGTTTTGCGGAAAGTGACGGGTGTAAACCGAATGATCACTGCAGCGCAGCTTTATTTATATATCATACCTGGTAAAACGCCGAACGTACGCAAATGTGATTACAATTATCCCTTATTAAATTGCCTCGATGTGCCGGAAAGAAGACGGCATTTTAATTAAATTACGTCCAGCCAGAAAAAATAATTGCTTTATGAAATAGAACCCCTACTTTGGCCTTTATTGTCTCACATGCTGCTGCAGCGTTGTTGAAGTCGGAATTTTTATCCTTGTCTGATAGGTATGATCACACTACTTTCATCGAAGGCTTTTTATTAAACTTTACCTTAGCACCAGAGCTGTTTTAAGCTTAACTCTCTAAACTTAATACATCCGACCTAAGCTGATTCCAAGCAGTTTTTTGTGTATAAGCATTAACAAAGTGCATTATGTAAACGATTAATATTGTAAGTGCCTCCATAGTATCTGCTCCAGCATTATTTGTTTGATGCTCATCGTCTTCATTAAGCAAGTATGAAAATGATTAAATCTGTGATAACTTGTACGGCGAAATTCCATATCAGAATATCCTGGTTAAAAAATCTCAATAACTGCATTGAAAAAAAACAACTTCTAAGCACAAGAATTCAATATAAAGAAAAATAGACAGGCGCAAATGGTACAAATAATGCAAAGCATGCATAGGTGGTCAGTACTCACTACTCACTGAAAATGTCATTAACAATACATAAGAGATAGTCAGCTGACCTCTGAATGAATATTTCTGTAGTTTGAAAATAAACTGGATGAACGCGCAATGCTACTTTGACTGTGTACTGCGTTTGCTACAACAAAAGCACATCGGCACCATTACTGACATATCTTATATACTTATTATATAATTATATATATTTATTATAATTCATGCGATTCACTTTAAAGGCAATTGACCTGCCATGCTTTTACGGCTTCCGTTAACTCTCAGAGTGTAGTATTATTAAATAAAGAATGATAAGCAATAAAGAATAATGAGTGAATACGAATTATTATTCAGAGTTACAATCTCCGTGATTATGGTAACAATCGCAAATTGATTAATCTTTGCATTTAATGTCTTTTATTATTCTTAATCATTACTATACTCTCATTACATTAAAGGTGCGGAAAATGATTTTCTGCGCTGCATGTGTTGGCAGCGCCAATTAGATAAGCGGAAAATAAAGTGCCGGTAAAAAATTCTAAAATCATATTATTATACATACTTTATTTGTTTTCGAGTAATATGCTCCCAATATTCTTATGATATCATCAAAGCAGTAGTTCTTCCCCTCGTAACAGTATGTACACGTATGGTTCCATTTTACATATATCGAGTAAACTACATTTACTATAAAAAATACCTAAACCGATCGATAAAAATATTACTTGCACAATCAATACACTTTGTACATTTAACCCTTACTAGTAGGAAGCAGTTTTTACAATAGCCACACATTCATATTACCGGTACAGCAACGCACTCAACATGTAAGATGTTTGCCGGTAACTAATATATAATTTAAAAATTTTCATCAAAGTTAGCAAGTTCTTTTTATATAAAATAAATTTAAGGTCACCGGCGGGTAGCTGCTAAATACAAAATAATACAATGTGTATATCCAAGTACGTAAATTACAACTATGTACTTGTAAGTCTTATGACATTGTGTCATCATATACGAGTAAACCGCATGCAGCAACGTTATCAGGTTTGCACGGTACCTGTAAAAGCAGCCCTTGACAAGAAATTAATCCAAAAAGCAGCTACAGCGCTGTAGGTGCTGTACAATTTGGACAAAAGTATCCTACCGCAAAACTCTGAACAAAGAGTAAAAGATACAAAGCTGCTCTCTAGGAAAGTATCCTACAAATAGCTGAATCGCTTGATATATGGCTAAAGGCAATATTTCATTTGATTTAATTGTACTGCCGCATCTTCTTCATCCTTTTATGCGGCACTCTGGATGAGGTGCGTGCTCACTCGGCCACGTACAGGAGCGATGATGACGTTACCAACTCCTGATAACCACACCCAGTTCGGTCGTATATCGTCCAGACTAACTGACGTTTAGGGATAATAAAATCCTCGTTCATAGCCCTGTTCAACCGGCTGTTTTTCGGCGTATACAATAACAAAAACATTTACACAAGTGCAATTAATTTGTAGTGTCCAATCACTTAAACTCTATCAACCATAGCAGTATAGCGTGTACAGTCTGCGTATGTAGTACAGGATACACTGTGTACCGTGTTATGGAATGTTTTTACACGTCTTCTAAATGCAAGAAAAACAATTTTGCTTACTGAAAATGTGCCTGAATTAAAAGCGGTAGCACATGAGACAGAAGGATAAAAATCTAATTTTAGGTATATCGGCGAATATTTGTATTATGCAGAGGGCATTAATCATTCAATTCGCCACACTCGCATTCATTCATACTCTAACGCTTGAATGTGGCATTGTAGTCGTAAATGAAAACGCGTTATATATTATCATAGCAGGGACATCAATTCCGTGGAATTTTTATAAAAATATTCACAATGTATCGGAAATAATTGCCAAGATTCTGACTCTCTAACTGGATATAATTAACTCTAACACACAGTGACGCCATCGTGGGAACTTTACAAACGTGTCCTGACTGTGCAGAATTCGTGTGCGGCAAAATACGCTCAGAGGCATGCACGTGATGATATATAATTTAATGGTCATTCATGGAAGTTTATAAAAATTCTGGTGCCGACCAATGATGACCTTACAAAATTAAACGGCGCTGGGCGTATATAAAAATGGGAGTGTGGGTGCGGTTCCATGGAAAATGTCGAACAGATTAACGAATTGGGCCAATTAAGTGTCTGCGCGGACTGCGCCGATTTGCCTTCCAGCACCGGTAAAGAGCTCACGATCACAGATTATCGAGATTTTAATTTAAGGATTCACCATGATATTTTAGCTATGATGTATTTGTATTTACTGTATAGGAGTTAACGTAATGACGCGCACTTTTCGTCAAGAATGTCCAGTTTTACTTGGTGCATAACTCATAAGTATAAAGGGATAGTTGTAGAATTTCTTAAACTACAGTACAGATACTCGTTCAGTTACAGTACTCACTGGCAAAGCAGCCGGTAAACACCACAATAAACAGTTTATGGAAATAGTTTAGCGATAGAAATAAAGAAAGAAAACCCGCCGCATTTCGCATATTTTTTATAAAATAATCACTTACTTATGAGAAACAGAGTAAAATCGGCATACAATCATAGAGTTATATAGACGCTCACAAGTCAACTTAGGTAATCTTAAAGTAGCACGAGAAAAGCGATATTATAACTCTGAAACTGCATACATCTTTATTAAATTGTTCAAGGTTTGCAAATACAGAAATGAATGCCTCAAAAAACTCATATACGTATATTAAATAAAGGCATACAATATATAATTATATGAGCATTTTTCACTTATCAGTTATCATAAACAAAAATAAGCAAGTAAAATAAGTGCAGCCACTGCCAGCCAGTCCACCCAACTCGGTGCAATCCTTTCGTGCAGATAACACTATTTACAAAGAGGGAGCAAATAATCTCAATTAGTGTTAAAGAAACTTGGTATTTCACGGAATTTAAGCTAGTCACGCACATACCACAGCTCTGTATTCCTAAATGTTATACGCGCATACTACGTACTATAGATATATACATAATCGTATATACGGATACCGTGTTAACGTGCCGGTGCCACCAATCACCGTTTGTTCTGCAGCTCATCACACTCTTCAAGGGGATGCAAGTGAAACGGATTTTACTGGAGATGTTGGCTCGTTTAATGGCGCTAATAAAATTAAACGTGCAGATGTAAAGGTCATGATACCATCCATAAACAGTGTAAATTAATCAATTTATTTACTTAGTAAATGAAGTCACATCTGATTAGCTGGAATGTGCGTGGATACCATATAATACATTAAAGATGTAAATAATCAAGTCAACTGGGCGTGTTAAAAGTGGAAGCAGTCAGGGAGACAAAGTTTTATGTTTAATTACGATACGAGCACAGTGATACTGTATGTCGTCAGACGGCTCCGAAGGACCACTTTTTACTTCCGGTCTCAAATGCGATACCCCTACCTAATAATACTTACATTTTAAATACAATACATACAATAGTCTTTCGTATCAAGACTTGTCTCCTGTACAAACACTGTATAACTGTCAACGGTTAAATTCCACGAACAGAGATTTTTAATTATTTCTCTTTTCAAAAACATTTGTTTTTTTACACGTATTCGATGTGCGCATAATGTAACAAAATTGTAAAGTATTAACTTGCAATCTTCTGATTTCCGTGCATCGCAAACTGCGGAGCTGAAAATTCGATACCGTGGATCAGCGAGTCGAGCTACAACGTCCAACGGGGTGCGTGACCCTTACCTAACCGTATCTCAGCGCGCTACGGGAAAGGCAGATCACGAATACGCACGGAAAGTTCCAAAACATGAAAAGTCATTCACAAACATCGATATCTGGATATTAATACAAGTTAGTGACAATTTTGCAGATAATAAGCTTTCTCCTTTTCTTTCTGTTCAATTCGATTTTGATTTTGCAAGATTTATAAATGGTGTAGCGTTTAGCAGCGCACAGCAATCACAGCATTTATTTTGTGGAAATCGCGGTTAATCGTCTTCAAGCACATCGACAACCATGGTAATGCAATGGCTGAATATCTTCGAGGGAACACCGGGCGCCCTGGGGGATTCCGGTGAGGCAGCGACTACATCCGTTTTAACCCGTGTGACGGGCACCGTGGACCGTCTGACCACCGAATACCTGGGCGCGGCCAAGCCCTACTTCGTGGCCTTCGGGGTGGGCACGGCGGCCGTGATGGGTGCGTGTGCCACTTGGGAGTTGTCCAAGGGACTCTTCTCCTACGTGCTGGCCAAGCCCCTGCATCTCGGCAAAGATCTGAAGAAGTTCGGCACCTGGGCTGGTAGGTCGACGCACTGTTGTCGTTTCTGCGAAGATGCGTGAGTGAAACGGTGGGGTTTGTAGTTGTAACGGGAGCCAATACGGGAATCGGTCGGGTTTACGCTTTGGAGGTACGCAGTTTAAATCTGAGTCATTTTGTGTGGATAAATTCAGTGGAGATACGTCAGATGCATTGTTTTTCACAGCTGGCTCTGCGGGGATTCAATATTGTTCTGGTGGCACGCAATGAGGAGAAGTTGGAAGTTACTGCTAAAGAAATTCGTGAGTTACGCTGGTCTGCAACGACAGTGAATAGTCAATAGCAGATTGTTTATAATTCACAGTGCGTTGACATTTCTCGTTATAAAGTGCACTTTTGCTGATAATTCCTGGAAATTTCGTATTTATTTATACGTAACCTGGGTTATGTCGCTCTATTTTTGTGATTTATGTTGATTTGATTTGATTTTATTTTGATTTTGATTTGGTTTATGTTGATTTTCCTTTAAACAGTCTGATTACACTCATTACAGTAAGTAAATTTTTTGTAATGTATTTTTTATTAGTTTTACTAAATGTACTTTTTTGCAGTGCATTTGAACTGGTTGAATATGCGACTGCTTCGTACAGAATTTGTAATTAGCTCCCTAAAACAATTCTGTATTTAACTTATGCCAGTTATATTGCAGTTTTCTGAGTTTACTTTCAGTTAAGTGGCTTTTTCGGGCGAAATGGGTTTCAAATTGTTAAATTTGCAGCGGTTTTAATTTATGAAATAAAGTCTGTAAAAGGTGATTGCTTATTGAAGACATATTAGTCGTACAAAGTCGAAATGATTTTAACTAATTAATATAAATTTCTAGGCGATATTCACGGTGTATTCACAAAAATCGTGGTTGTGGATTTTGAGGATGCCGGACTGGACAACTACCTTCGCGTTCAAGCACAACTTCAAGGCTTGGACATTGGCGTGCTAGGTAAGAGGCAGTTTACTCTGACACCGCACGAAGATCCTTTTCAGTACGCTGCTTATATAAGTACTATTTTCTTTTCTGTGCAGTGAACAATGCCGGACTGGGACCGGAAGATCCCATGACGGAATTCCTCGATAATCCACCTGATGCCGAGGTGAAAATCGTATTTTTACGGTTTGCCGATAAATAAATTATTAATATTGCGCGTTTTACCCACAGAAATGTATCGCCATGATCAACGTCAACATTTCCGGCGTGGTGATGATGACGCGCATCATCCTCCCGAGTATGGTGCAGACCAAGAAGGGCTGCATTATCAACATCTCGTCGGTCAACGGCGATATTCCCGCACCGAAATCCGCGCTGTACTCCGGCACCAAGGCCTTTGTCGACTTCTTCTCACGCGCCTTGACGGAAGAATACAAGAGCAAAGGCATTATTGTTCAAGTACGGATAATCCATTTTTAAAGAAATAAATATGCTTTGTACAAATAGTTCATGTTTTTATTAGTGTGTGATGCCTGGCGCTGTAATGACGAAGATGGTTCAGAACAAGGATAAAGATTCCTTCTTCTGTGTTAACCCGGAAGATTTCGTTCCCTCGGCGCTGGCCCAGGTCGGACTGCGCTCGCAGACGTATGGTCACTGGAAGCATGCTCTTCATGTAAGGATTGATCAGGGGGGAATTCCACGGTAGAGACCAGTGTAATCATGGTGGTGTATTTTTAGATGAAGCGCAAGAAGGTGCGCACATGGCTGTCCTCGTTACTGTAGACGCCCGAGTCATCAATCAATCATCGTCAGTCGGCCGATGGGGCTTCCGTATGTTTTAGCGGTTTTAACGGGTTTCTCACGCGTGTTGTGAAGTTTGATATCATCATAAAAGCACATGGACAACGTACTTCGTTACGTACATTGGGCAGTTTTAGTGGTGTTAGGTTAATTTCGTGACGTTTCCTAGTTTCCTAAACTGAATCATTTGACGTTTCTTATCCAGTGTGTGCGAGAATCACATTGATGTCTCGTCTGGATGAAATTGTTTGCATTAAATAAATCTGGTTTTTAATGTAACCGATGGTTTCGATTCCCCAGCTGACAGGCGTAAAATGGATAAATTATTAGTAAAAATTTCCGGCATTAAAGAAACATTGCTCTGTAATCGGTGCAACCATTACAGGTACAATAGTCTTTTCCAGCCCCACAAAAGCCCCGGGAGCTACAACAGTAAGCATTGGCACTCTGCGGATCACAGGTCGCTTCGACGGTTCCGTTGATTTTCGCCGCATGCGGTCCGCATCGACCGTTATATTCCGGTGAATCATCCCACGTCCACCAGGTTTTTTCGACTTTTATCTTCTTTTGTTCCTTGAATCGAAAATTCGGCGTTTTTCGGAAATTGACGCAGGCCGAACAATTACACGACTGCGGCTCATTCCCGCACACGCCGCGGCTGGAGCAGCAGTATCCCAGCGGATCATCCGGATTGCAGATGGGAATGCCACCATTCAGCAACCGCGGTGCATTATATCCACATCGCCCCAGCAATCCCGGACCCTGATCCAGCGTAAACCAAAGTACTTCCTTCGTGATCGGTTTAACCGACTTCTCCCAGATCTTCTCGGGATTCTCGGCATAATCGTTGCACTCTGGACATTTGCAGTTTGTTGGTCCGGCCGTGCAGTAGCCCCAGCGATTGCAACATGCGCGCTCATCGCGTGGATCGCACACGGGATAATATCCGTTAATCGGCGGTGCCATGGTGCCGCATGTTCCGTAACTGGCTGCGTATGTGTTGGACCACCACCGCGGTTCCTGGCAGTAATACTTAGGAATCGTTAGAGACTGCTCGGATGCCGGTGGCGCGCAAAGGTCGTGGCGGGTGACTGTGTGCAGCAGTGTCAGATTAGCGTCGTCCTGGTCCAGCGCCCAGATCATTAGTCCACCGAAACCGGCTTGAAGAGCGTACTCGACTTTCTTCTCCAAACTCTGCGGCGTCTCATAGCCGAGATACGTGCGATTTTTCGCATTCCACGCGAACGGCGCTTGCGCTTTGGCGTTGTAACCCGGAACGAATCCGTTATCGAGGTAGTTTTTCTGGATATCAGCGTAAGCGACTTCCCCGCCTTTCGGTGGATTGATACTGGAGACGCGCCACATAGGGTCGGTGTTGTTCACTGGTTGTTCGGTGACGTTGTACCAGAATCGGCCGTAGAAGGGAACACCGAGAACGATTTTGCCGGCGTCGGGAATGGCGCACGCATACTGCTCCATCGTCCAGTGGACGTTGAGTTTCTTGGAGTAGTTTGCCGGCGCGGCAGCGAATAGCGGCGCCGGTGGGCCGGTTTCTTTATCCCATGGGCCGTAATAATCGTACGCCATGACGTTCACCCAGTCGATTGTGTCGCCTTCGAGGAGGTTCTTTAAGTCGTAACCTTTACGGAGATCATTCGAACCGGCAGGCGCTGAAACAATAATACCGTACATTAACATTACACCATTAATGATGAAATGAAAAGTTATATCTCTTTTTCTTTGTATCTCTTCTGACACACAACTTAAAAAAACAACATATTTGAATAATGTAATAATAATAATAATTCTTTTTTTTATACTAAATTAAGAAACACAATGATAACAGTTAAGTATATTGCGGAGTATGTTACGCTGTGCGTTGCTGAAAGCAAACACAAAAGAAAATCGGGACTTGGGTGTGGTCTGTGGGCGTTTCACCTGGCAAGACTCATAACTAGTTTTGCGCAGATACTTACATATATATGGACACGTAGTGACACCCTAAAACTGGCAACACTTTTCGTATAAACTAAGAATTCCCCGCTTCCGCACGTGTGCTAAACCGTATTCCCACTTCCCAGTATTCTATGATTTCTATCCGTCTCCGTCCATTTTCACCAAAAATATTCTGTGTCCAAATAGTACTGATCGTATACCATCCCAGTATTTTATTTTCAGCACTATTTCATCGGTAGTACTATTCTGTATTTTGTAGTATTTCAGTATTATTCCCAGTACTATTTCATCGTTACGTACCGATGAAAGTAGTGAAAAGGCAAAAGCGTATTATTATATAAATACAGATATGTACTACTACGTCTGTCAAAAGGCGCAATATTGCCGGTTTTATAAAGTCGTATATTGGATATGTACTCGTATTACGGATATACAGTATATTTATATCTATATGTTATATTTTACAAGCATACCGGCAAAAGTCAGGAGCAATCTGGCTTTTTTAGTCGATAATTTCCACGAGTCCATCTTTTTCCTCAGGCGCCGCATGAACTGCACATACAGTGTTTTATCGTCGGGCTTTTTTCCGGGATGTTCGTAATCAATATCCACACCGTCCAAATTAAATTGTTCGACAAACCTTTTCAGATTGACGGTAAAGTTATCGAAGGCTCTATCCGAGCGCAGAACAGTGTCGAACAGTTCCGCCTTACCCTGTCCACCAATGGCCAACAAAATCTTCGGACTGGCATCGTTTCCGCGCATTTTGATCAGATGTTGTAGCCGTTTGGTCGAATTACCATCCATTGACAGCGAGCCATTCGGTCCCATGTCCGGGAATGCGTAATTGACATGAGTTAACCGTGACAGCATTTCTTGGGCCACTTTCTTCCCGCCAAAAGATGTGTAGTAGCCAACAACACGAAAGCCGCATTTTCCGACAGATAAGCCACTCTGTTTTACAATCATCTGGCCTTTGGTGCCTGCTGCTGCATTTGCTGTTTGGCGAAAAATGCCGAACGTGCCGCAGAACATAAAATACCAAATTGTAATTAACTGCATATCCTCTTCACATTAGATAATAAAAATACAGTATATCCAAAGATCTCCAAATGTTAATGCAATACAAACACATATACGCTTTGGCATACAGAAATAAATTCTGATATTAGATTCGAGTCAGAATATCTGCTGCGCGCTACCGCAGTGAAAAACTTTCGCACTTATAATACGAGTAAGTATCATTACATGCATTTACCAACGTATTGAGCTGTTAACGGTAAACAGCTGGGTGATGTTGTTAATCAACTATATTATAGTTATAGTTTAACAGTGTAGACAACAACAACACTGTATCAATAAGGAAATTACCTAAGTACTGTGTAATCGGACAAATAGCCACAAGGTAATTGTACAAATTAACAGCGCTTTCCGATGTTTCGGTACAAGCACTGGTATCGATAAGGGTATCCATAATTTTAAGACCAGAGTTCACCGGTGCCGATTTTAAGCGTTTACACACATTCGGTAGAGGAGGTTTGTTATGCATAAGTAATGGTGAGAGACGGCTTTAAATGTAGTAAAAACAAGCAGCTGCAGCTAAATGTATGCGTATAATTGTATAATAATATTGATATTACAAAACACAGATTACCGGTATTTATTACCAACTTGCAGCGTGTTTGTGTTTAATATTGTAGCTGTATTAATTTTTTAAAGCCATTTAAAACGTACAGCACCCTTTTGAACGGCCGTATTGTGATAAATTGCGTTGTAAACTTTGGCAAGTACAGTGTAAACATTAATTGTAACGATAAGTAAACTGGAAGTACAAATATTTCGATTAACTGGAAAGCCCCTGCTCTACGCCACCGGAGGTAACACAGTTTACAGACGCACGGCCGCAAATTCTTCCTACGCATAGCTGAAAGCTTTTTTTTAAGTAGCGGCCGGTGACATTCCTAAAACCTTTCACGAGGAAGTTGAAAAAACGCATCTTGATAACTCTGGAAAAAATTGGGTTGAGCTAGTAATCCCATTGCTTTGCGCGATGTGCCGCATAGTACAGAAACAAAATTGCCCAAATTGTCTCGAAAACAGCTAGGCTAAAACATATTCGGCTGATACGGCTTCAGAAGACGCTTCGGAAATTATTCACTAACCCGGACAGACCAGTATATAATATCGTTAGTTTCCACAGTATTAACAACTGTTACTAAAAAATAAAAACGTATAAGTCAACGGGTATTTCGAAATGTAAAACCCAAAAATTTTGCGACAGCAATTTGTCGACCAATTAAGAGGTTCTAACAGAACCGTATATAAAAAAAGAAAGCCACGGAATATGTTGATACGTAGATTCGAAACCTAGAGGGACACGATGGGTTTTACTTTATGAGTAGTTGTTATTTATAACACTGCAGGTATACAATATACGAGTGTAAAATAGTGTAAAATGTAAACGCCGGCTTTGCAGCAAACGAAAACACTGGAATCGGAAGTGCATTCGCGGTTGCAAACGGCTGTTGGTGCTTCCGACACTGCCTACTGCGTGCGGTTGCTGCAAGCCCGTAAACTGAAAGAGCACGCCGCACGCAAGAAGTTGTTGATTTTTGAGGATTTCATGCAGCATAATTTTGTTGTCATGTTTATGTTTATCTGCTGATTTAAGGTTCTGCATCACTGGATGATGCTAAGTTGCTAACTTCATTAGAACATGAAATTATGATCTTCCTAATCAGTCGTTGTTTTTCGTACTTTCCCGAAGCACATTAGTACTGTTTGTTATGGATTTCGGACGAAGGATCCTGCAGCTTTCCAACCAGCAGCGCCGTTGCATCATCCGCACATGTCGTCGCTGCTATGTCTCCATGAACCTTCCGGCGCTCAATGCGCGCGGCGTCCTGAGCAATGTTTTTCCCGAAATAAAGTAAGCTTCTTAACATTTATCTGAACTGGGCATTTGGCATCAGTGCTTACATCCGCATTACCTGTTGCAGTAAAAAAGTGGAAGAGCGGCTGTTTCGGCGCCAAGGCGCCATTTATGCGGGCTTTGATCCGACAGCTGACAGTCTCCATGTGGGCAATCTGCTCCCGCTCATCGGACTCCTGCATTTCCAGCGGGCAGGCATCCGGCCTATTGTTCTGGTGCGTCTGCGATGTACTTAACGGCGCAGTTGATCCAACAGTGATTTTGAACTGCAGATCGGTGGTGCGACGGCCAAGATCGGCGATCCCAGCGGAAAGACGGCCGAACGCGAAGGCCTCTCGCCCGACGTCGTACAGCAGAATATCATCGGGATCGGCCGCAGTATCGAAACCATATTTGCTAATCACGAAGCTTTTCTATGGAAAAACCATAAAGATGCATTGCCTTCGGTATGGTACGTGGTTTCTGGCTGTTACACCTGTTTATGCTCGCGTTGATTATTTCCTCATATAATATTATATACTTATTTCGTATTTAAGTTAATAATGTTTTCATTTCTTGCTATTGATACTTAAGAATATCATACTTTGGCGTTGTTTGTAAAATTGTATGATAAGAGTTTTGATTTGTGCTTTCATTGGCTGTTTCATGATAAATTTGTTTAATTTTTCTTATTTCTGGTTTATTTAAAAATACATCAGTCATGTTTTGTGGTTGCAGTTTAGTTTGTATAACATATTTATTTCCGGTGTTATCGAAAAGAATGCGGTGCGGATATTTTCCTATATTCAGCTGCCTTGTCTTTTCTTAGTATTTTGAACAACTATGAATGGTATCGGAATATGAACGTCGTGGATTTTCTCGGATCCATCGGAAGGCATTTTCGGATGGGAACGATGTTAACCAGAGAAAGGTTTGTTTTTGCTGGACATCCATACGCTGGGTTGAGCAATCCAAAAAATTTTGATACTGTGTTAATTGCTATTTCAATACTATTTCATGCTTTTTTCCAAATGGCATAGTAACTGTTTTTTCCAGTGCTGTTTTAATTTGAGTTAAAATTTTGTTTTTGTCGTCATACTGAATGCTGTTAACGGTCACTTTGAAATTATCTTTTTGCTAGTGTACAGACCCGACTGAAGACCCAATCCAGTATGAGCTTCACGGAATTCACGTACCAAGTATTCCAAGGATATGACTGGTATCACTTGTTCCAGAACTCCGAATTGGAGTGTTGGTATCAGGTTAGTGTTCCCATGCTTCCTACTTTCGTAACGGCATCTTTCGATTTTCGGTTTTTGTTAGTTTATTCTACGGTTACGGCAACCGTTCTACTGATAGGTAAAATTTTACCTTTGTAAGGGTATAAAATGGTTGCACGCATTCTTGTGGTTTTTCTGCTGTATTGTACAGGCAGTTGTGCAATACTTTTACTGTACTTGTATAATTGTATTGTACTTATAATACGATACTTGTGTAATGATTATTGTACTTGTTTTAAGTACTTGTATTAATTTTAAATACTGTAATCACTCTGTACAGTACCATTAATTGCAAACTGATGTCTTTGTAGCTTGGCGGGAATGATCAACTGGGTAACATGGTTGCCGGTTACGAGATCATCCGACGTAAAACTGGATCTGATAAACCTTTTTGCTTCACTGTTCCTTTAATTACCAACGAAGCGGGTGATAAATTCGGTAAAACGGCAGGGAATCCTGTGTGGCTCAACGAGGACAAACTGTCCGCATACGAGTTTTATCAGGTAAGAATTTGCGCACCGGGTGAATGGCAGTAGATGTGACATGTATTTATGGCTGGCTGCAGCGGGTTCTTTTTCGTAGTTTTTCCTTCGACTTCCCGACAGCGAAGTTGAAAAGTTTCTCCGTTTGTATACCTTTCTTCCGGAAGCAGAAATTGTTTCCATCATGGAAGCCCACAAAGATAAGCCGGAATTAAGGAAAGCACAGAAAAAGATTGCCGAACAAGTGACGTTACTCGCACATGGAGGTGAATTCCGTAATGAATACCATTTTCATGGTAACTGTAATCGGTCTAACACCTCGTTCTGAACAGAAATATGTTGCAGAAAAGGGTCTGGATATCGCTCGAAAAGGCACTGAAGCCTTCTTCAACTCGAATGCCATAGCACTGGCCGGATTGGATGCGGAGACCATCGCTACCATTTTCGGAAAAGCTTTCGTGTCGTATTTGACCGTCCATCCCGGAATGACCGTGTGGGATGCAGTGATGAAAGCCAAATGTTTTGGAAATGAAGGTAATCTTGCTTACTTGGAGAACTTCTGAAAAAGTGTCTTGTTGCGAAACCGAAACAATATCATATGATTGCAGATGATGCGCGAAGGATTATTGACGCCGGTGGATTATATATTAATTATCGACGCGCACAAAATCCTCAACAAATTTTGATTCCTGGCGAGCACATTCTCCCTAATAACATTACATTAATACGCGTCGGTAAGTGTTTACGGTTTCCCTGTGCTCAATAGCTTTACTGTAAAGTTGTTAAAAAAATTTTCTTAGTAGCGAAAAAATTCGATAAACGGTGAGCAAAAAATTATTGCTTAAAAGATTGAGCTAGAGTAATTCCTGATTTTAATATTCAGGCGATGCCCGCGATAAATATTCACTTCGCTTCGTATCCTTCAAATTTGTACTTTAGGTGTTTCTGTTGCAGGCAAGAAAAATTATTACGTTATTCGGTGGAATACGTGAATGGTTGATTGGCGGCACTGTCTGTTTGTTTTTACTTTTTTACAGTTGTTTTGAATATCTTTCACTGCAGTTCTAGCAGAACGTCGAAAGACTAGTACTGTGTGATCTTGCGAAAGAAAAAAGCTGCGAACTTGTCGTTGCTTTCGGAATTAAATCCAGAAGTAAAACTATGCACTGGTTTGTAGTTTGTACCAACCTGTGAAATAACAAGCAGCTTCACCATGCTTGGTTTTCCTCTGCATAAAAAGATACTGCAGTAGAAATGGAATGGAATACAACAAAGCAATCAATCTGACTGCTATTCATTTTTCTCGGTTGCTGTATACAGTATCACAATACAAAATAATGCTAAACGCCCAACGACAAGTCCATTAACAATTACACAGTAAACAAAGCCATCACTAGTTTCATTTCTTTCTGCGAGTAGCACTTAAATATTTCGAAGCGTCAAAATCAACATGCACTTCTTCTTCCACTCTTATCTTGCTCTTGGGACGACGCTTGGCCAATCGCATTTTCTGTTCTTCTTCAGAAAGTGTGGTTATGTCAAACGGTAACTGCAAAAGAAATGCTCTTCCTTCCAAAACTGTTCAGGTAACAAATGCCAACAATATGAATCAGACAACTCGCAAAAAACTAAACCAAATGCAAAACGAAATTTTATCACAAAATCCATTTTTTCTTACATGGTCAGGGATGGCTACTAGAAATAACAAAATATAAGAAAACGTGAAAGTGCCTAATGTACAGAATTTTTTAAATATACTGATGTTTTTTAAAGTATGTATGAAACATCTCCACGATAGAAGCACGATTCCGTATAAAAACAAGTATCGAAGCACGCAAAACGTACCGGCATAACTCTTCTAGGCTCCTTGTAGCGGATGTTTATCGTCGAACCATCCGGCTGCACCAACAAGTTCGGATAAAGACGAGTGTACACTCCACGCTCCACTCTCGCTATAGAAGCCCGATTCGAGTTACAACGAACCGATGCTGGCATCCGCTGATTTGCGCAAATTCTATCCACTGCATCGCAGCAGTTTAACGGAAGGACAGATGCTGCGCGAAGAACATCCGCTGTTCTCCCAACAGATAATAGTGGAACGGAGCGCCTTGCCAAAAACATTGCACTCTGATGGCTCGGGACTTCGTCACTTACGGTCTGCCTCGCTGCAGCACAGGTGCAAGAATCAAGATCAAAGCAGATTTAGGTTGTGGCTTATGTAAGTTATGCAGCACTGGACAAAATAGAAGTATCCTGGCAAGTTGCTAACGATGCGCACAAAGTAATAGACATGAGAAACTGAAACTGCGAACATGAAAGTGCAAAATGCAAATCCAACTTTCGAAAAAAAAACTTGAAATAACATACAACTTGCTACACGATACAAATACTTAATACCGTAAAAAATGTTGCAAAAACTTTTTAACCATTGCTTCGCAGTTGAACAGGGAGTAACCGGAAACGCTACAATTCCACTTGAGACGTCGATTGCGCAACATGCAGTCCAAACTCCAAAGCACTTCTACGCACGTACTATTTCATGCTCCTATTTTTCGAAATTTTTTTCCCCATGGTCTTGACTGACTTGACTTGACATGTTCATACTATTGAAGCTTTAACATGATTGTTTTGTACAGAATATAATGGATGGTGGATAAAAAGAAAAAGCAACAGCAGCAACCATGAATTAATTCATTTTACACTTGTCTCCGTAATTTACCACTTTTATCCATGAGCAATCACCGGAAGCATAGGACATGTAGGCCCAATCATTACGTCCCGAAATCCCAAAACAGTTAAAACAGTTAAAAGCACCTCAATACAACCCCAAGTTATAAGGACACTTTCGAACAAGTACTGCCACCAGAACACGGACAGACGCACTCCTTCTCTTTTGAGTTATCTTTGCCATGGGATTTCTCTTCCGAATCCTTGGCATATGATTGCGCAATCCCGTGCGTACCCTCCACGATATCTCCAGCGGCATCCGCTCCGTACCGCGGTTCCAGGCCTTTCCAAGCTCGTTCATTCAGAAAATTATCTAACAACAACTTATTTTTTTAGCACAAACTGACCACAGAATACCAAAGAAATACAACACTATTCAAACCCAGAGGAAAACTATAAAAAAAAATTTAACCGAAAATTTAAACCTCTCTAGGAAGCAAAATTTTTGTGGGTAGTGCACTTACGAGCAGCCGGCAGAGTAGACAGGGTCATCGCGGAATCACGCAAAACCACCGCGTCCGAATTATCGCCGTTTTCCGTGGATTCGGTGTGCTGCACTCGCGCACTGCCGGTAATTAGCGATACATCTGGCTCCGAATTAAAACTACCGTCATTTAACTCGACATATGCTTTTCCACCTGCCAATGGCAAAGAACGGTCATTACTTAAAAGCCGCTCATTTTCACTTGCTATTTCAACTTCAAATACAAGTTACGGTATAACTTTACATCCAAATATCGATATCGTACCAGGCAAGAGATCACGAAAGTCAGCAATGAACCGCTCTTCAAACGGTCTCTGTCCGCATGCAATTTCCACTTCGTGTGGAGTAACGACAGGTTTTAGGAACTCTTTCGAATCGAAATACGATTCCGGACACGCAACATACACGAAAATATCAATTTCCATGAAATTCGCCAGCTTCGGGGGATTCGGTTTGCCCATAACGAAGGTGTAGTACTTCTTTCCGGCTGCTTTGATGATCGTCTTCAACCGCTCGATGATTTGCAGATAATCCTTGACACCCAGCGTCCCCACAAGGATGCCCACTATTTGCGCATCCTTGAATTTTTCGATAAGAAAATACCGGCGCATTACCCTTTTACTCAGGTTAGCAGGGTCCAGAATAAAAGATACTGCTTCGAAATCGTAAACATAAAATCGGTGTTGTCCCAGCTGTATCCTGAGATTGGTCATCAGCGAATTAGGCTGACCAAGGTATAAATATACAGGATCGTTAGATTCTGGGAGTTTTCTTCTGCTGTGCACCGGTAGCGTGGTCATGCTCCCATCGCAGGTAAAATCCTGATTATGTTTCCGTCTTATAACAGTCTGATTTTTTGGCACCATTAAGCTTGAAAATTTTAGCTTCGGCAACCTTTTCGCAAGCACATCTGCAACAAGTACAACGCAAGTAACATGCTGAATCTGGAAATAAAAGGATGCATCAAATAATTTAATAATCAGCAGCCTTATGCATTTCGCAATTTCCTATTAGCACTACTTAGTAGGTAGAAATTCATGGCGAAACTCGAAAGGCAACCGGTAGTTCGTATATTATCAGCCAAACAAGTTAGCTTGACCACAATCTGAGATGAACAATTATCTGCCATCACACATTTTGCTCATCGTTCGGATTTTCCTTACCGAGAGATGCAAAATACTGCGTGTCGTACAAAAGGACGACATCATGTTCTGAGTCTATAATGGCTTGTGCCGCGTGGCAGAAAGCCTCCGTATCGAAATTGGACGGTGAAGGAAATACCAGCGCCACCGGAAGACGCGAGGAAGGACTCAGACACGACGGACCGAAATGGATGACGCTATCGCAGTTGGCGTGTTCGGCGGCGATTTCGTCGACACAACAGCTAAGATAATGCACAACAAGTAGACAATCAGTACCACGAAGAAATAACGAAAACATGAAAACAAAGTCGGCTTAGAAACTAACGAGTGGGTGTCAAATTAAATATTATTACCATCACTACACTATTCACTATCAGCAAGTGTGTGCGTAATAAATACAGGCCAATGTCGGATTAGACAGATTAGATGCTCCGTTTAAACGCATATTAAATGCACAAACTTACCTGCAATATGTCGTATCCCCGAGTATAAAAAACCGCCGTCCACTGCAGAATAATTCTAACTTCTGGTAAACAGCTGCCGCATCATGCAGCAGGCGATCAGGAAACTGAAGAGCAATCTAAAAGAACCCCAGATACAAAAACTCAAATACATGCACGATGCAATCCATGCGAAACATCAAACTATAGAAACGTTCAGTGACTATAATTACCACATTCTTCTTCCACGCTTAAATGCAAACAAATTGAAACAATAACCATATATCTCACTATTCCGCCGTCCGCTACGCTGCACCGAAAGAAGTGATGTTCCAGGTGCGAGAAACCAACAACAAAGTACTCGGACTACACTGAAAGATGCGCGGTGTGTCTGACTCTATTTACTCGTTTGTAGTCGTGGGCCGCAATCCATTCCGAGCACTCAGGCAACAGGTAGGTTTCGTCCAAGTCTTCCGTGCGAGTACTCGCATCGTCCGCCGATACGTCTGGGATGCGAGATAAAATATCTTCTTCGTTGGAGCTAAGCGCAATCGACATTCTGACCAAAAGTTAAGGAAAGCAAGGATCTCAGACGCTATACGGCTATACCGAGCAGCGCGCACGCTTCACGAAGACAACCACAAATCAATCGTAGCACTGACGATGCTAAAACCAGTCTGGCAAATACCGTATGCATAAACTAAAATTTCATAACAAATACAGACTCCTTATTATTTTCATAAAATCTGAAAAAGTAAGAAAGTAGTGAATAGCAAAACCTACATAGCATTAGTAGAGTCAAAACTTGAAAACTGCTAACTTGCGCCGTAGTTTCGGACATCAGTCACGCTGTTATGCACAAGCAATACTCGTACAAGACCAGACACGAGTATAGACAAACGGAGTAGACAGTGTCTATACAACTTTGTCATTCGACTCATTCCGGACTGCAAAGTGCAAATGGCTTTTTGTAAACCAAGTTCTGTGGATTGCTTTATTCTTATTTTTGACAAGTAACAGGGCTCGAAGTTATTCTACGTCGTTGCAGTTTAATTTTAGCTTTCCCGTGGTTGAACTGTGTCTGAGGAGACCGGAAGTTTACGGTTTACTATATATATAGCACTTTGTCGTAGTTGTGGTTTTTTGCAGCGTTCATGTTTAAGACTCAATTTACTGATTGCATAATTTATAAATATAAATATGTCAGTTGTTCCAATCATACTTCCTGCGAATAAATGTTTAATTATGTTTTCGCACAGTCGCTACATCGGCACAGTTCCAGGCTCTATCCCATCGCCGTTCAAACACGAAACCCGGGTACACAAATAGGACAATAACTTGATCGCATTGGGAGCAGTCTCTGAGCTGTCTGTCCTTTTTTTGCAAATTTCGAACAGTGAAAACCAAACACCCACAGCAACCGAAGGCGATTTTTAAAAAAAAAACAACTAAAAGCGAAAACCAACCTAACATGCAAACCACCAGAATGGACTGAAACCCACACAGAAACTTTCACAAACTCAAAAACAACCTCACTGAAAAGTCTGAGAAAAGACATACCAAACCCAAACGAGCCGAGCTTGAATTTCTCGATGAACAAATGGGAGTACACATTTAAACATTAACCTGAGGTAGCATGTTGCATTTTGATCCCTCAACCAAGTGAAAGACAGAACAATGGAGCTGAATTCGACGGAATGCGAGGTCATCCAAGAGAGCTAACAGGTGAGTTACACTGTTACAGGCATGGTGAGTCACAGGAGAACACGGTAATTCCTTCTTCACTTCACAAACGCAGCGCCTTCAGGGTTCGATGGAAAGCGACATTGATCATAAATAGTGACCAGATAAACATCGGTGCCGAGAGAGTCGTTGTTGTGTCCCGAACCATTTTGACCCAAACGTGCAATTCCTTGAAATTGTCCTTTGGCTGCTTCTACAAACATCAACGAATAGTGAGGCAAACCAATATTAAAAGAATTGCAAAGTGTACGGCTATAGTAACGAACCGGTATTTTGGTAACGCCTTGCTGGGTCACTATTTCCATAAATCTCGCATCTTCAAGACTAACAGGCGACAACCATTCTCGGTCCAATTTGCGCTTCCACCAGTCCGATGTAGTATTGCTACAAAGACAGAAGTTTTGAAATATCATAACCATGCACGGAAAACTTTGCATCCGTAAAATGTGCAAATTTGTGACTGTCGCATTCAGCTGTAATTCTATTAATTTTATATCAAGTTTCGAAACCAAAAATCCGCAGTATACAGTTTATTAATTTTAACTAGATTAGCATTGAAATTCAACGAGGAAATGCGGCATCGATCTTGGGGACAGCGCCGATAGGGGCAAATTTAGATCAAATTTTTTCTGTGATTAGGCCGCCTCTGTCGATTGATGCTTAATGTGATCGTTTCTGAAGTTGTTGTGAAATTTTTCTGTGAACAGTTGTAATGCGTAACGAGTAACAATAAAATTAATTTCAAGCTACTGTGAACAAGCTGTATTAGCATACAAGGATCCAATTCCAGACCACTCAATTAATTAGCAGCAGTAGTATGTGGCTATGTGCACACCAGTAAAACAACTGCTTATTATGTGTCTTTCTGCTGATAAAAAGTTGAACATGAGTCAATTGAATATTGTTACAAGGTTGAAGGTACCAACATGTAATGCGTTCTAAGACTGCCCAATAAAAGACCTTCTAAGCGTTTTTAGGATAACGTCAACTTACCCAGTCTTAGCATCTTTATCATGGATGCTCGTAAACCAGTACTTGTACAACTGGCCGCGAATGTACTTGGGTGGCTTTTTGAAAAAGGGACTGGCTGGATCAATTAAACGAAGCACTGCAAGAAAACGAATATCTCCAGTCAATCTGTTGCCAGCTGACGATGACCACCGACAACCAAATCAAAATATGTACCTTCCGGTTCTGCCTGTAGCAGACGATAAGCGACATTGTACACCCATGGACTGCTGTTCTGATCGCTCAATGCCGCAAACCACCTGGACAACACAAATGCATCCTTACAATTCAAACGATAAAACAAGCAAACAACTGCAGTATTGGGATGACTGAATCCTACTAACATCTGCCAGTCCAGTCGAGGTTGATGCGGAATCAGGAATGGTGGAGGTCGATCTAATTTACCAGGCTTGTACCAGAATTCATAAGGTTTCCATCCCGCCTCCAAATCATCGCTGCCTTCCAAAATCAGTTCCGGTCGGCCTTCGGTACCCGTCATTCTAAAAAAGTAAACAGTTTAAGTAATGCACGGATGTTATTTAAATTATAATTCATCAAACTCACCTTCGGAAGAGGCCGTATCCACTAACGAGGTTGAACTTCTCCAGATTTTTATTCAACTGACGAATTCGCACTCCGGTATTCCCCAAACTAGTAGTTTTGCTCAACGTGTTGTACGGTATCTGATGATGAAGAAATCAGCTGTCAGTGAAGCCTTGCAGCTCAACCAGGGATCTCAACTTACCAGGCTCAAACCAAACAAGCCCAGCGCCATAAGGACGTAAAAGCCCAAAAATATCCCACGATACATTTTGGTGAATGAGGATTCATTCCTAGACAAAATTTTATACGAGTTATGTTTTGGGAGCGACTAAACTAGCAAAACCTGACATACGCATCATGCTGTCGAAAGTAATAGATCAAAGTCCAAGCGAGGGAGATCAGGCCCAGCATTACGGATGCCGGCCACGCGTATTCCATAACAGCATGCACTTCCTTCTCACCAAAACCTAAATAATCCAGACCAAAATGTATTTATTTAATTACGACGAATATACCGTGCGATGACACCGTTCAATATCTGTACATCTGCAGAGTCTGTATAGCAGTAGTTTGACAGTAGTTGTACCTGGTTTAAAAGTGAGCACGTTTTTCTCGTCATATCTAATGTTGTAGAGCACACCGATTCCAGCCAACACTCCTCCGATGATGAGCAGGTTGAAGAGAAATGCCACAGCTTTCTTGAGTTTCGAAATAATCTGCACTTTTCCATCTACAGGATTAATTCACTCAAAACGGCCCACAGTTTATTCATTACCGTGGAACAGGAAAAAAATTACATACGTGTTTTGAATCCAAGATCTTCATCATCAAGAAGGGAAAGGCTCAGCACAATAGTCAGCAAATTAAACCAATTATAATTTCCCGTGGCAATAATTCCCAGTTGCAAAATAATCTGAAAAACGGACCAGCTAAACCGAGATCAACTTGAACGAGCATACAGTTTGCTTTACCTGATTGTACCAAGCGAACTTTCTCAATCCTTTTGTGGGGGCGAAAAAGAAAAACGGCAGAACGACTTCACAAAACAATGCATGCAAGAGCGTCAGCTGGTCAAACCATCCGGGCAGTTGATGGATGTACCATGAAAGAAAAGTGGGAATGCACTGCGATTCGTAATGGTGGAACAAGGCTGAAAAATGCACGAGCTGAAATTTTTAATTAAAACGTGGCTTCACGCTTAAAACACTTAACTAAATACTACGTTTATTACGCTTAAACGTTGAATTCACGCTTAAAACGCTTTCATTGGTACATAATATAATGTCTGTAAAGATTTATATCGCATTGTATGCATTACGGACACCAACCTGTAAGTTTCCACCATGTTGGACACCCGCCTGTCAGCTTGAGAATGCCAGAGGAAAACATAAGGCGGAAGAGCAACCACTTCACTGGCCACATGCAGAGTCCAGCCAATTTAGCATGGATCCGGTGGGGCATGAAAAGGGGGATTGGAGCGAAAACAAATGCAAGAAATCCAGCCTCCATAAGCAAGGCGTCCCTAAAGGGTGCGTTCAAAACCAGAAACGTCCATTCATATCACCTCGAAACTGCTTATCCTCAATCTAAGCTGATTGACCACGTTTTTGTCATTCCACATAAACATATGTAGCAAAACCGCTGTTCAAAATTACTTTAAATCCAACCCACACAATTACGATACCACAAGCGATACGTAATGAAGCTATTAACTAGCTCTTTCCTGTCAAAACTTACCATTGGAACCACAAGAAAACATTCCCAACCTATCGAATAACAAAAGAAGCCACAAGATAAGTTTACGGTAAGTTTTAGTCTCATATACATATACATATAACCTGCAGTGTTTTTAAGCATATAGACCTAAGCATATTCTTAAGCATAAGAATAAGTACAAAATCTAAAAACAAAAATTCACAGATGTTAAGCATGCACAGCATAAAGAAATGCACACAAAAATACATACACAATTTAAATGCGGGGATAAACTTTACCACGTATTACGTATTTCAATATTATTAATTTCAGGATTCTAAAATGTACAGTATCAAAAACATCAAATCTACTCGAGTAGAGAATCTAAACTTTGCAGAAATTACCGAATAAAAGGACAGGTACAGCAGCCATAATGCCCCAAACACCAGCATATTGCGGGCAAAGCGAGTGATGATAGCGAAGGAAGCCAGACCGATGCCAAGAAGAGCCAACACATCCATGCTCGTCTGCACATCGATCCCCAAACTCTGCGTAACCCACAGCAAAGTTGGCTTGGCATTCCAGTGTTTAAGCAGATCATCCCAGTCTGCAACAGTATTCAAATGATGTAACGCCAAGGTTTTCAATAAATGGAAAAACCACACGGTAATTTCACTTGATCGACAGTTTCTGATGCTGAATGCAGGTACATTTACCAAGCTTTGGGCTCTTGGTGAGTTCGCGCGACGCTACCGGCAGAATTCCTTTGTCGCCGTACAGTCCGGGGAGTTGATGGTATAACGATGCAAAAGCAAAGAGGTAGATCACGGCCATAGACCATAAGAATAAATTATGCACGTGAAGGTGCGCCATGGTGTCGGTCTGAGCAAATCTGGTGCTATCAAAAGAAGCTAAGAGTATTCAAGTATGTAATAGCAGAGGCTGCGAAGCCTCGCTCTCGATCTATAGTTAGATGCTACGCACGAATGGGAAAAAACGAAAACTGCAAACGAGTCCTTCAAAAACTGAAATATGACAACCAGCGACGGCAGATTCATATGTAATTGTTAGCTAATTGTAAGTTGACTCTGGAGCAAGCCACTTGCTGCAAGTGACAAAAAAAGAATGCAGAATTTTTCGGGACTGGAGGAGAGCTCCGAGCCTGCGGTCACCTTGAACTTGAAAAACTGCGTAGGTTGGAAATAGTGGATGGGTGACGATTCGAGCTACCTTGTAGCAGAAGCCGAAAGGTACTGCAAGCCGATGTATCACGCCCCTCAACTGAAGCGCTCGTGCCACCACCCAACGGTTTGGGGAGTGGCAAATCAAAATTTTTGAAGAATCACAAAACAGGAAATCTCATTGCGCACGCAAATCGGTAATCAGAAAAGAGAAAAGACAAGTGTTTATAACTTTACACTCGTCTTACAGTATGTTTTGAACTGCTTTCGAAGTTGCATATTTTGTTTAGGTTTTTAGTTTCAGTTTGGCATAATAGATGGTGGATCCATTACAAATACGATTCGTATTGCGTGCGGATCTGTGATTTTAAATATTTGTTGATCGAGCTGTCGAGCAGAAACATTTACAGATATACAACTTCTTGTCGGGAATCACCAAACACGCTCTTCAAAATGGACAGCGATGGCATGGAAGCGTTGCTGGATTTTCCGGAGTTTATCGACGTCCCGTCTGCTTCTGCCTCGGAGGAGCCAGTGATTGAGAGAGAACCTGAAAGTGTCGCCCCATCTGAAAATACGACATCATCTGCAATCGAATCTGCATCTACGGAAGCAGCTGTGAATGTTGCTGCAGAAGTACCGCAGTCCGATGAAAGTAATAAATCGATACCTGCTATTGAACATCCGAACGAAGCACCCATCGGACAGCCTCCGCGTAAGAAACGGAAACATCATCCCGCTGCTTCGAGCGAAGCTGGACCTTCAACTTCTAAGCCTTCTACAAGCGGGCATCCTTTGGGAGAACCAGCGGACATTCATAATGATGATTCTGGACCGGGATCTCCATCAGAACAGGTAAATTGATTCATTCATCAATTTTTATTTAACGCTTCCAGTTTGCAGTCTATGATAGTAAGCCTAAGTATTGTATGTGTACAGTGATTGTATTTTAAATTGATCTTTTTTACGATGAATTCGTTAACGTTTTCCGCTTTATTTAATATTTCGGTTGTCATATTATGCAATTATTAATATTTTATGTACGAGTCACGAATGCATCAATATTTTATTATTTTGAAATGAAATCCTTAGTCGATCTTTTTGGATTAGCGGGCGGAGATACGAAACTTGTTAAGTTACATTTATATACAGGTTCACCGTTCACGTAGAAAATTACAATAAGGGATAACCTCAAAGTCTGTTAATATTTTGAAGGATTTTGAATCGGATTTTTTGGATCTGATGCCATTCAAAGAAGAGGATCCCGAGGACGTCGCGGAGCGTCAGAAACTGCAGTTGTTGATTTCTCATCTTTCCGAGGAGCAGCTGAACCGGTATGAAGTATACAGAAGAGCTTCTTTTCCCAAAGCTTCGGTGCGTCGCATTATGCAGACCGTCAGCGGTTGCACTGTATCGCAGAATGCCGTCATTGCTATGGCTGGCATTGCTAAAATGCAAGTCGGAGAAATTGTGGAGCATGCGTTGGACGTTAAGGAGCAATGGGCTGACGTCGGCCCGGTTCAGCCCAAGCATATCCGAGAAGCACTGCGACAGCTGCGAAATCGACCAGCCACGACATCCAGCAAATTCCGCAAAAAGCAGTCAAACAGTAATTTGTAATCTGCTTGCACAGCATAACAGTGCCGTACATGGTACTGCAGATGGTTGTTGTGTTAGGATTTACAGTTTACTCGAATCGTTTCGAAGCTTATGCGTTATTTTCCTGTGTGTCTGTTTTGTTGGCTTATTTGCCGTTGATCTCATTTTACGGGAAACTTCTTTTTTGTTTTATACTGTAAGGAAACTTGTAGCATCACTTGATTATGACTTGAATAAATACTTACGCACGTATTACTTTTTTGTCAGCTTATGGCATCGAAGATACCGCTACTTACTTTGCTGAGTTTGCTGGTAGTGACTTAAGGGTATAAATTGTAAGCCACAAGTTAAGTACACTTTATTAAGGTGCTTACTTACCTACGAGCGCAGATATAACTGGCCACAAGATTGTGACAAGAACAAAATTAATAATGATTTCAAGTAAGTATACCACGTAACCACGATACGGTTTCATACTTCGTTAAAACACTTATCTACTTACGATTAGTAAATACCCGTCTCAAATCGCAAAGGTTTAACGGGAAAAGTGATTTGCATTTGGTAGCCACTAGCCAGGCACTGTTAATTACAAAATTTACAGCTTTCTGTAGCTGTTCCGGCAAACAATCAAAGCCTACCGAATTTTCAATTCAATCGTGTTTCACAGATTTACTGCACTTGTCATGCATAAGCAATAGTCATTAAATCAGAAACCGTAACCATCACAAATCTCATTAAAATTAACTGAAAATGGAGAAAAAAGTCCACAAACAAGAAAAAACAATCAAAACATTCACATAAACAATCTTTTTAAAACTCTGACAGCTGACTAACAAGACCCACAAAAGAAAATTTTATAGTTTTCTGTCCAGTGACGATGTGATCCACTTCACTTGCCCAACTTTTTCTTCAACTCGCTGCCAATTTTTTCGATAAATTCGACGGTTTCCATGTAATCGCTGCGATTTACCCTACGAAGCGAAATATTCATTAAGCACCTACCGCTGCTACCAGTATACCAATAAATGAGCATAAACTCAGTAAATGGAATAAAACTAACAATATTCGTACAACCATATTTAATTTTCGTGTGGTATAAGAAGGCAAATAATTATTGGTAACCAAACGCGTCAACATACTTGCTCAGGCTGCCTTTAATGCAAAGAGCCAAATCCTTCGTCATGAATCCAGCTTCGATCGTATCAATGCAAGCGGCTTCCAAAGCGTGGGCAAATTTAATCAACTCCTCGTTGCCGTCGAGTTTACCACGGTGTTCAAGACCACGAGTCCAAGCAAAAATAGAAGCTGGAAAAATGTCAGTGTTACTGTTGACTATACACTGTTGCGATGTTCTCATGTTCGTAATAAATTCCCGCTGTCGTTCATGATGCCCAAAGAACAAACACAGATATACAGAAAATAAGCAGACAATGGAAGTAAAAAAACCGTACCGATGGGGTTGGTCGAGGTTTCTTTGCCTTGTTGCCAGAATCGGAAATGTCTGGTAACTGTACCATGGGCAGCCTCGGCCTCAACAGTTTTACCATCAGGGCAAATCAGTACACTGGTCATCATGCCCAGTGAGCCGTAGCCTACAAAAGTTTACAAAGATTACGCGAAATCCGAAATATCGAAAAACCCATACATCATGTGCACCCATGTAGTCAAGTTTACTTTTATTGAGAAAGTACGTAGCTAATAGTAAGCGAATCAGAGGGATAATTGCTACTGAGTAAGTAATACCGGTAATTTTGACAGAACCATCATACACAAAATTTTCTTTCATCCGAAACGTCTATCCCAAACAGACATACCTTGGGCTACGGAATCGGACTGCACATCACCGTCATAATTCTTGCAAGCCCACACAAATCCGCCTTCGCTCTTCATGGCTTGGGCAACCATGTCGTCAATCAAGCGATGTTCGTAATAAATTCCCGCTGCCTCAAATTGCTTTTTATATTCCCTACAGGCAAACGCAAATTACTGCACAAACCAAAACCCAGGAAATACGGTGATTTTAAGCATACTTACTTTTCATAAAGAGCTTGGAAAATATCTTTAAATCGTCCGTCATACCGCTTCAAAATGGTGTTCTTCGTGCTACAAAATTATTTCTTAATTTACAAAATCCCAGACAATAACGAAAGATTCCAAACCTCATAAAAAGCGGTAGTTTGCGATCCAGTGCAAATTTAAACGAACTATGCGCAAAATCTGTAATGGATTCATCGGTGTTGTACATGGACAATGCCACACCCGGGGCTTTGAAATCGAAAACAGTTTCCTCGATTTGTTTATGATTAGTGCCGGGCGCGGGAACCCACGTGATCTTCAGGGTGCCAGCTCCGGGAACAACGAAGTCTTTGGCTTTGTACTACGTATATCAAAAAAAGCACACATGGTCAAAATTTAGAATTGCTTTTACAGCAAAGTTCCTGCTATGCGCAGTCAAGCCGTATGCAACGGTATCTTTCGCAAGATTTTGGTAACTCGCATTCATTTCAACGAAAGTCGATAAATAGATGGTGTATATAACGATTACAAGCACTTACTTGATCGCCATGTGCATGACGACCGATAATGATGGGCTTAACCCAACCGGTTACAAGACGCGGGATGTTCTTGCAGATGATGGCTTCACGGAATACCGTGCCACCGAGAATGTTGCGGATTGTGCCGTTGGGCGATGGCCACATCTTCTTCAGCTTGAATTCTGGAACAACAATGCAACTTTAAAACTCGAGAAAAAAACACCAGAATAACTTCACTGCTACACAGGATGCGTATAAATCAACCAATTCATCCGATTTAAATGCTTAAATGATTACCTTCGACTCGCTGTTCGTCCGGAGTGATCGTAGCACACTGAAATGGTACAAATTAAATCAAATCTAAATAAAAGCGTATTTATGCAGATTAGTTTTTACAGAAATCCAAGTACCAATTATTTTGGCAATCCACAAACAAAAAATGTCAAGACTGCTTTGCAAATTTACAGCGCTTAAAATCCAGATGAAAATAAAATATTCACAAAATGTATTAACATCTGACATCCGCCACAATAATGCAAAAAAGGAGAAGGCAAAATTATTAATGTAAGTATTTTCTTATCCTATCAAAAGTTTGTAACATAAACTATTCACAATTTCAGACTGTAGCTCGAAAAGGAAGCGTTTTACCACCAAGTGCACCAACTTTATGTTTCCACTGAGTATGTACCATATAATTTTGTGACATATAGATATTACGATACGATACTAATAAGTGCAAGTTGTGCAAGTAATCATTACTAAGTTTAATGCACACGAAAAAATTCAAAAAACTAAGCATAACGCACCTTGATGCCAACGTTGTACTTTTTGATGGCTTCCGCACAGTCAACCGTCACTGCCACAAATAATCTTCCATAAAGAAATTGTCATTATTCACTGCATATCCACCAAAGCACCTTTGTCATTCGTAGCATCGCGGTGTTCTATTCCCAGATCAAAGGAATGCAACTCCATCTCCACATACGGGAAGATCAAGATATCCTTGATCTTCTCCCAGATGATCCTGCATGCATTGTCCATCGTATACAAACTTTTTTAGTTTACTTTAACGGAGTTGCGAATATAATTACCTCGTCATTTCATCACCCTGGGCTTCAACCACAGGTCCAGCTGAAAAACCACAAAGAGCTTTAAATAACTGCGAACCTGGGTTCGCGGGCCGTCTTGCTCATCTGCCACATACCTTTGATTTTCTGCGCCATTACGAAGGAGGATGTGGAGAAATGGAGACGGGAATGTTGTTGAAACGAATGTCGGTGAAGAGCTGCTAGGAGACCCAGTGCACGAGCTGACAGCGAATACGTCGACATACTGATTTGTGGAATTGTGTGCGTAGATACATGCAGTGCGATTTCACCGCTGCTGCTGCACCCGCTGGCAACGATCGCACAATTGATCGGCCCAGCTGCACCAGCGACCCTGGTCGTTATCGCACGTTAAGTAACTGGTATATTGCTGCTATTGAATTGCGGCAACTTTCGTACAGAAACCGTAATAAGCAAAATTTAAAATGCACTCATTGCACTGCAACAAATATCATAACGCGGATAAATGAAAGATACGCATACGACTGCTAAAAGAATATCACAGAGCAAGCCTGCAGCTGTAGACATGAGGATAAATATAACTGTCAGCTGTTCTGTACTTTCGTAGCATTTTAACATTCGGCGTTTGCTACAGCTGACTGCCTGATGTGTTGTCGTGCCGGTATATTCGTGCTACGAGTATTATTAATGTTTGTATATTTTTATTTTGTAACGGTAAGGTTAACTATCAAGTATAGTTTTGTGAAGCTCTGACCGTATCTCAAAAGAAAAACCTTTTAATTTTAAAATCGAACCAACGCAATGATAAATAAAACTAACATTTAGGTATTATAAGTTTTTTAGAATTTTAACGATTTCTACGGCAAATAAGTCACTTGTATGGTTTTTCAGAAGGCAGTCAAACAGATTCAAGTTCAAAGGATAACGATTCCTAGTAATACAAGCACTCATGGAAGTATACATATTTTCTAACAATTATTTTTAAAAATAAGAAATTCTGTGCGTGTAGACGCCGATATTTAGTGATGCCACTATGCATGGTCATTGGTAAGTAATGGTAACATATGGCCGAAGTCTTGGAAAGGCATAAGCGAAGTCTTGGAAAAACATAAGCATTAGCAGCATTAGCAGTGCACATCGGCGCTCTTCATAATAATTATTATTTATCTTGCGAACTTGCAATTTGATAATTTAATTGCGACATTTTCTCTCTTATGCAATTAAAAGAGTTTTCATGCGAGCAATTTGTGGGAAATGGTCAATCCGGTAACGACAACAGTAGCATTTCCAGTTACCAGGCGATAGAACGGAGAAGCAGATAAGCGAGCACTGTAACTACAATATTACACAAAAGCCGCGCATAGCAATAAGAATGACTACGCAAGCACAAACATACACTCTAATAAAATATGGTGCGGATGAACTCACACTGCCTTAATTAATTATTCTGTAAGCAAGTAATCTTTTCATTCTTTTGCTTACCGAAGTGAGGAAGTGTCTGGACAGTCTGACCGTTTAAACTCTAGTCGTGGACACTGCCCACTGAACAGTGACCTTTTGGTTTTCATAACGGACTGCGCAGCTATTTTTATACCGAAAACGGCTTTGTTCTGTTCAGTTTCTTCAATTCAAACAATGAACTAGTGCCGCTTAAACCAGAGTTTTACTTAATCAATCGTTTTTTAAAAGATACTAAACCTTTCTCGCAGGTCATAAAAACACTTACAGATACTTATTTCTACGTGTAATGCGCTTGCCCGAGGAGAAACAGTTCCAGGTAGTGTTGCGGCACACCGGCCGCGGCCATCTGGCGACCATTCTGGTATCCTTATGCACACTTGGAATTATGACCTCTCTGAGTCTCATGGCCGTTGGGATCGCCATTCACGAAAGCGTTGCACCTTATCGTGCTGTGCTGGATGATTACGACGGTGCTTACTTGTCTTTCATTTTGGGCGGACTCGGTTTAACTGGTTTAACTGTGCATTCGTTGCTGGTGTTTTGCTTGTTGGATTTTACCAATCCGGAAAGGTCAGACCATTTTGGACGCGTCAGCATTACGATTGTGATCAGTGCGGGACTGACCATGATTGCCGGTATCATCTGTTTCGCACACATCAGAGAAGTGCAGTCCGCGTTTCGCAGCGGACTTTCCTTTGCTATGAAAAACTACAAGGTCAGTTTCGAGTTTCGACCTTTCGATCTCCTAATACTGCACTGTTGGCAAAATTTGACTCATGGAATGATGCTTAATTGAAAAGTTTTGGTAAATATTTTTAATGCACAGAATAATACGATGCAGAAGTCTGCAATGGATGAAGTGCAAATGCGATACGAATGTTGCGGCATTCGGAACTACCGCGATTGGTTTAACATTTCTTGGGTGAACCAAAGTTACGTGGACAAAAACCGAATTTCTAAGTACGCCTTAAACGAGGCAAACCCAGACGTAGGGTTACGATAAATTAGTACTATTAAAACAAATCCTTATATAAGCGCTGATTAGTTTTCAGGAATATGAAAAACGGTGAATTCAAGCCGGACGACGTGCCCTTTAGTTGCTGCGACCCTTCGGTCTTTCGTCCCTGCATTCACGAAGCAGTGCACACCAACAGCCACCACTTCAATTACAACCACGCCAAGAATGTCACCATCTTCACTTCGGGTTGTTTGGAGAAAATAAAAAACTTTTTTGGTCCGGGACTGTTGTTTATAATGGGCGGATTAGTCTGCTGCATCGCTTTGATGGACTTCGGCATTGCAGCAGGAACGCGAATACTCTACACTTCCTTGTTGAGTGCCGTCAAACGCGGCGATGAATACGGTCCAGGCATCGGCATTGTTTGGCCGGGAAGAATATTGGTTTACCGGTCGTCAACGGATTTAAGAAGAGCGTGAAAACTGACAAAATAATGGCTATAATATATTGCTGTTTCATGATATTTTGCAGGAAAATATTAAACCTATACCTTAGTTAATGTAAGTTGACTACAGTACTTCTAGATAAAGTGCATCTAGTCTTGTATAAAACGCACTGGTTTCACCACCACAGTCGCATTCAGCTTTAATAACATTAATTTTTCTTCATAGATTTATTTAGTGTTATCAAATTACCACAAAGCACAATAAAGTTCCATCGAAAATTTCAAATTATTGTTTTATTTAGTAATGAGAGGTCACGGATAAGTCTTCTTCAAATACGAATATCCCGAAATAAGTGTAGTAAAACAAGCACCGACAGCACTTCTGTGGTCTACAGCTTCGATGATCAGTATCTGGCAACATTAGGCGGCACTACAGCGTTGGCGTCATCGCTTTTGGTGTTTGATGCAGCCGCATCAGCGGAGGACACCCGATTCTTAGATTTGGATTTATTCCTAACAATACTGGTCTTGGACGAGAGGAGCACTTTAGGCGGCAGTGCTGAGCCGGCACTAGGCGTTTGCATCAGGCTTAGTTCGATTTCGTTTGGGTTTTCGGGAGTAGTTGCCGGTGGCGCCGCCGAACTAGAATCGGTTGCGGTAGCGTTCGTGGGCTGCGCTTCCGGAGCAGTTTCTGTAATAAGTCTGCCATTATCTAAAATTGATATAGCGTTTGCGTGTTAATGGCAAGATTAATGTTTCTTTAAAATTTTATTAAGAATACGATTTCTTGTTCACTATAGTTATGTAAGTTCATTTATGTGACTGTTAACTCGGATTTTCTGTATGATACTCGTATTAAATTAATTCCTCGAATTTGCAGTTTTGGTATAAGTAAAAGCCGGCGGCATAACGGGCTGTTTGATTACCAACAAGTGGCATTGCTTTACTTTTTCCTTTCATTCCATTTGCGTTTTGTGGCCCCGAACTGGAAGAAGATGATGCGGCACCCGACGCTTGCGCTGCAGGCCCAGACGCGGCCGATTGCGCACTCTGCGCATTAGCATCGGAGTTCTGATCGGGCACAACCGCCGGTTTGGCCGCTACGTTCTTTCCCGCATCAGCATCCTGATCGGATCCGGAACCTTCCACTTCATCACCGCCTGCATCCGCAGATTGAGCGGACATCTTCTGTGCCTTGTCCGCGGCGCCGGCATTCGACGCCAAACCAGCTGTCTGCGCGGAAGAGCCAACGGCCGCCGGAACATTAACGCTGACGTCACCTGTAGCGTTGTTCACTGATACGTTGGCGGGAGCGGCCGCTGTCGGCTGATCCACGGCGACCTGAATGCGCTTTTGTCCGGAGGCGGATTGGGCGGCCGCCGAACCCTTAACGCTGACCGGTTGAACGTCCGGCTGAACATCGTTGCTGGTGGGGGGAGCGACTGGAGCGGCGGGTTGGGAGGGTGCTTCCAGTGGGACGGTGCTGTATCCGGCCATCGATTTCCTTGCGCCCATGGACGGTTTCTCCTTCTTGGAAGATGAGACCGATACTTTGGCGGCGTTGGGCTTGTCTGCTGCAACGGAGTCCGAACCGGCACTGGCGGAGGTATCGGGCGCTTGCAGATCTTTGGTTTGTCCGTTGATGGATGGTCTAAGGGCGGCTTTGGCGCTGTCGGAAGATACGGCGACAGAGGCGCTGGAGTTACCTGCAATTTTGTGGTCAATTTAGTTTCCCAAATGACACTGTATTGACTCCAAAAATTCTCTGGGCACTTGACAACTTTAGTGCACTTGAACTCTAGAAGCTTGTAAGACTCGATTTGGAAATCAGTATCCTGGATTTTTGTGTTTGTAAGTTGTAACTGTGTTTGGCACCGTCTGTAAACACCTCAGAACTTGTAAAATCCGCCTAATCAGATTTCATTAATTATGATGTAAAATTTGTTCACAAACAGGAACCAGAATGGCTTATAAAATCACTGTTTTTTTGTTCTCGTACTAACAAATTGAATTAACTTATAGCAAACAACAACTGCAAAAAAACTAAAAGTTGTAAAATGCAGGAAAATATTACGAATGTCGGGTTGCGGTCAGTGCATGTGATTAAGCGTTCGGTATTCAAGAAAAGTATTAAGTATACTGTTATGCCGCATCTGTCCTTCACGTATACGTTTAAAGCTTGGTACGAATCTTCAAACTTCGAAGGAACAAATGTATTGTTAGGTACTATGCTGCTGCATTAAATACCAATGTTCTACTCCTGGCGTACCTTCTCTACAACGTTTTATGGTTAATAAACCGCTGTAGTTATCACAGTTTTCCCCGGGACAACAATCCGAGTCGGTGTTGCACACTTGGGCACGTGCACAACTAGTAGCATCTACAGTGGTAAAAAAGCAGCATTTTAAGGCTGGATTCGAGATATTTACATAATTAATTAAGCAACTGCGATTGTATTTCCGATTATCTGTAATTAAATCTAGCGCTAATTGTACTAACACACCATTCTACATAATTACATGTACTTTTGGAAGTGTATTTTTAAAATTTATTTTATATAATACTTGCAGGTGATGCTTGCATCAACTGGAGTAGTTATAGTGATCTCATGAAACGTTGCATTCTATGCATACAAGTAAGCATCACTGTGAAAGTTGTCTTTTGATAACTGGTAGGCTAAATACTGACCGTGAAATATGTACAACATTGTATTGTACTCTGTATTACAGGTACCACTACAATAATTGTAGTTTTGCAGTGAAATCACAAAAACTTGTATATTTTAGAGTGCATACTTTGAACATGTATATAGAATAGTTATATCTACAGTATATTCTGTTTAAAGTACAGTATATCTGTATAATAGTGCAAATGTACTGTACAATAAATACGTGTACATTTGTTACATGTAGCTGTATAAGTCATCTGCGGCCTTATTTTAAAATTGTGGATAACTTCCTAAAAAATGTTACTTTTACTTTACTTTCTAAAAATTATAATACGAATTTCTAGTTGCTTAACTTACTTTTTCCTGGGGCCACGCATTTGCCAAGGAATCGTGAGCAGACGAGTCCACTTCCGGAGCACTCTGCATCGCTTTGGCAAGCAGCCGGCACGAGACTACCGCTCATCGACGTGAAAATCCTGAACATGTCGCCATCACTGCCAAAATCGTCGTCATCGTCATCACTGGCACTTCCCGATTGGCGTCCACTTGATGCACCACCCTGTTGTTTTTTACCGTGAACTGGAAACCTAAAATAAAATAAATAGTTGAAGTGCAGTTATAAAATCTTTATTTTAATAATAAGTGTATGCAAGTGTATGATTAGCCAACAGCAGCATTGTACATGCAGACATTTACGAGTATTGTATGCGGTTTAGAAGCCTGTAAAAGAAACTGTGCGTGCAGTATATGTGCAAAAGGGTCATGTTTATCAAAACCGTACGGTTATCCAAAAAATCAAACCACGTACAGAACTTTTGCTCTTCTCCCAGTATGAGTGCATTATGGGCTTATATTTGTGTAAATAAATTCTCTTCTCTGCCGGCTCGATATACGTTTACTTACTTGACTTTCTCGTTTATGGAATCAAACAAGGCGGTGTATTCCTCCTGATCGTTGCGGGTTCCGTTTTCTAGATATAAGATTTCCGTGAATTGCGAAAAACTGATTACATAGAGCTGCAATCTAGCTTACTCTTTTTGCCATGGGAATGCACAATTTCACACAATCCGCACAACATCACAGCAAGCAGCAGTACCTTAAATGACGCCATAATCGCAATTAAAATTACGATACAAGAATATAGAACAACGTATCCGAGACAGTTGGAACAGCAGTAAGAATAAATTACGACTATGCGCGCCGATTATGTATCGTGCATCCAAACAACAGCGCTTAAAAGGAAGAAGGAAATAGCGCAGCTGTGTTCGATGGCGACTCCATTGCCTGCGGGAATCTTGCGTAAGTGTTCTACAAAAACTCTACTTTTTTCACCAATAAGCGGGAAACGGGTATCCACCTAATGGCATATAATTAACGAGATCGTTGTGTTAAACCGTTGTTTCGCTGTGAGAATTTGGCGTTAAGGTATGTGCTCTAAGATCTGCCAAAAATACGGAAGGCCGATACGGCGTTCAATAAAATGTCATAGTACATATTGAACATGAACCAAATTTAAGCATTCGACAGATCCTTTGCCGAGTATTCAAAGGAAGTTTTTCCGTTGAGAATAACAACCCAGACCGGAAGTAGATAAAACTGTTGTGCCAGTCTAGCAGAGAAACTCCGAATAGTTGTAATCGATAACCGCGCGGGTGACATTTGACCACTGTCCACCGCTAACAACAGCTTTCTATATACATAGTCTTATAATTGTTATGTAGTTGTACTCTGCTCGTACGTTGCCCCAGTACACACACTAAATTCGCGCAATGCGTCACCACTGCAAACACTGATTCATAATCCAGTAAGCTGTACGTTTTGCTGATCAAAACCATACTTAAAAACAATGAAGCGTTATTTTACCTCAACATATTGTACACATATCTGCGTTTCATAAATATTTTATTTTTTAAAATTATATTATCTAAATTTTTAAAATTATAGATATTTGATAATCTGTCAAAGCTGTTTACGCATATTCCAGTTGTCGATATTCAAAGTTTTATAACATACGTTTTGTGCAAAACGTATCTGTACTTGATGTGCAATGGGTAATGTTGCAAAAAGTTTTGATTTGCTGTACATGTTTTACTCGTTTTAATTAAAACGTAACAATAAAATTCTTGCTTAGGGGAATAAAAACAAATACTACAGCTGACTGTAAGTTATCACTTAAAGTCAATCGCTTTTTGACCTTGGAGTTTGGACAGTCGTGAATCAGCAATTAAAATGACCATATGAGTGTACTGAGTAACAACACTACCATGCGCAGCCAAGTCGTTACATTGCGGTTGAGAAAATGATTCGTGTAAAGTGTAATCGGCGGCTAGCCTTGAGGGCTCTGTTGGCCAGCAAATGCTGATTATTACGGAAATTTTATACAAATCATCACTTCTCTTGCTTATATAAACTGTCGCTGGACCCTGAGCTTTCCGGTAAAGCACCGATCTATGTTTTCGGCCAATTGGTAAATGTAATCTTCTTGTTTGTAGCAGTTTTGTTGTGACCACAAGCGCGGTTAGCTGCGTATGATTAGCAATAGTACTTTATATTAATTAATAGCAACCGACCAGTTTCTATTTTCTGTTAGTAAAAACTGCAACATTGATATCTGATGCTGCCAAAAGCAATTTTTATGATGGACATAATGTTTTTTTCGCGATTGATATTATTTACTGCCATATGCAGTGGTAAGTGGGCTGACAAAACACATGCAGCCGCGGTTTTGCCTTTGCATTTGTATACGCATACAATGATAGGAGATCAATCAGACTACTAAAAGATATCGGTGCACTTCGTAAAATAATTAATATTAATTTAATTGTTGATTATATGTTAATTATAGCACCTTATACATAAAAATTTTTAAAGCCAGCCGGATGATGTTAAATATACCGTATTTGCAGATTATGTGTTATCGCAAAATATCAACAACGCATCGGTTGGGATACCGGCAAATAATACGATGCCGTCTTTCAACGGTGTGCCGCCGGAAGTTGACCTGAGGCAACATTCTATTGTGACTGATACTCCCATTGCATTCATCCAGAGCCAAAGTGCTTTCGACACGCTATCCCCAACTGAAAAGCTGTAAAAAAAGCGCCTGAACATTTATTTGAGTTTTCCCAGATTTTGCCCTGCCCTTTATATGTTTGATTATTGTGTATGATGTTTCTTGTATTAGTTGTATGCATATTATATCAATTGTCTTACTAATAACTCGTAAAAATTAATTGTACGCTTTACGGCGAATAAAAGATTTACGACTGCTCTACACTCGTTACGATGCAGCAGTTGGTTCACTGATTTATTTGGTTCATCAAGTTTATTTTATTGCGAATATGACAGTCTAATTAATGATCAATTATAAACTTTTGACAACAAGAATTATTGTTAGAATGCATACTTTGTCGCTATAAGCGAAAACTTGCTGCATTTAAAATTTTAAATTGCTTTTAGGTATGTTCATCATTTTTCACGGGCCTCTTGGTTGGGCGGCCTCATCGACTTGTACCAGACATCCGTGGAAAGTCCCTATATCTTTCTGCTACTGCAGCAAATCTTCAGAACGGAGAACGTCGAAGATTATGCCCGCAAGAAGTGTGATTTTTCCCCGGGCGACTGGGATGCTCTGCAGAAATATGCCGCCGGGGTCTATCACAATCTGGGCAACTATCATTCCTACGGGATGCGCAAATTTATCCCCTTGGTATCGCAGACCAAAGTAGAGTGTCTCGTGCAGACGCTGGTGCTGAGCACGCCCACCAATGCCAGTTTCGTGACCTTGACGTCCCTGTGGAACAATGCCGGTGCACTTATGTACAATATGGCTAGTCGCTACCGGCTGAACGCTCTCAAGCCAGCCGGAATTACCACTTACTTTTCTGCTAACTGTGACGAGAAAGATGCTAAGCTGGTGCAGGAATACATGAGTGCCCGCAACATTGAGGGCTGGAATAATCGTGTAATCAAAACGGATGCCGGAAATGGCCGGGTACTGTACGAGATACGGTTTGCCAGTGTGTACACGAGCAATGATACGCTGGACGGGCTGCGGCTGGGCTTTGTCGAGGATTTTGAAAATAGTTCCTTCTTTCTCACAAGAGGTAACAAAAGCTATTTTACTACACATTATATCATCAGCGGCTTTCGTAATAAAACAGACACAAATTACAAAAAATTTTAATGGCCTGCCTGCATCCGTGAATAACAAAATATTTCAGGAGATTTTTCGGAACTGCTAATTCGAACCAATGTGGAGCTCATGGAAGCTAGTCGATATGCCAGCAATGTTTTGGAACAAGTAAGAAATCATTGGACATTTGAATATCAGCCATAGCGTACAGATAGAAGTACCAAATTTACGCTGGAATGTATCTGTAGCAAATCATCAATGCCACCATCGAGAGCTTCACAACGGGATCCATTAATGCCCATAAAAGGGCATCACAGTCTTGGGTATTAAATAAAATGCCGGCTCTGGAATCATACATCGGATTCATTGAGACCTATCAGTAAGTATTTCAGCAGAGAAAATGTTGCGTCACAACATTCATCCTGTTTTCTCAAGATCGGTACAAGCTTTTGCAAACCCATTGCGTTACCCCATAATTTAGGGATCCGAGTGGGCAACGGGCTTCCTTCGAAGGATTCGTCGCGGTTGTTGACAAAGTGAAGAGTGCGCGTCTGGCAAATCTTGTAGCGCATGCAGAAGAATTTCTACCACTGCTGCCTTGGAAGAAGGAATTCGAGAAGGATAAATTCATGAAACCAGATTTCACTGATCTAAATGTGGTTGCCTTTGCCAATGGCGGCGTCCCAGCAGGTCAAGCAAAAGTAAAACGAGACACAATCCTGGATATAACGTACATATCTGTAATAACTATTATGGTATTGTATTTACTGCGGTATAATAATGCACAGCAAAAAATCTTGAACAAAGGCTCAAAGCAGAAGTTACGCACAACCTGCGGAGACAAATAACCTTTTTTTTAACTTCGTTTCTGCACGTTATTGGTTAATTAGTTTGTTTTGGGCACAAATTGCACTTTACAATGCTGTCGCAGTTAGACTACCGACAATTTCTGGTGACCTTTACAATAACCGCCCTGAATTGTTTGTTTACAGGCATCAATCTACCAAACTACAATGAAATTCGACAGAACGACGGTAATTACTGAACTGTTCAATTCCCGACCAAGGAAGATTAAGAAAACATAACTATGTTGACAGGATTTAAGAACGTCAACTTAGGAAATGTCATCGCCGCAACGTATGCATCGAAAAAAGTTCAGTTCCTGTCACCCGAAGATGCAGCAAGTGTAAAACAGAATATTTTGGGCATTCTGGATATCATTGTCGGTTTACATGAACTTCTGGGGCATGGCAGTGGAAAACTCTTTATGGAATTTCCAAACGGGACGTTTAATGCTAACGCATCAGTTATCGGGCACATGCAAATCGGCGATTTTGGCTCGATAAACAACTGGTACTGTAGTGAACTGTGATATTCTGTGAAAGTGCAGACGTAAGAATCTGGTGATTGTGCAAGTAAGCGTTACGAACAGCCAAAATTCCCGCGTTTCATACCATATTCTCAAAATCAAAATAACTTTAATAAAAATCAAATTTAGGTATAAGCCCGGCCAGACCTATGAATCCGTTTTCGGAAAACTAGCATCCACTATGGAAGAATGTCGAGCGGAAAGTGTGGCCGTGTAAGACACCTTGACCATGATAACAGCAGCCTTACCATTGTACGGCATGCAGAAAACATTCACTGTTTACGATCCGCAGGCACTTGTCACTCTTCCCAGATGTACTGAGCATTTGGAATATCAACCAATCAGATGCTGAGCGCTGGGCTCACCTTGTTTGGTTGGACGAAGCCAGTCAGGGACTGGTTTCATTGGCCGAATACGATCCCCTGTCCGACACTTGGGGAGAAGCCCATGCACAGGGTCATTTTGCCATTCTGCGGGTTATGCAGGAAGCCGGTGTGGCCAATATCAGTGTTACCACGGGAGAAGACGGCCGACCGGATCTCTTGGTCACCATTGACCGTTCGAAACTGTACACGGCTGGACGAGCTGCCATTGGCCACTTTTTACTGGGGCTTCAAGTACGCATCTAGAGATTCTTCTCCAACTCCTAACTTCTAACAACCGGTCGTTTTTCTAGTATTATCGCAGTACAGGAAACGTAACGGGCGCCCAGATATTTTATGATCGCTACACCACGATGAAAGGAGGCGATAGTCCAGCTCTGATGCAATGGCATCGAATCTCCATCGACCGAAAACAGCCCAGATCACTGTATGAATTACGAAATTTTTCAATTAAAGTGTGCGCCATACGAATCAGTATTATCATATTCTGCTTTTCCGTCGTTTTCTGCGTATGACACACAGTTTAACAATATTTCACAAATATGATTTTTGCAGGATTGTTGAGCCCAACACGGTGATTGGCAGCCCAGGACAGCAAGCAAACGTTGTGCTGAAAAATTATGATGCTAATGCCGATGGCATGTTACAGTCTTTCCGGGATCGGTTTAGTGATTTAAAACTAGAAGAAGAACTTTTTGCAATTGCTAACCGAGACAGGCACCATTATGTTGTCTAATAATCTCTGTTTTTTATGCACCCTGTCGCCTTTCTGGCACTAACATCCATAAGCAGTCAGATTCATTATTGTTTGTTATCTTTTTTGAGTCCATAAATGGATTTGAACAGTCTCTGCTTTCCATCGAATACTAGTATCTCTAGCGCAAAGGTCGCTATCGGGTAAATATCTGGATTTAGAGTTTAGGTAGGATTCAGTCACCTGCTACTCATGTTTTACTTATTAACCTTGTAATATTTAAAGAAATGCTTCGCCAAATGCTATCATGAACTGCGGTTTACTTGAATGTTAAAGTTGTAAGGGCACAGTTTAAACAGAAAGTAAGTAAGTATTTTCAAAAAATTGCTCTTTTCGAGGCACGTCGAGACATTTTTTTGTGATGACATTTTAATCACTGGTAACAAAATCATACAGCCGTATACCCAGGGTACTGCTTAGTTTACGCCTTGGCAGCATCGAGTACCGTACTTTCAATTCTTTCTGCGATAATTCTATAAACCAATCTTGGGAGTATCAATCACGGTATTGCGCATTGCGTTGCAAGCGGAAGTGGAGATTTCGTAAGCGCGTGTTCGGGCGAAAAGCCTGTAAACAATAATGCTTTTGTAATTAGGTTTATTTCATGTTAAGTAATATTTAGTACAGCTTATACTCTGCTTTTGTACGAGTAAGTACTTTATTTTGCCGACTTGTGTAGAGCCGGTGCATTCAAGTACATCGCTCCATTGGACGCCGGCGGCAGATGGTTTCACATCTGACGGGCGCAATGTGAAAACGCAGTCAAATTTGCCCATATCATCTTCTTGTGTGATACTGTCTTCATCAACAGCACGGACCCTCATGACTCCTTGAATTGAAGAGCTCTGCAAAAGTTTTTGCACTAAATAACCGTTTAATCAATTTCTAAGCAAATTAATTTGATTTTCTTAATTTTATTGACAACATCTACTTAATTAATTTCGCAGATAACTTGTATACAACAGTCAGTTGGTTATTTTCACTTACGGATTGACCGCGGTTCTGACACACGTCCTTCTGCAACGTTTTGGCAATGTTCGGACTATCGTTGTTGGTCGCTTTAAATATGACCGTCCATTTCTGATACGCGGGATCTTTGGGCCAGGCTCCTGTACCAGTTCTAAATAAATCAACAAAATTTTCATGATAGGAGTAATTAGTTAATTACCTTACGGCATACTCGAAGCTACGCAGTTCGTCGAAATGGGAAACTAAACATTCTTTGTTTTACTTTTACACGCTATTAGTACACTTACAGATCGATATCTCCGTACAGCTTAGGATCGCAAGTGCTAAGAACATCACAGGATTTCCCATTGGCCAAAATGCCACCCTTGTTTTCCATTCGGACAAGGTCCACTTCCACGCGGTAGTTCTCTGGAAAGCTGGAGCCACGCGATCCCGTGTTGCTGCCGAAGCGGTCACTATTTCTGTCGCTATTGCTTCCGCTTCCAAAACGGTCGCTGTTGCCGTTTCCGCTATCAAAACGGTCGGTGTTGCGATCACGGTTGCTGTCCCCACTGCCGAAGCGGTCGGATCCGGAGTTGCGGTCAGACGATGTTCCACGGTTGGCAATCATATCCGAGACGTCACGGTCACTGCTTCCACTGCGATCGAAACGGGGATCTTGTGTGGTCAAACGGCGGAAGTTTTCGTCAGTCGGAGCAAAGCGGTCGCTATTGTCGCTACCGGTCACGGAAAAATCGCCGCTCCCGCGGCGGCTGCCAGCGCTACTACCAACATTTCCGCTCACACGCCCGCCCCGGTCAAATCGACCGCTCTGGCTGTTAGTGTCGGAAAACCGACTGGAGCCGAAGTCATCACCTTTAACTGACCACTAGAAAAAATTACAGACGCTATTTTCCAAAAATGATGGCTGGTAGATGTACAGTGGCAATAGCCTCTTCTTATTCTAAAGAAGTATTCTTATAATTATTACAACTTACGGTGAGCGTAAGTAATAATCCAAGGGAAAACGATAAACGCTGTCGCCACATTTTCGGACGAAAATTGTTACTTCGGCACTGACAATAACAGAAGTGTACTAGAATGTAGATTTGAAAAAGTGCAGAGAATATCCAAGACGAATACGAAGTTATATACAAAACTACGAATGTTTTATTGTTTGCACGGGTGATTACACATACGATGTCTGGCGCAAAATTTTCCTCTTATTATGATGATGCTAACCGGTTTGCAGTAATTTCCTGCGCAATAAGCGAAAGATCTTCGGTTAAACGCAATGTTTTACGAGAAGCGTCGTGGTGAGCAGGTGCCAGGTAAGCAGTTATTACTAAGGAAAAAATGAGTAAAATCACCCACCCATGCCGCACATTTAATACGTACTGATACCCGATATTGGCCGACAATACAAATTTTATTGTGCTCTAACAAGAATATCTAGCATCTGTGCAGTCCCTTTTGCCTCTACAATATATTAGATTGGATAAAATTAAGATTTATACATGATAAAAGCCACTGCATGATTTTTGTAGAAAGCAAAGTTGGTAATTATATTGTGTTTCATTATGCCGCAAATCGTAGCAGATATTTCGGCAAAGACAGTGTATACCGGCCGTATATTCACTCAATCGCTTTCGTTTAGATTTCGTAGAAATCAACGGTTGTGCAAACACAGTAGCAAGCTTCCACAAACAACTTAATTAATCCACTGGAGGTTTCATCCAGTTTTGTCCACTCGGCAGCTTGTGGACGGGATTTGATAGGCTCGCATGCGAGTGAATAGCCTGCAATTAGTCAAATGTAGAATGTTTGTTACATATTTGTACCATATTTCAAAATATGCACAAGATTTCAAAGCGAATTCAACGGTTACTCGCATATGTGTTGTAAGATCATAAATTCGGATGGTGGGTTATTGAATAATTTTCGCTGGGAATTTAGATACTAGTATACAGATAGGTACTGCACCTTGCTCCGCTTTTTGAAGGGCCGCTTTGACACTCCTTAGGTGAGGTCCAACGTGCCACCAAAGCATCGGTATCTATCAAATCCAAACTGACCGGAAAAATACAGTCAAAATGGGCGATTTCATCGTTCCCCGATAAGGAATCCACATCCACCGCTCGGACTCGTAGGTTGGCATTCTGTTAAAATTTTAACCATGTCCGTCACATTGTTCCGGTTAGGCCAACTGCTACGACAGTTCACAATAAAGCGTAGTTTCTAATCACTGCCACTGCATTGCTTACACTTGTAGAGCCGCCACATAAATCCTGCGTAATGACTTTGCCAACGGTTGGGGAATTCACGTTATTCCCATTAAAAATCGTCGCCCATTTTGATACCGGAACGCTTCCGGGAAAAGGTGACAGAGGGTTCACGCTGCAAAGCCGAACCGATCATACGACCGATTTCGGTCACATGCGGCATACATGTACGGCATTTCTTATAAACTTAAAATTCAACTTGTTGCCGTTATCACTGGGCCAGACTTACAGATCCAAGAAGGCGCTTAAACGCGTATCGCATGCATTGAAAACATCACAGCTTTTGCCGGTGGCCAGTTTGCCCTGGGGATTGTCCAGCCTTTGGACATCTACTTCGATGCGCACGTAATCGGGGAACTGTTGACCACGACTACCGAATGTATCCCGCCGACCCCCGCTGGAGCCACGCGATCCACTCCCACCACGATTTCCACTGTTGTAATCGGTTATGCGAAAACTTGAGTCATCTCCGGCATCATCCCGACTCGGTCCGCGGTTACCGCGGTTGAAGTTGGTACCGGTGAGTCGAAAGCTGGACTGGTCGTCACCGAACCGTTGTGTTCGGACCTTGCGTGCAAAACAAAGCATAAGTGGATTATCATATATATCAAGCCCAGCAAAATGGTTTTGTTTCGCCATGTTAGACAAATTGTGAGGTCCAAATTATCTAGCTTAATGGTAATTTCACTGTATACGAAAATCACCTCATGCAGTCAGGCTTCCAATTATAATTGTTTTTTTGGGAGCCATAATATATATGAGCAATTTAGCGGGCATTCCAACTTACCAGGGAAAGATAAAGCAGTCCAACTAATAACTCAGCAATTATGACATTCATTTTAAAATGACTACTCTACTCGAGTACGGATTCCTTGACGTATGTAGCCGGTGTTTGATAGGACAAAATGCGTGAGCCTTAGGAATGCGACAAAGTACTTTTCCTACCGAACTCAAATACAGCGTCGCATTCTTCCCAGATTTTGTCGGTCTTGCATCCCAAACGCAAACGCTACTGCGGACAAAGTCTAACTTCCGCCTGCGTTTAGCTTTTGGACAACACAAGACTTCGTTGTGTTCGTTTGTTTGTCAGCAAAAAAACGATACTGCGTGCCAGCGTAGCCAATTAGGCCGGAAGGTGTGATATCGTAACCGGCATATTTCAGCTTGAAAACAAGGATATGCAGTAAGAATGTGGGCACGGTAGTACAATAAAATTTTGCCTGCGTTAACAAATTTTCAGGTTTTTATGCTACTACTGCGAAAATGAATTTGTTCATAATTTATCGTGTAGGTGATGTACATACTGGTTTCAGCGGAACGTTCGCGCGACGGCTCCTAATTAATAAAATGTGTGATGCACGAAGTTCATCTATTTTACATACAAGTGAAATTTCGGTTTGGACGTACTGGTTATAGTCGAAAAACTGCATTTATTAGGCAATAACCCACAGGCACTTAGTGTTCATAAATTTCATCGATGTATTTCATTTATACTTTGTCTTAGTTTAACAGTTCATAAATATAAAAACTTTAATCTCTTGCACGGACTAATGTGTGCGTGAAATAACTACACACTGTACCTCGTACGAAATTAGAACCGCATTCAGTTGATTAAATAAAGTCGTACTTATATCCCTTTTCGCTTTAATTTTTATCGCAGACGGTTTTGGTTTCCATATAGCATTTAAAACATATCTACTATTTATACAACTGGTCGAGCCATTTGTTAGTTTATTTGGCAGACGCTTTGATTCCACAGCTTGTTGGTGGTACATCGTAGATGCGATAACGGTACTGCAACCTATCAAAAAGTCCAGAGTCACAGGTTGGACCATAAGCTGTTTCCGAATATTTAAACCGAAAATTATTTACCGGACGTCAGTATCCTGTAATGCTTTGCAGTCCTGCGTTGTCGACCAGTCGGAGATGGAAATATCGCTAGCAAAATTGTTGTAATCAGCCAAAAAGAGGCATTCGAAGCTGCCAATATGGTCGTTAGCGGATAGACTGTCTTCGTCCACAACATCCGCGCGCAAATTCACCCACTAAAAGTTTGATTACCAAAATTAATTGTTTATTCGCGTCGTCGATATCCTGGCAAATACCGGTGGAAGTAGGACCATCGAACTCACCGCAACAGATCCTCCACAGAAAGTTTTTGTGATGTTTTTATTGACAACAGGCGAGTCCTGGTTTGTTGCTTGGAAAATGGTTTTGAAATTCGGGACAGTCTTTGATCCGGGCCATCTGGCTAAAGGAATATCGCTGCAATCAAATTCCCATGTAAGCGTATGCAGTGTGTCTAATTGCTTTTAGAAGTCTCGTACGTATGTAACGCTTAATACAGCTACGTAAACAAATATATTACCAAAATAATTTTAGCACAAAATGCAAGTATTACTAATTACGCTCAATAGATGGCGTAAAAAAATGTAAAAACTCACGTATCGAGATTAACAGAGATCTTGGGGTCGCAAGCATTGCCGGTGTCGCACTTGACCTTCTTATCAGTGATGCCCTGAGGATTGCTAAGCTGGACGATTTCCGCATCCAATCGGACAAAATCATGTCGGCCGGGAATGTGGGGACCGGCCGATCGCATACCGGTACTAAGGCTCTGTCGTTGATCTGTAATTCATCTCAGTTTAATTATAAATTACGCCCTAGTCAGCACTGCTAGTGCTGTCTAAAGTTGACCGGATCCTTGTTGACTACAGATACGAATAACTGATTATACGAGTACGGATAATTACGATATTATTTAGCACAAATTTCTGGTTTTGATTTACCCTTGTCGCTGGACGCCTGGCAGTTGCTTGCGGGGATTTCATACGATCGTTGGCGTGCAAGGAGTCTATAAACAGATGAACACGAAATCACACTGCCTGATTCTGTATTTTCGAATGACAGAGTGGTTAACTGGTTATGTAACGTTTTTATTGCTTACCTCATTTTCCCAGACTGGAATTTTGGTGTACATTCGAAGGACTGGCTCCACTGGGCACTCTTGGCATCTCTAGCCACATCATGGGGAATGACGTCAAAAACACAGTCGAAGTTGTTGATGTGGTCATTGCTCGTTGCGGTGTCCACATCCAGAACGGATACTCTGCATTACAGCGCGGGTTTTCGTTGGCAAATTAATTAAAATTTGTTTAAATGATATACCTAGCGTTAACTTTGTTAACGGAACCTCCGCATACATCGCGAGTGACAGATTTTCCAATGGTCGGAGAATTAACGTTAGACGCTTCAAATATTTGAGGCCATTGATATTCCTTCGATTCGCTCGATCCCGGCCAGGGAGACAAAGGCTGGTCACTGATAAAACCAACAAAATGTTTACGAAATTCCACAAATTATGCATTTTGAACAGTACTACCGGTATTAAAAAACTCACATCATGAATACTCATAATAAGGGTCACTTACAGCCCAGTATACTTACACGTCAACAAATACTTGCACCCGCGGATCACATTTTCCGCCGAAGACATCACAGTTTTTCCCATTTGAGAGAATGCCCTTTTCGTTTTCTAGGCGCTGAATTTCCACCTCCACTCGGAAATAATCAGGGAAATTGTCACCGTCCACCCCGGCGCCGCTGAAAGAACTTCCGCGATCCCGGTCCGAGCCGCCCGTTCCCCGATCACGGTCATCCCGACCTCTGGCTGCGCTGGCCACCTGTTGCAGGGTAACATCAGCAATCTCTTTTACTGCAGAAAATCGAACAGGATGACACTTACCGCTACCAGAACAGTTAGTCCCACAATACACAGCCGCATTTTAGCACACAAGGAATTATATAAACTAAAGCGGTACCGGCGCAGAACAGTGCAAAACGCTGATAGAACCAACTAATTTCTGCCGGTTAAGAAGACGCCGAGTTCCTTAATTTGCCTTTACTGGACAACTTTATATACTTATGCCTTTAGGCTACTTGTAAAAATGTCATAGAAGTACGCGATAAATTTCAGTCAATACTAAGTATAGCTCGCTATGATCAAACGCATTTTCCAGCCGGACAAGGAAAATGACAAGTGCTTCTGTGAAACTAAATGCATGCAAATAAGGACAGAAATCCACGTAATGCGATATTGGTCATCCTAATGGTATGTTGCACACACCATTCTCACATTATTTGCAAACAAGTGAAATTCTGCATAGTAAGCACACATTTCGATTGTTTTATTTCTCTGAGGGTGGTGGTCTACAAGGAATGACACTGTACCGGGACTCGAGAATTAAATATGTTAGGAAACTTCCTAAACATCGCGAAAGAGATGCCCACATTCGCTACAAAAGGTAATAAAACAATTTGTGGCTGCTGTATGAATGCACCACTAAAGATTACAACTCTTCTAGTCCATGTATATACAAAGTATAATTCTACCGCATAAGAACCAAAAATCAAACCTGAATGTACAAAAACAAGTATACAGACCCAAAGGATCGCTGTTGTTTTTATGTTAACGCTATTTAAATAAAAATTTGATTTATAGAACACTAATAATTATTAATTTTTAGTTTCCAGTCATTTTGCTCGATTAGATCATATCCACAAGGTCCGGTTTTACAATTGTTCGATCCTGGAGGCCACATTCCGACTGTGGAATGGCGTAAACGCGATACCGGTACAGTAATCTGAGAAACGAAAAAACAAGTGAAGAATTTCATTGTAAACCAAAACAACTTGCGAAAATTTTTATCTCACCGGACGCGATGGCTTTGATGAAGCGGAACACAGTCCTCAGTGGGTGACCACTCGGCAAGCTCCCACGAATTAGCAATTGTATTCATTTCCGGTGAAAATACGCAGTTGAAATTGTCGATTAAATCAGCGCCGGAGAAAGTATCGCCATCCACCACATTCACTCGCAAATTGACTTTCTACAAGGTATACAGAGGGTCCGAACTACACAGACTGGTCAAAATTGACCGATTTTGAATTGGTCAAGAAGAATTGTCAAGCCAAGACAATGTATACGATAACCGAATAAAAACCCTTTTTACTTACGTTAATAGATCCTCCACAAACGATCCTGCTGACGTTGTTGTGAATTATGGGAGAATTCTGATTAGATGTTTTAAATACTTTGGTATATTCCGATACATCCTTGTCTCCAGGCCAAGCCATAAGCGGACGAATCCTGAACAAGTACTCTACATAAACGTCACCAACAAACCAGGAATCTGCTCAAAAATTACAATTCATAGTTTTTTCTGAGTTGTTTCTGAATTCTACAATTTGCTCGTACGTGTCAAGAAAAATCGATAACGATGGATCGCAGTCATTGGTGGTATCACACCGTTGACCATTGGCCAATAAACCTTGCGGATTTAACAGCTGTATCAGTTCAACATCAACCTTCATGAAACTTCTTTGTGGTTGCTGGCTAACAATGGCTTCCCAGTTCCAGACGACAATCTGCTACAGTGAAACACATTAAAAGAGCTATTAACAATAACTTAAATATTAAAATATGCCTAATGCACGTAATGAATAATTTTATGTTAAATATACACAAAGAGCGAAGCCATCGTACCAGGATATAAAAGTGTATCCGAAGAGATGAAGATGCCATTTCCGGAAGCAGCGATCGCGATATGTAACTCCTGCAGCGAATAACTGAATATACCGCAGCCACGAGATATTCAGCAATTTTTATAATGCTTAATGCTTTTAATTTCAGCAATCTGGCATTAAAGATCAGATTGTTGTTTCTGTGACAGACTGCGATGGGAATACATCGGCCTGGAGCTGAGCAGCACTGCAAGTGTCGTATTTATAATTACGAAAAGGAAGGGTTTCGTGTAATATCTTCTTATCGAGATGATCATTCAAGATATTCGAAGACAAAATTGTAGTATCTGTGAGCTACAATGTGTACTTCGGCTTATGTTACTGTGTTACTAACTAATTAATCATACAGACTCTACAAGTGTACAGACATTATTATGGAACAAACTGTCGTGGTCGAATGTGTAGAGGATTTTTTGTATGGTGCGAATTTATTCTAATGGTGAGCGCATTTAGAAACATCGGCAACATCAAATATAAGCTGTAGTTAATTAAACGAATCAGGAAGTGCGGTACCACATGTTCCACTAGTAAGTAGTGTATAATTGTTACTGAGATTTCTTAATCAACCACAGTATTGAGCCGCTGGAATATTCGGAAGCTATGGATTTAATCTGATCGAATTTCAAACGCTCATTTCTGTTAATTACAGTACTTAGCGAAACCAATCAGGTGTGCACTTACGGCTCATACTACAATATGCAAGTAAAAACGATAAATCTGTGAAGGTTGCAGAATACTTTGCGTGCAAGTGCTGCTGCTCAGTTCAAAATTCCAGTAGTACCAATACATATGAAGTGCGGTACTCTATGCATGCCTCTAGTGTCCAGCTAGACTCCAGACTTATTTGTTTATTCGGGTGGAAATCCATTTCCACGTCCCGAAAGAAACGCTGTTTTTCCATACGTTAAAATCTTCATGCACATCTCCTGAAAGACATGCGGTATTTCAACACATGCTTTCGTGACGTGCGACATGGTATAACACCAAAGCGGAGCGGTTGAGTGGAATGGTGGATGGGGATAACGGTTAGTCAACGCCGTTCAGTATAGTATCAGATAATCAGAAGTATAGTAAATTATTCTAAAACTAGTGGAGCGCAGCGTTGGGTGAACCTCATGTGACAGTTGCCCACCGCGAAGCATTCCAGATTCCACCTCCGCATCGATATTTGTTCGAAAGGTCAGTCAACGTACTAAACGTCCGGAAAGAGCCATTCGAGCAGAAACTGCAGCCCAAGCAGTCTGCTGTAATATCGCTCCTGGCTTCCAGCAAAGAGCTACTTGTATCAATTTTATTTTTCGATAAGTTTAATGCGGAGCTAGCACCATTCCGGATCCCTGTCAGTTTAATAATTGCTACATCAATATAGTGCCGTGATGGACAACGTGACCTTTGATCATTTGCCGGTTGCTGCTAACGTATCTGCAGTCCAGGTAATCCCTTCTGACGGTACAAATATTATCGTATTAGGGGTCATGATCATGACCATAGCGCTAGCGGTCAACGCTACTGTCCGTTATCTTGTAGAAAAGCGTGTCCCCGTGTCGTCATTTAGAACGCATCTCGTCAGCATCTTGTTAGCCAATATGTTTTTTTCGTTAATTGTTGTACCTACATTCTACATCGCCGACAATGCGTACGGTGAATCGAATCCCGTGCCCAGGGCGTTTTGTGGCGCATACTTGTATTCGGAGTTTGTGCCAACTGCTGTTTTACTGTGGATGCATTTTGGCATCTCGTTCAACCGCGCATACGCGGTCACTTGGCCAATATCATACCGAAACACGTACCAACCATTTATTGCGGATTGTATTACAGTGGGAATCGGCGTTTTGGTCCATGTGGTTTGTGTCCCTCAAATCTTGATTGATACGTTAAAGCTCCCACCACATCCAATTGTGTGCGAGGATCCTGAAAAGCCTTCGACGTACACTTTGATTTTATTTTTTGTTGTACACATGTTACCACTAGTTCTCAACGTACTTGCCTACATTATTATCGCGTGTCGGCTTTATACCCGTGTAAAGGCCCGTGAGCAGGCCAACGCTACGCACACCCCAGGGAGTCAAAAACACTTCCTGACCTTTAGTCTCGTTACTTTGGTAGAACTAACCTGTTGGTTGCCGTCAAAGATCAACAATATTCTTTTCATCTTTGCATCTGATCATCACAGCGCTGTACTTTCAGCAGTTAGTGGTTACTTGTATTTTATACCCGTGATTGTTAGTCCATTGCTAATGTGCTGCACCATCCCACAATTGCGCATACAGAGGTGCATGGACGCCTGGAATAATCATGCTGAAAGGGTAATGCGATGCTGGTGCTCAGGCCGTAATGTAGCACCGCTAAGCAAAAAAATTTGAACCCGAATGGAAAGCTACCCGAGATATAACGTTATGTTCCAACATTGTAACATTGTAAGTTACCGCAAGCTACTGTAGTCTGTAATTAAAAACTCCTTATCTGCATCACTTGGCTTTGTCTTCACGAAGAGTGCTCTAGAACTACACCTACAAAAAATTTCTGCTCGTTATAACGATTGTGATTATGAGCTATTATGAGGAGAAAATGAGTGCCATATCTCCACCTTTTTGTTAGTTTGCTGTCGTTGTTTGTTTTGGTTTACGTAGTTTGTTTTCGTTAGTTATTTAACAGATTTGTACTTGGCTTCTTTCTATTAATTTTTTATTTAATTTTTCTTGGATTCATGAATGTGCAGCAAAATCTGCGCACTAAAATCTGTTTTACTACACACCAGATACTAATATATTATGCCTAATTACTGTATTTTATCGATACCGAATGTTTCTTGAGCGCACGCACCAAACACCATTAATATTTACTCGTTGTTTAAATTAAAGTCGTTTGAACCGCTCCTCATTATTTTGTAGTCTCGAACACAGCCATACCGACAAATCTCATGATCCTGCATGAACCGCAGTTTCTGTATACAGTGCATCCATGCTTTTGGTACAAGTACTCGTAGGATATAAGTGTTCCATAATATTCCATTCCCGGTAAAGTAGAACTTACGATACCCGCAAACAGTCGAGCGTAAAAACGGCCATGACGGAAGTCTATTCAACAGTTGTAGAAGCTGCTTTAATACACCGCGGCCAGGAAACTGTAAAATACTGGTCTGAACTGTCCAGGTAATGTCGTCTGCACAAGGTCGTAGATTACTCATTGACTATTAAACTATAATAGCTATGTAAGAAAAAGCGCTCACAGCCGCGAAAGTCAAACGCAATCGCAACATCAACAATGATTCAGAGCAAACAACAATGTTCAGTACGAATAAACGCCAACGAATAGTCCATTCGCTTTTCACTTCGTAAATTCATTTAACAGGATCACTAACTAGTGCTATCCCGCTCTAGAAACACTAGACGGCGCTCGTACAATAAAAGTAAAGGTCCCGGCCAAAAATGCAGCTAGTTAACCAATGGGCTGCGAAGCGGATGGCCGGGATCCATGGACGTCTGGACTCTTGTGAATGCTAACGCTGACTGACAGAATGGCATTAACGGTGGCAGAGTTGCCTTTAAGCGAGGTGGAATTCGCAGTTGGTATAGGCCCTCTGCCGGGATCCTGCACGGACTTCAGGCCGCCTCCTCTAGCGGACCAGGAATTCTTCACGCATGCAAATATTGCAAGCATCGATATAAAGCACGCCAGGAGATGCATGCTTTGTCCCGTCTTGAGAGTCACATGTACAAGTGAATAAAAACCAATGCACACTAAAACCTGATCCCATCTTAGAGCCAAAATAATTTCGATAAGCCGGCTTCTTTTCCTTTTGTGTGTCTTTACGCGCTTTACAGTGTTTGCATGTCTCCAGGGCTGAAAGTACTTAGCTTACTTGCGTTAACGCTGGGATCGCAGTGATTTAGCCGTTTAGGTAGCGAAAACGATGGTACAGTACCTGTAGTGCTAGCGGCCATTCAAAGTTATCTACGCCGTAACTACTATTACAATATTATTGTTTTTCCAGGAATTTAAATCCCCTCCTAAAACACTGCTTTATTAAATACCTTTTCCAATAACGTCAAATTGTAAAAAACGAATTGGTTGGAAGGCTAGGTATAGCATGGTTGGAAGGCTAGGTATAACTCTTTACAGCTCTTTATGAGATTTAAGTACGCTTTTGGCGCATTCTAGACTAAATCAAATATGCGCGCTTTACTTTAAAAGCTGTACTACGGGCAGCTTTATTATAAACTTAGAAGTAATACCACCGGAAATCAACATTCACCGATAACGAACACGCATGCGAGTTTTTAGAGGGAAACGACATTCGATAGGGACCTCAAGAGACTCAACGAATCAGTGGCAGTATCAGCTGGCTTAAACCATGGAGTGTACGAAACGGAGCGCCTTGGCATTTATCCACATCAAGCAAAATACTGTAAAATCCGTCATGGAGCATTAAAGTTGTCCAAAAAACGTTAGTTGTCATCGGGCGCAGTGTGCAAGTTTCAACAAAATTAAAAATATAAAAAGGTCAACATGGGGGATTAGTTTTTTACAAGTCTATGTTTATTCTCGTCTAATGACCGTGCGATCTCATGCATCCAGCCCCGCTGGACGTGGACATTCTGCGCCGGAGAATTATCACCGATCCACTGCAGATACGGCCGAAGTTTCGTATACTGACTGCCGATGTCCTTCCCGCAACCGGCGCCAAAGGACACAATACCCGCTGCGTAATGTGTATCGGATTGCTGGTCGAAACATACAAACGCACTGCCATCGTCGCCCTGGCAGCTGGACTCGGCTTCCTCGTCTCCAGCACAGATAAAGGCATCTAAATCGGTGAATTTTCCACTGTCCAGGATAAAGGCGCAGTGACTGTCGAATGTCTGGCGCAGGACCTTCTGCTTGAACCATTTCATCGGCTCCGCAGCGGTTATATCGCCTCCTAAAAACAATTTCGGCGATTGTAGGTGGCGTGTAAAATTGTAAAATAACAAACATCTGTTGCATGTAACACATCAGATTTCGTGGTACATAAAGGCACGAGTTAGATCTATCTTAAAATAACTGCAATTGTAATTTCAAAACATTCCAGTGATCGTGCCGGTTTTTCAAAGATTTCAAAGATTTCGTAGATTTGAAAGACGTAGTGCCGTGCATGCCATGCACTCACCGTTGATCTCACGAGTCCTACCGTCACCGGCCACGACGCACGACTGACCAATTTGTGGTTCTTTATCCTTGATGCATAATTTACACGCACAGTCTTTCTCCGCTAGTTTGATTTCACTGTTGAGAACGACCAGAGCGATATCGTTGTCCTCCAAGCCGATGTCGTAGGAAGGATGCGGCAGGATGAACTCAGCCAGATAGATCTCTACACACTGCAGTTCTTCGCTGTTCGGACTATCCTGTCCCACTTGCACGGTAACAGTCGAGGGGCGGAAGGGTTTCTTCAGCGTTCTGAAAATACAGGAAAAGGCTTTATTATATAAAATTTTTTAGCTGCATTGATGATTAAGAGCCTAAGAGGAGTGCCAACTGAAACCTACAAGAAAATTTTATCGGCACCTGACCTTTAGTATATTAAGCTCATGTAGCGGTAAACAAGTACAAAAGTTTACGAAGTTTCTCACTCCTGCTTCTAGATACAAGAATAAATTATTAAATTTTAATGTAACAGTATTGTGCTTATATTAATCATTGCCATAATTTAGTTTAAGGCAGAGTAGTGTTTTGGCCGGTGAGTTTCGCTGTTATAGAACCGTAATCGCTTGGATATTACGATTTATCATAAAATTGCTGGAACACACGCCCTTATACACTGTGCGTATGAGTACTTACAGAAACGCTATTCAGAATACATAGCTGGTAGTCAATTGCTATCATACTTGTAAAAACTCAACATAACCGCTAACTGCTTTCGTTCTTTCACTATAATCTAAATTAAAACAGCATAAAAGATAATAGTCGACTAGATACACAGAGTCAGCTTTACCTGTCAACCACACAATGAGCTGCTGTTAAGATTGTTTTCGAGCCGATAATTGTTCCACCGCAGAGTTTTGTTGTTCCATTAGCCAAATCGATTCGTATCTTAACCTAAATACAAATACGGAAGCAATAGTAACAAGCATAAAATTTAATTATTATTAATCACTGCCTCAAGCGAGGTACAAAGCACTTAACGTCGCATTCACGTGTGCCAGCTTATGCTGTTCATGATGTTATACCAGCATTCCAGCAATAACTGGTGAAAATGCGAATAATTATGCATATCTATTGGCCAAAGAAATTATGAAAATCATAATCTGCGTTATTAAACGTCTTTTCTAGCTAATTGTATAGACAACATAGCGAACGTGGTATCAATGTAGTCAATTAATGTCAAGAACAACATTATTAATTACGTATGTGACATGATCTTCATGCATATTAATATACCCACCCCATTGTTGTTAATTACATTGTAAATCTATGAATAATAATGTACTGTATCTAAGAGGTCATTTAGCAGAAGAACTGGTTCATTCACGATTGCTGCAAAATTTTACAGAAACCGCCGGCTTTGAGGATTTCTCGGTTAGTTAATACCACAGAAGACATCACTTAAAACAAATTGCAATTACTTCACTAGAATGCAGAGCACCTCTTTCGTCATCTTTCAAATGTGGCTCAAAGTTTTTTCCTATGAATACTTTGAAGTATGCATGGACACCATAAAAACTCAGCACGCATTACCTTTTACGGAATGCTGTGAAGGTGTATTAAATTATTTTCCTGTGCAAAACACCGGCAAAATACATAACTTGCTGTTTACACTTTCGTGTGCCTGTTTAGGTGAGGAAAAAATTTAAAAAAAAAATAGGAGAAAATTTAAAAAAAAATAATTTTCCCAGTAGAATTGCGTGTTATTTTGGAAAGTTTTTTATTGCGCATACTAGTTTGTTAACACGAAATACGAAAAGGGATCACGAGCTTGTAGAATACTGTACGTATTTTAATTATTCTACTCTATAAGCTGCAGTGAGCACAGGATTTGTTTTAAGTATGAGAAAATTTAATTTAACTGATCTTACTTCATCAAAGACCGTAATTACCAAAGTACAGAGTAATTCTGCAGAATTACGAAGGTCTTTAGTGACAAAAGGCATAAACGTGTCTCATAATTTTGTAGTAGGTGTATTCAAAGCAGATGCACTCTGCATTTATCTTATACGTACAACATAATTACATTGTTGAGCCTTATTTTTTTCTGCTCGATATACCACACGTTTAATCACTTACTGAATTAGAGATAATTTGACGTTCAGTTTACAGTAATAAAATATATATATCCTTTGAAGAAAACGAATAACTCACCTGCCAACAGAACTCGTTGGCTCTGGACACTTTGCCGCGGTTCTGCAAGGTATCGCGTTTTTTCAACTCCCTCGCTTCCAGCAGTTCACTGGCCATTCGTGTGGCCGCCGGAAACTCCTTGGCGGTGCGGCGATGCTTGACCTTCTTCTTGGCCGGCATCACGTACTTGTTCCCCAGTTCGAAGGGATCCACCACGCCGCTGCCGGGAATGCCGCAGCTGTAGCCGGCTTTCTTGATGCTCATCCGGTTGATGTTCAGCCGCAGCGATGTGACATTGTCGATGCCCACGTTGAGATTAAGAGCCGGCGCAAAGCCCACATCGGTGTCTTCCTTCGTCAGCGCCGCTTCGGCTTCGAAGTTAGCCGACATCCGAGGTACGAAGGGATAGAGATCACGTAACATAGGTGCACCACGGCCGTATCCATAAGGCGACACGAATTCATTGTACATGCGCGCTTCCGGCTCTCCTAAAAAGTTCAAAAGCTGCACAGTTAAAATCCAACCTTAAATAAACCATGCAAGGAAACGCAGTATGATTAGTAGATTCTGGTTAAAGCTGACGAATAAAAACAGCTATATAATAAGCAGACTGCTTATTGTAACAAAAAACATAACGTTACAATAACAGATGCTATCAATGCAACAACAAGGGAAGGTCAACTGCACGACAAATGCACCATATATTCACCAAGTTGAAATCGATACAATGTGCTAAACAAATTTTAAATGGACTTGTCGGAAGAGAATAAACAATTACCGGTGCATGAATGAAGAGCCAGTAGCAATACCGCGGCAATTAAATTAATTATCGTACACATGTTTAAATCAACATATGCAGATACTTAACAAAAATGTCAACAGCTGAAAGCGCGGAAAACTGGGAAAAATCTTCCGCCTTTCAGAGACTGGCTGGTGGTAGTTAGTGAGAAATATTGATGTTGAAAATATGATTATCAGCCGTGGCGCGCGAACTGACACCACCGGAAAAGCATGGAAAGTGGAACAAAACTACAAATGCCGGCTAAACGCTGCATTAATTGAATAATGTAAGATAATGAAAGTGAACATTATTTTTTTCGTCGGTTACTTAGCCGGTGTACGTAAAAAAACGGCTGTGCACATGCATTACGTACGAGCGCTATAGCCAATTCATACATATTCGAACCAACAAACAACACTTTGAAGAGATCAAAAAACTGGGTCGTTTAGTGGCGTCTTCAAGTAGTCCACTTTTACTTTCTTCTTTAGCTTGTTACAGCCGTTAATAAATCTTATGTGGGATCGTGGCTTATTGTTCCGACTGACAATGACGTCTCCACTTGGCGTGATCGTCACACGTACGGTACGTACACTTGTTGCAGACCTTAACGGATTCGCATGATTCTGCTGACTTTCCCATAATAAAGCCGTAAAACAAAATTACGTACAGAAATTCGGACTGAATGGATACTTTAAGTCGTAAATTATGAATGGGTCATTTATTGAATATTTAATTTGTAATTTGCCTGAGAATGTAGTCATTAATTTTCGTTATGCTTACATAGCAAGTAAACGTGATTCAGCGCTCGTGCATAAATTTTGCATTGACAAAAGTACTACTACCGGTTCATGAGTATATGATTACTGACCGTGGTCATCTGTTCGGTTCAAATAATGCTAAGCTTTTTAATAACCACATATTCGACGTATAAGTAGTTCATTTTTTTGTAATTTCTTGATTTAATTTCTATACTTACCGATATTTGCAAATACTGTATCAAATTATACTGTGCTTGTCAAATATTGTATTTCTACCACTAATGTTCTCAGGGCGATTGCCAATAAGTAGCATACGCGTAGTGATAATTTCACTCCGTGGAAGTTTGTTCCGACCCAATAATCATTTAAATGCAACCGCAGGTTATTCATAGTTTCTACGCATCACTGAAAGATATTGTTCAGTCAAGTCAATAATAGGTGATTGCGTAGGTAGTCATCTTAACCGCGCGACGATTTTTTTGCATCGATTGTGCTTAATAAGCTCTTGTCTAGCCGGCACTGATGACCACCCACTGTGCTACAAATCGTTCTGTGCTTGCTGTACACTGAAACCGACTACGGAATCCATTGGAACACGAAAAATAATTATAATGATATCAATTTTACCATGCTTGCACTAGCGAAATTGGCTATTCTGTCCGCAGCGACAAGGATGGGATCGTCGAACCGGTGATCAAAAGTCAAAACTATCATAATGTACCGCTTATAACTACAGGGAAGCGGTGCGAAATCAGCAGGTGTCAGATGTGCACATGAATCGTCGCCCTCGATCCGTCACAACCTGTCGACGGCTGAACGCTGAAGTTACGCCACGGATAATTATAACACTGTTCATTGCGCGATTTCCATGCCGGAAAATTAACAAGATGCCACCCTCTTCCGATTAATTAAATGATGTTGTTTTGCGAGAAAGTGAAGATGTCCATGCGCACTGCCATTTGGCGGTGAATATGCACCTAATTCGATAATTTATACCAATAAACTAGCTCACTGTTGGAATTTACTAAACAAACTCTACTCTACGCTTTATGTTTGAATGGAATGCATAGTATACGCTGCCTCATCCAGTGAATGGATGTATGTAACTGCATACTTGCTTCTACCTGCCTGTTTTTGGCCAGTAATCGCCGAACTAAAATACTCGTATATGCAGTTTTCCAGATTGGTTAGCACCGGCAACTGGGACATAAAAAGCTATTGAATATTTGTTAAAAATTCAAGCGAGCAGCATCTGCTTAAAATAAAAACAGTTGCTGCTGCTGCACTTATGGTTAGATAACTGCGAAAAGCCAAAACAAATAATTATTACTTATTATGTTAGTAATTCTTTTATAATGTTTTTTTGTCTAAATAGAACAATGAGCAATCGTAACCAATTAGAAAGTACAAATTATAAATGCAGTATTAAAATACAAATATAAATGCCTGTATTATACTAATTAATGCAATTTTCAGTACTTATGTATTTGTACAGTATTTACTATAAACGTCTCGGTTAGGTGTGGCGGTTACCTAGTGTCCACTCAGCAACCGCCCAGGACAGCATCTTTCTGGGTCACACCTTCGCGCCGGCCCGAGTAAACTGGCTAAAGAATCTCACACACAGCGAAATTAGAATTATTTTTGTCAACAAACTGCAATATTTACAACCTCGCTGGCGTGTTTCCCATCCAACCTATTGGTATAACTTTTAAGATTTTAACAGATTTGGACCATCTGATCTGTGCACCATCGTATTCAGTATATCCCTTTTCTCGGGCCCTTGGATTGCGTTGGCTCTTTGACGATGTCTTGCCTTCGTTCGGCCAGACGTCTGCTGCCCATGCAGTGGCACTTTGCACGTTGTCAGTTCGCAGTGCAGAATCCCTGCATCACTATGGTCTCCGTACGTCCCGCACACATTTATGATAATTAAGGTAGTATAGCTGAGAATTATTGCTTTGCAGGAAAATGCATCTCCCTTGTGTCAGCACGCCAGTCCGTCTTGTTGGCGTCCGCGGTTCGCTGCCGTCAGCTTTCACACTTCCATCCCGCATCATGAGAAAAGCCCGAAGAAAGATAAAAAGAATCCCAAGAAAGTGCAGTTCACTCCCGAAGAGCTGGAGGGTCTGGTGTCGTTGGAGGAATACGAGGATAGCCTGAAGAATTTAATCCATGAATTCCAAGAAACGCTACACAAACAATTCTCTTTGAAAATGACATCCGGTGGGTGGTTGCTTGTTCCACAGCTCAGTGTTTTTAAATGTTTCACGATTTCGCCGCAAAATGTTTTGGGTTAATTTATTGTTTATAGCTGTTTGTTTGTGGTGTAGCTTCCCTGGAAGGGATTGAAGTGGAGTTCGGGGGTGAGCGACATAAACTGACGGAGATTGCGCAGATATCCTTAAAAAATCCACAGATGATTATGATTAATTTGTCCGCTACGCCTTCGTACGCCAAACCTGCGATGTTGGCACTGGAAGAGGCCGGGATGAATTTCAGTCCGCAGATGGAGGGCGATATGATCTATATTCCCATTCCCAAGTGAGTTAGTTAAACTTGGCATAGAATGTAATGTTTTTGCATTTATTTGCATTTTGGTGCCGTTCTGTAGTTTGCTGCGGTTGCGTCTTTAATGTTTTCCTGATAACGTAGGAAAGTCAAGTAATTATTACAGGCGCAGTTTATTAGTTTAGCAAATGTATGCACTGCGCTCAGTTTTGCTGGACGCATTTTATATGATTGATTACAGCAATAATAATCAGTATAAAAGATCTGGTGTTATATATACAAAAATGAGGATTTAAACTCGTAGAAATAGTTTGGTAGTGCTGCAGTTTTTTTTCAGTGGAAATTTTTCCCGTTTATTATTATAATAGCGCTGAGTTCATTAATTTTTTTAGTATTTATGAGTTTTGCCGACAAAGATATGCAAAGAAGTGTTGAAGTTTTTGCATTTTTCTTGCAGGGTTTCGAGGGAATATCGAGAAACTATTGTGAAAAACGCAAGGGCAGCCAGTAATAAATTCAAAGAGCGTGTGCGGCGTGTACAGAACACTGTTGTGACGGACGTTAAAGGCAAAACTGGCCATCCAGCTGATCGCGTTCGCAGCGTTGTGCAATTGGTAATTTTGCGAGTGAAATGGTTTTTGAAGTTTTCTCAGTCACACATTGGGTTATTAGTAAATTCTCTTGTTGTTATCATCGTTGCAGTTGATGGAGAAAGCCGATGCCTGCAGCAAGGAAATGGATGCTATTCTTAAATCGAAAGAAAAGGAACTGCTTAATGTGGAGAAAGAATGATTTTTTTATCTCCTTCAGTAATTCATGCTTTTCTATTTGCATTTCAAATTCTGCTGCGATCTTACTAAGTGCTGGTGTTAGAAATGGAAGTATATAAGTGCGGACTAACCTCAACTTTAAATTTTATAATATTTTACTTGTAAAAGAAAATGAATATAGCAGATAATACACAGAATAATATCCAGAATCTTTCTGTGCAGAAATATTTTTCATTACGTAAATGCCAAACAGAACAGTTGAAACATAGCTGCCACAAATATTTCTCACTCGTTATTCCATAGCTGTGTTTTGCGTACATCCCACATCGCGATTAAATTATACCGGTTCCCCCGAAAACGGAATACCGTCGTACAATAGAAATATGAGCCGTTATAATTAAAACATTTGTTCCATCTTAATATAATCTGAAAAACAACAAAACCACCGTGTCCATCGTCTCACACATAACTTCCCCACTGCGAGCTGTCCTGATTGAACTGGGCAATCTTCACCGGATCATTGGTCTCCGTGATGAAATTCTTCTTGGCTACGCGCTCCGTCTTGAAGGTCTCCGTCTTGACCGAGGTCACCTCCCAGGGCGTCGAATTGATGACCCGCCGTTCCGTCTTGGTGATGGGATCAAAGTACATCCGCGGCGCCTCCTCGTAGCGGTGGCCCTCCGTCACCGGGCGGTGGTGGACGCGGGACGGCTCACTCTTCTCCCGGCGCCGCTCCCCCAATGGAGACCGGTACCAGTCGGATCCCGAATGCGCCGTCCAGTTGCGCGGACTGGTGCGGGATTCCGTGTTGGACTCGTCGGAATCCTGACTGGACTCGTGATGGCTGTTCCAGTCACTGGACCAGCCGGAATCATGGGGATTATACGGCCGGTGGGAGTGGCTCTCGGAGGCCGGCGAGTAGATGGGGGTCGGGCGGGATTTCTTGTTATAAAACGGCCCGGTGTACAGATCCCACACTTTGTCTTCCCGGGAAGTGGACAGACTCTTCTTACTCTCCGTCACGCTGGTCTTGTGGTAGCTCTCTGGCAGGATCCGTTTGGAGATGACCACGGCGTCCGTTGAATGCATGGTGCCGGTGGGTGATGTCAGTTCCGACCGGTCCAGCGTGTTATACGGGGAATAGTTGCTGTCGGTGGCCGAATGGGTACGATGCCGCAGTAACGTCCCTTCCATCACCCCCGGTTGGGAATACGGGGAATTAACGTACCAATCCGGTAAGTCCAGTTTCTGTAGAGATTTCCGCACCTGCTCCACGTACTGATTATCCTCCTTCTCGTCCCCGGGACCACGGGAACGGGAATACCCAGAGATGTTTTCCCGCTGCAGCTGATTCTCGGGAACAATCTGGTAGTCGTACTTTTTCACATCCGCCAGGAATTCCATACTCTTGGCTTTATTGGAATCAATGTATTCCGGATACGGGGACTCGATGGGCGTGGTCGCCGCACTCTTCGAATACCGTGACATGGGCGGCAAGCTGCGTGACCGCGAATCCCACCGGTTAGCGAACGAGGTCGTCGGCGCATCGTAGTCTGACCGGCCACGCCGCTCCAAATATTCCTGTGATTCCGACAATTTTCGCTGGATATCACGCTCCGGCCAGTTGATCTTACTGCGATACACGGAGGGATCGGCAAGCGTTTTCTGTGACCCCCGCAGATCCGGCATGGAATACCGGTTATCCCGTCGCACCGAGCCGCGGGTCGCCTCCCGGTTAATGGCCTCCAGACTCTCCCGGCTCATGCGTAGCTGCAACTTATCGCGCGAACCACCCTTGTATTTATCCCAGGGGTCGATGCGCACCGGCGGGGCCACGGGTCCGGACTGCTGGTTCATAAACTTCCGTTTGGCCTGTAGGATCTTGGCTTTGCAGGGCGGCACCCAGTCTTTCGGACGGATATCCGGTGAGGAGGGCGGCGAGGGTTTCTTCGTGCGCAGGGATTCAATGATGGCCGGTTCCAGAGATTTTTTCTCGCGCGGCAGTGTACCGGCCGATGACTGCGAGCTGGTGCGCACGTGCACCTCTTCCGGTAGTTTATACCCATACGCCCACGATGAACTGGCCGAACGCGGCTCCGCGGTGATTTTTTCAACTTTTTCCACCACCGGCTCGGGCGTCTTGAACGCGGCGGGGCGGTGCTCCGTTGCCGGTTGGAAGGATTTGTAACTGAACGATTCGGAGCGTTTCTCCGTTGTTTTCTCCGGTACAGTGAACGCCGATCTGGTGTCCATCGGCGACTCACGCGTTTTATAGCTGAACGGCTCCGGCGGTTTTTCCGTTACTTTCTCCGGTGTTCGCAACGGTTCACGTTTATAACTATACGAATCGGTCTCACGCGGTCGGTAGCTGACGGATTCTTCCTGTTTCTTAACAAAGTCCCGCACGTACGTCGACTCCGTGGTGAGCAATGGAGTGCTTTTATATTGCGTAATCAACTTATACTCCGGATCTTTCTCCGTCTTCCGGTACACCGGGACGTTGTCCTTGGATAGACCGGCTTTCTCTGTTTCCGTCAGACGGGAGGAACCGCGCACCGGCGGCACCGGTGGATACGTGCATTTATACCCGGTATCCGGCACGACCGGCTTTTCCTCCCTCGGAGCCGGCGGATATGAACATTTATACGCTTTATCCGCCACCACCGGTTTCTCGTCCGCCGGTAGATACGCGCCTCTATACGGCCGCGCCGTGGTGGTGTAATCCGTGTATTTGCCAACCGTCTCGCTGGATTTATTAAATGTATCGTGGGATTTACTGCCGTAACGCGGCAATACATTTTCCTTGTAATCAGTCTGATACGTGGACGTCGGGGATTTATTGGGGAATGAGTAGCTGAAATCACCACGGCTGACAAAATTACTGCCGGCATTGTGGTCAGCGAAAGGTCGTCGTGGGGCAGCGGCGGTATAATCGCTCTTCAGTGTATAGCTACTGTACGAGGTAACCTGATCAGGTCGGACGCCTGAAGTGTCATCCAAACTACTGCCGGCCAAGGCACGTAGATCGCTGGCGGATTTGCGTAATTCGCTCACGCGCCCATCCGTATAACCTACAACAACAAACAAATCAGCTACAGCTGATTACTCAGCACTGGGGAATGCTGGTAACAAAACGGCTTATCAGCCAATTAACTGCCTCGTAAAATGCCGCGCTTATCACTGGCTGGAAAGTGTGTTATACAATTCGGCGGAAGGTTAACGGAAAACTAACGGATTTTATATGGCACCACTGGAACGATTAAAGAACGGAGAATACCGTAAAAGATGAGTCGGGTAGGGAGTTTTACTGCGACAAATAAGCGATGAAAAATAGAAACAAATACCAGGAAGAAACTCCTGCATCACTTTTATCAGTTCAGTGGTGAAACGTCGGAATTACTCATGCGCAAACTGTTGACAAACCATTTACTCTACGCCACCATTAATCTAAGGAATGAACTTTATGAAACTGTCGGCAGTAACAAGACCACAACCAGACATTTGTCGGTCGCAATGACTAACAAGTAAAAAATAGTTATTAAAAGATAATTAAATTTTGAATGAAAGTTATGTAAATAAAAGGTAGAGGAAGTTATGTTTTCTGAAAGGAGAAATAAATATGGAAATGGTTAAGTAAAGTTATATTTACTGGCTAAGGTTGATAGTTTTTGATCAGGGTATTCGTCGGAAAAGTAATAGCAGATTTGGAAAACTATGTATATCACATTACAAAACAGAAACCTCTCAAAAAAACCGGTATGGCTAATATTATTGAAAATATTTAAAAATGACCAGACAATATTTTCCATCTGGTTGATTTTCCACACTCAAACAAGCAATGACCACCGCAAAATGCGCTAATCATTAGTTACGGTTACACGAATTTCAAGGTTGTTTCTCCTGTTCAAGCATATATTCTGCCAAAACCAGTCGTATTTGTACTGGTAATTATTGTCCAAAGCAAATGTTGAAACTCTACCACGCTGCACTGCCCCGCACGATGAACTCCGTGCACATATTTTACAGCAGCGGCAATATTGACGCAAGCGTGCGCGACACTTGAGAAGAGAATACATATATTTTATCGATTCGTTTCCAGGCCAGAAATCTATGTATACCTGAAGGCACAATTTTGTACAATTTATATTATGACCGTGAAAAATCGCCAGACAGCACCGTGTGGCCAAATCCAATAATCAGTGGCGTCTTGTTCGCATGTTCACTGGTATGATTAAGGTCAAATTTTTTATTGTCCACACTGATTAAAAGTAACGTACAAATACCTGTTGCTTTCTTATTCTTATCACTGTACCCGTCATCAAAACACGATTTACAAAGGCGATTCAGTTTAAATATTTTCAATGGAATTGTTTAATTAATCACAATGGACCTTTTCGCTTATCTGTTTGCTGTATTATATCAACTGTTTGCTAAAGCCACGCTCGGCCGTCATATCGCACTCTTTTATGCACCAATCCAAATATGAACATTTGGCACAGATACGGACTATGCTCGATTTAATTTTACAAAAATTAAAGAAATGTATTAGGCAGCTCTTATTTCAGTGATTATTTTTCCCGGCATCGCAGTTTATTACAGTATCAAAATATTTTAATTCAATTTCTAAATATCCAATCGTAACGTTAGTACAAAAATGAACAACGATAGCAGACGGTTTCAAGAAATAACTTGAAAAAACCAATATGACAACAATGCGATCATTCCGCTCAATCGGCATCCAAATACGTTCCATTGAAGAACAAATTTATTGACACAAGACGCATCGTTCTAGCACTTAATCCCGAGCGGAAATGGAAAGTAATGCGATGGCCCATTGTGCCAGCACGCTAAGCAGCGCTACTTTAATAACAAACGAACCGAGAGATGGATTACAACGTACCACACTTAATACCGAGCGACTCAACGACTTCTTCCTGGCATTTACAAATGCAGTGACAAAACTTACTCATACACACAAAGCGCACCTTCCTTATTCACCCTCTTATTCGATCACTTAAGACTTAAGAAAGACCTTACGTGTACCTGTACATTACGCAGCGTAAAACAACAATCACCAGATGAAAAAAAGCCAACGAAAACCACTTCAATTCAAGAATGTGAAAACAGTCTACTGTAAATCCTTCAGTGAATTTAGAAATTGGGAAAAATGCGTTATAAATCAAATCAAAATAAATAAATAAATATCTGCTACAAATATGGGGCAAAAATGTTGGGAGAAAAGACCTGTATTTCTGAAACGCAAGGCTGTTCCGATCTGTCAAACATATGCGTCAAATAAATCATAACGCATTAATTATTCACTTCACCCTAAGCCATTACATTAGCAAAACAAAATGAATAATCCATTACGTATCCACTTACTTTTATCAAAAATACTCCGATACTGAATACTCCGATGCGTGGTGGTCGTGGCGGACATGGTGGATGAAATCATGGAGGTGTGCGCGTGCAGCGGCGAGACTGGACGCGGCGGCTGATACACGGCATTATAACTGGGCGCTGAGACAGCGCGACTGGCTTCCGCCACTCTGGTCACCTCCCGCACGGCAACCGGCTCAACTCGTGGCGGCGGCTCCAACTGGCCTCTCTCCACCAGCACACCACTCAACCGGCCATCCACCTCCGATGCCGGTCGCAATTCAATATCCCGCTTCCACGACATGGCCTGGTGCAGTTCATACTTTTCTCGCCGTGATCGCGGCGGAGAGGCCGGCTTCTCCAGCGCCAACTCCCCCTTCTCCGCCATCCGGCCAATCTTCCCGTTAGTAGCCACAGAATCCTTCAATTCATCGTTTTTGACTTCCGCCAATTTATCCTTGGACAGTTTATCGCCTTTCTCATGCACTTGCACGGTGACGACGTTGTTCTTCAGTTCTTCCTTTACTTCGCGGATGACCCGACCGCCGTCTTCATTCTCCACATCCAGACGCTCGTAGGAGCGATAGGGCACCGGTTTGGAGACGATGGCCTCCAGTTCCCGTCCCTCCCGGCTGACCACCCGGGACGGTGTCCGGCGTTCATACACCGGTTCATAATTAGAAATGCTGCTCATGCTCAAGATTTGCGGATGATGCTGATGCACCGCGACAAGATACTCCGGTCGACACAACTCGACCTCACTGGCACTCAGCGGCTGTTTATTATCGCGTTGACGATATGAATAGGCACGACGTTGTAGTTCACCGTCTGACAACTTCACTGGCAACATCTGCGAGCGGAATACGCTGGCGCTGGCGGCACGTACCGGTGCTGCGGAGTAGGCGGGCCGTGCCGACACGTCAGGCCGGTGCTGATTGGCCGGAGGTGTGTCGTCCGGTTTCTTGTCACTCAACAGCATGGTAATCGTCATCTTCTGCACCGTACCGCGGCCGGAGGTCGAGGAGGATGCCGAGCTGGAGCGCCGCAGCAGCAGTTCCTCGGGGAATTTCCGCACCTCATCCCGCTCCACCCCGGCCTCACTGGCTACCGTCAAGTCCACTTTGGAGCGGGATTTTCGCTGTTCCTCATCGTTGAGGTAGATGGTGGCGTGGCTACGCCGTGTCACGCGGTTCCCACTGCCGCGCGATGTATAACTCAGTGCCGAATCAGCCAGACTGGGCGACGGGGATACCGGGTAGTTGTCCAGCACGTCCGACACACTGCTGGCTTTGGAGGAGGCTAGTTTGGCCTTGCTGTCCAGGTGGAACGGCAGGGTCATGGAGCTGAGCGTCGATGCATCGCCGTCACGGTCGACACGACCGCCGCCGGTCGGTTCGAAGACGCGCAACAATGGGGAGATTTTGTTGTGTACCACCGGCGTCTTGTGCAGACTGTACGTGGTGCTGGAGGCCGGCATTGTGTCCACGTTGGCGTACGTTGTATCTGGCGAACAACACAGCACAATAAGCATAACATACGGCAATTATGAAACTCATTGTGATACCCATTACGTGCTAAGAATACTTATCGGCGACATGTGAGCCGCATTAGATGTTCCTTGGCAGCTCAAGACATTATCGTGTTAATAATTTAATACGGATGAACGGGACAGCATCACGTACCCATTGTATATCCCGCTAAATATAATGCCAATTATCCAATTATAATCTTTCGCTTGCAAACTAAGCTACTAATAACACACGCAGCAGCATGAAAAGAAATGCTGTTGCTGTAATGAAAAACTCGGATTTACAACGTATTTCCGTAGCTCGCTTTGTACAATTTCGAAAGTGATAGGAAGGTGGAAAAAACGATGTTCGACCATACGGTACACGAGTGTATAAGCGCGTTTAATGACACTTTTTCCAGCCAGCGTTCGCAGCTTATCATGACCATTTTACACCGACACTCAATTTTAATGTTTAATTTTCCCCCTCTGTATGTTACGGGCAGGCGCGATAAGAGCCCATCGTGATTACTGTCGGAGAATGCGCAGGAACCGTTAGAATGGATATAAAATTCAAATAAATAAATCTTTACTTGTTACGTCCATGCACACCACCGTGCATATGTATGCACAGGTATGGTGCACGGCGGCAACAGTTGGTAACGCCGCGCACGCTCCAACGCTAGTGAAATCGTGTATGCAACATATTAGGTCAGATACACAGTTCCACAAGTAGAGCAGAAAAATTTCCAACAATCATTCAAAATCAATAAGTCAACGGAAAAATACATCTGAAGAAATTCAGTTAATTTCAGGAGAATGTGAGTATATAAGAGCATGGGAGATTTTTCCCACGCATCGAATGCATTCAGAGTGCTTTACACGAAATCTGCTGAAAATATGTTGAGGTAACGATTCTGCTACTCGCACAGAACTGTAGTACAAAAATACATATAATTTTTGGTTTTAAATGTTAACCGCACTAATCGAACATACAACTGTAGTATCGCGGTCTCATTTGTGGTAAAGCGGATGCTGTAAAGAGAGTTCTCACCTTGCTACAACAATGGCTAATGGCCATGGTAGAACGGTGAATGTTTAGTATTGTTTACCGCTTCCTGCTGTGCAACACCAAATGTCCAAGTAGTGCATACCACAAAACGACATAAATCGCGATATAATTGTTATCGCTACCGTGTTCCACGCTACATGATTTCTCCTATTTCTTCCGGCATATATCTTTTCCATCTTTCAACTCGTCTGTCAAATGTAACATACAAATACTGGTTTATTTACAACGTTAACTGCCGCTAGATAAATGCGAAAAAAATAAGTAAGTCATACCATACTATGCGAGAAAAATCCGGTTATTTCGCTTCAATAATGAGTAAGCATACTGAATCCGTCAACAAATACGTAATCAAATATTAATTTTTTGACATACACATTATCTAAAAACAATCTGCAAACAGCTTATAAAGAGGGCTCCAAAATAGCTTGAAGAGTATAGTTACTACTGTGGAAAATATTTTGCTTTGACTTCCGCTTTCCAAACTGCCCACAGCTCCAATAAAATATGTATATAAGGCCATCGCAAAATTTAAGTCCATAGCGAAATCAAGTACCTACTGTGATAACTGCAAAACATTTGCAACAATGGGATCTTATAAAATTATTCTCACCGTGGCTGCCTTGGTCATGACGATGACGACCTTTGCGGTAAATAGAACTGTGCCATAAAACTTCTTTGGCACATACTTTTTTCCACACATACTTTTTTATTGCCGTTGTGTTAAGATTTATTCTAGTTCTGATTTATGCGGGTTTATGTATTAATTACGTAAATAAAAGTTAACGAAGACAAATTGTGTAGTAAGCATGGCGTCAAAAAAAATTATAAAAGGGAGTTCGTTACAGGAAGCTGCTGGACGAGATGTCTGCCAGCTCGCCGACTACTGCTGTCCTAAATTGACGAGACCAAAGTCCTGGGACTGCACTAAATCATTCTGCGATTCCTGTTGCAGAAAAACCCCAATTCTCGACGCAAACGGCAGCCGCAAAGGACCGGGTAATTACAAGAGTGGAGTGTGCAGCAAGAAAATCGAAAACGGCCTAGGCTGTTTGTGCTCCTAATTTTTTAGCCATTAAAGTACGAGTAATATCTACAGTTGTTGCTAAAAATGTTAATTGTGGAACAATTTTAAGTAACGTCACAAAGCCGGAAGTATTGAAAATATTGCCTTTTGAACAAGTTAGTAGCGTGATTACTCTTTTGTTACAAATACACATTAACTGCAAGCAACACGAGCTAATTTTGCTGATTAGATCGCGCCCTTGAATTTGTGACTGATTCGCAAAATTATGATTGACACCTCTTTAATTTGACTGTACAAAACTTGCGGCCAATTGACAAAAGTCAGCACAGCGCATCTTTGCGTGTGCGAATTTTCGCACAGACGCTGAGTACTGAGAATTTTATCGACGTCTACGGAAAAAATCCGTGACACAGTTTCGTATAAACAGTCGAAAATTTATTACCAAAACCACCAAATTAAAAACCGTCTACTCGCTTCAGCTCATTTTCTCCATTTCTGCAAGCTCATACAAACAACAATACACGCTGGGAGAAAATTTCCCACACATGCGATGAAAATTGCCGGCAAAACTCATAACAAGTCAACATGGTCGACTATGGCTCTGGTAAGATACGTACGCTAAAGCTAACAGACTCTACACTCACAGTGTAAAGAAACAGCCGAGTATTTTATCCAAACATACAATGCACATTATATAAACATTCATACGTTTATGATTAATGCAAGTGAATGATGTATTTTTAGCCGCGGTTATTCTCCGGTACGGATACGGCTGACCAGTGCGCTAGAATGCGTTGCTTATACACTTCAAAGGTCAGTGTAACGTTGTTCACAAAACCCATGGCAAAAGAACCGGTTTTCCATAAATTATGATATGGAAACATGTACATACGCGTGAACTAAAATCACAAGAATATGCTCCGTGCACTTGTTTAATACTTGAAATATTCACAACATGTACATCCTGAATTTTAATTCTTCAATGTATGTTATAAATTATTGTTTTTACAACTGAAAGTAAGTACATCATTGTAAGGAACTACGTTAGTAGTTGTTTCAGGAAACATGTCGCGGTCAACCGATTTATTATACTAGTTTACTCGGTGAAATTATCACAAAAATTGTATTATGGTAGTAAGACAAACTCCGGTGGTCATTCCTTTCTCCGGAATACCTCAAACTAAGCGAAAAATATTTTGTAACACAATTTCTTGGAAAGGATTTTCATACGATACATATTTATGTGCTTACTGCTAAGTTCGACTGAGACGCCTGTTAACCGGGCCGGAAAGTCAGGTCCATTTTTCTACGATATTGTATAATGTACTCACGAGTCAATCGTAGATGATCGTAAGTTTAAATGCCCGCAATTCATAATCACCGGTAAATGTCTAATTTTTGAATGCAAAAATTTTTCCGCTACAGCAACGCAATCATGCCAAATCTGGCATTCTTTTCCCCCACATATTTCACATTTTCGAACATTGACCACCTGCCGGAAAAGCGATACGACCAGCTACAGTGGCGCACCGTTTCAAGCGTGTCAAGATCAGGCTTTTAATACACCTGGCCCTGATATATATTTATTGCACACATAACAGTGCACATATACACCGACAGTCTGACACAGGCAGCCTCTTCTCAGCAAAAATGCTGTTTGGAATGTCTGGGCAATCAAAAATCGGCAAAAACACGATGCGAAACCTGTTATTTTTCCCTTCACAAAACTAGTTTCCAGCCCGCACTCGACATTCCGCTCACACCGTGCTGCTGTCAACGAAATGTTGTAAAATGAAAAAAAAAAGATTCCATTAATCGAAATCGCGGTGGACAACGCGTGGAGAATGTCGAAAATCATATTGTTCCGCAAATTGGGTCACTATGGTTAAATACGGCTTATACCTTTGAGGTGCCTGACAGATCGATAAATGAGTAGTGCATGCCGATCACTGTACACAACAATCTGACCATCGATTGCCCATGTCACCATGCGCCGCACGGTTTTCGCATTCCGGAAATAAACATCTAATCACTGGTGTTAAAAATTCAGTCACGGTTGGCGGTTATATAAAAGCACTCAAAAAATTCACCAAAATAGCATTTCTGCAGGCGCTGAAAAGCGAATGTTTGATAAAATATGGGTGCGGTAGCGGATGAAAACGCGCCTTTGTTAAGTCACTGCCGGTAAAAAACAGATGCAAAATGATTTCAGTTACAGCAATCGTACAGTATTTACAGCGCAGAATAACATAAATGGACGCAATCACCTAATAATAATTAGAGCACATACAAAATATTGTGCGCTATCAATTACAGGCTGTATACGAAAATAAAAAATAAAACTAGCGAAACCGAAGTAAGAAACGTATTGCGAATTCTAATTGCGGTTAAAACGTCCCGATTTTTGGCCACGGTGGCGGCTTACTGGGACAAAACCCCACCACTACAACATTTAGTACCTCGTAATAGTAAGCAACTACTTGAGCAATGCTTTCAAGCGTGATTTCTTTTATTTCTAAAAAAATCTACGGTTTGCTCGCACAGCTGGTGATAAAACAAAATAAAAGTAAATATCTCAACGAAAATTTAACTCTTTATTCACAATGCCGGTAACACAGAAATCAAAGCAATCAAATCTTTCTATGAGCTGTACAGACACTGAGACACCACATCTTTTGCCTTACTGAATCCAGTAATAAGAAAATAGTCGCACACATATTCTATCCAAATTTTTACGATAATTTTTTTAATAAGCTTACCAGTAGTCGAATACTGTCCCGTTAATCCCGTACGATATCGTCCCTTCTGACTATCCTTCTTCTTCCTGCTTTCCACCACATCCACCCGTTCATCCCATTCAACGCGGGCTTTACCTTTTCCCTTCACCGCCTTCTTACTACCATTCACAACACCACTATCGACATCAACAACCGGCTCAACTGGTTGCCGCCGTGGCTGACTAACCGCCAGCCATCCGTCAGTGTCCTTGGCCGACTCAACAACACCGGCACTCAATGGACGCTGCTGCTCCACGCTGACCAGTGCCGTGCGGTGATTGGTTGTGCCGGCTGATGATGTTGGTTTAATGCGGCTCCAGCTGTCGATGGTTGGAGAGAGGGAGGCGGTGCGTACGTACGCCTGATCGTGATCCGCAGCGGGTTGAGAGCGTGAACGTGCCGCCGCTGCATTACCGCTGCCGGTAGATGGCGGCCGGTGCACGTGTGCTGTGGTCAGTGGAGCGGATGCTGCTGCTGCGGCGGCCGGTGGTGACGTGGTACGATGGAGGCGGTCGGGATAGAATACACGGTAGAGATCGGCATCCGGCACTAAGCGTACAGCTTCCGGTACGGTATCGGGCACCGCGTTGTCAATGGGTGATTCACTGGTGAGTAGGTAAGCCGAGGGTGACTGTACAATCCCCGTATTCTGCAAAGGTGCCACAGGGTAATTAACCTGCCGTCCTGCACGCTATTCAATAATCAATCGCAATAATGTTCTGGCGCTCTACAACTTTCGTGCAACAGCAAAAGCCATGTTCCCATCAATTGAATCTATGTGAACTCCAAAACATAAACCAGAGAAACTATTCCACGCTACTTTTACGAGAAAAACTCAGCAGTTCCTATACCGTATTCTTTGCATAACGTCGGGATCGCAGTTTTGTCATCGTGTTTATCCTATAAACGGCGCATTTCAACAAATAAAAATCCGTATAATATTGTATCCTTTCGGAGAGACGCACAAATGTTAAACCAATTTCTGGGGGCGGTGCAGCAATGTGCACCAGTTTCTACTCTGTATTTGATAAATATACAGCTTACTACAGTTGACAGCATTTATACACAGCTTACTACAGTTGTGATAAAAAGAAAACGCTAATCTAGGAAATAAAGTAAATATTTGTACAGTTTTAGCAATCATCTAACAACCTTCGCAGTAGCAAAACTAAGAAAAGAATAAGATAAAAAAAATATAAATGAAAAAACCTGTCAAAGATAACAAAAGGTATCAGCACGAAAAAACAGTAAATAAAAAAATAACGTACGCAAGCACCAAGCGGTAACCATTCGGATCAAATATGTTAAAACCCGCTCAAAATTTATTCACCGAAAAATATTTTAATAAAAAAAAATTCTAAACTCTAGGGCAAATTAAGATTTGTTGCTCATTGCACTCTTTTGTGCAGTTAACTGCAATTTACAACTACGCGGCGGGACCTGATGCAAGCCATCATACTACGATACGTTAATTATCTTATGCTTACTGTTCTTTCGTTCACAGGTTAACGATAGCTGTGCAGGGTGCATAACATATATATTGTAATCTGTATGTTTCGGAAGGCTAAAAATATAAGGGTGAATTTAGTTACAGCCCGCGAAAACAAGAGTGCCAAAGGAAACTTCGTACCGACTTCACCAAATTAGTAACTTACTGTTCGGTCACCAGGTGGCACAACAAAATCAGGCGAGACAAAGCCGCGATCTCTTCCAACTGCACCGGTGGCTGCATTCCGCAGGCCTACAGTTTTCCGTTTATCCAGAATCTTTGGCACATGATGATTAACATCCTCTCGTCTATAATACACTTTTCGCTTCGTCGTCTCCTCCGACTGTGAGATCATGGACTGCGTCACTCTCCTCACCGAGCGTCGTCCCGGTGACTCTTCAATGTCTCCATGCGGATAGAACGAGATCACCTACCATAATATAATATAAAAAACGGTTGCATACAATAACAAAAGAGAAATTCAACAAAAAAACATAAAAGGAGGTAACCAAGACATACATGATGATATCTATATAACAGAATAAATGTTAAATATAAAAATCAGTTATATGAACTTATATCCAATGATAAAGGAGAAATACATAAGGACGTAACAGAACAAAAATCAAATAAAATTCAGCACAGTACCGTTTTCGCCGGGCCTTGTGCCGGAATGACCACCTCCGTGGCAAAGGACACCGGGATCTCGGTGCACTCCGACACACTGCCGTCCGACGAGAATCCGCCCAACGAATCGCCATCCATCTGGTTGAGCCGCGGAGATTGTTCATAAAAAATCGGTGTTAAACTGGGATCATCCACGAGCACTTCATCGTCATCCAACTGCACGATCTCGCCGCCGCCATCCATATCCCAGTTGTCGGAGACCGCCTGGCCGGTATCGACCGACACTTCCGATAGGGTCGGTGTGTGGAGGGGGCGGGGTATGGTGCGGATGGTGAAGCGCGGGGAGGGTGTGTCGGTGGAGTAGATAATGACATCTTCCACCGGTTCAATGGCTCCGCTGGTGTGGAATGTGAAGGTATTTAGGTCAGGCTGGCGTGCGTTCGATAGGGGAAGATCGGCGTAGTACACCGCGGTGTGATCGGCATTATTGTGGCCGGCCATTGTATGCGCCGCGGAGAATACGAGACGCTGCTGGGCCAGCGTGCGCAGTACCTTACCGGTGGATGTTTCCAGCAGCTCCGCATCGGTCTTATACTGCTCGTCCTACAAAAGAACATTCACCATAAAGTTTTCAAAAAACGAAACTGAAAGTATACATTTGCATAATTTCCACCATGTACAGTACCATAAATTCGTATGTGATGCGCTATGCAAATGCGCTACGAATTAGCTGAGTATACAAAAGTTGTTATGTACAGAAAAGTGAGAAACAAACTACAAACTGCAGTGAAAGAAATATCGGTAAACTCAATTTGAATTAAATATTCATTTATATTCGAAAAAAATGGAATCGGTGATACAGCTACGAGCAAAAATTAAAAACAAAAAACCGGAATCGGATCAAACGGTACAAAAAGGCGTAACTTCAAAAGATAACAAAACTAAAAAAATTGAAATTACTATGCAAAGTACTGTATAAAACGGATGGAAGCAGCTGGAGATAAAAGTATCAGAATGTGCCAGTGCATTTAGGTCCACTGGGATGACAATCGAAAATACGTAATTACCAAGAAAACTGTCGCTAAGTGGATCCTTCAAGCAAAATTATCCCCGTTTTATGTAGAAAAGATAAAATACTTATGCCGGTAATGCAATCAATACGAGATCACTTCCAGCCCTGGCAATCGATCGCAGTTCGCAACCCCTTTAATCTTTCGATCATAACGCGGCCATATTTCACTGGCCGTATATTAAGATTATAAAAGTCGTCATTCGATTTTTTCCAGACTGCAAAATCCACAAGTTCTCATGCCACCGCATGCCACTAACTGATATTACGTAACAATACAGCTACTCGTACACCTTAAAAATTGGACATAAATCCATTGAGGTTCAAGTAGCGTAACCACCAAACTATGCATTAGCTGTTCACATTGGCCAGATTATCCAGCGCACACTTGTGACAAAACTGGTATTTTTTCTCCTTAGTACAAATATGCACACTTGTCACTCGTTAATTCAGCACATCCACGGCGTCTTAGCACTTATTAGCTTTTCTTACTAATAATTTTCGCACTAATTGACACTCTGAATAGTAAAGAGATATTTCCGGTGCAAAAAGTTACATATGCCAGTTGTCACAGAACCGTTATGAGAATATGCACACACTGACCGAAAAGTGTCAGATTCCCTCCTAATCAAAAAAACGATACGAGAAAAACCTGCAACGACCGGCACAGATGACCGGCGTGCTGTCGGAAAAATCAATCTTAATTAACAGTGATTTTTATACAGCAGTGAATTAAAAAAGCTTCCACTACTTGAGCATTGTTCTACTAACCACAATATCATGTTGCAACCGACTTAATCACCGCTTTTCGCACCCTACCTCGTAAGTTATGGCACGTGGCCGTAAATATTTACGATTTCAGCAATAATGCACCTGTGTAAACAAATACCGGAAACTTATTGTCTTCAGTAAGAACATGTTATGAAAATTATTACGCATAGTAAAGTCGGAATATTCATTAGTCAACAGCTGGCCGTTACGACCATACCACACGATATAATTCATACTGCACTTTAGATCAGCTACAGCACACAATCATACCGGCTGCAACACCGACTTTTATAAAGGGATCACTTTTTCAACAACGAAAATTTTTTGAGACTCTAAGATTCGAAGTTTATTACCAAAAAAGCATGGCGATATAAAGTGCAAATTTAATTTTCTCCTGGACACTTTTTCAAGAAACCAACAAACTACTTATAAGAACAAACCAAAATTTCAAATCAAGGAAATTTGGTTGTTAAAACGAATAAATATACTTCTATGCATATACAACAAGGTCTGGAATCACAGATAGTAATAAAAACCAAGAAAAAATCGGTTACCGTTTCAGATCAGTGGATCTGATATGGGATACAAAAGGCAATAAATCCCCCAAAAAAGAAACAGTACCAATCCCATGAACTTCCGCTTTCTCACTGCATAACAATGCAATAAAACAGCATCCGATCACAATGCGCGATCAGCGTAAATTTATTTACACTTACTTTTTTGCGAAATTTTAAATCATGAAAATTAAGCTGTCAAAATTACAACAAAATCTGGATCACGGATATTAATAAAAAGTATGAAAAAATGTGTTACCGTTTCGCGTCAGTGGATCTGATACGGGATAGTAAAAGCAATAAATCCCCCCAAAAAAGAAACAATAGCAATCCCATAAACTATCGCTTTCCCACTGCACAACAATGCCATAAAACAACATCCGATAACAATGCGCCATCAGCGTCTCTCCCACGAGTGACATACAAAAACGCCCATTTCTAAACAGACCGCTACAAACCCCCAGCGGCACGCAGCCGAGGAAAAAAACCCGTCTAACTAGCAGTGCGTTGCCGCTGATTATGTGGTTACATTTCTCAGCGCCACCACCGGGTTAACCACAAACCCCTCTCACCTCACCTGCAAACAAGCCTCATTTTCTTGGACACACTCATCAACATGTAATCCGCAATAACGGCACTCGTATCCATCACAGATCCCCGCCGGTCGCATGCAGGTCGTTAGTGTCATGGTTCACTGGATGTGTACGGCGAATTAGCAGCGCGTACGCCCCCGCATGTCTCCTGCCTGGCTACCCTGTACACACATCGACAAGAAACCGCTTAAGCAATTGACCAACAATTACACTAACCACCACAACAGCAAAAAACACTCCCTCTTGAAATAATCGGCGCGTTAAAAGTGAATGGTAATTAGCTAACCCTAATGCAGTGCCGACGGTGTGGATAGTGTCGTTTCGAGTATGCCACTTCCGCTGGACATTGGAGCTTCAATGCCGCGCTCGCGCGTCGATGGATTCCGTAATCTGCGCTGTGTGCTGCGCTGCCGGTGGAGAAAGTATTGCTGTAATCAGCAGAAAACCTTTAAGGTATTATAAAGGTACACGTAAAAAGAATCTCATGCTTGAACTGTCAGCGCCGATGCCATGGGATGCTTTTATTTGTTATGTGTTCTTCGTGCATTGCGAAATTACGCTTACGACAACAGTTTCAGTTGCCGGCAATCGGAGGAAATATAATCACATCAACGGAAATCCTAGAGCATGTTTGACTAGAATGCGACAATTTGATTGGCTTCGAATAGGGGAGCAAATAGTCTATTAATCCAACAATTTGTACTTACCACGAGTATTTTGTACAACAAGAGGTTTACACACAAATGCAGCCTTTCACAAGGTGATGTCTCTTAAACCATTCATAAAAAAGTTCATAATAATAGTTGGTTCATAATACCATATATAAATTTCTTTATGAACAAGTTAAACTGATTCGATGACTGGTAATAGTGTGAAGTGATTACCGATTTCCAGAAAAAACAAGGGAGCAAAGCAAACTTGTACAGTTCAAAACGGAACATGGTAAACCCTTTATAAATGCTTTCCAAAACTTTACGCTCTCAAATTAGATCTAACTGTGACATACAGATATGAAATTATGTACGTCTGCTTAAATCACCGAATTACTGCTTCTAACACCACAAAATTTTACACTTTATTTGACTTAAATTATATTTTACTCAGAATTACAAAATGTGTTTCATCTAAAAATTACAAATTGTATATTTTTAAAAAGTAATCACAATTATTACATTAATTCATATACTGTAATTCATCACAAGTTATTCTGATTTCAAGCAAAGCAAAGGTACGGTTTTATTTAATTCCACATATTTCTGCGATTAATCAGTACACACTCACAGAAAGTATTATCAATGCACATCATAAATAAAAATTTCAAATCAACGCCACCTCACCTCGACACAGGCAGATACGGAAACCAAAGACGTAATCCAAAAAATCCTCCGTAAAAATATCCGCCGTCTTCCGCGGAGCGCGTGCACTTAACTATGATGGACAGAGATTGTGGTCAGTTGTGTGGTGCGATTAAGTGACATATTTCCACTGGCTAACAACAGACTAACTAGCCAATCAAGTACCCTTGAACTATGTCACACAACAGCCACCAACATTAAGTAGCCCATAAAGTGTAACAACACTATTGTTGAGCAGCATTGTTTTCGAGGACGAAACGACACCGACTGACAACTGTAGCGAATCTGCTTCTCAAGAATTACCGACCCATCGATACCGCATCTGCCGATCGCTCGTACTGCAATAACGCCGGCAAATGTTTTCTCACAGTCAGCGGTACATAGATCTGCTTTTTGACAGATACAAATAGGTACGCGTTGTGGTCACGCTTTCAGTTAAGTATTTTCTACATCCTATAACATTTAAGAATTCCAACTAATTCTAACTACTAACTACTTTGTAACTTGTACGCAACATAGCAAAATAAAGTAGCACAACAACAATAGTTCGAAAGTCAAATAAAATCAAGTTTCGCTTTCGTACATGCTGGGTTATGCAAAATAAAGAAATAAGTTTCTTACTGCGATATACGTTGCGAATATTTGTACATTATGCTGAAGTTTTTGTTCAACACGGCAACATATTATGTACGAATTATGACAATAGTACAATGTAAGTATTAACAGTGATACTCAACTGGTTAGTTAATGAATTAGATTACAAGTTACGTTCCACCAAAATAATGAAGAGGTATTAATACCATACTGCAAGCCGCAAGGTGATCTGGACAACATCAAAATTAAATTTCGTTGGTATTATTGGCGGCCCATTTTATTGTCAGATCACTTGTATGAGCCAGCCATCCACTAAAGTGTTAACAGTCTACAAGTTTCCCGTTATCTCATATCTATATAAGCGTTTTAATTTTAGCATTCGTATAATATAATACATGTACACCATAAAAAAATCCCATGGTCGTTATTTAATTAATATCAGAATCGTGTAGAATCAATATCAGTCGGACGCCCAGTGAAGTCATCAATATCAATTATCAATTAATCACCACGATGCTTCATTACTCTATACAAAGTACGCGTATACTCTTATGCGAAAGAGTCTTAATACTGTATAGCATGTATTAGCAACTCATTTTCCGCCCTGTTTATTCTCCAACTGTTTCACCTGCAGGCGATCATTGATACAAAAAAAATAGAACCGAAATGTTCGTAGTACCGCGCACGGATTACGTCAACGTTAACAGCAGCATTACCAGAGCAGTCGTCATTGTATTGTGCTTACTGAAAATAAATACCAAAGATTAAGTTGATATCAACTTTTAAGTTTGGATTGGTACAATCAAACCTATAGAAAAATAAAACTGTCTACGAAAACTATGTAGCTTAACGAGTAACCTACTCTTACAGGTATTCGCAGTCCTCATCAGTTTATTTATTGCTCACAAGTTCTAAAAAAACTATCCAAAAACTATCCAAAACTATATCCCCACTGAATACCATGCAAATAGTCTTCTGACAACAAGCAATCATGCAGCGGTTACTTAATTAATGTGTACGTAAATGCTTGTTTCCGTGTTTATTAATGTAAAACACTTGCTTCACTACTGTACTTCATCCAGGCGTTTTAATCACTCTTTTTGCAACAAGAAATTCGACTCAGTTATTCTCAATATTGCATCCATTCCGAAGAGATTCGAAGTCTCTTCGGGAAAAAATTCAGAACCGTATAACAGTCTCACATTACTACCCTATGCGGCATCCTCTCCAGTTTTGCACCTATTTCAACACTGCGTTGTACACCAACTATTAACACGGGCAAACAATAATTCTATTGCCGTAAAATCTGATAAGAAATTTCTGTCAAAGCTAGTTATCGAAGCTTAAAAAATAGCACATACCGTTGCATTTTCTGCCGCAGCCGTTTCTTGGGAAAACGGTACAGATAAATAAGTTAAGTTTCTTCACGAATTCCGTACGCCGCCCAGCCCACAGCGGACATGATACCGCATAATTAAAATAATAAGAACCTGATATCCACTAATTCTAGTCCAATGATTCTGTCATAATCCATGTGGTGCACACACAATCCAGACGCGGTTATTACACACGTCGATAATGGTATAAGAAACAATAATTTACGCTACAAGTATTCTGTACAGGTACATTGGCAGCGCGACACATGGCGGCTTATGTAATCTCATGATTTACACAGACAAGAAAAAATGCAATTCACCTGATCAATAAATAGTACCGGTATTTTCGCCTCAATTGACTATTACAGGCTTTTAAGAATTCGATGCCGCTAATTTGCCGTTGATTCAGCACGAGGAGAGTGAAAAGATATATCGAGACTATTTGATGTCTATTTATTCGGTAGCAAGTCTTAATACGTAATACCTTTACTCCAGATCTTGTGAACCGCCGCTAAACACGAGCCCGAAAATGTCAGTCGAGATTAAACAAACACACAGACATGTATGGCAAGTACAAGATTAAATTACCGAATAAAAAACTGATATTCTCCTACTCGTAGAGCCAAAGGGCGCCTTTGTAAACGTGCATAGGTTTTAATATGGACGAAAAACTTACAAAAGAAAATTAGAAACCCACTTCTTATACCAGAAAGCCTTGAATTGCTAACCATTGTATTATTTACTTAATCATTCCTTAAGTTTCCCTTCATCATTTAATTCTAATGCTCAGTTTTAAACGTAAGTACATACACTTTGCACTTAGTTCTGTACTATCGCTTCAGTTTTTTACTATACTACAATACTAGTAATGCAAATCTCGCTCGACCGAAAATTCGATCGTTCGTCATTTATTACATCTGATTACACCATACGCAGGTAAAATTCGCAATAAAAACCAGAGACCCATAATGAGCAAACAAGATTCACCGAAAAATTCACGGAATGTTGGCAACACTAAAAAGGCACAAAGTAAAAAGGCCACAAAATAACTCTCTATGCAGAATCACCAGGTAATCGATAGCACCGCTGCCCGCTTATGACAACACGACCCCGTGAGTGCCGCGCCGGCCACAAACGGACCACAATCCAAACAGCAACAAATTAATCAACCATGGTTCTGTGAAACTGTGTCCATTTGTGTGTGTGCTCATTCATAATGATCAAAGGTCCATTTCTGCGTGTCAGATCCCGAGCACTTTTTGACAACGACATCACCGGCGTTCGACACCCCCTCCACATCTAAACAGAGTCCCGTGGCTGGGTGCTTCATCTCACCGCCCTAGTACACACACAGCGTGTTACAGTTGCATTATGCAGTGACACTTATCCAGGTAAATATTTTCAGAAGCGGCCACAACACCACACGAGCGAGCCAGCAGGCATAAGCCAATAAACAGCAGCGAGAGACTCCACGCAAAGCGGCGTTAAAATCACATTTGTAATCAATTAGGTAGTCAACGATTTGCACAACCACAAAGTCAACACGGGAGCAAGCGTTGCGACCCTGCGATTTGCTCAATCAACGATAAAAGCAGTTATCAGAAGTATACCCGAAATATAATATCAATCTCTTCCCACACGATAAGATCTACAAGCAATATCGCAAAAAAAAAGAATAGCCCCGAAAATCAAACTTAAAATAGTATTAACAAATAACAATTAGCAGTCCACTTGTGCTAAGCAGGATGATTCAGTAGGCATTTGTATTACATCCAATGTTCTACGTCATAAACACCAACGTACTGAAGCGATTAAGCTTATGAGTGCACTCGTGAAGCAGAACTCTATTGTCCAGCACTAGCGCTACCATGGTAGTTTATATTATCGCAATATCGCTTACCTTCACATGTGTCCACTTTTGTGACTCCATCTTATGGCACGGATACATTTTCACAACTTCCCCATCCCGCGCATGCTTTGTTACATCCGCACAATTTTCCTCCCGCCTTAACTGGCCATCTTTACTTAACGAAAATAACTGCAAGAATCAACACACATTCCTAGCAGGCACGAAACAAGAGAATCAAATACTAGTACACAGAACCCCAATATTATTTCAAAAGTTAAATTTTTTTTGCGTTTCAGTGCGACAGTACCTGTGCGGAAGACTTTCCCTGACAATGGTACACTCCAATATTCAACGTTAACTTCTCGTCCTTGCCCAGCATATCCAAACAAAACCCTGATTTGTCGTTTTTTAACTGAAAACGATACGAGCACAGCGTTCTCGATACAACAGTCGTTCAACACAAATTCTCACAGTGCGGCTTACTTGGCCAAACCCTTGCACTCCTTCATCTGGAATGAATTTTTCCGGATACACATTATCCAAATACCACTTGAAATCGTGGCATTTTAGTTTCTCTCGCAAAGCTTTCCTTTCCGAAATATCTCCGATGTCTTTTTTCTACAATGTAGAAATCTATATTAATCATAATTTACTATTCAATGGAAAATGCGAAGGCATGTCAAACAGGCGAGTGCGGAGGCGACAACAAACTAACTAATCGGGCTAACCTCGAGTTCTTGTCGGTGCAAGTAAAACAGCCTCTTGTACCCATCCATCCAGACCTCAGCTAACCGCGCCGAATTAATTCCATGTGTATCTTTATTCGGTGTGCCGTCGCGTCCCGTGAATGTATACGGATGACTTGCTCTGAAAACTGGACACAACGACTTATGCAAATACCTTTCCCTTCGCCAAATGCTAGATGCAAACTTACTGTGTCCAACACGGGAACACGGAAGAAACTCCAAAGTTCCATGGCACATCCAATTCTAATACAAAAAACGGTTATTGCAAATCACAGTACACACATATAGAATAAAATAACTTACTCGGAAAGAGATTTCCAGATTTTCTCCTACAAAGATGCCACCAATCATTGCAAACTGTCAGAAGACCGGCAATCTGTTTTACCAACCTCCCCAAACGTCCATCCCTTCGTCGTACGCTCCCACTTCAAAAAACCACTTTCTATCAGCTGCAAAGAGCCCACCAGCCATTGTTGGACTTCTGCAGACATAAACAAAATTAGTTTAGACCAATGTAACATAATAATATAAAAATCTGGATCAAAGAGTGTACAGGCAATAGGTAACCTGATGGGATCAGTTGACTTTCTCCCTGGGACGTCTTTAACCCCTTCCCATGAGAAATGCAGGCTCCAGCTGAAGCCACCTGATGCGCTTCCACCGTTTAGGGAATATCTTAACGCATGATCATCTATCGCATCCACCATGGGACAAATCATGGTACGGGGATTGTCTTTTATACGTTGCAAAATTGGTTCTAACCTACAAAAACTCCATGCTATTTTTGTTTCCTTACGAGATTGTGAATTTGTGGTGATCTAATTTTATATTACAGATGTACATTTTTGAAGGATCCCACCCCTAGGGAAGTCGAGCCACCCAACTGTTCCAACCCTTTTAAGCCAACTCTTTGATCCAGAAGTCAATTTAACCATAAAAAATACCGGTAAGGTTCCACATTAGATTTCCGCCGTTTGTTCTCAGCGGCTTGCATGCTAACCCATTTAAAATGTAACGACCACCAGAATCCACCGCTAGAACCATGTCCGGTACTGGAGTAGGTCAAAGAATGGTCACTAATTACGTCAATCATGGGACAGATCATGGTCTGGGGACTTTCCTTTATACGTTGCAAAATTGGTTCTAACCTACAAAAATTAGTTGAGCAATGATTATTCTCAAGTTTTGTAACGTTTCACCCATGAGAAAAACACTGTCATGCAATTAATTGATGAGTTCAATTTCTGCTGCTGCCCTCGAATCAACAGGTCCCATTCACCCAAACCAAGTTTCACTCTTTGATCCAGAAAATTTGCATGACTATTAATCACAAAATACCTATACGGCTCGATATCAGATTTCCGTTGGTTCTGCGGACTGGCTTGCAAATAAACCCATTTAAAATGTAACGACCACCAAAATCCACCCACACCACTGTTTCCGGTACTGGCGTAGTTCAGAGAGTGATCGCTAATTACATCAATCATGGGACATATCATAGTATGTGGACTTTCTTTAATACGTTGCAAAATCGGCTCTAACCTATAAAAATAATTTACTTCAACGAAATGCCGGAAATTGCTGTAATAGCTCACGGAACCATATTTCCAGAAAGCGGCTTTTCCGGTTTTCAATGTTAACCACTGTCTCTCAAATTTCTCGACGTTACAAAACTGACTCTCATACAAGCGTGTCAAACACTCTCCACCTTTACACTCTTTGATCCAGCGAATGCCAATGTACCGAAATGGTTTTTAAATACCGATAACGACGAATATCGGAATTGTGGCGATTCTTTGTCTCATTCGTATAAACCCATTTAAAAACTAGTGACCATGAAAATCCGCCGCTCAGTATGTATCCTGTAGCCGAGTAATTGATGAACGACGCATCGATAACATCAATGATTGGACAAATCAATGTGCGCGGACTCTCCTTTATGCGTGCTAAAACTGGTTCCAGCCTAATCACCACGAAACTTCAGGATTTAAAAAAATGTAGGGAATACTGCTGACATATTTCTGTCTGTCTTCTGAGTGGGCAAGTGTTAGTTAGTTAGTGCAAAGAGCACACACCACAGCTTTTAATCTGCACGACGAGTGATTATTAATGGCCAAAGCAGCGATCGAAACCGATTACGAGATTACACCAGCAGCGAAGCTAAAACGGCAACCTCTTCGTAGAAACTTACCACCCCACATTGGCTTCACAATGCGAATCCAGGAATATCACAACATCTCCAGTAGCTGCCTCTGCGCCGCGAACCCGCGCACTAATTAAGCCCTGTCGCGATTTCGCACGGACAATCTTCACCACATTGGTGTCGAAATTCTCCGCCACATATTTTCTCCAGCTTCCCGCCCAGACCGTCTGCAAAGTACATAAAGCACTGATACCGAGCTAAGGGAAAACGGTTGCTGAAAAAATATTAAATACCTCGATCACTGAAATCGTCCAATAAAACCACTTCCTTCAGTAGATCCGGCGGAGATCGGTTGATCACACTCCACACTGTCCGCAGCAACGGTGTCCATGCTTCGTTATGAAAAATGATCACTACACTGGCTGTCGGAAGTTCAGCGTCGTATTCGATATCTTTACACCTGCAAAAACATTTACCTTTGAAATATTTTACAGTACGCATATTAATATTGGCCACTGTTTACATCAACAAGTTAAAACATTTGGAAAACATTTGGAAAATATGAAAGACACTGCACTCATTAAAACAACCTCTCCCAGTCAAAAAAATTATGGTACCATATGTATTAATGCTGGATACTATAGACTTTGCGATCAATAAGTTTAGCGTTATACTATTTTTGAAGCGAAACTATAACATGTCGATGCTTTTCAACTCATCACTCATTACCTATGTTATACTGGACATTTTCTATCGATCGTTTGCAAAAACGATGGATTTCCTGAAATTCCGCAACCACTGAAATACGGTATATAACTGGAAGCCATTCTGTAATTTCACGTCTACATTTACCTGAAAAAATTACGTATGCGCTATGTGGCCATTGCATGATTTGTAACGCCAGAGGCTAAAAAAGCTTACTTGGGATCGCGAACGTCTGGAACGGTTCGCTGCAGCGAAATCTTATCACTGGCGATAATATTGAAAGCCTCCTTCTTGAACAGCGCATCAGCCTGCTCCTGCTCATCCTTGGTCAGCACAACACCCTGTCCGTTCTCGCCTGGTGCATCACGCTCGACTTTATCCGAACGCACTTGGTAGTCCGCACGACGCTTGCCTCGTTTCTCTCCCACAACGGCCCCTGCAACGGGCGCTCCCTTATCACCCACTGCATTGCGTGCAGGGAAGGAAAACACATCAGTGAAACCAATGAAGCCACATGCCAGAATGAGGATAACGGCCAGCGCCAGTAAACGACCGAGCGTCACGCGTGGATACAGAAGGGTACGACGCAGTCGAGAAACCATTTAAAATGGTCCTCTAGCTGCTGGAGCACACGATTCTCCGTTTCTGGTCGAACAGTCACTGCATCCAGGCAAAATCGGAGTCGGGTAGTTAGCACACGGGATGCTTATGGTGATAAATAAGTTGTGGGAAAATTAAGCCATGCGAAAACCAGGCATTTTATTTTTTTGTGACCACCACACGGACAGCGTAATTATGATCTACGTTGCTGCTTTGCTGGCACAAATTAGGCTGCCACTTGACGACTGTACTTCCATTCCATTCTGCTACTGTAATTGCTTGTCATACAGAGAGTTGCGCAACGGAAAGCGGTGGGATAAAAACGAACTGTATAGTGTACATATACGCTGCAGAAACTAGAACCACCTAAGATTTTTAGATTATCTTTTGACTTCGTTAAATGGAAATTTTGTTTTAAATTGCAGTATTGTAGAGATATGTTGCCAGTGCTTGTAATTGTTTATTATTCGAAAGAGACCGCATTTTGTATGCGCTTGTGCAGTTTGAAATCTACGTTGTTATAAGGCCGGATAAAATATTAACTAGAGTAGACGACACACCATAAAAATACTTAATCATATTGAAACTGTACATTGTACAATCATGTGAAACTGTAAAATTAATACGAGACAATTAAACTAGACGAAGGTACGATTGTATACTACATAAGTTTTATTAACAGTAAGTACTTTTTTCGCGAACCCTGCATCAACATTGTTTCGGCATGTAAATTTTGCACAACTATATATAATATAGAATATAGATATACATGCTGCTGTAAACCATGAAATACGTCTGCAAGCTTTGATTTCATCTAAGCGTAGAACAAAATAAGAATGTATTTAATTTCTGGGTCCAATATCGCTGGATTTAATGACATTTCCGGAACCCATTTTCATCACGGTCAACTCAGGGTCTGCTCCATATCGAACAAGGCCGGAACCCATTGAAACAACGGACAACTGATCCCGAGCGTCGATATTCACATCCCCTGCACCTGCAAATTAGAGTACGATGACCAATTATGATCATGACACCCATAAAACTTGAGGTTTTAACTTCTGACGGCTTGATTGCATACATATTAACTGCATTGCATATTAATTTTTACATGTTAGTGGTGTTGGTGTGTATGGGCCGCTATGGTTAACAAGCAAGATTACAACTACTTGTACTGCACCGTTTTAACTGCATCATATAATTATTTCGACTTTCGAAAGTAAAAGTATTCTCGAGCAGTTTACAATTTTACATAAACTATTTTAGCACATGTTTGTCTATCTACAGCCTACAGACAATCTTCTGCATTCTCGTATCCTTAACATAACGAACTTGCACATTTGAGTACTAATTATTATCTTGTAATTAGTTTTGGATATTTCGAATATTTTATATACAATTGTAACTACAGCTGGTTTCGATTGTAGTGCGAGTACGTATGTACATCATACCATAAATCGCAATCGATGCTTTGTCCGCTACCAGTTTATCAGCGAGCACTTTGCCGGCCCCACTGACAACCATGTTGACGCTCTCGGTTTTCCCCTGCAGATTAATGAAGCCCGATCCACTGAGCACAACATTAAGGTCATGCGAGTCCACCGGCACAGAAACATTCCCTGATCCCGAGCTCACAACGCTAACCGAGGGTGTCTTCAACACCGTATTCAGCCCCGAGGGAACCCGAGCCGCTCAACACATAACTGGACACGGATTTGCCGGTTATGAAGATGTGGATCAATCCGGTAAATGCTCCCACATCCCACTCATACGGCCAAAGGAATTTCACCTTCAACGCCCCGTTCTCTACCGTGGTCGACAGGGCATCGGTTACGTTGGTGTCGTTCAAAGCCGCTTCAATGCGCAGTGATTCCGTGCCGGTCATGTCGACGTCCACGACGAAAGGTCCCGATATTTCGATGCCTTTGAAACCGGATACATCGCGGTTTAACGTGATGTTAGCCCCCGTTGAGCTCCATATTATCACAGTCGTCAGTGCGAATAACAGCATTTTCAGAAAATATCTGTATAACTGCCGATTTCTAATCGATAACTAACAACAACAACAAAACTCTTTGGACACACACATATAAATCATAGAACTAAAATCTGCTCCCACAGGCACGGTAGCTCTGCTGCCTCTGCACCTTTAATTTAAATGTATACTTGGAAATACCAGTGTTCCGTATTCATACTAAAAACACAATGATATCGCTGAATTCTTTCAAGCATGACAAACTGGTGTTATGATTTCTGGAAACTCCGGTGCATAAATTATGATTGTACGACGACTGCTGTATTGCACAACAACACCGCACTTCACAAACCTGTATTTCCTCCGGCACGAACTGGTCGAAGAGTCTAATTATTTAATGCTCCAACCATATCATTATAGATCATTACAGGAAGAAAGGTAAATACGGACTACCTAGCCTTTGACGAGATACAGAATTACAATTACTATTACTATTACAATTATTCTTTGCAAATTATGAAGCACAAAGTATGACAAAATAGGTGTGCTGGGTGCATTACATTAATCGCTATCCTGTATCTGTACTTGAACACGGCATCATACAGAATACAGATCGGAGTATTGGACTATTCTTGCAGAACTCCGAACCAGTTTACTGAAAATTATAAAGAATATTATCAGACTGCGATAAAAACACTTGCATAATTTTTTAATCCCATGTACAAAGCAAATTACCGGCATTTACAGAATACAACCAGACTATACATTTTTACTGTACAATGGCGAAATATCTATACGTTTTATTGAAGAAAATGGTCTTAACACCTTCCGTGCTTGTGCCAACATGCAACAAAATAACCAACTGAAACCAGCAAGAAGTTGTACTTCCACTTTGTAGTATCTTTTGAACCTATAGATACCTGAATATTTATATCTTGATTACTCTTAACTTGTTGGTAAAATTTTCGCATCCTATGTAGATAACTGGCCAGTGGCTACCAAAGCGAGAGGAACATCCTTGTTCTCGCTCTCAGAACACTGGTTTCATTCCCTTTTAATTTCCGACTAACAATTGTAAGTTTTCCATTAACTGTTGCTAAACTAGCAATAAAAACCGAAGCCCATACAAAGCAGCGTCGAGGGACCGTAAATTTTTCTAAATGACTTGCAGTAGGGAGAAAAATTAGTATGCAACACATTCCGATTTAACACCCAATTATGCCGCGTGCAGTAATATAGATATTTTCATACAAGCGCTGCCTTTTATTACTGTACACATAAGTACGTAATTAAATTGTACATAAGTACTTAATTACACAGCAAACAAGCACACATCAGGGATATTATAGATATAATATCTGTTACCGATTAACAGTCACGGACTCACAGATACAGTACTCTCTAAAAATCCAACAGGCATAACAACGATATTATTACAGCACTTTATGTAAAAGTAGAACCATGAGTCATGACTATGTATAACTAGGTATCTTTTCCGTTCCTTGTAAACACTCCCAGAAAACATGGCCAGGGACACACTCACACAGCATACACAAACCGTCAGGGGTGCAGCTTTCACAGAACGGTTCTTTAAATTCCCCTCCAGATCTGCTTCATGCGTGGACCGTCTAAGGTCCGAAGGGTCTAAAATGCACTCCGCCTCCCGTCGGATCCATAGAGCGCGGCTTGGGATCTTCACGCGGCTCAAAGATGCTCTTCTCACCGGTGATGTACTTCCCCAGCCAGCCTTGGGGTTTGGAGAACAAGGTAGTGAAGAAAGACTTCAGAGCGATCCAGTCTGCAGCAGGTTTGTCTTTCAGCTCGCCTGTTTCCGGATCGATCTCCATATTTACGGGCTATACCAACAAAACAATTCATATCAGTTCGACTACGGCTCGTACGGATACATTATGCCACCGAAACTGCATGGCTTTTGTCTACTCGGTAAGCCTAAAACGGCTAAAACTAAAGCATACAAAACTCCGAGCTGCACACTCACAATATATTCCCTTCCACGGCTGAAGAGTGGATGATTTGTCAGAGTGCGATCATCCCATCCATATACATGTTTTGCTACAGCTCCGGCTGCGCAAAACATCACAAACTTCGCCACTGCATCTTGTACCGGGTTCCGCATGGTGAATGATTTCCCACTTTTGACTTCGCCAGGCAAGCAGTTCTTAATGTGGTTCCGCTGTGGATTTTCTCATCTGCTGCCGTACTAAGAAAACCAAGATGCACTACTGAGGCGCCAGTAAAGAGTCCGTCTAATGCATACTCGCATCGAAGGAAAGGATCATAAAGTTGGGAGAACGGTTTCGGATACAAATCGGAACAGAAAACTTATAGTCAATTGACTCAATTCCAGAAAAACTGAGTCCTTAATGGCCTTAAGTTTTTATCGTTAGGATTAGAGTGACAGGCGAGAAATTATTCACAGTCCGTTTTGCGAAAAAGTTAAGCTTTGCAGTTTGCAAATCGTTGAACCCCGAATTCCATCGAGCTCTGTGGAATTCCATTGCTCGGCGCACAAGTGCACACGCATGCACAACACATGGCATGCGCTGCACGAAGCAATAGCCTACGTAAAAAATGGATTTTTTACAGCAAACGAGTGACGCTCAAGTAGGAATTCACAGACGTATTTATCAATCGTGTCACCTTGAAACTCAGATCAGTCCGGGACTTTTTGGGGGCTAATCTGGTATACTGGCAGGAAGATTTTCAAATAGCGAAATCTTACAGCGATGTTTCATCCCTAAAATCGCCAACATTTGAGCAGCCTCGTTGTTTCAGCCGATGTAGGATGTAGAAACCTGCTGGTGTCATCGTGTCGCCAGAAAATCTGTCTGCTTTCTTCTCGTTTCCTTCGGATCCACTCTTGGGATTTCTCTTTGGCGGACCTTTTTACAGAAAAGTTTTTATCGAAATCATTTGACTGTGACGGCGTCCAAATTTGATCAGCTTGGATACGTGTGTCGTTGTCGTTACGTTTTATCCTTGTTAGATTTGTGATTTATTGCGAATTTGATTTTTCCCCTCAAAAATTCAAAATGAATATGAACGCGGGAGGACAGACAATAGCGGATCGTATAAATGCTGCTCGCTTTGGACTGGCGGGGCATATGTTGGCCAAAGCCGTCTGTAAAGCCACAACAGAAGAGCCCATCGGACCCAAAAAGAAACATCTTGATTGTAAGAATTGCAGTTTCCGGTTTTTTAAAATTCTTTTTAATTAGCTAATTATTCAGCAGGCGTAGAATATGGCAGTAAGTGACAGTCGGGCCTGAATTTGAATTGATGTTGAATAATTTTTTATATATGAGAATTAATAGTCGAAGATGCGCGATAAATCTGCGAAACAATAAAGCAGATTTACTAAAAAATTAGATTATGCGTATTTGTATGCAGCCTGTCCATGGTGTTTTTTTATCGTTTGTTAACGAGATTGTTATGCTTCTAGATTTGTTGCACTGTACGGAAGAGCCGAATGTATCCATTCCGCAATTGGCCAACCTATTGTTGGATCGCCTTCAGCATAATAATTGGATTGTCGTCTATAAAGCGCTGGTCTCAATACATCACTTGATGCTTTATGGAAATGAGGTATGTAGTTCAAGATTTTATGTAGGCGACAAAATGTAATTAAAGCAAATAATATACCTGCAAGTTTGATAAAAATATTCTATAGTACATTGTTTTCTTTGGTTAGTAACTGTTTTTGCTGAAGAATAATTGTCGAATGAAACGGAGCATTAATTTGGTATTTATATAATTCCATAAAATCCACCTTAACATATATAATGATAAGATTTTTAAGAAAATTGTGGTTGCTGTATTTCCACTCAGAACATCGTCCCGGAAATATGGTTTGGCTTACTACGTAATTTTGATGTTAACTACGTAATCGGTAACAGCTTCCTGAAACATTAGCAGATGTAGGCGATGTAATCTGTTATTCGAAATGTCTGCGTTGCTCATCGTGGGACGCGGAATTGTTATTCGATTTATCCTTATCACCCCCGTTTTTCATGTCTTATTTAGACAATTCTGGCACAGGGCGAAATTAATAAGCAGCATTATTGTCTTGTATTGCAGAGATTCATTCAGTATTTGGCATCGGCTAACACATCCTTCTCGCTGAATTCCTTTCTGGATAACAAGAGCGGCGTTCAAGGTCAGGGTTCATTTGTCGCGAGTCTTATCAGCCATTATCACACTGTCATTTTCTCTCTCTTGGCCAGGATATGATATGTCCACATACATTCGACGCTACTCGAAATACCTCAATCAGAAGGCACTTTCCTACCGTACGGTGGCCTTTGATTTCTGCAAAGTTAAACGCGGGTAAGGCTGAGGAAAAGAGGCGTGAAAACCATGTTAAAACGGTTGATTTTTCAATTAACGTATTGAATGTAAATGGGTAGAGGAGGCGCCATTTGATAACCAGGTGTAACCGACAGATTATGCTGCTGATCGCTCTTCAGTTATTTTTAGTGCGGTGTAGCGGATTTACGCAATCATGCCGATAAGAGGCGGTGTTGTATTATGTACAGCGAGATTTCCCGACTGATCCTGTTTATCTAGTAGAAGGGGCGTTAGTTTTGCATTGACATGGCTAATGCATAGGAATTTTTCGCGTTCGGTGGTTCGGGGTTGTGTGTTCAGATGGTGCAGAAGTGTTAGCCAGCATTCCCCTTTTTTTGTCAATCGATTCGTCCTGTGCTGTAAAAGCAGGATGCGGTGCGGAAAAAAGGGAGAGGTCGCATGTGCTGCGGGATCGATAAATCGATTTTAAAATGTTGAGTAATAACAAGGTTGAGCCCAATCACCAGCGATGTGATTGCGTAGTTACGTTTGAAGAGTCGTTTTCATGATGAATGGATGCGGCTTAATAAGCAATAAAAACATGAATGCTTGTGGGGTTTTAACGACAAATATCCACATTAATTCAAGCTTTCTCCAAAACAGAATATAGGGTATGGTTTAATTATGTACTTCTGCCTGTTTTTACCTCATTAAGCCTTAGCAAGCGTGAGATTTTGGTTAATTGAAATTAGTTGGCTTAAATGACCGGTTGGGATAGGCTAACAACAACAACTGCTTATGCTACTTAATTTTGTTACAGAAAAGATGACGGTGTGCTGCGGAAAATGTCAGCGGAAAAGCTGCTGAAAACGTTACCCATCATCCAGGATCAGATGGATGCTCTCCTGGAATTCGATGTAAAGCATGTTAACTGAAGACAATTTTCTATAAAGATTTCGTGGTTGATGTTTAAGGAATTTTTGTAACTTCTCTTTTGATTGCAGTGTTCTCCAAATGAACTGACCAATGCCGTGATCAGCAGTTGCTTTGTGCTTCTTTTCCGCGATTTGATCCGATTATTTGCATGCTACAACGATGGTATTATCAACATGTTAGGTAAATAGACTACTAAATACTTGCAAGTGGCTTTATTTGCGTATCTCTTGTTTAAAGTAATATATGTTTTTGTTTATAGAGAAGTACTTCGACATGAACAAGAAGCAGTGCAGGGATGCTCTGGATATTTATAAGAAATTTCTGGTTCGTATGGACAAAGTGGCCGGCTTTTTAAAAGTCGCAGAAAATGTTGGCATTCCAAAAGGCGAAATACCGGATTTGACTAAGGTATCTTTTACACAAATACTCGTACTTAAATTTTGCTTTTGCTTAATTGTATGGAAATTTTGTGAACGCTTCTATTGCTTCTTGGAGCTTTTGAATTTGAAAATTCTGACATTAGTATTATTATTGAACAGGCTCCAGCTAGTTTACTGGATGCACTGGAGCAGCATTTGGAGAATTTGGAAGGCGGCAAGAAGCCCGTGACTCCTCCGGGTGGAGGCGTGCCAGGGTAAATTGGTTCTAATACATTGTTTATTTTTTAAGCCATTTGCTTACTGTTGTGAGTTGTAGATCGGGCAGTATTCATACCGGTTTGATGTCATTATCGGCTACGGAACATTCCTTGAATGAAGTTGATCAGAATGAACGTCAGCGAGCCATTTTGGAAGAGCAGCAAGCTATGGAAGAAATCAGGGTAATAATTGTTTACATCTCAAAATTGTAAATTTCAAAAAAGTTAAATTACGTTCATTGACGTGACCGTTGCGCTTAGGTATGGCAATAATGGTTAAAAGGAGCTGAACGATCTAAATCGAGTGTATCGCGCTCGCATTTATTTATACATGGCTTTCTTTTGGAAAATTCAAAACTTCGGCTGAGTTCGGCATCTTCCGTGAAATTTGATTAACCTTTTCTGTAACGCGGCGTCGGTACTCCTACAGCTTATTACTTACTTATTAGTAATTGTTAGTTGATTGAAGTGAGAAAGGGAGCGCTGTCTGTGATATTCGATCGTAAGTTACCGGTAGCGCATGCTTCCGGTGTGTTTGGTGATGGAAGGCGGTTTAGGGCAGCGATAGCATCCGTTTTCCGATAGAGACTGTCTCTTTGACGGGGCAATTGTACAATTGTAGTGGAATTAATCAACGTTATCGCGTGACTCCGCTGTTTAGCTTAAAATAATACACGCTTCACAATGTAATCGCATGTAAGGCAGAAGGTAGGCAGCTTGATTGGCTGCAGCCGGAGCAACCAGTTCGAGTTCGTCAGAACAGCCACAAGTGCTGGAATACTCTTATTACTGTTAGCCTTTCCGACGGAAATCTAGGCCGACAACACTGTTTGCTTGTTCGATGTGCAGCGGCTGTTTAGGTTTACATGTGTGGATTGTTGTGATTTATTAATTTTGCTCTTCTATTGAACTGTCAGATTTTATAGGAGGTGAAAGTATGTTGTTGGCTTTTGTGTCGTGATTATTGGGTAGCTGGGAAAGGAACGCGCACGCGTGCCTGTGTAGAGGCGTATTCATTTTAATCAAGTGGTTGTTTGTACATCTGTGATATTTATGGCGTCTGTGGATATTCCTAAATTACCTCCTCCTGCCCCAAGGGTATGTCCGTATTTTTCCGTTTCGTTTTATTGGAGACAGCGTTTTTGAGTGGCAGTTTGATACTAACAAGCTTTAGTATACTAACACCGCTGTCTTCCTCTCGAAGTTAAATTAAGGCGCTGTTCTCCACTTCTCATTAACAGATGAGGGTATACCGACAATTTTTGAGATTTATTGTGTATGATCCATTGTATGCGCCTATGTCATGCAACAGCAGATGCAATGCAGATTTGCAGTAGCATACTGATGTAAACAATTGGTATCTGTTTGTCAACCTAGATTCTGAGAGGACCGCAGTTTTCAGGAAGATTATGTTCGAATGCAAGATGCTTTGAGTAATAGTCGTTAATAAGCAGGTGATTTGAGCGCGATGTGACCGGTTCTCTGTAGCTGTTCTGATAATGAACGCGATCGATATGTTGTTAAAGTAAGGTGTTATGTTTTGAAAGGATGGTATACAATAACAGGTGTTCTCTTTCGGATGATGACGCAAATCTCGGTTAACTGCAATTCGGATGCGGAGTGCGGCACATGACTCATCACGCAATTGTCTTTATAGAAAAAGCGCGAACAGCAAGCCCAGCAATTGGGCAATGCCAGTGCAGGTGTCAGCGGAACGCCTGTCAGTTTACCAAAAGCACCTTCCGGTCCCGGATCCCCATCGAATGGCGTCGTACCGCCGGCCGCAGCCCCATCCCAACCGGCTGCTGCATCCAAAAGTGATCTTTTTGACCTGCTGGATTTAGACATGAGCGCTGGTGGCGCTCCGAATGCCGCTTCGACGACTACGCAGCCAAATTACGGTGCGCTCTCGGACTTTGTCATGTCCGCCTCGTACGGCGTGCAGCCCAATATGGCGGCCCAGAATAATATGGCATTCGGTGGACCGGCGCGTCCACCACAGGGATTCTTTCCCGCTCAGGGGATGGCACCAGCCGGAGGGAGTAATCCCTTCGCCAGTCCCACCCAGGCCTACCCGCCACCGGGTATGGGACAAATGCAGTCGCCGATGGGAGCCAATCCCTTCGCGATGTCGGCCAATGGCTACCAAAGTGCGCCAGGAATGGCGGGAGGAGGCATGGGCTACGGGACGCCCGGAAAGATGCCGGTATCGTCACCCATGGGGCAGCCCCAGGCGCCGGGTGGAGGCGGTTTTGATGCGGATTTCTCGGTGTTTGGCGGAGGACAAGCGGCAGCAGCTGCCAATAATCCCTTCGGTAGTTTTTAATTTTTCTTCAATGCTCTTGCACAGAATATTTCTGATTACCCGGCTATGCATTTGCAGCGTCGACACCTACCAAGCCGACCGCGGCTGCTGGTCCTGGCCAGTCCAAGCTGATTCAATCCAATGTAGATACGAGCTTAGCAAATTTGGCAGCCAATCTTAATCTGGGCTCCTTGGGAGCCTATGGAGTGAGACCGTCGTCGGTAACCGGCACACCACAGCAAGCGCAACAGGGACAGGCTCCATTTGGGGGTGCGCAGCGGATGCCTATGGCACAGTCCACTATGAGCCCGGTGGTAAGTGTTGTATGCCACTGTACATCGTCTTACAATTTTTTGTTTTGTTACAGTAATGAATTGAGAATATTCATAATTATTTTTTTGTAATTAATCATACGGTTCTTGCTTTCTGATAGCTTATCTGAATGCGATTTGTTATACTTCCAGCGAGCCATAGTAATGATGGAATGTTTGAAAAATTCTTTTGTTGATTATGTTAATTTATTTTTAACGAGAGATGAGTTACTCTGAGGTTCGCGTGCGGTTTGCGTTATGCTTTATGCGCACATACTGTTTAGGCTAATGGAATTTGTGCGTTCACAGAATTCAGGAGTATTCGGTGGACAGATGCCTGCGCAGCAGCAGCAACAGCAATACGGCGGCAATGTGAACAGCGGCGCTACTCCGTGGAACAATCCCTTCATGTCACCCACTCAACCCAGTCCCACACGGCAACCTGCGGCAGCTGCGTCGGATGATCCCTTTGCTTCCCTCATCTAAGAGGCACAGAGAGAACTAATACAGAGAAATACACCTTCAGTTTCCTTGCTTGTCGTCTCGCTCCCGCTCCTCCAAAACCCCAGCGTCGATTCTTGTGTTTTGACTGTTGTTTAATTTAATTCGCTTACTAATTCAGTGAGAATGACAAAGTCTGTTTATTTATTTTAACGTGCACTTGGTTGTGTTTTTTTGATTTCCTGTTCGTTGTGGAGACTGCGGATTAATGACATTATAACGCCCGTCAATGCTGTTGTGCATGTCTACAGGCGAAATTTGATTGTGGAAGACATTTCCGGTAGCGTGGTGCACTTGTAAATTCCATTTTTCTGTCTTTGTGTGGAAATAACATGAATAAATTGTTCGTCATCATTGGATTAATTGTGTTCCTGTGGGTGTTATACTTACACAGTGACCAAAACTACAACCTTTTGTGTACTCTGTTCAAAAGATACGTGTTACTTCGAAAAAAAATCTTCTACTTTAAGTTTCACCTTGTAACAAATAATAAGAAGTTAACCGGAAAGGTAAAAATAATTATCGTTGCACTGTTTTTTTTATATCGGAGCAATCGATATAGGAATAACTACCCAATCGGCGGTAATTCTGCAACCACTAAATTCGCACTTGTAAAACGGGTGGCTAAAGTAAGTAAGCAAGTAAAGTTACAAAATTCCTAAATCCTGATAAATGTGCAATGTCGCTGTTGCATGCCCAGAAGACGAGTTCGAAACTTCTCGAATAGCGTAACATTTTACTAACTGCTTTAGTTTACAAAAGTTTCGGAAATCTTTAAACAACAAAACAGAATACCGTATGTATTCTGCAAAAAACAGACAAAGATCTGTCGTAAAAACAAATAGAAAGCGAATGTAAATCGAACTGGCTATTTGGCAAAACAACATCAAATAAGCAATTATTTATCCTTCTTTGTCTCCTTTTCCGCTTTCCCATCGTCTTTAGTTTTGGCCAGCAAATTCTGTTTGGCTGTTTCCGCCTCCTCTTCTGCAAAAGACTGCCCGAATTCATTAGCTCGCGATTTATCCACCGGATACATCCACCACTGGGCCAAGTAGAACACAAAAATAATATCATCCCGAAAGCATGCCAGTCGGTGAGCCAGCGGCATCTTCACAATGAAGGCAAACAGATCATCGATGAACGTATTGAGAGCTTTGTATGAGAAGACTTTCCAGGGTAAATGAGCAACGGATTTCAGTCGATAATTAAGATACAACTGTGGAATCATAAAAAGGAAGCCAAATGCATATACGCCGTTGACGGCACTCTGAATGGTCCAGGAATACCAAGATTTGTGCGGGACATAGTATAACGAATAAATGGCACCTCCAATACACAATGGCAACAACAGATACGACAGTTTCTTCACAAAAACGGCATCGATGTCATCGCATGATCGCTCAGCCGCTGTTGCCGATCGGAATACCATGCGAATTCTCCAACCGTTCCGTTCAAAACCTACAAAACTTCATGGTAAAACGCGTACTGTACACTTTGCAAACACAGGCATACACATAAACTAAACAAGTACACAGTTTCTGCAGCAAATAAAACTTCAGAGTCCTAATTAGGATTAGCTTTGAAGCTTAAATTTTGTAAGCAGAAATTGCAATATTTCTAACACTGTTTGTTTTATAGCAAATATGCAGTAAAATAATACCTGAAAAAATGTTTCCACTTAAAAGACATGAATTAGCATGGTTATTCGGTTTTACTTAAAAAAAGTACTGTAAGCAGTTGCTTGGCTGTAGTATTTCTTACCTGCAAATTTCCATAGTTTCAACACTTTCCACATTTCAATAAAACACGCCACCCCCGCCGGAATACTAATCAACAAGGAAGACTTCTCCTCTAATAAATACAGAAAGACAATAATCTGACTAAATGCTCGCCAGAGGATCGTTCGACCGGACATTCCCACAACCGTATCCCGCTTGCGCCAAAAGTTGATATCATTTTTGAATGCTAAAAAGTCAAAAACCAGATGCAGCACCGTGACGGCAATCGTGAAAGCCAAAATGTAGAAATTCGTCTCGGTAAAAATGGCAATAACATCCTCCAGATCGGATTCCTGCAGCCCGAACGATTTCAAATGCTCCAACGAGCCGGCGATCATGGTGATGATGCGAATTTTCCCCACAGAAATCGGATTATACTCCACGGTCAGATTGGCCGCTGCACTGCGCACCGGAATAAATTCATCTTTTTTCGCACTCAAAGTGTCCAAATACAAAATCGGAAGATATCGGAGCATATTGTTCTCCGATTTGATTTTCATGTGGGGATAAATTTCCGGTGGTAGAGACATTCGATCAAAGGATATCGGTGTGTCCATCACACTCCAGCGTAGCTTAGAATGCCAATGTAAGATTTTTTCGCTAGACCTGCAAGAAAATGCCATCTGCACTACTGGAATCACTAAATTTAAGAGTCCAAAACCTGTAAAACCTTAGATAAATAATAACACTGAAGTATTACTGTATTATAAGCGATTTTCGCAAAATTCTGAAAATGTTACTCACAAAATACACAGATTTTCGCACAATTTTATGCCACCGATCCGCGAAATGCAAATAATTCGGCATTCAAATATAAAATTCAACTCTGAAAAATAGTTCGTTCCTGTAACCCGTATACTATTAATAATCACTGCGATTTACGGAATTTTTTAACCCGGCCGATTAAAAAGCAGAGAAGTGAGAATACCTTTCTGAGAAAAGCTCTTCATCGCTCTGCAGTTCACTACAGCAAAATTTCACCAACAACTCAAACTGAGACATACTTTTTCTGCGCGGTATCGTTGACAGCTTTCTCTTGCGCCGAATCATCCACGTCTCCCTGAATGAGATTCATCGCGGTTCGTTCTTCTGCCATCATCTTCGTCATGCTCACTTTCTGATACACAATCTCTGGCATATCGGTTCGCAGTGTGTCGATGTCTTTCAGCTTCCCCTTTTGAACAGGCAGTACTAGCACGTGCATATGCAGACCAACAAAACTAGGAGAGCCCTTGGATTTAACGGACGGCAAAAGACTGCCCAGTTCAATGGGAATCGTCTCTTCCCATGCTGCACTGCACGGCAGCAGACGATGGGCAATGCGCACATGGCTCGGTGGTGTTTTGGCTAGAGCGGTCTTGTCCGGCGGAGACGAAGACCGACTCAGATAGGCCTCGAACAACAGATCAATGGCATCGCATGGATACTTGGGAGTGATGCAGTCACTGGCTGATTTGGTCGATGTGCACCATGGAGGGAAATAGATGTTGTAGAACGTATAAATGGTATGGCTAACGTAGGCCACTCCGATTACCGTCAATATGGAGCCCAGGGAAAAAATACTAGGCATGTTAATAAACGCTTTGACTGTTACGAAGCTCACTACAAATTAAAAGCTTAAAGATGTTTGTGGCCGTAAGATAACAGGAAAAGGATTTCGAAAGTCACGACTTCAAACTTTTTGACGTGGTCGGTTTCGAATTCGAAGTGCATGTTGTACGACAACCGTATTAACTGTGTACTGACTGTGCGCTTCGTCAACCTGTTTATAATGATATTTTAAGTAAGGATTAATAAAAATCATACGACGTACGATTCATTGCTATACTGACCATAACAGTATCTCGATAATGATTCGCTAATTGCGAAGCTTAACACAATCATACCGGGGATAAGACAAAAGTTCTCAAAAATATTCAGTAGCAAACAGCCCAGTAAGTATCAAAACCACAAAAAACCTTTCGCAGCAGTCACTGAGCAGTGTGATCATTTTCAACCGGTCGACGCGTCCTAATAATTTTTATATTTATCCGGCCTTTAATTGAGCTGCATCAGCTGCGTTTTTTTGCTTGACATACAATAACCTCAACAATATCGGAAATGCACTCTTCCAGCCGTCCGCTCCACTGGATCTGTATTAGCGGCGTCCCCGACGTTCCTCTGCGCTTCCTACAGGAAGTCTTAAAGGCGAGCGGGAACATCGGAGGAGGAGAAAAGGGCAAACAGAGTTTCATCTGGCTGGACAACCAGACAACGCGGAAGGCCCTACTGTATGTCAACGGCCAGACGGCGCGGAAATTGATGAATCTCGGTCCATTGTTTTTGTTGGGATCAGACATGCATTTTCGCGACGCCGATGAAGACGACTTCCCGGAAGACCGAAAGGAAGATTTCTTAAACTGATTTGTTTAAGCTTTGTTGAGTGGTCAAGCTCATATCCTTATAACCGTGTTACACTTGCGAAACTATACTAACTGCCATTTTATCTCGATTCGTTCCCGGTGTCAAGGTGTAACCTGTTGGCCAATGGCCATTGTGTAGTTGAACAGTCTAAACGCCTGTCATTTAATTGTTCCGTTCGATGTTTGAGTTGAATTGTATGTCTAATAAATCCGAATCGTTTCCAAGTGGTCAGTCATGCCATATTGCACGGAGCTGCCTGTCAGCTGTAGGGTCATGCATCCGCCGAACGGAAGTCATTAATAAATGCGTACGCATTATAAAATTATTTTCGTGCGCAACACGTATGTCTTACGATACGTGCATGAATGGAACTAAATCTTTTGAATTATCTTTTGACTCTTCCCACTATAACTGTACATACTGTACTCTACACTTCATTCACAGCAAACCACAATCGTGCATGCATAGTCTGAAAAAGCTCATTATTCTTTAAGCTACTTAACTTACTCTAGATCTTTTTCCGCTACTGATCAATCAAGAATTACATGATGCTAACATTATTGTTATAAGGGAAAAATAACTGTGAACTCATTATAAATTATTATCATTGAGTTACAGCACTTCGGCTATTTAGTCGTTCTAAAATCTGCTATCTGCTTTGGTTTCAGTTTGTCTTTCTTCTGGTATAAACGTAATTACTGATGTGGGGTTTTTCTCCTACGTGCGCAATGATTCTTCATGGGGTAAGTTAATAACTTATTCCAGGTACAATTCATCGCAGTGTCAGTGCTGCATTAAGAATTACGATGGCCACAAGTAGAAAATTGAAAAAATTCATGGCGTTCGCAGTATTCGCGAGGACGATGAGCTCTTGCTGGATCTGGGGATCCCATCGTCTTCCGCATCAGTACCACCTCTCTCCGTCCCAGTGAATCCCTTTCCCCGAAACCGAGCTCACTCGAATCCGTCCGATAGAAGCCGAATTGAGATGCTGCCCGTGATCGATCGTGGCTCGCGAGAGGATTTGCGGGATATTGGCCCTCTGGATGACATCGAGGGGCAGGATCAGGAAGATGACGATGTCCGCCTGAATCAACTCCAGGTGCGTTAAACATTTTCTAAGATTTACCGTGCGTCGTATTTTGTGAATTGTGAAGAAATATTGTTGTGCGTACGGTGATGCTTTTGGGCGCTGATTAATAAGGCGTGTTTCTGTTTATCTTGCTGACTCATTGCTCCATATTGACTAGATAATTTTTTTACTGATGCGTGCAGCGTGTACTTTTGGGTTTTCACCATTTAGCATTTTTCATGCAGTTGCCACAGGAGCTGGCACGTCGGCGTCGCAGATCGTCGGCCACTTCACGGCACCTTCACCTGGTGCGGAACAACAGTCCCGCTGGCTTCCCGGCGGAAACAGTCAGCAGCCCGCGGCGGGAACTGCAGGACGTCCGAGAATCACAGAACGATGTATTCTTCGGCCCATCGGGAACAGATGCACGCAGCAGTTTACCGTACGTTTCCGAGCAGTGCTGCACGGCGGAAGCGGATCGGATGAAATGGCGGATTCGCTTCTTTTTCATGGATCCCATCCAGAAATGGAAGACCAAGCATCAGTTCCCGTGGAAATTGTTCCTTCAAGTGGTTAAAATAATTTTCGTTACTATCCAGGTAAAAATGGATTATTTGTTGAATTTGGATACAGATATTCCGCATTTTTTGCTTGGGATATTATGTGTGTTAAGCTGCAGTCTCTTTTTAGCTGGTGACGTTTGGCAATGAACGGTACCGCTTTGCCACATTCCTGAAACAGAACACAGTGTCATTTCGGCATCTGCTCCTGGAGAACTGGAACGATCCTGACATTCCTCCGGCGGTGTATCCGAATGTGGTGTACGCTGTTTATTTGCGTGAAGAGTTCTACAGCCGCATTGATTATGCTGTGAATAATCTGATTGATATTCGGGATATTGCGGTGGGGAGTTATTCCTACACGGCGGTCAATGATACGGCATTATTTCAGTTTTGTAAACGGGAATTCATGCAGGCGCATGTGTTTCCCGAGAATCATTCGTATATTTACGATTCTGGGATACGGGAATCATGCCTGTGGATTGATTTGATGCCCTTCCAGAATGTTACTTTCAGCGTGAGGAATTATTTGGATGAGCATAATGCCAGTATTGAATTTGATAAATTAGTGGATGCACGATTGTTGCTGAATGTTAAATCCGTAGCACTCAAGCCGAATGACCCGGATGATGATCCAGCCTGTTACATTTTTGACGTTAACGTAAGTTTATGGTGACCACTAAACCGCAATTTTTATTGTTTAACTTCTTCCTGTGAGTGAGAAACGTGAGGCTTTTTCCTTTTTGTAAGTTGATATCGCGGTTATACTTTGCACATTTTTCGGCCTAGTGAAATTATTGAATAATATTATTATAGATACAATTATAGGCCAGCTATCAAACTTCGATAATTTTAACTGATACTGTAGTCTGAGGTTTCTGACTGATGATGGTTGTTTTTTGTTGATCGTATCGTAGTGCCTGATATGCAGCTTTGCATTGCAGATTAAACTGGATAATACAGGGCACAATGGTCAGATACCGGTATCACTGGACATTGATCCTCACGTTGTTCCATGCAACGGCAAGATCCTCTACGATGACGGAGAGAGTGTTATGGATATCTTGGTGCAGGTTTTGGATTTCAGCGTTTTGTTTATCTGTATGGTTTCCTTTGTTCTTTGTGTTCGTGCCTTGTGGAATGCGGAAAAGTTAAAAGCTTCTGTTATCGAATTTTTTCTGGAAAAATTTAATTACAGGTACAATATGACTTTCTAGATGACCTTATGTATTACGTTTGCTTGTTGTACAAATCGCCTGTTATATTGTTTCTGTTGCAGATTGACGAACGATGAAAGAATGGATTTTTTGAATCTGTGGTATGTCATGATTGTGATCAACGATGTGTTAATTCTGGTGGGGACGGGTGTAAAAATTACCATTAATAATCGATCGGTTGTGGAGTTACCTTTGTATAACACTTGTGGAATGATGTTGGGTGTCGGAAATTTGTTGGTTTGGTTCGGCATCTTGCGCTATCTGGGATTCTTCCGGACATACAATATTTTAATATTGACGTTCAAGCGAGCCATTCCCAACGTTCTACGCTATCTTGTATGCATTTTGCTGATCTTTTTTGGGTTTGCCTTCTGTGGGTGGATCGTACTCGGCCCGTATCACGTTAAATTTCAGGTTGGTCTTTGATAAACTTACTTTAAACCAAAGTGGCAAATTATTTGTCTATTTTAAGCAAAAAATTTTGTATGTAATTATGCCGTTTTAATTATGCAGATTTTTCTTTCTTAATTGTTTCACCGTTTATGGTTTTTGTAGACGTTTCATTCGACGATGGAGACAATCTTCAGTTTGATCAACGGAGACGACATGTTCGCTACCTTCGCCATTCTGGCTTATCAGAATTCATTGATCTGGTATTTTAGCCGGGTTTATTTTTACTTCTTCATCTGCATCTTCACGTACGTGATCCTGTCGCTGATGATTTCTCTGATCATGGATGCTTATGGAACGGTGAAAGATTATTATGAACAAGGCGGTCCAGCATCTCGCCTGATGGAGTTTGCAGCGGAAGCCCCGTCCGCGCATCCTACTTCTTGTCCTCGGCATCCGGCCTTTACCGTGCCGCAGTCTCCGCGGAAGGGGCTGCGCGGTCGACTGACCAAGATCACGGAATGGCTGAGGCGCTCTCGCGGTATGGGATCACGCAGTTCATCTGATAGCTGGATACCTCATCAGCGCATGGAAGAAGGCTGATAAATTGTACGCCACATGTGGATACCTCGTTAATCCTATTGTCGACCCTTGACATTTTTATGTACTTTTTAATTAATTTTTGTTGATCTTAAAGAGGTGATTTATTTCTTGTTTCGGTTAACCTTTTTGGTGTTTACCGCCTACCGTTTCGGTTAACCTTTTTGGTGTTTACCGCCTACCGGTACTAAGTTTGCCTTAGCCTGTTCTGATTGCTCAGTTGTGCGGTGCAAAACCAAATACTAAGGGATTTTTGAGAGCGTGTATAGTATCATGATTTTCTACCTACTACTTCCTCGCGCTAGCATTCACAAATTCGGAATCGAGGAATCTTTTAGTGCAGACATCATTGTCGAATTACTTGTATTGAAAAAATAGGAACACACGCCACGTCTTCCTACAGAAAGTGAAACTGTTCAGAGTAATTAACCAATCACTTCGTTTTACCTAAAAGTAAAATTCATAAAATTAATAAAAATCATAAAATAACACGGAAAAGTGATAAACCATAATACAGCAGATATAGTTGAAAATTGACTTGCGCAGGCTTTCCGCATATGAATTGGCTACAGTATTCTGAATTTTTGAGATTTATCAGTTTCAAAATCTGCAGAAATTTGTTGGCTTTTAGGTTGGCGGTTCGTCAGTTTTCCCCGAACATGGATCACGACGGTATACAATGTTGGCAGGTGTCATAATCTAAGTAACCCTTCGGAAAATGCGGATTTTTTTAGAAGGCTCTAACGAGGCTGAACGTGAAATGGACGATATATCCGCACCGTCGCCGTATCCCTACGTAGCTGCCAGGCGCACTCGCAAGGTAGAAAGCGGATTATAATAGCAATTTTTGCGAGCGCTCGTACTTACATAATCGGATAGCCTGCTTCGCATCTTTCTTTAGAATGTCGGCGGTTTTTGGGAAGTTGTAATCGGAAACATTACTTTAAAGTTGGGTCATGTTTTAAGCGTTTTGATATAATTTTTTTTTAAATTTTGGTAATTTTCGTTGTGATTCAGAAAAACTCTGTTAATAAAATTCAGTGGTTTATTTAAGAAGTATCTCTTCCGCCGTAATGTTAAAACGCATTGCAGTAATTTATTTTGCAGTCCCATCATGAACCTGTTCACTCGAACACCGTCACCACACTCGAACCGGCAGTAACCATTGTCCGCGGCGAGGCCGACGGAACCACTACATATTACAAAATCATTTCCACCACCACACCGGGCGCTTCCGCTTTGGCTGGCCATAGTGAAACAGCCGGTGGGGAGTCTATGCTGGGAAAAGTGCAGGTTTGTCACGATAGAAAAAATCACTGGAAACCGTTCCTGTAGCATATGCTTTTGCAGTTAATAAACGGCTCGTTGCACTTTCCCAACGGCACCGTGGTGGTTCCCTCTACGCAGCCGGGAGAAATCTTGAACAACTCGGATTTTGGAAATATGGCCAATGCCAACCTGCTTTCGACGCAGCCGACTATGGTTTCCGTTAGCATTCCTGGAGGTAAGAATAGTAACCTTTCGCTTATTAAGTTAATCATGTGAGCGTGTAGTACAATGTATGCTGTATGCATTCTGTATGCATTGTATGTTGTATGCTGTATGCATTCATGACCTGTGTGTAGGTGCTGGTGCCGGTCGCTACCGGTCAATTACCATTCCCGACTTGAACAGTAAACAGCGCAAATCACCGGCATTACCATCTAGGGACGAACGCCGTCGCCAAACACACAACGAAGGTATGAAATTATCAGCAATAAACACTGTAATTGTAAAATGTGTTCACATTAAGTCCTTTCTTTGCAGTGGAGAGGCGTCGTCGGGATAAAATCAACCAGTGGATATCGAAACTGCAGGCGATTGTGCCGAACGCTGCTGGAGATAATAGTAAACATTCTCAGGTGCGAACCAGTGACCTGCTTTTGCATATATTTTTGTATACATTTTAAATTCCACGTTTTCTCCTGTTTTATCTAATTATTATTTATCACCTGGTTATTCTGGATTTAAAGTTTTCACAGTGACCTCATTGTCCGGTAAATTCTAATTCAGATATGACACTTCTGTCTGGATTTCCGGTGGGGTAAAAGAAAATAGCGAGTTTTATGGCTGTGTATGTTTCTGACGACAATACAGTTTCGTACGCTCGTGACAGATTTTGTTGGGCTGTTTGTGAATTCTCAGCAGATTAATGATTTTTTCTTGAATTAATTTGATCATGTCTACTCTGTGCAGAGCAAAGGTGTCGTGCTTTCCAAAGCGGTGGATTATATTTCCCTTCTCCATGAACAGCTGGCGCAGATGCGTTCCGCCAAGGATAACTCGCAGAAACTCCATCTCCTGGCAATTGAGAACGAGGTGTACAAAAAGCAGGCGGATGTCCTGAAGAACTACATTCACGAGAAAGGCTTGGAACTGCCTCCCAATATGCCGACAGCGGCACTCAACGCCCTGCAGGAACTGCAACAGGGCACGGCGATCCTCATTGCGCAACAGACTCGCCCGCCCAGCAAGTGATTGACAGAATTCTCGCACTTTCTTTGTACCGATGTGTTTTCGTACGGTTTTTCAATTTTCCTCGCAACACTGAATGCGTAGCGGCGGTTGCGGTTTTTATAGAGTATTCCAATATGGGCTCCCGATTGAAATGTATGTTGCTTGTTAATATGGCGCTATTTATTGCTGATCGGAAGTGGCCAGTGGTGGAATTAGCTTTTTTGGCTAGCTTGCGTGTATCTCAAACTCGGTCGCATGAGTGGGTGATCTTTGTTTTATCGTTTAATGGATGTTATCGTTTCATTTTGTTAGTTTCTTTCGCACAAGGGAGTATAAACCACTCAGAATCAAATAAAGTCGTGATTCCGCAGCTCTTTTGGTTGTTTGTAGTTTATGGCAGTTTGCGAATGGTCAGTCATCGGTTTTCGTTTGTTGCGCGTTGTTTATATGGCGCGGTACATATCTGTACAGTGTACACCGAAAAGATTCCTTAACACTTAACAGTGCTATCGACTTCCAAATCATTCGTATGGAACTTACGTTTTTCCTAACCACCCTTGGCTGAAACCGGAAAATTATTTAACAAATTAGATTAAATTATTAAGTTCTGCAACTTCTAAAACCAGCTTTCTGCCCGTTTTTGGTGTCCACTGGCCATTTTAACTAAGTAAGTACGAACAGGTGAGTGCTTAATCAGTGTTGTAGTGAAGTGGCCGTAGTCTCTGATGCTAAGCCTGTACTACTTGCGCTAAATCCGATTTTTTTGCGTTATGTTGTTCTCTGCGACTGATCCATCCATGCTTGCGTTAGGATTCGCATTTATTTCGTTTGGTTCCGAAACGAAACTTGCGAGATCGCGGAGTAGTAATCGGGAATTTTATCCAGTTGTTTGGAATTTTCCCATCCCATGCACACCGTCACATCATTGGCGCACTTTGGACCGGGCCAGAAGGCTGTTTGATGCTGCATTCCCTGATCAGCTGCTATCACGTGAGACCCCTGCATCTCTCGCCCCCCTTGTCCGCTGGACGTTCCCATCTCCTTTGAGGCGGTAGTTTACCCGGAATTCAGCACCACAGTTGTGATACAGAATGTCTGAGTACTGGCTGATATCCGTGCCTGGTGAGCCCACGGCCCAACAGGCCTTCGACAATCTGAACAATGCCACGAGCAAGACAAACAATCTCTCGGCCAACTACAAGTTCCATGTTCCAGATCTGAAGGTAAACCGTGTTTCTGAGGAATTCTAATTAATGTTTTACCTGCGCAAACGATCGCTTGATGGGTTGAGTGACGTTACAATCGCTGCGCACGATACTGAAACTGTTAGAAGCAGTCGTTCAGCTTGAATGTTGGAATCCTCACTTGTGCTAACGTATAGCTAGTTGGCTTGTCTGGTGGTCATGTACGAAAAGTTGTGCGTTTCATGTGGCGAAAGCTATTGGAGGATATTGGCGACGCTCAGACTCTGTTGCTTATACATGTTTGATGTTCGTATATAGGTGGGCACTTTGGATCAGCTGGTGGGATTATCCGACGATCTGCTCAAATTGGACACCACAACAGAAGGGTAGGTGTTGTCGAATTTCGCCTCGACTCGACCAGTGTTTCAGCATTCCGTTCTTTGCGTTACAGGATCGTCAGAAAGTTAGCTGCATATCTGGGCGATGTCCTAGAGGACAAGAAGGAGAAGCTAATGGAGAATTTGCAGGCCAACGGAGGTGCGGGAATCATTCTTTGCTCATATGTAATCGTTGCTGCATTTTGGCAGAACTTCTGAGAACGGGACATGTCTGTTGTTGCAGTGGATATCAACACCTACTTAACAAAATTCCAGTGGGATATGGCCAAATATCCCGTAAAGCAGTCGTTGCGAGGAATTGCCGATATCATATCCAAAGTAAGCTTTTTTTTAGAAATAAAATCTCTATCGCGGTAAAATCTTTTCCAGTCTTTGTGAAATTCATTATACTTACGTTCGAAATTCGTTCTTCACTGTTGAATTTGTTGAAGCTTTTTTTGTTATACGCGGTATTGTGATGTAAGATATTGTTAATTTTTGTACCGGGTGTATTAAAATAATTGAAGCTGACCAAAAGATTATCCCCATTCTCTTTGAGAAATTTTTTTCTGCGTAAATTATGCGTGGAAATGATGGAATACATACAGTACTATAAAGGATATTGTTATTTTTGTAGCAAGTTTATCAGATTGAAGCTGACTTGAAGACCAAAGCGAATTCCTACAATCAGCTAAAAGGCAGCCTTCAAGCAATCGAGCGAAAAGCCACGTGAGAGATTCCGAGCAGTTCCGCGCAATATGGGCAAAGTTGATTTATTTCTTCTTTTTGCAGAGGTTCGCTGTTGACCAGAAATCTGGGTGATTTGGTTCAGAAAGAAGATTTCGTTCTGGAGAGCGAGTACCTAACAACGTTGGTCGTCGTTGTTTCCAAGTAGGATTTGTGATTGAAGCAATAATGTTTTGCCATTCGTGTTTGTTTTTGCAATTATATTGTTCACAGACAGCAAGAGAAGGATTGGCTTGCCAAATACGAGAAACTGACAGATATGATTGTGCCACGATCATCCAAGTGAGCCACTTTTTCGGTCTGGAGGTTGTTCAGGATTTGTTACACTGTTTTTTTTTCTTCTACACAGGAAAATCTTTGAAGACAGTGAAAATTCTCTCTTTACTGTATCATTATTCTCCAAAGTTGCGGAAGAGTTCAAGCTCAAAGCCCGAGAAAACAAGTACGTACAGGACGCATGAGATAACAGTTGCTGCAAGTTTGGAAGGACGGTTCGCCTTCTGTTTTTGATTATTCCGCTTTAGTTATTAATTGTGTTGCGTTTATTTTCGCCAGGTTTATGGTTCGGGATTTCACTTACAATGAGAAGGAACTTGCGGCTGGGAAGGATGAAATGAATCGTTTAGCCGCTGATAAAAAGAAGCAATATGTAATATACCATTCATTGGTTGTAGAATCTTTTTTACAAATCCTAACGAGTAATTAATTATATCGCAGGGTCCTTTGGTAAGGTGGTTGAAAGTGAACTTTAGCGAAGCATTCACTGCTTGGATTCACGTCAAAGCACTCCGGGTTTTCGTTGAATCCGTATTACGGTAAGAGTGCCGAATATCTTTCCTTGTTGAAGAATGTACACGCAGATAAATTTTTTGCACGTATGTGACAGCTGACTATCTACGTTATCTTTCAGATATGGTCTGCCAGTCAACTTCCAGACAATTTTAATGTTACCGAATAAGAAATCGACGAAAAAACTGCGAGAAGACCTGCAAAAGCTTTATGGACATTTGGATACGGGCGGCCTGATGTCCGACAAACACAGCGATGTAAGATACCGCTTTTTGCAAAACATTTCTAATGTTTATCTGAATTTGTATGTGTAAATTATCTGAGTGCGAAGTGGTGGGCATGGGTATACAGTAGCAACTAGCAAGTGAACTTCTACATGGCTTACTCCAACAAGTAAATGCATTTCATACACTTATAAAGATACAGCCATATTTTGGTATACAAACGCGAAAGAGCAGTAAATATTTATTCATTTGTGCTGTTTTATCCGCCGCTCTCCAAGTTTTCACTTAAAGGTTTTGAATGCAGATTATGGTAATGCATTTGAGGTTTTTGCTACACTAATATTAGGCAGAGTGTCGTATCGATTTTCGATGTGTCATCAAGACGTGCACTGTACAGTACTAAAAACTGGAAAATATTTTAAGGGGTGTCAGTTCGTGATGAGGAAAAATGGAATTCACATTCTGTCTGGCGTTAGCGATAGTTGTAATTCCGCCTAATTGTTTTGTTTTTGTAGGCTCTGGATATGCCGGGCATGGCCATGCCATCGGGATCTGATTATTATCCATACGTCTTCTACACGATCAACGCCGACGTTGTGGCAGAAGTGTCGAAAACATCATAAAACGAAAATCCCTCTAACCGTTGACACGTGACTCATCAGATGGCGATATTATTATATCCATTTTAGCTATAATCCCAATTGTGTGATTTTGAGCATTATCATTGTGTCCCCATCGCTAACACATTCCTGCAAAAACGGGCCGCAATCTGTTGGGCTGGGCATCATTATCCGGCACTCCGGTGACTTGTTGGCTGGTGAATGGTGAGCGAAAGCGCACTGTTCATTGCCGATTAGCGTAATCCCAACCCGGACCATTCCCGATCAGCTGACGATTCTTTCGGTCATTCCAGCATGAGTTATGGCGGTATGTGTATGTGTTTGCCTGGGAGCTTAATTGTTAGTGAGTGCTAGTTTGGTTTTACATTGTAAGTCTTTCTGTTGGGTTTGAAATACGTTTTCCTGTTATTATTGGATAATTATTAATATATGCTTTTATTGTGGTTTTTTTGTGGTGTGGTTTTAGTACGGGTACGGTAAAAACTGTAAGAAATCCATGAGTTTTACGAAGCGGAGAATTCCGTGCAGCTGTCCTGTGTGATAACTGTGAGCAAGTAAAAGCTATTCCTGAAAAAACGCCTGTCTTTTGTACTCGTATGTGTTTCAGTATTTGGACTTTACCGGTTAGTTAATTTCCTAATATTTTGATTATGGCTGCATTGTTGCCATTCTTTATTGAAATTCCTTATGTTTCGGTTTTCGTAACCAGTAGCGGTAGTAATTGTTCTTCATTGGAATACAGCTACTGGTAAAATCAATGGTCATCTACTGGTGGTCATCTACTGGTCATATTCATAAACAGGCAATTATTCGTCCGCATTCAAAATTAAATCTATCTTTATCCAAATTGAGCGCTGTAGGGGAAATCTTTCACGTGATTGCCTATAGGATAAGATTAAAAGCTGCACCAAGCAGGAAAAAACTAATTATCCAACTGACGTTGATCAGATCATGCGCATGATGGGACAAAAATGTAAAAAATGGTTTAAATATTACTATTGAGCCGGTTATTGTCAAATCAGAATGTCGACGGCGTCCGTACAAACTTGTGGCCGCATTGCAAAGGGATCGCGTAGAACACGAGCAGACATAGCCCAAATGCGGGATATCGACGCAACCATCTTTTAGCGGCATATCGAAGCCGTCCATTGTGGGATCGATGCCGCAGGATCTCTGCACGGCATGCGCTAAAAACAGCAATAAACAATCGTTATTTTCCATAAGACATTGCGCCAGAGTGTTAAGATGAGGCATAAATAGAATTCCAGCCAAGAGCGAAACTGCGAAAGCCAGAATTCGCTGCGATACAGTGTTCCCCATCTTCCGTATGTCTTTATTGTCTTGTAAAATTTCAAGTAATACATTAACTGTCAAATAATTGCATAGATACTCGTATAATATCCCGTCCACTTGCTGACTGTAACTGTTTGCATCTAATGATGTAGTACTGAAATTAATGTCATTTTATACATATGTATATACCTCTATGCCAAAAGTAAACTGCCTTATTTAAATGGAGGGAAGGCCTCTTCGAATTGAGGATCACAAACTTTGTGGAGCCTTTGCTGTAAAGTGGTAATACCGAAACTGATAATACTTTTTTGTAATTGGTAATATTGAAATTTTTTTGATTAATAATGAATAAACAAATTTCCGATATCCATAACCTAAATTGGTTAACATTAACTGTGTAACTGTACTGCAAATAATTTCTTTCATAGAATCCACTCGTACCTTCACTGTGTTTGAAATTATGGATTGTTACTGTGTAATTAATTTTACACCTGATGCAAAAACTATCTCATAATAATTTGAATATTTGAGCAGTTAATGACAGGTGACATTGCGTACTGTTATAGTACTGTCTAAATGGTAGCCCCATCCGAATTTGATCCGTTGTGTAATTGTATAATGATGTGAAACCCTAATCCCGTATTTGCTTTGTAATTGCCATAATTTGACAAACGGGAAATGTCAGGGAGTGCAAGTTGGCAGAATATCTCGTGATACTGTGTAGTGGCCTGTCAAAATGCCGGCATCTCTAAGTGCGCTAAAACTCATACAAGATTTCCCGGCATTTCCGTTTTCCGGTATGGCTTTTGACGTGCGATTCCCTGAAGAGAATTACCTGTTTGGCTGGAATAAGTGCCTTATTTACAAAATGACTCCCATTTCTTTGCTCATTACCGCTAGCTCCTGTGCAGTGTATACGGATTAATGAGGGGCGGCTTACTTTGGGGTGTGATAATCTTAAAGCATTCATGCGTCCCTTTGGTACAATTGACGATGTACCGCTGCAGTTTATCCATGTCCGCCGCGTAGGTGCTGCATCCGTCGTCATGGGTGCCGGAACATGCGTAACACTGCATCACAAAGGCATCTGCAAAAAAAGAGCAAACTTTAATGAATTAACTTCCATAATACTGTAGTCATGCGATTTCATGGGCACTTTTCTACTTATAGTCTGACGTCAACTTATCTCTCTTTTGGACTCTGCAGGTGTCAGCCTTTTTAGCTGTTAGCAGTTATTTACTTGAGCTTGGTAAAATAATTAAAGTAAATAATAGTAAAATAATTAATGCATAGTAAAATAATTAAAGAAAGTGTTAATGCATGACGAAATTCCAAAAATATGTACGTATGACTGTTGTACATATTTGGTAAGCATAACTGACTTGGGATACGATTGTGACGAATGTTGTCAATCGCCTCGTGCAGATTATCCAGCATGTCATATAATTGTAATATGACGTTTTTAACAAATTACGAGATCGGCAAAGAAAACACAAGTCATAGAAGTAAACCGATGCTTAATAAATTCTATCATGTGTAAGCACGAAAACTCAAAACCTGCTCTAGTAAATACCCGTATTATGTAGATGCCGGCTGGTTAATCCTAAACATTTGCGGTAAGGTGTGGCGTTATTATCATTAATGTAAACCATGAACGGTGATGCACTCTCTAAAGAATTTGGGAAACATCATCTTGGGGTAGTGTATGTCTCTGTACTTCGTAATGTAGATTCGTTTAAGCACTTTTATAATCTACGTATGGGCGGACACCGAGCGTATGTACAACATTTTGTAATTTACGACAATTTGTGCATATAATTTATCTGTGTATGGTTATACCGGGAAATTATGATTACAAGGGCGGATCAAACCATTAGGGAATTGTATCCAGCTAATTTCGGGACATTATCATTACGTAAGTAAAACCATGCCAAATGACAATTTTTTATCATTTTTGTCCTAGAAAAGATCAGGTGTTGTGCTGACGCCTTCCATACAAGATAAATCGACAGATTATTATCCAGGGTAACAAAACAAATCCATAGGGATCAACCACATCGCGTATCCCGTGTTGCTGTTATATACGAGAGAGGCTTGACAACTTAAGGATTTACGCTACTGAGCGGTTGTAACTGATGAATATTTCCTGGATAAAAGCTGAAACCCAAAGCGTCATTACAGATTTCTAAGCAAACCGACTGTTTCAATACGGTTTCCGTACTACGGTACTGCCACTGACGTACGAAGCTGTAGTTATATAGGCCCTCGTTTTTATCTGTACATTTGCTGGAATCAAATTTACATACGTGCACAAATTCCCAAAAGGTTTCCCTACTTAACACTTTTTCAACTAGGTAAACTTGCAGCGACGCGCAGTAGGAAAAAAAGCTTTTCAATCTTCGGTAAACTTGAAACTTTACTTTGCACTAAGTCATTAAATTTTGGCTTTCTAGTAACACTGCACGCGCCGGTCACATGGTTATCCGTATATACAATACATATGCGAGTATATTGTGCATTTACCTTACATAACTATGACTTCCGAATATCTTTCAGTCACTTAAAGACCTGCAGTCAAATCTTCTACAAAACTATTAATCAATGCGCGAAAACATAAAGACATGTTACGCTGCATGCATTTTTGACAGACTGATGCGACCTTCCAGCATTAATTAAAATTAACAGTAGGAAAATAACCTGTCCGACGCGCGAGCTGATCGATTTTACTCGTACCGTTGCTGGCTCTGTGTGCGAGTTATCTGACCATAAACGCGCTAATTAGTGTCTTTAAGGCATAATTAACTATTATTCCATAAAGATATCAATAATTTAATTATCAGCTTTTTTAACATCAGTTCAAATAAAATCAAAATACCCATTAACCGCAGGTAACTATAACTGAAACGTGATAATTTGCAATCTTGTGCATTTCTGACGATGAATTATAATCCAGGGATAATAAGTAAGTATCATAAATAATAAGTATGTAAAAGGAAGAACAAAAAATGACAGTGAAATAAACAACTTGATTTGCTATCCAAATGGATCATTTCACGTACCTGATGGTATTGTGTATGTAAGTTCTTATCTGCACTCACAAATTAATACATTATAACGTACTGTATAATACATTGGAACGTGTACTTTGAGCTAACACCTAATTTTTACCTGAAATAGAAAAACGTTTCTACTATTTTTAGACTTGTGTATAGTTTTATAAACTAAGGCTATCCCTGACTGCATGTAAATTTGTTAAAGAATCCGTAAATCTTGCATGGCTGGCGAAACGGCATTGAAATACGTAATCATATCAGCGCATCGTGGCGCACGGCATGGCCCAACTCGTAAATCATCATTTATTCGCTTCATCCCATGGAAATGCATTTATTTGTCGGACAAAAGTCGATTAAGCCCTGTGTTGATCCTAATTTAATCATACTTTACACATACCACTGCCGGCCATCACTGTCCGTCCGCCACTCAATACATGGGCCCACACCACCAACGGCAACAGGAATAACAAAGAGCGCGCCGGAAATGCCGCCGCCACGCAGCAGCATAATCCCACTCGGCAGCAGTACCGTTCCACCGCGGTGCGATTCGGCGGGGATTTCGTCATTGTAAAATTCCCCGAAAATTCGACAATTATTGCCGCTGTGACAATTATGGATTCCACGTATCGGAGACATGCTTAAATGATCAATATCAACAATGGGGACCGGTCTGCAATTACATGATTAATGGCACTTTTGATGGGCACAATAAATACGGCAATTATAAATGTCTCTTAAGTGGACGGTTAAAGACATATTCACTTATATAATTTCCCTCCATGATCTTGTCACGTACGCCCCGGTCGACGACGTCAACAGCACACGACCAGCAATTAAAGGATCGGCGACAAAATCCCGGCACAGAAGAAAATTACTTCCCTTTCGGCAATTCTACGACATCGAAGGGAAATTTACCGGTAATTTCAGCAAAAATGTTAGATCATTCGGCTCATGTGCATGACAACCGGCTTTTCTGTAATAATATTGTATGTACTCGTATGTATATCTGGTCGATTATGCGGGAGTCAATCAAGAGAACATCCATTCACACTGCCGTGGAGAATTTTCTCGTATTTGCATTAAAAAATTGCATTTTTATATACGGAAGCCGATGTGATGATGACAAGGCTATGCAAACAACAAATAAAATACCTAAACAGAAAATGAAAACATTTGCACAGGGAGAAAATGGAAAAAACATCCATCATTCGGGTTAAAAACGGGCCTTTTAAAGATTTTCGCCGGCAATTGTCACCAGCTACGGGATACATCATACACGTAAGACGTCGTCTACACAGGGCAATCCATAATCTGTCGTCAGATCTGTCTGCTACCGTTTGACGTCTGTTTACGCTGTGGTGCGGCTATACACATGTGCCGAGGTGGAATTAACGTGTAGTTTCACGCCTGGCCTAAGCCGAGCACAATAGCCGCTTTTCTCGGTGTATATGTGTTGTGTCGATCCTCTTTATCCCGGTATTTTCTTTTATCCTTGATCGGGAATTTATATCTTTGTAGCACATAGGAGGAAAGTGGCTTCTCATGTTTCGTCCGGCACACACAAGACGGTGTGATCCATCTCTGCCCGGCATCGCTTTTATGATTTATTCTATGTATACATATATCCTCAGCTTGTATTGCTATGGTGTGTATATGCGAGTACATTCGATAACATGTACAATGATGGGAATACGGGTGCCTAAAGCGCAAACTTTGATCTTTAGGAACCCGGGATCAGTTTTGTCCTGAGCCGGCATCGGCCGAGGAAAAAGCACGTTTTGTGTTCAATGATGTTTGAGAGTGTTTTTCTTCCGAGCACGTACCTGGAGTGACCTTATGCAACCCTTAAGCTACAGCATTTTCCAGTGTAAAGGCGTGAATTATTTTATAAATTTTTGTACTGTAGATTGTAAATTTTGCGCAGACCGATCGATCGAAATATTAAACTTATAATCCATGTAGGCTTGTATTTACACAGCGTAATGATGCATGATGACACAAGCATCATTCAGCGCGAAAGGTATCATCATTACAAAGTATCTGGTGACACCGGTGACACCGGTGACACCGGTGACACCTTTCGCGCTGAATGATGTTAATTATTTACTTTGTAAAAATTATCCATGTCATTACCGCGAAATTTAACAGAAATTACTGGTAATACCCCAATGATTTCTATTATAACTAACATTACAGCATCACGAGACGTACGGAGGTCACATAAACAAGGAGTAACACTGGTACCGGTGTCTCGGGAAAGCAGGGGGTGAATTGCAATATACGTATATGTACTGTACCTGATGACTTACGGCTCATCCTGTCTGTCAATGTGCATCATAATTCAAAACGAGCAGAAGAATGGCTTAGTTTTAATGATTTACTGATCCCCGATAAAAATTGACCTTTTTGTTTGTCGCACTCTTCGCAATGAGAACATTCGTAGTTCTTCCCCATTCATTAAAACTTCTAACGGGTACCAAAGATGCAAATTAATTATGATTACTGACGATTGACGAACCACTCATTCACATGGCTATGCAAAGTTGTCGTAGTAAGTGTACGAGTTTGATTTTGGTATTGCATTTTCACTCACGAATACTTGTTTTGGGATTATGAAAAAATTTCTCAGTGATGGCAAAGTTAAAAAAATCCGAGTGCATAAATCCGATTTATTAATATATATTAACACGCATAAATTCGTAATAATAAATCAGACGGAATAATCGCAGCCAATGCGGCAATTAACCACCACACAGAATGCTTACATTACAATCCTCGCTCAATATCAGCGCAAAAAGAACAACAAAAAAACCAGCTGACCACAATGAAAGTACACCCAAGTGCAATTTCCGATGACAAACAACACACACTACCCGCACCAGCACGCAGAAAACAAAAACCCTTCCAACGACATTTACAACGACACAAAGCGAAATCCCTGCAAAAAAATGTCAAAAACCCGCGACATGCCAATAAACAATCCATAACAAAGCCGTGGAATGGAATGATTAACATCGCTCCATCTATTTGCCGGAGCGCCGAGTGGGCTCCGATGCCGTCGGGGGTGGCGGTGGACCGCGCTTAGCCAGCTGTTCAATGAAGTCGTTCAGCTTCTTCTTGCGGTCGTACGAAAACGGCTCCAGGTTCAAATAACGCGCGTCATTCTATTAAATAAAAAAACAAGCAATTAAGCATTTACCTGTCGCACCGGCTGAGTAGTATCACGATATCATCCAAGAAACTGACAGATTCGATAGTTTTCGACTCAATGCAAGCCTGACAATCATCAGCTATCATCACCCGTATATAATGACCAAATTCAACAACTGCATCACAAAACAAAACATGAGCAACACAACAATGAAACCACCACATCGACACGCTAAGCTTGACACCGTCGACTGCTGTCTATCACAACACATAAACCGGAACCGTTTACGGGTCACACACGTACCTTTAGGATCTCCACAAGGTCCTTCATGTGTTGTTCTGATTCTTCAATGCGGCTCTTACTTTTATGATCTAACAATTTAGTTTCCTTCAACAAATCCTCAAATTCGTACCATGCCTTTTCGATCTTATCCTTGATATACTTATTGAATTCACTTTCACATTTCTGCAAAGAATAACGAATACTGGATAAAAGTAATCGAATACTTTAACGAAATGTTTTGGACATACCGATTCCTTAGAAGAGAATTTTCCGTAGCGAACATCATCACGAATTTTTCGCCGTACTTCTTTCCACGGAGCATCCAATGGGATCTACGATAAAATCACTGAACTACCATCGATGAGAAAATGCAATCGTCTTTACATGAAATACCGCCGGTACCCTCTTAATAAATTCACCAGCGAATTCTCTTACGTTTGTTTCATCCAGTAGCTCCCGGTAAGTCTGCTTTTTCTTGGAATTGAGGTTGTGCAGGTGATCGTCGTATATCTGTTCCTTTTGATGTTTATTTAACGGATCGGCCAACTCATACCTCTCGTCCTTTTTCAGGATCTTCCGGGCAGCTTTATAAGTTAAATCTGTCTGTCGAATCTATAAATACAAACATTGCGCTCATAAGAAAACGATACTGCGAAAATGTATAATTCCAACAATTCCCGTATATGATATAGGTAACCCTCCCAATGGAACTACAACTTACAAGATCAGTCAGCAGAGCTTTGTAGTGCTGGACGGCCTCATCGTGGCGGTGATGTTCGCGTTCCTTTTCGCGGTCTTTGGTAATGCTACTCATCTCCTCTTGTACCTGTCGCTCGCGTTCACGCATGCTAGCTTCGGCGCGTTCTTGCCGATCGCGGTCTTGACGCACTTTTTCGTCTTCCTCGTCATGCTTCTCCTTATCCTTATCTTCAGTGTCAGACTACAAAATAGGTACGTAATTACTGATATGAGTAAAATAAAATTCTAAGCCAACTTTGTCGGACAATCAAAAACAAAGAAATTACGTGCTTTATCGTTTTTGGAAGATCTATTGCAATTCATCATGTGCTATACAAACTGCATCATTTCTTACCTCTTTTTCCTTCTTTTTGGCCAGTGTCTTCACATAATCACGAAACCATTCTTCACGCTGGTTGCTGCTATCAACGCGCTCATACCGTGGATCATCGCGCAGTGTTTTCTTCACATCACTCCAATGAGATTTGCGCGTTAGTCCCGGCACTTCTTGCAGCATCTCCAGAAAATTTGACCGAATCTAAATGCAAATGAGCAAATTAGAAGCAGAATTTTAAAAACTAAACTTACGCCTAGAGGATAGAGATACCTTATCCGACTCAGCACGTCTAAGCTCTTTCTCCTTTTTCCTCAATTCGTGCATGAAATCGTCAAACATTGTCTCCCGTTCTTTCATCCGTTCAATCCCTTTATAACGCTCATCTTTACCATATTTCGATGAAAAATCTGAGAAGGTAGATCTGAAAAAGATAGTCAATTAGAAAGAATCCGGATGCTGTTTTATAACGCCGCATACTTTAATGACAAGTTGGCCTCCGTCATAAGTGCTTTGAAATTCTCCCGCATTTCACCAATTTTCTTCTTCTTCTCCTCACGCTCTCTGTCCGCTTTCTCTTTCATAAAGTCATCAAAAACATCTCGCCTGTCCTTAGAGGTTAACAATAAATAACGCGGATCAAATACTATCTTGTGCAGCTCCTTCTCCCAAGTGCTGTATGCCGAAACCTAAAAAAATACAAAAATACGCGTGTTTTATCAGCGCGCACAGAAACACAACAAGAATGTATACACTCACGTCTTTTTCAAGTAGAAGCTCCTTAAACCTGCGAATTCGCTCATCCAAGGAATTTGTTCACGATCCTTGGCCGCTTTCAATTCCGCTTCCGCAGCTGGATCTTTCGGTTTTTGCTTTTGCGGCGGAGGCGCTCGGCGTATCCCGGTGGACGCTTTTGGTGCTGAGGCTAAAGCACCAGCATCCGAGCTGCTGGCATCACTCAAGCTGCCCTCATCCACGCTACTCGCGCTAAGAAGGAAAAATAATCCGATTAAAATCAGCGAATCTCGATCTCTAATTATTGTGCATAGGCATACAGACGGTCAAGTGCAACGCATACTCGCTCCCACCTCGGCTCATTTGGATTGTCAGTGTGCTGTTTCGATACATTATTATATTACAATGCAGAAAAATATAACAACGAAAACCAGTGAAAAGCATGAGCAACAAATCAAACCGTTCAACATACCGTACGCGTTTGGCTGATGGCTCCTCCACCGTTTCGCTCGTGTCGCGTTTCACTCCGCCATTCGTTTCTCCATTCGTGGTGACGGTTTTCGCCGGTTCAACTGACGTAGCCGGTGTCGCATCCTCTGGAATTTGCGCTAACAAATCATCCACTTCCTTCATACCTTGTAACTCCGGTGGCGGCTTCCACACGGATGCTTTCGTAGTCGGATTGTGAAAGAATGATTTCTTATCATTCGTCCAGACAATACACCTAAAAAATACAATACGAGATCTAAATCATTGTAATCTGTTTAAATCTGAATCATATTGATTAGTATTATACGCGAATGCATTTTTTGTTACTTTAATGGCTTTGGTCCAATAAAACAGTATTTATATGCGAAATTGTAATCCGTAAATATTTTCACTGCAAATGTACGCGTACCATGGTGTTCCTGGAATCGTTTTTGTGGCAATGGGCTTCGTCGAGACCTCCTTTTTGGCCTCCGCAGGTTTGACATCCCCCGGCTGACCTGCCTTGGCTTGGGCTTCAGCAGCAGCTGCTTCAGCTTTTTTCCGTTCTGCAACGGTTCTCCGCGTGAGTGACATGTAGCCAATCAAACATAAGAAAGTAATGCCACATACCTTCGTGCTGAATTACTTCCAACGGCTTTTCCCATGAATGCTGATTTATTTTGCTATTATACCAATAACTGCGACCACCTGGATTAGCATACTCTGCCCAATCAGCTGGCTGCAACGATAAAAAATAATCAATTACATACTACTACCATACCATAAAATTCAGCCAGGATTCAATGATGACTTACATCCCGTTGAACCTGTGGCATAACCATGGATGGCGGCATCATTGGGGCAAATGGATTAAACCCTGGCGGCATTCCCATACCTGCAAAATACGATGCACTTATGTGTGATGTCGCAATCAAAAAGACCATCATGTGCAGTGCACTTTAAACTTACCAAACATGGGATTGTGCATACCCGGTCCCAACATGCCAGCCGGATGGGGATTGAGGGGATGTGGCGCAACACCGTGACCAGGCATCATGCCCGGAGGTGGTTGCTGGAGATGCGGCGCCAGCTGCGGAGGGGGCTGCTGAAGAGACACGGACGGTAGTGTAGAAGCAGGTACAGGCTGAGCTCCAAGCTGGTACTGACTGGCTGCCTGTGCCTGCGCCACGGCATTCTGCGCGGCTGATCCCAGTGGCTGCGGCTGAGACGCCGCTCCACCACCGGGGGCAGCCGAATCCGTGGCAGCGGCTACGGGAGGGGCGCTGCCGGGGGGCTTCCACAGTTCAGCACCCGGAGGTAGTGTCCATACCGTCGCCATTGTAGTGATATGATAGTAATATGGCTGCAAGCATCAGTGATTATGAAATACCCAGGGCGAAACAACAAGCTTAACCAAACGTATGACCGGGCATCAAATAAAATAATTAACACTTTTATATAACAAAAACAATGTAATTATACGTCACTGCATCCGTATAAGATTAACCGCTCTCTATGTTTTGGTTTTTAAAACTAAAACCCAACTTTTAGGTCTAAAAGTTAAGGTACTTGTACTTTTAGTACGCTTGTACTTCAAGAGATTTATTACAAGATCAAGATTCCAGTTGTAGTTTCGGAAGAAAACCAAAATCAATATTTTCCGCCTTCAAGCATACGTGATACGATTAGGACCGTACAAGGAATTTCAGAATTATTAATGAGCACCATAGTCAGACAGACCTTTCCATCAGGAGCTTTGGCTTCCAGCCATACATCCTGTCCTGGTCTGGGCGCTTCACTGACGCCAGGTGGAGGGACCGAATACTGATTCATCATTATCCAGAGCTCAGGAGAACCTAAATCAAAACAACAAATAGAAAGGCAATATCACAATAAAAGTCCTCTGTGATATTAAAGACAGCTAAAACTGGCAAAAAGGTTCGTCCAGACACAAGCAAAGTCCGAAATATGGTAAATGGTAAGTCAAAAGTCTTCCTTACAGCTCCCAAGGCAGTATTCGCACTCACAATCAACAAAAAGGCTCAGAAACAACTACAAGACAGTGAAGTCACAAGAGACAAGCATCATTCTGTGGAGAAATGCTCATAAGTGACATGATAAGTCCCTGATGGAGTGTCATACAAATTACATATATGTGCACGATTACTACCACGATGCTTTACGAATTAGGGTACCCAGCGCTAGACTTCTCCCACTCCCGTTACGTTTGTTCCACAGAACGCGATCTCAAAATGAATTGCATAAGAGATTCAATAAAATCACCATGGAATAACAACAATTCGAGCGCTGATAAACGAAAAATCGATAGCCTGCAGCTGTCAAAAATTAATAACTACGCTATCGGTGACAATTCCGTCCAGCATTCTTAATGGCTTCATTTGTGTTAACAGGGAAACATACATCAAGCTTACAGTTCCTCTGTTACGAATACAAGCCAGATCTCTTTTAACCTACTTATGTACCTCAAACCATCCGTCACTTTCTTTCCGAAGAGAACAAGTGATTCTTGCAAAATAGCCACCTGTAAACAGAACCGCGATCTTAAAGACATTCACAAATAACCTCCGTATAGAGCACTTGCGTAGAGCCGTCCCAGAGTTACAGCATCATAAAGTTTCGCGTTATGACTGCGTCCGGAGAACAGTCTGTGATAAAGGGTATTCTAATAAATCAAAATTTGATTTCGACGAACCTTAAGTTCTGGATCCTGCAAAAACTTCGACAAACTATTCGCTGTTTCGCTCTCTACCGTCAAAGACAGATGTCACAAATAAAAATCTCGTACAAACTGAAAAAATTCGAGTTTGCGAGTTGCGACTGACTTCAAAATCGGTAAACCGTGAGTGTGGTGGTCGGAAGGTGGAAAGATGTTAAGTACTTACTGCAAGTCTTGTATTTATTGAATGACGAGCAAACCCCGCCATGCACCACCATATTTTGAAGTTTTTGGCACTTTGTTGTGAATGTTGTGAGTTGTCGGTTTCGGATTTTATCACATTTTATGCCTGTTAAAAGTGTATGAAATTTTGTACTTACTTTTTACATTAATTTTATGTAGAAATATTTTTAGGACGTCCTAAAGTTTGAACACTTATCATCTGTTTTTAGAACGTATAATCAAATTATTCAAACCATAATTATTTGATATCGAGTTATTAAGTCTGATCGGACACAAAGAACGAGCAGCTCACTGCTCACACCATTAAAATGCGTCGGATGTGTTTTGCCCGACGAATTTTATCCCAAATCGCTCGCCCGACTGGCGAAACGTCCACCGCATACAAGTACCAGGACCATTTTTTACCGCGCCCGTGTGCTCTGTATCAGGTGCGCTGTGCCAGTGGTCGGCAGCGAACCGTCACTAAAATTTCGCACGAAGCCGATGAGCGCAGCACCGATGATGCTTACGGAGACGCTGATACGTTCGGATCAGTCCATCATAGAGTTTCTGCAAAGTATCGTCCGCCAAGAAAACCAAGGCAACCCGTGAATACTGAGATGACTCCCTTGAACGTCGACGATGTGAAAACAAGTGCGTGAACGTTTCAGAAAATGTATGCGTTCTTATTGTCTCGGTCTCGGTTGGCTACGATTGTTACACTACGTTAATGCTCCATTTGTTGTATGCATCAGGTCCAGAGCCAGACTATGAGAAAGCACTCGACGATAGTATTTTTGGCACAATTTCCGCGCCGGATTGGAATAAAATGCAGGATCTGGAGGATGAGGAGGAAGAGGATATGGCAGATCATGTGCCATTTCGGCAGCGACCATGGTATTACATACTACAGTTGCGGAAATTAATCAAACGACAAAATGTGAGTGTCCGTTATGCAGTTATTTTTACTGCCACAGCAAAGTGTCGCAGTTTTGGTGTAAAGCTGTACAACGTATAATCGTGCTCTCCGTAACTCTTGCACTTTTATGCCGTCTTGCATGTTGAAGGTTCGAAAGCAAATTAATGATTTTGCTTTCAGTAAGTTTTATTTGTACGTATACCGCTTTACTGTATGTGTTTTTCGTTATTGCAGTTGCCGGCAGCACTTGAGTTTTTTGAAGTTCGCATGGGCAAGGAGGACCAAGTGCGACCAATTCTGATGTGTTATGATATGCTGATCGCGGCGTGTGGTCGTGCAGGATATCTGGATAAAGCGTTTGAATTATATCGTCAGGTAAAGTGCGTTTGAATTGTGTAACGCATTTATCTTGCTTCATGATTCGCTTACGCCTGAATCTGCCGAATGCCTTATATGTACTGTTTCTAATAGATTGATTTCGTAGATGAAAAAACGGCGTTGTCATCCTCAAGATACCACTTATGTCGGCCTGTTCAATGCCTGTGCCGAATGTCCGATTCCGGAAGAAGCGGTGAAGAGATTGAAAGCGTTGCGCGAAGAACTTCAGATGAAACTCCATATTCCCAACCATTATGTGTATCACAGTATGATCAAAGGTTCGCTGAGTTTTAGTCGTCGCGGAGTTTTGGTTTGTAATTAAACTTAATGCGTATGCACATTATTGTAGCATATGGAAGGTGTGGCGATGTCATCGGCGCATTCCAGATCGCGGATGAAATGCTTCACAACAATCTGGAACTTCAAAATGACACCTTTTGTTTCTTGTTAATGGCGTGTATTAGTGATAAGCAGGCTGGATTCAAGCATGCCATTGAGGTACATCATTAATTTTCTGTGAATTAACCCGTGAATTTCTTGTTTTTGTGAACTCAGTTATAAGAAATGTGTGTGATTTATCTTATGTAGGTTTGGCGCTTTATGATTCAGCACGGGGTAAAACCCGACCTCTATCATTATAGCCTTTTGATACGAGCAGTTCGTGATTGCAATCTGGGATCTGGTGAACTAGCGCAAGAATTGCTTCCGCCGTCCATTCGAGAATTGTCCAAAGAGCAATTAGAGCCGCAACACCAGTTAGCATCCGGCACCACCAGCAATTTGCCTGAGCATCTCCTGGTTGATAACAGTAAACTCTTACCGTTTATCGGAACCTCCATCACTCACGAGATCTTGACAGAGAAGACTCAGAAGGAAATTGAACAAGTTAGAAAGGATGTGCGCTTCAGCCCTAATGGGCGACCAGCCAAATCCAAAGATACGTATGGCATGTACCAGAGCGTAATGCGAACTGTTTTGTCGGAGGAATACCACCGAAGAGGTCTGATTTACAAAGGTGAATGGTGGGAATCGCCTAGTGAGCGGCCGGGCCTGCCCGGAAAAAGTTTGACGGCATCGTACGGAATGATACTGATGGGGTCATCTGCTATTCCCGATTTACTGTTACCTTTTGAATCGCAAGCCAATACTGGACTTATTGCAATTGGAGCTGCGGGAACTGGTGCAGAGAGGTTGGCCCTGCTGGGTGGATATTCAGGTACATACATAGAAGGACACTCGCTGCTGATGTAGAATAAATGCTGTGTCATTACTTACTTGGACTTTGCTTATGAGTACGTATCTTACTTAATAACTAGAAGTTACTACAAGTTACAACAGCAAGAAATGTTATTATTGTTTGTGCTAGGAATACTTTCCCGTATGCAGCGAGACAAAGTCAAACCTGATAAAAAGTTTTTATCCATGCTTGTGGAAATGCTACCGTTTGACGACAAAGCCGAAGACGAGGTGATTGCACTGGCGGATCGTTTGAAACGCAAATTAGATGTGGATTTTTTCAACATGATCATCCGGCAACGTATAAGGCGAAAGGATTACGCAGGCGCCCTGGTAAGAGTATGGTTTCGGTTTCTGTTTCTTTGTTAATTCGGGTCTTGTTTGTTCGATAACTATTTTTTTTACAGAAAATCAGGGAATTATTTGAGTCTCGAGGAATTAATTCGAATCAGATGACTTTCGGATGTCTTGCAGTAGGCTGTTACGGAAACGCTGCAACATCACAGTTGCTGAACGATATGAAAGTAAGCAACACTTTAATGACGGAAGGAGTATTACTTATGCAGTTATTATGGTCGATGTTACAGGAGCGCGATTTGGATCCAAATACCATTATTCTGGCTACGCTTATTTCCAATGCCTGCAACATAAAATCCCTGGGTACGATGCTTTTCCTTATGGCCGAGATGCAAAAATCGAAGATTCCGGCGCACGAAGGCTTAGTGAAGAGATTAGAAAGGTTCAAGGCCGAAGTTCAGAAGGCCGTGATCGAAGCGGAAAAAAAAATACCAACCACGACCGATATCAGTTACATAGACGAAAAGTTCTTGGACAAGTGGAAGAAATTCAAAGTGTACTACAAGATATGGTTGGAGAAAGTGCCGGCTAAGCAGGAAGAACATCCTTATGCTCCTTATCAGTACACGGTGGAGAGTGAAGATAACGACGATTCGTGGCGCAAAGGAAAAATACCTTTGCAATTGTACGATGATCGGGAAGAACGGCAGCATATGGGAAGGCGGTAGTGGCATGATAATTATGATGATGTCCTGTGTGTGTGATCTGTTGCTGTTGTACCAAAAGAGCAGCAGTTGTACTTAAAATTTATCCGGTTCTTTTAATTTTTGAAATCGTGTGTGCTGTGTATGGTGTCGCGCGTGTCGCTCGAACAAAGAAAATTTTAAGGAAGAAAATTTCAAGCGCGAGATTGGTGAATCTATTACTTACCACTACAGCAAACACAGCAGATGTGCGATGATTCATGATTGTCAAATTTGGTCAGATGCAATTAACTACCAAACTGAAATTGTCAAGATAAGATTGTTAAATAAAATAAATTCAACAAAATGTTGCCAAACTGCTCATGTTGCAAACAGTGAAAAAGAAAGCTGAAAAGTAAGCCGCGAGACAGCTTCCGGCGCACGCCTAACCGCGGCCGGGAGGCGTTTTTCATTTATTCATTTAACAGGACAAACTGCGACTTACGGATTCGAAGTTGCGAAACCGCCGACGGTAGCAAATCTTCCCAATGTTTTGCAACTTTTTTGCAGTCTGGATTTTCTTGACTCCCCAGTTGTAGAGTTTGACGACTTGAAATTCTGACCCCGAACACTTGGATTGTGTTTTCCCTTCGTATTAGCCTGGGAGGGGGAAGATTTGTCCTATTAATAAGATCTGAATATCTTTGCATTCAAAATGTCAGCCAACGAAAACGCATACTTTTCGGAGATCTACGAGAAAGTGGAAGAACTAAATCTCTCCTACCAAGAAATGCGAGGCTGTTCTGCTCTCATGGAACTCATTGATCGTGCTGATGGGCAAAATACTAATCACAGGAGTGAAAAGAAGCATGGAGCTTCGAGTGTTAATCAGGGACGAGGCAAAGTATTTGCAGGTGTTGTAGTTTCTGCCATGCTGCTGCTGGTTGTCGCTGTAACTGTCAGTCACCCTTATCGTCCCATTCCCAGGGCCATCTCTTCTGCGCTGGTGTATTTTGCTCCTAAAGAGATGTCTGGAGATCAGTGTTTGGTGAGAGCACCAGGAAAGTTTGCGGACTGGTTTCGTCCAGTTGTTAACTGTTCGAGTAAGTTGCAGCTTGTAAAAACTATGTGATCAGCTGTTCTGCCAGTTGCACTAGCCACTACACTACGTTATCATACATGTCGAGCTACTTGTTACCTTGAATTTTTGCTTTTTATGAATATTTTCTGATTCGGTTTCCTTTAAAGTTTTAACTGCAATAATACAGAATTTCTCCGCAGTTTGCCGAGGATTGCAGAAAGTGGATTCCGTGAACGACATTTCCGTGGAAGAATTTACAGCTAAATATGCCTACTCATCGCGTCCATTGGTGGTGCGCGGAGCCATGAAGAACTGGACCGCTTCGTCCACATTCAGCTTTGACTTCTTCCGCAAACTGTACCTCAAGCAGTTCCCGGGTTCCTTGGACGTTCTCAATGAGCACTGTCAGTTCTTCCACTACAAAACCGAATTCCGCAATCTACGGGAGGTGTTAACCATGTCCAAGAAGCGCTTCGACCAGATGTGGTATATCGGCTTCTCCAACTGCGACGTAGCCGTGGCTGATGAACTGCGCCGACATTACGCCCGTCCGGCATTCCTACCGGTGGGATCGGAAAGCAGTCGGTATGACTGGATTTTCATGGGACGACCCGGTTATGGTGCTAACATGCATGTAAGCCACGAGCGAAATGTGAAATGCCTAACGATGTTAACATAAGAAACACTTGCCTGATGCGAGAATAAATTGACGGTATGAAGCGTAGCGAAGAAAATGTTTGGTGGAATACGGATACCTTGGTTTACCAAAATATTATTAATAACATCTGGTAACTAACTCGTAAGGTTATACGAGTATCTTGTTTGTTGTGCGTGTACATAATGCACTCATTAACTTGTGTGGGCAAAATATGATTTAGGTTATAACTTTTGCTTGTACTCGTATAATACGTTTCTTTTTGTGATCGGTAAGGGCATCGGTTAGGGCACCTACCGAGCCCTTATAGGTGCCATTGTTGCATTATGATAATTTGTTGCTTGTATACTCGTATCGCATCAGAGTCATTGGTGCCTGATAGGTTCAATTGAGTCGAAATAATGCTGACATAATTATTGTCTACGGTTTCTTATGCAACGGTTTTATTGGGATGATTTAATTTATTGTTAAATGACTGCCATTTATATTGACTGTTTTATAAAGTGCGCACTGTAATTACTACGCTAGTTTTAGTCTAGTTTGTGTTCGTTTGTTTTTATCAAAAGAAAGGTTGTACGCAGTACGATATACAATTTGGAACTCGTTAGTGAAAATCTGCGATGTTTAGGTTGACAACGTAGGACGCTCATCATGGCAGGCGCAGATCCGCGGCATCAAAGAATGGACACTGCAGCCTCCGCCGGAATGCTACTTTGAATGCTCGACGCTTAAAGTGGTTATCAATCCTAATGACATCAGTACGTGCACAATGCAAATTCGTTCAGCCTTTTCAGACATTCGTAGGTTATAGAAGGAATTTCATTTTGTTCTAGTTGTGGTGGATACCGACACGTGGTACCACAGTACCCTGATCTTGGGAACGGAACTGAGCATTACCATCGGATCCGAATTTGACTGATTTTGTGGCGTTTTCGAATCTTCCTCCGTGGAAATCTCAGGGAAACGTTATCACCGGTGATTGGTTTTAATTGCTTTTATAGATTTTATAAATCTTTTTCCAGAATTTTAAATCGACTCAGTTCTGGTTGTTATACATAGATTTCAACATTTCTTAGTGCACATCGAGAACATGTGCTCTTTCTTTCAGATAATAATTTCAGTTCTTTTATCTGTAAATTTTAAATGAACTTTTAAAGTCCTATTCGCTGGGTAGCACAGCAGAAGGATGTGACGAGTACGAAACACAGAAAAATAAACACGGCGCTCGCTCCTGTAAATCAGAAATGTTTTGATGTTAACATATGTTCCTGTTGTGTGAGTTATTAAGCAGTAAGTTAACGAATGTTCTGTGTATATTTAGTTATTTACCTGCACAGGCTACTATAATATCTTGGGCAGATTTGTATAAGCTGGTTATCACATCCACACATCCCCGCCGCCGCAACACCAAACCGGAAGGAGTTCGAAGATTGTACAGCTCACGATATTGTTGCTGTTGGAACAGAACAACAGTTATGGCATTGTAGTACCTCGCGCGTACTCGGACTGCTATTTAGCGCATACGGGTGATGCGACTGCTACTGTAAGCACGAAACGCTGCAGTTGACTGGTGCTTTACACACAAGTGACCTCACGTTAATATGGCACGAGGATGTCATCTGGTAGTTACGTTTTTTTTGTTAAACTGTGAACATGATAGTTATTAGGAAAAAATTAATTTTGCTAAGGTGCAGTTGTAGTCGTGTCCATAACTGAAATGCCGAATTACTGTATAGAAAACAGGAAGTCGTCCACAGAGCTTGTGGTAGCTATTTTGTAACAAGAGCGAATTTGGGAATTGGGATCAAGGCCAAATTAACTTACTTCGAAATTCTCTGTAGAATTTAGAATAAGACTGCATTCATGAATATTTCTGCAGCAGGATAATGGTATTCTCTGAAAACACCAAATTGTTATTCTATACAGAAGCACAAATTGTCGAGGGTACTTCAAAATTGAGTACTATAAAATTTACCCCGTATTTCGAAAGCATTACTATGAAATTTTACCCCGTATCTCGTTAATCCCCATTGTTTAGGCGACGAACTTCCACAGCACGCGTGCTCGGTTTGGATTTCATCCAGTGTTTGATCACTATTCCCGTAAAAAACTTAGTAAATTTGTTGGACATATAATGTAGATTAATTTGTTAAAGCTGATCCACATAGATGCACATATAAATAATTATAAACTGTATAACGAGCATGACAATCATTATGTATAGTACCGACTCAAAATTGCAAATCATATTCTGCATAATTATCGTTTCCGTACTTCTACCTAATTAGCAGCAGGTTATTCCAGTCCGTATTCAACATTTTATATTCGTGCATAATTAGTCTTATAGAAGGAGCAGTCCTCTAAATTGAGCATAGAAGGGTATGGTTTTAGCCTACACATATCAAATGTTTGCTTGTGACAACTGCGGCTAGAATTCATTAATGTCTTTAGCACGTTAGAATAACTGTCGCCGGCGGAACCGTTGCTTTTGACCCGGAAAAAAATCAAGCAACAAAATAAATAATTATTTCGATTAGAGATAAATAAACGCCCACCTAACCGCCTCTCCATTGTCTCCTACAGTATTCAATTAATCCGAGCGCACATTTTCCCAGCATTCTCACCCATGATGAAACTGCCCCATCTTCGTCCCGTACATATCCATGAAATTTTCCACGGCTTTCGTCACCTTGTGCTTGATATTAATCAACTTGAGATGCGTGAATACGGCCACACCCGTAAAGGACAGTACACAGATTAAAAGGATGCCCAGCGCCAATTTCAATAGCCGCGTGGAGGCCTTCATACCGCCCACAATACCAATAATCCCGGCAAAGATCAGCAGAATCTCGGCGGCCAGCATGATGCTCATGCTGATCGTGGCAAAATCCCCACCAAAACTATTGGTCAATCCGTACAGGGCCAGACCGAAACCCACAACACCGCACAACACACAGAACAAGGAAAACAGAACGGATGTCCGGCGCAGATGATTGAACTGCGGACTGCGTGGCCGCTCGGTGCGGCCGGCATTGTACACTTGCGACACGGATCGACCCATTGTGGGATCCATGGTAGCTGATGTTGGGTAAACATTTCCCGCACACATTCACCACAACAGGTCCATTTTTGGTTTGCTTTGGCACGGTTAATCTAGGAGTGTGTATATTGTACTATACATAATATACAAACGTAGGTATAAATACTTTGAATAAAGAAAGAGTAGTACTTATTAATATAAGAGGATAAAAAAATAAATGCGAAAAGGTCATAAAAGAATATTCTATGTACATATACAAAGAGAGCAGTAGGTTGTTGCCGTATTATATAATTCGAGACAAGCGGTTTTATAGTGTACATATAACCATTGCGATACTATACAAAAATATCAAGATCGTGATTAATGCAGAAAGTCGGGCTAATACGCAAGAGCTTCCCATACAGACCAGATGCTGTGCTGATATTACGACGCAGCGGAAGATAGGAAATTAGGACTGCCGAACAGTGGGAACACGTGTCGTAATTGGACAGATTGTTAAGCTTCATTACAGCAGATTGTAGCTCACCCTTTCAGGCAGTGATAAATGCGTAAATAAGATTATTAATGCCTCATTTAAAATGTCTAGGTATTATTTTGCTCTGATTGACTTTAACACCGCCGTATGTGTACCGCTGCATGTAGCCTCTTAACTCACGCGTAATCATACTTTATAAAATGCGCTTGATTGCTTGAAGTCACTGTGTTTAATATGGGGCTCTTTGTTGCTTGTCAGTCTGCTTCCGGGCTTGATTAAAGTAATGTAATGCGCTTGGTGTTGTATCTCCATAATTATTTATAACGCATGGAGCTCTAATGTGATGAAGAAGTTAATGGTAAAATGATAGGCCTACTCTAAATATTAATCTCGTTATGATAAAACAGACAGCTACTCAAATGAAACTGTCGCAGATTCAAAGATCACATTGTAACAATTATTATATACGCGCCAAAGGAGTAAGGACTCTCGCCGTCTCGCGACGGAACCGATGCTCCACAACTTTACTTGTAACTGAAAGAACACAATACTTATTTGGGTGCAGTTTTTAGACAATAACTTTAATGTGGTTTGTTAATTCTGCTACCTGTCAGTCCATAGACTGTAGTGCGGTGTAGCTTTAGTGACCGCGATAGACAATGTAAGTACATTTACAAATGCCGGAATGGTTGCATATGTCGGACGGCATTTCACTCATTACGTATACAAGTACATTTAGGATTCTTTTAACGAAATATTAATATTGTTTACGTTATTCAAACTGTGTGCTTTGTACAACCGGCACTTATCGTGACTTCGCAACCGGCACTTTTTTACCATTGTATGAGCGTATCTTCACCTTCCGGTTGCTTGCGTATTACACGTACGAAGTATATGTACATTATTACGTTGAGCAAAACACTGTTGGCGCTAGAAGCATCAAAAGATCGCTTTCGACAATTCCCAGACTCTCACAAATGGTGAAACATCAAAAGTCACGGTGCCGCAAACCGAATCTACGTTTTACGTCAACGAAGTATGCATCGAGATGCGGTCGCACCACAGGTTACAGAAAATTTTGCCCCTTATCAGTAACTCTGCTTTTTTATTATTTTACGTTTCTGAAAGAACCATTTATTATTGTAGTTGAGATAGTAAGTACCCTACCATTGCACATTGGTGCGACAGTATGAAGCACATAAGTGCAACTTGTCATTAATGTAATTTAATTTACTGCGCCGATGGGAGCGAATTTAGATCAAATTTTCTTTGTGATTAGGCCGCCTCTTTCGATTGATGCTTAATGAGTGACTGTTTCCGAAGCTTTTTTTATTGACTGCTATTGTTTGAAGTTATAAGAACAAGGATAATAAAAGTAATACAATTTAATTTAACAAGGACGACGACAAGGTGCATGAAGTGCGCTCCTTGCGCGCGCTATGTATCTGAATACAGAGGAAATTATTTTGCCTAATATCTATGCCCACTGCGTTGCAGGCGTGTTAACACGCCAGTTAAATTAATACGGTAACTTGTCAGCAGATGTGGACTGCAGTTCAAAATGTTTTGACCATTCGGCTATGCTAGCGACTGGCAGCTTCAACCGGAAGTTTTAATGAGCATTGTAAAGCAACTGGATCGTTCCTGTTGTCATCTTCTTTAATTTCTGTCAGGTAGCTTTGCAACAGCAATTGCCGCGTAATTCTGCACATATTATATGGATGCCGGAACGGCACTGCATCCATACGTGCGCATGCGATGAGGTGTTTCCGTAAATTACCTGAATATCCTGTTGTACATGCCATCACGTGTTGTCATCCGTTAATTTCCTGGAAACGCGGGAGTTTCGCATTTCCGTTCGGCGATATGCTGATTAAGTAGTCGGCACATTTATGTTTAATCAAATGGAATTCATATTTTATCGGAGCGTTGTTTACCGTCCAAATATAAGACGCCGACGCTCTCTCTCCAAGAGACCGCGCGCGTAGTATACCATTGTACAGTACATATATCCCGGTCGGGGCAGCGTTCTCCCGGGCGGAAGTCTGATACGCATCGAAACGGGAGAGTTCAGTGCAATGTACAATGTACGCGCGCATATGTTCTCCATGTATCTTTGTATATGGTGCATGTACTACGTGCGGTTGGAAGAGACGAGCACTGGAGCGGGGCTGGAACCAATGGAGAGACATGATTAAGTGATTCCTTTTAGCGCTAATCGTGCTGGCTTAAATCCTTTTTTAACCATGTGCATTTCCACTCAGCCAGAGCCAGTTGGGTGCGATTGAGCGAGAGCCCGGCCCGTGCGCATCGTGTATATGTGTTCTCTGGAATATGCCCATCAATTTCTGTCTTTTCCAACCATTCGCCTGTAGTTGCAATTTTGTATATGAAATTGACAATTGTTTTGATGGGGCCCAAGTCCAGCTAATGACGCCGATGGGAGACTTTTGCCCACGATGATTACCTCTGTGTGCCGGTGTAATGTGTAAATAAAAATATACTTCTGGCCGACTTCCTTGGCTTTTTCCCTGGTGATTGCATAACAGTCCTGACGGGCGCACAGATTATTAAGATATCCGATTGATAAATACTCTGAATGGGCGTTGTAATTACATTTTGGGGAATAATCACGAGATGAAGATTGGATTACCGGCTAACATTTATGTACTGGCTTATGCGACACTCTGTTTTGTCCTTAAGCCGTTCCTAGCACATGCCGGAAACTCGGGTATGCAGAAAACAGAAAACTAAATCGTGTTTAATTTACCAAAAAATTCTAAATTAAACACTTTTGCTCGAAAAGTCTTATACATTGCTAAACCATTTGTCTGCATACACGTGCAGATTTGTGTATCTATTAATAACGGAGCGCATTCTTTATCTCGAATACACAATGCAATTACTGCATAGTGAATTACTGCAAACTACTGGCAGTCTGAGTTTTGTGTAATATTCTCATACTTTCTGGAAAAATTTGACTTAAAGTTTGTAACGGTTATTGCCGCAGCATAATATTTATAAACGGCAAAAAGACTGCATAATTTAATTTTAGCGTTAGCATACAACACAGAAATGTTGACATACACCAGTTTTTCATTTAAGAACATGGTTTACCGAACTGCGTTAGCCAAATTTAATTAAATTATACGGGAAAAAAGTCGCGGTGTAATGTATCAGTTTATTACGAAGTTTACGTAAGAGAGCGCTGCGTGGATCATTACAGTATCGTGTTACTCTTTTTCAACACAGCTTTCCTAAAGCTGTTATGAAAATTCGAAAAACTTTAACAAAAATTATGAAGCTAGTGAGTAGTATTTTATTTGTGCTAACACACATGTATGATACACTATCGCGGGACGTATTCCCATTTGCCAATGCAAAAGTCTAGTACTGTATTATATAATTCTTCTCGGTGGTTTCCTTGTCTCTTTTATGATGAGCAAGAAAATCAGCGATTAATGATTACAGTAAATGTTTAGTTTGAACATGTGTATGGTAATAAATTCAGTTGTTTGCTGTTAGAAACAGTAATTGCTCAATTTAATATATTTTGCCCTGAATTAAATTTAGCCACGCCCACTTAACCATGGCCGATGAAAATATTTTTTTAATTATAACCAAGGGTTACTCCGTCTTGAAATTTTTCGGAGCCGGGAGCCGGTGACCGGGCCCTGGTGAGTTTTGTGTAATATTCGTATACTTACTTTCTGGAACAATTTGACTTTAAGTTTGTAACGATTGTTGCCGCAGCATAATATTTACAAACGGCAAAAAGACTGCATAATTTAATTTTAGCGTTAGCATACAACACAGAAATGTTGACATACACCAGTTTTTCATTTAAGAACATGGTATACCGAACTGCGTTAGCCAAATTTAATTAAATTATACGGGAAAAAAGTCGCGGTGTAATGTATCAGTTTATTACGAAGTTTACGTAAGAGAGCGCTGCGTGGATCATTACAGTATCGTGTTACTCTTTTTCAACACAGCTCGACGTGTGCCATCCCTAAAGACTGTTATGCCGGTATTCGGCCGGTAGTGTGTTTTAGTGTTGTGACAGTAAATTACAAAATAATTTTCCTTCAGGGTCTCTGTAAAGGCAACACTCGAATCTGTCAAGTGCAATTATACCATCAACAAAGCACATGGCAATTCACAGTGGCTAAACTGTCATTAAAAACTTTATATCCCTGTTCCCAGTACGTGATTGCTGCGTCCAGTCCGGGTTGCACGTTTCGGCTTGTCTCTTTTATGGATGACGCAAGTAGAAATTGTCAGCGATTTAATGGAATTTTGTAGTAAACGCTGTTTAGTTAGGCAGTTTCCAACATGTGTCATGTTGTTAATGGAAATTCAGTTGCATTTGCTGTTAGAAGAGGCGGTAGAACTTGCTCAATTTAATCTGCACCATCATTTTTAAAAAAAACTGCAACGGTACTATATACAAACCAACAAACACTGGTACGAAAAATTTTGAACATATGTAGTTACATTCACACATCTGATTATGGCACATTATAGTCAAAGACGGTGCGGTGTGCCCTTATATCTCCATGCATATCGCTACATGCGAATAAACTGTAGAGGTAGCATAAATATGATATACCGTAACTAATCTGGATGGAGAACATTAATTATTGCTGCTTGCATTTCGGATGTGGTGGTGTCAAGTAAATCCTTGTAATAGCAGCATTACAGAAATGCTTTTCGATGACGCGCATGTGCCAGTAGTCTATATTAATAGCTTGTCAGTCTGACATGGTTATGCCATTACGGATCATTAATTTTTCGGGCTCCGTAGTTGTGAATTGTGCTTCTCGTTAAAAGATGTGTGTTTCCACTGTGTTAACGATGTGTAATGCCGGCGAACAAGTAAAATTGATAAGGTGGCTCCTGCCGGTCGTAAACCGATTTATATTGTAATAGACGGCTGCATTAATCGATTAGTCGGTTAGTTAAGGGCCTGCTCCAGCCATGATTTTGTTAGAGAAAAATTATGGATTCCATTGAAAGTTCATGGAGGAAATCGAAAAGGGTGACGACGGATGGTTATCTGAAATCAATTAGTGAAACCTGTCAACAGACGTCTTCCGCTGCGGCTTCAGAGCATTGTACTGTGCTACTTAAACATTTGGCAAATAATTTCTCCATATTTAAATATGATCTTTTTTTCTTGAATAAATTTTTTTTTAGTAGGGCTACAGCCTCTCGTTCGTATACATTATACAGCACTATCATTCTCTAATTGGAGATTAATAATTATGTAATTTAAGACCTTGCAACTTATATACAACTGCTTATCCTATTTTGCACGCGCGGCGCATTTATATACAAGCGTATAGATATTACCATTTATTAGTTAACGGGCAGCCTTTGCATTTATTAATTTGCTGCTCCATTTCCTTTAACATAAAAACTTTTTTCCACGTAATTCTCAAAACCACTCCCAGAGGATGTAACCATGCTTCGCAGGCTGTACATACTGTTTCTTTTCAAGAAAAGTTTGATGAATTATCGGCGCACCAAAAAGAATATTTAAAAGACACCTACACATACAGTATAGTTACATAAGCTTCTCTTCAATGCAATTATTGTGCATAGCTATGTACCAATACACATCCATTCTTCCGTTTTTAAATACCGGTAGAAATTTTGTGAATTGTATTCTTACAAGCCTTTATTACTTTTTGCAGCAGCAAAGGGTTTCCCGCGCGTTAGGGAATGCTACGAGTGCACCAGTGGTGTAAATGACGGCTGCGACGATCCTGCGCGGGTGGCTAAGTGGGCGTTCCCCTGCCCGGAAGGGACGCAGGGCTGTTTGAAGATGAAAGCGCCAGGATGTAAGTCAACCAGAAAAATATTCTTGTGTTAATATGTATCTGGTTTGTGCGATGTGTTTTGCATAAAGTGTGGAATAATAATGTACAATAGCCGATTATTTAAATAGAAAGGCATATAGCATACGGTTGCAACATGTGCATATAGTCAATTCGCGTCGAAATATTGTGCATGTCTGATCGGGGAAATGGCTACGGCGAGTTACGACCGACCCCTGCACTGATCTTTTAATCCCCTAATAAGGCTTTTGTTCGCCCCGGCAATCGTGTAACGAGGCGTCCAGCTGAGAGTTTAGGGCTTAATCGGTGCACAGTGGAATATGCCATTAACTTTTTGCTTCTCGCTCCATGGCCATCGTTTTTATGCCGTTTTTCCATGCAGAATATAGAATAAGAAAATGTAATTATGCTTTAAATACGCGTTTTCAGCACAAAAAAGGCCAGCTGTACAATATGTCCCGAGTAAAACAGTTTGTAAAAAAAAGTTAGCTAAACGTTAGTTAAAGGCCAATATTCGAACATGTTCGAATTTTGGCCTTTAACTAACGTTTGACTAACGTTTAACTAACGTTTTTTTTACAAACTGTTTTACTCGGGTGTATAGATATTTGTATCGTGGACTGTATACTTTTTATTCGCGTCAGTAGCAACAAAATTTGTCACACGTTTTACATAAATCGTGAGAAACTAAAAAATTTGTATCTGTAATTGCTGCTGGTATGTGCGGACAGCGGACATTATCCGGCATTTGTATACTTAGCATGTACTACAGTAACTATATGAGAGATCTCGAAGCAACGGTAACTGCATTTCAAAAACAACTTACGCTAAGCGAATTGCTGTTATTGTCTTATTTAAACAAAACTTTCGATGGTCCAGACATACGTACTTCTAATTTATGAGAACTTTAGCAATACGTAGTTTCAATTGTAAGTGATTACGAACGGGATGCTGTACGTACTTGAAATAGGAGCACGTAGACAGAACAGCATGGTCCGTGCGCTAACTTTTTAAATTTTATGTCGATTGTTTTACTGCGTTGTTTTAAAAATTAATCATGGTGTCCATTTAATTATCAGCGTTTTTAAACTTTAAAATTTATTATTATACTTTCCAATCGTCAGATAATTTATGGAGTAAAAAAAAAGTAGCCATAAAGCAATTAAGCAAATTTTTTCGGTGCTATCACGCTGCAAAATTGTATCAATGATCTGCAGTCTGCGAAATAACCAGTGCAATCGACCGCAGGGATGAGATCAAAATGCAGAACATATGGTGAAAATTATCGGTTGTTTATTTTTAGCTCCTTTGATACGCTCATGCGGGAATCCCCATGACAGTCCGGTGCCGATCAAGGATGGCTGTGTTAATAAACCGGGAGTCGGTATCATATGTTCCTGCTCAACAACCAACCTTTGCAATGCTGCCGCGCCGGCTTCCTTCAGGAACTTCAATCGAGCGTTTTTTTATATGCGCATTCCCTTTCTTAATTTTCATATTGTTATGACGCTTGCGTTCTCTATACTGTACTATGCCTATTTGTTGTAAGGTTATAACTATCCGGCTCTGCCAAGCTGTCATCGTTTTTGCTAACTAAAATATCAGCCCATATAATATCGCACGCCAAATGAAGGAGAACGATGCGGCAGTATTAAGCAGTTGATAATTGTCAGATCCTTCAACGAATCATTGTGATATTTATCCGAAGCCATGTTTTGTTGCGCATGTTTTTAGTTAACAGTTGACGAATTCAATAAATGTAAAGTTCTGCGAGTATACATATCCTGGTTAACTTGAGTTTTAATTTACATGGTCATTACTAGCAGCTTCTTGAAGTGAGACTATAATCATACAAGAATCTTTGCTTTTCCTGCAGCAGAAAAGCTACCAGTGCTATGCACGATATTGCGAATGTATTAGCCTTTTATTGCAAACAATAAAGGGTAAAGCTAGTGTCAAACTCTACAAAACAGCGCTAATACACTTTTGATTTTTCGAGTATTATAATGCTTGCTACAGAGTGGCGTTATATAGTCTCGCGTTAAACGTAGGCAAAACGATTAGTGCAGCTTTAAAGCTACGCTACACATATATTATATGCTATGCTATACAATTTATCATAGATTTAATATTAAAATTTATCATAGATTTTGCCTGTTTGACCGCTCACTTTTTTGTTATCCTGTCGGTGATTTAATAGATGCGAGTATATATACAGTTGTTGCAGTAGCTGCGAAAACAGTCCATGCGTGCTTTCATCCATGTACTCGTAACAATAATCGTATAAGCAGGAACAAACGCTTAATAATGCACTATAATTTGAGGTATAATCACTACCAGTCATAAAAAATCTGGAATCCGTTCGGTACTCGAGGGATACACATTAACACTGCTGAGACCGGTATTCTCTGTATCTCTACGCAATCCTACATCCATCATTATATTTTCCCGGTTGGCAACGTAAGAAGATATGCCGCTTATCTTCTGACGTACAGCTTTGACGCCGTTTCCAGAAATGAATTTCTTCTGTATATGCACAGCTGATGATACCGTAGGGAACTGCCTCCGTCTTGCAATTGACGACGGTAAAAGGAGGTGTGGCGATTCCGGGTAGTAAGCATTGTGAAAAAAGGTTTGCTACTTCAGGAAACGAAAAGAGCGTGCAAAATGCTACCGTCTGTGGACAATAACACCGCCCGCAAGAAAATAATGGTCGATGATTCTGGCACACGTCTGATAAAGATCCTAACGGTTTGCAGCTGTATAATAATGCGGCCACATAAGATTTTCTCAACGACAGTAGTTCAGGAGTTTGTTTATTTGATTCTACGTAACGACTGATAACCTAACCAACGGAAGCGATTGTCGCCTGACCGGCGACCGAGTTTAAATAATTCACTTAATTTAATAAATCTGGACACGTATTTAGTTTTTACTTTTCATCAAAACACTTGCACACGAACCTCGATTTCATGCGTTAATAATTAGTGGCGCTCCGATTTGTATAAGAGCAGGAAAAAAGAGGTCGAGATTTAAATGCACAACTATAAGTGTAGCGCTCTATACGTGCTGTTTACTCAGCTTTCGGGATTTTTTCGCCGAAAGACGCAGTCAATAATTGAATGAAGAAAGTCATAAAGTGGATGATTTGAAAGGCTCTCTCTAAGGTGCGGCAGTTCGACAGAATCGATGTCGATAAAACAAATTAGCACTAATTAATCAAATTAATTGTTCAGCATGTGCGTGCTGTTTGATGTTCAAACGGCTACTTCAGGAATAATTACGAATTATGCATGTAGACAACGAGCCAAAGCAAGATAAAGGGGAGCATATTTTACACTGAGTTATGTATTTGTATTTCACAATATTATCATATGTAGAAGACTGCCGCTTTTGCATTTTCGAAATAAAATACGCAGTGCGCATTTGCAGCACATAAAAGCGCAGCAGACTTTACTTTGCGGTTTAGCGTAACACAGGTCTATACTCTGTGCATATCATAATTTTGTACACTATGTTTGTGGTTGTGAGTATTTGATTCAGCTATTACCTTCATATATGGTCATTGTACATATTTACTTGCACTGTTGTGCCGAAAACGGTGCGTTAATGAGAGCAGGAAAAAGCTGAATACAGCCGTATAACAGTATGACGTACATTACAGAATAATCTTTATGAAAAACGAACAAATGGAATATCTCTCGTAAAGGTCACCCCGGGTGAATTGGGCGAGCGGCGCCACAGTGCGAAGCAAACGGAAGTGGCTACTACGCCGATGATCAACATGCCTACGGCCAGACCGGCCATTTCCGATATAGAATAGCCAGGCTTACTCGGCGCCACGAGCAGTCCCGGGGTCTGTCGCATTTCCGGTGGAATTTGCAATGACGGAACGTCACGCTTGGAATTCGTTGCCGCTACAGTTTTAGGATTAATCATGGTGCCATCCAAGTATGTTTTTCCTACAGAAACAAGTAAATTTGTATTGTGTCACACACACACCGGTATTCAGACGGAAACGATAGTCAGATTTGTTTCCTATTGCGATAAACCTTACGAATACATCTAATACTAATAGGGTTTGCTGTTTAAATAGGATTACGGATGAAATTACTAATTGCAGAAGTACAAGTACATCATATGCAATCATATGCAACGTATCATATCATACGTATCATATCATATCATATGGTTATATCATATACGACGATGTATCGACAGCGCACCGACGTGGAAGACACGATATCGGAATAATTAGCTGCTCCGCTAATAATGTCATCCGTTAAGGCCGCCAGATCATCACAGATATCAAACGCCAAACATCCATCATCTCCCAGCTGACGGATGCACTCCTGAGCGCAATGCCAGCGCTCCAGAGCTGGTTCAATCTCGCGCTGAATTATTTCCGTATCACCCGCAATAAACAGTTCATATCCGGGCGCGATTTCGAAATCATTGACATAATTGCCTGTTGACAAATACTTGTTGACCATTCGCACCGGAAATTCAAAATAACACAAAAAAGAAATTTCAATATGTGACAATACGTTAATTTAAATTCAAAGGGTTATAACTTGTTACCGGTTTACATTAAAAAAAAGGCTTTCAAATTACATTAAGAGAAACAGCAGATATTTGCATTTTTTTAGTTAGTGGTAGCTTCACTTACGGCTCAAATGCCAGCAACCCGGTTTGTACTCCCTTTCGTCGTGCATTACGTCGAATGCGTGACTTTTAAATAGCTGGCATTCGTGTTGAAATTTCCCGGTGGTTTTCCGGCTGCTACCGATGGACAAACTGGAGACAGTAGAACCAGAACCCGCTTGCACGCTCGTGGAACAGAACGAAAACGATTCACATGTCATATTTCCAAACAGACATTCTTTTGCACAGGTGTCCTCATTGCTCACACTGGTTATCACCTGGCAAAATTAAGTCTTTTTATTTTATAGAAACAAAAATATGTCTTTATACGCAGAGATTTGTATAGGTTGGATTACGTATTGGCTCAGCCACATCGCAATTTGTGTTGCACATGTAGGAAACAGACATTAAAATAATTAAAAACACAGAAGCGTTGAAGCATAGAAGCGTTGTCGGCCGCTAAAATTAAGGATACGCAAGCATTCCGAAATTGCAGACAGAGCAAACTCATTTCGAGATACCTTTAAAGCAAAACCTAAAAAAGTTCGGAGTATAAATAAACGGGTATTTGTTTTCCGCTTTTATAGCAGTACTGTAACTTTGCATGGATCCAAAACTTCGGGTCTCTTTTAACATTGTCATTTTGTGTTCTATTTTGCGAGACATTCTCATAATTCTGTTATCCCCTTAGTTTTCTTTACACCGTTTTGCACCTACCATATCTGGAGGCGATTTGGGCACGAGTAAGCTAGCCAAGGTGAACATGCCTTTCCATGTGCGCGTCCAAATGGCACAATGGGAATGTGCGCTGATGCTGGGTTTGCCGCTGATGGTATTGAGCAGTTCATCTCCGTGTAAATGGGACACGACACAATCCCCATATGCACACGAGGCAACGGATTGACACACGAAACGTTTCTCATCCAGACAATGCTGTCGGCACTCAGCTGGGGATAATTTTGAAAACGAATCCTTAACACCCGCATTAACGATCATGGCGTGACCTTTGTAGAAATCAAAGGATGTTCTCGAATCCGTTGCTGTCGCTGTAACGAGTATGAAAAAGCTAATTCAAAGCTGCTGTATGACTAAATGCCATTTGCAGGTGTCTATAGTCTTTCTTCTCTGTACTTGCACAGTATAAGTGACCAAGATCTGTCTACAGAACAAGAAATTATTTTGATATTTTGTTTATCGGTATTAGGTTATGCTTACGGGTAATACTGTCGTCGTGCAAAGAAACATCTGTGCGCATGTCTTCCGCACTAACATTGACCCCAGTCACATTGTTGGCCACACTAATCGTAAAATTTCCGGCTTGAATGTCCACCAAAACTTTGAACAGCGTTTCCAGCACTCCTCCGTCGTACGTGGATGAATTAATTATTCCTGTGTTCAATATAGTATATCTTTAGCGTAAATTAAAATATAGTAACATATAGCGAAACTTCGGAGAACATTACTGTAGCCCACTAACATATATGAGTAATTCAAATTTATCTATATTTGTACGGCAAATGTGAATTTGATTTAGGAGTAGGTAAATACGCTCAGATATGTAGTCCGTACAGTAATCCACTTATCATGTTAATGGTTATTATGATCATCTTCTTTGAGTGTTTGCTTACGCTGATATACATCGCAAACAAACAAATCCGATCCCGGTGCGGGCAGCGCGGGTGCCACACGGGGACTCTCGAAGGCAAGGATGCAGCGTCGTAATGAACTCTTGTCGTCTCCGTTTTGCCGGGCACACCAACCGAACTTATTACAGTTGTCGTTCTGGCGGTCGCAGTTTGCGGCACAACTACTGAGCTGCTCGTGGGCCGAGGAGAAGAACTCACTGTTGGGCAGCCGGGTGACGCTCTGCGCTACACCGTTCTGGATCAGCGTATAATGCAGCAGGACAGGTGGGCGGGGCAAAATAGTGGCGGTGATGTACATGCTGGTGGTGTCCTGGCTGAAATACATACCTATAAATACATTTCCCTTGACAGTATCAATTTTTTAAAATAAGTGAGAACTGATAACTATTGCAGAAAATTAAATTTAAAACATTTCATAAAAATTGTTTTGTGCAGTATATAATATGAAATCGTGAGCAAGTGCGCACACAAGGGAGCAAATATTTTTCAGCTAAAAAATCCAAAACATTTTTGCCATTCAGATTCCTTTGGCTTACCTATAGCGCGCACAGGACTGATATCCCCGATTTTCACGATACGTTGCAAAACCTTCTTCCGGAAAGGTTGAATGAATTGATCGGCCCGCAGTCCTTACAACAAAAATTCATACATAAACACAAAATATTGTGTAATCTCTCATTTTTTAATTACTGTCCTGTCCACAATTCCTACCGGTAAAATTGCCAGGAAAGCGAATCTGAATACTTTCCCGTGTTTCCAGTTTTCCTTTTGGAATACAGCTGGAGATGCTAAAATCGTAGACGGTCGGCACGGTGGGCACCGTGAAATCAAAGAAATTTAAGATAATCCGCGGTGTACGGGCCGGCGCGGTCAGACTCCCAATGGACGACACCAAAAAGATGGCACGCTGCACGGGAATGCGGTAGGGCACTTCACCGACCAGATAGCGTGCGAACTCCTTGGACATATAGTACAGGCGGTGGAATGTCTTGACCACGCCGTAACCGGGTACGTAGTACTTATCCACCGTGACCTCCCAGACGTCGCATGGTATTCCCCGAATGATTTCCTAAATTGGTTTAGAAAAAGTCGGCCAGATGATAATGTGGTTACAAATATTGTTATCTATAGTAATTATACCGCTCTGTATACCGTGGTTTTATTTAAAACTCGCGTGCTGTTGTCCATGGAGAAGAGCTGCTTGGGATGGATAGTGCGCAACAAGTGGTGCAGTGTAATATTGCCAGATGAAATGTAGCGACGCGGATAGCGGAAGTCGGGGGTATTTGTTGCGTTCTGGTCGGTTAGCAGGTATCCCAATGGATACATCGAACAGTTGGTCAGTGTTCCGTCAATGAAAAATGCAATACCTGCATATAATAATTTAACGATAATATAATCAGCAATAATACTGCACCGTCAGCTGTCTTCTGTAGATATTTATATATACTCGCATTTTGACGATATAAAATTTTAACTTTTGACAGCTTTTGTTGCGGTTACGATATTTACCGTTGCCGAAATCGTGGATCGTTTTCATCGGCCGTGTCATATTAAAGGGCGCCATAATGCGACCCAGTGCAAAATCATAACGTGTCAGATTCAGCTCCTCATCCCAGAACATGTAAAACTCTCCACCAGTTTGTCTTCCGGCAGGACCATCTCGATTTTCACCGATAGCTGCTTGGGTGCGACAGGGAACTCATCGGGATAACTAACGGGCTCATTGCGCCATATCACCCGTCTCCATGTCACCTGTCCGTCGGCGAAGAGTGCCGTGTGGATGATGATTGTACAACACGATATAAGGAGGGTGTGGTAGAGCTGCGAGGCTCTGACTGAAAGAATCATCGTCTCGGTGTGTTGTACATAGAGCAAATTTTGCGGGGAAGCCGGTCAGTACAACGATAATAATATTCCAGGATATTGTGAAAATGTTAGTATCGTAATCCAGCTATCAAGATATTTGTCTTTCTGGGAATAATTGCAGTTCGGTAAAAGACAGGATTAACGCTATTTGGTAAAGGAAATGTTTTCATAGTTCTTCGAAATATGCAGTGAGCCACATGATATGCGGTAAGTTTTGTACATGTAAAACCGAGATTGACCAATTTGTACTTGCTCGAATGTAATGATTGCAGTCGGGCTGTGTTTAGAATTCCTGACAAGCACTAGTCGGCTCGCATAAGACGTTCGTGGCGCATGTCCGATTTTATCAAAAACATGATAACACCGCATATGTACTCGTATACCATAGCCAAAACTTGTGCACTATGAAACGCTAGACCAGATTTTGGATATTGTCGAAAAGCGAAACATACGCAATCATATTACAGTACGTGAGTTCAATGCGCTCATGGTCCAGTTCGAATACAGTACGGCAGACAATAACAGGCATGTGGCTTGTCGATATTTAGATGTATTGTTTGACATACTCTTCAAAAACACAACTAATTTGCAATTATCACCAATACGTTCTAAAATGTCGGCATCGAACAGAAATTTGTTATATAAATAATTTCATTCACGTTCATGAAAAGCAAAACGTGTTGTCCTTAACACTTTGGATATATTAAAAAACAGTGAGATGTTTGTGGTCGTTAATACGTTCTTGGATCATGTTCACAAGAATCCGCCCACTTTCAAAGGTCAACTGGGAGTTTTCCATCAAATGGTCATGTACACACCGCACAGTAGAAAAAATTTTTAAACGGTATTATTTGTTTTGATTTCAAATTCTTTTATTTATAGAAAAATTGCACAGAAAACATTTATAAAAACACGTACGGACTCGACTCAGAGTCGGAGCTATTACAAACGCAAAGGGACATAACTACTATGACCGCTCATGTACAGTACTGCCAAAACATACTGACACTCACGAAACGACGAAGAATAATTAAAGTGCATGTCTCCCTTTTACTAACGGACATTGAGCATATTGACTGTATATGTACATTAGATATACATAACGAAAAATCAGCATCCTGTTCTAGCCAGATTTCGCGTCCGAAAACCGTACAAATCCAATTTCTCTAACGGGAAGGAAACGCTTGGAGATGAAAAATACAGCCACCAACTAGACCGCAGCCGGCGATAAGCATACTCAGCGCCAAAACGGTCATATCAGTGGCCGAATAGCCGTGACCGCCAGCCACGCATACTTGCGTGATAATATCGGAGCGCTTATCAAGCTTCGTGACTTTCGAACTAGCACTTGTCCTTTCTGTTACCGGACTGCCATCCAGATATTTCGACCCTGAAAATGAAGCATGCTCTTAATTATTAGGGTGATTATTATCACTGAAAAAGGCATAATCGATAACTTTTAAATTATTTCCTTAGGTGTTACGACGACGTAAGAGGTGTTACGACACAAGATTGAAGTACTGAAGCCATAGTTAAGTTAAAGTAAGCACCGCAATCATATCATGCAGTTTGTTAAAGTCATCCAAGCGTTAGCAGTAAATTTGCGTAAATATGACGGAAATTGCCACATTGTCTCATTCGTTGATGATTACGTACGTGAATACACAGTGCAGGCATCGTTGGAATATGTTATATTAGAGGGCTTTTTCCGGTTTGTGGATACGAAAACCGATGAAAATCTACACCGGTTGGTGGAGTCAGGACTGCGTGCCGCATTTCCGGGGTTGTTCAAGCAGATTTCCATGGACAGACAACCGCTGTCCCCCAGAATATCAATGCATGCCTTGGCACATCGCCATTCGCCCAATCGAGCCGGCACTTCGATTTCGGCGATTTCATGGTCTTCCCGCTTGGTTAACGATAAGCCACGAAGTGACTTGAAACTGGTTAAATAGTTTTCTACAAAAAGTATTTTAAAGTAAACCACAATTTCTTCGAAAAATTTGCAATCTGTTTAAGTGCAACGTATGTCAATGTAATGCAGCAACTTACGCGTGTAGTACGAACAGGTTACATTGGTAACCTCTTCAGCCGGATTTTCTTCCGGCTGATCGAACACATGCTGGCTGTAGAGCATACAAGTCGATTTCTGGGTTGTTGCAGTTTGACCTTTAGCACAGTAGACGAATGATTCGCAGCCATCGGCTTCCGTGGAAAATGTACATCGCTTCGCACACGTTTCTTCTCTCTCAACAAATGCCAAGTCTGTCGAAGAGGTAACAGGTGGTAATGACCGAAAAAAGGCAGGAGAAACCTTGATGTATTCATTCGTCCATACTCCTGCAACATTCGGTCTACGTCAAAGACTTTAGTCCCTGTACCAATTTGGTTTCATATGCACCTACTTATCTGTATGTTGCACATTTCGCATAGATATTATTTTGGTCATTGTATACACGGTTACAGTAAAGACGTTGCAATAATTGTAATTTCTACGTATAACGAATGCAGTAGTACTTTGCCATAAATAGTTATGTTGATCAACTTACGCGACCAAATAGCGCAGTGCGAATGGTTGGCAATTAAATTGTCGCCTTTGAGAACTATCTCATCGCCATGGTACTCGGTCAGTGAGCAGTCTCCGAAACCGCATATCGAAATGGACTGGCAAACAAAACGATCCTCTTGCAAGCATTTTTCCATACACTGCTTATTGGTCAGCTTATTAAAGGTCACCCGCGCTGTTCGTAACACCGAGTAAGGTCTATACAGACTGAATGTCTCCGCTTGTTTTTCTGCAAGAAATTTCGCAATCAGTATGGGTTTTCACCGACATAAAGTGCATTTAAAGTGTGTAATTACGTGCTAAGGAAAGCCACTAGCTTATGAAAAGAACGTACTAGCTAAGGTAGTACATAAAACAGTAATGATATTTTATGGCACACAGTAAGTAATAGCGGATGTACCTCCTTTGGTTGTTGACATCAGTGACACATTCCGTCGTATTTGATCCGCGATCAGGGATTTATCTCCGCCCGCTTTCAGGGAAAACCGTCTTTGTATGACCAGCTGGCCTAATGTATCCAGTGCCTCCGTTACGTCCGGTTGTGCATCTTTATCGGCGTATTTCCCTACAAAAAGGTTTTTAGTTTTAATTCACGCTTTGCACATCATCGGACAAGTAACTCACTGAATTTCACGCATACCTCGATAAAATTCGCAGTTATGCAGAACGTTTTGTTCGCCGGCACCGTCCACATTGGTGTCCGGCTGCAGCACGCAGGTATACATCTTCCAGCTGGTGTTGCCCGGGCACCATGCAAACTGTTTGCACTTCTTATCCGACATACATCGTTCAGCGCAGGTCTGAATAAGCATTTGAAATCCCAGTTCAAAGGCCCTGCCGCCGGTGGACTCCTGTACTCCGACACCTTGAAATCGCACTGGTGCGGTGCCAATCATTTTATCGTAGAAGTTGGTCGGATTAGGTCGGGGCAGAATAACAGTCGTAAAATAACTATTCCAATCGTCCCAGCTCCAGAAGTTTCCTGTTGGGAAACGTATATCGTGTATCGTGAAGAGAAAGTCCAAAATAAATTTATACAAAATTCAGTATAAATATTTATGAAATGAAGGGTTACTTGCAAGTTGTGATGCACTGTAATAATTCTCGAATAAACAGACCAGAGTGTACTATACAGGCACTTACTGCATTAAATAAATAACGCCAGTATATACATAAAATTATGGGAAACGGTGGTAGAAATTAGCTATCAAAATATTCGCACGATTCGAATTAAATTTGTTTTAGCTCAGTATGTGGACAAAGAAACATTCATAATAAATGCACTAAGATATAGCAATAAGCTATAGTTAGAAATAAGCATTTTGCAGTTTTCGTACTTATGCTATGGGCTAACATAACGCGTAAGCTACTACTTCTGCAGATACTCGCACGTTCACGGCATCACGCATAGACGTACTGATTACTGAAACATTTAATTCTTATATAAACCAGCGACAGCTTACTGGCATCACTTTTGATTTTCGTCAATGGGTTATGGTATAATCAACGCAACAGAATTTAAAATTTTAATTGCTAGTACGATTTTTTCTGTGTTTCTGAATCAAATATCATTTTGACCTTCCTTTATTAATAAATCCTTCTTTTGCGCGTGCCGTGCTCGTACCTATACTACGCAGTGGAGATATTCCCATGGCTTTGGTCATTTCCTTCCACATTTGCCGGCGCACTTTCAGCACCGCCGGATCCTGATCCATGGCTAATAAACTCATTCCCACATTGGTCCTCCAGCCGGGAAAGCGTACCATAATTTCCTCTGTCGGCTCCGTTTTGACATTATTCAGACAGGACAAAACACTGAAATCGTATAGCTTCGGACTGGTAGGCGCATCAAAGTCGAAATAATTAATGGTCATCACAGGATCCGATTCATTGTCTTGGAGATAAATCGCGCGCTGCAAAAGGACGCCTTGCCGGTCCGTACCCTTGTAATACTTGCGGACGGTGCCGGCAAGAGTGCGCAAGGTGTGGTGGGTCTTGCGATAACCATAACCGGCTAGGTAAAAATCGCTCATATCGGCGGACCATACGTCCGACTGCATGCCGCGCGTGAGATCCTGCACAAGTAATGTGATGTCTTTAAATTATTCAGAAAAAAGCTTTATCTGAATACATAGGATTAAGAAACGAAGTTTATTCCAAGCATGTTATTATTTTTCGTCACAAAATTTTTACGAAATTTTATTGTTCCAGTTAAAAGTTATTTAGATCAACATTTAAACACTGGTGCCTCATGCAGGTATATATAAGCCGATTGTACCTTCTTTGAAAAGGTCAACATTGCGTTCGTGGAAAACAGCTGCTCCGGACTGAGCATGCGAACTAGCGAATGTGTACTAATATCCGTTGCGGTTCCGTTAGGATCGGCATAGCTAATACTGCATAAATTCGTTGTTGTATCAATATCGTAGATTGTACCTAAATAAACAGTAAATTCTTCTAAGAAGTTTATTATTGTGTTACCGCATGTTAATGAACGTTAGCGATGTAGAATATGCAAGGTTAATTTTATTAGCACGGCTCTTGGTATTAAAATTGCATATCTCCTACCGGTATTGAAGTCCCAGATTGTCCTTATGGGATTGCTAGTGTGGTAGGGCGGCACTTTGTTGTCCAGTGTGTATTCGTATTTGACTAAATTCAGATCACGATCGTACATAATATGGAATTCCTCCACGAGATTCTGATTAAGCAGCACCAGTTCCACTTTTGCCGTAAATTGATCCGGAACTGTCAGAAAATGCCGTCCGTCCACTTGCTGACCGCCGGCATAATTCATCAACACCATCAAGGTGTTCAGAAAGGAAGCCATTTGCCAGAAATCCACTAAAGAATTGACCGTTTTAGACAGCAGTCAACTATTTATCATTAAAGGCAACAAAACTGCAACTCCAAATCGACATTCATAACGGCTAACCGGCTGACAAGTCAGGATACAAAATAATTAACACATGCCGCATGAATGGTAAGGGTTAGCTTAAAATTATTGAATCATCACCAAAGACTATTGCATTCATATCCAAATTAGCTAGCAGTATGAGGTCACGAACGACTGGATTAATAAATCTGCGCTTATTTTTTTGAATATTAGTAACGCGTGAAGCGTGCTGGCGCTCATACAGAGTTTTCAAAATTTAAGGTCACGAAATGAACCGTAACTCAATTATCATTAGGCTGTTCAGTTCTGATAGCGCAAATTCTGGTTATGTGAGCTGCAGACATAATAATATGGTAAAGAAAAACAGTTTTCAAATAACATCAGGTAAGACATCCCCATAAGTGCGTATAAAAACAAGCGGTTTAATTGGTCAACACCCAGATTTAAGAATGATAAGTGGCTCAGTTTTTATTTGATTATGGCGTAAGCCACTGACTATAATTTAAGGACTGCACATGCAATAACAAAATCAACGTTCGACCCCAATATAAACCGGTGGTCATGCGCGCGACGTGATTGCGAATCTACTACGGGCATGCGTCGTCCGATGGCGATCAGCTATAGTAAATTTCTGAAAGACCACATGCACCAGGAGGAATCTGATAAACTCTAATGAAGTTAATTACCACAGTTTACATGCAACACATATTCTCCGAAACCACTTTAAGAAATAGGTATAACAAGACACAAGGCAACATTCTTCGCACAAATCTAGCAGATTCGAAGTTTGTAAGGTACCGTGATGACTTTAATGCTTAAAGGTCAATACTAATTTTTTGATATTAGACAAAGTTGTAGAAATCACAATCCCAGAGCTTGATTGTTCATCTCTACCCTGTCTTCGTATTCCCTAAATGAAAACATAGTGCTTATCTCTTTGCTATTTCGCCTTATGAAACGCGCTTCAATGTAAATGAGTAATGCTGCAAAGAAAAACATGTTTAAAATTATTATTATTATTACTTAGTAAAAAAATTAGAACAAGTCGGCATTTACATTTTTTAGCCAAGTACAATTAAAGAAACCCGGCAGTTGGAGAGTTGTATGCACAAGTGTGAAACGTGTGGGATTGAGGGTAACATAGAAAGTCTATGAAATATGTAGTATTTTACTGTGGTAATATCTATCTATCAATGCCATCGGCATTAACTGCAGATAGAATATTTGATAATCTGTACGAGTATGTCACAAATATTTATATGGTATTAGAAGAGTAGAAGGCTAGCAGCATTGCAGCTGCACGAGCTATAATACAGATTAAGTACTTATTTTCAAGCCAAAACGGATTAGTTGGCTCGCTTGCTGAAGCATTCCACGTTTACGTTACACGTGTAAGCATCGAGAATAGGAACTTACATGCGTTTTGTTAAACATTTCCGCAGGTAAGTACGCAAATGTTGCATTTTTATTTGCAATCACATATTTAGCGTTTCTTATCACAATGTAACCAAAGTGACCTCAAGCAGTCAAATTTCAATTTGTAATCAATATTTCTGATAGCATTATTAAGACAATAATACTGCCGTTTACCCTTATCACGTCTTCTGATTACGACCACCAATAAAAAATGTCAGTCAGCAGCAAGGCTACTCTAGTATGTAGAAGACAAAGTATACGTTGCCTTCCAAACAAACCTATAAAAGCTTCAATTTCCCGGTAGCTTAATCGTTTTTAAACGGCATATTAGATCAACGTTTCGTTGTCGGCACTGAAAATTTCGAGTTAAAATCATTTGTTTTCGATTTATTTTATTTGTATCAAAAACAGTTAACAATGCGTCTGCTGGCGATTTTCTCAATTTTCTTTTCGGCCTGTCTAATCGTTAATGCATCAGGTAGGATTGCACTAACAAGTATTATAGTTTGCAAGGCACGGTATAATTTAGATTAAATAAGTATATTTAAATAAGATATGCACATTTAAATAAGTATACAGTATCTGTTATTCTGCGGAATGCACAGGGAACAATTTCAACTGTAAACGTATTAGTCGTTGGCCATGGGTAGTATTATTAATTACAAGAACAGTAAGTACAGTATAAACGTTCGTGCAGTTGTTGTACTATGTAGTTGACAGAGTGATCAACATACATGCCCATAATTTTTGAGTGATCAACATACATGCCCATAATTTTACTGTAAAAAGTTGTACTAGTACGAGTACATATTAATTTTATCCTAGCACAGCAAAATTTTGGCACTAGTAGCGATATCTTATTGTTAAGGGGCAAACTTTATTAATTTGTCATTACTACTGAGCCTGCTTATATCTATATAATTACGTAGATCTACAAAGTATCTGCAGCTCGTACCCTAGATATGCTCACATATTGCACTAACCATGATTAAATGCAGAAACTGAAAGTGCGAAATATTGTTCCGTCCTAACTGTAAGGTTTTAGCGAATAAGTAGCTGCAATTCTGCGATGGCTTTTTTCGTGATAACCGTTGCCAACAATTATAATTGTTTGTTTCAAGCTTCAGCCATGAAAATTGGATAATATTTGCACATGAACTAAGAGATTTTGTGTTGATTGCAGCGCTTGAAAGTCGAAACGTTTGTTTGCTAATGACTAATCTACATGGAAGTAATGTATATATATCCAACTGGTGTCAACGTTTTAAGCGTGCTTACTGACTCACACATGACTCCGAAAATTAATTAGTTTTTGAGATTTAAGTCATACTGTTACAGAAGTAGGGATTTAATTTTGGAAAAATCGTGTTACGATTTTTAATCCATCCTGCAGGCGGTGATTGCGAGGGAATTCCCGAGCTGCGTAATGCAAACGCCCAGACAATCAGCTAATCTGCAGTTACATACTTTAGTTTACAGTAGTTACCATAATATCGTCTGTATATGGATACGACAGAATATTATGTCGGGTCTATAGGATATTGTGTATGTTCTTGAGCAGGTTTTATATTACGTACAACAAAGCATGCAGTACATATATCGGCAAGAAGATTCACAATTGTTATAATCATTTTCAAGATAACCTTGGTCCCTATTACTCGTACATAATTAGAGTGTACATATTGCACAAGAGTGAATAACTTCTTACAGGGGCGTGTGTATCGTAACTGTGTGCTGCGAATACATAATTGTCTGACAATTACGGGCTGGCAACGTACATATCGGGAATGCTTAATTTTTGATTCTGCTAAGCGTTTCGATGATAAAATCTAACTATACCGTGTTTTCTTGTACGTAATGATTACTGAGTACCACAGAACACTCTATAATGCAGATGTTCATAATCTTAGATATAATGTCAGATAAAGCAGGGTACGTACTAAATCAGTATTTCAAAATACTTACTTTTCCACCGAAAAAATAGCGAAAGGTCGGTCAGGAGAATTTGGCGGTAGGCACCGGTATCTTCTATCTGCCGCGTGCAAATTTTAATATGGCGCAGAGCTAGAGACGCCTTTTAATGCACGATGGTAAAAATTGCAAGGACGACGGCCAAAAATGGGATGTATACGAACGTGAGTGAATAACAATGATAACGTATTTCCAAGAGAGCTTAGGCAAAACAACGTCAGAAGAAGGTTACAAAAAACTATTTTGCTTGTCCGATTCGAAGAAATGTTAGCTCTAAAACGAAAACAAATTAGCTAATATTGCTATAATTATAGCTCAATGTAAGCAGCCTTTGCTAATATGTGGATAGCAAAGTATCCTAGTGCGTAATTCTTTTAATGCGCCGGTGTAACACGCATTCGAATACGGACACCGAGCAGGTCAGTTTGTACGATATTGATATTCCTTTTTTTAACCTAACCGGGAATCGTCGTCCACCAATTGCAATACCGTTCAAGACTACACGCGCATGTTAACCTAATTTCAAGGTTGGCAACGAACTAGTCGTTTGTTGCAAATAATCACACAAAATCTGGGGTCAAGTTGCACTGATTGTGTCCTATTTTCCTGGAGAAAAACTCATTAGAAGCGCGTCAATATTTTAAAATTCTGGTGTATGCATATCAATAAACAATAAATACAATACAATTACGCTGAACTAACGTTCTGTATTAATAAAAGCGCAAGATTCACCTACTGTATAATTAAAAATGTCGGTCTTTTGCGCAGATGCCACCGATGAAAAGAATTTACCCAAGGAATGCATTTGCACAAAAATCTATCTGCCGGTTTGCGGCTCTGATGGTCGAACGTACGGCAATCCATGCACACTGGACTGCGAGCGAGTTCGAAGACATTCAAGTAAGACATTAATTATGGGAGAGATACAACCAGATTTACAGTTTAATACGCTTATAGTTAATTATTCATTGATGTTAATGTACATAAACCATACAATGACAAAAAGTTTTCAACTGCTGATATTGCATTTGCAGATTTGAAAATAGATCATGGAGGCGAATGTTAGCGCTGGAGCGGCTGTGTAAGGGCTTGAAACCTCCTTAATTACTCGGCGTTTTCGTTATTTTGTTCTGCGAACACCCTCACCATTTTATTAAATCGCTACCCTAGTCATCTGATTATACATGATTCCTATCGGGCGACATTATACCGGATGTGCCGGTTTAAACGGGAAAATAATTATTTCGTGATGCATCCAGGTGGAATGCACGCATTTATAAATGCATGAAACTGACAAATAAAGATAATTTTGTTAAATCTGGTTGATTAGGCAAGTTGCACGAAATTTATAGCAGATTCCTGAAATCTATGCGGTTTTATAATATTATATTAATTCATTTTTGTAACACTAACTAACTTACTAATGGTAAGTAGGATTACAAGTCAACCCCTCGAGGTTTTGAAGACAAAAATTTACGAAAGATGTACGTAAAATATTTAAAAAAGCATGTTGTAGCTATCACACCGATTCCATACAGCATGCAGTATAACAATGAAAACAGTTGGAAGTACTGCAAAACATAAGAAAAGACTCCTGATTTGATGCCAGTACTTATATGGACAATACAAATTTAATTACTGTCAAAATTATTTTTTATCACCATGTCGGTCTTGAAATAATTTTGCCTAAGGATGGAAGTCTAAAGAATAAACTCCTTTTCACGTACGTATGGTCGTGTGGAACGTTTTCAGCTCCGAACAAGGAGAACATCAGATTCTTTAAACTGACTTCCGGTCACTGTAGCCACGCTCTGTGGGATATCCACCAATGAACAGCCTGCAATATTCCAGTCAGTGCCGCGTACTTTACTGTATGTATGCAAGTTGAAGTACGAATTGTGCGACTGTATTAGTGCAATTCTTCCAATCTGCTGAAAGTTTACTGTACGAGTACTTTACAGTACTTACTTGTTGGCTACAGTATTGCTGTTGCAGTGTTGACTGCTCGCACTACGGTAGTTCAGATTTGCTTTTTTCAACCTACTGCTTAAAAACTTTTTATCCCATAAATTGCGTGGATGCACTAGCATCCAGAACCTTCCACGAATCGCTTGTATATAAAGCTTCCTCCCGATAAATTCACTGTCAACATGGCAGACAAAGCCAAGCAGGGCAATGGCGAACCCGATCCTGATATGCTGGAAGAAGACACCAACTATCGTCCACCAGCACAGAAAGCGCTGGAGGAGATCCTCAATACGGATAAGGAAGACGAGAGCCTGCAAAAATATAAAGCAGCTCTGCTGGGCAGTGCCGCTGGAGGCCAAGGGATTATCGTTAAACCAGAGGATCCGCGGAAGGTTCTTGTGCAGTCATTGCAGCTGGTGGTGGACGGACGCCCTGATGTGACGCTCGATCTCACCGGTAATCGTATCTGGATACTTCTTAATTTTTTATAACAAAATAAAATGTTCAACAAAACACTTGGTTCAGTTTTGTGAAATGTGCGCCGGTAAATGAAGTATCGATTATTACAATTTTGGCAGATGTTTTTTGAAACGTCATCGTCTCATCATGAATTGGATACTGATTGCAGCCGTGATTGATTGAAACATCCCGCTGTATATTAAGTAATGCAGTGTGTGTATAAGGCTGATCTAATGGGAAGATGATTTTATTTATTTGTACAGCTTCGTAATCTGTACGCTCGGAATTGCTAATCAAATGGACCTCTTCGCTTTTGTAGACATCAATAACGTCAAGGGAACGAAGTTTGTCATGAAGGAGGGCGTTCACTATCGGTTGCGCATTAATTTCTACGTTCAACGGGAAATTGTAGCCGGATTGAAGTATGTCCAAAAAGTCCAGCGGATGAACGTGCCTTGTAAGTGAAATTAATACAAAAATTATGCAGACTTGGTTTTCGATTGAAACCGCGCACACAGCACTCACTGCTAGTCTGTTTTTTCGAAGTTTTTAAAGCATGTAATAAACTGATAATTGTTTCACAAAGATTATGGAGACTGGGCAGAAACAAAAAATGGTTCTTAATTTCTTATTCAGTTTGCTTGAATTTTTCTAGCCAAAGGAACATTTTTAAAATATATTCGCGTTTTGTAATATTTATTATCGTCGTGAATTAGTGAGTCTAGCGGTTGTTTTCGTGCATTTTTAGTGGAGAAGACGACACACATGGTGGGCAGCTATCCTCCAGCGGCGACGATGCACAGCTTCCAGACGCCACTGGAAGAAGCCCCCAGCGGCATGATGGCACGCGGCAGCTACAGCATCAAATCGCTCTTCACGGACGACGACAAGAATGAACATCTGAAATGGGAATGGACGCTGGAGATTAAGAAGGACTGGTGAGAACGGCGCATTCGGTTGGCCTTCATTTTGGGTCGTTTCCGGTTTCTACCTTCTTTTAGCATGGCAGGATTGTTAGCGCGTCCAGTGAATCCCTCCCATCAAAAGTTCAAGGTTTGACGGTGAATGCGTTCTTCGCGTCCGTTAGTTTGTTTTTTGAAAAATGGTGCTTGTTGTTAGCTTGATTATATGGTTAGTTCCGTATTCCGCCTTTTGTACTTAGCCTGCGTCGTTTTGTGATTGGTTTTAACAGTTTTTTGCAGAGTTATTTTGTAATTTTGACATACTAGTGCAAAGTATTCATCGCGGAAACTTCGTTATTGTTTTACATGTTTTATTTAATTGCTGTTTTGAACAAGAATAAAATTCTGGTTAACATTTACTGGAAGTCTGGATGTACATATTCACAAGATGTCTTATTCGTAGCTGTGATGGGAGCAAAGCAAGCCTGTAATTAGGGTAAATGGTAATCAAGTTAAATACTTGGCTCACAAAACGCAGATTTGAGGGATTGATTAATTTACTTAATGGACGTGGAATTAGGATGGAATGGAATTTTGTGGTGCTTTAGTGATTACTTTTTAATACTCGCATCGCGACATACATAGGTAGTTCAAAATGTTAGAGGCAGAAATACAGTATGTATTGTACATTGTACCTGTATTTCACGCAACCGGCATGTGGCATGAGCGCCAATTTATCATTTATCCGAATCGATTATCCATAGCTCCAGCCTCCAGGTGATCTGGATCATAGAGAATCTCCGGGAATCGGGATCGATTAGCCTCGATGCATCACTCTGGCGTGCATTCCGTGGCTTCCATTGCCTCCCAGCAATTCAGGATTCTGCAGATTATTCGTACAGATACAAGTAGATGCATATTACACTGTTGACGCTTGCTCATGAGCGGACTGCGAACATGATCGGAAACTCCTACAGCTTACCGAAACGAAAATGCGAAATAGATCAGTTATTTTAAATTGTGCAGTCTTGCGGCATTAATGGCTAGAAAACAATGATGCGGCTAAACTTATTGTGGCGGAGAACAGCACTTTGTTTTATGCAGATATTTAGCGGGTTGTCGTTAACCACGCATATCGTGATTGTTACATGTCAAATGAACCTGGAAAACCACAATGCCATCTTGAATTTTACTTCTTTTGGCAGTGGGAGTTCAGAAGGAAATCGCTCGCAACTTTACGAGGATCAGACATTAGGTAAGTGCGATAACATGGGTACACCGAATAAAATACAGCTAATAGCTGCTGCAAACTTGCATTTCGATTGACCATACAAATACTAAATACATGTTTTTAATATTAGGTGCGGTCAAAGAAATCGCTGAGTTTAACGGTAGGGTGGGATCTGCGCAGTCTGCTAACGATACTCTTTTGGACGCTCCGTCCTCACGGAACGGAAGTCTGAACGCGACGGATTCTGGTGTCGTAAACAATACGACGGTATACAACATTAACAATACCATCGCGTCGACTATGGCGCCAACTTCCGCTACCACAACTGTGTCCACAACGACCACAACCAGCCCACCGATTCGACAAGTTTACTATGGTGAGTTTACCCGTTTCAACGCTCTAGCCAGGAGCTACCGTTTAATTTCTTTTTCGATAAAATTTTGCGGCAGGTTTCGCCAACTGCACATGCGATCTCGTGGACCAACATGTGCGACACGGATTGCTGTTGCGATAGTGACTGCAGTAACGCCGACCTGAAGTATTTTACGTCCTGCAACGAGAATTTCCCTCCTGGCACGTCTCCGTAAGATCTCCTGCAAATGCGTGTTTTTTGCAAAAAAAATTGAATTTTTGTTCAGCAAGATTTTTTTAAATCGTACAGGTATCAGAGTGAATCGTGCTTTGCGAGTAACTGGCTGATGCGCAATGCATCTTCCGCTCGGACATACTACCAAACACCGAGCACTTTGTGCCTTGTGTATGACAACAGTAAGCCACCAGTCGCTGTGTATTCATGTGCGTCTTCTATGAAATATTGGTCAAAATTTTTGTTAAATCTTTTAACAGATCCACAGCGCCTTTTTTACTCCACATCAACAAATGCTGTCGATGTAACCGCATTCAACAACGCAAAACGTGACACCGGCAACAACGCCAATATTATTTCTCAATCCACCGGGGCATCGGAATTTCAGGAGATAGCGGATCTTGGGAGCCGAACGCCGCTTATTTATCGCGTAAGAATATTGGCTGGTATATTCAATCGCAAAAGCTATCAAAATCGAAAACTGCTAGTTACACTTTTTAAAAATTTTCACAAATTAGCGCAGCTTTTAAAATAGTCTGGCGATCCTGTTTTCATTTTGGATGGAGAAGATATGGGTAATTTGGATAAACTGCGCATCCCGGCATCTACCGGCTTTTCCACCACGTGTTCGGCGTTGTCGACAATAAGTACGCAACTGAAAAACATTTTGTTGATCGCCCTTCTTGATATTCACCTATACATAGAGTTCATGAAAGACACAGACGGCGCTTGTTGGCGCACATTCTCCGATTTATCCTCAGAATGCTCCAGCAACCCGTTTCTCAACATCAGCACATATCTCAAGGCGGTAGTGATAACCAACCCACCGGAAGCGTTTGCTATGGTCAATCGCAGCACCGGTTCCTTCACACCGTTCCGGCTGGATCCGAGTGTGCTGCTGACCCTGTATGCACCCATCCAGTTGATGGCTATTCAACGTCGTGATATGGACGGCACACACCAGGCGTTTGCCTTTGATCCCCATCAGCTGGAACCTTTCAGTCCGGCGTACGCGGCCGACACGGACACATGTGCGAACGCTGTGACCAACGTGGAATACACCATACGGCACAATGCATCGTCCATTACTGCAGCGGAGGTCACGGTCACATTGGCCACGATCAATGCGTCCGATAATGGGTTTGCGCAGAGTTTTCGGATCCGATTTAGTTCGGTTGCGAACCTGTCAGGCAAAACTCCTATAAAACGCAGCGGAAATCCAGGTGACAAATTTTCCTGTAGCCTGGTAATAATTCCGATGTTTTAAGAAAAAATTGTTCGTTTTGTAGGATATCTGGACGGTACACCGGTATTGGTGGCGTACCGAAACGAACAGAACACTGTTATTCTGTCCACGCTGAAGATTCCCCGTTTCAGTGCCTCCAGCGAGTGCGGAGATCATGGAAATGATGTGGTATTCGGAGAAAATGTTCAGATGTCATGTTTGTTGTACGTTAACATTTCCGATCCGTCGGAAGCGTGTCAAAGGTTACAATCGCAAATCGTGGACGCTATGAAAGTGGACAGCGACTGGCCGTTTGCTGTCTCTGGTTACGGAAATGCCACAGAGTATGATGTTAACCAAATAAACTGGACGCCGGTGCAGATGGTCGACGAAACTGATGCGACCAACACACACACTAAAGTGAGTGGAAAACACGAGTTCGTCGAATTTCGTTGCATCGATACTTCACAGTTTCCGTACGATGCATCGTGCAGACATTAATAAAATTAATATTTCCTGCAGTTTTTGGCTCCAAATGCTTGCAAAAATATCGCAACCGGATTAAGCATTGAGATATTGTATTCAAAAGTGGGATTTTTGGAAAATCCGCAGCCTAAAATTACGGGACTGTTGTACCGGTTGGAAAACGTTCGGGACATTAAATTAGAGGTGTGTTTGGATTTTCCTTCCCGGTGAAACTACCAAATGTGTTAAGTTTTATTATTGAATGTGCTAATCATCTGTAATTTTCCATTGTATTTAGGCACCGCTCTATCAAACTGCATCTCGAAACGGATTGATATCGTTGGAAATTCAATTTTCGGCGACCTTTAGAGATCTCACACAGGAAGCAGTCGATTTACAGAAAGTTCAGCAGCCTTCCTATAGACTCCTACCGTATGATTTCCTGTCGCCGTTTTAAGCTTGACTTGTAGTCTTTTTTTGTGATATTACGTTCGAAGTGTGCTCAGTTGGAGTGACTTTTGACGTTTTGACTTATTACGCCGCAGGTTGCTGTATATTTCTGTCATCGAGTAAAAAGGAACTGAAATTTCGCTAAAGCGACACCTCGTGGCGGTTGTGTTTGCGGTAATTGACTGATTACGCAGCCGCTAAAGAGCCTGTTGTGCAAACATTGCTTTTACCATGCTTAATTGCTTAAGTGGCAGCCATTTGAATACATAATATTTAATAATTATGATGGTGTCCAACAATTTTTAACGGGCTTCGGTTATTGCAAAAAAAAAATTCCGGAAAACGGACGACCTGTTTGCGCAATGTGCAATTGTGCATATTCAGTTAAGTAAACCAGCAGCACTGTTTCCATATTTTTGGGGTTGCCAAGTTTTGGTTGGCTTAGGAAGCGGTGGGCGGACTCGGCCTCGCATGTTTGCTGGCAGTGGTGTTCTCACGCTACTGGTAAACTCGTTTTATTTGCATAGTGCCGGTATTGCACAGCTTAGACACCATTGGGCTGACTACAGGGAATCTCTAGATTTGGCGCTAGCATCGGCCGGATAAACAACCCACACCCCAGACGGGCTCGTAGACACATTTCATAACCCAGCATTTCAAAAACGGATGGTGAGGAAAATTTTTCCATCGTCAAAAACAATCAGCCCAGCCATTATCTTTGACTATCCGTTGACCACTGGCATTTGTTTTATCTTTGCCCAAATAATACCCAGATCATTCCACCATGGCCAGTGGTGATCCGACAGCTGGCCAGCGTGAAATCCGTATTCTGGAGACGGTCGACGACATTCAAGTTCGTCGTCATGAAGTTCTCTCCCATTATGAGGATTTTAAGAAGGAAACCATCCACAAGCGCCATAAATTAGAGGATTCTCTGCGCTATCAGTACTTCCGTAGAGATGCCAATGATTTGGAATCTTGGTTGTACGAGAAGCTGCAAGCAGCCAGCGATGAATCCTACACGAAAGATTCTACCAATCTGCAGGCCAAGATCCAGAAGCATCAAGCATTCGAAGCGGAAGTGCAAGCCCATCATAATATTCTTCTGCAGTTGGATAATGAAGGGAAAAAAATGATTGACACTCGCCATTTTGCAGCGGATAACATCGCGGTAAATTGCAAAATTTTTTAATAATTTTATGCAGTAATAAACTTTTCAACGTGGCCCAGCAGTGTTTTCCCTGTAGTTAAGTATGAAGAACCCATCCACGATACAAGAACCTAGCCTTGTCCAAACAAATTTCAGATTCTAAACTTAGAATTATAAGAATTATATAAGAATTTTTACAGTTTGCAGTTTTTGCATTTTAGTTTTATCTTGCTATCAGCTAGACCCAAAAATGAATGTATTAGCTGTAATTGGGGTAACAAAATAACGATTAAAATGTGGATTGTTGTAAAAATCATATCCAGTACAAATGATGTATGATTTGTGAAAACTTGTAATAACATTATAACAGTGTAAACACAGTATTAAACAGTGATGGTTGTGATAATTTTTAATTTTATGCATTTTGAATTTGTGTTGGTTTTAAAACTTATTGTGATTTTTATGAGCAGGTTTTGCTTGATAAAATATGAAATTAAGAGTTTGTCAAAAGGAAATTCGCTGTTTTGATTGTCTGTTGACAGCTTCCTTTTCATATTTGGAGTTCTTTCTTCATTTCGTAGTTTCAACAATTTCAAGGTTGCGCCCGGGGCTGTAGAATTGCAAGTGTAGACACTTTGCCAGACATCGGCCTATAAAAATATGATACAAACAAAAGTTATAATTACATTCGCAACATAGCCGGCGTTCGATCGGTTCCTTGCTTAATGGCCCAATTAAAGTTAGCGTAACTTACAAATGCTGATTAAAAATTTGAAAAAATAGTTTGGTCGGCGGTTTAGGAATTTAACAAAAAGGGAAAATTACAATCATGAATGTACGAATGTAGCACTCACGCATAATGAGCATTATGAATTACTTATAGTCTATAGATATTTAAGCGGTTTTTTCCATAAATACGAGTAGATCCATTGGGGATGTGTCATGTGAATGATTGTGTCATATATGCGTTTATGTTATTTCTTGCAGAGTTACAGTAATAAACCTGAAGTGATTTTGGTATTAAATAAAAAATTACTAAAAAATGGGTTTGATGGCATTTTTGTGCGATTGCAGAAACGGCTGGAGGAGCTGCACCGGTTGTGGGATTTGCTGCTGCAAAAGCTCCGTGAACGCCGCTTTCGTCTGGAACAGGCCCAAAAACTCGTGGAATTTATGCGTCAGTATGAAGATATGATGTTTTGGATTCGTGACCGAGAGGCGTTTCTCTCTGCGGACGATGTTGGCCGCGATTTAGAGCATGTCGAGGCCATGCAGCGCAAATTTGAAGATTTCCAAAAGGTATTCAAAAAAATTACTAAACTTAGCGTGGGAATTTTTATTTTTCAGGCAATAATCGTGAATACCTTAGTAGAGCGATTGAAGCATTTTTTCGTGTTGCGGCATAAACCATAATGAGATTTCTTCAGTTTTTTTTCTAGTATGTGCCTATAATTTATAAATTATTTATGTATATGCAGAATTTTGACTGCTGTTTTACAACAATCAACTTAAAAGCTTAGGTCAGTTTGGTACTGTTAAATATTTAATTACATTTCGTATGTTACGTTTCAAAACTAATTAATTAAGGCTGTTTAATGGACGCAGGAAGAAATAACGTTTCGTACAATTTGTGGAAATATATTAGCAAGATAGTTTCCGGTAGGCGATATCCAGAATTTCGCTGAGGCTTGGCCGTGATGTATTAGTCATATTTGGCAATCGTTGCGGTTTATCAGTTATCGCATTGCAGTTTACATTTTGCTCGAGAGATCGCTATAGAACCTTGCTATCTCTTGCCGGGTAAATGCGAACTTTACACCCATGATGCATTCTCTACAGGATATGGCTTCACAAGAGCATCGTGTGCACGATATCGTGGCACTGGCCAATCGGCTCATACAAGAGGAGCACCCCGACCGAACACTGATCGATGAACGCCGGACAACATTGCTTGACAGCTGGAATCGCTTGCGTGAGCTCAGTCGGCGCAAACAGGAGAGACTGTTCGGCGCGCAGGAAATTCAGCGTTTCAACCGGTATGGTTTATTACGTAGGCGAGAATGGGGGATGTAAAGAGGACAGACAACCAGTAGGCCAGACTATAAACATAAATTCTGGTTTCACAGCGGCCGTAAAAGCTAATTCAGCAACGGAATCGATGAGCTGTGCAGCAGAAATTGAAATGCGTACGAGGGTAGTCAGCGTACGCAGTGTGCAGGATGCAACTTGTGCAGCATTTTGTTGGTGAAATAATTTCGTTTGAAAAGGCATAATTATTTTAAAATATGTACGAATTACGGCATATTAAGATAAACGGCATTTTAAAATACGTGTTACGTCGATATAATAAAATAAATTTGCAAAAAAAAGCATTAGCCACATTAGTTCGTTGAGAAATTTATAACATAGGTTTGGAATCGGTATCATTGAAATACAACAATCACAAAAAATAGTTAATTGCTACATATCCTTCAGTTTAAAGTTTGTTCCCATTTTTCGACCTGATAATTAATTTTTTCGTCGCTTTGAATTTGAAATTTTGAAATTAAATTTTTGGACGATTTTGTGCTGACAGGGTGCGTTTCAAAGTGGCGCCTGTGTTTTCGCAATGCGGCTGATATGTTCTACAATCGAATGGAAACGCCGACTCAGCGCATTCCTATATAATAGACCGTAACTTGCCCAGATAGGATTATCGAGCGCTGTATTCGTATTGGTTTGTTTGGCCCTGATTTATTGAAGATTTATCACAGCACGGAATAATAGGGTACAATGAGTTGTTTCGTAACACTAGGGACGCCGATGAGGCACTGGCGTGGATTACCGAGAAAGAATTGCCAGTTCAGTCGGAGGATTTTGGAAAGGATTTGCCTAGCGTGCAGGGCTTGCAGCGGAAACATGATGCTGTGGAGCGAGATTTGCACGCACTGAAGGAAAAAGTATGTCACAAAATAGCATAAAATATAGATATTACATTTTCGTGCAAAAAATATGCTGCATTTAAATAAGCGTTGTGATTCAATTCGCTTAGCCGCTATTTACTTTTCTGTGGTGGATGTAATTGGTAGCATAACGAAAATGATAAATGAGCCCTACTCTAGCTCTCTTGGATTTAGTAAATCATTGTGCATACATATCTCGTTAATCTGATAGGTGGAAATTTTACGGGAAGAGGCTAATCGCCAAAAACAATTGCACCCCGATCATACTTCCCATATTGACGAGAAGTTGACGGAACTGATCCGTCGTTGGGAAAATTTGAACCATAATGCGCAGCATCGCCGGCAGCGTCTGGAGGACTCTTACCACGTCCATCGCTTCTTGTCTGATTATCGCGACCTGATTTCCTGGATTCACGACATCAAAGCTATCATTAAAGCTGACGAATTGGCCAAAGATGTACCAGGCGCGGAATCCCTGCTGGAACGACATAATGAGCACAAAACGGAGATTGATGCGCACGAGGATTCTTACAACAGTGCTGTTCACTCCGGCGAGCGGCTGATCCAGTCCGGACATCATGCCGCTGATGACATTCGCGATAAGGTATGTTATTTATATTTTTTCACCAGTTTGCAGCAGTGTAAGCACGATGGTTGACAACATCATTGGTTAATCCATATTTGACAGTTGTTGGTAAAATTGTAAAATGTCTTTGATGAAAAATTGATGTTTTACTTACGTTCGTATTTTGCGATTGACCGTTTTGTTCAGTTGTTTGACCTAACAGAGAAATACGATGAATTAATTCACTGTTTTTAGTTGACTAATTTGCGGGAGGAATGGAGCACACTGAACGTACTGTGGCAGGAGCGCCGCATTCTTTTCGAACAGTGCATGGATTTGCAGCTGTTCTATCGCGACACGGAACAAGCAGAAACTTGGTTGGCTAAACAGGAATCGTTCTTGTCCAAACCCGATCTGGGTGATTCGCTGGATGATGTGGAATCACTTTTGAAGAAGCATGAAGATTTCGAAAAGTCCTTGACTTCTCAGGAGACGAAATTCCAGGCGCTGGATGATTTCGCCATCAAGCTGATTGAAGCTCAGCATTATGCTGCCGATGAAATTAGCTCCCGACGCACGGCACTTTTGGAGCGCCGCGAAGCTCTGCTGGAACGCGCTGCAAAGCGCCGTCAGAAGCTGGATGAAGGTCAGGGTGTGCAGCACTTCTTGCGCGATTCCGATGAAGCTAAGGCATGGATTAACGAAAAGATCAAAGTGGCATCCGATGAAAGCTATTTGGACCCGACTAATTTGACCGGAAAACTGCAGAAGCATCAGACTTTTGAACAAGAGCTGAAGGTATTGCATAAATTAAAAAAAAGTGATAAGGCTGACGCTATTCTGTACGCGTTTTAGGCTACACAGCATCGCATCCAGCAGATCAATAACCAGGGCGAAGCGCTGATTAACAGTGGACAGTCCCCGGATCAAGTACGCCGCAATCTCGATGACCTGAACGCAGCCTGGGATGCATTGGTGCGTGCCGCGCGCCACAAGGGCGCCCGTTTGGAAGACGCCAATAAAGGTCAGGGCTTCCATCGCGATGTGGACGATGTCGAAATGTGGTTGACGGAAGTCGAAGCGCAGTTGGCGTCGGAGGATTATGGCAAGGATTCGGCGTCTGTCCAGAATCTGATCAAGAAGAATGACCTCTTGGAACAGGATATCTTGGCCCATCAGGATCGTATTAACCATATTTCGGATTCGGCCGACCGTTTGATTGAAGCCGAACATTTTGACCAGAGTAATATTCTGGTGAAGCGCGATCATATGCGCAAGCGTTTCGAAAATCTGCGGGTAAGGTGCTGTAATGATTGCATTTTTTTTAGCTACTGTACTCGTATCCTACATTATTGTTATGGGGTTTTGTGTAGGAACCAATTCTACGTCGCCGAGCGCGTTTGGAAGACTCGCTGAAGCTGCACCGCGTGTATCGTGATATTGATGACGAAGAGGCATGGATTCGCGACAAAGAGCCGATTGTGTCTTCACAGAATCGCGGTCGCGATTTGATGGGCGTGCAAAATCTGATTAAGAAACATCATGGTGTCATGAACGAAATCCAATCCCACGAGCCCCATGTCGAGCAAGTGGCGCGCTCTGCTGACGATTTAGTTGACCAGGGTCATTTCGCCGCGGCTGAAATCCGCGATCGCCGTAATGAACTGGTGGAACACTGGAATTTGCTGAAATCCAAGGCGGCTCAACGTCGACAGGATCTGGAAGATTCGCTGCAGGCGCATCAGTACTTTGCAGATGCCAATGAGGCTGAGAGTTGGCTGCGAGAAAAGGAGCCACTGGTAGCCAGTCGGGATATCGGACGCGATGAAGATTCCGCGGAAGCGGCGCTGAAGAAGCACGAAGCTGTCATGGCGGACTTGGCCGCGTTTAGATCGACTATTGACGCGCTGCGACAACAAGCCGAAGCGTGCAAGGTATAGTACAGAATACAGACAGATCCTACAGCTTGAAAAAGAGACACATATTGAAATGGGATCTTTTTACTTTGTAGCAACGGGATATTCCGGTCATGCTGCCATATGGAAAAGAGGTTGCGATGGCTGCTTATGACTACACCGAGAAAAGCCCTCGGGAGGTGTCCATTAAGAAAGGCGATGTGGTTACCGTGTTGAACAGCAACAACAAGGACTGGTGGAAGATTGAAATTAATGATCGACAGGGCTTTGTTCCAGCGGCCTATTTGAAGAAGATTGATTCCAAATTGTCGGCGAGCGAGCAGAGTTTGATGGACCAGAATACCATCAACGCTAAGCAGCGCCATGTCGAGCATTTGTACGTTTGAACTTGAATTATTCAAGTTCGTGCGGATGCTTTAATTGTGTGTATTGCGGACAGGTACAACACCCTGATGACCCAAGGTCAAGGACGTAGCGACAAACTACGTGAATCGTTGAATGCCTTTGTGCTGGCCCGTGAGGCTCAGGAATTGCAGCAATGGATTCGTGAAAAGCAGCAGTTTGCTGCTCACCAAGAAATTGGCGAGGATTTGGAACAAGTGGAAGTGATGCAAAAGAAGTTCGATGATTTCCAGGCGGATATGCGTACCCATGAGGAACGACTGAAGGAAATGAACCAGGCTGCTCAGCGCCTGCGCGATCTTGGCCATACCGAAGGTAAATAGGTTAGTAAAAGGATTCTGAAACGCAGCTGCCATGCGCATTCAAACTCAAATCGAGGAACTGAATCAGCAGTGGACCACGCTGCAGACCATTACCAAGCAGCGCGCTCTGCAACTGGGCAGTGCGCATGAGGTTCAGCGTTTCCATCGCGATGCTGATGACACGAAAGACTGGATCCATGAAAAACAGGAAGCGCTGGAGAATCCCGACTTGGGACATGATCTGCGCTCTGTCCAGACGCTGCAACGCAAGCACGAAGGCCTGGAGCGGGATCTGTACGCTTTGGGAGAGAAGGTCCGACAGCTGGATGAACTGGCTAATAAACTGCTGAACACCCATCCCGAGCAGGCGGATAGCATCTACAGTAAACAGAAGGAACTGAACGAGGAATGGCTGTTGCTGACCCGCAAGGCGGATGCACGGAAAGAGAAGCTGCTGGAATCGTACGATCTGCAGCGCTTCCTGGCTGATTACCGCGATCTGATGTCATGGATTAACAGCCAGCTGCAGCAAGTGTCCTCGGATGATTTGGCCAATGATGTGACGGGTGCGGAGGCTCTGCTGGAGCGTCATCAAGAACTGCGCAATGAGATCGACGCTCGCAGTCCGGCATTCCAACAGTTTGAACTGTTTGGCAAGCAACTGATTCAGAAGAAGCATTTCGCTGCTCCGGAAATCAACGACGCTCTGGATAAGATCCATGAAGCGCGCGATGAACTGAACAAGGAATGGGCGCGTCGTCAGAAATTGTTGGATGACTGTCTGGAGTTGCAGCTGTTCAACCGCGACTGTGAACAGCTGGATTCCTGGATGAAGAATCGCGAAGAATTTGTCCGTACCGACGAGGAAGGCGATGAGAAAGCCAATGTGGAGGCGCTAATCAAGAAATATGAGGACTTTGACAAGACTATCAAGAGTCAGGAACAGAAGATTGCCAGCATGAACAACTTCGCTGATCAGCTGATCACGTCGGGACACTACGCGTCTCCCGGATATTGATCGTAAGCGACTGGATGTGCTGGACCGCTGGCAGCGTCTGAAGGAAGCCATGATTGAGAAACGTAGCCGATTGGGAGAAAGCCAAACACTGCAGCAGTTCTCCCGTGATGCGGACGAAGTGGAGAACTGGATTACGGAGAAACTGCAAACCGCTGCGGAGGAAACCTACAAAGATCCCAGTAACATTCAGAGCAAGCATCAGAAACACCAGGCTTTTGAAGCGGAACTGGCGGCTCATGCTGATCGTATCCAGGCGGTGTTGAATACTGGAAAAAGTAAGAATTTCAGGTTGTTATGGTTCACCGTTGCGTAAAACAAATATTTTTGTGGTATTGCAGATTTATTGGACAAAGGACGCGCAAAGGGTAGCGAAACGGCTGTTGAGCAGCGCTTACGAGCTTTGGCTGAACAGTGGGAGTTCTTGACGCAGAAGACCACCGAGAAGACATTCAAATTGAAGGAGGCTAATAAGCAGCGCAGCTTCAATGCCGCTGTGAAGGATTTGGACTTCTGGCTGGGAGAGGTGAGTTCATGGAAGCCGCATTATGTCTCATCACCGGCTAAGCGGGTGCTGAGTCATGTATGTAAATTGGTGACTCACGGGTGCCTTCAATCCCGGCGATGTCTGTGAACAGTAAAGAGGACAGGGTGACGATTACGTGTCGGGGAAATAGGATATCAGCTTTCTTTTTTCTTGCCCTAAGCGTTTTTGATTGAAGACTGGTGGGCTGGACATAGAAATAATAATCTGTATAAAAGCTCGCGTTGTTGCAGTTTTGGTAACAAATGCTGTTTTCTCCGTTCATTTGCTACGGCGATACTGCAACCATGGCCGAGCTGATGTGGCGAAGTAGACTGCGAAAATTGTCACCTTTAATGACTTACCTAGAGTATTATGACAAAACGGTTGGTTTGCTTAATGAATTGATATGATTTAAGCTGATGTTCAGTAACGGTCTTGTTTTAATTAGATGGAAGCTCTGTTGAGCTCGGATGAATACGGCAAGGATCTTTCTTCGGTGCAGAACCTGTTGAAGAAGCATAATCTGATTGAAGCGGATATCTTGGCCCATGAAGACCGTGTGTCCGACATGAATACCCAAGCGGATGACCTGGTCAGTACCGGACAATTCGACACTCCCAATATTCAAGATCGCCGCAAATCGATTAATCAGCGTTTTGAACGCATCAAAAACTTGGCTGAACACCGTCGCCAGCGTCTGAACGAGGCTAATACGCTGCACCAGTTCTTCCGCGACATTGCCGATGAGGAAAGCTGGATCAAGGAGAAGAAACTGTTGGTAGCATCGGATGACTACGGACGAGATTTGACGGGTGTGCAGAACTTGAAGAAGAAACATAAACGCCTGGAAGCGGAGTTGGCCAGCCATGAAGCGGCCATTCAGAATGTGCAGAAGGCGGGTGCGCGCTTGATGTCCGAAACTTTCCAGGTTTGTGTATTTACAGTAAATTAATGTCTCTTATCCTAAAATTTATACGTATTTACATTTAGTTGAGGATGTGCATACCATAAGCCACTATAGACAATGTACCGTTAATGGCAAAGCGCTTTTAGAAGTCTGGATTACTTCAACCGATATAATTATTTTTACCTGACGATTTCTGTAAATTTCAGGGCGGACCTGAGATCGAACAGCGCATTCACAACTTGGAGCACAACTGGGAAGATCTGAAGGCCCGCTCAGCCGATCGTGGTAACAAATTGGACCAGTCGTTGGCATTCCAGCAGTTCATCGCCAAGGTTGACGAAGAGGAAGCATGGATCGGAGAAAAGGCCAACCTGCTGCAGGTCAACGATTTCGGCGACACTATTGCCGGTGTACAGGGCCTGTCCAAGAAACACGAGGCCTTCGAAACGGATTTGGGTGTGCATGTCGATCGCTGCCGCGATCTCGAACAGGACGGTGACCGCCTGCTGGCTGAGGGTAATCATCATCGGGATTTGATCGAAGCCCGCTTGCGCCAGCTGCGGACGCGCTTGAACGAGTTGATCGCCGCGTCCAAGAATCGCAAGATTGGACTGGATGAGAACAGCGCTTACCTGCAGTTTGTCTGGAAGGCTGATGTTGTTGAGGGATGGATCGGTAAGTGTAACGACAAGACGCAGATAATTCGAATTTTGGACTTGTGTTGGGAATTTATTCATACACTTTCGGTATTTTACAGCTGAGAAAGAGAGCCATGTTCGTTCGGAAGATTATGGCCGTGACTTGAACTCCGTGCAGAATTTGTTGGCCAAACAAGATACACTCGAAGCCTCCCTGGTTGCCTTTGAATCCGAAGGTATCCACGGTTTGACCAACCTGAAGAACCGTTTGGTGGCAGATGGACACCGTCAGTCCAACGCCATCATGAACCGCTACACGCACGTCATCGAGCGCTGGCAGACGCTGCTGCGTATGGCCGCAAACCGTAAAGAGCGTCTGGGACAGCAACAAGAACAGTTCCGCCAGATCGAAGAGCTCTTCCTGCTGTTTGCCAAAAAGGCTTCGGCCTTCAATTCCTGGTTTGAGAATGCCGAAGAAGATCTCACGGATCCGGTGCGCTGTAATTCCGTGGAGGAAATCCGCGCACTACAGGATGCCCACCAAATGTTCCAAGAATCCCTTACCACTGCTCAACAAGACTTTGAGCATGTACGGAAACGTTTACAGCTTCCGAAAAATTCAGTCATGCATTGTAATTAATTTCTGTGGTTTTGTTATAGTTGGCCGCCTTGGATCAACGCATAAAATCCTTCAAAGTCGGCCCCAATCCCTACACATGGTTTACCATGGAAGCCCTGGAAGATACCTGGAGGAATCTCCAGAAGATCATCCGTGAACGTGATAACGAGCTGAACCGTGAAGCCGCCCGGCAAGAACGGAATGATCAGCTGCGTGGAGAGTTCGCCCGCCATGCCAACGCGTTCTACCAATGGCTAACGGAAGCCAGGACCTCCATGATGGAAACCACCGGCTCCCTCGAAAGTCAGCTGGAGCAAATCCGCGTAAGCTACACCATTATGTCATTCCTTTGTTAACATAGTATACGACAATAACTAGCGTATAAATGACCGTATGAATTAATGAATGAATACGTGACGGTTATTGCCTGTGCAGCGGAAAGCCCACGAAGTACGGGCGCAGCGTGACCGGCTGAAGAAGATCGAAGATCTCGGTGCGATGCTGGAAGAGCATCTTATCCTGGATAACCGCTACACGGAGCACAGCACCGTGGCCCTGGCCCAGCAATGGGAACAGCTGGACCAGTTAGGCATGCGCATGCAGCATAACCTCGAACAACAGATCCAGGCGCGTAACACAAGCGGTGTCACGGAGGATTCCCTGCGCGATTTCAGTATGATGTTCAAGTAGGTCTGCGGAATGAGTTTTCTTCTTGCAGTGAGCTTATTATCCAATATACTCTGTTGCATTGGTTAGGCATTTCGACAAAGATCGCAGTGGAAAACTAGACCATCAACAGTTCAAATCCTGCCTCCGTGCGCTGGGCTATGATCTGCCCATGGTGGAAGAGGGTGATCATGATGCAGAGTTCGAGGCCATCCTGGATGACGTGGACCGCAATCGGTAAATATGAGAAAATATCTCGCAGGGTTAGTTTATAATAATTTTGTGTTTGTTTGCAGTATCGGCTACATCACCCTGCAGGATTACATGGCGTTTATGATCAGCCGCGAAACCGAGAACGTGCGCTCCAAGGAGGAGATCCTACTGGCCTTCAAGGCGTTGTCGGCAGAAGAACGCCCCTACTTGATGGCCGATGAGCTCTATGCTGTAAGCAACGCAGTTAATTTGATTAAAGTGTGGTGTACAGTTTCGGCGTGGCATAGTAGAAAAATGGAAGTTTATAGCATGTAGAGCACTGAAAACACCAACGCATACCGCGCTCGTTATGAATACTGAAGAGAAAAGTATTTGAATGATATTTTGCGATTGTAGAACCTGAGCAAGGAGCAGGCCGATTACTGCATGGCCAAGATGAAACGCTATGTGGATCCCAAGAGCGGTCGCGAAGTGCCCAACTCCTTCGACTATCTGGATTTCACCCAGCAGCTCTTCCAAAGTTAATCCCCCAGCTACGGCATTTTATGGCGTTTTTATCGTTATTTGAACTAGTTCTCGCAGTGGGTTTTGTCTGCTTCACATTCTTTCCTCTTTGTCTTACATTCAGTCATTGTGAGTTGTGTTGTGTACGGCCAGTGATGTATCGGTGAGATTGGTGGTTGTGTAGCAGATTAGCGGTACATGTTTTTCACTACAGAAAAAAGAATGGTTTGTCAACTTTTGTGTACACGCTATCGAAAGAACTGGTGCGAAATTTTGTGCAAGTGCGCTACGTAATTTTTTTGCATTGGTATATTTTGCTGTTGTGTTTGTACTGATTTCATAATAAAGTCCTGGCTCATTTCCTAAAATATCAAGAGTTGCCATAGAGACATGGTAATGTTAAGATGTAAAAGAACGACGGAAGGTGTTTTCTGCAAAGTATTACGCCTGTTTTACACCATCTTTCGCATCTTGTGTATTCGTGTCCTGTGTATTCAAAGACTGAGTGGAATTATTAAGGGTTAATGTAATTATGCTTAGCTTTTTCTTTCCATTTTGTTTCTTGTGAAGTCTGGTTTCGTATGGTTTCTGTGAAACTCTACTACGGTAATTGTTTGGGAAATTCTGAGGATATATATGTTGGAAATTTGACTATCAATGTACCTGATATTACAAGGAATATCACATTGTTTGCACTCATGGCGGATTTCGTAAAGGGATGGAAATCTATGATGCGCTTTACATGATGATGGGTATATCAAATGGAATTATATGAACATACATCCACTTCTGGCATTGAAAGCTACCTTGCTCGGCGCCAAAGGTCACCCAGGAGGATATCAAAGGCCTGGATTATCTGTCTTCTGCTCGTTGAATCATAAATCTGAACATATGATGAATTTTTCATCCAATTGTAGGTTTACTTCTGTTCTTTCAAAGCATTGATCATTCCGGAGCTGCCTTTAAAGCTCGTGCACGCCGAAGGTCACCCAGGAGGAAAGCTGTGACTTATATGGGTAACAATCAATTGCTTCGAGTGCTGTTTTTTTATGGCATCACAGAAATACTGTTTTAATTGTGAATCAGATGCACCAGCAGTGGAAGACAACACCAGGTGTAAATTCAGTCAGCCATGGGATAATATGTTGGGGGGGTGTTATTTGTTAACCAAAAAAGCGTTTACATGGAACGAGGCTAGCAAAGTGTGCAAAGATCTGGATGAACAAGCGGATTTCGGGGCATTGTGGACCGCAAAAGACACCGTACGTTTACGATGTAGTTTTCGTAATTTTTCGCTTACTCAGCTTAACAATTAGTGTTTTAATACAGAACTTACCGTTTAATCATAAACCTTGCTAAATTTCTTTTGTTTACTAGTACATGCAGATCTGCGTGCTTAATATTTTGTTGGTAGAATTTGATGGTAGAATACATTGTGCATTGATATTAATTTTATATCCGAATAGGCATTCCTGGCTAAATTGGCCGCAAAGCAGAAAATCTCAAGCTTTTTCGTTAACGGAAAATATTCTCAAGATGTTGGTGAATTTCGCTGGCAGTTCAATCGTCCATTTGTAAAAGAGGATACGTAAGCTGGGAGTTGTTAGTAAAAGCTTGCGGCTAGTGGTCGCTGCAGCTGTTCATATGCGCATATTTGTCTCTGTTATGAATGTTTATGCTTTATTAATGTAATAATCAGCAAACTGTTTATGTGTATTACATAAGTGCATTGATATAGGCCATGGGATACTGGTGAGCCCAAGATGCCGGACACGAATCGCGTCTTAGTGTTCAATGCCGACGGTCGCGGACGTGGTGCACTGGCGACCGACGCGCCTACCGGATCGACACGTCCCATTCTCTGCAAACGTCCGGCCATCGGTTTCCGGCGGAGAACAGCAACGGAAATGGGGGACCATTCAGCTGAATGTAAGAATCACCTGGTAAGACGCATTTGATCAATTTGTACTGATGAATAAATGATCGTTCCACTGTCGGCGACTGAATAATTATATGCGCTATTTAAAATCTCTCAAAATAGTGTAGCATCCATGCCTTCTTTGTGATTCAGCAGTACTACTTGAGATTACATGAAACAGATACAGATGCGCCATTACAAACATACTGTGGTCACTCGAAGCAGTATTAAGGTGTTTGTGAATTAACATTGAGTTTTATGAAAGCAGTGGTACGTAATATCCTATCTTCATTTGCAGTATCCAAAGTGCCTGTGGGATGGCGATCGGCGCAGGGCAGAGCCGGCAGTCTACAACCGGAAGAGGACGTCAACCGTGGACAAGTAACACAAGGGGCGGCTATTGTGACCAGAAGTCTTCCACCGCCGATCTCACAGGACAGGATATTCAAAGAGAATCCCAGTCATTTTGTCCCGGTGATGCCAAGCGGTAAGCGCTACGCACGATGTTACGCAAATATAAATATAACTTGTTTATGTGCCTGCACGGTGCGGTAGTGGACCGCAATAATCATAAGAAATTAGCAGAACTAGGTAGTGTACGTATGTATTATACTCGTAAATATGGAGACACTGGTGACCTTTGTCGTAATTCTTGGCACCTATCCGTATGATAACAACTCAAATAAACTGTTCCACTCTTTTTGAATAGATATCGGTGACCGGTACTCAAAGCACACCGAAGTGAGCGCGATTGTGCCGGTGGATGTAGTGGACATGGTTAAAGCACGCGAGGATAAACTGAACGAGCTCTTTGGGAGATCCACATTGCGACTAAAGGAGTACATGAATTTTTACCCGGAGGATTATCGCTACCCTGCGACGGAGTACCAGCGAATGGCTCACGTCTTGACCACGGAATTGATAGCGCAGGATCAAAGGGAACGAAAGACTAATGCTCCCTACGAAGTAAGGATGCTTATCGGGGCGGTTCGGCTGGTTTGGTTATACTGTAAATGAAACGTAAACGTAAATTAAGTTTCGGCGAATAAACGTAAATTGAGGAGAAGGAGAAGAAGAAACGTAAACTAGGTTTCGGCGAATAATTAAACCTGATCGTAAAGGATTGACCAGGTGCCTTAACTTCCCATAAGCTTGCATTGGTATTAGTACAAGTTTTGCAGACTGCCAAATTGTTAACGATGGAGCTGTTTAAAAGAGGAAAATCCATTCAGTGTTACTTTGGCGATGAACCGGAAACATTGGATAATCGCCAAGTGGAGTGCATCGCCACGGCGGGCGTAGTAGAATCGTGTATAAAACAAACATTGTTGACAGGTGCGTTGCAACCTTGTTACTGTAGTGGGTTTATTAATGACAGGCAAGCCAACAGAAAACAAAAACTTTCAAATTTCCCCTAATCTGATTAGTTCTTAGTTAGAAGTGCAGAATGTGTCGGCATCCGCTGAATGCCGAAAATGTTGAGATTGCTGCAGATAATTTAAATTGCGTTTTGTAACAAAATATTTCTTTTGTTTTAGGGAAGATAATCCGCGGATGCAGTCTGCCGGGTAACAACCATCACAGTTATTACCGGTCCGGCTGTCAAAAAACTACGAGTGGTGAAATATGTTACTGTGTGCGGGATTTGTGCAATCGAGCCAATACTTTCTCTGTGCAAGTTTCGTCTCTATTGTTTGTTATGTTTTACAGTTTGTTGTTGATTTTCTATAATTTTTATACTGCAGCCTTTAGATTCTGTCCATTCGGTTTAGCCTAGACAATTAAAAGAGGTTATGTACAATAATATGTTGTGTTTTGTGTACTGATACATTGTTAATGAATGCAGGTTACCTACAGTAGAGAACACTGGAGTTTGCGATTGGATATTATTCGTACATCATTAGTGCTGACCAGTAGATCGTAAACCGTTTACAGGACCGGCAAAGGTCCAGACGGCACCGGTATCGGCGCATCTCGTAGATCTTCCGATACTCGCAAACCGAATCCGTAATCTGAAACAGTACAGATATTCTTTACAATTTGCTTCCCACAGGAAAGAAAAATGATACTGTTTCGAAGTTTAATTAAAGGTGATCTTGTATGTAACTTATCCAAGCTGAGCAATAAATGCGTACTGCTGATGTAAGATCAGCAGAACGCTTACCTGATTTCTCCATATCTTCCAAGTCTGAATCCGGTACGAAATAATGATAACTTCCGGAAGTCTGAGTACCCTTCAGATTCTGATCGATTGTTGGTACGACAATGCGATTTCCTTCTGTCAGCTGAGCACGAATGTATGAGATATTGGGCTCGTAAAATATGGATAAACCTTTATAACAAGGATCAAAACATAAATAATTGTTATTATTGTAGATCGATAAAATGGTAATCCTCTCTACTGCTGTACTGTACTGTATTATCGACTTATCGTAAAATCTACTACACTCTACTGCGTATTGCTTTACATAATTACTTATGTTCAGTGCTTACGAGGACAACAAAATCGTCATATGTCTTTATTCAAAACTACTCGTATTCAAAACTACAGCGTATTACGCAAAACAAAAAGCAAACTTCACGATGCGTTAAATATGCATAGATGTAGGTACATCGGTGATCGGTCGTAGGCGGTCTGATGACAGGAAACAATTTATCTTATCAACTCCCGGTGGAGTAAATTCATATAATTTGCTCCCTGAAACTTAAGGGAGGCAGGGAACAGCTTACTAGGAATACACAAAATAGTGCGCGATGCGTTTTTGATTTGTACCAATCAAAATACACTTCTGAAAAACCTTTTTGGTCAAAGGTCACCCCTTGATTAGTGGTTTACGCTTGGAGAACGGAGATTTTAGTTTGTTTACAGCACCGATGGATAGTACCTTGTTTGCGTCTGCACAGTAAACATGCGAAATAATCCGCTCCAAACTGGTAAATATTACAAGGACGCTGCCTTAGTACTTCACGGGAAAAATCATCCAGCAGACGCCTGAAACCTTTTGGCAAGTGCACCGCCCGCGACTGAGCCGGAATCAGCAAAGGAGGGGCGCGAAGAGGCTTCGAGGTTACGGAACTGATCGATCCTACGTCAGTGGAACGGCGCGGTTGATCGTCCGCCGTGGCACCAGCAACGGACATCGGGGCAATAAAAACTTGGAGTATTGTAAGCAGATACCTTATTACTGTATTCCCAGTATCGGATTAGCTGCTCCTTCGAACCATCACTATCAAGTCGCTAAGTCATTTTGTGGTACAAACTACAAAGATACTTGTAGTAAGAAAGTCTTAATTAAAATAACTTACGAGTTAGCATAACTACGAGTACTGTATTAATTCTATTGACATGACGTGCTGCATTTTACTGAATAGTGCATTAAACGTCGAAGTATACATAATCCCTACTCGTGCCCTAGGAATTCGAAGCCACCAGTGTAATCTGCAATTACTAACAACTGCCTTAGAATGAACTTTTAGCGTAGGTCGTATCCATATTTGCAAAGATTGGTGTGTGCAGTATATACTGTGCTCTGTAGAGCAAAATACGAAACTGATCCCGTGCATCTTTTATTTCGGGTGCTGCTTTGAACGCTTGGTCAGTGTACATGACGCTGTTCCATCGAAATTTAAAAGCTCCTTTAGAAGCATAAAAACGAAACTTTTGTACGATACTACGGCACACAAAATCGCTGGTTCTGTAAAGGAAAAGGTCAACAGGTTAATGGTGTGATAACCGCACCCGGAAAGCCTTTTGCAAACACAGCACAACGAAACGCTTCCGTCGAACATTTCACATAGAAATCGCAAATCTTTTCGGTCTCTGTGGGATAATCCACCGCCAAAACTGGCTTGCCATCGTTTCTGGCTGACCGCAAGAACCTCACCACGGTGTCTGTGTGTTCGGCGTCGACATTTCGCAAGGGGATATTGTCTCTGTACCACGTATCCTGTGCGACCAGACCATCAACCATTGAGACATAATCCGCGTTACCATACAGTTCCACCGCATTGTTCACAAACACCAGCAGATCGCTGTTGAGCGACTGGCCCCAGCGTCGGATGCGGCCGACCAGCTGGATCATATCGTCGGCCGCGGCAGGTCGGTTGCCTTCAGCAAGAAAATGTGTATACACGTCCACAGCGTCCAGATACAGACCGGAATAACCTTTCCGCAGAATGTGATTTTCCATGTAGTTTAATAGAATTTCTTGCCATTCTTCCATCCAAAATCTGATTTTGTATCTAAAAAACATAATTATTTTCATTTCAGACAAGCTTCTTAATTCTTAAGCTTGAACCGAAATGTCAAGTGAGATTACCGGTCGCGAAACCTGTCGTTAACGCGCTCCAGAAATAAGGGTATGACGCCGGGAATCCAGTCTTCCCGCCAATAGTCCAGCCATACTTCGGCTTCACCGACGGACAGGTAAGCTAAAACGATCTTTCCTTCTGAGCGCAACTGATTTACATCATCCACAGACAATTGCGCACGATCGGGGTGTACAATATGATATGACAAATCCGACTTCGAAATGGACCGGTAATCGGGATCGGACGTTTCGATATCCATTGCAAACTTTGGTGTATACACAGCCTCCATGGAGAACGGAACGACACGCCTGTTAGAAGCGCGAGAAAAGTCTGTATCAATAAAAATTTCAGCATTATCTGCAGTTTCTGCTGTGATAGTCCGCGAAAAGCATAAGAATGTCACTGCCGTTGCAAATTCGTGTGGTAGTATAAAGTTCATTTTTTACTAAATTTGATTCTTGTCCGCTTTTTACAACCACACTGATACTTTTAAATCGTATTTTAAGATATATGTATATCGAAATAGTCATGGAGCTCCAGTTCTTAATTTCAGTCCATTTTTGTCACCAATGAGCAAAATTGTATTGTATACATTTAAATATTTGTACAGCGGAAAAAATCGCTGCGCTTGGCAAATGCGGCGGTGTTATGTGCCGAGGCACAACAGATTTTGCCTAACGAAGTCATTTCTTCGCCAGATATCTGCAGTGATGCGCCGTTTATTTTTGCCTTTGTAATTTATAAACGTTTAACAACTTCTATTAACGCTGCCTGTTTCAGTTTGTAGCGAGGTGAATGGAATATAGATGTACGGTAAATATTTAGTAGTTTCTGTTTAGAAATCTATTTACGTACCCTTCAGTCTTCACTACGTATAACACATAGGTATCTGTACAAGTATACCGTTCTATATTGTACACAAGAACGGCGAAGAAGGTCAGGTTGTGTCTGTATGTTTACATACACATTTTTAAATGGTTGTAACTATAAATTTTTATGCATTGCGCTTTTCTGTTTACAAAATTATTGGTCTTACAAGTTTAATGCCAATTTGCTGTAAATTCACTGTTGGAACCGGTATACTTATCGTTAGTTTCCACTCTAATGTTTTATAATATTATTGCTTTCCTTTGCCATTTTGACTTTGTACGGTTTTAATGGGTGATTGGTATCCCGCTTTTTTCATGTTTAAAAATATTTTCTGCCATTTTGTTATTAAGCACAAATCCTTAAAGAAATCAAAAAATGTGAACTTGGGAACAATAATACTGTAAAACGTACTGCGGTGATTTACTTACTTTTCCATTTAAAGCCAACCAAATCGTTTAATTCCGGTGCTTAAGATTCTCTGTCGGATTCCCATTCGAAGAGATGCTGTACAATGTACAGCATCTCTTCGAATGGGAATCCGACAGAGTACACTGTACATGTATCTTTGCGATACATGTACAATGTACAGTGTGCATGTATCGTAAAGCTGAACTATACTCAAGTATAGACTGTCGGTATTCCAACAGCAATCACCCAATCGTAGGGCAGCAGGCTTGCATTCCTATTGTAATATAGATGTTTATACAATAGTGTACCAGTGGATGACTCCCCTCATTCTCCATTCTATGTATCGGAGCTCAGAAAAAAATCATTGAACTAGAACACTTAATTGCTCGTTTCCCAGGACGAGAATGCAGTGTCCAGGCTGAGCAGGGAGAATATGAAATGAAAAGGAATGCAGGTCAAGAAAACGTATTGCTGTACATCAGAATAGTTCAGACATTCCCAAATTATGGAAATTCCGCGTTAGAACTAGACAGCTCGTACGCAGAGTCGCAGATAACGCATTGTTCCGATTTGACTAGCATCAACGACATTCAAATTTTCATTACGCACACCGAAATTCTCTTGCGCGGCTGAATATTTTGGTTTTTTTCGCATTTATTCTTAATCAATCCACGCGCCTGCGTAAGGCTTCCGTAGGAAGCGTTCCGAAGCCCGAATGAGTTTTTCCATTTAAAGCCAACCAAATCGTTTACTTCCGGTGCTTAAGGGTACTTATCTTTATCTACTCGTACAGAAATATTCGTCCGAGGCGGCCGTGCATTGAGACAGATGAGCAGCCAGATTAGGGTACACCTGGACTCTTTGGCCACTGGCTCTCAGTTTTGTTTGAAATTTTTCTTTAATTGCCTTGCTTTTTTTAACAGGATAATTCGACTAAGTACGTTGTTTGGGTTTTCGAAATATCGTTGCTTTGGATCTTAGCCTGCGAGATATGTTGCGCAAAACCGTTTTAATCCCACCAGACGCCGTAATATGTGAGTATCTGCACGTGGTACCATTATTAGCGTACTCGTAATGTTATTCTGCACACCTTTCGACTTCTTACTCTGATTTTCTATGGTTACACTGTATAGATTTGGTGTTTCACCTGAAAGCGGAACATCCAGATATAAATTCGTAGAATAAATGTTTGCAAACGAGTCTGCTTATTAAAAAAGCGTGTATGTTCCCAGTAGGGTATGAGAAGCACGGAAATGGACTGAATTGTTGGTATTCTAGCCACGAGCTCGCGCAATGGAAGCGCTCCTAGCTGATGTGAGTCGCTGTGGTAAGTGAATGGGACACTGCGCTGTAATTTGCATTGCCAAATTATACAGCTCTGGGGCGATAATTACTTACAAACAATGGTTGCCGAATTTTCGGGATAGATAATAGTACGGTAAATCATAAATTGTTTTAAAATGGCCTGCTACGAACACGGTTATTGCATACTATAGTGCGCTTCGTTCTCGGCCCGACAAGCACAGCAGATGGCATTTTTGTTTTTTAGGATTGAACGATAGCGCTGATTGTGAGGTTGTGCAGGAAGATTTGGAAATCAGTTGTCTGTTATGGGAAATCCTTTCGGAAACCCTGGGCTACCTAGACATCCATTCACAAATCAAAGCAAAAGGGTGAGAACAAAAAATTTTCGAAGTTGCCTTGCTCAGCATGATGCTTCTGGTGTTTATCGCTGTCTCCGTATCTCGGCCAAGAAATTTTGATGTTTTTGCATTCGAATGATTAGTAATGCACATAGAATTACACATAATCTGCAAGCCCAGGTAAACGTATGTACGGTTTAAATTTTTTGACTCTCATGGTTTCTACTTTCTAGTTAGTCATAAAAATTTTTGGATGTTCGTAATTATTATCAGGATTAATTTTTCTGGTTGTGCAAGTTAATGCATGATGCCTTATTGAATAAATAAATTAGCATGGCAGAAATGGTTTATGCAGTTGTGAAGTGCTTAGTTACTTAATAATGCAGCTGAATATCGATATTATTTATGTGGAACTTGGAAGGTATTTTGTGAATGCTTTTATTTATCTTTTTCGTTTTGCAGAGTGTGTTCGCTTTGGAATCAACTGATCACTGAACCTCTGCAGTCGGTTTGTGTGACACTGGATTTGGTCAATATTACAGCGCACATGCCAGTAAACAAGAAAACTTCGGATGTCGTTCAGGTTTTGTTGGAACAAGCTATCAGCAGGCGTCATGTAAAAGGTCTGCTGATTGACATGCATGTTCAGCAGTCCGAACCGCGGGACTTCGTAGCGAGCCACATTGATATTACCAGCTCGTCGCTGCTGGTCATCTCCCTTAAAAACTGCCGCAATTGCTTCATGCGCGAAAAAAATCGCACTCATTTATATTTTGAAATAAGGTTTTTTCCACTTGCTCATCTGCTGCGTCGGCGCAAGCATCCGAAGCCCGGTGGGGACGAGTGGACGCTGGACCAGCGTGTGTCGTATACGTGCTATTCATCAGCATTACTGCGGAACTGGGTCTCACGTAACAACAGTTTGGAGGCTAGCGGACAGTTATAATTTTCTTCTCTTAATTCAATTGTTGAACCGAGTTATGTTTGTCGTTACTCTAGTCCAGATGTTTTGGAATCTTCGAAATATAATCTCTGAATTGTTGTGCGTTTTAATGGAGCGTTGAACTGCATTATTTACTCGTATTTACATTTAACGTAAATGCCACATGCCTGCTTAAATTTGTCAAATTGGCGTACAAATTTGTCTGCGTGAAAAATGTAAAGCTTCTATTCAAGATGACTTGCTTTACCTGTTGCGAGTGTTATAGTATTGTGCAGTACATTAATAGTTAATCCGGTAAAGATCTCTATAAATCTCGGTTGATTCGTTAAAATCTGGATACACAAAAATCTATATAAAACCGTCCACAAAACTTTTGGCTCGAAGTGCTTTATCTGCGTGCACGCATTTTTTAAGTTGGATTGTATTCTCGTAGAAACACCTTATGTTAAGCACAACGCATAACTTAAACAAATAGTGGTCTGCTTACTTTAATACAAATTTCAGAAAGTATACAAAACGAAAAAAATAGTTTTGTGTACATCCGCCGACAGTAGCTGAAATCCGATGCAGAATCAATCACGGAATTGAAATATTATTGGTCATGCTCTACCGTCTGTCGCCGCATTTGCCGGATTTGCGTGAACGCGAAAACTTCTTTTGAGGTGGTAGTTGATCGTATTCTGCTGGCTGCAGTTTCTAAAAATATTCGAAGGATGATTTGGGGGTTTGATCATTGTGCGGTAAATAACTCAACAATCAACAAGTGCAATGAGTTAAACAAGCACTGCACATCATGCAGTACCGGTTCACCTTTTTCGGTGTGCCGTGGCGGCCTTCGTCTACTTTAGCTGGGTTCCGGAAAGAGTATGCTTCCGTCAAATAGCCGGTGTAATTTGACAGAGAATGCGATTGGTAATAAACCAGCAACTCCGCTAAATTGCTATGCGCTATACTTTCCCCTCGCACCATCATTTTATCGTTGGGAAGAAAATCAATCAAATAATGTCGGCATCGTTCCGGAGCTCTAAAATGTCAAATTTTTAGTTTCCATACCCACTGAAGTAATTCTAGAAAAACACCAGACAGTGCAGAATGCTACGATGCTGATAAACGATACCTATGCTGATAAACTCTGTACAACATGATATCGAAGTACTTATATGAAAACACAAAACAGCATACGTTGTAATTCTGCGGCAGAATTACAATTACAAAGTACCACATAATCACACTTTAGAACAGTGTTTGCGGTAGTTTTAAGCTATCCAAAGTGTCGTCCTTATTTAAAATATAACTGCAATCGCATAAACAATTTTATGATTCTTATGCGTACAGCCGTAACGCGACGTATATGTATCTTAATGAAGCCTAATCATGCAACCTGATAAAATACCGCTACTGACATACTTGAACGAAAGAACAAGAACATTAAAGTCACTCTGGTTTGATCGCACCAGGAAGCATCCCACCGTGCGATTTCGGAGCAAAGCTTCGGCATCCCTGCAATCAGGATTCGAATTAATTGTTATACAACATAACAGCATTATCTCGTAATAATTATATCGTGTTTAGCAAACATGGTGGCACTTCAAGATGAGTATCGTACAGACCTGGGCAGTTATGGAAAATCGACCCACAGTTAGAGTTAAGAGTTACAGGGAGCGTGCGAGTTGCGCTAAGAGTTAAGTTATTTATGCAGGAAAACCGAGTTTCGAGTTACACCGCGAGTTACGCTACCATAGACAATATATACTATTTTTACGAGAGTTAAGTTAGAGTTAAGTTTTCTTCTGAGCGAGTTACGCTAAAGAGTTAAGTTATAACTCAATAACTCGAAAATAACTCGCGTTAAGTTAAATAGTTAAAATTAACTGCCCAGGTCTGGGTCACTACTATCGTACGCATGATGTGTTTCATGTATGTGTGAACTGCATCTGATTGTGTATTTTCATTGTCTGCTTTAAACGTAAATCAAAACTCGTAAATCAAAAATCAAAACTACACGTAAATCAAAACTCTAACAAAAAGACTTTGTTAGCTAACTTTGTAAGCAAAAAGACATGTTCGTCTGTTTTGGGCAATATTGCGATTTCTTTGATCAATGTAATAATTTTTTCAGTATCGTCAGTGTAATAATTGCCTTAAACGTAAGGTACAGGCTTTATACATGAATCGTATCGTACCGGCGGTTTAAGTTTGTGAAAAACCAATCCGTTTTGTGCAGTCTTCCGGTTTGCGTTTTCTTCTTTGCCTGTGCAACACCGGATGCAAGCTGCTCATAGACACAATCCTTAAACCACTGGGACACCTGTTGCGCATCCGCCAGGGAATAACCATCGATGTGGTCAGCTGATTGTGAGTGCTCAGAATGATACGTGGATGCTTCGCTATGCGCACCGGAAAACGTCCCACTGGAGCCAGCGGCAAGATTTATGCGCTCGGCCGCTTCCTGCTGTATTCGTTTTCTCCACATGCAGTTTCGAAACCCTGCAATGTACTGTAATATAAAATCAAAAACATTTACGCCACCGGTCAAAGCTTTTTGGAAAGGAAGTGACCGGTTTACACACATCGCTGTATCTTTTTGGCCGCTGTTTCACGCAATCGCAGCCGACTGGCAAGGTCATCGGCAACACAATATTTGACGAAGACCTTGGTTTTACCCAGGTGCCATGATTGACAGCCGTAGGGTTCCAAGATCTTTTCAATCAACGTCATCGGCCTGTCAAAGCTTTGGTTAAAAAGACCTCGGAAGCGTGCCATGAATTCAGAGAATGTGGGCCTGTACGAGAAGCCCTGACGGCGAATCCATACCGCTTCCAAAACACCGGCATGGCGCAGCTACCAAAGCCAGACAATTTTACTGCAGCTACCCAATCTTGCAACTAAATTTATAAGCAACGAAAAGTACCAGATAATGATGATAAAATTATATTGAATGTGGGCATTTGGGAATTTGTTGTTTATGACAATGACACATTAAACCGACTTACTTGCGTTAAAACGTGGGAGCTGTCAAATTTGTTGGGAATCTGTTCGATGTTTGGCTTGATGCATCGGACAAAATATGTTTCACTTTGATGTAGTTCATCTAGCAGTGCCGTTAGTGATGCCTGTAAAATCAGTTAAAGCGAGCCAGGTTTAATATTTTTCGGTTCAAATGGAAAGAAGGGATGTGTCATCTAACTTATAATTAAATAGGCACGCCCCATAATGTCTGTTTCTACTTTTTTATGCGGTACGGTACCGTCTACGCATCCGTATATACTGCAGTACCGTTACCGCAAACAATTACGGTATTTTGTCATATATATGACATTATAATAACAATATGCGTAATACTCGTACTTTGAACTGGTAAGCAAGTGTCAGCTTTTTTCTTGTACTCCGTCCAAATCCCGCCCCGTGTTCCGCTTTTTTTGTCCCAGCCGGCACGGGTGCCGGCTCCAGTTTTTGTCCGAACACCAGTGAGCCTGTACGCGATACTTTAGCCTGAAAGAGTGTGCTGACTATCGCGTGTGGACTGCTCTGCAGTAGCACACACAGTCGCTCGGGTAGGCTATCGCGATTCTTTTCCAGAAAGCCTTTGGCGTTGTAGAGCACATCTCCAGCATAGTGGCAAATGGTAAAGGTCGGCAGAACCGGCGCTTGGCCAGGAGCCGGGCGAAATGTGGAGCGGAAGCGGGATGCATGCGAGGCGAAATGATGTTGAAACTTGATAACCAACGAAGCGTCAGAACCCTGAGGGAAGTGGCATTCTTCGTCCATCAAGGAGAGGATACCGATCGGTCGATCAAGGAACATATGCTGTGCAGAATGAACAATTAGGCACGCAGAACGCAACGAATATAGTGTACTAACAAATAACAATTAGCGTATTAAAACGTTTTCTGTAATTGTCACTATGAGTTTCGAGTGTGTATTACTACATACATACCAGTAAGTCTATGTTGTCTCGATAAGTGACCTTATCTACTCCCAGGCCCTCGCTTTCGTATTCGTTCTGCTCTTGCTGGAACACTTTCTAAAAATCACAGCTTTATTATAAATTATCGTCGCACGAAATGTGCACAGAATTGTTCATCGAAACATCCGCACAAAAATTGTGTATACTTGGCTTTATTAGCTGGTTTTTAGCACAACAGTGCACGTGTGCAAGTACGGCTGTATGTATTACGTATTAATGTAAATACCTACGTGTAGTTTATAAAAAGCAAAATTTGTACAATATAATTGTGCTCTAAATTCTGTCTTTTGATTCATGATTCCCGTACCAAATTGAAGAAATGCTGCAATTGTTCATTGGCTAGATTGATGCACAGCTGCTCGAAAGAATTAGTGCGCAGGTTTTCAAATCCAAATACATCCAGTATTCCGACATTTAAGAGCACACTCGGTATCTTTTCCGATTTTTCGGCCGGTGTTTTTGGGAGTAACATCTCGTTAATACGATGAATTATCCATCGAAATAGACGATTGTATAATGCCTTGGAGATGGAATCGCGGCAGTCTAAATTAAAAAAGTACATGTACAGTGATTAAAAAGTACGTGTACACTGATTGTGAAATCAATTCTTCCCATTGCATCGAACTTGGGATACGGGTATATATCGTTACTGCTGAAAAACAAGTCCGGTACTGCTACCTTCAGCCTCGCTTTTGCTATATGGTCGGCAGATTACTTCACCCCGCGAGTAGATTTCCAAATTTTGGAGTTGATTTCTAAGATTCTGCCTTTCAGTTTCCAATAGACTCTGTAAACAACATTATATGAGCATAGAAGTACTGCAAGCATAAATTTGCATAAGCAGTTAGCCATAATTAGCTCAGATAGCGCAGCAAAAACACCTGCAAATCAGCTGGGTGATACTGACAAAGTATAAGCAACTGCATTTTAATGATGTATCTGCTGTTTCTTATCGTTTGATTTCAAACAAATGGTTTAGATTTATTTTCAAGTTCTAAGATCCACAAGCGATGAGCTACGATAACGTTTGCACTTTGATAAGTTTTTTATGATCAGCTGTTTTAAGGTAAGTTAGTAAGGCGCAAGACACCCTGAAACCCAAATACCGGCATATGCAGTTAGGCTACCACACAAACCGCGGCATTTTTGACGAATCTTTCCGTATCCGTGCAAAACGGAATTTTCCCGCCGGGATCTTCCGTGAATTTTACGTTTCCCAGGCAAAGAATTGCTGCCAAAATGGTAAAAATGTGATACTGCTCATCTTTGCTAAATCCAACTACCGACAACGCATCGCAAAGGTCACGATAGTTTTGCAGATGCCCGTTAACTGGAGGTCGCTGTCTCGCTTGCACGTCATCTAGATATCTGCCACAAATGATGGGAAAACCTTGAAATGTAATCACTTTTATGTCGGCAAAGAGTCCTTCCTGCTACATCAAAGTCAACCTACTCGTATGTTGCGCCTGAATCGAGTTTCAGTTTCTTTAACAACTGAGCCGGTAGATCACTCATAATAGTGTGGAAAATGTGAAAGTTAGATTCTCCTGGGTTCCGGTGGGTGATCCGAGATTTCTCCAGCAGATATTCAGAAATTTTCGCCCCGGTTACTATAAAAATTATTAAAAGAAAATTTGCACACTTTCCAGATGTACCAGGATCTGGTTGATAGTACAGAGTACTCTATAAAGGATAATTTTAACTTGAAATTGCACAGTGCCGTTAACTGGTGCTGAAGATATTGCAGTGCATTTGCTGAAAATGTTTTCCCAAAATTATCAAGGTGCTCATAAATTATTTTGCAAGTATGCACCTTTCCCAGTGTCGGCAAAGGTTAGCTGAATGAACTTTCCAAACCGACTAGAATTATGATTTAGGCTGGTGTGGGCGTTGCCGAAGGCTTCTAGCAAGGGGTTCATAATCAGGATTTTTTGTTCCAGCTCATGATCACCATTGGAGATCTGCATTAAATGAGATAAAAACAGTTTCGATGCTTCCGTCTTTCCCGATCCGCTTTCTCCGCTGAATATGCAGCACTGGGCATGATGTCGTTCCAGAAGGTTTTGATACACGCGGGAAGCGGAGACAGAGATATGCGGCAGTGACCATTCGGCTGGTTTGGGCGAATGCGCTGGCCGGCCAGGTTCCTGACCACGATCAATCAGTAAATTACGTATGACTGTTTTAACTATATATATTGCAGTGCACAAACAGAAAAGAACAGGTTAATTCAATAACAGGTAGAAGTACCTAACGAAAACCTAACATCAGCTGACAGTAAGGTCATTATATATGGAAGTACAAAGATGGCATATAAATATTTTTATTCAATAATTGCGCTGAAACACGCTGCATGAAACACCTAACAAGTAAGTGTTTACCACATTCGCGACGGCATTTGGTAGTGGTTGACGGATTGCCTCGAAAGGGTTTAGGGAAAGCAGAATTTCGCCCACTGCGGTCTACAACGACACCCACTGCGGTCGACAGGCTTGTACATTTTGCGAAGCTATTAGGAACGTATAGCTTTGTATCCGTTTTACAGTACTCAGATAATAATAAAATCAATAACACGGAGTATGACTTCCAGCTTACGTAGATCTTCTTCTTCCGAAATCGGCAACGCAGGATAGCTACCATAAGCGCTTCGTCCACAAAGGATACAGTTGCCAAATCGTCAACATCTTGGTCCAATAACAACACTGCATTCGACATTCCTCGTACGCTTGAAATTGTGAGTTAATTTCGAGCAGTCACCAAACTTTGAAGTGATAGCAGAAATTCCTTCTCTAATAATTATGGAAGCAACATACTCGCGGCCGAACTGACGTAAAGTCAGTCTTAGCGGGCGCACCGGAAGTGCTTCCGGCCTTGTACTGTTATACACTATACCACAAAATGTTTCTAGTATCGATATCTCGGTACGACGGCACCGCACCGGAAAGAGGGAAGTAGTACGCACTTTCCATACTGTAAAGACAGAATTATTGCAAAGATCAACATAATAAATGACACAAAAAATATTTCCTTAATACGTATACCAATACAAAGTACATACAATATTAACATAACATTTAAATATGAGCTCTCTTTGCAGTACTCTGTCACATCACGACTGTTACCAGTAACTGTCCTTATTTTGCAGCAATATTATATCCACAGTACATATGCACGAGTATTAGCACAAAAACTGAATCACGACTGATTGTGAGTAAAAAACTGCGCTTTTAGGATGTAACACAATGCTGTCTCTTCACTTTGACATGTTGTCAGTAAAACTGCGTCAGTAAAAAGACGCGGTTTAAGCCAGTGTAATACTACAACACAGTATCTATTGTATATGCACACGAGCGTAATCGTATGAAATTATTTTGACCAAGTCGAGAGCTTTTAAGGTACTGCCGGTACGAATGCGATACTACTACGGCCTATGGTACGTAGTGTCACTACGTACTGCGTTTGCATATGTAAAATATGTATTTATATAATTGTTAAAACGATACTCAGTATTCGCAGTGATTTAATGTACAACGTCCAAATGGTATTCGTACTGGGGAAGCCGGATAACGTTCCGCTGACCAAAACATAGTCCTGCACCATGTTTACCGCAGGATAGGGAAATCAGTTTACTCGCTAGTCGCTACCTTCTGGGAGTTCTGGCGTTTTTCATGGGCACGCAGACCGCGGACGCAAATGAAAATGCAGAACTTCGAAAGCAATATAGATGCCATGGTCCTCTGGTCCTCCATAACCCAAGCTCTAAAACAAAAACCATTCGTAAAATTAAGGATAACTAGTAACTAGGTGGAAAGCGGAATCGAAGCGGGAAAGAAAATCAACCGCATGGCAACCGCCCTCTGGGGTTCGGTTCCTTTGCAAGAGTGGAGTACTCGTACAGAGTCGTACCAGGGCCACAGACTGCTGGTCGCTGGTCGTACTTTAATACAGTTTGCAACTCATACGAGTGCAATGCTATGTTATTGTGCAGCAGTGGCGTTTTAAGCAATTTTATTGCTGATTTTACTGGCATTGCACCATTTGTGGACCCTCCGGTTGTCGAGCGACAACGCAACAGAAGCACGCGTGCGGTGGCCCATGCCACAGGCTGTTTTAACGTAAATCTTTGAAAATTCATAACTTTGTTCACTCCTGCATTAAATTTTTATGTATAGTCTTAAAAAATGCAGAATAATACACAGTATTAGGCAAAATAAATGTTTTCTGTTTCTTCTTTAGGGTAATGCAGTATGAGCCCCTGCGGTTAACATAGCCGCCTATGGGAAATCCTCCATAGGCGGCTATGCTAGCCGCGCAGGCTAACAGCGCACAATCCTGAAAGAAAAATTAAAAAGCATTTCTTTTGCCTGATACTGTGTATTATTCTGCATTTTTCAAGACTATGCATAAAAATTTAATGGAGGAATGAACAAAGTTATGAATTTTCAAAGATTTACGTTAAAACAGCCTGTGGCATGGGCCACCGCACGCGTGCTTCTGTTGCGTTGTCGCTCGACAACCGTGAGGGTCCACAAATGGTGCAATGCCAGTAAAATCAGCAATAAAATTGCTTAAAACGCCACTGCTGCACAATAACATAGCATTGCACTCCTCATACACGGGTAAACGTGCAAATTCATTCACGTGGATTTGAAGCGAATTTGACAGAGTTCGCAACTCTGGAATTCACCCATTCTTTGTTTTGCTAAGCTTCTTGAATCTTTCGATAACGACGTAAACGGTAATTGCCGAGATGGCACCTCACTTGCGCCAACGTTCTTCCACGAAGAAAACCGTCCCGACTGCTCCTCGCACCCCGACGACGCGACATCAACCGAAAGCCTCACACAAAAAGAAACAGCCTGGAACTCCTGCTAGTCACACTGTCCCGTTAAGTAAGGAGGAGAAGAAGCGTCGTCAGGAGCGGCTGTGGCAGGTGGACGAGGAAACGCAAGGGATGTTGGACGAGCCGTACAAAGGAGATCAGTCTGTGAAAGTGTTCCGATTTGTTCCAGGTTGGTCTCCAAAGACAAATGCGTTCCTTAACCCATGATATGGTTTTTGAGTGGGTCGTTCACTTCCTCCTTTTGACAGGCGCTCCTGTTGTCTCTTTATCCAAGGGAGCTTACCATGAAGCTACGGTATGCACATGTGTTTTCTTTTACATTTCACAGTAAGTTGTGTTCGATTCGCATGGTTTCGGTGATTGTTACATCGTAGATCGAATGCTATTATCGTACCGCTCTGCCGGAGTCGATCTTTCCGCCCGGACAAGGCCATACTCGTAAAACTGTTCCGGTTGGCAAATGGATTCCCACTGTAAATGTGCGCTTTTTCGGATATTCTGACCAGTAAGTCATTCACAACAGCTTTCATTCGGACATTGTTTTGCCACGAACCAGACTTGTTAAATTTTGTAGTTACCAAGTTTAGGAATAATCTTCCTGCGTTAATCGGGGTATTTAGTTCTAATAAAGCGTAAGTTTTATGTTTCGCGCAGACACAAGGAGGAGATTCCCGAGAACGAGTTGATCTCCCGCTGCCCGACGGAACTGTGCTTCGTGCAAGGCTTGTTGTACGCGCACGAGTTCAATACATGGCAACGGTAGGTTGAGCAGAAATTCACTTAACAGGTTCGACTTTCATCGGGTCTGGATTCAGTAATTTTAGGATTAGCACATTATAAATTAGCACATTAATTGTAGGATTAACGCATTATGCTGCACATAGAGTACTGGTACGGTTTGTAAAGAACACAGCAAGACAGTAAAAAACCCCTTTTTTTCTACCGTGAATTAAAAATGCTCTTTTATTTTGAATGACCACAAATTATTTTGTTGTAATAGTGAGTCGAAGGGGCTTGATGAGATCGCGTACGGGAAGACCGCTTGGTTTATGAGCGACGAGTCTTACGAGGCGCTGGAAAAGAAATGGCAGCGCCTAACCGGACATAATGAGACATTTGCGGCTTACTGTGGACGTTTTCCTGCTGTGGGAGCAGGTGGTGACGGTGGAGCGGTTGGTGATGGTGGAGCGGGCGGTGGCGACGATGACATGATGTCAGACAGTACGGGATCGGAAGTGGAGGTGCTGTCGGATATGGGCTCGAGCCTTACCGATGATGCGTAAGAATCCGATGCCACTTCCAAAGAATTTGGTCAATCTCGGATGTTCGATATTTACTGTATGATGAGTCTGTATCTGTGTTTATAGTTTACCAGAATGATGGTGGTTGTTATTATTTTGGATAGATCTCGTTGTGATACCGATTTTGTAATTTGTAAATGCGTCGAGTAATGCTGCGTGGATAATTTGTGGCCGTGCTCGAAGGTAGATTGTTACTGTTGTATAATTTTGTATTTCTTTTTTGTGGTTAGCCTGAATAAGCCGTTTCATTACACTGTGCGGTTTAATAGAGGCATGACACTGTATAGAATCGATATTTCGGATTGGTTTGCTAATTCCTGCTTGGAATATATTTTTTCCCATTAAATACGACTTGCTCAGATTGGCATACGGTACACATGCTTATGTAAAATGTGATATCAAATCCGCTACATAATTGAAACATTATGGCTAGGCTAGAGTAGTAAATGTTGTTTACAGAGACATTATCCATTAATACCGTCTATTTGTTTACAAAACAAATGAAAGCAAGAGGGCCATTTTCAAACAGTTACAGGTGTAATTTATGGCACTGACCGTGCATATATCTGGATAGCTTTTAATATACTCAACTCGGCTCGCACAGTAATTCTGGGAACCAAAACTGCAATCACAGAAGATTATCAAAATTAAACATCAATCAACGCCAGCGCCCTAGACATGCTATTGCTGATAGTGCAATCATTTAATGTGCCGCATAATTCTCTTGGCATGGTTGGATTTAATATCTTGAAGTGCCTGTTCCAGCTCCTCTGTCACATGCAACAGCGTCGGAATGTCCATTTGCAGAGTGTGGGAAGTTGTCTGATTTCCGTCTTGTTCAAGTTGCAGTTGCAAATAGACAACTGGACGAAGGCGGTTGTGGAGGGTGCGCGAGGCAATCTACGACGTAAAAATCAGCAAAAATGATGAATGCCGATTGCCGGATGGCAGCAAATTATCTAAATCATGAATGCCGAATGGAATTTATTGTGAGAGAACGCAACGGTCAAATCACGCGTTTCTTAATCACTTTAATTGACTTTGTTCTTTCAACTAGGAGAAATCTCCTTCTTCCTTATACAAGCGCCTCGAATAATTGTGCAAATATTTATAACCTACTTCCACTTCGAATCGCCATTCCATATCTTTATATCTCGCTTCGCTAAAGGATAAATTGGCCAGAATGTTGCGCAGATCAGAACGGATGGTGGAGTAGAATTCCGACAAGATTGCTGCATATTCGGTCGACAAGCGCAGAGACTGTGTAATAACCAGTTCCAAATCTTCTTTAGACACCTGAAAACAATCAACACAATTCAACGCTTTAAAGAGTTTAGCAGGCACATTTCTCATAAAATGAAAACCAGGAAAAAAAATTAACCAAGACTGAAATTACGAGTTTACGACCTATCAACTATCAAAGATTAGCAAGTACAAAATACTTATCACTTTAATTCATTTTCAATATTTGCAAGAAGAACTTTCGAAGCATCGCTTACAACAATTTGAAGTACTGTACATATCAAATAAACAACGGAGCCAAAATTAGCGTAAGCCGAGATCGTAACCAAAATTCAACATGTTATGAATTATTCAACTATGCTGTCTATGCATATTATTCTTCTACTAGCAACTCACATCGACTCGAGCAGCACTCCGGTAGAACTCCATTAAAGCCTCCAATAACTGCTGCAGTTTTTCTGTGGGCCATTCCAAACGCTTCGCGGCTTTATCGATTAATCGTGCTTGTATTCCCGATTGCAAGAACTGAAATGCAACTTTGCAAATTTCCTCCGCCGTGTCCGCATCCAGTTCTTGCACATACTTCAGGTGGGAAGCAGCTGTTTCGTCTAATCCGAACGACATCGTTAAGCTTTCTCAAGGTTACTGGAATAGTTCAAAACTATACAGTAACAAGAAATTTCGTTCAAATCCAGACAACAAAAATTACAAGATTCAATAATAAAACTCCAAATATAATGCAGTGGATCAAATAAAGAAGCCAGAAGAAATAATTACAGTATATTGATACAATTCGAATTATGAAAATAAAAACGACAACAGCACGAGCACAGAGACTGTATTACCAGTCTCTGTGGCACGAGCATGCACGAGTTCCGAGTCACTTCCGACTTGCTCGCATTTCCGGTGCAATGGTTGTGCGCATCCGCGCCCAGTGCAACTCGCTCATTGTTGGGTTTATGCCAACAAATTCAGCGCCAAATTTCCGTGAGACCGATGTTTCAAAATATTGCAATTTTCAGAAAGAGCTCATCGTCAACTTTTGGAAGTTCTGAATTTGTTAATGCACATTTGTTTGATTCCTTGAACAGCGCCGCTGAAATTTTCATCAAATCGATCACTGCTGTAAACTGTAAACACAATCTGTTCGACTTTCCGAGGATTGTTTATGGTCTGCTTTCGCAGTGTCGTATCACTCGTATGCTTCGCAGTTCGCATGTTCTCCTGAGTTTTTGAGTTTCGAATTGATAGCTTGTTGTTGTTTTGTTGGAATCAGCTTGATAACTTTTGGTTCATGATTGATTTAGTTTGTGACGGCCGTAAAGGTACTGTCGGACTTTTGACGAAATCGATCGGATCGACTGCATTGCGCCGTGGACACTGTTAATTTTGTTGTTACTTATTCATCTCGGATTCTTGCATTCTGGTTGCTCTAGAATGGAGACTCAGCGGAACTTACGGACATTCGTTACGTCGCGCAAAACCAGCGCTACAAGTTCCAAAAATGCTGCCGTTGAGAAACTCGGCTCTTCCAAAGTACTGCAGCACTCTGAGATTAGCACGCCTAAAACAGTTGATCTACGGCAGCCACGTAAAACCACGGGATCGAAAGAAAAACCAGCATCTGCGAAGCCAGTGATCACAACTCAGCCGCGCTCGAAACAGGTGCTTGTTTGAGATTTTAACTTCTTGTTTGCATTGCTAACATGGAAATTATTAAGTCGCACGATTTTTTGGCTAATTGCTAACTGAAACCAGTTACTGAGAAATAATGAGAGAATTGTAATATTTCAGGCTGCTTCCACCAGTGTTTCGATTTCTGGTGCGAAAGATGCCTTGTCGGCACCAGCCAGGTCCAAGCCATCGAAAACGATGACACTGATTGAATTCCAAAAACTGCGACAGCAGGCTGGTGCGTCAGCCATGAAAGAATTTCAAGCCAGCTGCGATAAACTGGTTAAAACACCGGAGAAACTACAGAAATCTCCATTTTACAGTCCTGTTAAACATCATGTCAGCACCGCGGAAGTTACGCAGAATATTCGTGCACGTCGACAGCTTAATTTTGGAGCGACACCCAAAGAACAGCTGACTGCTCCGCTGTCAAGCCCAGCAAAAAAGCTGATCGACAAAGAAACTGTTTTAGACGCTGCGACACCATGGGAAATAAGTTTAACACCCGAAAGCGCTTCTGAAGAACAGGAGAAAATCTCGAAAGATGAAATCCGTTCGGAGTTACCGTCAAACGATGCTGTTGTTGTGGAAGAGCGTCCGAATCTGTTGGATTCCCCGTTTAAACAAAAATTACGTGCTGAAAGTGATTTGAATATTCTTCCCTCCACCAGCGTATGTCGAACACCGCAAAAGACACCGAAAAAAGATGCGTCTCTCTCGCCAACATCCATGCTGTCACCAGGGAAGATGGTCAGTTTGTTTAGTCCACAGAAAGGATTTTTTCGCCGGCCAGTGAAAACGGCAGCGGATGTGCACAACGAAGCGGCAAGCAGGGACGGTTCCGGGATGTTGGACGCGGAAGCCGTGCGTCTCCGGATCACGCCTGATGGGAAACAGGGAATGAAGCGAAAAGTTGACGAAGTACTGGAGGCAACGCGAGCAGCCAGGAAAAAACTGGCATTGGTTAAGGAGGAGCGACAGGGTCTGTTGTATCGATTTGCTACGTCCAGGTAAAATTTTTAATTATATTTTGTCGGATTTTGGTTTTGTTAGTTACTGGTTACATCTAAAAAAGCAGTTCGATGTGTTTATAGAACGTCCAGGTAAAATATATCGGATGTTTATTTTGTTGACTACATTACAAAGGCAAATTCGATGTGTTTACAGCACTAATGCACCGGTATACATAACACAAGCGGAGCATACCAAACCGGCAACGGAAAGTAAGGAGCCGCCACTGCCACCGAAAATCAAACTTCTTGATGAACTCTTCGAACGAGCGGATACCATCATTTGTACTTATGCGAACCGGGCGCAGTCCTGTTGCTTTGAAAGACTGCGCAACGATCTGCTGAACTGGAGAAAAGAGTATGTTACAATGTTATTAAGATTATTGCATTTGCGGTATTTAATCTAGCGCTTGGTATGAGCAGGCCGATAACGTATGCATCCCTTGGACACTTGATGCATTTTTACCCGGAGGCGTATGTGGTACGACTGGAGCCGAGATCCACTCTGTTATCGTGTCCCGATAATTTATCTGGAAATGCCCGCTGGAAGAGCGTGAAAGAGCACTACGCGGTGTATGTCCGCGATGATACGAAGCCGGTTCTGCCTAATGAAGAGCTGCTTGTGTCGGTCAAGATGGATCCCTTTGCCAGAGTGCGGAGAAAGAAACGATTCCATGAAATCCTTATGAGTTATGCAGAGCAGCAACATAGAAGCTTCTTAGCGGGATTGCATTTTGTCTTGCCGGATGGCGTGAAAGTGACCAACTGGGATCCTCGATGGGATCTGAACAGTGTGCAGTTGCCAGAACCGGCTAAATTGCCGGACTTTTCAAAACCAACGGAGCCGAGGACATTTGAACAAGCATTTAAGCTTACCGAACAGGTATTAAATTCACGAACATTATTGCCAGTTTTATGTAATTCATTGTCAGTTGTGCACCGCTGTCTTTCTTCGTTGTTAGATAATTGCTCAGCGAAATAAACCAATGTTCGCTCCGGATACAAAGCAACCGACTGATAACGCCGGTACTGCAAAAGTGAGCGTTTCTGAGACACCTGTGGATGAGAAGATTTTCGAGCATCCTAGCTTCCGCTACATGGACGAGGCCACCAAGGCGCGGGTCAGAGAGGCCGAGATGAAAAAGCGATTGAATACTGTAGTCAAAGATCCGCTTGTGGAAAACCGGAAGCGCCGGCTAGAAAGGATGGTGTCAATGGCGCGCATACTTTCTGGGTAATTTGCTTTGTGTATAGCGGGCTTTTTGTCCATAGAAGTAGATTAAGGTTTTCACTAGTAAAATGTATTGCATCTGCAAATAGTTAATACATACGTAAAAGTCTTAATACAAGGGATGCCATATCCCTGACAGCTTGCGCTTTGCTTTGTTGTATTAAAGAATGTAGATCTAATAATATACACACTTCGTCAACGCGGAAATTTAACCGGATGATTTTAATGACCTTATTTATTGTCACTCACTATATTGTTCTATTGTTGAATATTTTTAGTACAGTAATCCATCAGTTGTATTCATTATTTTATGGAAGTACTAATATTGAGCAGTTTTTTAGTGCATTTGGCTATTATTTTGTGCTGCAGCTGGTTGCCTTTCTGATTGCTCTGATATTACACTATTGCGGATGACTATTACACTGTTGCGGATTATCTTAATAACAGCGTAATTCTTTTCCTTAACCAGAAAATTCAGCTCGGAAAGGAAGATAACGTTTGAGGAAAGCGATATCTTGGATACGATGAGGCGCAGTCTCGGAAATGCTCTTACGCCAGGTGCGAATATACAGGGTGTATTGGTCTCTGTGATCGTTTTTGTTTCTGAACAAAAGTTAATAAGTTTTTGATGCTGACTTTGTGACTGTTTGTCTATGAGCTATGGAACTACGAGCTTTACTTATTTAAGTACGTGTCATACGCTGCCGCTAATGAAAGGATTAATTGTTCATTTCAGATGAACTGGCGCAGCATTGGGATCTTTTTGTGGAAATTTACGTGAATGCCGATTGGATTTTTCGATTCAAATGTGATGGAAAATATTTCATCCGCAAGAAAAATTTAGATTTCGGTATTTTACAAATGGAAGAGATTGTGCAACGGGAAACTGCAAAACTGTCCACGTAAATTTCACGATAATCGTTTGGTGATTTGATGATGAATGCATGTAATGCTCGCTTTTGTTTTACTGGTTTTGTTAGTAGAGAGGTTAAAATGGGAAATGATTGTTGTCTGTGCTGGACGTCCATCCAGTTTGTTGTTGTTAAAAAATAACCTGATTTACGTGAAAATCCCTAAAGACAATTAAAATCAATAATGAGACCGCTTTCTTGATTGTCTGAGTAAAAGGTGCTTAATGCTTATCTTTCGACAGAAGGTGCCCACGACCGTTTACACTATTTAACTAAAACTGTTACTGCCAGTTATCACATCCGCTTCTCAATAACAATCATTATTATTACTGTAGAAGAAGAAGAAGTAGCAAGTAGAAGTATATTAGAAGAAGTAGAATTTTTAGAAGTAGCAAGTTAGCAACCACAGAGTTGTCCAATTAATAAATAATTATAAATCTTCCATTATTATTCGTCTGTATTGTCGGTATCTTGTAACCGTGTAACGTGCAGATACGGCATCATCACGCAGTACAGCAGGCACCGTTGAATGCTCACTGGTAGACAGACATCGTTGGTCTGCCTGTACAGTGTTGTACAACCCTCCCGTACACCCCTTTCTTTGTTTAATTAGAGGGGGATAGCGCGAACGCAGTCCCCCAACTATCAAAAATTCTGACCCCCTACCCCGATCTTTTTGACCGAAGAGGCCACCTTCATAATCCCGGAAGTGCAATGGGACCACTCCGATGGGGATGGGCAAATCTTGAACTGCGCCATTCCGGGTCCAGGTAAGTATGAATTTTGAATGCATGCGATGGCCCTACCACTTGCGGTGAACGTATTATAAGATGATCAAAGAGACATAACTTGCAGAGCAGGTATTAAGCGAAGGGTAAGTTTTATTTTATCAAACTTAAATTAAATTTATAGAAATAATTAATATACATATTATCAAATAAACAAAAAGTGAAAAAAAGTACTTTTGACGGTACGAAATTGTCACTAAAAATCTCGGTGATGCTAATTACTGTGTACTGTACGGTCTGTAGTGACCTGCACTTGTATCTACGACTACTACTATCTACGGTAGCCTATCTACTATCTAGCTAATTTTGATACTTTCTGTCCCTCGTATCACAAATAGTCCAACTTTTTTTTTTAACCTGCCTGTATTTGTTTTACTTACAGTACAACCGCATCATCTTAGGAAATTTTTAAGGGAGGGAAAAAGACATACAACATGTTGCATTTTAAGATTCGGTTGCAGACTTGCAGTACAAGTACTTATCTGATTTCCGCACAAACGATGCCTCAGCTGAGGTTATCCGGATTCAAAATTTTTTAAAGAGACATTTAATTTCAATTCTGAAATGGCGAAGACATCTGCCTACACGGGTCGGAAAACACGGTAAGCACCAACAACAATCACCTATCTGTCCGGACCCAGGTACACAGCGCTGAGCGTTTCAGGCCCAAAAGTAAAACTCCGAACTTACTATAATACTTATTTTTACACAGAATTCTTTAATATAATATCTGAGCTGCTTCAAAAGTGTTTAACTTCAAAACATCAAGAGTCTTTATCAACATTATTAATAAACGCAATTACGCTTTTCAAAAACAGTTCTGGCTGATCGATATGTATCCAGTGTCCAGCACCATCCACATGTTGATATTCCACTTGCGGAAAAATCTCCTTCGTTGTGGCTTTGCCCACGGGGCTGATGTAACCGGATGCATTGCTGACCATAATGTGCAGCGGTCCCTTGTAAGCGTACGGAAAATCAGCGAATTCCGGAGGTGCCCGGGTCAGATGCATGACATCGCGCACAAATACGTCAATATTTACACGCCAATGCGTTATCCCGTCCTTTTCGACAATATTCGGCAGCACACGATGATCAATTAAGAAAGTCTGAAAACAGATTTTATAGTGGTATGTCCAGACTGAATTCACGATGATGTACTGATGGACGTCCCTTCATACTAACCTCAACTTCGTAATACTTCAAGATATCAGCGGCCATACGGCGGTTCTCCTCAAGCGTTTTGGTGGGATCGAACTGCAACATTTGAAGACCGCGCAGGAATGCGCTTAACTGCTGCTTCCTTGGTACATCAATTACAGCCGCGTCAATAAGAAACATTCCCTTTATCACTTCCGGCTGAAATAAACAAAATAACGCCGTTAGACAACTGAACTAAATTTCTAATACACAATACTTGACTTATCTAGCTCTCAAGATTAACAAAAAATAACAACCGAGGTTTTGTCTGATTAAAGGTATTATGAGTATGTATTACACAAAAACAACAAAGTGTTCGAAATGATGCAATCATGCAAACAGCAAAATGCATGAATTTCGTAAATAAGTACCAGTAGGGATTATTCTATTATTATGTACAGTATGTAAACTGTAGCTATTACAACCGAAAATGAACGTTTTATCAGAATTTAGAATTACGAAACAAATAACAACGTATCCGAAAGTGCCTCAAATGAAATCAATGCGTAATAGAAGTTTACCTTGCGGAAAGTAAGCGCTAACAATCCTCCAGCGCCCATACTATGCCCAACAAAAATCGCTTCATCGACACGTTGTTCCCGCAGATAGTGGGTTAAATCATCCGCCAAGGCAATGTAATCAATCCGATCAGCATGCTGACTTTCTCCGTGGTTGCGCGCATCTAATGCGGTGACGACATGGCCAGTGCGGTTAGCGATTTCTTGCGCCAAGGGATCGAATTCCTCCTTGTAGCCCAGAAGACCGTGCGTCAAATATACTGGGCATTTGGACTTTGCCGCCAGCTGTGCCAGTTCGCCCTCGGGTTTCCATGACTTAGTAGCAAGCTTGACGCTGAAATGGGGATTTTCAAGTAGCGTATCAAACCGCAACTCGTAGGAAGGTGTTAGTGCGTGATTATGCACACCTACGGAGTGTACTGCGGCCGATCTGCTCCGTTCACAGTTGTAGTTGACGCGTTCTGCCGTATACTCGTCCTCGAAAATTCCCTAGAATAATATCCATTTAATGGTATGCACCATCTCCAATCTGCAGAATCTTGTGGCGGCGTGCGATGTCGAAAAACAAACCTGTTCGGAATCCTTAAAACAGAGCATGCCGAGTGGTTCTTCTGGAGAAGATTCTTGGCGCTTCGCAAATGAGTGATATTCCACAAACGCTGCACAAAACGGATCGTCATTGTCCTGATGTGCATTTAGAACCTTCTCATTACCATATCAAACCATAAGCAATAATACAAATCAACTCAATAATTATCCAAATAGCTGCGAAACTTTCGGAAAATTGAAAACTCTAATTTTTTTATGAAAACTAAAACTTTTAAAAGTGTACTGAGTACTCCAGTACTCGTATGATATTGGTTGAAGAAATTACGTGACTGCCTCCTTACGTAGGTTGTTGAATGTTGTGTTTCGTTTGACAGGACACGAATATTTACTTTGCGGTGATTGTTTTGGATTTGAGATTTCCGATTTTACGGTAGAACAGTAGGTTTATGCTATTTATCAGTTTTCAGGATTTGTGATTACATATTTCGTCTTTCGCTGAAGTTTTAATGCGAATTTACATTTGCATCTTCCCATTCTGAAGCAATAAGCGCTATTAAATGTAATGGCGCTTTTTTATAATATCGACATGGTTGTTGGTTATCTCGGTGGACTTATTGGGATACCTGATCATGTTCCAAGTCGGAAGCTTTTGTGGATTTCCTTTGCGTGTCTGATCTCTTCATCATTTTGCTATAAGGTGCATTCGATAAACTTACTGTACTTTTGTACGCTGCAATGCATGCTGTGAATTTGGAAGCGTGCTTTGACGAGGATATAACGAGTACGAAGTGTCGTACATTCACTTTACTGCGCCAATATTATCGTATTCGTACTTTTTATGTCACATATGGGAATGCAACTTGGTGCTCCAAAATTTCGATGGGATTTTAATGAACTAGCACAGTAATTATTTTTGAAAGGATACATGAACTGCTTTTTTGTTGTGTGTACAGTTACTAACTGTATCACGCTAACAGTAGAGGAGATAGATATTTGTGTTATTTTCAGTAAATAATTTCCCGTACATTTTTGTGCAATCTTGCAGTCCAGCTCATCCTGGGATGCGGATCTGTTTGATGCATCTTCTTTACCAGAAGATTTGGTGGAGAAGAAGCTGGTCAGCCTCAAACCGGATATTTTGGATATCCTCGATTATCACAACACCACCTTTGGAGATCCTGAATCTGCTAAACGCGTGAAGCATTTCGTCCTCGGTTACGTTACGCCGGTACTGAAGTTGGTGTACACTGTACAGTAAAGTTGCAGTTGTTATGTCAGAATGTTACAAAGTTTCATCGCTTCGCTGCTCGTTTAGCGTTAATTATGCGAGTATATCTCGACTTTGATTTTTTGTAATACGTAGAAAATAACTTTTTTACCTATCATGATTGGTTCATGATATGAAAGTGGTGCAGTTGCAATGAATCTCGTTTTACATTTTGGTAATTTGCTGCTATGGCGTTTGCCATTTCGTAATTTTTGCACTGCGTTTGAGTGCATGTAATAATTAATTTATGTTCATGCGCTAAGGTAATTTGCGGTTTGGGTATTACAGTGGAATAACAAAGGTTACGATCGCGCCGTCAAGTATGCCAAGAAATTTACGCACATTTGTCCGGTATGGCTACAAGTCGTGCCTGGATCAACCGCGAAAGTGCCTTTCGAAGTGCGTGGAACGCATGACGTGGACCAAGGTGTTCTTTTATGGCTTTCTTGTCAAGAAATTTTAGACCTGTTTTAAAACAAACGTTTGTGTACATCGCTATTACTTTACAAGCCAACGGCTGAGTTACGCTTTTTTAATTTAGGATGGATTGGACGTTTAAAGGAAAAAAACGAAGAATTGAAAATTGGTGAGGGAGGTCAAAGACTTGTTTTCGATACGCTTTGGTTAGTAAAGTTTAATCTGTTTCACCTATATAGTGCCGAGAGTACTCTTGGAGGGTTTCGATGGACGGAGCTTGCAGACCTTGATGTTTGACGAGGAAAATGCTGAAACGTTTGCGTCCGTACTGATTGCCACGTTACAGGTGTGGACAACTTTTGCTGGAGATTATGGATTAGGTCAAGATGTGATGTTCTTGGATGTTATAGCAATATAATTTGGATGGCGCAGTCTTGGAAATGTGGAAGCCTGTGAACGAGGACGTTTATCGTCGGTATGTCGTATGCCTGAATGATGTGATTGTGAACGATTGGCTATACTGACTCGAACAAACAATTTGTTTGTCATTTTTGTAATTTTTGTTGTTTTATTATCAATCCGAGAATAAATACTTGTAGGGAATGTTTGAAAATCATTCTAATTTTGATTCAGCGCAATGCGAAACATGATAAAGATTGTCGCCGATAAGCTGAAAAGTGCCGGTTTGCAGTCAATCCTGGTTGTCCCGCCTTCTGGAGGACAAAAGTAAGTATCTCAACATATGTATGATAGCGTGGCTGTGTGGGTACTGGGCAGTTTGCATCTTCTTCCTGTACAGAAGACAAACGAAGGTGTGATCGTAAATTAATTTTTGGTCCAAGCTTATGGAGAGTATAATATGGAAGTTGTTGGTATTTCTTTTTTGCGTTGTATATACTCGTATAAACAGTGTTCTGTATAATCCTGTTTAGAAGAAACTATTCGTCATAAGCCGTACCGGCATATGCAGTGTACGGTAAATACGTGCGAGTATATCTCGTAGGTGCAATTTGTAAATCGAGGATTGTGCATTTATGCATAGAAATCGAAATTGATTGTGATGTGCTCAGCTGATTTTGAATTTTGGACACATTTGCTCCTATCAAACATCCTCTGTTTTTATGTTGCAGAACTCCGGGAAGACTTAAGAACGAAGACTTTTTGTTCCTTGCGGATTCCATTGCTTTGTTTAGCGTGATGACTTACGATCATCCTTTGACTTACTCTAAGTAGGCTTTTTTGCCATAAAACCTTTTTTCCTCGTTATTATAAGCACATTTATAAACAGAGCCGTGGATGTATTTCAGTGCTGGTCCTATCGCGCCTTTACAGTGGATGGTCGATAGCATGGAGAGTATAGCTACTGATAAAGAGAAGAGCAAACGCAAGAAATTATTACTTGGACTGAACCATTATGGCTACGATTTTACGCCGAAAGCGGGAGCGAATGCCATTGTGGGAACAACGTAAGTCGCTTATGCTGAGTATATCTCTGGTTATTTTGCTTAGTTTTGCTGACTTTGCTAGTAATCTTTAGGTTTTTGGAACATTTACAAAAATATCAACCTACGTTGGAATGGGATGCTGTTGGTAGAGAACATGTGTATAAATACCGGTAAATAGTTTGTCGGTCATTTTAGTGTTACGAAACAAGATGAGTTTTTTGTTTGCTTCGAATTTAGGCAAGAAAATACTCAGCACGTTGTTCATTTTCCGTCCTTACGATCCCTAGAGGAAAGGATTACTCTAGCTAACCGGCTTGGCACCGGCGTAGCTATTTGGGACTTAGGTCAAGGACTGGATTATTTTTTTGATTTGCTGTGATCTTCAGATACATGTTTACGTTATGTTTATGTTATGCGCATGTCTTGTAGTTGAGCAGCAGTTATTTTTTCACCGATGCTTCAGATGTCTGTCGCTGTTTTGGTAACTGCTAATTGACTTCTGCCAATTCTGGAAAACGGGGAAATGAGCATTAGCTTACTGTTAGGAAAACCCGTTCGAAAACATCCGACTGCGAGCCGTAATACTGCTACATGCTGTAATATTTTCCAATAAGTAATTATTCTGTGTTCCCTTCATAATAGTTTTTTTCATACGGTAGGCTTGACGTTTCCAGATAATTACAGAAATGAACGTACTGTATACAACTTACAAGTAAGGTATGCTTTATATTGCTGTTACCTATTGTGTTAACTTGTGTATGTATGGTACTCTGCAAGTGTCAATTTAATTCTGTCTGCTATCATACGTAATAACTTAATCATGCAATTGTAAGTTTTCAAGGCATAAAGGCATGTGTAAGTCGCTTATTTTATTTCTTTTCGGTGATAGCTTTAAGCGTTTTTTCATAAAAGTATTTTTATTTACTTTCTAGACAACTCGAATGCAACATGTAGCGGATTTAAATGGGCTCTGCCCTTGACACGGTTTTATGGTCCATTGTGCACCAATGTACGTACAATGCACTTCCGCTAGCGAAAGCTCCTCCTCCGCGGCTGAATGGGTATCGGCGGTATCGCTGTATCGCCCATCACGTAAACCACTCTGCTATGCTGCCAAGCAGATCGGATGACTTCACTCAACACCTCGGCAGAACGCCAAAAGTGTGGGAAAAATTCCAAAATGCTCATCTAATTTTACGTTTTTGGTATTTTTTTTCATCCCTTTAGATTCCCTATTACAGATACTTACCATTTTTTCTGGTCTCTCAGGTTATATCGCAAGTTTTGAAGTCAGTCACCATTCGTTGACAAGGTTGCGTTCTTGGGTTTACGCTTATCCAGTATTTGAATATTCATATTGGGAAAGTTTTCTTACTTTTCTGGCTTCGTGGTTTCTTGAATCTGGATTGTGAAGTTTAATCTTGCCTGCGTCTTTGATCTTTAAAGCTCCGAAGGTGAGTTGTATTTGTAATTTGCTGTAAATTTATGAAAATTAATTATACAAAGCATCGTAAGCGAGATATTTGGTTTCCGCTTGCACGCGATAAGATTAGAACTTCCAGATAGAATGCTTGCTGCTTACGCAGCAAAACTTATGGATGAAACATTTTAATTATTATAATTTGTGCGCTAATATGTTTTTGTTTGGACCATCTGGTAAATTTTGTGTCTTTGTGGTGAGATAAATTTACTGGAAATAGTAAATATACGCTAAATTTGCAGAAAGGTGCTGTTATCGTACTTGTAAAAAATGTAGTGGAATCGCTAAATTGCGCGCATGTTTGAATTCATGTTTACATTCTTTGCTACAAGCGTGGGGTGGTGCAGGGATTTTATAGTATCAGCAAGTTATTACAGTTTGCAGCTATTGCTCTTTTCGCAGTCCAGAATCTTCTGAAGTTGTTAGTTGTAGCTTTAGTTGTTTCGCCAGTTTCGACTTTTGTTTCAGTTTTTTCGTCGTCTGGGGAAAAAATTCCTGTAAATTAGTAATTCAGTTTTTGCTGCTTTTATTTTTTGTGTACAGACTCCTTGTCCGACAAGGAGTCTGTACACAAAAATAGAGCTGGACACATACGTGAGCGCTTGCTGAGTCTTGCACTCTTGCTCTAACTTATATCGATGTCCTGAGTGTTTTCTCTGTTTTAAGTGATACGGATAGGCGACTTGTATGCGGAATTTCTTAGAAAATTCATCTCCTCAGGACAAAAATTTAATAAATTTGTACGTCAGTAACGCTGAAGGGCACTTCTTAATTCGGCTGCAAATTTTGTTGATTGGCATCATACCGTCATCGCCATGTATGCTGGCATAATGCTGCTATGCATCAGCAGCAGCAGTCTATGGAGCTGCTAGAACAGGAAACCCTTTAACTTATTAATTATTGTAAGTTATGACTCTTAAGTAATAAGTTAAGTGTTTTAACCCTACTAACATCTGAGCCAGCTGTTTTTTGCTTGTAATTAAGAGAAAAATTTCCGCACTGTTGGGATTGGGAGACGTCTGTACTTAAACTATGACATTTGTGCGCTTCTGTTGAGTTATGCTAATTTCAGTTCCATAAGTTAGCATCGTATTTGGTCGTTTGGATATACCGAGATTATATCTCCTACATTTTTTTATGCCCAGATTATGTCTCCTTTATTTTTTTCACTTTTCTGCATTAATCACATACCTGTGGGCTGTGGGCTATTAGTGTTTCGCTTATTTGCAGCGCAGTATCGAATATTGTTCCTGCACATTGAAGGATTAATCGACCATGACTTATTTGTGTACACTTACCGATACGCGTACTGTATATATATAGATAGCATTTAGGAAATAGTTAGTTTAATGTTTACAAGATCAGGATGGTTATCGTAGCTGGCTGCAAGTTTGAGACAGAGTTTTAATTCTGTAAAGAACGTACGTTTGTATGATTGGCTCATTTGGCTGATTAACGTTTTTTTGCAGAGTACAAGCTATACCGTCAAGGCTTCTACGGATAAATTGCGAAGCTATCATAATTATTTTCATTAACTAATATCACTATCAGTGGTGAATTTCTGGATCTGATGTCCGGCCGTTCATCGCCTCGGACGGGCTCGGTGTCGGATTTGTCCCGATCACGTGCATCTTCGACGCATGCATCCACGAGTTCGATTAACTCTCCAACAATGAAAATATACGGACTGCAGCAACCTGGAAGAGGGGTACAGTCGTAGAATTCTTGTTTAGTTCGTTTAGAATTCTTGTTTAGTTAGTTTAGAATTCTTGTTTAGTTCGTTTATCTGCCTTCAGCTTTACAAATTTGGAATCCGGTCTAGAGGACATTAAATCCAGACTAATGGGCTTCATGCAGTATGCGCGACAGTTTAGCGATAAGTGAATTGGCTTTTGAAGACCGTGGTTTTGTGAAATGGGAAATTTTTTCACTTGAATACTTAAATTTTATGGAGATAATAACAACTATCTCAACGGCTGTTTCGAAATATTTGCTCATAATAGAGTCGCATAGAAGTGTATTTCGCTGCATCGCGAGTGATGAATTTTTTGGATGATTGTTTTATTGCTACAGCCTTCGACATTGTACGATTTGTTTTGCAGAACGTGCCTTACGAACGACGGACACGTATCCTTCGGATTAAAATTCTCGTCGCTCAAGGGCTGATGAAAAAAGATATTTTTGGCACAAGGTAGCTAAAGATTATAACTTCGGGTTTTTTTAGTTTTGTTGTGAGAGACAGAAAGAGAGGGTAATCGCTTTCACCGCGATTATCTCATTTCTCGTCATGTCCGGCGGTGACTAATGCTCATGGTACTGTCGGTCTGTTGGATCGATAGAAACTGTGCCGTCATTGGTGGATAGTAATCTTAACGGTGACATTGGGGATGAAATCTTATCCGTTCTGGCTTTGCAGTGATCCTTATGTGCAGATTAATTTGATGGAAAATGCAAATAACGTCAGTCCGTACTGTATTGGGAAGGCGGTGACAAAAACCAAGAAGAACGTGAGTAACACAATACTAATAGAGTAATACAGTAGTAAAACAGTAATTACTGTATGTACTAGTACAGTTTTCCGTAAAAATGTTGTGCTTTGGTTGCTTCCACCCCCTTTGAATTTCGTAATTAAAAGCACTTTAACCAGATTTTTATCAGTTGTCAGGTTGGCACCTGCCTAATAACGTTGTTAATGTGGATATTGTTCCAGTCAAGTTCTTGCTAGCCGCAGTTTTTCAGAAAGTTGATTTTGTAGACTTTAAACCCGGAATGGAATGAAGAGTTCCTATTTCGTGTTGATCCATTCAAACACAAATTAGTCCTGGAAGTGTTCGATGAGAATCGTCTGACGCGCGATGATTTTCTCGGATTTGTGGAGATTCCAATTAGTAATGTGCGCACCGAAGGCACTAATCAACTGATTGAACCCAAACATTTGACACTCCGACCACGCTCTCAACGTTCTCACGTCAAAGGCGGCATCAGTGTTCAGGTATATCTGCGCCTCGTGTCTCTGCTTTCGAAGAATTATTATCGCATCTAACGTTTTAGGTTTCTTACGTAAAAATGGAAGGCTGGAATGGCCCTCTGGAGGAACCATCCAGCGAGGACGAATACGATGTAATTAATAACACCGAGGCAGCGGATGTGGCCTCCATTACGTCGGGTATGTCGGCAGCCACTTTAGCGTCGGCGACGACCACGAACGGCGAACGGACACCTCCGTTGCCGGAAGGATGGGAAGAGCGAACCGACTACAACGGGAGGGTTTATTATGTCAATCATAATCTGCGCACTACGCAGTGGGAGCGCCCAGTGTGAGTCTACGAGTGGGGATACAGATTATGAATTCGTGGTAATCGAACAAGTTTGGATTTGTAGAGCTGGTGGTGAGGTGGCGGAGCAGAATACCGCCGCTACAGAATTGCGGACGGCCAGAGAAAACTATCTGCGCAGACTGACCAGTGTCGATGGGGAATCGACTGCACATCCCACACCGCCTCATCCCAGTGCTTCGGATACCCAACTGGACCGAAGAGCATCTGTTTCGGTAATTTACCCGGGCAGTTCACACACTACATTTGTTGCTGCAGTGATGTTTATCCCTTTTTCAGTGATATCCGTCTTTGATTTTGGCTTGAAACTACGATTATAATTTTAAATAATTTTTCACATGTTGTAGGCTGGAAACGCTTTACCCGGAAATATTGACCCACTACCGCCTGGATGGGAAGAGCGGGTCTCTGCCAATGGACGGAAGTTTTTTATCGACCACAATAGCCGTGTAACATCGTGGATTGACCCTCGAACAAACCGGGCTAGTGCCCTCCCGGAATCATTGTCTGTTAGCACTACGAATAACAAGAACAGCATTAGTGGGCAGAACACACCGACGAATAATCGGCGATCCGCTATGGATGTCCTCGGACCACTTCCGGTTAGTTTGATGAGGAAATTGTTGCACGATAATCATATTTGCAGTAATTACTTGCTTAGTTTCGGTATTTGTTCATTAACTAACGTCTGTTACATACGTAATTTGCATTGCAGCAAGGTTGGGAGGAGCGGGTGCACACCGATGGGAGGACGTTTTACATTGACCACAGTAGTAAGCGTACACAATGGGAAGATCCCCGTCTACATAATCCGGAAATTGCCGGACAGGTACTTCGTCTTGTAGCAGCGTTTACTGGGTTAACATTGGATTGATCGTTGGGATGGTGATAGGCGGTTCCTTACTCGCGGGATTACAAACGCAAGTACGAATATTTCCGCAGTCAGTTGCGGATGCCGAGTGGATTGCCGAATAAGTATGATGTCCGGGTGCGCCGATCTCATATTCTCGAGGATTCCTACCGGGCGCTGATGACCTGCAAGAATCCCGATTTTTTGAAAACCAAACTGTGGATTGAATTTGACGGAGAGGTGGGACTGGATTATGGCGGTGTACGGCGCGAGTGGTTCTTTTTGTTGTCACGGGAAATGTTTAATCCTTATTATGGATTGTTCGAATATTCCGCTGCGTAAGTGTCCCAATATTGTTTTTGTTACCTTAAATATTCCTTCTTGAATAATTAAGTGAGTTCATCGAGTGATTGGTGCTTTAGGGATAACTATACACTCCAGATCAACCCTAAATCAGGCTTGTGCAATGATGACCATTTGGCGTATTTTAAATTTGTTGGTCGGGTGGCCGGAATGGCAGTCTTCCATGGGAATTTGCTGGATGCCTTCTTTATTCGGCCTTTTTATAAAATGATGCTGGATAAACCCATCATACTAAAAGATATGGAGTCTGTTGTAAGCACAGGAAAATCGATTTCAGACTAGTATAAATGTCATTTCGTCGGTCGTTATTGTTAAAGAAGCGTTAGTCCTTTAAGTCTTTTTTTGTAAAAGCTCTTTTAGCAGTTTTTAATAAATGTGTACTAGTAAAACTGGGGAACTGCCTGGCTTTTGAATAATTTTGATGATTGAAGGTACTTTCATGTACCTTTGGATTTTTAAGAAATTCTTTCATGGCGTTCCGTTAGGTTTCGGCATAATTACATTATTTGTTGATAATAGGATACAGAATATTATAATTCCTTACAATGGATTGTGGATAATGATCCGGCGGATTTGGAGCTACGGTTTACGGTGGATGAGGAAATCTACGGTGTGATGCAGCAGAGCGAAATCAAGACGGGTGGCGCCAATATTCCAGTGACCCAGGACAATAAGCATGAATATATGGACCTGGTTATTCGGTGGCGCTTCGTCGACCGTGTGCAACATCAAATGGGGGCATTTATGCAGGGTTTTAATGAACTCATACCTAAACGTCTCCTACAGATCTTCGATCCAAATGAAGTGGAGGTACGTGTGGCTTTCTTTGCTGTTTTACTGCTACATATTACTACTACTAACGATAAGTTGCGCCGTAATCGTTAATATCAGTAAAGAAGCTGAATATGCAGTGAGTATTATAAGCCGTTTATGGTTTTCGTGTGCTGTTGTGTTATTTTTAAGATGCAACTAGGACACATAAATAGGTTTCGGGTTTTTAAACATATAACGGCAATAAATATGCAGTTTTTTATGAGTTCAGGGCGATGTGGATCGGACCTTGGTTCCTCTCACGTTACTAATAGAATTTGCTCTTTGTAGTTGTTACTTTCCGGTATTGCCAGTATAGACGTGAAGGACTGGAAATACAACACCATTTACAAAGGCGAATATCATGCCGAACACTTGGTCATCCAGTGGTTCTGGAAGGTAAAAGCAAACTTACCAAGGGTGAAATGCAGTACCGTTTTTCGGTAAACTACATTTTGGTTTTTGCAGGCCGTTCTATCATTCGATAACGAGATGCGTGCCAGATTACTGCAGTTCGTGACCGGCACGAGTCGTGTGCCCATGAACGGCTTTGCGGAATTGCAAGGCAGTAATGGTCCGCAGCGGTTCTGCATTGAAAAATGGGGAACAGAGAAAGAATTCCCGCGTGCTCATACTTGGTAATACTTGCACTTGGAAATGAAACGTTTAATTCCAGCGAATTAATTTAGGAGTAATTTTCGCTGTTGTGTTTGTTTTTTTAAATGTTTGTTATGTTTAGGCAATAACATCGAAAACAAGATGTATTTTTTGCGATGCTTTTAATATTTTATGAGGCTGAACTTTTATCCTTTACTTCACAAGTGTGAACAAGTGTGAACATTGCTATTTTTTGCTTTGTGCAGTTTTAATCGACTGGACTTGCCTCCATATCCGACGTATGAGGCCCTCAGAGAACGCTTAATCCAAGCCATGGAAAACACGGAGGGATTCGGCGGCGTCGATTGAGCACTATGAGCAGTGTGCAGCCGGGTTATGTGCTTGTCGGCTTCCTGGTGCATGATTCAATGCAGCTTTTTGTTTCCTTTTTTGAGGGGATTGGGGGTTTCCGTGAGAATTTTATTTTGTGATTAAGTATATAAATTTTGTTTTCTTTTCGCATACAGAGCCGGCTTGCTGTATGTCACGGGATGCAGTTGGTTGTTCGTTAAAGTGATTTTTGTGTATTTGGTTTGAATTTTTCGAATATGTTTTATCTGTTTTCAGATACAGAGCTTAAGACACTGTTATCAAAGCAATGTTATTTTATGCAACCAGTTCGTCAACGGCTGACGAAATGCGACAATTGCACTGCTGGGTTGAAGGTTACAAAATGAAGATACAATAAAATATGTCTGGATTTTTGTCTGTTGAATTTCATAAATCTAAAACCGAAAAAAATCATAATAAATGCCGATATGTTAGGGTGAGAAATCGTTGCAAACGCTTTTAGACAATATTTTGAATGACATTTACATTAGTACGTTTCTTTCAACAGCTACAAAAAGCCAACCCTTGTTATGTAGCAAGAAGATATAAGAATGCTGTGACACAAATCCGCAAAAGTGCGAATATTTAGAAAATCGTCGGCGGAAGCACGTTTTATCCATTATGGGATCCAAAAGCTCGCCCTGGCAATTTCAACAAGCGAATGATAATGCAGTAGTTGAAAAAATGCAAGCAAGGTCAAATAAATACTTTCGGGGCTTTTAAAACCACTATCAGAGTGCACAAATAAATAGACAAAATAAACTGTACGGTCCGCACTACTAAATACTATTACGCGAAGCCATTTGAGACACAAAAATCACACAAAGTTAAAATCTGAGAACTAATTGTGAAAACATAAATACGTCAACAACGTCTGCGATCCAACGCGACACAAAAATAACAATAAGGATATCACAGTTGATCATCGTACGGGTGCGGATATCTGGGATGTTCAATGGCGCCGGCTCCGAACTTGAGCTCCAAAAACTCCCGCACCTTGTTCGGCGCTGGCACGATCAAGCCCATAAAAGTAATGTTTTCCATGGGCAGCAGGAAATGTTCGGGGAACTCTCGGTCCTGGGGATGGGAAGCAAACCAATAATCTTTAGTCATAATACTGTTGTTGGGCTGGAAAGGAAAGATGTCCACGTGCATCCGATTGGTCTGACTGTACTGCACACGAAAAAAGGTGCCTTCGTGCGGCTGTGCCAACTCCCAGACAAATCCCTCTGGATCAACAACGGGAACAGACCATATAGCAACAAACGATCGCTATAATATCAATCAAGATATTACGAGTATTTTAATTTAGGTTTATATTGTTAATACGTTATCTATATACGCAGTAATGATGCTCAAGGTTAATCTACCATGTAAATGTAATCTGTCAATACTGTACTTGCCTTAGATCATCATATGTTTTACAAATTAAGTTATCGAGGATAAGCAGTTCTGTACACCATTCTCTGTTCATCGTGCTTCCACCCGGCAGCCAGTATCGTGTTTACCTGCGTCGAGGCGCGAAGATACTGCACCAACTGTGTGTCGTTGAGATAGATTCCCAAATCCACATCATAATCCCAGGGGATCAGCTGGCCATTGCGTGCCGCTCCCAGCAAACTGCCACCTTCCAGCCAGTAGCGGACACCATTCAGATTTAATACGTCGATCACGTGCTCCAGTGTTTTCTTCAACGCCCGCGCACAGCAGGGTGGGGTGAAGCGTTTTTCATAGATATAGCTGGGCATTTCGTTGATTACATCCCCAAAACACCTACAACACAAACATCCGCTGATGACTACGAGTACAGCATAAATAGCTGCAGCGTGAGAATTAACAAAACCGGCACTGTGTTAATTTCATCATTTTTAAATATCGATTATCGCTGATGGCATCCAGTGGATGCAGTTTTACAAGGAAGAGGACTTGTAGACAAACCTTTTCGTAGCTTTTGTGCAGCCGAACAGCTCTTCGTGACCGTTAACGACAGTCCTTTTCACATCCAGGCGTGCGTACAGTTTCTGACGCTGGGGTTCACGCGATTCGTGCATTCGACCCAGAATCTGGAAAAATTAAAAGTTATGTCATAAAAAGTGCGGTCAAACACATATGAACGAATAGATGCTTCCTTTTACTGTATTGTAAATGTGTAATTTACGAAGGAAGATAATGTGGTTCGGGATTGTAACCACTACACTACGATATGCCTTCATACAATGCACAGAGCAAAACAACAGAGCAAAACTATGCAAAAAGACGATGCAACAATGACACCAGATCACGATATAAGTACCGTAGGTTCCAGAAGTTGTGAGCTCTTGGAGAACGGCGTCTCTGCCGACAGAATTTGGGTGGTCCATCCTTTAATGGAGGCTTGTATGAGCAAACTTTCGTCCACCGGCTGAGCGAACGGCTGCACTAAACTAAGGAAATCGTCCGTCTTCAGCATGTACACAGCCGATCCCGTCACACCGTCGCACACCGGACCGGAAGTGCTGTTCATGTGCAGTGACCACGTGGGATGGTCGTATCGCACTGTGTGACACGACAAACGGTTGCCTTTGATTTTGATGGCGAACACTCTGATGTCGGCGGCCACCAATTCCGCCTCACGCAAAAAAGCACGGAAATCTGCAAAAATACAGTATGTGCTTACTCGAATTAAAAACCTGGAAATAATGAAATTTTGTTTTCTACCATGCAAGTGCGAGAAAAACTTAAAATACACGAGTACGAAAAACAGCAAATTGTAAAAAACAAAACTGGCGAATTTTGAAACAACGCTTCTCAACCTCAATTTCGAAGTAACAAACTGGAAACTCAAAATCGCAAAGGCATATTACAACAAAACATATTAAAATGCAACATAATTAAATGCGACAGTATACATGATGCACTATAAAATCTGCGATTTTAATAATTTTAAGTTTAACAAATTCGATATCTGAAAACGCTCAAAGCAAACTTACTCAAAGCATCTATCTCGAAAGCCAAAAATGTCGGGAGCAATAAAACCCATTCTGTTGTAAATAAATGCGATATTTCCATACGCGCCTTAACCGGCGATGCACTGGGCTCTAATTCCAAGAAGAAATGCTTCTTCGATGCGATTTTCACGGGAGGGTAGAGCTGCCCTTCGGAGACCGTGATAATCCGCTGTATATCCGAGTGTTTATCCAGGGCGGCGACCAGCGCGGCCAGATCATTATGCTGTGCGTCGAAATCGCGGAAAACACATGTAAAGGCTGCACGCGTTCGTCGCACATGGGTGAAGTCACCAGCACGTGCGGGATTATCCGCGCACTGGCCAAAGTATGCCCAGAAGATGTAGAGCAGAAGATACTGCAGGAACACCCCGATCGCTAGAATGCAGAATACACGTCGCGTCAGCCGCCAAGCGAACATTTCCGGACTGTTTGGGAAGCGGTTAGCGGCATGCAGGTGCATGCTGCGATTCACCTTCAACAGTGCGGACCGGAATCCACATTCCACAATGTTAACGCCGTTGCGTTCTATGATCTATCGTTTAAGCTGGTGCTTCCAGAAAAATGCTTGAAAAATCGAAAATCAAAACAACCTGAAAGTTGAAATAGCGCATTAAATTTGAAGCACCACCGCGACCCCCTGCGTCGGCAGTTTACTGACTAATTTTTTGAACTTCCGGTACCGGCTGTACATATAGACAGCCAGCTGGATTTTTGAGTAGTTATACTTTTATTAGCGCGGCTTTACCATTTTTTCGCAAAGTTTATTCTTGAACAACCTAACGGTGTTCTTCTTCATAGTTCTAGGTGTATAGATTTTATGTTTATTTTGACGGTCTGTGCAGATTGTGAAATTCCAGAAGGGTTGTTTAATGACTGCACTTTTGTTCTTGCGACTTATCATTTCCCGATGCTCTCCAGTGGAGTTCTTGCCGAATCTTGTGGAATACTTATCATTTTTTAGCCTGCAGCGAAGTATCTGAAGATTTCCGCTTAGGATTCATTCCTCGTTGCAACTTGCAAGAATGGCTAGCTTCAGACCGATTGAACGCAAACGACTGCCGCGTTTGAAGGGAGAACTCACAGCGGAGAACAAGTACTGGACGGACTTCAGCGTAAGACCACTGCAGATACTGATACTGACGCTTCTCGCTGATTGTGCTGTTTACCGTTTACGGCGACTTTATGCCATGATTCGCTCACAATCAGCGGTATTCTGCTGTTCTCTGCTAGTTTCCCGTAACGATCAAGGAATACGGACCTATTCAGAATGTTAGTTTCTCCAAGAAGAAGCCTCATCTGTGCGCCGTGACGAGTTCAGCGAAAGTAAGAACCCGAAACTCTTCATCATCTGCGAGTTTGCCAAATTTTGCGTGTTTAGGTCCAGATTATTGATCCAGTATCTCTGGAATCATCCAAGACATTTTCCCGTTTTAAGGAGGCTGCGCGTGGTGCAGAATTCCGTTCGGATGGAAAACTCTTGGTAATTGTTTTGCATTTGCTTCCTTTCACATTTTTGTGCCTTCGATGTATTGTTGATGATGGTTTCCCATTTTTCGTTTAGTCTGTCGGTGGAGAGGAGGGAATTGTGCGCGTTTTTGATGTGGGCACGAAATCTCTTCTGCGCGAGTTCAAAAATCATCGAAAGTAATTGTTTTTACATTTTACGTTGAAAAATTTTGAAAACGATTGTTTTTGTTGCAGCCCCGTCCATTGCACGCAGTTTACCTGCGATAATACTCATCTCGTGTCATTCGGCGACGATCGTAGCGCACGATATTTCGATATCCCTGCCCAGATGCAAGTGCGCTCCTTCAAAGACCATGGCGTATGTTAATTTTTTTGAATTTCCTTTGACAGAAAATTTGATTAATGGATTATAATTTGCTTATGTAAAGATTTTTATTTGATTGATTTAATTTATTGTATAGGTTAATCCTTTAATTTTTTTGGCTATATTTCTTAGTCTGTTCTAAATCCGTTAGTTAAAAAATTCTTTTGACTGGTAATTTTATTTCATTGCTGTTTTTGTTTTTCAGCTGTAGTTTTTTAACCCATTTTTGCTTTGAAGTTTGATGATTTTAAATTTGCAGGATTATGTGAGAGCGGGCGATACGAGCGCTAGCAGTCCAGATATGATGGTCTCAGGTTGTTATGATCACAAAGCGCGGCTTTTCGATCTGCGAGAGAAATCGCCGGTGGTGGAAGTCAACCACGGAGCGCCCGTAGAAACCGTGCTTATGTTTCCCAACGGAAATGTTTTTCTAACCGCCGGCAAGTAAATTTATAATATTAAGTGTAAAATAATTGATAAAACAATTCGTTCCTTGTGCAGCGAAATGGATGGTATTTTGGGTGATTTTATAACATTTTTGGTACTTGTTTACAGGTGGAACGACGATAAAAGTTTGGGATGTGGTATCGCCGGCGTCTCCGTTAGCCAGTCTAAGCTATCATCATAAGACCATCACCGATCTGTGTTTTGCCAGTAATTACAGCCGATTTCTCTCTTCCTCCATTGACCGGCATGTAAAAGTGTACGATGTGGCAACGTACCAAATGGTGCATTCCTTCGATTTCCCAGCGCAAGTGTTGAGTGTTGGCGTTTCGGTACGTTACAGCCATTGCTCCTGATGGGTTTTTGCGTTCTACCAAAAGTTTTGTTTGTCGACGTAGATGGACGATGAATTGATGTGTGTGGGCATGGCGGATGGCGTGATTTCCATGCATAAACGGAAACCGCCAGTGGATGAGGAAGCGCAGGAGATGCGACGACTGGAAAAGCGGCCTTTTGGACGGTATTTGATGAGGGAGAAAACGTATCAGCCCGACGAGGTAAAATTTGTTGCATTGGCATACTGCGAATACAGACCTAAACAGTAAACAGATATCCGGATTTTGCAAATTGAAATGTTTGCTGTTTACCGTATATCTGTGTTTTTTCTTAGGATGCCATTGTGGTACGAGAGCAGTCGCGGCCGCACTTGGCGCGCCATGACAAATACCTGAAAACATTCCAGTTTTCCAAAGCTTTGAGCCGCGTTATGAAAGTACGTATGCGTCTGGATATACCGATCGAATCAGCTTAGCTTTCTTCTGAAATTTATAGTATACGTTTTTGTAGCAATTTATTTGGGGACCGATGCCGGATGTCACTGTTTCGGTTATTCAAGAAATAGACAGACGAGGCGGATTACCTGCTGCCGTCGGCGGTCGGACTGATCTGGAACTGGTTGATATTCTGTGGTTTGTGTGCACTTATATCACCGATCCTCGATTTTCCCAGGTGGTGTTGGGATTGGCGGATTTATTATGGAGTAAGTATTTCCGTTTTAGTGCTCTTGTTTTGTTGTTGTTGTATTATTTTATCTTTTTATCGTTAAAGAAAGAACTTTTTTCTTGTAAAAGGAAAATTTAATTATACTTCAATTTCGTAGAAGTCTACCCGTGCATGTATGGACGACTCAACCGCCTGGATGAACTCATCAGTAAATTCCAAGATGTTCTGCAGCGCGAAGTGGACAGTCAAGTCCAGTTAAAGTTGATTATGGGAAGAATGGACGTTTTAATTAATGCGTCTAATTTTAATAATTTCGCTATGGATTTTCAGAGTGATAGTGATTTGGATGATAATGCTGATGTGCCGACAAATGTACCTAGCGCAAACGTTGTGAAATAAATGTTTGCTTTTGTTTATAAGCGCAAGCTTGTTACAAAATTAGGGGTGCGAAGTAGAAAAAAATGTCGTTAGTGGTTCATACTCGGAAAGTTAGCCCTTCCGGCTTACACTAATGCTGTTTTTTACTCGCTGCCAGGTGTTTGATCTCTCCTGCTCTGCCAATTATTTCTTATGCCGCTGGTTTTTTAAAATTACTATTTTAACGTTCTCAATCATCAGATGATTTTTTACTGCTTGCACAATTATCGGGCGCCTTTCTGAACGGCTGTCGTATAATAAATCACCCAATTCGCCTTATTAATGTAAATTCATTAATTCCGACGGATCACCGTATATAGATACAGATTTAAAGTCATTTGTTTACAATCACCCACGTGAATTAACATCTGAATTAACTTTTGATTTCTCAGGCTGCCACTTTGCCACGCGCTGGGGCGTGTAGGAGAGTAGGTAATTAGAATGCCGTTTTTCATACTCAAACTGATTAAAATGATAGCGATTCCGAAATATGGATGTGGCTGAACAGTTCTCGGCGCGGACAATAAAAATTCAAACCACTAGCGATTTCTGCCTGGCAACCAAGCGCTTACTTACCGTAATACTTAAAGTAAACGGAAGCAAATTTTAAAAAACGTAAACATAAGTGCAAATTACGTACTGTTACTAGTAACAGCACACGGTATAGTAGCGTGTACACCGAAGCTTTTACCGTTTTGCATCAATCAGATAGGTATAATTGTTTTGCACTGACATGTCTGACCGTAAGCCCGCTGAATCAGGCGACACACCCGCCGAACCGGAACCTCCTTATCCGCGTCTGCGGGCGTTTATTCCGAAACAGTTACGAGATTTCGGCCACTTTATCCAGTATGAACATGTGGAGCCGGTGCATATCATTCAGCGTCCCAGTAATCGGGAACGTCAAGATCTGTTTGTAGAAAAAATCTTTACCAGTGTCGGCATCCAAGAGGGCTGCACCCGCTCCATCAACTCTACGCAGACGGAACTACCGGAAACAGAGACACGCTCTGTTAATTTCGTGGAAGGCGCCTGGCCCAAGGATGTCCAGGTCACGGATCCCGAACAGACGCAGCGCTATCGAAAGATTATCGAAAAGGAAGAACCGTACATCACATTTTTTACAGCTGCCGGAAAGGTACTGTAGAGACTACAAAATGTGTAATAATCTTTTCTACTTAAGTTAATTATACATGTACAATCGAATCCAACTTGTTGAGTGTATTCGCCGTCACCCGTTATGGGCTCACACACGCGCTTAGGCTGTTGATAGTACGAGTACTCGTACTAATATTTGGAAATATCGACTGTTGAATTCCACGCAACGATAGCTTCCCGTCGCTTTCTTTTTTTAATTGTGGTTCGGTTAGAACCTTTTAAGCTGGCCAACATTGTGACAAACAGCTACGAAATTTTTGCTCTTTTACTTTCAAAAATTATTTGATCTGTACGGCGTTAGCATTATTAATAAACCGTAGAGGAAGTGTTAGATTACTGATAATACGATTTCTGTACGGTTTAGTGGTTAACAGTTGGTTCTGCCCAGTGCCCATAAAGCCGTATCTGCCGGATAGTTTTGGATTGAACGATCTTTCCAAAAATGCGATCGCTAAAGTTGTTCGTTCAGTGCGACAAACGTATAACGTAATATTATTATCCGGCCAACCGGATTATTTTCAGAATTCTCAATTTACCGGTTTTTAAATTTTATTGTGGAGTTTTGAGCCAGCGTCACCGGCCGCTAGCTGGAAATCTTCGGCCGAACATAAGAAGGAAGATTAAGATTTATCGGCTGTTACGAGTACCAGTTGTCATATTCCGATGATGTAGAGTAGTGGCTTTCAAAATGCGGATTTAGGTGCAAAGTGTGCGAGCAATGCACAGTTGTGTAAGTGCCTGTATGGCACAGCGGTGGCTGTTGACACACTAGCAGACCGCGCGCAAATTGCGCGCATTAAATAATTACGAGTATTATGTAAGCGATGGATACCTCAGTGCAGAAGTGAATAGTTTACGACTTATACAGATCGACTTACAAGTAAGTAGCAAGTAGTTTTTTTTAGTTTTTTTAGCGAATTAAAATTTAAGGTAAACGACCAAGGCTTCTACCGTATAATACGTAATTTACAGTACAGTTGAGTAACTGAGTAACCACTCAGAAACTTTATTTTCCGTTATTGCTGTCACCCGGCCCTTTCCCATCTCGTCGAATGCCGAACAATCTTTATCATGAAATTAACTTGCAATCAAAAAATACTGTTCGTGAATTAGAATAAGGATCAAACGAGTGCAGTTTAGATCAAACACGGCTGTTGTCTTAATTTAACCAGTTTAGCAGTCCGATTATTAGAAAACCTTCCAATTTTCAATCGGTTTGCTGTCTCTTTGCATTAAAAACGCAATGGTATTGCAGACTACTAAAGTCAAATGTGCAATTTGGAATCCCGTTTCATTCATTTCACTTAGTACATGACTCGGACGTATCACACAAGCTCAGCTTGCTGCTCCGCGATCGCGCCGCAGCTCGGCGTGGCCTCCAAGGCTGCAACTGTGCCTTCTATTAGAAATTAAGTAACGAAACTACTTACTCGAATTCGTAAAATCTTTTGTTTCCTAATGCAATGCAGCATTCTCCCTTTGTTAACTACAGTGCCGGCCATATCCAACTAACCGAAGTACACTTTGTTTCAATAAATGTACCAATAAATATGCACTCGGTAAATTGGATTACTATGTTGTAGGAAGTGGAAGAAATGGCTAAGGATAACAACATTTTCAACTACCTGGAACAATATTTCGACGAAGACGAGGTTGACGTGACGTATCAAGACGGCTTCAAATGCCAGCTTATTGCAGAGTACCAGTAAGATATTAATTTTATACTGCTTATTCAATACTAGAAAAAAGCACGTTGGCGTGCATTGGAAGACCGGAGCGCAGCAGCTTTTCGCTTGGGCGAGTGATAACTAATTTTTAACGTCCTACCAGTGGCCCACGCTACCAGTAGCACCCTTAACACTGAAATTATCATTAATTTTAACATACTCGTATAAGCAACGTAACCAGCACTATTTTTGTAATGACCTTTCGTAACGACCTTTCGTAACGGACACAGAGACATTTTTGCATTGGCGCTGAATTAGAGAACCTTCGATACGCTCCGGTCGAGTAATAAGTAACGTTACAGGATCAAATTGCCGCTTTTTGCGCGCAAATTCTAAAAAATGTCGACAAGAAGATCAGGTAGTGATCCAGAACATCCGTTGATGTACGAATGAGCCTCGTTCGATACGTTCATTATGTTCCATGAGGCGTTCACACGTTTTCAGAAAGACAGAAACTCACCTTTACGGTCTTCAACAGGTTTTCATTAAACAATAACGAACGGTATTCGCTGACACCCTGCGAATACCGTTTGTCGCGTTTGTTACGCGAATACCGCGCGCTATGGTATTCGCTTATGACCTTTTCCACAAAAGAAGCCCGGCAGAGACGTCATATACCGGACAAGGTATCTGAAAATCAATTTTGAAAGGCTTTGAAAAAAAGAACTGCTTCCGTAAATTCCGTTAAAAAGACGCGCCGGACGACAGGCCGAGAGATTTGCGAATCCGCGATTTAAATTCATATCCACTTTTGATGCGTCTTTGTACGAAGCGCAGCGAGTTGATATGGATGTACTGTAGCTGTGCAAGCGATTCCAGATTTAAAATTTATTTAAAAAAATTGATAGATGAAATTGATATATAAAAAACTGAAAAGTACTAACAATTGTAATTGTTAAATAAATTGGTGGTATGCGGAGTCAAAAGTGGTGTGCTAACGGGGGTATTAAGTAGGAGCCAAAGGTGGCATCAAAGGTGGTATTAGGAGCCAAAGGTGGTATTAGGAGAATAGGAGCGGTGGTAAAAGGTGGTATGCGGAGCCTTCACCATATCAATATTGTAAAAAATTTCTGCAGTCGTTTATTTCGTTTGTTTTCGATATTACTTTTGATTACAGCGATTCTACCTGCAACTACAACCGGAAAGTTCAGGACTTATTCTTCTTCCCGAAAGACGCGGGTAGAGTGGCAGTGGCTTATCAGGAAATTGGTCAGAACGATATTCCCTACAATGATGCCGCTCTCTTTGGATCCATATGGGATGTTAGTATGTTCATGTAGCGCAGCGTCCTTTCTCGTGCTGATCGGTAACATTCAGATGTCCGCTGCAACGTTTTATTACTTGCAGATCTTCTGTACAAACCGCTGCAGAATTTTATACCGCCTTTTCGCCTGTATTCCATTATATACAATCCGAAAGATATTAACAGTATAGTTGGATCACTCTGGAGCGGACAACTTTGTAAGTGTGTCTGCTGTGTATATAGTGAAATTTAAAAATGTCCTCGTATAACATGATGTCGAAAGGTCATCATGAAACGTTTCATAGAAATTTTGTTAGCTCATTAATTTTGGAGTGGCGTCGAACTGTTTGTCATCTGTGGATAGTGGAGCTTATGAATCAGCAGTTTACACGGATCTACATGTTAAATGTTATGTGTGCAACAGGTCAATGGGATCTGCGGGCGGGAGAAGAACCTAACGTAATCACAGATCTAGATGTGGGCCATCTTAAGATCTGCCGAAAAGTGCAGTGGCTGCAGTCAAAAACTATGACGGATTTGGTGTCAGTTGGTATGGATGGACAGGTGGATTATGCGCTGTCGAAGTGTTAAATATTGTAGATTTTCCAGTCCATATACTTCTGCATATATCCTGCTGGTCATTTCTGCTACTTCGCTTTTTCTTATATTCCGGTCACTTTAACTGTACAGTTTCATATTCCGGTCACCAGGTAGCAAAATGTGATAACAAAATAAAGTAAACAGAAACAGTTAGTTTTCACAAAAACGAACTCTCTCATTAAATTTGAAGAGTAAACGTCAATAAATTTACTAACAAAACAAAACAAATAACAGAAACTCTAAACCGGGTGAGACGCAAAAGACCGGTGACCGGAATATCAAACCTTCACTCAAAGTGGGCCAGAATATGAGAAATAGCGAAGTACACATTTTGAACCACAGCGCCGTACATATTGATGTAACGCACGAAATCTCGTTATGTCCAGAGCTAAGTATTGTACATGTACAGTGATGTACTACGATGTCATAATAAGCTAAATGTGCAGAGTATTGTACATACGGTATTCGGCACATAAAGGCTAAAGCGACCGTATACGAGAATGTTATTTTAAAATAACCTGAGACAAGTTCCAACTGTATTTTTGCACTTCGGTCAGATGATATTCTGGGATATACGCAAATGGAACGAGCCCGTTGAGAAAATCATCTTGGATCCCAACCGCACGAAGAACCCGGCGATGTCCGACGGTGCCCCTTGCGCTTGTGTGGATTTCGACCAAGGCATTGTACGTACTTTACCATATTCTCCCATTCCGTAAATGCTCATGTAATTAATTTTGTCTTAAACTGCAGCCCAGTCGATTGTGCGCTGGCAGCGAGAAAGGCTACATCTTCAACATCAACCGCAAGTCCAAAAGTGCCCATGAGAAGATTACATGGGTGTGGAAGGACATAATCACACCGGTACTCACGCTGCAGCGCAACCCAGCCCATCCGCGTTACATGTTGACCGTCAGCTGTGACGATGTCAAGGTAAATCTCAACATTAACTGACACTGACTGGATTTTCCTAGATTTGGTTGCCCTTTCGAGGTACATTATAGTCTTAATTTGCCAGATTTTTGCGGATGACTGTCGTGATAGCTGGATCATCAATACCAGGTATGAGCCTTGTAAATTTCGCATTCAGGATGTTGTATATGTACAGTCGCTCACTACACATACTCGTATTTTATTTGTGTACTTATCGTTAATTGTACTGTAGACCACAGGAAGGTCACTTTACATGCGGATGCTGGAGCCCGACACGTTGTGGTGTCTTTGTGACCACTCAGACCACCGGACAGTTTTGCGCATGGGATCTGAATCGCGGGGCACGATGTGTTGCGCCTACCGCATCATTGCAGGTGCTGCTTGCGAATTACATTTTTCTGCACTGCGCTGACCGATCGTAATCAACAATGTTTATCATAGCCAAGATCAGCTTACCAATTGTACGAACACATTTTTATGTAGGTGGATCTGCAATGTTTGACGTGTGTGACGCCACATGAGGAAGGTCGGTTGTATGCCGTCGGGACAATGAAAGGAACATGGGGCGTCGTCGAAGTCAGCAATGCACTGTACATTCCCACGCAGAAAGAAAAGACGGATGTGGGAGAGGTATATTAACACATTCGCAACTGAATCTGTATGCATAAAGTTCTAATGAAAATGCACTCCTGTAGTTATTCGAAAGAGAAGGTCGGCGAGAGAAGATTCTCGAAGGGCGCGGCCGTGAGAAATTGGCTGCCATTAAGAAGGAAGCGGCCGCACGTGTCGAAGCCATTGCTCTGGCGCAAAAAGCCGGTAAATCTCTACCGGCCTTTGAGCCGGAAGATGTATTGGATCCTGTGTACAATATGCCGTTCCGTCCCGGTCCGATTATACCACCGGAACCGGCGGCCAAGAAAGACATTGTTAAAGATAAAACAACTGACGTCTACCAGGTAATACTAGCACTTTTTAAAAATCTGCAAATAAACTACTAAAACCGGTGTCCAGAACACTTATATCTGAAAATACGAAAGCAACATCAGGAAAACGATTGTTGTATTACAGGAATCTATCCGCCAATATGAGCAGTGGGTAGCCGATGAAGACGAGGAGATGCGGCACAATCTCCTGCCGCAGTTCTTCGACTGGCAAGTGGAGGACGAAGGCCCCGGCAGCATTATGCGCAAAATGGGGGAACGGGTGCCGCGCAATCGCGGCATTCCCACCGATGTGCCACTGAGCGCCGCTGCCCAGGCAGCACGTGATGCTGTGCCGGTGGTGGAGTATCAGCTGGGTGTGGATGAGGCACCGAGCCGACCGCTGGAGACGGTGCAGTCCGGCCCGCAGCCGCCTGAACCCGGCGAGCAGGTGGAGCTGCCGATGGATTTCGCAGCGGAGACTAAAGAGATGGTAGAAACAGCCGAGCCACAAGCACCGTAAAGTGGCAATATCCCTGGAAGCGTTTTGACCGCAGGCAGATACCGAATTGTACCAAAGCGGGTTTTTATATAGTGTCGCTTCACCTTCACTTGCCTAAGGCATTTTGTGCTCGCATTTCAGCAGTGTGGTAAGCAAGTGTTTTCTACTTTCGGTGATGCACGGATTTTCTAAGGTGTTGATTTTCGGTGTGCAATCTTTAGAGTATAGCCAAGATGTCGGATGTAGAAGATTTGGATATACGAACAATACCGATTATTTTGTACATAATGCTGCCGATCAGTTTCGTTGTACTGTGGTTATGGGGTGTCGCTGAAGACCATTTCGAAGCTTTTTCACCTTATATTAGCGATCTGGGCGCCCGGGCCCCGGAATCTTGTTTATTTTCACAGGTGTTAAATATCGCAGCGGTTCTGTTTGCTTTGACATTCTACTTCCGGTATCTGTTATTGCGCGATTTTGGAGATCGGTCGGGACTGCGCCGGTATGATCAGTACATAACCGCCAATCTGGTGCTGGGAATGTTAGGCGCTCTGGGAATCAGCTTTGTCGGCAATTATCAGGTGATTTTCTCTTTTTAGTGCTATTCAGTGAAAGCGCAATCTGCATCCACTTCAGAATGTTTTGTTTCACACTGGAAAGCATATGCATACGTTACGAGTTTGTGCTAATGGTTCTCGCTCATCTTTTAGAGCATTTTTATAACTCCACTGCACATGCTGGGAGCATGCCTCGTTTTGGGTTTGGGAATTGTCTATATGTGGATCGATGTGCATGTGTCCCGTTACGCCCACATCGCTGCCCCGCTCTCCCGTCGGTGTCTGATCGGTCGTACATTGCTAGCCACCTTCAGCACAATAACGCTACTGTTCATGATAGCCGGCAACCAGATGGGACAGCATCATCTGACGCATCAACCGCGCGATCTCTACGAGCGCCTCCATTGGACACGGGAGTCCGGCGGCTACAAAGGGCACATTGTGGGTGCGGTCAGTGAATGGCTGCTGCTGATTTTGGAGTTGTCGTATTTTGGGACTTTTATTAGTGAATTTGGTCACTTTCGCATGCGATATCCCATGTTATTGGCTGTTAATCCCAATATTACACCGGTTAAGAATATAGAACGGATAGAGGATATGGACGAAAGACATCCCATGCTGGCCGGTCATAAAAAGCAGTGGGATGGTGGAAAACTCAAATATTCAGACGAAATACTATGATAAATACGTACATTAAACCATCACCATTGCCTTTGCGGCTTTTCGGGCGATGCGGTTTGTGTTTATTATATGAATACTAAACATCTCTTGCAGGTGTTCGGCCTCTTCTCATTGTCCCGGGTGATTTCAGCTTCTATTAAACCAATTCTTCTGCTTTAAAGTGTTCTAGAAACCTCTCAGGGCGGTGGGTGTTGTGAGCCTAATGACCTTTTGCAGTTTTTAAAATCCTAAGCCCAATGGTCACTCAAAAGCTTGTTACCATGGATACAACAGAACTAACATGGGCTGGTCTGTTACCACGAGCACGTTGAAATGCACTTGCACAAGAAACAGCTTAGGCTTCGCCTCTGCGTTTCGTGGGGTTAAACGACGGTAAATCTGCATTATTTCAACCAATTCATTATTTGGTACAGTATCTTTTAAATTTTCATGAGATATGACGTGAAGTCCAAAGGTACATTTTCGTTTTCTACTATTTCAGTGTTGGTTACTGTCGCACCTTTCGGCCAAATGCACTGAGCTGTAGCAGCAGCTCGGTCAGTCTCAAAGACTCAAACCTAAAGTGTTTACGAGGGCCTCCAGTTTACTAAGCATTAATGCTACGAACGAATAGCCAAAAATCCTCACTCACTTATTCACAGTACCTAGTCGTAATCCAATATTCATCCGTGCTCAGCTTGTAAAAACCAGATTCGGCAATATCACAATAAATAAACCCCACTGCTGTTAGTGCTGTAGAACATATTCAGTTCATAAAAAAGCTGATACAAGTTTTGATAATAAAAGGATACAGTAACTTAATAGGAAGCAGCACAAAAGAAAGAATTTCAAAGCTTAAACAAACATTCCCTTTTTGGCCTCACAAGTCACAACCAGCCAAGAAACTCCAAACAAGCGTCGGGGTAATTAGAGAAGGATAATTTTAATTTTAAAATTTAATTTTAGATATTTTTGATGTAAATAGCAGTAGTTATATGAATACTAACTACGTAACCAGGGTTCTCGACACTTTGCCGTTGTAACCAATTTTCTCCCGTTCCACACATCCAATCTGCCCGCTCTAAAGTGCTACAGTATCCTCTCAGTGTCGAGAGTGTTCCTGCATCATCAATTTTCTGGAAAGCCCACTACCCACAGTCCAGTGGTCACTCAGAAGCTTGTTACCATGGTGGCCATTAGCTTAACATGGGCTAACTGTAAATCCCCAGATTGTTACTATGTGTTGTTATATCGAATTGCCATTGAAATTAGCGAACTGCGAATAAGCAAAATAACAGGTACTGCTCACGCCTGTTTATTTTGTTCGTGCCTCCTTAATGTAATAGACATCGTGCCATTATTTAATACATATACAGTTAACCTTTTTACATGCTCGAAATCCTAAGACATTATTCATCCGTGCTGGGCTTGTTTTAAATATACCCCGCAGGTCGCAAGCGTTTTCTTGTTTTGACGTAGCCGCTGCGCGGACGAAGGAGGTTACTTACGTAAAAAGTCAATACTAGTAACAAAATAACATACCTAGATACAAATTTGAAAAAAAGGTTGGCAATTTATTCGTCAAGTGACTTGACTCAAGTCACAAGTGATCAAATCCCAATCAGTTCCTACCATTACTTCCAACGGAAATTATAAATTATGATAATCTGGGATTAGAAAGAAACTGTTTGATTTTGACTTCTGTTAAATGTAATTTTCTTATAATGGCCATGCAATACATGCATTATGACAGGTTTCGAACTTTCGATGATCGGTGGCTTCTGGATCTGATCATCTAAATGTTTTTTAATCGCCCGTAAGTAGTAAGTTATTTATGAAGCGAATTGCGAATTGAAGGAAATCTGGGAGGTTGCTTACCCGATAACCATGGACAGTGCAGAGCCAGGCGGACTGCCTCGTGGAATGATTCGCATAATGAAACGCGGCGATACCTTGGAAAGCCAACCCCCAAGAGCTCCCCACCCCAACCCTGAACTCTCCAGCCCGCTGGAACCCGAACCACGCCGTGGCGTTCTGCGGATCAACACGGCAGAACTGTCCACCACCCCTCGCTATCCCCGTCCACGCCTGACCGAGCTGAACCCGACCAGTGTCTTTCCGCCTCCCCGTCGCCCCATGGCCCCCCAACTGGCCATGCTGCGTTCCCCGCGGACCCCCGCCATTGTTCCCCGTCCCCTGAAACCCGTTGTCGATGCGCGTCCGTCCAAAAGCATCGTCTCCCTGGACGCCAAACCCACCCCGGTCTTCGCCTCCGACTACGCCGCCCAGGAGATCTTCAAGGCGCTGGAACAGGCCAAACCCGCCAGTATCCCCAAACCACCCATTCCCGATCTGACGGAGGAGGAGAAAAAAGACCCGGCGGCACTGCGCGAGTTTTATTTAACCCAGTTGCGCATGATGGCCAAAGATTCACAGTTGCTGCGCGATTTCTCCATGACCAAGTGCGTCAAACTGATTGATTCGTATTTCTTTTGGTGCCTGAAGAAAGGCGCGGCGCTGGACCAGTTGATTAGCGCCGTCGATCCGAATAATCGCAGTTTTGGCGTGGTGGGTGTCATCGGGATGCAGAACACGGGAAAATCGTATATTTTGTCGCAGTTAATCGGCCCGGAAAATTCCAGCAGTCCGGTGTTTGAATCGCGCGCTCCCGCGCATGGACCCTGGGGAAAATTTAAGACGGAAGGCGTCGATTGTTATGTGTCACGGGCGCAGCGCACCATCTTTCTAGATGTGCAAGCCGTGTATTCGGCATCGGTGCTGGAGGAGATGATTATCGGTGATCGCAAGCCGCCCGCCGTCTCCACGGAACACGTCTTCGTGGAGCACACCGTGGAACTGCAGTCGATCATGTTCAGTGCCTTTCTCATGTCGGCGTGCCATAAAATTTTATTAGTGACCAAAGGCTTTGTGGATGAACGTCTGTTGCGCTTTCTACGCTTAGCCACGATTTTAAAACTAGGACCGGTGCACAAGGATGCCTTGAATGAAGCGAATCTGTATGATCACTGGCCGGAGCTGATTTTTGTGGAGAATATGTGCAGCGCGCAGGATCTGTATTATGAACGAGTGGCGATGGCTAAAGGGAAGATCCGCTCACTGATGAAAGATTATCCGTTGAAGTATAACGCGAAGGACGATGTAGAGGGGGATCCGCTTGCCAATGTGCATCTGTTCTGTATTCCGGATGCGAAGAGTACGGCGAATGATGAGTATTTGAAGGCGCAGTTTGCGCATCAGCTGCGGATGCTGAAGAAGAAAGTGACGGGATCTCTGCCGGAAGACAGCGTGACTCCCGGTGTGGCCATGACGGAGAAGGAATGGTTCCGCTATGCGCGACGCTGTTGGGCGGCTGTCTGCCGGGCGCCGCTGGTCAACACGGTGGCGAAAGAGCTCAATGTCAGCAATTCCGTTTAATAGTAATTACGCACAACTGGATGGTTAAATTGGTTTTATTTTTAATACGTGTTTAGTTACTGTTTTCTGTTTCTGCTTGTCTAATGCGCTTTCAGCACAGAATTAATCTATGGTTATTGGCTACAGGTTTTCAGTTTCTTTTATAACGTCTTGTCTCATTTTTGCGCGTTATTGATAATAAAACTGGCGATATAAATTTTTATTAAACGCCGAGAAAGTTGACAGTTTAAAAGAAAAATTAAAACCAAAAATACTGCACACTTAACACAACCAAAACTTTGGTATTTGAAAACATCACAAAGTCACACAAAAACAGTGTTGTGCATATTCGGGAAAGTGGCACCTTATTCGTTGTTACTGGAATCCGCATCGTGCGATCGAATAATATGGTTATCGTCGGCGTCAGAACGAGGCACAAACATGTGCTTAGGGCTGAGAAATTTGGGCGGAAGCGGTGGTTCGTTCGGGTCAGGAGTTCGGAGATCCGGACCGTGCTCCGTGTCGAAATACGAATGCTGCATGGCATCACGGCACGTAATGCGGTCTTGTGGATTATAAAGGAACATGCGCTAAAAACCAAAACATTTGTTGCACATAAAAAATGAAACATGAAAATGCACATGAAAATCAAATTAATTTCTTTCTATGTTAGCAAATCGCATTTTATACTGGTGATGATTACAGTACACGTCAAGCCGCGAAGAAACTGCGAAACTAACCAAAACACTGAACATAGCACATCTTACTGAATGTGTGCGGCTCAATGATGCAATTAAGGTCCATAATTCATACGAGTAAAATCATAAATATGGAAACATACAGAGAATTGCAATATTTAATTAATTCCGTAAGAGATTGAATAACGCTGATTGTAATTTACAATCAACGTTTGGTTTACAATTTGTAAACCAAACTTGCAAACTAATTAATTTATACCAAATGAATACCTCATATCACAAAAATACCGTATGATCTCCGATATCTTCTTTTTCCGAACATTTTACACAAAATTTAACAGAAAAGAACACTACTTCGTACTTACTTTCAGCAGATCAACAGCCACGTCCGGGGCGTGCTTTGCTACTTCCTTCCAACTTCTCGGTTTCCACTTCGGAAATACTTCACTGTAATGCCGGAGATGCACGATTTCTTCCCACATCTCCTTGCTCGGCGTTCCGAATGCTTGAAATATCATGTGCAGTGCTCGGATCTCCGAGTCGGGGTCAAAGGGCGGATCATTCTCGAATAATTCGATAATTATTACACCCATACTCCAAATGTCCACTACAAAAAACCCATATTGTTTATACAATTTCATGCGCAATTCTCACTACTCCAGCCCAATTACCAGACGGATTCAGAAATTGCACAACAGCGTATTACTGTGCTGCATGGCAGTACAGTAAGTAAAACGCTGTTGTGTATTGGTAATTGGTTTATGCCCTCGCCTCTATCCCAACGGAAGCATCCTACGCACTACGGACTTAACTAGTGCTGACAAGTAGAACTTTGGTACGCTGCGCATTGTCAAGATATTGGGTTTCTCACTACACGAATGCTCGAAAATGTACGGCAAATATATTTCTTTCATATTCCAGGGATGGCGTACTAGGTGTTTATATAAAAGTTTCGTGAAATGTTCGCCATGACTTGCTCCTACTTAACTACAACGCCTCGGATTTTATGGTACTGGGTTGGTTTGGCTCAAGCTACGTTTACCCGGTAAGCGCTATGGCTACGTTCACTGTAAATTAGTTTAGTTTAGTTTAGTTTATTCAATGAGCAGACAAACCCTCGAGGCACTAACAAGTCTGGTCAGTAGCATATGAAATATGAAAACATCAGAATTAAGATCATTACAACAGATTCGCCAGTTTCAGTGAAGACAGGTATTCCTTAACAGAGCCACAACCAAAATACTCAACACCATTATTTTTTCCACCACCAGTAACTTTATCAAACAAAGTTTTCAGCCTCATTGCTAGGGTCGTCTTTCCAATCCGTGACCTCGCAGTGGTGTCGATGCGTGCCTCCCGGCGGAGGGCATACCTCGCGTTGGTCTCTTTAAACGGAATCAGCTCACACATGTACGACGGTACTGTGAAATTTTCCCGGTTTCGTATCTTATACAGCCACACAGCTTCCTTCTGGCGCCATCGATCGACTGCTGCGGTTATACCCAGCCGTTGGTACAGTTCCGGTGTTACCCGTTCCTGTTATCGGTGATGGTCCGTAAGGCTGCGTGTTGCCGTTTCATCAGCTGCTCCTGCTCTCCCAAGGACGCTGCCGACCATGCCATAGCACAGTAATCTATGTATGGCTGGACGAAGGCGTGGTGAAGGAAGTAACTCGCTGGGAATCGCTGAGACCGGATTTAACACGTTTAATCTTTTGGATGCCATAGTTGATGTTGCATCAAACCATTTAGCCGCCTCCGCCAACGCCTTGTTCAAGTTTTCGGCGGCCGCTGCTTTGGTTTTCCCGCGACAGTGGATTATAGTGTCATCCGCAAAGGTTTCGATCTCGCACTGAATAATCTGCAACAAATCGTTCAAGAATATTATGAACAGTATAGGGCCAAGCACGGTGCCTTGGGGAACGCCGGAAATGACTGGTAACCAGCTGGATGTCTGGATGTACAGACTGCACTTCAGCCGCGCCCCAGCCTTTAGCCCCAGCGCGTTAGACCAATTACTATCATACTGGTGGTTAGAGATCTGTACGTGTATGCAGACATACTACCATGTACCATATAACGCGAAAATTAACGAATTTTTGAAAATTTGCCTTCCAACCGCGTGCGGCATGGGCCACCGCATGCGTACGTGTCACTACGTTACTGCTGACTCTACAGTACTGCTGTCTGTACACGCCGGGCATTCCACCAGGTTCCTGCAGGAATAGAGATGGCAAAACTAAAATTAGTCGACTAATTAGTTGGTTAACTTCGGTTAACTCGACTAAAACTAAAAAAATTAGTTTAACCAACTTTGGTGACTAAAAAAATTAGTCAAGAGCTTTTTAGTAACTAAATTTTTTAACCGAGTAGATTTTAGCTACTAAAACTCAGCGGTTAACCACCGGTTAACGAAATTTATTCCCAGCGCAATGGCGGACCGCAAGAGACGGTGGTTTTTTCATAATTTTCAAGTACAAACTGCGCAACCAGATCGGCGCACTGCATAGTATGCGTGCAGTACTTCAATTTAATCGTAAATGTAGCGCATGGCGTATATCTTCTAATGCAGTTACAGTACCTGCATGGCTTTACATTTTTTTTTTTTTTCAATGGAAGAATGTTATTTTATTGTCACTATTTACAAATTACACGAGTACTTTTTGAAAAAAAGCTTAAATTATCACCATTAAATCAATCGACAGCGGCGGCCTAATCACAGAAGTTTTCAAATTGCCCCATCGGCGCTGTCCCCATGATCGATGCCGCATTTCGCTGTATTTCGATGCTGATCCGTTGGCGAAGATATGTGGCTCGTTTTCGCCGAGCCTGACGTATCTTCTGTCCGAAACGTTATTGTTCGGACAGCTTCCGGTCCGCGGTCCGATGTCTCAAAGCCCAGAGCACGGGAATGTAGTCCTGGCCGATATCGCGATATTTCGATCTTGCCCTGCTCGGCCTGTGCGCTGCTGCCAACGCGGATGTCGCGACGATGTGCGATATGGCCATTGTGTTGACGCACGTTGCGTCCCATGCCAACATCCGTCCTCTCCCACGGTGTCAAGGTACGTCTGCGCTTGCTGTCTGTAGGAAGACACTTGTGGCTCAGTTCGCTTCAAAGCCGGTCGATGCGAGGCTGCGCTTCACAATGGCGTTCAGGCATTACGCGTAGGGATTCGTCCGCGGCTTCTTGCAGCTTAAGCCGTAGCTACATCCGCCCACCGCCGCACAGCGGTGTGGGTAATGATCGTGCCCGTCAAACCAACGGCGATTCGTACAGCTGAGTCTGTAAGGAGGTTGCTGGGAGGCAGCCGGAAGCGCACCAACCATGCGCCATTTTCGTGCTAACGCCGTTCAGTCTTGCCTGTTCGAGATGTCGTTCCCAGCTGCCGTTCGTACCCATTCAACGGTCTTTTGACAATAGGGTTGTCCCATACCTTCGACCGGTCTGCGCGTCATTTTGTGGGAGTTCAGGGTTATTTCGCCATCTCCTGCAGCAGCATCACGACAGTGCAGCAGATCTGTGGTTGGAACTCGATAATTTCCGATGTTAATGGTTTTTCACCGACAAGCAGAGGCCAGAAAGGCCGGAAGGGCAAGCTTTTCGACGCCGGACCTGAGACCGCCTTCTTATTATCGGGAGAGATGCCTGCATCCATATGTCTTCAGTAATGCTGACATTGGTAACACGTAGTGCTTTGGCGAATGATATCGTCAAAATGTTTTAACAGGGCTTTCATTGGTAGCATCGGCTGGCGCAGTTTATAGATCAGCTTTACTGTGCCCATGCTGCATCTTTACCGCACAAAGCCTGGTGAGCCGGTATTAGATTCAGCTGCCCGTTATTCGGGCGATTATTCCCAGCACTGATGAGTGCGCCTGCAACTGCATTATCATGGATTGGCGCACCAAGGTAATGCAGATCCTTCAGCTGGGGACAAAGCAGGTTCGGGTACGCATGAAGAAATGCGTCGTACACGTTTGCGTTCTTTCAGGGAGCCTGATAACCATCAGTCACATTTTGCTATATTGAGCGTTAGCCCCGCACTCGTAGCGCCTCCAGTGAGCAGAGATCGTCAAAGACATTTTCAGGGTTCCGCCGAGCGCATCATCGTCAAGAAAACACTCTTTCAGCTTCGACTTCAGGCGTTTGTGAGGTCCAATAGTTGCAAGGCAGTACAGTAAGGCCGAGAGGGTCTCCTTTGGATGCCCGCCTGAGAAGATATATCACATGCCGTAACAATATTGATGGTTCACCGTGCACCACACAAACTTGTAGTACTCCGGCATGAACTCGGCAGATTTGGTATGTAGTTTCGGTCTGAAGGCGTTCTGACATCTAGTTTAAGAAAACCTGTGGCTTGTCCAGAACTGCAGCATTCGATAAAACTGCGTGGCATGGACAGCGGCTCCACATTCCCCTTTCGCGAAACCCAGCTGATTGGCTGCAACTCTTTATTCAAGTGTCGTAACCAGTCACCGCAAAACACACGCCGCAGGCTCAGTTCCCCACTGCAATGGGGCGTATCCCATTATCTTTCTTCTTGAATGCAAATAAGTTTGCACCATACAGCATCGGGGTAATGTCCTGCGTGCGCCCTTCACATTATGTTCGCAACGGCAGCCAGTGATTCACAATCCTTTTACCCAGTTCAAGGTAGACTGATCAGCTCAGATATTGCGGTCAATCCATCAGCCTGCTGCCGATCCATTGGGAAGGCACGACCGCTTCTGCACGCAGCAGTAATAACATCAAGGGCTATCGTTGCGGGTCCCGGAGGCGGGTGACGTATCGGAGGTTTGAAGGTGTTTTCCTTCAACTCAGCGAATGTCTCTGGCGTCGCGGCAAAACCGTTTCTTCGGTGGTTAGCTGCCGCACAGCACCGCTGACATTGCCGTCCTGAAGCTTGCGGCTGACTCGCTTGCGGAGCTGCACAGGAAGCGTCTGGTTTAGCTGCACGAGGAGCGCGGTCCGTCGAAGGACCTGTATTGATTCGGGAGGACCATGGTTTTGGATGTTTTGGCGGATAATATTGGGTATGACAGGCGTGGTCTTTGGTTTGGCGCTGCTTTTTGCCTTGCAATTGCGTAACCAAAGACGAGGAGATCAGTCCAAGCTTCAGTGAGTTATTGTCCGTAACTTTCTCCAGCGTCTGCAGTAACGCTTCGGCCACTATAATGCGGGTGCTCTTCGGGATGTGATCGGGAAGATGGACTGTTGCGTAGTCTCCGCCAGGCGGGACGGGAAGAGATTGGTACGGTGCGCTGCTGATTATTAGTCGAGGCGCTTGTGGGGCGGCTGAGAACGCAGCTGACGTTGTTCTGCTTTTATGCATTCTTTCGGTTGGGTCTCAAGGTGTTTCGACAATGCACTGAAAGGACTTTCAGGCACTTCGCATTGAAAGGGTTCTTCATTGTCCTCCCTTCAATAAAACGTTCGACGCAGAAAGAGATCTGACTTCAGGGAGATCAGGAAAGTGGTGTGGACTGCGGCTTGATAACTGCGGGACAATGCCACGACAGTCTCTGGAGAAGATCTCCAGACTAGGTCCTGCAGCCACTTCGGTACTGGATGAGGGAAATTTTTCATCCAGGGGCAAAAACGAACCCAGTTGGAACAATCCGACACAAAATCATGATCATTAAGTTATTTGTGTTATAAAGAAAAGTTGGTTAGAAAAGTCGTATAGTTGTCGAAAAGCTTTACATTGAAGTACTGTACTGTGTAATGGCCCTATGAAGTGTGTAATATGCATGTACTGGCAGTACTGACAGTTTTTCCAGTAATTATGTACATTATACAATTACGGATTTGTTTCTACTGTAGCTTATATTTTCAAAATAAAATTTTATTGTTCTCTGAAGGCCGAATAAATTTTGATTCTGTTTTTATTTGTTATACGGAACTAATGACACTATGGCGACAGGTGGGACCATTTCGCCGCGATAGTGACACCCACTGTATAGAATAAGGAAAACATTTTAACAGAAAATTTATCTTTAGTCTCGGTTAACTTTGGTTAACCGGTTAAAATTTTTAACTAAATTCAGGTTAACAACTAAAAAATTTAGTCGCCGACGTTTAGCCGACTAAAAGTTTTAACCAAGTCAATTTTAGCAACTTCAACTTTTAACCGAGTTTTAGTTTAGTTTAGTTTAGTTTTTTTTAGTTTTGCCATCTCTATGCAGGAAACGAATTATTTACGTCGAATTATTTTCGAAAATTAGTAGTTTTGATTACAGTAGTTACGAAAGCGCAGGGAAGGCCATACAGAGTCTGTACTCGTACTTCTGGTATCCGATTTTATTCACTGATTTATTTCAACAATTGCTTCCCATCGCTCACTTCGACCACAGTTAAAACGGTTATTAGCGATTCCTGTCATGTTTACAAGAACGGTATTACCGATTACGGCGTGTTTTTAGCACGGGGAACCCATGGAACGGCTCAGATTTGGCCATGGCGCTGAACCAATTTGATGTGTTCAGTGCCTGCAACCGTTGTCCCGTAGCGTTTACGGGAATGTTTCGCCGTGTTGACTACCTGACTTCCGTTAGGCCCGAATTTGAAAGCGACTTTTATGATGTTCACCAGCTGCTGCATTATTTTACGGTTCCCGAGTATATGTCAGTTGTTCCCCAAGGAACTATCAAGGCCATGAAGTCTGGCCCACGCAAAACCACTCCACACGGGACTACTTTTGATATCAGTTTTGGGGATCGACGTATTCCCGACTATCTTACAAAATTTGGAAAAGACGGTGAACGATTGATCTATATGTGCACTGAGGTCAAGTTTAAGCGTGAGGACCTGGAGCTTTGCCTGACGCAACTGGCCGAACAGCTGCAAACGGTGTTCCAGTCGGGACGCTCATCCCCTCATGGTGTTCTGGGACTGGCATTGATGGGTGTGTACGGGCAGCTGTATTTTCAAACTGACGAGCACTCGAGTATGGAGGCCTTAACACCGTGGATGCATGTAACATACAGCCGCCTCTCTACGACCATGAGGACATGTCTCATAGGCCTCCACGCCCAGACCACCCTATCGCTCGAACCCGATGCTGATGCCTCGCCGTGATCAAAATTCTCACCCCCTCTCATTTCCGGTAAATTGTCATTATTAATATAATAACAAGTATTCTGCACGATTTTTTGCACTGTTATAAAAACTTACTGCTAAGCACCTGCGAATTCGTAGGAAAATCAGCGATCGGCAATTACAGTACTGTAATAGTTCTGGGTAAATTCAGAAATTGAGACTTATTTGTATTAGTAATTGATCAAAAATTAATGCAGTTAGCATGCTAACTATAAGATAAACATCTGGAAACGAATTCTTTAATTTGCAGACTGTTTTTGGCACTTTTTGCTAACCCTGGCACTGCCGTAAATTTCCGGAGGAGAAGGATGAAATGATTATTGATGGGATTTTTTGGAATGGAACTCTTCTCACATATTTTGTCTTCTTTTGCAAGTAAGTAATTAGCTGATTTAATTTTTTAATGGGATTTCTTTAGATTTAGCTTTCAAATTTGAGAAATATTTATGGAATTTTGTGAAGTGCTTTCCTACTTATTTGGAGATATTAAATAAGGATTTTCCTGCGACAAAATCAAACAGCGAATTTGTTAATTGTTACTTGTATTTGTTAATTGGTTGTAAAATTTAGCAATTGGGATTCTCGCGATCAGTAACGAAACATTTGCGGATTTTGTATAATTTTTCGGATTATTTTCAGATGTATGGGTTTTGGTTTTCTAGTAACAAATTCTAAACAGCCGAATTTTTTTGTGAATATTGTAATTTTATTATTTTGTTGGAAGTTATGCTGCTAGATCACAGCAGGGTTTGAAGTCCAAACTTACGAGGTGATGATGTTTTGCAGGCGGCTCAAGATACCCCTCGTCCGGACGACGATGAGGACTGTAAATCTGGCATTTATTAAACAACGTGGAAGGCGTTAACCATCCCCATTTCAATACTTACGGTTGCCGCTTACTTTTGAGGAACGCTTTTGTTTTTGATTCCTCCTGCGTTTGTTTTTCTTTTCTCGATTATTCTAATTTTGTACGAGTCGAAAGTAGTCAGCTCTTTACGAATGGTTCGACATTAGTCTCTTGCGCCTAAGTTATTATGGAAACCAAAATTTAATGCTCGGCTTTGATGCATTTTGCGAATCATGGTTCATGGAGACCAGAACCTTTTATTTCATTCAGTCGGGTTCAAGTTCATTAAAATGAAAAGAGAGCAGATAACGACTTGGAGAAGAGCAGCTAAACTGTCCCAGGCGATGTCTGCTGCCAGTATACTTCGTGATCAGGTCTGACATCTCTGCAAATGAATCAACAGAATCCGTCAAAATGCTATCTGATTTCATAAGTTCATTAAACAAAACCTGAACAGAAAAACAACCATTACCGTCCTTATCTTCGTCTCCGGTCTTTCTAGGCTAAAAAATCAACTTTCGAGTGTTCTTCTGTGGCTTAGACGGTCGTGAATCTACGTGCCCAGATCTATAAGACAATATTATTCTGTTAACTAAAACTAAACAATATTTCCCGCGGCAAGACAATTGCGCTTGTACCTGTTGCTAACGGGCTTCTCACCGGCTCCATCCAAACCCTTCGGAAGAGTGGGATTGACACCACCGGTAAATAATACTAGATACATTCTACAAAAACAAAATACAGGTTATGGAATAGTCAAACACTGCAAAGGCAAATTTGATTTGCGCAACAAGTATTTTTCTAACTTTTTGGCTCGAGCACTGTTCGGATAATCCACAACCAAACCTCCAGTAAAACCTGCTCGCATGGACTGTTGTGTTATTAATTCAACCTGTCCAATAAATTCATATTACCACGTCGTAATTTCCGAAAATCAAAACCAAGCATGCTATGAAAAATCTGGCATGTTACGGTTTACCTGGGCGCTATTTTCGGGATAGAACTGAAAAACTGCTTTTGATCCACGGCTCTACCAACAGGAAAAAAACGTATGTTTAAAATTAGCATGACTTTAAATCTATAAACAATGCAAAATCTTATCAAACATGCGTATAATGATGAGAAAAAGGCGAACAACCGCTTCGAAGGGATGTGCTCTTTTTTGTCGGCATTGCACAGCCACTGTAACGCCGAGATGCTGGAAATACAAATCCAGAAAATCACGTAAAAGCGTCAGTGATTCTCGTATGGCCATCCAACCGCACCTTATCGCCCCATCAAAACTTCCAGGGCGGAAAGGAAGACCTTCACCGAGATCACTAAGAAGTAGATCTCCGTCCACTTCTCGTTCTCCGGCAACATCTAGCGAAACAATGTGAGAAAAAGTAACACTAACGACAAATACAATGAGTGGACTTTAATCGGCAACTGCCAACAAAATGCCATCGCGATCACATAACAGCTGTCACCGGTATCTTACGAACGTTTTTTAAACTTTTTTACTTACCAGTTAGGCACTCACCTAACAAACTATCAATCGTGATTCCCTGCTACGCGAATACTGAATAAAATGTGTTTTCCAAAACAAAATCAAAGCTTTTATGGGAACGGTGTTAAATCGAAAACAGTATAAAAAAACCACAAGCCAAGAAAATACAAAAGACAAGTTGAACGCATACCCAGCATGCTGGAACTGATATCCATGCCAACCCAAAAATGGCCAGCATTCGTTATGGTCTCGCCGCTCAAGCCAGATCCACAACTAAATAATCAGAACACTTACTGTACTAGCACACCACCAGGGTTCATTTCCATATCGCCGGATACACTTCCTTACCTAAGAAATAACAATACATTACTCTAATATGTATTGTATAATTGTATTATGCCGAACAAGGTCGGAAGAAGCGAAACTCTCCAAAATTAAGTACCACCCGGAGAATTCAGCATTAAACATTAAGGCTTAATTTAATGGTTCTCAGAATTATGGTGAATTAATTTTATGCTGAACTAAATTATTAATTACTAAATATGTATACTTAATTAATTGTGCCTCGTTAACACACCCCAAATCCAGCAGATAACACGGATTGCCTTCCGGTAAGCTGAGCAATTCAAGGGCGCGTTCCGCCAGTTCCACCTGAATTCCCATAATACGCGAGCTAGAAATCAATGAAGAAATTTCAATGCACATGCCATTTTCGTTTCCCCCAGATGGCGAACTGCAAACCAAGCAACTTACTTGGAAGTATACTTTCTGGCTTCGTCGTCATTGTAAAACTGCAAAAAGCACACCAATATAAACTATGAGTTCGCCCAAACCATGAGCAACACGGTCGCAACTTGCGATAAAATGATCAGCTTGGCTGCTCGGAAAAAGACGCATGTGGACCCTTACGATTTCTGGCGGGGCGTGATACTCTGGCCGTCCGCGTCCAGCCATCTCGAAGGATAATTTCCGATTGCCAGCGGAAAACAGCGGCAACCTGTTCGCTGCTGGACTCTTCGTTCCTTTTGCGCACAAGGAATCAGCAGATACGGCGGATAATGCACTCAGTATGGAAAATCGACGGGAAATACATAGGAAAAGCCGAGCTGACACCGCGAACTCGCCGTAGTGGGAGAAACGAAAAATCCACAAAACGCAAACGACACTGGCTAGGTCTGTCCGCTGTTGACTGGCGGCATCACGCATTGGATAAGTTACTTTAAACTCATAAGCACTGTCAGGCTGCCGTACTTGAAAACTCTTTTATCAAACAGTATCAAAGTAGGTCGGTATTTGATTTTTAAAATAGATCGGGAATAATGCAATTTTCAGAATCACAAAATAATCTAGTTGTGACTACAAGTATTGAGCGAAGACCAGCTGTGTATCGCTGTCGCAACTTCCGGCTCCATTCAACCGTAATGCCATTGTGGTGGTCCTGTGGAAATGGAATCCATTGCAAGGTACAGTAAGTACGCTTGTGCGTACCTGCAGGCTGTGGAATTCGAATACAGTAGCTTTCGAATGCTTACAGAAAATTTTTGAATGCTTGTTTACCTTTCTGGTTAGTGGTTTCACGTTTGATTTCTTGCATTTGACTGCCTTTTTGAAGTTATTAAAATTGAATGTATTCCTATTAATATTTTATTTAGTACAGTTCCATATTTAAAAGTTAATAAACTCAGTATGGCACGATTATTCGACCAGTTTATGAACCGATAGCAAGACTTTGCAGTGGACAACACTCACAACAGTCACTGATCCGGTTGAGTGTTTTATTTTGTCCATGTGTCCATGTCATTTTAGTTTCTTTTTGACGATACACAGCAGTTACCGATAGAGTATTTGTGAAACAGTTCTTACTTTGCTCAGTAACTCCCGGGTTTGTTGGTTGCTAAAATTCGTAAATTCTTGAAATGGGAACAAATCGCACGGTCACATCTCCGCCGCGATCATATGCGGACATGGCAAAACAGCTGGACTGCTACGACACCCTGAAACATCTGTCCAACGAGGAACTGCGTCAGCTTGTGGACAACGAGGAACGTGTGCATTCCCTCGTGCTGGACTGTCCGGATTTGATATGAGTATCCGACCAAAAGCAGGAGATGATAGCGGAAAACCTGAGTATGGCGGAGTATAATCTCGCACGCGAAAGGGAATTGCAGGAGGCACGTGAACGCCTAATCGCATCTTGTTCTCGGTGATAAACAGCAGGAATACGAGCAAACCAAACGCCAACACGGTAAGTACCCAGCGGACAACTGTAAACAGTGAAGCACAGTAACCAGTGTAAACCAAGGCTGTTCTGAATAAAGTATTCAGATTCATGCGTAGATACTACTTCCTAGTATTTAAAGCTGCATTTTGCTAGTTTCGTGTACTGTTAGCGATCATAAACACTCGTTATTCTTTTAATGTAGATATTGAAATTTGCAGACGCTGTCGTGGGAGGTCCGTCAAGCCCTGATCTGCTTTTGGATAATTTGCGGATTCTGGCAGCGAATGCCGATAGTGATTCTGAAGTTAGTGTCCATACTCCATATCGTGTAGAGTAGAATTTGGATTGCACACTTTGCGTAATTTTGCATTTGCTGTATCGCACGTAATTATTCGTATGAACTGAAGTGTGGATTACTACGAGTATAACACTTATTTTATTTCAACGTGCCACAATACTCGTGCTGAATCGTACCGTTAGTGCATTTTGGTTCAAGTTTTCGACAAAATTGTTTTTGAAACTACTTCACCTTTTCCCACGACTCTCACGAGTAATTCTACTATTTTCTCAACAGAGAATAGCTCAAGAATTTGTGGATGGAGAGAAAACCATTGACGCATTTCTGTTGGAATACATCCCGAAACGAACGGAAGTCCATGTACGAACGATAAAAGTCGAAAAGTTTGACCGGTATCTCCGCGGTGGATCTGCAAGCAGTCAACAGACGTTTTATTAATGACAGTTATAAATTCAATTGATTCTGATGACTTCTTTTTGCGTTTTCTGTGTCGACATGTTGGTCACAAGTTTACAAACATGGCATAAGCAGTTCCATGATTTCTCCATTTTTGATGTGTTTTACTTTTCACAATCTTTTTTTATGCAATAGTTTCGATTTTTTTTGTTTTGAGTAGAAGTATCATTTATGACATGCATTATGCGGGCATCATGAGTTGATTATTATTTCGTCAAATTCCCCGGATAAAGGTCAGTATTATGAATTGCAAATTTGTACGGAGAGTCGGAGACATCGTCGTCGTGGTTGTTATGAAGTCAGCGTTGTCAGATATGACACAGAAGCAGATGGAAAATGGGGGCAAAATATGCCTTTATTGGTAACAATAAAGCAACAACACACAAAAACCAACAGAAAACCCAATGCGGGAAAAAGCTGGAAAAAGTGCCTGCAGTGCGCTAGCTGAGAATCGTGATAATGATTCCGCGTGCTGCGGGTATGCAACAGCTGATGTGTCGCGTTCTTACGTCCCGTAGAGCTCTCTTTCTGCTTCTCTGCTTCAATTTATAGCTTTCATGCCACTTCAACCGTTTTCCTGCTCTGGATGTGGCAAGGAGCTACGCGCATGGGGAAGCCACAAGAATGCCTGTCCAAAAACGCTGTCCTCGTCGCTGGAGCCCATTCCCCTCGCACCAGCCACGAGCAACAACTCCGCCGCGCCCGCGCCTACGCCTCCTGCGGCGGCAAAGACTTTCTGTCCAATAAAAAGAGCGTATCCTGCGCCGCATCCCACACGGAGCAAGACCCACTGCCAGGAATTCCTTCCAGAAAGTTCTTCAGCAGGTCGCCACCAATAACGACAACGATTCATGGTTGAAGTTACTGTCGTTCGCGCCCACGGCCCTTCGCCTACCAGTCAAAAGCAAGTCCCAGAAGTCGGAGTCCTTAGCATCGACGGTGAAGCAGAACATCGGGGTTTATGACAGCGGCACCGCAACTGCCTCAACATCCCCGCCGCCCGCCAGGAAAAAGCGTGCAGACCAGGACGATCTTGTGCGCAGGGTTGGACAGAAAATCGATGACGGCTCGATTTCGGGAGCGATGCGCGTCATCATGTCGACAGATGCCGTTCTCCAAACAACCCCACAGGTTTTGGCAGAATTGCGCGAAAAGCACCCCGTGAGCGCGCCGCCCGTGATAGTTCGTCTAGACCCGCCACCTCCTGCAGCCACCCGAATTACACGTGAAGAGGTCTTTGCAGCCATCCAAAGCTTTCCAAAAGGATCGGCCGCCGGACCCGACGGTTTAAGACCACAGCATCTTGCAGATATGGTGGGAGCCAAACTGGATGATCATTCAGCTCCATTATGTGACGCTCTGGCGGGAGTGCTGAATATCGCCATCGACGGTAGGGTTCCCGTTGATGTGCGCCCAGTGTTTTTTGGCGGAAAGCTCATCGCACTGAGGAAGAAGGATGGCGGTCTGCGCCCCATAGCGGTCGGGATGACACTACGCCGCTTGTCTGCCAAGATAATCTGTTCCCGTTTGAAGGACCGATCAGCAGCCATATTATCCCCGCAGCAGTTGGGGGTAAATGTTCGCGGTGGCGCAGAGGCAATTGTTCACGCTACCAGGATGTTCCTAGAGTCCGCTGGGGATACAACCAAGGTTGTTTTGAAGGTGGATTTTAAAAATGCTTTCAACACCTTGTCCCGTGAAGCCGTATTAGCTGCTGCGATGAAGCATTTCCCGGAGTACAGCGATTTTCTCTGTTGTGCATACGGCCACCATTCTACGCTGTACGCGGACGACCTATTGCTGTCTTCGGAATCTGGTGTTCAACAGGGAGACCCGCTCGGCCCTTTGCTGTTCAGCCTTGCACTGCACCCTTTGGTGGCTCTCCTAAACGCGGAACTCAATGCCTGGTTCTTAGACGACGGAACTCTGGGCGGAGCACCGGCGGCGGTTGCTAATAGTTTCCAACGACTTATTGAAGGCGCGCTTGCTATTGGTTTGCAAGTTAACGAGGCTAAATGCGAACTGCTGGTATTTGGTGGATCATCTGAGTCGCAACGTGACGTTACAGCGGAATTTCTCGAGCGTTACCCACGACTACGCATCCTGACGGAATCTACCATGTCTCTGCTCGGTGCACCTGTGCTGGATGAAGCAATTGGGCCTATATTGAACGAGAAGGCTGGTACCTTGAAGTTAATGTGTGAACGACTTCAGCTGTTACCTAGCCATCAGGCGTTGTTTCTCCTAAAAAACTGTCTCGGCGCCCCGAAGATTATCTACATGTTGCGGTGCTGTAATGCATGGAAATATCCTGCATTACTATACCAGCTGGACGAAGCAATGCGCTCCTGCTTCCAGAATTTGTCGAATGTACGGACCAATCACAACGACTACCCGCCTTGGCGTCAAGCAACATTACCGGTTAGCAGAGGTGGAATCGGCATCCGCCGGTCGGAAGAATTATCCCTTCCAGCCTTCCTGGCTTCGATTCATTCCGTATCCGGTTTGCTTTCTGCACTGCTGCCTAACCGCACCGCTGTTGACGTTACTGGTGCCTCGGAGTCTTGGAAATTAAAAGCCCGCCAACCTGTACTCCCGGAAGCTGCATTTCAAACGTCTCAAAAGGCCTGGGACTTGCCATTATGCAACGTATCTCTTGCGGCTCTCCTGGAGGTGTTTCAAGGAGACGAAGTCAACACAGCGCGCCTGCTTGCCCAGTCTAGGCCAGAGGCCGGCATCTGGTTGAACGCTTTGCCGTCCGCTCACATCGGTAATCTACTGGGTGACGACGAACTGAAGATCAGCATCGGCCTCCGTCTCGGTGCCACGATCTGCGAACCCCACGACTGCGTCAAGTGCCACAAACCTGTTGGTGGTTACGGGCACCATGGGCTGTCATGTGCCTTTTCCGCCGGTCGACATCCGCGCCACGGCGGTTTAAACAGTATCTTCTGCCGAGCCTTAGTATCCGCCGGTGTGCCAGCGAAACTGGAACCGCGCGGCACTTCTCACACCAGTGAACGCCGCCCTGATGGCTGCACGACTTTTGCATGGAAACGCGGATTATGCCTCGCTTGGGACGTGACCTGTGTAGACACGGTTGCGCTTTCGCATGTCAAGGCCACTTCCATCACAGCTGGTGCGGCCGCCATCCAGGCAGAGTTAAGAAAATCAGGGCTATATTCCTATCTGGCCGGCCGCTACCTATTCGTTCCGATCGCTTTTGAAACACTGGGCCCGTGGGGACCGTCGGCGATTGCCATCATCAAAGAACTGGGAAAGAAACTGCAGCAGCACACCGGAGAAGCACGCTCGCACGAATTTCTGCGGCAGCGTTTGTCCATAGAAATTCAACGAGGAAATGCGGCGTCAGTGCTGGGCACGATGGAAGGACTGGATAAGCTGAACGAAATTTTTCTGTTATAGTTTAGCATGTTTCTTTATTTCTCTTCAAATTTGTGTATTGTCGCATTGATTTGACCAATAAAGACCAAACAGCTGATGCTGCAAAGCATGGAATCGCCCGTAGGCGCAGGGCTCCACCCCCAAGAGTGCAGGGAAATGCGCTGATTGGTCAGCGTAGACAAAGTATACGCTGAGTAAGCAGCGTAATAGCGCGGCACGAATGGAGTAGCCATGTGCGGGCGGGCGACAGAGCAAAGCCACGAGAGGTGTCTACCGCCTCGAGTGAGCGGTCTCTGACAGCGTCACCAGTTTACTTTCCAGTTCTCAATATAATACACTAATTATTTGCGAAACTCACTAAGTGGAAACGAAGTCATGGATATTTTCGGGAAATGTAGCGTTTTGACACTAAGCATCTAAGAAATCCTATCAACAGCATGAATAACCAAAAAATACCTACTTGGCCTACGGTGCAACATGGGGGATTCGGCCTATGCTGTAGCACGGGGGTTCGGCCTACTCACTTTTCTTAACAAGTTTATATTAATCAGCTACTGCTAACATAATTATAAAACCTCATCTATTACTTGTACCGTAACAAGCAAGTCGGCTGTCAGCATTACGTTTCGTATTAGTGAAAATAAGATCTCCCATCATAAACCGTCGACGGAGAGGCGATTACACCGATGGCCGCTGCGATGCCACGACTAGAGGAAAGGGTAAATATCAGACAAAATCAAGTGATGGAAAGCAAATTTGATGAAAAGCAAATTTAAATGGTGGAAGTGAGGCAAGCAATTTAAATTATGGAAGTACGGCAGGCAAATTTGAAAGTCAACATAATCGAAAACCGATAAAAATGTAGTTGGATAGTTGGAAGTGAAGATGGAAGCAATGTTATTAAACTTTCTTAACTACAAAAGACATACCAACAGTTTTTTTCCCTATTTTGCCTGGTTTCCAGTTAATGTGATTCATGAGCGATATATTTTTTGTTGCACAACCTAATCTCTTACCTATCGAAAAAAAAATAATTCTAACTGTCGAAGAAGAACGAACCAGACGAAAAATTATTTAGCTGGTGATGCTTTGGGGAAAAATTCAGTTGTTTTATTGCCACTTCTCTCCCTCTCAACCTTTTTACCTATAATTTCTAAAACTGAAAGCTTACTATGCCCTAGCTATTATCGTGATGACGAAACGTTTCTAGACTCTTACTCATTAAAATAATAATTTTATTTCTACAAGTCATCAAGTTTTTTGATTTTCCTCTTTCCTGCTATCCCGAACTTCGGATCCGTTTCCTCAATAAAAAGTTTGCACTTGACCTACTCCAGCGCATAGTAGCCATGATCAAATTTATTGCCGGTTGGTAAACCACAATTTTTTTTCCAAATTTTCTATATTTTTGCCATCTGGAGACTGAAAAGTTTCTTTTTTTGACAACTGTTCACTAACAGTTTTGATTCTTTTTTAAAACTAGTAGGGGCTGCCTTTTTTGTTTCTTGATTTACACTGCAAGAGCGAAGAATTCTAAACATAAAAGCGTTTTGTGCTTCTCGGGGAATAAAGGAGGAGAAGTTTAATAATAGTACAATGCTGCGAGAAGACCAGAAATTAGGCTGCCAGAAGCCGCCGACAGTCTTTGTGGCGCAATTCCCCAACTCGTATTGAGCAAAACCTAAATTACAATTTCCATTAATTAGTTAATGAATGACATTAGTTAAAATATGGGTGGAAAGGGTAAAGTAAGTTTGTGGGGGAAGATAAAAAATAGGGAAAAAAACTTTTGGTATCCCTTTGTACATATGCATTAAACCTACATAGGCCGAACACGTTAAATTCATAGGCCGAAACGTCCGGAGCACTTGAATAGGATCCGGATTGTCGCGCTTCATCCCGGATCTTGAACAATAGAACTTAAAACAATGGTAGGCCGATTCCCCCATAATACCCTCGCCCCCAGTGGGGATGTCTGCATTGATATCTGTCCTGTTTACAGTATCTTTTAATAATACTATAATTATGAATTATAATATTATTCATCTTTTTTTCTTATGTATCCCAAAAAAGCTTAGAGTACTTACAGAAAAGCGAAAAAAGAACAGACCTGTTTAAAATCCTTAATTTTTAATTATTATGTTTAGCCAGTTTAGGGAAAAAAAGTTTTTCTAAACAGACAACAGAAAAGCGACGGAAAGCGTTTTTATAATTAAAAAATACTGTAACTAACCGAGACTCAAGTTGCGGATAATCCAGATGAGCGAAAAACCCACGACCATTCTCCATGGGGACGGGAACGGTTGGTCTGTCCATCATGGTCTTCCTGTGAATAACGGGAGAATTCCGCGGGCAACACGCGCCTCTTCCGGCCCGGCGTGGACGCCAGATACCGGCGCAGCCAGATGAGCGCCATTTCCCCGTTGGGCATGCTGGCGTCAACATCGTCGCTCATGCGGTAGGGCGGCTGGCCGGCGCGCTGCAGGCCCCAGTAAAAACGCCGTCCCTGGAAGAAGAGGAAGGCCATCACCTTGGGGCCCTGCATTTTGGCCCGCTCGTAGTCGGCAATGCGCTCAATGGCCTGTGACGGTAGAAACCAGAACGATAGAATAAATATCGCAAATATCAATCCTACCTACCGACTATACTAACGACAGAAAATGAGGTGATTAATCTTAGTGTAGCCTGATTAAATCTACCAATCTGCGCGAAGCGTGAATCTAGCACTGCATTTGCCACCAAAAATTGAATTATGAACTCAAACAACACTGCGAAATTCAGAAAATAAACAGAACGTCGTGATAGTATTGCAACGGTGAGACATAAATGCGCGCTGGGCGCCTCCGCAACTTTAAACCAAAAGTAGAAGGCAAAATAAGAGAGAAAGTTCTAGGATGTACAGAAATGAATGAGTACAAATAATAAAGTATAAGTAGAATTCTGCAGAAGTACATATGTTAAATACGTACTATATCGAATATCGCTAAAGTACTACTACAAATATATTCGGTCACCTGCCACTCCGCCGCGGTACACTCCAGCGGCAGCCGTTCCTTCGGTCCGTCGTCGGCACTGCGGATCAGCAGCTGCACTGGCCCGGTCCCGTCCAGAGACACTTTGCGCACACAGGCAAAGGCGTCCAGGTATACGCCGGCCGCATCCGACACTCCGGCATGACAGTTATCCACGGAGTACACCTGCACTTCGTCGCGCAGCATACTGCGCATAACATCGCACCACGCGCCGTAGCGCTCCTCCAGATTCAGACTGTCAGCCAGCGCCAGCGCCCGTCGCGCTTTCGGCGTCAGCATGGACCTGTAGACAACAGCAGCATGCAGTTACCAACCGTTTAATTTTTTCAAAAAATAATTATTTATTGACAGTTAACTAACCAGGAAAATGCATCGAACTGTGCATTGGTAGACCAGCTTTTAATAAAGTAGCTTTTAATTTAGCAGGAATTAAGGGCTGAAAACGGAACGCAGCAGTTACAGCTGAAATGCAAAACATTTTAGCATAAATTTGATTTAAAAAGGAGATGAAATTATCAAATTCAAAGTTTAAATTATTTTACTGGTTGAAAATTTCCTTTGAACGATTCCATGCCCTGCACACGCAGCAACAATATGATACACAACAGTTAAATTTTACTTCCAGTTTCCAGTTTTTTTACACCGAAAATATTTGAATACGTACCAGCGAACAGCCAGCACTGGCTTCAATTATATCAGCACTTTATTTCATTTCAAGTTAAGGTTATGTCCTTTAATTTGAAAATGTCAACCATTTCAAGCGGAAGGAACCATTTTGTTAAGAAATTCATAATTCTACAAGAAGAACAAATTGACTTCGATTGTCAAACTGAAAGGCATGAGTCAACACGACCCATGAATTGTCACGTCCACCGTTAATACCATTTCCGTGTTTACAATGATGCACCGTGATACTTATCATCGAACCATTCCAAATTAAAGATTCCTACTCACCCGAATTCAGGCTCTCCCTCTCCAGTTAGAGCAGGCTCCCACTGCCAGCGCAGTGCCAATCCGGATACAGGAGCACTCGACGAGAATGGCGCCTTGCTGGGTTTCTGCTGGCTGACCCAGGGTGCTGTTGGCATTATCCGTAAAGAAGACAGTCTACACATTCTCCCTGTTGTCGTCACGAAGATTCTGGAAGAAAGCAAGAAAAGTTCTATGATAAATGGCAATAATGGCAGCAGTCGCTGGATTTTCCTGGGTTCTTAAGTGCTATTTCATTCTGCAGCCTCTGCGCAGTACGCTCTGATCGTTCTTTTCACCTCTGCCGCGCCGCACTCAACATCTTGGCCAGGGAAAACAGGACGTAGATGAATTAAGAACCTTATTGATTATTTCAGATCCCTGAAATATCGTAGAATTATAAGTAGAGCCGCAAGTAGAGTTATTACAGATTTATTTGCTTTATCAAATTTTATTCAGTAGCCATACTGAAATCTTACTGGATTTATAATTTATTATTAATTATATACAGCCCACTGAGCCCAGGCAGATCTCAGTACAGGCATAGTCTATAGTTACGCTGGTACAGGCAACCCACTGGGGGCGGGATTTGCCAAAGCGTAACGAGTCGGAAGGTCCGGAAAACACTGTAATTTCTAATTTCTCAGGGTTTTAGGCTTTTCAAAAAATTTCTTAATCGCCCATAAGTTATTTAAGAATTAAGAAGCCTTAGAAGCGAGCTGCGAATTTGAAGGAGGTTCTGAGAGATTGCTTACTCATCGCCCTACTGAAGGGGCTTCACTGTATTGTAACAATACAGCGAAGAGTGAAGACTGATGTTTTTGTATACACTGTTTTGTATCAATTATAATAAGTAATACAATACAGCCCCTAGAGAACGCGCGTCCGTCCAAAAGCATCGTCTCCTGGACGCCAAACCCACCCCGGTCTTCGCCTCGGACTACGCCGTCCAGGAGATCTTCAAGGCGCTGGAACAGGCCAAACCCGCCAGTATTCCCAAACCACCCATTCCCGAGCTAACGGAGGAGGAGAAAAAAGACCCGGCGGCACTGCGCGAGTATTATTTAACCCAACTGCGCATGATGGCCAAGGATTCGCAGTTGCTGCGCGATTTCTCCATGACCAAGTGCGTTAAACTGATTGATTCGTATTTCATTTGGTGCCTGAAGAAGGGCGCGGCGCTGGACCAGTTGATTAGCGCCGTCGTGCAATTTTTGCGTGGTTGTGGAGAATATGTGTAGTGCGCAGGATCTGTATTATGAACGAGTGGCGATGGCTAAAGGGAAGATCCGCTCACTGATGAAAGATTATCCGTTGAAGTATAACGCGAAGGACGATGTAGAGGGGGATCCGCTTGCCAATGTGCATCTGTTCTGTATTCCGGATGCGAAGAGTACGGCGAATGATGAGTATTTGAAGGCGCAGTTTGCGCATCAGCTGCGGATGCTGAAGAAGAAAGTGACGGGATCTCTGCCGGAAGACAGCGTGACTCCCGGTGTGGCCATGACGGAGAAGGAATGGTTCCGCTATGCGCGACGCTGTTGGGCGGCTGTCTGCCGGGCGCCGCTGGTCAACACGGTGGCGAAAGAGCTCAATGTCAGCAATTCCGTTTAATAGTAATTACGCACAACTGGATGGTTAAATTGGTTTTATTTTTAATACGTGTTTAGTTACTGTTTTCTGTTTCTGCTTGTCTAATGCGCTTTCAGCACAGAATTAATCTATGGTTATTGGCTACAGGTTTTCAGTTTCTTTTATAACGTCTTGTCTCATTTTTGCGCGTTATTGATAATAAAACTGGCGATATAAATTTTTATTAAACGCCGAGAAAGTTGACAGTTTAAAAGAAAAATTAAAACCAAAAATACTGCACACTTAACAGTTAACACAACCAAAACTTTGGTATTTGAAAACATCACAAAGTCACACAAAAACAGTGTTGTGCATATTCGGGAAAGTGGCACCTTATTCGTTGTTACTGGAATCCGCATCGTGCGATCGAATAATATGGTTATCGTCGGCGTCAGAACGAGGCACAAACATGTGCTTAGGGCTGAGAAATTTGGGCGGAAGCGGTGGTTCGTTCGGGTCAGGAGTTCGGAGATCCAGACCGTGCTCCGTGTCGAAATACGAATGCTGCATGGCACCACGGCACGTAATGCGGTCTTGTGGATTATAAAGGAACATGCGCTAAAAACCAAAACATTTGTTGCACATAAAAAATGAAACATGAAAATGCACATGAAAATCAAATTAATTTCGTTCTATGTTAGCAAATCGCATTTCATACTGGTGATGATTACAGTACACATCAAGCCGCGAAGAAACTGCGAAACTAACCAAAACACTGAACATAGCACATCTTACTGAATGTGTGCGGCTCAATGATGCAATTAAGGTCCCTAATTCATACGAGTAAAATCATAAATATGGAAACATACAGAGAACTGCAATATTTAATTCCGTAAGAGACTGAATAACGCTGATTGTAATTTACAATCAACGTTTAGTTTACAATTTGTAAACCAAACTTGCAAACTAATTAATTTATACCAAATGAATACCTCATATCACAAAAATACCGTATGATCTCCGATATCCTCTTTTTCCGAACATTTTACACAAAATTTAACAGAAAAGAACACTACTTCGTACTTACTTTCAGCAGATCAACAGCCACGTCCGGGGCGTGCTTTGCTACTTCCTTCCAACTTCTCGGTTTCCACTTCGGAAATACTTCACTGTAATGCCGGAGATGCACGATTTCTTCCCACATCTCCTTGCTCGGCGTTCCGAATGCTTGAAATATCATGTGCAGTGCTCGGATCTCCGAGTCGGGATCAAAGGGCGGATCATTCTCGAATAATTCGATAATTATTACACCCATACTCCAAATGTCCACTACAAAAAACCCATATTGTTTATACAATTACATGCGCAATTCCACTATTCCAGCCCAATTACCAGACGGATCATAAATATCCGCGCCCAGTAGTAATTCCGGACATCGGTACCATAGCGTAACAACCTGGAATTCAAAACTGTTTTAAATCTGCCAAATAAGTATTTCCTTACTAATGCGATAGGTTTCTCTTTTGTGATTCCTTACTTCGTTAGTCATAATTTTCAGTGGACACGTATAATGCCGTGCCAAACCGAAATCGGCGATTTTAACGACGGAATGCTTGATGTCCACTAACACGTTCTGCGGCTTCATATCGCGATGGACAATGTGGCGCGCATGTACATAGGCCAAACCATTCAACATTTGGTAGCTAAATCGCTACGAATTGGAAAATATATATGTAATTGTTTTCATAAGGTGCACTCGACTGGATTTTCCACTGTGATTCAGCTTACACGAATCAGATCTGCGGGCATGCGCTTGTAGCGCGAAATCATCTTTGTCTGATAATCACGCAGGTCCATGTCGAGAAATTCGAATACCAGCAACAAGTGCTGATCCGTGGTCAGCACGTCCAGTAAATTAACGATGTTTTTATGGTGCAATTCACCCAGAAATGTGATCTCACGCAGCGCTACACTGGGCAAACCTTGTTCATCTCTGTAAACGAGCACGTCGCTAAAAATTTATCTAACAAAAACACATCTGCTTTAGAAATTATGAGCTGCAAAATGCGAATCTTTGGTATCTGCACATCATGCTGACATCCGTCAGATTACGAAATTCTCAGTTTAAAAAAAATATTACATTCTCTAGCAGCCGTAGCAAACTTTTAACATTTTATTAGTCAAATGGCCAAAACTGGCCGATTACAAACCAGGGTTTTCAATCCCACCAAACTCTGTTAAAAAAGGGAGATTGGAAAGAGCTACCAAATGATCTTGCAGACCACTGTAATACTGATGAGCGCCTTGCTGATTACAAACTTACTGATCAATGTTCATTTCTTTGATAGCCACTCCACGATTATTGCGGGTATCCACCGCGCGGTACACAACTCCATACGTTCCTTCGCCAATCAATTTCAGCAGTTTATACACTTCCAGTGTCTGGATGACGCGAGATTTGCGGTTATTCTCGTGGAATTGCTGACACTGCCGCTGTGCTTCCGACAAAGGTGCAGCGTCTGACGGACGCTCGGCTCCACGGGACGTTGACGGTTGCGGATCGTTATCAGCCAAAAATTCCTTAATGTTCTTCGACATTCTTCATCCAGTAATGGGATTTTGCAAATCACTCGCGAAGCACAATGCTAGCCAAGTGTCATGATACTGGCATCAGTAATTAAAGAGGAACTAATCATAAGGACAAGGATGCAGGACCAAAAAATCACCGATACTTCTACACATTTTACGAGCACGTAATATTCTTCCAAGATCAGTATGCCGCCTACAACAGGCGAGAAAGATTCTTAGCAATTTATAGATCAACTTAATGAAAATATCAATACCACAACAGTATTTTATTAATAAAAAAACAATGGAAACAAAAGATCTTCGTTCGTGCGCTCACGCTGCAGGGTGCCAGAAAGAAACCTTGGATCTTTTATCAGCTGGAACTTTAAGGAAAATTAGAATGATAACCAAACGGCGCCCAAATAATGCACTTACTCATAGCGGGCGTGGTATGCTGGCGCCTTCATTCATAGCATTGGCTGTTTTTCTATATAGATTTAAGAATTGTGCTTCAATTGGTCGACATTTAAAATGAAAACGATTGGCTTTTGCGGTAAACGACTACCAATAGAAGCTGGCCGGGCATTCCTCCAGCTTTCTGCATCGCTGCAGGACGATTCAGTCGGACTCGGAAGACGGACTATTTAGCCGATTTTCGACGTCGAATTTACGAAATTAATTTTGCGATTAGTTACGGAATCGAACGAAACGGAAAGTCCATAATTATTTTCCCGATTTTCTCATTTTTGTCATTCTTCACGCTGTGTGTTGAAACTTCATATTATTGAATTCATCTAAAAATCCAGAAGGACTGTGGGTCATCTGATCTCTGATTGAAACTTTAATCTGAAATCACTGTACTCTTTCCTGCCACCATGTCTGAAAAAAAGCGAAGATTGGATGTTGGCGATGACTCAAGTGGACGAAGCGCCAAGTATGTACTCACTGACTATGGGAATTCTCATCTCGGTAACATAAATTTACTTCTCGGTGTTATGACTGATGTTACCTGCAGGGTCACGCGCTTTTCTGACCGACCGGGCCCAGGGGGAGATGCGCCCTCCTCGTCGGGTTCTGCTACGGTATCCGGAGAACCCACGGTGCCTCCGCCTGATCTGCGAGCGCCGATGATGTCGCGTAACCCGTACAATGGCCAGCCGTACTCGCAGCGTTACTATGAAATCCTCAAGAAACGCTTCGGTCTACCCGTTTACGAGCACAAGAACAAATTCATGGAGACGTTGGCAAAGAATCAGTTCGTGGTGCTCGTAGGCGAAACTGGTTCGGGGAAAACGACACAGGTAATTTACCGTAATTAAATTCATTTGTTACTTATTAAACTGACCGCAGAGAATCTTCGCTTCGTTTTGAGTACATTATGACGGCTATTATCACCGGATAAGCATTATTTGATAATTACTTAATGTGTGCATTTTCAGTTGGTTAGAAACATTTACTGGTTTACACATGAACAAATTGCACAGCTATTGTTAACACTTGTGACTTATTAATGTAAACGTGCCTTGGAATTATGGGATAGGCATAATTACATTATGTTTATATTTTTGGGTTAATGAAAAAACTGGACAATTTAGAGTTGTTTAATCAATCTTACAGTATAATCTTCATAAAACAGGAAATCATTACTTATACCAGTTTAAACACAAAAAAACATCGTTTTTATCATGATACATATTAATAATTTATTTATAATCTTTGCTATTTTCAGATACCGCAGTGGTGTGTGGAGTACGTAAAAGCCAATCCCTCTGAACCGGGAAAAAAGCGCTCCGTGGCCTGCACCCAGCCACGTCGAGTAGCCGCTATGAGTGTAGCCCAGCGCGTCAGCGAGGAGATGGACGTGAAATTGGGCGAGGAAGTGGGTTACAGTATCCGTTTCGAAGACTGCACGTCACAGCGCACCATCATGAAATACCTCACCGATGGTATGCTGCTGCGGGAAGGGATGACGGATCCCCTGTTGGAAAACTACGGGGTGGTGATTCTAGATGAGGCTCACGAACGCACTCTGTCGACGGATATCCTGATGGGGGTACTGAAGGAAGTGGCCCATCAGCGTCCCACTTTAAAGATTGTGGTGATGAGCGCCACGTTGGATGCCGGAAAGTTTCAGGACTATTTCTCCTTGGGCGATAAAGATAAAGAAGCAGCCGCGGAGGATGAGAACGCTGAGAAGAAGAAGGCACCGCTGATTATGGTGCCCGGCCGCACGTTTCCGGTGGAGATTTTTTATACGCAAGAACCAGAGCGGGATTATCTGGAAGCGGCGATTCGGACGGTTATCCAGATCCACATGAGTGAGGAAGAGGAAGGTGATATTCTTCTGTTTCTTACTGGACAAGAGGTACGTTGCCGTTATTTACTGTTCTCTCCTATGTGTCATATGCGGATTAATTTCAACAGGAAATTGATGATGCCTGTAAGCGTATAAAAAAAGAAATCGACGGTCTTGGTGCAGAAGTCGGTGAACTGAAGTGCATTCCACTGTATTCTACACTTCCGCCTAATATGCAGCAGCGTATCTTCGAGCCCGCGCCGCCCAAAAGACCGAACGGTGCTCTGGGAAGAAAATGTGTTGTGTCGACGAATATTGCCGAGACATCGCTGACCATTGACGGTGTAGTCTACGTGATTGATCCCGGGTTTGCTAAACAGAAGGTAAGAAATATCAGTCGATGGTTTGCTTTGCACGATTTTCAATGCATATCGGATGTGTTGCTATGCAGGTGTACAATCCCCGCATTCGAGTGGAATCGCTGCTCGTATCGCCAATCAGTCGTGCTAGTGCACAGCAGCGTGCCGGTCGTGCGGGTCGTACACGGCCCGGCAAATGCTTTCGGCTGTACACCGAAAAGGCTTACAAGTCCGAAATGCAGGAGCAGACTTTTCCGGAGATTTTGCGCTCGAATCTTGGCAGTGTTGTCCTGCAGTTGAAGAAATTGGGCATTGACGATTTGGTGCATTTTGACTTTATGGATCCACCTGGTAAACAATTTACTATAGAATGTCGATGTAAAATACCGTATTAGCAGAAACTAACGTTGCTTTGTTGTCTGTTAGCTCCGGAAACGCTGATGCGCGCTCTGGAATTATTGAATTATTTGGGTGCTTTGGATGATGAAGGCGAATTAACACAGGCCGGTCACATGATGGCGGAATTCCCTCTTGATCCGCAGTTAGCCAAGATGGTCATCAAGAGTTGCGATGGGTTGTTCCAATGAATTCCGTTGTCTCACCATGCTAGAACTACATTCCTTGTATTTCAAAGCTTTACTTGTAAAAGAATTGTGAAATGCTTCGAAAAGATCGCCGTTTTCTGAGCGAAATGCGCGTCTTAAAACTGGTTTTTCCTTTTTTGTATCTCTTTAGGTTACTTCAAGAATCACCGCAGTACTACGATATGACAAACTTCCCAGAATGCGAAGGAAAGAAGCAGTTGCTAACCATCAAATCGCGGTTGGACTCTCAGAGAACGTACAAGGGTCGCGGATATTAACACCAAGGAGCTGGATTATTCCTTATAGTCATAATTAATTTTTATATAATTGCGTATACCTTGTTTAATTTAAACCAACATTTATTTTTTAAGTGATTTTCATGAAATTATGGAATATTTATTATCATTGAGTGCAAGCCTTGCTTGTTAATTACTGTTGTGAGCGGTGAGATTTACCAGGTTGTACCTGTTCAGACCTCTAGCGAAACGAACACCCGTGCTTTGTTGATAACGAAACCCAAATGAAAAAAAATTAGGAAACCGACGTATAATGAATTCTAACACTTTTGGCAATGTCGAGCAAAGTGAATAACAGAGAAAAGTACGTCGATGAAAACACAATTCACCTAACGGATGCCATAACGTGATATTTCAGGCTAAGAAACCGAAAATTCGAGAAGATAACTAAAAAACATCAGCGCTGCGGTAAGAACTACACTGACACACAAATGCATCGATTTCCGTGGAGTGCGTAACTGTTGAACGTGCGTGCTGACAACTTTACATCTTGTCAGCCTTTGGGTTGTCGCGCCAGATGCAGAAGTTCAGAGCGGTGGCCAAACTAAGCCAGGCCAGATAGGGGACCATCAGGTAGGAAGCCACTTTGTTGATGGGATAGAAGGCGCCGATGCAGGCCGCCACGTTCAGCCACAACGCCGAGATTATGCCCAAACCCTACAGTGAATCATCCGTTAGATTGCTATCAAGCGACGATGGTGGAAAATACTGAGCGGAGGATTCGAACGCGGTTTCTTCAACAACGCCGAAGATAACGGTGATGTGTAACTCACCCAGCCTGTTTGGTGGAGTTTGAAGAAGACGGGCGACCAAGCCCAGTTCAGCGCCAGCGATGAGCCATACAGCAGTAAGGGGACTTTAGCCACACCATTCAGCCCACCACCCTGACGCCACACCATCCAGGACGCCGCTCCCATGCCGCAGTACAATGTCGTCCACACTGTAATATTCAGCTAACTTACAAACAATTTAAATAAGTAATATTAACTGAACAATTAGAAATAAAATAAAAAATAATTATTCATATCGAACTAGTAATTTAATATTAACTAAATTATTTAAATTTTATCTGACTTTTAAGTACTTTGATTTTTTCAAATTTTGTAATTATTCAAATTTTAAATACGAATAATTTTCAAGTAGTCACGCTGCACAGAGAGAACACGCACCTGGACCGAAAGCCCAGTTCGGGGGTCTCCAAGACGGCTTCTTCAAACGCTAAAAAAAAACAGCATCGTAAATATAATGCTGTAAAAGCTATCGCACCACAAATTTTGAGATCAGTGATGATTTGACAGGTCTCGAAGGGAGATAAGGCATAAGCATTAAGCAGTGCTTGCGTACCTCATACCAACTGAACGCTCCTTCCACTTCGGTGCGCGTTAACAGGCCTCCTACCCATCCTCCGATGTTGGGAATGACCATACTGTAATGGATCGAATCAGTTAATACAGCCAGAGCTATGACGCAATCCAGAAAGCCCTTACGCGGGAAGAAGTTCCTGTCCGAAAACAGATGCCGTTATCGGCGGAAGAGGAAAGAGGCCGCGCACAGGCAACCTGTAGGATGGATCGATCTCGCGAGTTGCTACTACGCCCTTCATTTTGGCAGTATCAGATTGCAGTAAAAGAAAATAAGTACTCTAAACAGAAGGAATTCAGGTGCACCTTTTTCCTACAAGTAAACAAAATCGAAAAACCAAAATACTAAATAACTAAATCGATAAATCAGTTCGAATTTGAACTTTATATCGGATCGTTCGTCCGAATGGAACCAAGGATTTTCCACACGGGAAAGTCAAAACAAGTGTAACCATAGCGTAGGCCCATGAAACAGCACTTGCAGCCGGTTTCCGGTACAACGTTTTTGACGATTACGTTTACTGGCGAGATGATTGGTCGTGTTAAGCCAATGGGTTGGCCAACATTCTGCAGGATTTTGTGTTGTCCTTTTTTTGCATTTCTTCGTGTTTGAAATTACTTATTTTTAATTTTTTTGCGTTCAAAAAGCATTTCTACTTTCTTGCCTATATCTTGAGGCGCTTGAAATTGATTGCTTGTGATTTTTTAACATTCTTGTTTCGAACTAACATTTGCAGCTTCGGTTTTCAGTATGTTTGAGCCACCGGTGCGCGATGTGGTCGTTATTTTACCCGCTGCTGGGACCGGAGAACGCTTCTCCGCCAGCACGGAGAGCGAAAACTCTTCCAGCCCGAAACAGTTTGTCATTGTCGGTCCGAACAGTCTTCCGCTCTTCATTCACACTGTGAACGCCTTTAGCAGGTAGAGATTTTGAGAGCCATACAGTTTTGCCTGCATACACATTGCATTGATGGCTCTGACTGGGTTGATGTGGATGTGCAGAATTTCTTGGATCAGCAAAGTGGTCCTGCTGGTGGCTGACAACCAGCTGGAGTTTGTGCAGACCACGATTGGCAGCGCGGCCAGTGTGGAATCCGTCACCAAGACGGTCGTGGTAGCTGGCTGCAGTACACGGCATCGCACCATCCGCAGCGGAGTGAATCTTGTGGCCAAGATGGTTCCGCGACCAGAAGTGGTGATTGTGCACGATGTGGTCAGGCCGTTTGTGGAGGAGAGCGTCTGCAAGAGCGTGGCGATGGCTGCTAAATCTCACGGGGTAAGATAACTGGATAATGCATACAGAATAATTTTTCCAGCTAGCGTTCCTTTGGTGCATATATAGAGAATATGCTTGCAGCAAAGATTGGTACGTGTATTCGCTATATGTACGTGTGTATGTACTAATTTATACTGTATCTGTATACTCTTTGATTTTAACTATAGCCGTAATTTATATCGTAGACTGATTGATTAATTAACGACAGCCGTAATTTTTGCGACGTAATATGGTGGAAGCTAATTCATTTGGATTTTGTGAATTTGCGTGTCATGATAAGAGCCAGTTAATGCTTGATGCTTATGCACCTTGTCGTTGAATTTCAAGTTGAATTGTCAGCATCTCTTTTGTAGGCAGCTGGTGTGTATGCTCCATTGGTATCCACGGTTGTCAGTATTGACAACAAAGGCTTCTTAGCTGACGTCCTTCCGCGCTCTCAATTTTTCGCCAGCGAAATGCCACAGGGATTCCTTTTCGCCAACCTCCTACTGGCCTACACCAGCGCAACGGAGGAAGAACTGGAAACTGGAACGGAATGCTTGGCGCTGGTCAAGACTTACGCCGGCTGCCATGTGAAAATGCTTCCCATCAATCCCAATCAGTATTACAAAGTAAGTAAGAAATTACTGCAGTCTGTTAAAATTTTTTATGCTGTCGTTGTTGAGTAGAAGATGGCCAGGTTTAGAAAACATATTGCTCATAGAGCATGTTAAAGAGTTAACTTAATAACAACATCAGAACATTGTGCTGAGTTTATGATGGAGTTGGTCATTTCGTTGATGGCGAAAGTTTGTGTGTGGACATGCGCTTCTCAATGCAGGTTACATATGAACGGGATCTCTTAGCAGTGGATGCCATGTTGAAGCAAACACCGCCGGTTCTGAAATCGAGTAGTTCGTCGGATAGCTTTGTGGTGGACGCTCGCCAGGCTACAGTGTGCAATCGCTGTAATGCGGAGACAGATTACCCGTAATCCAAAGAAAACAGCTAAAAGATCATCCATTTTCTGCAGTATTCTTTTGTATTGTTAATTGTTATCATGTTTTTTGTCTTTTTATTTTTTCTTTTACAAATCTATGTTACGTTCTTTGTTGTTCTTTCAAGTGGATTTGGGTTCGTAGTACTCGTTACTCGTTGTTTCTCTTTGTGCGTTTTTGATGTTTGGCGCTGTTTTTCGAAATCAATATGACCGAGCAGAATTACGTGTTCTTATCGTTTATGAGTTTCATCTGGAATAAACAGTTGTGTACGTATTTATCTGTTTGTGGCCGTGCACCTCCGGAATTCGTGATCGCAGTGTATCTTTGAGCCATTACTGGTGGTCATCTGACGCCATTGTCCCAAGAATGAATCGATTACTGTAGTATTTGTTTAGTAATCTGTTCTCTTGGCGAACTTCGCACCAGGTATATCTATGAAGTGTATGTGGCTGTCGTTAAACTGAAATGGGATGTTCCTTGTGTTCTGTGCGCTCTACATCATTTGGGCAGTTTCCGAAGACATACGACACACTTTATATTGTGTACTCGTGCTGCTTATAGTAGTAACGGCGCAAAGGTCAGTTCATTACCGGTTATCCAGTCTCGGCAAGTTGTATACTAACTCGTGTACCAATAAAAATTTGACGATAGAAAAGCTTTATTTACACAATTCTATCACAACTCCAATTTGGCCAACATGCCCTAGTGGCTATACACAGTATTTAATAAATATATAAGCAAGCAATACATTGGGGCAGACAACAGAAAAATTTCTTCGAATACGCTCTTATTTCCGCAGTATCGCTTGCGTAGTTTCATAAAATAGTCTGCTGAAGCGTTGTATTTCCGACTCCAAGTATAGCATCGTGGATTGTAATTACGTGAGTGCATGTTTTGTTAATCATGGGATGTGAACTTTTGTTTCAAAGTCGTCTCCTGACGGAACTCCTACCGGCGTAAGTACATAATAATTCTACCGGCTTCGCATTTCGCTACGTGTTTTCTTGCTGCGCACAACAGGTTTTGCGTTAACTTACTTTACATTATATCTTTACAACATATGAGTATCGTGATGACAGCTGCCTCCAATGCAAGATGCTGATAGACAATTACGCTTTTTTTAATTTTTCAGAATTGTGTTACCAAACATCGGTGGCATAATAGGAGCGATAATTACAAAGGAAGATGTTAAAATCTACGAGGCAAGTATTTTCAATTTACATACGATGGTCAGCTATAATAAGTATTGTCGCGTAAGAATTTCGTTTCCATTCATGCAAATTTTATGCAAACAACATCACAATCAGCAAGTACAGATACGTATACTTCTATACAGATGGAACATTAGAAATTACACATTCCTATATCTATAATATACAGATATTCGTATTCTGTGCAGCTGTTACAAGTAATTGCAAATTAAGCTTACTTTTTTGTAGTGGAGTCGAATACGTGTAGCTGTCATATTTAATTTTATAGGTTATTTACTGTTTGTAATCTCGATAAACGTAACACATGTGCAGCCATACTTCGTAGTACTTGGTTCTCAGAGTGACACCCAAAGTTGGTATAAGAAGAATGCGATCCTTTTATAAATTTCTGTGTTATCAATATGGTGTGTTTTGTTAGCGCCTGAGAAAGCCGTCGTGGAGTCCACCAAAATGGTTGTTCGGACCCAGTAAGCAATTTTATTTCACTCTTGTCGCAAAAATTGCGGCTTCCAAATGGTTGTAATTATTTTCGGGCACAAAATTACGCACTTTCTAGTGTGGACAACTCTCTACGTTTTAATGGGAGCCGCTTCCCTGATTGTGTATAAGAAAGGCAACGGCTTCACCGAGAACAGCTCTGCATGTCTTCCCTTGATGCTGTACGGTAGCCAACTGATTCTCAACTGGGCTTGGTCACCACTTTTTTTCCGTGCTCGGAAACCCGGTTTGGTATGTTCACTAAAAAATTACTACTCGGTAGTACACGAATCTTGCGCTTCTGTTGATGGTAAGTGTTAAGTTTAACGATGTTTTGGGCGACAGGCACTGCTGGATATTGGCGTACTGTGGATTAACATTGCGGCATGCGTCGTCACCTTTTTCAAAGTGGACACAACAGCCGGCACCCTCCTGTTACCGTATCTCGCGTGGGTCACCCTCGCTACTGCACTGAATTACAATTTGTGGAAGGACAACTCCAACATCCAGAAACTAAAATGAAAGTCCACACGTTTCTTTTATTGCAATTTTTCCATGTTCTAATTATTTTATACAGTTTACTATTTTCCGTCCGCCGTGAAAATTCCCTCAGTTTTAGCGATAAAAAAATAAACTCATGAAAAACAGGCAAATATTGCAAGCCAAAATACGGCAAGTAACAACATCCATTCCAACGTCCGGCCGCAAACACCGTGATACAAGAAAAATCCGTAAAATATCAATCAATTCACTGTTCGTGTTACAGTGCGCCAACATGCGAGAATAACCCTGAAGTAACAAGTTAACAACATAGCCTTTTAAGGAATCATCGAACGGTCGGTGGTTCCCGCCGCGCACCGGCCGATCACAAAGAAACTTGAGAAAAGTCCAACACCCAGAGGAAGAGTGACATGGAGAGACATGTCGTCCGCTGCAATCAGTCGGAAAAAGGACCAAACGGGCACATCACGCAAATATCCCGGTACATCTTCAACGCCTGGACAAATGGCAGGCCGAATCGCAGGACGACGTCATCGCGGGTCAGGAGAATTAATGCTGCACCATCGATGCACTAAACCAAAATGACAACAATAAATTTTTCACAGTTAATCGTAAGATAACTTTCTGTAACCAACCTGTTTTCGGATAACATCCGCGTAAATATGCGATCCCTGATCGGCAAATTTCTTTGCCACATCCTCCACCGTCCATGATTCGATCTCTTTTATCAGTTGCGGTGTCTTTTTGGGGGGTAAACTGCGCTGGAAGGCTTCGACGGCACGACGAATAACGTTCTCGCTCTCCATCTTCTCGCCGAAAATTTTGGCATCTGATTTAAACCTAGCAACAACAACTGAGTAAGCAACTCTTGCAATACTGTAAAAAAAAAGCTTCTTAATTCGTTTGCAAAAAAATACACGCGATCTGCAAGTGGAAGGCGATAACCACGCTACCGATACTGGAAACAACGTACGGAAAATCAAGTTCTGTCCGTGTGAGTCCGTTTGGGACGGGGGATTCTGATTTCACTTCAGCTAGAAACATTTAAATAATTAAATTTAAGCCCACACAAGTTGACAACACGTGACAATATATCGTGCCCAATTGCCCATTGATCGCGTTAACCAAACGATCGCATTCTGATGACTTTCGGGTATACTGGATGTACCTGTCATAGTCAACAGGTCGTTTTTCATAGCATCCGTGCTGGCAGCTTCCGCTGCACGCCGTAAAAGGCATTCCCCGCATGTCCACGCTGCAAACAGAAACACATGCTACCGAAATTAACCAACCACAAATGTCGCGAACTTCTTACCATCCATCACCTCGAACGCCGAGGCCGGATCAACGGGTGGATTATGGCAGTTCATGTGATACGCGTTATCGCAGCCCACACACAGCATACACAGCTGCAACGTACTTGTACCATGGTTACGCGAAAAATGTTTATAACACCGACACAGCCTAGTGATACCGAACAACATTTACCCCATTTTGCCCCAGCTTTCCCGTGCCACATGCCTTGCATGTTTTGCACTTTAAACAGGTGAATCGACCTTTCTGAAGATCCACAACCTCCTGCGAGTATGCTCCACATTTTGGATGTGCTATCAAACGTTAACGACTCAGTGTGACGAACCGTGCGCGAAATTCGCCTGGAAATAGGATAAAAAATAAACAAAACCTTGCTGCTACTTACTAGCATAGTTGCAGCCTGCTGCTGTGCATTCGAGTAGTACTCCGGACTGTGCAGCGTCCATGCCAGCATCCTCATAACATTCTCCACAGAACCTTGTCCGCTGTTTCTTTCGCAGCGCCATATCTAAAAGGCCCGACCGTGTCCCGTTCATCTTCCTCTGCAATCACCGCAACCATACATCTCTCGTAATATTTCCGGCAATTCCATAATAAATTCATAATCCAGGAGGAGTTCGTCAATCTCAAAACCCAGCATGCAGTACAGTATGTTGGTGAATGCACTTACTTTTGCTGGCACTTCGCAAGGTGCATCTTCTGCGTTGGCCTTCATGGAGATGCCTTCTTCCTTATTCTTCAGCAACGGCATGCAGCCTTGTCGCTTGATTTTCATGCTGTTGTCGACCCGATCGGACAATACGAAGGAATTATTCGCCAGCTGAACTAGGCGCCCACAGTCCACCTCACGCAGCGTACACTTCTCCAGTTGTTCACCGCGTAATTTGGTCTCTGGATACAGGGAAGTGATGTGTGCCTCCAGCTGCTCTAAGTAAACGGAATTGGCGCTGGTGCTGGGTGGAGATTTATTAGGGGATGATGAATCGCTGGTTGCTCCCGATAATGTCTGCACAGCTTCCATAATACGATCGCTGGTGCTTACGGAATTGTGCAGAATACCGTACTGGACGGCCAACGGCGATGTGTCTGAAGAAGGCAATTTCCCAGTATGCCAGATATGCGTGCATGCAAAATGCCAAAAATCAAAGAGCACGTAATAAATCTAGCTGCCGTTGCCTGAACCCACTCCACGCAGCTTTTGACAAGTCGTTAATTTTTCAATGATTCTGTCTGCAATTCCTGAAAATCGTTCTTCAAAACAAGGCATATGCAAAAGCGAATGTTAAGGAGTATGTAAAATATAGAGTAGTATGCAAATAAGTATGTAAAATTAAAAATACTGTACTCGTACAACGAAACATTTTTAGGTGTACGTGTTGTGTATTGCACACTGCACAGCCGCCGCCCCTGGTCTGGCGCCCAGACATTATGCAATTTAAAATTTAATCGCTTAAGTAAGCGGCTACAATTTTAAAATGAAAAAGGGGCACGGCAAGGTCACGAGGAACTATATAGCGGTGTCCCGAATTTACCGTAATAACGGCTAAATTAAACAGTTTTTATTCCCGACGTCAAAACCAGTGCTACTAATGTGAGGTGTATCACTGTACGATCCACCCCTCCACCTAATATCAGGGGTACGTGTACGCCTTCCAGCCGTGAAACTCCCGAACCGCGCGGCATCACCGGGGTGCCGCGGCTCGGAATCGTGCTCGTAGCGGTGCTTACCCGCAGAAGAAGGTGCATGCGCCCACTTCGCCATGTCCCGGTAGGAGATGGATCCCTTAAAGTCCACCTGGAAGATGGAAGACACGACGTATGAAAGCCATACTTGTACGAGCCGCGGCTCCGGCGGTTTACCTTAACCACTGCGTCTTCGTCGACTAAACGCTCCAGATCCTGCATCACATCCGCCTGGTTGACACGAAGGCTTTTAGCAACTAGTTGAGCAATTCGCGGTCCATCCGGTCGCGTTTTACGCTGACGGAGATGCTCAATGGCGCCGAGAATCTCCTGCCGCCATTTAGAAGGCTGGTCTGCCATCCCGCCGGTTTTCTGGCGCCTGTGCGCGGTTCGCTTGCGGTAGACGGCCAAAAATTATCGCTGGGTTGTTTTTTAAGTTACTCACGACGAGAGTATTTCGGCAGGAAAATATATGGATATCATGCGAAAGGATGCGATTAATTTTGATATGCAGGTTTCGGAAAGATCAGAGGCATGCTGACATAAGTCACGTAGAGTAAAGGCAGTGCGGCAGCGCCAGCGGTTACTTGCATACTCGTACAGACACTGACACACAGCACTTGTATTGCACCGTATCACGCGAAGAGGGTGGAGCCTGTTCTACTTCCGGTCCGTTTCATATTTTGAAAAATAAATCAAAAATTCAATAAGTTTATAGCTGGTACGCACTGTTTCGATAACTTTTACTTGATTATGAATTTTACCAGTCAGCTGTGTTATATTTATTTTTGCTCAGATTCAGACTCTCTTTAGGCCAGCATCGTCCAAAGAGTTCGGCAAATACGGAGCAGCCGAGAGGCACTTGGAATCGGGGTCTGTAGTATAGAGTGTAGATGCTTTCATTCTGGGATCGGGATCTTTCAGCCGTGCTACAATTATGGATAATGCACCATCTTCCGCGACGGCAATTGATCCAAGAGCCTTAGCTGTTTTGAGGACGGCTGTGGAGGCTGAACAGAGCAAGCGTTATCTTTTTGCCGTGGATTTATACAGCGAAGGAATTAAGTTACTAATTGATAACTGTCGGGGTAGGTACAAATTTTTAACTGTACTTCTACATATGATTAGGGATCATTAGGCACTCTTAAGAGTCTAATTATATCGTTTTATGGTTTGACGACAAAGTGGGAACTCAGAAGTTACACAAAATGCAGAAAGCTTTCACTGAAGCGCTGTCGTATCTGTAGCTACGACCAATGAGAAAATCAAAGCGGCGCTGAAGGAAAAAATCCGTCAGTATCTGGAGCACGCTGAAGCACTGAAACGAACGGTAGAGCAGGAGAAGAAAAAGTCCCATGGCTACCACGAGCAGTTGGTTATTCAAGAGAACGGCACGGGATTCGGGCTGGAGAGGGTGTTTGGACCGTATTTGGACGGGGAGCTGACCGAAGTGGAGATCGACGATGCCTATATTCGCCACAATCATCAGGTATGATATGTAGTGAGTCCGTAGTAAAAATTAAACACCGTCACACTATGGCAAGATCGTTCGATGCCTTTTTAGACCTGCATTAAAGTATTAGAGCCGCATGCCTGGTTTATTTTATTTTACAGATACAGCTGTTCCTGAAATTCTGTGCCCTGATAATCAAAAAGTCTCCCAATGTGAAGCATATCCGATTAAAGACGAGCTGCGATGGGGTAAGGCACTGACAAGTCTGGCTTATCTGTCTCTGTAGTTTTCTTTTTTGGTTTGAAGGATCCGGCAAAAAAGCATATTCAAGTCACCCGGCTGGATGAGATCCGTTTGAACCTGTTACAACGCGGCATCTTTTTGCTCATTGAATACTGCGATACGCTGCATGATCGCGAAATAAGGTATGCTTTGGCTCCGTTCTGATTTTTCTGATATGCAGTAATCCCGAAGCCTAATGAAATTGCGCCATGGTCAGCGGCATTGTTCCGGCTAGCTGTACCTTGCTTTTGCCATTATTCGCGTTTCTTGTGAATTTAAAACTGACACTGCTGTACTGTCGATACTTAAGTACTACTTCGTATACAAGTTTATGCGTTCTTGGTAATTGTAGTGAAATCGCGTTTCTTTGCAGTTCTCATTGGTATGTATAAATCGTTATGTCTGAATTTTCAAATTTGTTTTGTCTTATCGAAGGTTCGACAACGGTTGGATTATTAAGATCGGACGAGGTCTGGACTACTTCAAGAGAGCGGAACCGAATACCGTTGAGTTTTTTGAGCTGGATTTCCGGCCTTGCATGGCCACGACGGTGGACATGATCTACAAGCCAAAGCGAGCGCCATTCCCATCCGCTTCAGGTCCATCCACTTCTGGTTCGGGTCGTGACATGAGCTCCCGGAGATGAGCGAAAAAAATTTTAAGGCATTTTGTAGCTGGTTGAAAGTGGATGCTTTGATCTGCTTACCTTTAAAACACGACCTCGCCGAAGGTACGTGGATCTCGTCGGTTTCGGTTTACGTAATTTGATGCCTTCCATTTACTGAACCCGTAACGGTTGTGCTTTCACAAGTTTTGTAAATTTTTATCCTTTCGTACCATTTAGTTTTACTAACCATCGATTATTTTATGCACCCCTGATCGTTGTATTTACTTGCAACTTTATTTTTATAACTTTTTGATAACGAAGTTAATGAAATACAGATAGAAGTATACTGAGTTACTGACGTATGCAGTACTGCGTACTAAACGTACCGGTGCGTGCACCAATTACAAAATCTCACAAACATCAGCGGCAAGAACGATCTCCGAATTCAGCTTCATTAGATTTAATTTTATTACATACCGGAACACTACTGTAATCAAATGCGGATGGCAGTCGATAAAATAAAAATAACAATGCTTGACTGTGTCAAGGTGACTGTGTCATGCCAATGGGGGCAAATTGTACAGAATCGGCGCAATCAATAACAACACCATAGCGACTAGCATGCCAAAGTCAAAACAAAAAGGTCCAGATCTCATAATCCGAAAGAAATACAAGGATTGTCTGAATTTTCAAGGGAAAAAGGTTTCATCAACCATGTGCTTGACTGCTTGTAACAAAAAAAGATGGTTCGTATCAACCAGCATCGGTCCAGGAGAGGTAATTCAGGTAGGCAAAAAATGCACTGGCTTCACAGAAAACTGCGGAAGAAATATACACCAACGTAGACAATCACAAAGAATATCCCGGCAGCAATCAGATTCCACTGCTTCTTCAACAATGGCACCTCCTTGTCGAACTGTTGGAGAGCAATCAGACGGTCCACCTGGACATCGAAGCATTCAAAATAATTACAACAAAATCAAATTCTCGCAAACTCACTTTGGCATTAATGATTTCCAGCTTTTCCAAGACAATGGGTGGGATGCTGGAAGTGGCGTCGGTAGAGATCCTGTACTCTCCTTCAGACTGGTCAGACTTCGAGACCACGGAGCAGCGCACGCGGTGACTGTCGAGTTCCTCCGGAGAGCCATCCCGCTGCTGCATTTCATGCCAATAATCCAGCAGATCATTGGAGTCCTTGACGTAAGGAATGGGCGTGCTCATCACAAGAAACTTTTCTTTCTGCGCAGTCTTCAGAAAAGCTGTAAAATTATTGTAAAATATGTCAAGGTGACCACTCCAAATGTGCTTTTTCACTCGGTGCAAAACAATTTTGAATTGCTTTTCATTCTGTGGACAAGCTTTTCCGGTTAATGAAACATCCATGATCTATCTGTTTCATTCCAGTTAATTCAAATAAAACGGATCCGATTGAAAAAACCCACAGAAAATTAATTACGAAAAAACAAATACGAAATTTTCGTTGCCAAATGAACGGACGTACTGCTCTATGAATTTAGTACACATAAAATTAATCTGCATAAGGCAACTTTGTCGCTTTTGTTCATTTTTCAGTTACAGTGCGCTACCTGGGGGAATAGCGATTTCAACAGGTTTCGACTGTCCAGGCTCAATGCATCCATAACTGGGCTTCACTTTGAACTTCTCAGGAGCGGTGGTTTTCACTTTAAACGCCACAATGCCATCGGTCACATTGGTCAGGTTGATAAAATCCGTGCTGTCGCGATCCTGGCCTTTATTTTCGAAGATGAGCTCTTCTCCTGGCCTAAGAACAGCGTGAACTATTAAACATTAATGGGAACAATGCTACAATCAATACTGCATGCAGGATGCCTTTGACCCATCCAGCATCTGTCTATCTCAAATCTGTCAGATTGCATTGAAAAAAGTGTTACTAGTACCTGCAACGCATTAGAAGCCAGAGTAAAAAAAGGAAATTTAATCCATGGGTAAGAGTTAAGTACATCCTATACTGCACTTTGCTAGTTGCTACTTACTGAATGCTCAAAAATCGGCCAACGAACGGAGGAGAATCCACTTCAGCAGATTCCGGAAGGCGCGCACGTGAAGTTGTAGGTTTGGAATTGAAAGTTGCTTGGATCTACGATAAACAGATCTAGATAGACAAAACATAAGCAAAATAATGTCGATCGAACCCATGTTATAGTTAAGAACTACAATGAGGTATTAAAGCGCAGAAATGAGCAACAGCAATCTCAGTAGCGTCAAAAGCCTGGATTTTGCAGTTTTCTTACCGTAGGCATGGCGTTGTTCATCGCTTTACTAGCAGACAAGAGGAGCAGCCTTATTCATCGGAAATCTATCACAAAGCTGGAAAGCAAGGGGATTATACGATTACAGCATACGGGCACATTGGACGTAGAGGAGAAGAATCACTGATGTTCAAAATAATAATTTGGATTTTGACTGCCGTGAGCAAAGCGCTAAAAAACCTTCGTACAGTTGCAAGTTATGGCACTGAATCTTACCATGTGTGCACTTATTCGAACCGCCTTTGATGGCTTTCAAATTCAAAGATAAAATGCAACCATATGGAACGGCCTGAGATGGAGTGGTTTCGAAAGAGATACTTACACACAGCGATTCAAAACATGAAAACAAACAAAATTACAGTTTACAAAAGATCTAGTCATCCAGTAAGGCTAAGCCGCTAAGGAAAGCAGTTAAAAAGGAATGCGCCCACAAAAAAGACAAACTGCACTGAAGGAGCGGTTTTTCAACTTCTTCGCTGTTTCTTGAAGTTGAAAAAGTACTGTAAGCTTCCGCTCTTCAGACCGTACACTTGGGGCGGCCGCCGGAATTTACTCAGCCGCTCCCGAGGGGCGCCCGACACCCACATAGAATGATAGACTGATAAGATAGAGCAAAGAAAATATGTAATGGAAAAAATAAACAAAAAAAAATTTAAGTAAGTACGTGAATCTTTCATTAATTAACTACAGAAATTAACCAAAGCTTCCGCTTTCGAGCACTACAGAACACTTTCTTGTCTTGCACTTATCAAGCGGGCGAGCGAAGCGAGCCCGCGTTTCTAATTCAAGACATATTGAGGGTTCGATGCGACGGGGAGTACCCATGACCTTTGGGTCGCCGCGTGACCTTTGGGTCGCACCAATTTTCAAGGTGATTCCTATACAGTTTGATGTGCTGAGTCGAACTGAAGTACTCGGAGACCTCGAACCCGGGTCCCCAAGGTCGCCACCACGATATGTACTGCAAATGCACAGTTTGACTTGCTGAGGCTAACTAAAGTACTCGGAAACCTCGAACCCGGGTCCCCGAGGTCGCCACCACGATATGTACTGCAAATGCACACTTTGACCTGTAGAGTCTTAAGTACTCGGGGATCGCGAACCTGGGTCCCCGAGGTCGCCAAAAAAGTCTTCATTGAATATGCATATGAAATTCGGGGACCACGTCGTTGGGGGCGCCAAAGTTCCAATGTGTTTTTTCTAAGTGCTCAGTCAAAGCGAAGTCATCGGAAAACTCGAATTCGGATCCCCGATGTATCATTTATACTCGTATTTATGCACTTTAGAAATGCTTCGAAAACGTGGGTCCATCTTTAGCCGCTATAACCACATCTGAAGAGCAAAATGAACTTCTCAAAATTTCTTTATATTGTTTTTTTTCAAATTTTAAAAATTTCTGAATGTTTTTAAATATTTCTGAACATATTTTCATTTCTAAATATTTTCATTTCAATAATATTTTCGTTTCTAATATTTCTAAATCTTTCTAAATCTTTCTGAATATTTCTAAATATTCCTCTAAATATTTCTCTAAATATTTCTAAATATTTCTAAATATTTCTAAATATTTCTAAATGTTTCTCAATATTTCTCTAAATATTTCTAAATATTTCTAAATATTTCTCTAAATATTTCTCTAAATATTTCTGAATATTTCTAAATTTTTTCTGAACAGTGTTAAATATTTTTGAAGATTTTTAAATACCGATGTTTATGTATTTTTAAAATTTCTGAATTTTTTTCTAAATATTTCTTATATCGCTTGATATTTTTGATCATTTTAAAACATATCTAAATTTTAAATGTGTAAAAACATTCATATTAATTTAACTAACCGAAAATCTACACATTCAACCAACCGGATACGTAAGGTGCAAAAGCTTTTACTGCGTTGTTAAAGGTCTAAAAAGTCGTGCAAAAACACTAACGTAATAGTTTGTTTTTAGATTTGTTTTCCTATTATTTTTTCCAATAAGTCGATCAGCACTGAATTAAAAGCCCGAAGATGCAAAATTAGGTTCTAGCAAATTTTTTTCCCGGTAAAAAATGCCAAACGCAAAATGAAACGAATAAATTCATAACAAGTCCCCGTTATTTATTTATTTATTTGTTCTTAATTAAAATGCCAAATTATAAAATGGTTTATGAATTTCAAAGTGAATATTAAACTCGTGTTCCCATCCTTTTAATTAATACGAGAATCATTTCTCAAATTCAAGGCTCACTGAAAAACAACTCACATTTTCTAAAATTTTTTGAGGTTTAACTTTTTAAAAATTTTCTTACTCAATTTGAATTTGTTGAATATGCATTCAGTTTCAAATCAAAAGCGGATTATATTTCTGATTTTAAGTTGTGGATCTAGTATCAGTTTCCCACGTTTCTAATCCAAAGTTAATGTCATGTTTTTTAGTATAATTGTCGAGACGTGGTTTTGGTTTCGAATCAGTTTTCAAACTGATAATTTTCTAATCTATCAAATATCTTTTTTTTCATAAATTTTTAAAATTTTTTAATCCATTTGTTAAATATGCATTCAGTTTCTAATCAAAACCGGATTATATTTCTGATTTTCAGCTGGTGGTTTTGGTTTAAATTTCACCCACTTCCAAATAGTAGAATATACTAATTTTTCGACTTAATGCTGGTTTGGTAAATTCTGGAACCACCAAGACAGTTCTTTTAGATGGTTACTGCAAGTTTTTGGTCATCTAAAAGCCATATTAGCCTGCCTCGACGTGCTCCTCAAATGTGTTCTGTAAATTAAAGTCCCGGATATTCTGTAAAAGCGAAACTACCAAACTTGCAGCGCCGAATTTTACAGGAAGCGATATCACAAAACTCTAAATTTCACCAACTTCCAAACAGTAGAATATAATAATTTTTCTGTTGTATAGAGTGTATAAAGCGGTCGCAATAGACAACACCCGGTTAGTGGCCGATCGCGATCGTAACGGTTATTTGCGATCAGCGCGATAATCGTTACTGGTTGTACAGAGTAGTGAACCCGAGAAATTTAGGTAATCCTGTTTTTAATTCACGACTATCGAATTGCTCGTTCCGCTGTAATTTTGCTTTTTGCCACTGATGGTTTTTTTGCTGTATAAAAAAATTAATTACAACAACGTAGGGAAATTTTACATCCGGTTGGAGTGATTTTAGACAGAAGTGACGGAATTACTGTTATGGTATTTTTTCCAAGTTTTAAAATATATTTTATAATTTCTGAAATCTGTTTCAAAATTGAGAAAAACTGCTTAGAGCCGTTGTTCGGTATACACACAGAGTACAATAACACATACTTTGTGGACTAAATACTTATGTGCAATTACATACAAGAATTGAGCAAGTTGGTCGATAATGAGATTTTTTCTGTATGTTACTGAGGAGTGAGGACTGTAAAAAAGTTTTTGGGATGGCGCAAAAGCGAAAGTTTGCACGGATTTAGCAACATGCACGCGGCAGTTCCTTTGAAACTAAATGTTAACTACCAAGGCCAATTTGCAGCTTTCGTGTTTACATGTTAGTGAATGCTTGCCGCTTGGCACATTTGCTGCCTTATACATTTAAATTAAAGACCGCCGCCCGCTTGCCCTAAGGGCGTATGAGACCTTATACTAGTTATTTTACCATTTACCGTAATTATCGAATTTGTGGCTCCCCCCGCAATAAGAGCCCCCCCTGTAATAAGCCCCCCTCCCCGACCCTGTTTGAAAAATAAGGCACCCCCCGAAATTACGCCCCGGGGGGCCGTTAATAATTGTCAACTGTCAAGCGCTGCAAAATGATAGTTGTACCGCAAATGTTTTTTTAAGAATTGTTGTGATTGTGAGCAAACATTAAACGGACATCAACATAATGCGGTATTCGTTGGCAAAAAGGTGTATGGGGACCTAAGTATATGCTCGAAAATGTTGATGGGAAGGTTGCGCTGTTGCGTATACCGGTAGCTACTGCGCTCAATTTCACTAGAACTGGATGCGCAGTTGTTTGAAATATAATGCCCCTTCCCAAAAAATACCGTTCGAAAAATAATGCCACCCCCCGAAATTGCGCCCCCTCCCCGAAATGATCCCCCCTCCGTCATAGCCTTCGAACTATTTGTACCCCAGGGCCACAAATTCGATAATTACGGTATGTCCTTATACAGGCTTTGGCTTATGCGTGTTTCATGCGGCAATAGCCAGTACCCACTACCCACACAAATACGCCTGCGCGGATTTAAATCAATTAAAATGATCGTTTACGATTAAAATGATCAGTGCACATGATTTACACACTCCGATACTCGGGCCTGAAAAAAACGTTTGCGCGCGCAACACCCGGTTATGGGCTTTACGGCCAATGAAAACGAACAGAAGTTTTAAAAAACACACGGTAGTGAAATACATTTTCAGCTTATTTTCAAAACTTCTTGAAGCTTTGCACTACAAGGCACATGCTGCGCCGAGGTAGTTACATAGATACTACCCGTAGTAAGTGGAATCCGAATTAAATCAAGCTCACGATCAACAAAAACATCCGAACACTTTAAGACGACTCTCACTGCATCTTTAAATCTTTACCTAACAAAGCACTGACATCTTCGTTTTCACTGTTTCGTCCGGCATCGATATACAGTAAACCGACTAACACATAAAAAACACGATGAGCCGGAAGTAGGAATTATGAAGTGCATGCAAAGGGCAATCGTAACGAATTCTTGCACCGTAACGTAACAACTGTATCTCCCTGTATCATAACAACTGCACAGGAATAAAGCCCCGGCAAATTATGCGAAAAACAGGAAACTCTCCGAACTTAAAAAACTAGCGTATCCCCATCTGTGCCTCTTAAGTCTCAACGCAGCTACGATCTACAACGCTCCTAAGATCTACTAGAAGTTGCTTTCAGTGCATCCCCATCGGCTTTCTGTCGTTTGCGTTTCCGCTCAACACCAGCGGATGTACCGGCAACCGTTTCAGCCATTTCATCCTCTGAAATGCAAAACATACGGTGTTCAATGCTACTCCAGCACACTGCATTTAGATTACGTACGCTTTTCAGGGTTTTCCGCCAATTTGGAACCGAATGCCACTTTAGAATCGTAGAGCATTTTTGCCTAAGCACAAAAAAGCGGCAGATACTTGTATTAAGTAACAGTAATACTATTTAGAACGAGGGTGAAGCAATCTATTGGAAGTGACAGGAAGTCATAAAAACAAGCAGTATACTGTGCAGAGCAGTATCATATTTAACTATGACTGGGCATCAGCTAAGATTGAATAATTAAATATGAAAAGCGATTCAAGCAGAGTAATTTGAGATTTAAAAACAAATACCACAAACGAAGAAGACAACAACAGCCAACAGGCAACAGGTACTGTAATAAGTACTAACAACTTTCTTTTTAAGACGTGTATTACACGTACCATTATCAAACGTTTGTTGATGTTCTCCAGTTTATCTTCGAACTCTTCCTTTTCTTTCGCTCTACTAGTTTGGACGCTCTCCGTACGAGCCTTTAAATTTCGTTCGGTCAATTCTTTCTTGGCTTTACTGGAGTGGACTTTACTGAACGCCAAAGTGATCGCTTTCATGACAATCTCGGCTGGGTTATCCGCTTTCTGGAGCGTCACAGATTTCCACGATTCTTTCGATCTCCGCCACGAAAGCTCCATGGACTGCCGCGAGGCAGATTTGGCATTAAATTCCCATTGGTCGTACTCATCCGTGGGACTGTATGTTAAGGCAGAACACAGTTCGGCAGTCAAATCATCCCAAGTCGTGGAGAACTGGTCAAGTAATCCAGTGATGCCAGTGTCTTCCACTGCAAAAATATTCGTGAGCTAAATGATGTCGTTACTGGACTAAAGCGGGATGATTAGTCAACTCACGTGACAGAATCCAAGCATCGCCACCGTTATTCAGTTCAAAAGTGATACGGGATGTATCTGAAGGGGCGAAGGAAACAAGAAGAGCGTAGTTGTGCGTGATTTGGCGCTTGCGTTCAGCAGATGATACAGAAAAAGTTCGAATATAGGATTCTAACATTTTCAGGCCCTGCCACATGCAAAATACAATATTATCAGCAAATTATGGCACCCTGGATGTGCCTGTCTAGAATGAAAATCAACTGTAAACAGTAAATACTGAAAAGTGAAAACCAAGATTCTTCAAATCAAAAGTAAAAACAAAGCTAAAAAGTAAAAACCTTCGAACTGAACAACTTTGAAAGCTTTGCATGTCTCCAGACTCTCCACCAGCGGGTAGCGACCATCTACAGTACGCAACTCAGCCAAGGCGCTCTGGTTTTGTCATTTTGTGCACAATGCACATCCTGATGGTTATAAAATCCTACTTCATTCTGTTTCGGATCCCGTAAAAACTTCGGTAACGAATTTGTTGCTCCATTTCTCCTTGAAAGTCAAAGTCCACAAATCTCATGAAAATTCAATTTTGAGTTTTACAGTGTATCCAGAGTTAACACTGTTGCACCGTGCCATGCCTCACAATCAGTTAGTGATATAATATACTCATACAAACTTTAATAGGTACATACGTATAATATTATTAGCCATCAAAATTTAAAAATGCAAGCACGCCGACACACACTACTTTACAATAAAATTAAGTTTTACCATAAAAAACAACCAGAAGCTTCTAAACAACATTCCGCGGATCAAAACGTAAGCTTAGTATAAGCTGCGTATATGTTTTGGCTAATAGAACTGATATTAACTATGTAATTGCGACGTGACATACAGTACAGTTACGTATAATGTAACTTATTGTGATTCGCTTAATCCGGCTTTTTTTAAAGGCGTACGTTGAGCACTTTGAATTTTGGTTTGAGATATTGCAAATGTGTTGAATCTAAAAAAACAATCAAACCGGAAAATTAGTACATAGATTACTATGTAGATTGGTATAACAACTATTTGCATACATCGAAACGGATTTACACCGCATGCAAATAAGACAAAATCATGCTGCTCATACTGTAACTATGAAAAATTTATGAATAAGGGGGTAATTAAAAGCATCCACTGAGAACTGCCGGTACGACAACAAAATGAGTATTGAGCAGAGACTGTGTTGAAATAATTATGAAATTCGAAGAGCACCAGTATTGCTCACATTGGTAAATTGCAAGAGTTGTAAAAGAACATATAAAGTATAGCGTCCTTACAATAATTAAATAATAAACAGTACTTTTTTACGCTTTCGGCATGTTTACTCTAGATTTGTGTACTGTTTATTTCTCATACTCAGTACTCAGTAGTCCTACTTATTTATCATAATCATACTTTCCTCGACTTATTCTTCGTGCAACCAATTGTTCCAAAGGAAATCATTTGTTATTAATTAACTTCAAGATTATTAATTTTAGAGTAAAGTCGGGTTTAGGCGGCATATCAGTGAAACAGTAAATACTCAAAATAAGCTATAATTTTAGTTTTGAGTGAAGAGAGCAACAATTTTTCAAAAAATCCATGCCATGAGCCTTCAACGGAACTCCCAACAATCGCAATTGCAGATAGCGCCATTGGCGATACCTCACTGTTCACATTTCTGCTTCTGTACAATGTGTACGAGGCAAGTGTCCCTTAAATTAATAGACGCGTTTTGCCTTACCATAAATTGACAACCTAAACCGCAATGTGCGAACCTGTCAGCCACCATGGGCTGGCAGCGTATAATACAAACGGTTGACTGCATTGCTGCCATTGACTTTATTAACATTAAAGTACGTAACATCCACACTCGCATAAATCTCAACCGAGCCTACGAACTTACGTTCCAAATGATGGAAAAAAAATCTAGGAATTTTTTGGTACCTAGCAAGTAAGTTTTCATGGCAAGCAAGGAAAGTTATGAACGTTTGTGGTTCCTCGTAGACATAGCATAAGGTTCGTGCGAGGAGCCGTTGAAGAGGATCCTATGCTATGTCTACGAGAAAACATAAACGCTCATAACTTTCTTTATTTGCCATGAAAACTTACTTGCTAGGTACCAAAAAATTCCCAGATTTTTTCTCCATCATTTGGAATGTTAATTTGTAGTTGTGACTGAAGTTAAAATGAGTTAAAATGTCGAATCAGTTAACGTCGAAGTCAATGGGAGCAATGCAGTCGCCATTTGTATTACCCGCTGCCAACCCACGGTGGCTGCCAGGTTCGCACAATGAGTCTAGGTTGTCAATTTATGGTAAGGCAGAACGCGTCTATTAATTTAAGGGACACTTGCCTCGTACTGAAATTTCATCTCATTCTAGCGGACATAATCTTCCGCTCCCAATTGATGATTGAGAGGCCTTTCGTATCATGTGTTACGGTTTACTTTTCGACTAGGCAAAATCTCACATGGATCGATGACCATTGGTCGCAGTTTAACTCCACCTTCTTAGCCTCAGCTCAGATACGATGGATTAATATTCTGGATCAAATGTCTGTTTAGGGATCACAGATGGTCACAACATCCTTTGCATGTCGATATGGCGCGGTCTGATGCCGCTGCACTGCAGAGCACACTTTACGACTGCACAGATACGATGCGCAGCGTCCATCCTTGGAGATGATGGCACTCTGTCGCAATAAAGTTCATTTGCTCTTATCCCTCCTTGGTATCGACTTGAAGTACATCCCAATGAGTCTCGTATCGATGTAGAAGGCTCTATCAAGATCCATAGAGCGAATTTGCATGATTACAGCTACAGATTACTAAATATCCCTCTTTGCGCCAATTCTCTGGAGCGCCTTAATACGGAGCAGCTGTATGAAAGAAAATCTCCCGCCGTTATCGTGACATTGGTCAGGTCGGATTGTGCGGTAATTATCTCAGCGTTCGGTCGGTGCGAAGTGGCAGGTGATGGACGGCTTGACAGGTAATTTACGGCCGGCTGCTTTTGTACCGGTTATAAATACATAACTATATTTAATTTTTCATCGTTTATGAACATATTTTGCAAAAAATCAATTCTCTCTGTTATGCGGTTGACGGCTTTCATAGCGGTTCTTGGGTTACAGTATGCACCGGCATTATAGCAGCAAGTAAACATGCTGGTTTTATTGACGCGCGTATACATAACTGAAAAATTTGAATAATTTTTTCTAATTGATTTCGGACTGGTATTTCTGTCAGCGTACTTACTTGTCAGCGTTTAGCTGACATATCTGCCGCCACATTAGTTATGATGACAAAAATTTGGCAGCTAACTATAAAATATCGGATAATAGCCATGACTAACAATGCGCTATCACCGGTTGAAATAGGACTTTGTACATTACTTGACATTAATATTAATATTTGAAGCATTTGCAAGTAGTTATTACAAATGAAAACACTAATAATATATCTAATTCCCTTTCGAACCGGCAGCTCGTTTACCTGTAATTTGGCTGTAAATACTGAGTATGATTTATGCTATGGTTATTTACAGTGCCACCAAAATAGCTTTGTTTAATATTCTTAATATATATCCAACATCCAGTTATGTACATTGTACCATATAAAGAACTCGGATAGTTTAAAGAACTCTGTTGTGCCGCTGCCAATTGCAGGGTTAGCTTGTCAAAAGGCGGTGTTTTTTGTGATTAGGATACCATTAATAGTCGCTTTGTCCGCGGCCGGTGTGTTCTGTTTGTTCAAGTACAACTTAATCCGTTAACCTAATTTACATGTGTGACAGTTTTTGAACTCCATCATCCTGTAAATTAAACAGAAAGCTTCTGGAAGCGTAATTCAATATTAATGCTACATACTTGGGAGCACTGTAAATCTTTAATGGCAGCAACATCTCACTGCCGTTTGGTGCTTAGGAATGAACGATAATAAGTATTAACAACGGTACCGATAGCACGGTAGTTTGTTTTTGGGAACACAAGTAACGTTTCGGCATCTCGTACTTAAAAATTCACTAGTACGTAAAAAGGTAGTTGTGTTTTATACTGCAAGAGCAGATTATTTCGCTTGCATTAACACAAGCAGTTACTATCATAGATGATAGTACTCTAGGTTTGGGCTGCGAATATTTAATATTTAACTTTTAATTTCTTACTTTGCCGGAGGTACCTCCTAAACCAATGCTGAATAAGACTGCAAAGGTTTTGTTAACATGATTATATACTATATAATGGTACGCGTATAACGTGGATCCATCCATAGATTTTATCGGGTAATCTTAACTTGCAAGCACGATAATATAATTCTATTATTGTAAACTGATCAACAGAAATTTGTGCTCAGGTATTTTCGGGAAGCATCGCCACATTCAATGCTTGGTGGTCAAATAAAAACAGCGGATTTGCCAGTCGATTGATGGCTTAAAGACTGATAGGCTATCAACAGTACTGCGCTCCAGCTGATCCATACAAAACATCCCTCTCGCATCCTGCCTACAATTGTAAAAGCCTGTGCTGCCGTATTTATCCGATAAACCGCAGCTGTATCCTCTTCATCTTCATCACTGTCCTAACCACACACTCTGTACGCATTGCTACAGCGGTCGACTCTCACTTGCGCGCACGGTCCGCCTGGCTCCGGTCTCTAACTTCCCTTTCCGTTTCCGCTGAACGGAGCAACACTGCAGTCAGCAGTATGTAATTAGATTCCAGCCAGTCAAGCGGGCATGCGCCATACACTGGCTGCTTCATCGACCGGCCAGCTTATCACAATATATTGGCTCTCTTTATCATATCGCTGGTCACTGGTCAATTGCCGCTGAATGCAGCACAGACGACCGGGCATGCAGTGCATCCGGTGCGGACTATGGTATTCACATGATTAATACGCCAATACTTATCTCGATGTATCTCTCGAGATCTTAATGATCAGTCGTTTGTTATACTATCGCGCGATTTATTAGACGGGATATATTCCAGTACGTAATGTAAAAGCCATTTCTTTCTCGTCCGTACATTATTCCTGCTTACATATATACACAGTCATCATTCTTCCTCGATGTTAAGCGAACTGCAGTTGGATGCACATCCTCTTAATCCCTTCTCTCCCCGGCTCGGTCTCAATGGGATCAGTAAAAATTGTCTTAATGGAGATGTTGTTGGGAATGGGCATCATAATATCTCGGCCGGGAGAGAGATCGTCAGCAATGGATGCAATGAACTTCCGGTCACTTGCAAGACCATTTCGCCGGTAGTACACACCAATGGAAGTGGCTGCCCCAACGGCCCAGCGGCAAATGGAACTGCTTTGTCGAGAAATCCCAGATTGTTCCATGAGGCGACGTACGTTATACGGCCGAAATACATTCCAGAAAAGAAAAACGGATACTGCAGCAACAACTATGTATGTGCTAAAAAGTACAATATTATATGTACTTACTACTTGCTGTTATTTGTAGCCACTGTACACAATTGTGAAATTTTGTAATATACGAGGTACATTTAATACGCATACGAAATTCTGGAGATTTATAGTTCTTAAGCTGATTACCGATTACTTTGTCAATTTATGTGCAGAGGTTGTACAAAGTTACAAACTACAAAGGTGATTAGCAAAACCTAATTGTAAACTGATGGGTTCTATTTTGCTCTAAACAGACACTTCTGCAGTCTGCCGAAATCAAAACATAAAATTTCAGCCTATACATATCCTAGCGTGGGAAATGCCTTACTGGAAGAAAAGACAGAAGGGTGCTTAGATCATTAGCATAAAGCAAAACAATTGTTACAATAGTGGGGTTACGTTTTAAGACACAAACCATATCGTATTAGGCTTACAAAAAAGCGATGTTGTTAATGAATTTCTAATAGAAATTATTGTTTTCTATAAAAGTGGAATATTTTTGTAGATATGTCTACCTGTGCTGCTGTGTAAGGCGCAACGTACGACGTACTTACTCGTACAAATGTAAACCTGTAATTTTCAAAATAGCGAATTGATATCATTTAACGTCAATGCAGTGTTTTTTATAAAGAGGGTGCAGATCCGCATTTGTATGAGCATCAGCGTTTAATCCAGATACGCTTTCGCCAGAATTTTGAAAGCTCTTTTCCTAACAAATTGATCTCCCATCTACCGTTTCCGGGCTAGGTTAATGGAAACGGACACAGTTCGAGCAGCTCCACCGCTACACCGGATAGCCTGCGCGGCAGTCTGCGCAAAGAAGGCTCATTCGATCGAGATGGCCGATGTGACCAGCCGGCTGTCACTGCGGCCAAAAAGCACGTGCAATTCGATTTGCGTAATGGATGCACGTTGTACTCGGGTGTACATCATAACGGAAACGGTGTCCACTGTGATAACGAGCAGCTCGATTCAGGATCCGACCAGGAAGATGGATCGCTGGCCGGACAGGATGATGAGCCGGATTTGATTAGCGACATCGAAAGGTCACTCATGCATGGCTACAGTGAGTTTGATCTTAATGGACTAACCGCGGAATATTGTTCGGAGCAGCTACTAGTGCAGCAGTCGGCATCCGGATTGGCAAAAAAGAAGCCTGACCTGCGCCTGAATCTGCGCTCCAACTTTATAAAAGGAGATCCTATCAACACCGAGGTTCCTGTAGAGAAACAGACGTAAGTCCATAGAACATGGTTCTTAATTAATTCAGCGTTCCGCTTGTATGGTATGCATGCCGCTTTTCCCAAGTTTTATTTAGCAATATTTGTTATTGTAGTTGTCCTCTTTTCTAGCTATCTGGGGTTTGAAGGTATTAAAGCGTTAAAATTTAAATGGAGAAGAAAATAAAGGGAAAACTGGGAAAATTCTGTTTATTATTTCCGTTTACAAAACTGATGTTACATCGCTTTTATTTATGGCTTTCGTTGGACTTATTTGATATTATCTGCTTTCTCTTTTGACGAGTTTTATTTTTTATCTAGATGGTATTTCGGTGCAATAAGCCGCCAAGAAGCAGAGAATACACTCCGGAAGTGCACGGAAGGCTGTTATATCGTACGAAACTGTGAAATCAATGGAAACAAAGATTACTCTTTGGCAATAAAGTACGTATCTGTACAGCTGAGCAGTAAATTGTTCACTTAAAGCCAGGAATGCTGGCAGCATATTGCCTGGATTACCGTGATCTCTTAATAAACATAGCGGCTAATGCTGCTAAACATGAATACGCAGTTATTCATCTACTAGCCACGAATGCCAACTGGCGATTGATTTTTTCCTTTCCGGTGGCAAATTGTGCATTATTCAACAGCCGCTATCGGTCAAGGGCAGGTGGATATACCGCATTTCCGGTCCTTTATTCCCAGTTTGATGGCTCTTCTCTCTGTGATATTTATTCTGCTGATCTATGCTACTGTTATCCTCCATGCTAAATTTTTTATTACCACGAATAAAAAATTGCACTTTTAACTGGCAATATTTGCATTTCCATTTGCGGTTTGGCAAGAACAGCTTTTCATCCATTTTCGGCATAGCCGTTTACGATCGATCGATTGACAGTTTATTTCCACTTTCACAGCAGCTGGACAATAATTGAAATAGGGCGGCGTTCAATTTTTTCCACCGTTAGCGGTGGCAAAAGAGGTCTGATTGTTAATAAACAACACGCATATGGCATTTTCAGCCCCGTTAACATCACACCACCGCGACGCGGGGAAAGAGATCGTGTAAATATTGTTAGCAATTTCCTGTAAATGGCAGCCTGATGAGAATCGTCGCGCTCTTAATAAACCTACACAAAATAAGTTTACAATGCGTACTCGTATGTTTCCAGAAAGTTTTATCTGGGTTATTCGGTGAAACGCTGCTCCTTGTCCAAACACAAGCAATCTCCCTTAATGCAATTACACGTGCATTAAATTAGTTGTCTAGTAACGAAAAAGGTTACCGGAAATAGCAAGCCTAATGGAAGTGTAATCAGAAGAATGTGACAAGCGAAAAGCGTTAACAAATTTTAGGATTACGCATCGTTGCGCCATAAGCGCATTACATTGCTAAAGTAACGAAGGAGAAACTTTTTCGATCTAGGTTTATTATAACTAGTTATGGCTTGCAGGAGTTCGTACGGATTCATGCATTTGCGAATTCATCGTCAGCCGGACGACATGTACCGACTTGTGGATTTCAATCGCGTTTTCCTCACCGTTCCCGATTTGATAGAGTATTATTCCATGGAGAGGCTGCCTATAAAAGGCGCTGATTATATGGTTTTAGTGCATCCTGTACATCAACAGCTTTTATAAAATTGGCTTATGAACGGATACACCATGGTAGTCGCGCTTTGCTGACACTCTTTTACTGCTTTTCCAGAATGTTGTTGGTCTTTGTTTGTAGCACGGTTTTAGATAATTAGCAAAAGGTTAGAATAACAAATGTTTATCTTTTTGCGCCCATCGTCAAATTACTATAAAATATAATAATACGTATTGTGCGGCTGTTTGCTTGCATTTTTCTCCGTGATAGTGACATAAATGCTGTATATATGCCATGTGTTGCAATTGGTTTTTGTGCAAATAATGCATTTCACTTCAATTTATACGCTCGCTCGCTCGTACACTAAAGCTTTCTTATATAAGTGCTTTATGCATTATAATTATAAAAGTAAGTGTTTTTATGTAAAGCCTTTTTATCAAGAGAGTTTGACAGCTAACACTAGCATTATTTTTTGCCGGCTAATGTTGCACTTGTAAGTTTGAATTAATATATATTTATCGAGCAGATAAAAAAACACTTTATGTGGGCTAAAGTTCTTGTAAGTAATGTATAAAACAAAAGTAGATACAAGTTTGCTCGAAAAGCTGGAACTGAAGGAGCCAACAGAAAAATGGTAAAGCGCTGCATGAATCCGTAAGTTTGCGAGATAATTCCAGACGACGCATATATAAGCAAGTTTGGGTGAAGCAGGCTTGCGGAAGTCTGCACTTGTGATTTCTCAGTGGGAAAAGTGATGCAATAGTGCTTGTAAATGAGCTTGTTAATAGTGATGTAGACATGTGGCCCGTTCAAGACACTCTTTCGATCATTTCCCCCCTTTCAGGAAGGAATGGGCTGCATACAGTACTAGTAGGACACTATACGCAGTCGGCGATAGAGAAGACTAAATTTATTGATTCTTAGCCGAGGGTTGTTTTGCAACTCATCAAGAATGCACGGCATCTCTCTTGGACAAATTTAATGCCTTGTTTAAAAAAGTACATTTGGGAACGAAGGATGGCATGGCATAAAATGGCTCATACACCACCGGAAGTGCTGGTCCGCTGATAATGGGTTGACCTTTGGGCTACATCAGTTTCGAGGAACCGATACTCATCAAATCAATCTTTTCAGCGCTCATGCAGAAATACTGATAATTTTTGTTTTTACCTGTTCCCAAAAGACAGTTTCTGTTAATATACTGCACTAAAAACCCGACTTTTTAGGTACATTTTTCCCCTTACATCCCTCTTTGTCGTATAGAATGTTCGCTTTCAGTTTTGAATTTGCGTAGTTTGTTTGCAAATTAATAACCGAGACCTTGTATTTCAAAGCAAAATTTATTGGGAAAATACATCCCTGCAGCGAAATATTGCGTAAAGCAGTAGAGTAACAAAATTTAAGGGTTATATGGTTAACAAACTGGAGGAGCGCTAGCAAAGTATACTTGTACTAATTCTGTGCTACAAATGTGCAATATTCTGTGCTATTGATAATAGCGTTGCTATTAATCCACTTCGCGCATGCCGACTTCCGTCCGTGTCATGATCAACATGCAGAGCGCAATCCGTCTCCATATCACATATGCATGGGCAATAATATGTGTCCCCGTGACGGAAGGATGAAAGAGATCAGCACAACAGCTCACACGCCCTAAGATTATGATTTATGCTGATCAATAGCTGTACGGCTTCCCATCACACCGATTAGTCATGCACGAAATGCCCGGGAAATGAGTGCTGAAAAGGCCCAAGCGGAACCAAGATGGTGTTAACATTAACTGTCCTGCAATGTCCGAACAAATCTCACATTTTGTAGTGCTCACTCATCAATAAAGACAAGATGTCCCTTTGATCTAGTGCTCGATGAATCCAGATGGTCCTTCATCTGATGCAGAAAATATACAGATTGGACCAATTCTTCTTTTCGGCTCAAAAATCTATCAAAACATTGCATAAGTCGTTTCAACCTGAAAACGATAATCGCCCATAATGAAGCACATCGTTCGCTTACATTATTTTAGGATTTTCCGATGTCTGCCGGTATAAGTGATTGCACAATTAGAAATTTTATAGTGTTGTGATGCATTGGCGATCCAAACTTTTACACACGGTGGATATTTTTTATCTAAACGTTTTGAACTTAATTCTCACCTTGCATAAAAGCTTTCGCATTTAAGTTTTGTGCGATATCGGCTTCTTTAGTTTTGAATTTACCGGACGCAGAACAGAAAGTTTGCCTCCAGTTGGCTGTTTAGCGTAGAAATTGGTAGAATGATCAATGATGACATAAATATATCAGGATTTGTGAGCGCACGCATTGTACGGGATGCCCATTGCGATTCAATGCAAGCATCTATAAAAAAAATTTGGAGAAACAAAATTTTGGAGAATTGAGAAAAGTGTTCACCATACATATGAAGTTTGTATTTGATGAAAACATAATAATAATTATGTAGGACTCACATGTAAACTCATATACAAAGTAAATAATGCGTTTATGTCGACGTTATAACAAAGTCGCGCACACGCGTCCCTACAGTGAACTGAAAGTTTAATACAATCCAAAAAAAGGAATGAAAGCTGACCGGCCGACCTTCAATAAAGGTATTATAAAGCCAAGTAATGTTATTATGACCTCAGCATGACTACTTGTATCTAACAATGATGAGCTAATTTCCTTGTTGTATACTGGAACTTCTGATGGCAAACTGCCTACTTAACGCTCGCCGGTACCGTCGACTGCACAGCACAATCACTACCGGCACCATGAACACCACACTGTCCAGCAGCCACACACTTAGCTCCAGGACGCTCTCCCAATGGCTGATTTTGTATGTGAAATCTTCATTGAGCACATAGCCTTCCAGGGCATTGATGGCGTAGTACGGTCCCGGAAAGACGACAGCCACCAGTAACATGCCGATTACTGTGGACAGTGGCTGCTTCCCTTCCGACAGAAAATCCACAAGACTGGGCCTCGGTGCGGAGACACTTCGGGTGTAGAGGGGCAGGTGTTCGTTTGGAGCACTCGCCCGGTGGACAATGGTCAACGAGGTAGTTGACGTGGAGGACTTGCTGCGTGAAAGATTGACCACAGGGACGGTGCTGTCAGAACGCTCCCGCGGAGCGACTGCTTGTTCTACGAGACAAGATGCATCTGAACGATACAATTAGATATTTTGTGATATCAAAGCACTACAGTAACTCGTATGCGCTAAAACCTGTTATTTTGACATACGAGTTTTGTTTCGGCTGAGTCGGGTGTCGCAATCCAGTAATATACAATATACTAATATATATAATATATATATATAGTAATATATATTTGTACAATATATACGAGTATAAATGTGTATTATTGCATAGCTATTGTATGTAAGTACATACCTGGATTGGCACATGGTGCGGCTGCATCTATACATGGCGTCATTTCGGTCAGCGACTGGATTATTAAATCTCCAAATTTTTTTTGAGAGGTGCGGTTTTCATACCATTCCCAGACGGATACAAGAGCCAGAACCACGAATGTGAGGGCGATGGGAACGAAATAGTTCCTTTTGATCATAAAAGCCGGCATTAGTGGGACTGTAACGCTCATCATTACCAAGTTACAGTACATTTGTAGAACGAGTTGTGCACTGAGATGCGCAAATCGATTTACATAAAATGATAATAAATAATGCGAAATGGATAATAAAATCAAGTGCAAAACACAATTTTTTTAAATTTTTAAAGTACATGTAATAATCTATTGTTCGTTCTTTCGCTCATAAACCGTGGTCATACGTTAGGGAGATGTTATAAGCATCAAAGACGAAGTACTGAATAAAGGGTTAACCAAAACGTGTAGCTTCACCTTGCTAAAATGAGCACAAGGTAATTCATTAAAACTGTTGTAATGATACAATCACAACGCAAGACACCTCCATCCATTCAGTTTTACGTACCGAAGCGCCACGAACATACACCAATGGTAGAAGTCGTCAGCGATAATGTGCATCTCACACTGATTTTCCCCGATATTAATCTGTCGGTCCAGAAACCAACGCGGCGCTGTGAATAATCCAACGACCCATGGGAAGATCACCAGAAGAATCTTTATCACTTCACGTTGTTTGCATCCCACCCAGAAGGCGATGCGGGCATGATTTAGTGCCAATCCGAGCAGATTCATACAAAAGACACCCGACATGACCTCTTCCGCAAACAACCTACAATGCCCCATGAAGAATTTCAAAAATGCTTGAGAATATCACAGAATCTTGAATAACTCACGAGAAGAGGCACCAGCTGGGACTGAAATACCAGATCCGCGTAACACGAAAACTAACCATCCACGGAATGATAATCAGCGACTGTACGAGTAATATGACACAATTATTAGCAATGAGGATATCTTGTGTCGTCTGCAGTTTGTGGCTTTTGCAGATGACCCACAGCAGGAGCGTGTTCACCAGTAATCCGATGAAGATGCCAAACGCCAGCAAAATCAACGGTGCGCCATGTTTTAACCACCACTCACTGGACCCGATGTGGAGTTCATCCAAGAAACTGTCCTCCAGAATGTGCACCGAGGCATTACCGGATGCTACAGAATCCATGTTATCTGCATTTCAAACGTTTTCTAGCGTACCAGGGTTCAAAATTGTTTGGTTTTTAACTGAAATATCATGATGAAGAGTGTTTTTAACGAGGCGTTCGCCAGCAATAAAAACGTCGTCATAGTTCATCGTAAACAGGCGATTTGCTGTTTGTCGGGACCGTTCACAGTGAATCTGCTACATAATTGACGTGAATATTATTCCCGATCGGCACAGAGGTTAAAAATATCCGCATTCTACAGCAGTGTAAAACATTACTTGTCGCCAAAATCTCGCTTTAACGTGTTCAGTTCTCCAGTTCGGCAACGAATGCTCTCGCTGCATCGTTTCGCAGCTAAATTTAACGCATCAGTCAGCGTTTAGCGGGATGAAGTAATTAGTCTAGCGACATTAGCCAGAAGACATTGAATGTTTTTCCAAAGACGTAAACAGACAATCAAAAACCGGCAACGACTCTTTGTAACCTAAATTTTTGAGCGTCTTTGCGCAAGCTAATAAATTACCCATGAAAGGGTGGTGGCGGGCAATTATGTACCCGTATTATTACAAGGCCTATGTGTACTGTACATGCAAGGGCGACCTCGTTTACGACGTCCACATCAACGATGAAAAACTCGAATCACGGCGTCGCCGTAGAGGAGCGTTAACATTACTAACCATGTAGCCACAGCAAAGTCCAACAACACAGCATAAAAACTATAATGTAAACCGAATATTTTGAAATCACTTAAATATTATTGAAGACATATGTTTGTCATTAAATTGGACTGAAAATTAGTAGAGGCAATTGGCCGTCTTGAACCGAGGTGCCATTTTCGCTGAAAGGTGACTCCGTAAAAGAGAATTCGTATTGTGACTGCGACGGTGTTGACGACATTGTATGGAATTTTTCCACTTTCACCGCCACCTTCTTTGCTCCTTTTGCACCGCGGAACGACGATGGACCCTAATGAAATGCACAGCAATATTACATTCAACGGTAAAACCTTCTCTGGACTAAAAACTGCCTTGTTGTGTAAGTGCATACTTCGATGCGGGCGGTGACAATATGCGGGACGCCGCTTTTAACAATAATAGGTTCAGTTAATGGGATGCGATAAGGCGATCGCGACCCGTCGGACACAATAACAGTTTCTTGTTCGCGCAAGACTTTCTTGTCATCTGCTTTGAGAACCTTCAAATTAATCACGTGCCGACCTGGGCCGTCGCTAGTGCCATATATGCCGCAACCTTGCAGTCTTACATCATGATCGGAGACAAATCTTCAAAATAAATTTCTTAGGGTTTTTGTCAAGATAACAATCAAAGCAATTCAAGTCAGCGAATACTTCTGCAGAAAACGGTTAAATTTTAATTACTGAATTGAATCAGCTCCGCCTCCGTAACCCCACGATCCGCCGGCTTCCGCAAATCTTTCCACCGTATACGGACCGCTTTTATTAGCCGGAAGCCGGGGTACAGCGGAGAAGGCGATTTCCGGTTTGTCTTCGGCGAACAAGTAGAGAAAGATATCTTTGACTTCCTCCGGCCGAAGAATTCCACTCTTCGATGAAATAAATATATGAAATGGTCAAATGCGATTTAGTGGTCAAATCGTTGAGTGCGGAAAATTGAAAGGGTCGCTATGGAACAGAGGTTTTATGCGTACTTGTACCGGCCCATTTGCTAGCTCTTCAACGCTCATCAATGGGAAGCGAATTTCGTAGATGGCTTTACCGATTATGCGGCGTTTATTGGGCGTTTCTACCGGAAATCCGCGCCGGTTACATTCGTTGGTAGCCCATCTTAGACAAATTAACGGTAATTATTTGAATCTAAACGAGTGAACTTCCTAGAGTTTACAGCACTCGGCCTTGCGGCCGAGTGCAATACCGGCAGTGTTTGAGAAGCTAGCTGTAACAGAATACATGCATAGTAAAGTATGTTATATCGAAAATTTTATCGAGCACCAAATCTTGGTCACCGCTATCGCAGACAGGCAGAAAAGTTATGGGAAAAGCAGTTCTGAAGCAGCAGTATATTTTGTAGTCCAACGCACGGTTATGCTCGTAAATGCATTCGCCTGATCTAATGTTGGACTGTTACCAGTATTCTTGAGGATTTAGCATATGGGCTGAGCGCGTAAACGGTGTCGATATAGGCAATTTGCACGTAGTACTTTATTACATTTACGGCAGTTACAGTAAAGGGAGCGCCTCTTACCTGTCCAGTGCATTGAACAAATCGATCTCCTTTATGGCCAGAGTACTTCTCTCAAAAATCAGTAGAAGGGTTTCAAAGTTGATGTCCAGAAATTCATTCGAGTTCGCTATAGCTAATGCTTCATGGTCAATTAGTTCCAGACACTGCGCAATGAGGTCTGTCTCTTCCGTTGACTGAGCCTATGTTTCAGAAAAGCTATTCTATAAACATAAGAACACTACAGTACTTCATTACTTTTATTTCCAAAAATTTCGATCACACAATGTTTACAGTCTAAATTAGAATTAACAGAAAATATAGATAGCTTGAAGTTGTGTACTTGATGACTTTACTGGTATTATCTCTTTCTTTCTCATAAAATAATGACATGCGTCGTGTAACGTATATTTACGGGTAATTTTGTTTTGATATACCTGCACTGCTCCCATAATAAATTATAAGGCTCTTACTAATATCAGTTTATAAAAGCGGTATTTCTACTTTACCTGTTCTAACACAGCAAACACATTATCGCAGCGAATGTTCTGCTTCATAAACTGCAAGCATGCATTTTTCAGTTGTGGCACATCGTATTTTTTTGCAGCATGTAGCGTGGAGAGAACGGTATCCTCGTTAATCCCGGTGACATCGTCCGTGTAAAGATACCTGCAACGGTAGCATGAATAACTTTTTCATTAGACACATCGATGCCAAGGTTAGCTAAAATAGAACACGCTCGGCTAGACCATGCAAGCGTTATTTGCTAAATTTACCGTAAAAGGTTACGAAACGAGTCTGGTTCGATGTCAGGTATGCGAAGGTCAGATCCGTCGGCGGCTAGTTGCCGAATGGGTCCGTAGAAAAGCGTTTCGAAGACTGGACTTCCCATGGCCAAAATAAATCTATGGGAAAAAACTAGGCATTACGGGCTTTATTTTGCTGCTTACATGTAGTTAGTTCTTTACAGAGACTATAGAAGTAGTAATTAGGGTACGTGTAATATACTTATGAAATGCCACCGATACATGCCGCACAATAACAGAATATGTCAATAATCAGAATAACAGAGTACAATACTTAACGTTAATATAATGCAATCATAGGATAAGGCAACGATAATATATTATGTCGGTACGTATTTTTTACAATTGGTAGATATTGTACGCATTAATTAAACGGCGCTTAATTTACGCTTAATTTAAGCCAAAGACAATTTTAAATACACACCTAATACAATGTGTATTCGATTAATTGGTGAAGGGTCACCAGTCATCTTACCACAATATGCATAATTATAACGGTACGAGATAATTATTTATTACGAGATAAAAACCTACTCGTATAGGCAAGAGTAGGTTTTTCCCGTTAGGTTGGGCTGGTTAAGGGTCACACTCTAACTTGTCACTTCTCAGCACAGATAACGGTGAAAGGATTTTATGCTTTTTCAGTTTTTTGTGTCTGACAGCTTTTTCCGACATGAACTGACCGTAGTGGTTCTTGTTAGCCACGGAAGTAATTGTGTTCGGTCATGAAGCATGCGTCTATCAGGTAATTCCGTTTTATGGAGTATGACAGTAGGTTTCCAAGATGCTATTGTGGAACTCACTTGTGCGCTGGAATCTCCTGCTTGATGACCCCTTTTCCCACAACAAAGACCACATCGCTAAGCACCTCATTCTCCATTAGGAATCTGCCACGATCTAAGAAGCCGGCTTGATGTCGTTGCCAGCCGGGTGGTTCGGGCGACGCCAGTGGAAGCTGTGTTTGGTCGTCATCCTGTAGGTAATCCATAGATTCGTCATCCGCTACAGCCCCCATTATGCCCATTAGCTGTGCAGAGTATACTGTATAGCGGTGCTAAATGGGAGGATATTAACTATTATGTTTCATTGGGGACCAGATATTGTAATATAATGCGTATGGCGTACGTGCCGGTAATTACGCAAAATGCATAACGTGACTAAATGCAATGTGAAACCGAACACACAAAGCAGCTGATGCATTATGGACTCTTTAGCAAATCAGTTAAGCTTAGTAGCTTACCAATCACTTTTGACACCTTAATTTAAATGCTATTAATAGAACGGAAATAGAGTCGGTACCAGGTAAACGCGTTCTGACAGTCTAAAGGAGCCGGATACGAGATTAAAAATGTCTACGTCACTGCTCTTTTTTTACGCCAACGCTGCCGTGTATCATTTTGTTACGGTTAATGTTTTTCGACAACAAGATCAAGCACTCATGCACGTTCAAACACTTTGTTATTGAAAGGACAACGGAGGACGGGGGTGCACTTAGACATGCAGGCATAATTTGAAATTTTCCTGTAAATTTATGATCCATCATAATCTTACTGGGCATGAAAGCATTTGAAATATTCTAAGTACGTTTACTTCTGTGAAACTTAAATTTGAATGTGTGCATCGTACATAGCTTGTAGGAATGTAGGTAATGTTAATTAATCGCTAACAGCAAGGTAAAAGGCATTCTTTGTTCCATATTTCGGCACGCCTAACATTTCGGCACGCCTACACATAACTGATAAAGTAAGTTTTCTGTCGTTGGCACATAAGTAAGGAAAAGGAAATTAATCAAGCAATAATTTAACTTGAACAAAACTGGGCAAAATTACCATGAATGCGGTGAGTTTACTTTCCATGAGCTACTCTTATATGTATGTACTGTATGAAAAAAAACTAGCAAATGCCTACCGGTTGTGTTGTTTCTTGGCTATTGTGGGGAACCAAAACATGCCGGTATAGCTGCAAAATCGTGTAATTATGCCGATCGCGCAAATTAGCTAAACCACCTCTTTGCGAGTTGTACAAGTAGTGCGTAGTATGTACTGCGCAGTCGGCTAACTGGAAACCTGTTTCAGCATGGATTTTTCCGTGGTGTGGTATTCCACTTGCAGGGTGCTTAGAAAAGGATTTATTTCCGGTGAATATCGCCCGTCAACCGGATCGGTCGAGTGTATGCGCTTGGTCATTGCTGGTGTAGGCGGAATAAATCACAACTGACACCGTTACGATAAGGGTCCAGGAAAAACCGTTATCGTATGTATCCATTTGTAAAAAATATATTCTTAAACGCTTATCTGTAAGGCTTTTATTCAATAGATTACAGGTTATTTCAGTATCATAAAGCCATTAATGAAAAGGCCGCTAATTCATTTCATTATTAAGCGCATAATGCACTGTGGAGATATTGTACGTTAAGTGTTTTTCGCACCAAATGGAACTACGTATAGATTTGCTACGGTTACTGATCACGCCTCCATTTTTACATAGTGCCTATCCAGCATCGATTTGGCAAACCCGTTTTTTCCAGGTGCAATAGTATAGGTTTGTTCAGCACAGCAAAATATTTTCATGAAAACCATGGTCATGTCGGTCGATTTAAATCCAATCGATGGGACGCCACGTCTTATAGAAAAATATATTTATCTGAAGTTCTGTGTCTGTTGAAAATATTGGAAGCATGATAACGCAGTCTGCGGTATTTTTTTCCAGTTTCACGACGTTTGTACTCAGTACCCCATTGGCTACTGCCTGTTGGTACGTCAATATAAAATATTATAAGCAATCTTGCAAACACACAACAAGCCCGCCGCTATTGATTGACGCAACTCTCCCCCATTGAGTTTATACGTGCGCTGGCATTTTTTGTTTCCGTGCACTGACATAAGGATTCGTTAAATTCTGACATTTAGTGGCTGTCTGTTTGATGAATTGTGTCTACCGCAATCGATGACAATCAGAAGCATTCATAAATGTTCACAGACTGAACTAACTAATCTGTGATATTTGACTTGATGTATTGAAGGAATTTTATCTACACCGCTTGACGCTGGATGCAAACGACGATTAATATTAGCTGGCCAATTTTCCCAGCCAAAGATGCCAGTTACCGAGCGGCGAAATTCACCATGTTTTTCTTTAACGCTAATTCAGTCCGACAGTGCGTATGCGAGTGGAGAATCCTTACTTCAGTCCCGTTCTGTATCGAAAAGCGTTGACATTTTATCGCCCGATGTTTCCACGTATTTCAACGGTGCCCTTCGCGGTTATGGCGAATTCTCTCTTCCCCAGAAAACTCCCAGCCCCGAGCCGGAAATACCAGAATGGGTGCGTAATGAATCGCGCCGCAGGAGTTTGGCCTTTCTTGATGAGACACGTGTCCAGCGCAAACGCGCCAATAGTGCCGGGGAGAAGCTGTTGCATTTCTTTCATCTAAGCGGAGAGGCCCGGCGGACCAGTCTGAATGCGGAGAGGAAGAAGAGGGCCGCGGTGGATGTATGGATGCAGCTAGATGCGGCGGAATTGCTTGGGGGCAAGCGGAACGGTAATGATAATGGTAATGGCTTTAGAAAGAGAGCAGCTACGACCGGAAGTGCCGGAAAGGATGTGCTTAATGCGATATTGAGGTTCCGAAGTCCCAGTCGGGAAAGAAAGAAAGATAGTATCCCGGAAATAAGCGAAGTGACAAATACGGTATGTCTGCTTTACAGACACAAGGGAGTGCATACGACACTTTTCTGTTAAGTATTTATAATAGTACGCGCAGTTTCTACATTTTTTATATGAGTAATTCTTATAAAATGCTTTCTGCACAACATTATAAAAATTTGTTTTTCAATAGCAAACGTAAACTGATAAACTTTTATTAGTCTGTAATATGGTGCACCGCGTATTTCATTACTTACTTAATAGTTAGTGGTATACATAATATTTTTATTATTTACTACCTGAAATTCGAGAACGGTAGTTTTTGTTTTGCGCTATAAAATACGTAAGTACAATAAGGTTTTGCTGTTGTCTTTATAAAGTTTCGTGATACAAATTTTGATATGATACATTTATTTCGCTAATCTTGCCGTAAACTTTTTGCCGATGAACAAAACTTCGTATGTCGCAGTAAGGTTAAAGTTAAACCAATCAGCATTTCAAAGTGGTGCAGTTAGCTGACAACGGCTGCTTTGATGCTGCAGGACACGGTTTTGGACGAATACTGTAGTGCGAATTGGTCTTTGTAAGAGTATGTTAAAATTTTAAATATTCTCACGATTTTAAATGTTACATAACAGTGTAAAAGATCATTTTTTAAGAGGTTGAAGTATGACATAAGTTGTTTACTTCTTATCTTGAACAACCAAAGGCAGTGCACAGTATCGAATTTGAGCCGTTCGACACTGGCAACAGTAAAAGCTTTACTACCCTAGTAAAGAAAATCATATTAGCATCGATTTATTGTTAATAAGTCGACCGTATACGCTACGTGCGTGGGACCGCTTGCTGTCAATTAATTCAATCTGTGCAATGGGCTGATATTGCAGAGTAAAGTGACTTTAGTGCCGGCATCCAAGAGCGAGCCCCTAGTGCGCTTGTGCCCCGAAGAAACCCAGCGGCAGCCGGCATCCCGGCCCCGCACACCGACCATCTGGGATCAAACGCTGCAGGACGCCTGTGCAGCACCGGCGCCGAATACGAGCAGCACATCGGCCAGCAAGCAAGATATCTGGATATGCCACACACCGCGCCCCCCTCCGCAGTACCACAATCAGCGTAATGAGGCTGGATTAGGGATGACGGTGCCGGTGCCGGAAGGGGAAAAGAGCGATGTGTATAAACATAACGATTCCGATCGGCCTGCCAAGCCGACTTACTATAAACTGTGTGATAATGTAATAATTGCGGGCGGGGAATTTTTTATGCCACTAACGGATACTCTCAAGCAGAGCAATATGGTCGCCGGTGTGAGCAAAGGTGGACACAGAGTGAGCAGCGAAAAGAAATGTGAAATAATTGAGCAAGAGGTTGTTATGGCGGATATTCGTGTAATTGGCCCGGATAGGGTGGATTTCGTGGATAATCCCCGGCCGCTTATTGAGTGCTTGCGAATTGCTGCGTTAACAGTTTACAGCCGATTCACGACTATCGCCGCATTGTATGGCATTCCTGCGGATCACGGATTACGTAAATTTGCTCAATTAGTGCGTTTGTTGCTTGCTGGAGCGCAGCGGCAAGTCAATATGACGGAAAAAAACACGCCGCTTAAATTACCAATCAAAGAAAGCCGGTGAAAGAAAATTCCCGGTTCCAGTTGACTGGGATTCTGTAATACGAGCTGTTGGTGTAGTAAGCTTGATTGTAAACACTGGGATATTAGAGCGGCTTCTTATATCCCCAGAATACTTTTGCGCGCGCATAGTTTTGTTGTAACAACATATTGTGTAATTACAGACTCTAATCTTGTGTACAACCAAGTTGTCACTGTAGCTTCCGGATATTTCTCCCGAAGTAAAATTTTTGGAGCTTGCTTGTAACGCCTTTGTAACTGTAAATAAACATATTATTTTTCTGTTATTGATCTCAAAAAGAATTAACCATGTGACTGGCCAATGCCGCTACTAAACAATGGCACCTAAACTTTACAACCTAACGATACTGTATGTGTTGTGCTCAATAATGCTCAAGTACTGTACTTAATTTAAAAAATTAAGCGTAAGAATAAGGTTTAGTTTTTCTTTTCTTTGATGTTCTGGTTAAAAAGACTGGACTTGTTAAACGTAAAACAGCGATTCTACCAGTACATACCAGCTGGTACCAGCTAGTACATACCAATGTACTGTACTTGTACATACAGATACTTGGTTTTCGTGCAATTTGCATGCATGGATTTATTTCCTCCAGTGTCGTGCAGTGAAACGGTTTTTCGTTCGTCTCGCCGACGAAAACAAAATTTATTGAACGCACAACACTACCAGAACTTGAAAGTTAAGAAATTTTAGAATTGTACTACGTTTTTGTGCCGAAAGTGCTGAGACGAGCTGTTGAAAATCTAAGAAGGATTCTACGCTACATCTCATAATTTAATTTAACATTAATAAATTGTGTAAGTAAGTGATTTTGCTCAGCTGTCAGTAAGTACAATATTTTTTCGCAGTTCGATCCTTCCCTTTAAGGCTGTTTAAGGTAAAAAATTAAGTTTGTTTGAGTCTGTGCAATATAATATCTATATATCAATAAGCAAGTAATTACTTAGGTACTTATTGTTAGTTTTTGTTGAAATTTAGCTGCGTCTGACGCTCGAGTACCCGAAATTATGGATGCCTTATGGAAACGATACGTCTCCCGGCAACTATACAAACGACACCATCAAAATGTAATTCAGCAAGCGAATTCATTCAAATGAGACAGCGTATCGTGACTACCTACTTGTAATTCGCCTTTCTCTCTCGACGCTCCCACGCGTACTGTAACGCCAGCAGCGCCCCACGACGGCAATTGATTATCATGCGCCTGTACGTCGGCAGTCTGCCCAACGGCTACCGTCTCTCGGAGCTGCTGCAGCTTTTCGAGCAGTATGGATGTGTATCACGTGTGACGGCCATACGCGATTTTGCCTTCCTGGCCATGTACGACAACGAGGCGGCACAGGCCGCCGTCAACGCCCTGAACAGCAGCTCCTTCATGAACCAGGAGATCATTGTAGAGAGGGCGCGTTTCCCACGGGGCCGCTTCCAGAATAACCGCCGATACCGTGCTGCAGGAGTGCAGGAAGGAGAGGGCGAGGATGCAACGTCTGTGCAAGGTCAGCATTATGATGGGGCTTATCAGCAGCAGACTGGACGGCAGTATGCGCCGAATGGACAGGCCGTGTACCAGCAGGGCACCGTGGTCTACTCGCAGGACAACGCCGGTTACCAGGGAGATGCAGCTGCGAACGGCGCGAACAATAACGGTAAATCGATGGTTTTATACTGTGTGGTAATCTTGGATTCTTTTGTGATGACTGTTTTGCTACGAGATCCGTACTTGGCTTTTGTGCTGAAAGGTCATCAAAAAGAATTTTTTACTTTTACAATAACTTTTAAAGTAACTGTGGATAACTTTACACGAGCATGCTTACTTGCTAACGTTTAGACGATGTCCTTACTTGAGTTTACGAAATTTTAAGATTAAGCACTCACCCTGTTGATAGTTGCATGTAATTATTTATAATAACAAAAATTCATTTGATTACTTTTGAATATTAATGAGTCTATTATTAGCCAATAATCCTGTTATTCCTGTATACAGTAAACTGCCACACATACATATACAATATATATTTGCTGGCGGTCTGCTCGTATAGAAATTAAAAATTTTGCGATGCACTAGATCCTAATATTCTTGACTATCATAAGAATTTCCAGATTGGGAGACCAGCGGACAGAATTACCAGATGTCCAGTACAGCCACGTCTAGTCGCGGACGGCGTGGCCGACGAGGCGGCCGCGGCGGAAACCAGCAATATCGCAACAGCGCGGACAACCAAGACTATCAGGCACAAGTGAATTACCAAAACCAGTCATACAGTCTGAACGACACTGCTAACCAGCAGTACCCAGCTAACCACCAAATGCAGTCTAACATGAACAGTTATCCAACGCGCGGTTTACGTGGGGGACGCCGCGGCCGCGGTCGTCGTGGTGGCGGTCGGGGCGGAATGCTACGTGGGTCATCCAGTGCGCTGCAGGCCAGTGAGCTGGACACGTCCGCAACGGCAGCCGTCAATGTGGCCGGCGGCAATGGAGCGGCAATGGAGAAAGTGGGTGTAACCAGTTTAGACGGGGGCGATCGGATAAAAATGTCCCCGGGTGCAGTTCCGCCGGCAGGTGGTCAGCAGTTTATGAGAATGCAACCGGCCGCGGTTGTTGGCGGCGCGGAGGCGGGGAAAATGGGGCGCGGTGCGGGTGATATGTGATTGTTTTGTAATTTCTCCTTCGTATGTATGAATATGTATGGCACAGGAATAATTTCAGGAATAGTTATGTTTTCTTCTGCTTCGGTGTTTCAGTTTCCATTGCAAATGCTCTCTTGCAGGTTTTTCATTGGCATAACACATTTCTCATTTTTTCTAGAATGTCTTTGTTAAATATCTCTTCTCAAATCTTTAAGAAATGGAAGCACAACATTTACCGAACTTACTACGTTGTATAATATACACAACTTGTGTACTGGTGTAACAAAAGTACAATTAGTAACATAAGCTACATAACTTACCAGTTCGCTTTCTTGCTCTTAATAAATTCACAGCCATTTGCCAGCAAACAAAAAACTGATTTCTTTTGCATTTTTATTTCGAAGACTTCTTTCTGCACAAATTTATGGTGGATAAAAAATCATACGATCATAACTCGTAAGATTAACCATTAAAGACATCCAGCGTACATATGCAGACATTCCTCCAAGGGTGGCTAGTGCTACTACCCCGGGACGAGGAATGCTGACTGAAAGTCTGAAACAGACTGGCTGTGTTTCAATGCTTGAACCAAAATTTTGTGTAGATTCTAGAATTCTTACATTGTACATTGACAGCTTTTTTATGTTTTTCATTGACGAAAATGTTCTCATATTTACTAAAAAAAGGCTTATTGTAGAGCTGCGTTATACGTCTTTTGCGTTTTGAACACCTAGTGTGTCACCTGCACACTGTGCATATGTGTACAGACTGTACTACAGTTTGGAATCTGGATCAGCTGGGCGCGAACAACTGCTGCGATTCATGCAAGTGTGCCCGGTGGATATCTTATTGAATTTCGGAAGGAAGTCGGGAATTTGTAGAATGTGAAGTTGGAGGGCATTGCATCTCGAGCGTCGACGTGACGCTACTCGTGCGAGTACATTGACTGTAATTGCTCGAACAGTTTTTGTAAGTTATGGATCTGGTTCGGATGCCATACAGGCACATCTTCTGTTGGCCCTTCCACAGCACATCTTTGAAATTGGCTGGAGGTTTTGTTCATAAAGTTCGTTTTATCACCAGCACGGACATAATACCAGCCAGGCATTTTACGAGTTGCTCACGATTCCCCACGCAGCCCCGTGCATCGCTGTGTGGCGTGATTTTCATACAACCGCGACGCTTCGTGTCCAGATCGCCAGGAGCCAGGAATTTCTACGATGTCCTGGAGATCAATCAGCAGGCCAGTCCGGCGGATATTAAAGCCGCCTATTACAAACTGTCTAAACAGTATCATCCCGATATCAATCAGGCGGGCGATGCCGTCAAGAAATTCCGCGAGATTACCGAAGCCTACGAAATACTGGGCAACACGAAATCTCGCGAGACCTACGATACGAATTTGCGGGGTGGACACACCACGACAGATACCTCCTATCAGTCGGGATCAGCCGCCAGACAGCGCAATCGGTACACGGAGACGGACTTCAACGATTTTGAAGAACGCTATCGGCAGTTCCGGGCGCAGGCGTTCGGGAGAAGGAAAGGCGCGGCACCGCCCACGGGCAAGACGGAATATTACGATTACGACGAATTTTATCGACAACATTACCAGGTAGGACAATCTCGATCTGCTGTGTACTGTAATGGGTAGATGTAACTGTTCCATTCTCGAAATGTAGGCGTTTCGAGGGGACAATCAGGAAATGCTCGAAGATACTGATTGGGTGTAAATAAAATGCCAAAAGTAAGAATTTCTTTAAAAAACTTGTGGGCAGATCTCTGTAAATATTTGCAATTGCGTTTTTTCTTATATTTAAATTTTAAGTTTTCTTAGCGCCGATTGTTCTTAACTGTACATGACATTCTTTCTAGTAAAAAGTGCACTTTGCAGGATACAAGGGCGCGAGCGTATAACGAACAGCGCTGGCGCGAAATGAACGAGTATTTACGATACCAGCAGTTCTCCGAAACACTGAGGACGTCGAATGTTCGGTGGCGGCTTTTAATCATGGCGATGTTGTTCATGTCCATGATGATTGTAATGTTCGATGCAACGATCAACGAGATGCTCACGCCGGACGACCGGGTCCGCATTCGTCTGGAAAGGGAGCGTTGGGAAAGGGAACATATGGGGCGAATGCGGTTGATGCGCGAGGAGGTGATCCAGCGACATCACGGGAACACTAATAACTCTTCCAGAGTAGTTATTCAGGAGCAGAACGATGATGGACAGCGGAACAACACACAGGAAACCGCTGTACCAAATCCTTGATTAAGGACCGGCTCTGTGATGTCTGTATTTTTCGGTGATAGGGATGCTTGAAGCATGATGGCATCTGATCAGAATAACAATAAATGCGGTACATGGGAATTTGATGCATTTTAAATATGCAGTGTTGTGCAAAGACTAACGAATAAAAATGAATTCAAAGGTAACAAAGTAAAGTTGTGAAACTTGCTCCGTGATCACAAAGTGGTGGTTTTTGTTTATTCATGTTGTTGATAAGAGTTCTCAGATATCTAGTGTCAAAAACACTTCGTACGAATGTAAGAAAATATCCTGGATTTCGTTACTAGTTTACCACTTAGTATGAGTTTCGCAGATAATTGTGTATCATACTGAGAATTGGAAAGTAAACTTGTGAACTGACTTCTAAAAACGACGACAATCTCTTAGACTCTCCATACATACTTCTAATTCATAATACTGATCTTTATCCGGGGAATTTGACGAAATAGTAATCACCTCATAATGCCTGCACAACGCATGATACTTCTACATCAAAACAAAAGAAATCAGAACTATTGCATAGAAGGAAGTTTTGAAAAGTAAAAACACATCAAAAATGGAAAAATCATGGAGCTGCTTATGCCATGTATGTAAAACTTGTGACCAACATATCGACAAAGAAAACGCAAAAAGAAGTCATCAGAATCATGTGTATTTATAATTGTCATTAATAAAACGTCTGTTGACTGTTTGCAGATCCACCGCGGAGATACCGGTTAAACTTTTCGACTTTTATCGTTCGGACATGGACTTCCGTTCGTTTCGGGATGTATTCCAACAGAAATGCGTCAATGGTTTTTTCTCCATCCACAAATTCTTGAGCCATTCTCTGTCAAAAAAGTATACTCGTGACAGTCGTGAGAAAGGTGGAACAGTTTCAAACATTTTTTTTCGCCGAAAACTTTAAACTAACATGCACTAAGATTAAGTTTGAGTACTGTACCAAGTTGAAACAAAACAAGCAATACGAGTACTGAAGTATAGTAAATTAGTAATCCAAACTTCACTTCATGCAAATAATTACGTGCAAGACAGCAAATGCAAAACTGCGCAAAGTGTGTAATCCTAAATCTATACGATATGGATTATGGACATATACACAGTAATGCAGGCCACAAGACGACTAACTTCAGAATCACTATCGGCATTCGCTGCCAGAATCCGCAAATTATCCAAAAGCAGATCAGGGCTTGACGGACCTCCCACGACAGCATCTGTAAATTTCAATATCTAAATTAAAATATCAACGAAATGTTTGTTATTGTACACCGTACACGAACTCGCAACACACAGCATTTAGTGTGATATCGACGCATGTATTGGAATGCTTTATTAAGAACTAAGCATTTGTTTATGAAAAGTTGAAGAAGTCGATGAAAATTAAAGTTGATGAAAAATAAAAAATTTAATCGAGTATAAATCGAGATGAAAATTAAATCAAGTATAAACTTAGGCTGTCTGTTTTACTGGTTACCGTTCCCTTGTGCACTTACCGTGTTGGCGTTTGGTTTGCTCGTATTCCTGTTGTTTATCACCGAGAACAAGATGAGAGCGATACAGGCGTTCCCGTGCCTCCTGCAATTCCCTTTCGCGTGCGAGATTATACTCCGCCATGCTCAGGTTTTCCGCTATTATCTCCTGTTTTTGGTCGGATAGTCGTATCAAATCCGCAGAGTCCAGTACGAGGGAATGCACGCGTTCCTCATTATCCACAAGCTGACGCAGTTCCTCGTTGGACAGATGTTTCAGGGTGTCGTAGCAGTCCAGCTGTTTAGCCATGTCCGCATATGATCTCGGCGGAGATGTGACCGTACGATTTGTTCCCATTTCAAGAATTCACGAATTTCAGCAACGAACAAACCCGGGATTTACTGAGCAAAGCCAGAATCGTTCACAAATACTCGGTCAGATACTGCTGTGTGTCGTCAACAAGAAACTAGGACGAGATGGATAAAACTAAAATAAACACTTAACCGGATTAGTGACTGTTGTCTATTTGCGGTTCAATCAATCGTTATGCCGTCGGTTCATAAAGTGGTCGAATAATCTTGCCATACTATGCTTAATTAAATATGGAACTATGCTCAACAATAAAAACAAACTCAATCTTAATAAACTTCAAAAAAGCAGTATAATATATGAATGAAAGTATTCTGACACTGAAATCAGAAACATTCCAAAATTTTCCTAAGCATTCAAATTTCAAAGGCTACTCGAATTCTATAGCTTGCAGTGAATTCCATTTCCACAGGACCACCACAATGGTATGATGGTTGAATGGAGCCGGAAGTTGAGACAGCGACACACAGCTGGTCTTCGCTCAGAAGCCAAAATTGGATTCATTTGCGATTTCTGAAAATTGCATTATTCTCGATCTATTTAAAAGTCAAATACTGACGTCTTTGATACTTTTTAATAAAAGAGTTTTCAAGTACGGCAGCCGAACATTGTCTATGAGTGTAAGTAACTTATCCAGTGCGTGATGCGGACAGTCAACAGCGGACAGACCTGGCCAGTGTAGCTTGTATTTTGTGGATTTTCGATTTCGTTCACTACGGCGAGTTTCGCGGTGTCAGCTCGACTTACCTTGTGTATTTCGCGTCGATTTCCGATACTGAGCGCATTATCATCCTTATATTCTGGATCCTTATGCGCAGGAGAAACGAAGAGTCCTGCAGCAAACAGATCGCCGTTGTTTTTCGTTAACAGTCGGAAATTGTCCTTCGAGATGGCTGGACGCGGACGGCCAGAGTATCAGGCCCCGCCAGAAATCGTAAGGCTCCACACTCTTCTTTTTCCGCGCAGCCAAGCTGATCAGTTTATCCCAAGTTGCGACAGTATTGTGCGTGGTTTGAGCGAACTCATAGTTTATATTGGTGTGCTTTTTACAGTTTTACAATGACGACGAAGCCAGAAAGTATACTTCCAAGTAAGTCACTTGGTTTGCAGTTCGCCACCTGGGGGGAACGAAAATGGCGTGTGCATTGAAATTTCTCATTGGTGTCTAGCTCGCGTATTATGGGAATTCAGGTGGAACTAGCGGAACGCGCTCTTGAATTGCTCAGTTTGCCGGAAGGCAATCCGTGTTATCTGCTGGATTTGGGGTATATTCACCGTTTACGAAACATAAATTTAATTCGGTATATGTACGAGCATATTCAGTAATATTAATTCAGTTCAGCATAAAATTAATTCACTACAATTTTGAGAGCCACTGAATTAAGCCTTAATGTTCAGTGCTGAATTCTCCGGATGATACTTAAATTTGGGGAATTTCACTTCATCCGACCTTGTCCGGCATAACACAACAAAAAATAGATTGATGTAAATTATTGTTGCATTTATTTCTTAGGTAAGGAAGTGGTATCCGTCGATATGGGAATAATCCGTGAAAATGTACTATTTTGTGTCCTGATTATTTAGCTGTGGATCTGGTCTGAGCGGAGAAACCATAACGAATGCGGGCCATTTTTGGGTTGGCATGGATATCAGTTCCAGCATGTTGGGTATGCCTTTAACTTGTCTTTTGTATTTCCTTGGCTTGCGGTTTTTTATACTTTTTTCGGTTTAAACACCGTTCCCATAAAAGCGTTGTTTTTTGGAAAACAAATGTATCCAGTATTTGCGGAGCAGGGTATCATGATTGATTGTTGGTTAGTTGAGTGTCTGAGTAATGTGATCGGGAACGGATTATGTTGTCAATTGCCGATTAAAGTGTACTCACTGGCGGCAGTGTTAATTTGTCTCGCACTGATTTTACTTTTCTCGGTAGATGTTGCCAGAGAACGAGAAGTGGACGGAGATCTAATTCTCAGTGATCTCGGCGAAGGTCTTCCTTTCCGTCCTGGGAGTTTTGATGGGGCGATAAGGTGTGGATGGAGGCCATACGTGAATCACTGACGCTTTACGTAATTTTTTTGGATTGTATTTCCAGCATTTCGGCGTTACAGTGGCTGTGCAATGCCGACAAAAAAGAGCACATCCCTTCGAAACGGTTATTCGCCTTTTTCTCATCGTTATACGCATGCTTGGTGAGATTTTGCGTTGTTTACAGACTTAAAGTGCATGCCAGTTTCAAACTTACGCTTTTTATCTTGTTGGTAGAGCCGTGGATCAAAAGCAGTCTTTCAGTTCTATCCCGAAAATAGCGCCCAGGTAAACCGTAACATGCCAATAATTTTCATAACAAGCTTTACTGAAGTTTGAAACTTTGAACATTATGGTTTTGATTTTTGCAACTTATACGACGTGTTTATCTGAATTTATTCGACAGGTTGAATTAATAACGCAACAGTCCATGCGAGCTGGTTTTACTGGAGGCTTGGTTGTGGATTATCCGAACAGTGCTCGAGCCAAAAAGTTAGAAAAATACTTTCTGCACAAATTAAATTTGCCCTGTGCAGTGTTGAACTATTGCATGACCTGGATTTTGTACTTGTAGAATGTATTTAGTCCTATTTACCGGTGGTGTCAATCCCACTCTTCCGAAGGGCTTGGATGGAGCCGGTGAAAAGCCCGTTAGTAACAGGTACAAGCGCAATGGTCTTGCCACGGGAAACATTGTTTAATGCCTGAGTTAACGGAATAATACTGTATTGTCTTGTAGATCTGGACACGGAGATTCACGACCGTCCAAGCCACAGAAAAATACACGAGAATGGATTTTAGCCAAGAAAGACCGGAGACGAAGACAAGGACGGTAAGTTGTTTTTCATTCTGGTTCAGGTTTTATTTTTGAACTTATGAAATAAGATAGCATTCTTAATGGATTCTGTTCGTTTCATTTGCAGAGATGTCAGACCTGACACGAAGTATACCGGCAGACATCGCCAGGGACACTTTTAAGCTTTTAGCTACTCTTTTCCAAGTCGTTGTCTGCTCTCTTTTATTTTAATGAACTTGAACCCGACTGAATGAAATAAAGCGCTGTGGTCTCCATGAACCATGATTCGCAAAAAGCATCAAAGCCGAACATATTAAATTTTGGTTTCCATAATAACTTAGGCGCAAGAGACTAATGTCGAACCATTCGTAAAGAGCTGAATACTTTCGACTCCGGTACAAAATTAGAATAATCGAGAAAAAGAAAAACAAACGCAGGAGGAATCAAAAACAAAAGCGTTCCTCAAAAGTCAGCGGCAACCGTAAGTATTGAAAATGGGATGGTTAACGCCCTCCACGATGTCAATAAATGCCAGATTTACAGGTCCTCATCATCGTCCGGAAGAGGGGTATCTTGAGCCGCCTGCAAAACATCATTACCTCGTAAGTTTGGATTTCAATCGGCTGCGACCAAGCAAAAATTACAAAGCAATGAAAGCAGTTAAACCATACAAACAGCTAACAAGTTATCACAGAATTAGTAAGTACAAAATAACCACCGGAAGGATCAAGCTTAATTCTATAAAATTTAGGATATTCCCCGTTGTAACAAGAACAACAGCAAGCAGAACGTAGATGCCTTGACAGCTACACGTATTTACTTATCAGAATGCGTAACTGTCACTGCATTAAATGAATTTCGCATACTCAGGTACACAAGAGTGCACCAATATTTTAAGATAAATATTCCCAAAATACATACCTTAATTTCCGTTTCGTATTGCGCGATCATAGTAGGATCCATTACCACTTCCGGTGGCTGCAGAGCGGGCATGGCCACAAAGTCCAAATTGGGATCACCAGTCAGTTTGCGGGCCAGCCAAAGGAAGGGCTTTTCGAAATTGTAGTTGGATTTGGCCGAAACATCGTAGTACTGGAAATCCAGATATTATATGTAGTAAATTACTAACTGCGATACTTCAGAATGTATTATATGCCGTATTACTAATAGAAAAAGAACGAAAAGAAAGTTGCATGCAATATCCGAAAATTGTGTTGAGCTTCGTTGAAAAATCGACGGCGCACCTGCAGATTCTTTTTTCGATGAAACACGATACTCTTGGCTTTGACTTTGCGGTCCTTGATATCGACTTTGTTGCCAACCAGCACAATGGGAATATTGTCGCACACCCGCGTGAGATCCCTGTGCCACGAAGGAACGTTCTTGTATGTGACGCGCGCCGTTACATCGAACATAATAATCGCACACTGGCCTGGAAAAACAGTAAATTATCATATTTCACATTAAAACAAATCACAACTTTATAAATTTACACGATTTATACATTCAGTGAAATAATACAATAAACTGATCTCCAACGTTGATGCCTGCAAGATACAATCAGCGAACCGATGACTTCATGACTGATGTCAGACGAAGTCTTCACTCCGCACTGACAAGTCTCACGCACGCAAACCCTCCATTGTTATCCCTTATGACTGGTCGGAATCTGTAAGACGTACCCTGAATGTAGTAACCATCGCGCAGTCCTCCGAATTTCTCCTGGCCGGCGGTATCCCAGACGTTGAAGCGGATGGGTCCACGATTGGTGTGGAAGACCAGCGGATGCACCTCCACACCCAACGTCGCCACGTACTTCTTCTCAAATTCTCCGGTCAAATGGCGTTTGACGAACGTAGTTTTCCCCACACCACCATCTCCCACCAAGACAAGCTGTAAAAGAGGAATCGTGCGAAACGGTGGTCCACGGAGAAAAAAGCAGGAATTTCATCGTCTGGTTTCTCGTTTACCAACCTTGAAAGTGGGAATGTCAGCTTGTTCGGCCATCTTTTATCAAGTGATCGCCAGTAATCCACACGAAAAGCGATGGTAAAAAATATGTACCAGAAGTTTCGCGCCTAATATGAATAGCACGTTCAACTTCAGATAGATAAAAAGGCTGCGAACAACTGGAAAGCCAAAAACGAAAAATGCGAAAATTCCTATTTTTCACAGACGGAACAAGCGCAACTACGGCAGTGGCGCCTCCAAAATGAGTCAACGAATTAATCGACAATACGTCGAAGCGGCGCACACTCAACTCCGCCCTTTACTGCATTGAACCATTGCGGTAACGCTGATTCAAAACACAAATGTGTTATTGGCCACTTTGAGAAAAGTACGTATAAAGTACTAATACAGGGACTGCAACTGGCAGTCTGGCAGTCTCCAAGTACGACTGTTGACTGTTACTACTAGTTTGGCCATTAGCCACTGTCCCTCCGCGTCACTGAGGTCAAATTTTAAAAAAAACATTGTGATTGTAAATCACATTGTGATGTAATTGTTTTATGTGGTGCTGCTATTTTTACCGTGATAAATAAATAACATTGTTATTTTTATAAAGTGCTGTACATACTAGTATACTACATAGTACATACTAAATGCAACACAATTACGGTTAGTGAAAGCTTAAAAAATTAATATTAATTTCAGTATAATTTCACACTAACCAGTAAAAGTCGTAACACATGGTACGTAGTTTTAATTAACATGTGATAGTCTTGTTACCGGTTTGTAACTACGTATTGACCTTTTTCTGCGAACATAGGAGAAAATTCCCGCTTTCAAGAACTATATCTATATATCTATATTCGAGATGATATCATAATGCTACCGGTGCGGAAACCGTTTTAATACAGTATACTGTATTTACGTTAATACAGTATACTGTACCTAGATCGAGTGTACTAGGTACAGAAGTGAGTACTACTTACTTCTGTACCTAGTACACTCGATCTAGGTAGCACCGTCACATGCACGGTATTAAAGTGTATACTGAAGAAAAAAATAAGTATGGTCCTGTATGGACTATGGACAGGATCGTATTTTTATGATCCTTATTTATTTCAAATGCCTTATAACAACAATAATAACATAATATTCAAGTTTTTATGCATGGTATGTACTGTTGTATGTCAGCCAAGCGAGACAACAAAGGTGTGCCATTATCGCACCTCACACAAGGGGGCTTAACTGGCGTATCAAGCACCCCTCCTCTTTCGTTTTATCCCAAAATAGTACTGTTATGACGTCAACATGACGCATGCGAACACAACAGGACATTGTACCGTTTGTAGACGATTCGAATGAGTCACTGCTCCGTATGCGCACGCGTGCCTGTGCTCTGATCCAATCCTGCTGGAGGGTTGGGATCTGAGTTATTCACTTAATTCGGTTCATTTTACGCACTTTGCGTCTCGCGCTCAGTAGCAGTGTTTACAGCTGTACACGTCTCGACATCCATTGGAATTTGTGGTTTCTTGGTGTGTGTTGCATTCGGTTTTCGCAATCAGGTAATCAATGTTTTAAAAAAGTCATCCAAGTTATCACAATGTTCTTTTTTTGATAAAATTTATGTTTACATCCACTGATATCCGAAAGGTTCCAATTTACCACGGAAAACTAAAATATAATATGAAATACTGGCACCTGCAGCAATATCGTAAAAACAAGTTCCTTATGAAAATTCAGCGACATGGAAACAGTAGCTTGTGGATCTTGAGCCACAAGGTTTCGTAGTTTTGTATTTCTTTGCTGAAAACTACATAAGGAATATTGTTGGACATATTGCTGGAAAGGCTCATTATGATGCTCCCCAGTCCTACAACAGCGGTAGTGAAATCAAGATGATAAAGCACACCTCATTCCATTTGTAATATGCTTCGGCTTGCCAGGACACGTTTGCAAATAGCTAAAATTTTAAGCATAAAACACTGTTAAAAAACATATTTTTTTGTCAGCAGAAACTTTTGACAGAACTAAGATGAACACTCGGGTTAAGACTACGCTTAAAACTAAGATCAGTAATTCTGATAATACTCTGATAAAACTAATATTTATACTCAGGTTTTCAAACCTCAGATAGCTTAGTGTTTGCGAACTCTGGTTATTTCTCCCAAAAACTCAAAAATTCCTCCGTCCACAAAATGTTTTAAACCTAATTGAATTTATTATTATGTTCACCAGTGAAGTTTATTCAGCCAGAAATACACTATAACAGAAGTTAGGCACTATAACAGAACTTCAAATTTAAAAAATTCAAAGAAAATTTAATGGTATTATACATTTTATTTTGTAATATCTGTTTTTTGGCAAACCAAAGGAATACTAGAAACTGAAAATGACGAAATGACGTAATTGCAAAAAAATATACGACATTACTAATGACGAGGATTTAAAGCCTGAGTTTTGAATTGTTTGCACATTTAATTTTGCGCCGTCATTTTTCACAACAATTTTTCATCCTGCACGTTTGCTAAATCTGTTGTCTTGAAACACTAAATATGCGTTGACCAAACAGTTATATTTCAATTGAGAAAGATTATTAGAGAAAAAAAGCAGAAAATAAAAAGTTATCTTAGCATACCATTTTTCTGGTTAAATATTTCGAAAAAAAATGTATATTTTTTTGTTTTTAGCTGATGTTGGAAATAAAAGAGGCTAGCGCTACGCTACTATATACTTCCACTGCCGAGTAGCAGAGCGTTTCAAATGTAATGGAAATTGTTGCAAAATTGTTTTAGAACGCATTATAGGTATTATATGCAATTATTCCGTTGGTCTGAAACTTTTGCCAACACTACTATGAGCACTCGGGTTAAGACCATGCTTTGAACTAGTATCACCACTCAAGTTTATACGTTGATCAAAACTAGCATTAGTACTCGGGTTAACACTCTCGTTAAAGCTAACACGAACATCTTTATTTGTACACCAAATATCATTCAATAATTCAGGAATCGTAACTGTTTCGCTACACATAATTATTTTTTGCAAAATGCTTATGAAAAACAATTTTTCGCGGACGCTTTGGCATGAGAAAAATTTGGTACAAAAACATTTTGCTGAATCGCTACACAGACATTCGGCATGCTACTGTCTTTTTTGTTTACGCTCTAATCTATAATCTCATTAGAATGTTTTCCTAAGTTTTTTTATATTTTACTTGTTTTTGTTAGCTTTTCTTGTGTTTTCTGAATATATTTTCGTGGTGTTCATAAGATTATTAGCTTTTTTGGCTGGCTTTAGTTTTTTTTTAATCCAGTATGTTTTTTAACTTTTCAAGCTTTGTTAAAATTGTTTTTTAAGCCAAATTGTGCTATGCTAAAATTGGTATATGCGGAAGAGTTTTATGCCCTTATGTTCTTATTCCGAAATGTACGTATATCATGCGCCTTCCCCTGCGTAGATGTTACTAAAAGCATTTTCAACGAAAAGGTTGATTTCAGTATTCTTAATGAAAAAAAAACGAAGATAAAAAGAAATGAAGACATTTTCAATGCGAAAGTTTATTTGAGTTATAGTTCCGAAGAAGATTTGCAGAAAAGATCGAGAGTCAGTTTGTCGAAAGGGGTTAAGCTAAAGCCGAACAAAACAGTTGATTCGTCTGTTGACCGTATTTTTAACCAGAGTCTTAACCAGAGTGCTGTTTTTAGTTTATAACCGAGTATAAACCTTAGTAATCTTGTTAGTCCAGATCAAAGTCTTAACCCGAGTGCACATTAGTATCGTCAAAAGTTTTACTTGACTGGAGGTTGTAAGTTAGATTTGGGTTTTCAAGCTCATTTTGGAATTTCTGACTTTTATTTTGTGCGGGCGCGATTTGCAATGTCCGTTTAATTGGTTTGGAAAAGAACCGTCAGGGATAAATTTTGATTGCGTAGCATAACTTTTATAAATACTGTGCGTTAATGTATAAATATAATGGTTGCCTTGTATAAATTGTTTACTCGTGAAATATTATAGCACAGTAATGGTAAAATAAACATTCAATAAACATTTATATGAAGTAGTGCAACAGTGTATGCAAATTTGTGGATCAGTGTATAAGTTTCGCTGTACACATGAAGGTTCCTCACACTTAAATAAGAACTAATCTGAAAATGCGCATTTACAATTATAATTCAAAAATTTGATTAAGCAGTCGGCGATGATATTATTTGTTGAGATCCGAAATAAAAAACTTTGATTTTACCTTGTTGCATCACTAACATAGACGCGGCACAGCTACAATTTCCAATGGATTTCATGCGAGAGTGGAATTGTAATTGCTGTACTGAGCACGAGACGTTAAGTGCACAGAATGAACCGAATTAGGTGAATAACTCAGATCCCAACCCTCCAGCAGGATTGGATCAGAGCACAGACACGCGTCGTATACGCAAAACTGTCTGGGATTTCATGTGGCGGCTGGATCTTAAATTATTCTTAATCCTGCATGAGCTCATGGGCTCTCTGTAGTAGTAAATGTAATCAACAGCCTGAATACAAGGCAAAAACTAAGCACAACAGCATTTTATAGCTCTTATCATAATGACATATGATTGTGTTTCCCTGTAGTCCACTCTAAAGGGCTACAGCACAGTACAGGACAGTTTCAGCAACATTCGCATTGTTGGAATAATAATATCGAACGGCGCAGCCCTTGCCTTGTTGATGAAATGGGATAAAATCGTTGTCCCCTCTCTTCTCTCTCGATCTCTCTCTGGCTTGTTACATCGTTCCCTCCTTGGATCATCTAGTCAGTCAGTTTCCCTTGCGTTTCCGTCTGGGAACAGTAGTTTGGTGTGTGCTGCTCCTGTGGATTTGTCAGACTCTGGTTCGCAGTTGGCAAGAAAGACCAAAAAGAAACTTTCATCATATCATGGGGCTTACGTGCCCTTTACATAAACTGCCAGAAAGAAAGCGTGGCAGAAAGTGGTGCATTGCATCTTGAGTTTTGTATTGGAATTCGCTGACTCGTGACGGAATTCGTCTCATTATGCAAGTGCCGTGACCGATGCTGATACGTTTTTCTCCCTACGGAACGGGAACAAACTGATCATTTGTGTTTCATTGCGGATTAAACCTGGGATCTTTCATATCTGCTGTTGACTGTTGTATGATCTTGCTACTATTTCCAGCGGGAAAATGACTAAAGACCGGTTGACAGCCCTAAAAGCGGTAGGTGCTTGAGAAAACGTTGACTCTGATTGCAGAACCGAAGAGTTTGAAAAATTTAGCAGGACGTTTTGATTTTTGCTCTTCTTATGTACGCCGCGTGCGTAGTTATGATTCTCTCTTCCTACTTCTGTGCGTTTAGGTCCTTTTTGTTTTCTAAAACGGTTGCTATTTGTTTTGAAATTATCATAAATATCTCCGAAAATAGCACTGCTTTTAAGTTGTTCGTTGTTTAATTGATGACCATTTCAGTACGCTCATGGTCATGTTATCGCTGGACATCCGTGCTGCCGTTGTGACGGTGTTGAGTGTGAGTTGCTGTACGACTTATAATGCAGTTTGGCGGAAAATAAAATATTCAGGAAAATAGAAAATTCATTATATTTTATACAAATAATAATAAGTTTCTGTATTTCAGTTCCATTTTCTGTGTAGTGTTCACGGTAGCAGATGCAGAGCTTTTATACGAAGTTTTAAATCGTAGCGTACGTATATAAAACATTATTTTTTAATACTTTTCAGTATTGTCAGGTACGATGCTTTGGTATATATTAATTTTTACATTATAAGGTGTGCAATAAAAACTTCAGCACCATATTATTGATTCGGTATTTGTATTAAACCCTCTAATCGAAAAAGGATTGCCAATTATGCCGTATTCAATGACTGGGTTGATTTAACGTTGATAGTTTGTAATTCCGACAACGAGGTTTTCTTTGTCAAAAACGGGAATTTTTTCGTTTTGAATTCTTATGGTTGAAAGGCAGCTATATCTGTACTCGTAGTCTTTAGTTCGAAGACGTAGGGACTGAGGAAAATCGGAATACCGAATTACATATACATGGTACATTGTAATGCGGCGCAGGCATAATTAGGGAGGATGCGTTTGATTTGGCGGATTTATGCGCTTTGCTGTAGAGACCATGGACAACCGGGAATTGGATTACTGCGTGGTAGAGGAGCGTTAAAATAGGAAATCGACAGCGGTAGTGGCATAGAGCGGGCACGGGGCTGGGTTCTGATGCGAAAGTGATTAGCGTTTTATGAATCGACGTGTCGTTTTTCTAGTGGAGTGGCTCATGATGTAACAAGTAATGATCATTTTGTACCAACCTGCCACAATTAGTGTCCCATATAACCAACTTATGGCTTGATCGAGTGCTGTTCAGATGGGGTTTTATGGCGTTCACAACGACCGGCGTTAGTCATGTTTTCCAGCATTGACAGATGTTTAATTTAAATAATAATAAACGCGCAGTTCGTAAAAGTTTGTGTAAGGGTTACCAGTTTGCCTGTTGTTAAGAGGTCCAAGTGTTTGCTCTATTTCCGTAACATAAGTAGATTTTAGAACTTAAGATTTGCACCAGCAGTTGATCAACATCGTGGCATCCTCCACAAATTGTGGTGTTTAATGGTGTTGCTGTAAGCAGATCGCTGTCTTCGCGATGCATTCTTGTGGTAACTGCGCTTTTGGATTTTGTTGATAATTAATCAGTTTTTGGCGATATAAACGATTTGAATTAATTTTCATGGTTTTTTAGGCTCAAAGCGATGAAGAGGATGGAATCGGGTTGGATGAAGTGGCGCTCAATATGGAAGGGGGGCAGGGTCAGATGGATGAATTTTTCGAACAGGTAATTTACAACGAATTTATTTTTTGATTATTTCGTGGGCAACAACACATCTACATTATTACGAGTAGCTGAGACAAAACGAAATTGAAACGTGTCACAGTCGATGTAAAGGTCGACTCAAACGGGTGTTTTCGACTAGTTTAACGATAGTGCAGTTATTATATGCAATTTTTGACAGTGGAAATGCCGCATCTCTTAAATTTTCCTGATTATTGGGATGAGATTTAACGCTGCCGATTTGCGTACGTGTATGTGTGTGTCCTGTGCGTTTTATCGGCTACAGGCACGCACAGGCGTTTTTCCGGGCTAGTAATTGATCGTTCCTTCCATAATATCATCCACGGTTGTGACACAACCCTTTTGGCTGTGCTCCTCGGATTTCATTAGATCGAATCTGTCAAATTGGATATGTACACTACGTTAACCGAGCTGGAGGTTTTCGGTTACACCGTGCCTTTTGTTTCAAGATCGCTGGTAGAATTAGGTGCTTAAATGAAACCTTTGCTTAACTTCCACTGCTCAAGACGTTTTACAGATAATTTAGCAGAAGGCAGCAGGTAAACATGCTTTCTATGATGTTTCTTAATATTTTTAATAATAATTGAAGTTAAACCGAATTGATCGTTGAAGTTTTGCGGGAAATGATACGAGTATTTTGAGAATCGAATTGTTGGAATTTGCAATGTACGAATCTTCTTGCTTTAAAAAATAAAACTATTTATTAAGAAAGCGATTCCCGTATAACTGTACATGTATACCAAAGAACAGAATGAAGAAAAACTGTATCTTACGGAGTCCGGAGATGCCGAATTTTCGGAAATAAATGCTGACTAGCTGAGGTATGCTTTGGATCGATGGGAAAATGTGTGTGTGTGTGTGTGTGACTGTGTGGGAAATCATTTTCCTTTCGGGTAGCGGTCGGTAGTTGGAAAACCTCGCATCCGTGCAATTGTTCGATGATTGTATAAGGAACAAAAATCGAAGGTGAATTACGCAATTTATGTGTAATTTTGTCGGGACTTGTGCTGCTTGCAGACCTGTGTGCTTGGGAACTCATACCGTGAGAGGCAAGCCGCTCGGGCCCGCTCTCATGCCGTTTAAAAAAGTGTTTCGTTTGATGGCAGTATAATTACTTCCGCTGGCACATTACGGGGTAAAAGATTCCGATTTGCCGAAAATGAGTACCAACTCATTATGATCAAGCACAGTCTGCACAGTCGTACGGTGAGCCGGTAAAACATTGCAGTTTTAGCCACAGTTGCGATGTTTTTCGTTTTTCTAATTAATTTTATTGGCATTATATTGGTTTCTTACTGATGAGTACAACACAGTTATTTTCCGGATTATGCAGAACATGACGAGGCAGGTCATGCCATGAAGAAAATAAAACCGTCATGAAATGAATATTATTATTATTCATTATTTTGGTGCAGTATAACACTACAAGTGGTTTTCGACCAACATTATACCGTACAAATGGATACAGAACTTTTTTATGCTGTTGAAAATCCACCTGGCCGTACTATTTCCAAAGTGTATATTCACTTTGCTATTTCGATCAGACCTGCAACTGTGTCGTTTGTTTGCCACTTGTCTACGCTATTTCCATGCAGATCTATACAGTGCACAGCGGACACTATTAATTTTGGCCTTTTTATATCGATGATACAGTATTCCAGTCGTACAGCTTCAGCGTTTTCACTTCCAACTATGTTGGCGTAGCGGCCTGGCAGAGAGCGGTATTTAGCTGCTGGGTTTTTTCGGGACTAAATGCGTCCGTTCGGGTCGATGGTGTGCGTACAAGCGTGTGTAGTATATGTGTACATTTGCAAGATGTCGGTAGAATGTAGGGTTAGGGGAAGCGCAACGGAGTAGCGGGGGGAATCGATATCCTCGGCCTAGGATATCCATATATATCGATACGGGTTAGGACGATGAAAGTTTCCCTTTTACTGCTTTGTATATTGATGGATATATTAGTCGGTTGGAATTCGCGTCATCACTTAAACCAGTGCCAGGAAGAGGTCGCCGTTTGTCAGTCTGGATTGACGGCAGTCGTTGCGCCACGATCGAGTGGATGCTGAAAAAAAAACACGGCTATGTAGCGTGTGATCTGGGATGGTGGACGTTATGGATATTTTTGGTATATTACATGCCCCGTCCAGAACAGAATTGCGGTAAAAAAACCCGGCAGTTCTAAAGAAACACATGTACACCATACCGGCATCGTTAATGCTTACCGTATACTGCAGGATCATCAATGCTTCTGCATTGTTTTTGTTCCGCTGTTTAAATGCGGATAGTGAAATATGAAGTACTCGAACAGTGGTCATTCAGGGTTAAGTCGGTACAATAGATTTAGAATATCCAAAAAAATGGAAACAGTCAAACAGGTAGCGTTGATTTGATGACGCACTATTTTAAAAAAACGCGAGAATAAAGCGAAACTTATGTAGGGAATTTCTTGGTTAACTTACAGCATACCGGTGAAGAAGCCATCATGCACTAGTGACGAAAGGAGGCCAAGGAAGCTGCCGTTAGTATTTAAGATTGGCTGAGACTTGAGATTGGATCGCGCGGGGACGGTAATCCTTTGGCTAAACTTGTTGCCTTCCCGATCCCCGATTATCATGCTTCCAAGTATACTTGAGCTTTCTGACGCCTCTGGCGGGATTTTTGAAGATACTTCCGGTTTATCTTCGGCAGTTTTTTTGTTGGACAGATGGCGTATTGATATCTGCAACTGGCAGGATGGGAGTTCATTCCCTAACTTCACTAACTGCTTCAGTAGAAGTTTGCATTTCCTGATGCGCAAATACTGAATTACTGAGTGGGTGCATTGGATCCACTTTCTGCAAGATACCCGCACATTAACAGTTTTTAGCAAATCTTGGAAATTGATAAATTTTTATTCTACGATTTTCAAAGAATAAATTCTCGAGAGTGATGGTCCTTTGAGAATTCACATCTCTTTAATAACGTTTCGGTTCGTTGTTCTTTCTGCAGCTTCATAGAAAACGTTGTGTCGATTTTTCGGTATGTTTGGTTTGTTTACGTAGTCAATGTGGTACAAAACCACGATCGACACGAAAAAGAAACCCTTGCTTGATTGCCTGCACTGTTCGGGTGGAGAAAAATCGATGCTAATCGTTTTTGTAACGGCATTTCTCACTTTAAGATATTGCTTGTAGCCTCCGCTGGCATTGTGTTTATTGCTTAAATGCAAAATTGAACGCCATGTACCCGACCCAAAAAGCGAAAAACATTGAATGATATTACGTAGACGATAGCCCTAGTCAGGCCAACCCAAGTAAAGTATCGCCGTCGTAGATATTCCGGTTGTTCATTTCCGTATTAAGTTTTGTGCTACAGTTAAATTTTTTCTCAGCTACATTTAAACGCAGAAAAATAAGCATGTTATCCTTGAAACAATTTTAATATAAACAAAAAGCTCACGTAGCTAAAATTACATAGGACTTAAAAATGCAGTATTTCTACATGTGCGAATACATGAATTTCTGACAACTTGGGCGCAATGCCGAAATCTGCGTACAGTATGTTTTTTGCGTACATGTCACAGCGCACTTTTACCATGAGCATATCCTGTAAGATTGCCACAGTTCGAAATAATTTTGTTACATAAAAATGAATGGCAAGAGCGTAAGGATATTGTTTGGGTATTTTTTTTACTGTTAGTAATACTGTAATGCAGCTGTGCATTCTGCAGGTCGAAGAGATACGAACATCTATAGAGAAAGTGGAAACCGATGTGGAAGCGGTCAAACACAAACACAGTGCCATTCTCTCTGCGCCAACCACCGATGACCGTAAGATTTACCTGGAGTTCGTGAATATGAAAAAGTAGCCGATAATGGTCTGATTGCGCTGTAGGCGACAAGGAGGAACTGGAGCAGCTCATGGCTGATATCAAAAAAGACAGCCAATAAAGCCCGCAGTAAGGCTTAAAGGTGAGTGAGTGCGGAAACTGCACAGCGGAAATTCCGTGACCGATTCACTCGACGGTGTGCCTTTTCACAGTTATCGAGCAGAGCATTGAAGCGGAAGAGCAGTCAAACAAGGCTTCAGCTGATCTGCGGATACGGAAGACGCAGGTAATCAGCGGGCAAAAAAGGCGCTTTTTCTCTGGTTTCCCGGACTATGTTCTTATCCTCCGCTGATGTTTTTTCTTGGCGACATTAGCATGCGACACTGTCGAGGAAGTTCGTGGAGGTCATGACCGATTATAACAAAACCCAGACAGATTACCGGGAGCGATGTAAAGGTCGAATTAAGCGCCAATTGGAAATAAGTGAGTGTTTGAAGGTGCCATGGTCTCGTGAGACAGCATGTTGTGTGCCAGTGTGGATGCCTGTGTCTGGGTGTGATATGTGTATGTGTGTGTGTGTGCGTCTGGAACGGAAAAGTGTTTGTGACATTTGTAAGCTGTGTGCTGTGTGATTATGCCGCGGTTAATGGGTTGTCTGTGCAGCCGGACGTGCCACGACAAATGAGAAGCTGGAGGAAATGCTGGAAACCAATAATCCGCAAATCTTCACTCAGGGGGTTGGTGTGATGTCGCCGTTGCGTGAAGGCCAGATGTTGTCATTGTACCCCGGACTATTTTTAGAATTAATGTCGGATTTTATGGTGGTTTGGTTTGAAATGCGGTGGAGACTGCGAAAAAAACTGCTATAATTTACATTTTAATATCGAGGCTTATAAAACTTACGTACTCAGCCAAGATTTGATTTAACTGAACCAACGATTTCGTTACATTTTCTTTATTTTGTATGATAAACTTGATAATGTGTTTTATATTACATGTAGTAGTTACATTTATATTCGTTTTCTCGGAAAGTATTTTGATTGTGAACCGTATTGAACGATATTGAAAGTTACCGGTGATATTTCTTAAAAAGGAATGTGTTTGCAGATTATAACAGATTCCCAGCAGGCCAAACAGACTTTGGCTGATATCGAAGCGAGGCATCAGGATATCATTAAACTTGAAAACAGTATTAAGGAGCTAAGGGAGATGTTCACTGACATGGCCATGTTAGTGGAAAGCCAGGTATGACTGCGGCGAAAGCTGGACGCATAAATGTTTGATTTTTTGAAATAAACATGGGAACTGTTTGTTTTGTTAGGGTGAACTGATTGACAGAGTGGAATACAACGTGCAGCAATCCGTAGACTACATTGAAACGGCTAAGCAGGACACGAAAAAAGCTGTAAAATATCAAAGTCAAGCACGACGAGTAAGTGCAATGGACATGTGTTGCATGAAGAAAACAGGAATTTGTTGCGGATTATCAATATTTATTCTCTTGCGTTAATTTTGTTTGGTTTGTGACTTTGATTTTATTTTATAGAAGAAGATCATATTGATTTTGGTTGGCGTGGGTGTTTTGGTTCTGGCAGCCGTGATTATCACATTGACTGTGATTTTCAAGCAGAATGTTGGCTAAATTATTTCCGCGTTTTTGAGTTTATGCTTTTGCCGGTTCAGTTGCGTTTGGTGATGTGCATTTAAATAGCGGTGATTTTATGGAGCATTTTTGTGTTTGATACTTTGATTTCGGATCTCTGGATTTTTTATGCTGGCTGCTTTCCGAAGCTATGTATTTTGCTGTGCGAAATTATGGAGTGCCGCAACCCTGTGACCTTTGTATGCCCGATAATTGTACAGTATCAAATTCCTTGGTTGATGGCTACTTGGTTTGGTATGTGCTCGTTTTAATTTTTTTGCAGTTAAAAATTTAATTATTGCGTATAAATATATCGTCTTTTCTTGGGATATTCGTATCAGTTAACTCCTTGTATTATTTTGCAGAAAAAAAATAATGATCATGGTGTGTCTTATCATCTTGGCTATCGTGATAGCATCGACATTCGGTGGTATATTCGGAATGTAGCAGCTCTCTGTTGGGCAGCCTCAGATATATTCACTGCAACGGGACACACAAAAAACCATTTTTTCCCTCTCGGTCCCGGGGAAATCGATCATTGTGGAATTGTTTTATTTCTCTTTACACACTCCACTCTCTTTGCCGTTACTTTTTGCTCCCTTTATCCGTTGGGGCGTGGCATTTCTCCAGACCAAATTATTTTCTTCTCTGTCTGTGTGTGTTGCCTGTGTTGCGCGCGCACTGCACTGTTGCTGCTGCTACTGCTGTGGTGTCTCTCTTTGTACTGCATTACACAATTTTATCCCAGGTCCTGGCTGTGTATCGATTTTCCGCCGGCAGCAGCGCCAACTGCGTTTTGGTGGCGGGGAAAACGGCCGGATCGCCGGCGCCGCGCAGCGCAATCCGATCGAAATCCAGTGTGTTTAATTAATTAACCCCACAAACATTTCGTGACTTAATCTAAAACAACTGGACCGATCAATGCCCGGCAAACGCGTCGGTTGTGCGGATGTTATGTTTGTATGGTTGTCATATTATTTGCACTGCGACGGCACCGCGACTCGAGCCGGTTTGACGGGGTCTCTCTCTCCCATTTTTCTAATCTCTGCCTAAACGTGATGGATTTTCCGGTCATTGTAGACGAGCCGCGTTTTTCCATAGAGTTTGGTTGGTATCGTTTGCATCTTCACTGATCTTGGTTTGTTTCGTTCCCGAGTGCGTAACACTGCGAAGAAGTCCGGCTGGTAAACAGTATCCGATTGTAATTCATCGCGACGGCGCCGCCTTCTCCGCGCGTCAACCAACCAACCATCACGCGAGGATTTTCATCGGATTGGATTTTCCACGGCATTTAGCGCCTTTTTCGTCGGTTGTGCATAGTGGTTTTGGCAATACGCTGTCACGTTGTCAGTGCTGTAAAAATTTTTCTCCAAAAATTTTCTCTGCAACTTTGTTTCTCCAGTGCGTCTCCAAAGGCGTATTATTTCTTTTTTCGTTTTAATTTGGTAGTAATTTTCTAAATTAAGATTTTAGTGTGTTGCACTGTCTATTTTTCGTCAGGTCTCGCAATAAGTGATTTCTTACAGATTGTTTTTTTGACTGTTGTGTTTGGCGCTGATTGGACACAGAGTTTTTTCCCTCTTTGGCTAAGGATATTAGGTTTGGAACGAAAGCAATAGTCTACACTCGCATTGCACATGGTTTATTAGGGCCGGCTATAAAGCTGCATGGTTGGGAATAATATGTCAGGCTGGCATCTTTATAATCAATAAAACCGCGTTATAAGCCCCCCTCTTTGCTGGCGATGTACGGGCGCATGCAAATCCATCTCTTACCATGCAGAAAATGGCACTGATCTCTAATAATCTCATCAAGTGGCCAATGGGAAAAAATGACAATACACAAAATCAACATGCTTATCGATCCGACTGATTTCCGGTAATCAATGGCCGGAGAGTGTAGCAGCGGTCGCCGATGCTGTTTCTGTACTTCGCAGTACTGCCTCGATCGTCGACTGCAGGAATTTATTCGACTTCAACAATGCATTTTAGAAGTCGCAGAAAAATTTCAATAATGCAACCAAATGAATGTTTTACTGCGGTACCATAATTTATATTATATGCATACACATAGATGGCACCAACCAGTACTAGTGCTATAAGCATAGATGGTGCTGTTGAATGAAAGGTCAAGCTTTGGTAAAAAGGTCTGCAAGGACAAATAATATTTTTTCTAGACGCTTCAGTAAACATAACCGAGCGAGAAACACAGCTTGTAAGTATTTTAATCGTTAAGAAAGAAACTCACACGTTTGATTTTTTGACCGGCAATTAGTTAATTTACTCCGCCGTTGCTTAAAGCTAAAAGTTTACAAGTTATGCAAATTCTACCGTCTATTTCACTGCAGAACGGCACTAGCTAGTTTCCCATTAGACAGGTTTTTAACTTATGGAACTAGACTACATAATATATTATTTCCCAACTCCTGCCCCGCTGGCCACGGAACCACAGTCGACGCCATCCTCACAGGGATCTGCCGAGTCATCATCGGACTGGTCATTATCGTCGGTACTGTTCCCTGCTCTTCGTACACGGTTCCAAATCAAAGAGTCAGGAAAGACGCCTTTGGAAATAATCATTATTCGGAGAAGGTGCGACTTTGAATGAAGTTGAGGATTCATGTTAGACTTACGGCGAGCTACGACACCACGGGCTTCCGAAACTGCGACGACCTTTCCTGAGGAATAGGGAAATACTGATCTAAAATGCGGAATTTCCTTTAGATATTTCTTTTATGTTGCAGATTGCTTTACGGCAACCGTGATATTTTACCGTTAGTGCTATTGTTACACTTACCCATCGAGCGCCCTAAGGTCACGGTATGCTAAACACGACACTAAAGCTGCAAAACGACCATAAATATAAGTAAAGTTACAAGCCGGCTTGCAAGTGCGGGTTTCCAGGCCTATATTATCACAGTGTGCACTGTGCATCTAGTGCTTTGCAAACTCACCGAAAATAACCGGAACAATTATTATATATACAAAGCTACTTCGCCGTTTTTTTTATCCAACATCTCCTCCTACATCGTTCGACGGTAATTTTCGCCCGATAGCTTAATAAACGCCTAAAATCATGTAGTTTGTCTCAACGCCTTTCGTTTTTCGATCTTTTCGTTGTCCGAATTACGAAAGAGGAACAAAACGAATTTCGCTGATTGGCTGATCATTAGTTAGAAATTAACACAGGATTGGCGGAGATGCGGAAGTTATCGAACCAGATCCGCTGACTAATAACACACAAGTAGTACAATACTTTATGGGCCATATGTACCAGTATGCGCATAATACCGAGCGGCTGAATTGTAAAATATTTTGGAATTGTAAAAAATGCGGAAAGGCTTAATTTAACAGGGAACTTCTGGTACAACTTCGAAGCAAAACTTTGTACAATGCTTAAAACAATCATGTAGTTTGTCACAAAGGGTTCGTTTTTCAGTTTTTTCCTCTCCGCGTTACGATACGGATTCGAAACAAATTTTTGATTTTTCATTGGCGGAAAAAAGAAAAGGATAACTGAAACGGGCAAGGTACATACATGCCGGTGAGACAGAGGGGAAGGGATTTTCGCCGGTCAGATAGAAGTACAGGGACATTTGAAGGTCAGATAGAAGTACAGAGATTTTCGCCGGTCAGATAGAACTACAGGGATTTTCGGCGGTCAGATAAAATTACAGGGAATTTCGCCGGTCTGATGGAAGTACAGGGGTTTTCGCCGGTCAGATAGAAGTACAGAGATTTTCGCCGGTCAGATAGAAGTACAGGGATTTTTGCCGGTCAGATAGAAGTACATGGATTTTCGCCGGCCAGATAGAAGTACAGGGATTTTCGCCGGTCTGATAGAAGTACAGGGATTTTCGCCGGTAGAAGTACAGAGATTTTCGCCGGCCAGATAGAAGTACAGGGATTTTCGCCGGTCTGATAGAAGTACAGGGATTTTCGCCGGTAGAAGTACAGAGATTTTCGCCGGCCAGATAGAAGTACAGGGATTTTCGCCGGCCTGATGGAAGTACAGGGATTTTCGCCGGTCAGGTAGAAGTATGTACAGGGATTTTCGCCTGTTAGAACACAGGGGCATGGATTTTCGCCAGTTAGACATAGAGGATGGGATTTTCGGCGGTTAGACGGAGGTGAATTTTCGCCGATCTTACAAAAAAAAGGGAATTTTTTGGTCAGACAGAGGATGAGATGTTTGGCTGATATGTTATTATTAAAAGTTTTGCTAATATGTTATCTGGCTCAACCTTCTTTGTAGACGACGGTTTTATCGATGGCACTTCCATAAATAGAAGTATATGTAAACACTTTCCGTTATAATTAACGGAACGTTTATAATTCAAAACCAACCGCTTTTGCGACCAGTTAAGTTCCGTTTCCTAAATCTGTATAAAAACTACCACATTTCTTTCTTCAGTTCTAAAAATTCTCAACCGAGGCCGGAGGCCGAGGTTGAGCTTGTAAATAAAATTGTCACAGAAGGAAGGTACATGGCAAGTATATCGACTAATAAACAGCGAGAGAAAAGGAACAGTAAATGCGAAGTTAACGCAGTCTACGGGTGCAACAACAACAACACGTAACGATTCAATTTTTATTTGGGCATTGGGTGAAGACACTAGCACCGAAACACGGGACACCGGCGCAACCGGCCCCGCAGTCCTTGCTAAAACAACCCCCCAAACCCCCATCAAATTAGTACGGACGCAAGCCCTCGACAGTACGTGGTAAACGAACGTATCGGGCATACGCATCACTTTTCCACCGACCAGCTTTCATTATAGCCTCGGATGAGTAATTACGATCGGCAGCAACAGTCGCTGCGCCGATACGAAACGAATGTGGAGATAAATCTTTAAGTTCAGGATGATTACGCAACACTAATTTAAGCAAACTTGCAAATCGGCTACGAGACAAGAAAGAACCGTCATCAAAGGTACAAAAGGGAAGGGTACTAGGAAACCGATCAGTACACAACAACAAAAACCGTTTAACAGCCCGGTACGGGCATACTGACCGATGAGTGGGACGTAAATAAACTTTATAGCCTCTTCCGACTTGATCGGTTTTTGACCGTTTGATATTCAGAAGCACATAACGTTCTTTAATTAGAACATCACTTTGCATCAAAGTACGATGAGTGATAAACGAATGTCGATGTGAGGTAACAAACTCACTTGGTCGTAAAAATCCGAAGAATGCGATAGTGCACGCTGCCCAAAGCAAACACTGTGCGTAGGCAGACAATGCCGAATCAAGAATGCATTGTTTAATACATTTCATAACGGAAAGTGTCACGGGACATCGACGGTCTAGCGCCGGTGGGATCAACCGGGCATAACCCTTTACTGCCTGTCTTACAGCACTACAATCTGTGTAGTCGGAATATCCGTGTTCCTTATACCAGTTAGATAAAGCCGCTAAATAGACTTTTAAAGTTGAATATGCAATATGTTTGTCAAAAGATTAGCAATAAACAGTGCAACGGACGATGTGCTGAATACATTTACACTCTTTACTTTACAAAAAACGAAAATATGACGATACACCAGCTCTATATGTACGACGAGTCGACGAAGATATATGGTTACGTAACAGGCGCTTTAATGTGGTATTCATGACGAAAAGGAAGTAAAGAAATCAGCAGGCAACACGCATGGCGATGCATCAGCCAGCGGTGCTAATGACCGAAAGCGAACCCACTGTTGCCGAGATAACGCATCGGCAATCTTATTTGAACAACCCGGAATATGCGAAATTTTCAAATTAAAATTAAACTTAGCCGCTAAGAAAAATATCTTACGCATCAAAATATTTACAGATAAAGAAGACGTGGAGAATTTGTTCCAAGCTTGGACAACTCCCAAATTGTCACAATGTAACAGCACTTTTCGCTGACAAAGATCAGTTCCAAATAGGGAGAAAATCTAACCACCACTGAATATCTTCCCGGATGTCTGCACCAAGTACGATTGCGTCAGTACCGGATACGGGTAATAAATTTATCATACGCCGGACAAACAGGCGACCAACCGGCACACACTTTGCCGCAAACTGTAAAGTACCAATGAGACTTTGCAGCTCTGTCTTGGTGCACAATGAACGCACTGCCCACTGCTGTAATAACAACAGGATAGCGGCATGCTTATTAGGCGGTAAGGCAATAGTGCACGCGACTGAATCCAATTCAACACCAAGAAAGGTCAGTTTCGTTGCCGGCCCTTCTGCCTTTTCTGTGGCTAATGGAATACCCAACCGATCAGCGGCAGCGATAAACAGCTGCACGATATTAGTACACTCAGCCGACTTTGATTTACCAACGAAGAAGAAATCATCCATGTAATGAAGTAAATTATCAAAACCAAACATGTGGGCGACAATCCAATGTAATGCTTGAGAGAATAAGCAGAAAAGATATGGCGAGGATCGACAGCCGAAAGGAAGAACAACATCGAAATAATATAGACCCTCTATACAATAGCCTAATAAATGCCAGTCTTCTCGTCTCACAGGAATCAGGCGAAAGGCATGTTTAATATCCTGTTTCGCCATTAAGGCGCCTTTCCCAAATCGTTTAAGTAAGGCGATAGCGTCATCTACTGAGCAAAATGATAATGAGAATGTAGCTTTATCAATGTAATCGTTCACAGACTGGCCGACTGGCCGCGATAAATCAAGAATAATACGAAAACCAGATGTCTTTTTAGGCACCACGCCTAATGAACTGCATACCATGTTAACAAATGGTGCATGCCGAAAAGGGCCAACCGTGTGACCAAGATCGATTTCTTTTTGAACAGATTTAAGTAAAACATCTTTATGGATTTTAGCCGATTTACAGTTAGGTGTATAAACAGAAACACGAGGACCAAAATAACCGATATTAGCGCCATGTTGCAAAATAGTAACAATCTGATTAACAAAAGAACGATCAGGATGTGGCGCAAGCAGCTCTATGAAAACGCCAATTTTAAGCGGTGTTGCCGGATTTACCGGCATCGCGCAATTTCCAACAGCTGTACTCTCCATGGGTGGCGCCGGTACAATAGGAGCACATATGCCGAAGTTTATTCTTACATGGTGTTGAACAGTTTCCTTTGTTGAAATCGATGCAGATAGCTCTACGGTCGGATACTCCACGCCCGCGAAAAAGCTGCTCACTGGGATTGCATACGAATAGCATCTTCCGCAATTTTGTCAGGACATTCACGAGCCAAATGACCTCTAATGCTAGATCCAACTGTGATCCAGATACGGAGACCTAAACGGAATAGATCCCGTGGAAGCGAGCGATACGATATGGATCGCGAGCTATGCGGAAACACAAACGTCGCACCGTAAATCGCTGACTTTTTAATATTGAAAAGTCTGTGTAACAGAAAAATCAACAACTGATCGGCGCAGCTCGATCGTAAAACGTAGAGCCAATTCAACAGCGTGCAGCGCTGTGCAGCACGTGCTATGCCGCGCCCACTATCAGAACGCAAGCCAATCACAAGAGACACAACACAGACACGTAGTCCAAAGGCGTAGCGCCACAGGCGTAGCGCCACTGACGTGAACGCTAGTGATCCCGGTCTCACATGCCTCTGGGGGGATGCCGAGCTCCTGTGAGGCTGGACACACTCCCGGATCCACGAGAAGACGACGGTCGCCGGTGTCTGTGTGCGCTCAAAAACATCAAATTCTCTTAATCCGTTTATCATATCACATCAATTCCATAAGGCACAATTCCATTTAATACGATGTGAATAAAGAGATCCGATTATAAAAAATACTATCAGAAAACAGATCAACAGTTAAACAGATCAACAAAAGTATTAATCAAAATGTAGACTAGGATCCTCCATTTCTGACTCGTAAAGGTCACAGGTCCTGTCCACCGTTTTCCGCACTTTGGCCCATTCCGCTCCGTTGAGCAACCTCGCGCATCCGTAATGCGACTTTCATCACAATCCGCTTTGAGAATCGGGTGCGTATCAAGTACGACTTAGGAATACTGCTTCATCTTTGGAATATGGTGCGTATCAATTGTACGACTTCAAAATGAGATCCGTAAAGGTCATGGAGGGACGTCTTTAAGACAAGCGTAGTTCGCTTCCTCCCTGGTAAAGGTCATCCTTTGTTGAGATGATCCGTTAAGATGTGCGACTCATTTTGGGTTAATGGTCCCAAAGGTCATGCGACTTAAATTCCAATACGGTGACTCTGTTGGGCAATTGATGATCCCAAAGGTCACCCCACTCGTCAAAATTTCCGTTAAAGGTCATGGAGGGACTTAGCCAATTTCCTGCGGCTTTCAAGCACTTCTTCGCTTGCCTCCCTGGTAAAACTTGCAGTTTGACCTTTCCGTCGCACATCCAACTTCAGTATGCCTCGAGCGGCCAGAGTGCCGGCAAGTTTACCGTAGCATCTCTGATGGGGCCGGCTAATTACCGCATTAAGTTTACCCCATGAAATTTCCACCTTAAATCTTTGACTCTTGTTCGCCGCTTGTGGCTTACGTTAGTACGAGAAATCCGGCTTGATTACCGTAGTTTTTCTCGTTTTAATTTTAACACTGAATCGCTTAAAGAGAGTGCCGGCATAGTTTACCGTAACAACTCTAATGAGGCCGGCTAATTGCCGCATTAAGTTAACCTCATCAATGTTCCACCTGTTGTCTTTCTCTTTTTCGCCGCTTGTGGCCCCGTTTCGTATTCAAGAGGTCCGGCTTGATTACCGTAGTTTCTCTTGTGCATTTATAACACTGAGTCGCTTAAAGAGGAGGGCCGGCTAACTGCCGTAGCAACTCCTTTGGGGCCGGCTTTATAGACCGAATCAATTTCAACCCCAATAGATATTCCACATGATTTCTTTAGGCAATTCTGTGCTATAAACGCTGCAAACAACAAATACACGAATGCAATTAATGTTATTATGTCATGTGTCACGCCCTTTATACAACACCATTTTTATCTTTGTGACGTACCGACAAATGCCGTAGACGTCCTTTCGATAGTGTGATCCTAAAGGTCAACACTATTCCATTTCATTTGAATCGCCCTCGCCATCTCTCGGCGGGCGTTTCTTAGCGCTTTCCGGTTGGTTTCGATCGGAAGTTCGGTCAACTGGTTCCGTCGAGTCAACTTCCATGACCTTTGTCGGGTCAACTTCGCGCTGGCCCCGACCTTTACCTTGGCGACTTCGCTTAACCGCCTCAAGTCGATGGCGTGCGTCATTTTCTTCGAGTTGCAGTCTTCGGTTATCAGGGTCTTCCGCCAATCGACGCTGCACGTCGGCGAGATTATCCCGCAGCTGTGCCATTTCGATGCCCGCGTCGTCCCATCTGGTTAGGCGCACGGTCTGGGCGACGGTCACTTTTCTTCACTAAGAATTCATCAATGTAAGTTTCGATTCCGTCCACCGGTTCGACGTAGTCGCTCCCCAGAGAATCTTTGATCTTATTAATCCTTTCTTCTACTTGGGATGCGTGGCGCTGTGTCAAGTTGCCCTTTTCCATTCGTGTCTTACACTTTTTTCAGCGCCTTGCGAGCCGTATGCGCTATGCTGATATGTTCCATCGGTTGTCCCAATTTAGCGACATGAGCTCGGAAGAACGGTGGAATGTCGTCCTTCATGGTATTAGACACCAATTGGTTCTGTGTCTTGTAATGTGCCAGTCTCGCAGCGAAGACCTTTTGCCCCATCCTTTTTGCGGCATAGTCCTTAGGATCCACCTGTAGTCCTATCGACGCCCTTGCTGCAAGCAACTTGAAAGCTGGATTCACATGTCGTAGAACAAACTGAGCCACGTATTCTTGGCGTTCGGGATAGTCTCTGTAGTAGAACTGTGTCATCCCGATTGGGTCAGTTGTGTCCAGCGGTACATCCAATAAACTTAAATCCACCAAACTGTGTAGCCCATCTGTCTGATAGGGAGATAACAGTCCCGTACTGAATCGCGGTGGATGAATAACCGACGGAAAAGTCCTTGTTCCACTCCTTGTTTAATCTCTCTCGCATAACCTGAGTCAAGTAGGAATTGGCTCAACTGTCTCAGAATTGTGCCAATTTTGTTGGCTTCCAACCGAATCCGCCTGTCCAAAGTATCGACATATTTCGACCGTTTGTTCATCAATATCAGTCGTCTTGTATTCCATGTCGATACTTTCCGGTTGTCGGTTATTAAATCTGGAGTTTAATCAAGGTCACTGGCGACGATTATCACCTGGTTCGCCTGACCTTCCAGTTCACGTCGGTCTGCTGATACTGGCTGCGACGGTTCATTACTCGTCGATGAAGCCGGTTGAAGGTCACTATCCAAGATCACATTTCGTCGGTGAGTCACATTCTCTTGAGACGTGGTTTCGACAACTGAGCTGGTCCCTTCCATCGCATCGTCTTCTTGTACGACGCTCACAATTGGTTCCACAACGTGAACCACTGACTCCACCCGCTGATACTTTGGGGGTGAATCTTCTCGTTCAGTGCTTGATGACCTTTTACTTGCGCCCGAGTCAAAGGTCGCATAAAATGCAGCTCTCTGTTGCCATCTTTTATCCTGTGGGTCGGGTGTTCGGTTCCGCGTTTGTTCGCGTCTTTTGTCCCATGACCTTTCAGGTGTTGACATTCTGACATTGCGATTCCGGAATGCAACTCCCATCGGCACCTGATGCCCTTGTTTTTCAGGCTCTGCACGGAACGTCTCCGCACGCCGTTTTTGAATACTCATTTCCGTAACTTCGTCTCCATGGCGCACCCATCCTCTTCCGCCACGGTAATCTCGGTCGCGGGAACGTTCGCGTGACCTTTCACTGTGGTAATCGCGTGTCCTTTCACGAGAATGTTCACGTGACCTTTCGCTCCGTCGTTCCGAAATCCGTTCATGTTCACGTGAATGTCCGCGTGACCTTTCTCTATGCGGGGGCGATCGAGGTCGAATGAAACCTTCGTCCCGTTTAAAACTTCTGAGTGCTTGCAGCACATCGCTTTCGGTTCGACGAGATTTACGTAGATTATCCATACGTCTTTCGACTTCCTTCTTTATGTATGGTGCCGGCGCGAACCCGTCTTGCAATCGTTTCTTCTCCCGCAACAGCATTTTGAATATCTCGTCTGACATAGCAGCTGGATCTTTCGTTAACGTTTCAATTTGAATGATAAGCGACTGTCGTACGAGTTGCATTTCGTCTTCATTAAGGCTGGCCATGCCCGTGGGTGCAGCTAAACCCGACGTACTGGGCAACGCCTCTCGTGCGGCCTGTTCGCTTGTCTCTTATTTTCCGAGACACTTCAAGCGCGGAGTTCGTCTTCCATTTGCTGAACTCGCATCTTCTCCTGGTCCTCTTCGAATTTCTTCCTTTCTTCTTCTTCGTTTTATCTCCGTTTAACCCATCTGTTTGACCTTCTCCCATTTCGGGTAGCAGAGGTGGTTCGAAAAATGGCTTCTGTTGTGTGACTGAGTCATTTTTTCGGACTCCGCTCTGATCTGTCTTCTTTCCGTTAGCTTTATCCGTTTCGGGTAGTAGAGGTGGTTCGAAAAAGGTTTTTCCGAATCTTTTGAGTACACTCTGTTGCCTTTTCCTCATCTGGTAATGGAGGGTGCCATGGTTTCAACCGGTCGATCGAAACCACCTTCAAGTCTGCTTCCTTCTTCGGGTTCTGCTCAATGACCTCGGCTTCGTTTGGTCGCGGAAACTGAGAATTTTCCACACTTTATCGTATTTCGACTTAAAGTCCGATTGGTTTTTCTTTTTTTCCTTGTTTCGTATCCTTTGGTAGCCGTATCACGAAATCTCCCACTTTAAAGTTCGGCTCAGACTTCTTCTTGTTGTAAATCTCCGCGTTCTTCTCATAAGCGTCTTTAATATTACACCGTGCCACTTCTTCTGCAAAGGTCAAGTTCTTTTTCATGGTCTCTACCCATTCATCTGGAGTTCCGTAATCATCGGGTATATTCGTTTTTGTAACCACATCTTCCGGCATTGTCATTTCTCTGCCGTGTAGCATATAGTATGCTGAATATCCCGTTGTGGCGTGTACGACTCTGTTCATCGCCGAAATAACATATGGGAGATACTTGTTAAACTTTCGCTCATTTCCCGCTTTTAGGTATTGCGCCAAGCCATCAGCAATCGTCTGCATCTGTCTCTCCACTTGGCCTTGACCTTCTGGGTGATACGCCGTTCCAAATGTGTGTTTAATTTTAAACACATTGGTGACCTTTGCCAATACTTCAGCTGTAAAGTGTCGTCCGCGATCCGTATGCAGGATGTGCGGTGCTCCGTGTACCAATATCACGTGCTTCACGAATACTTTAGCGAATTCTTTAGCCGTTGCTGTTTTCATCGGTACCGCGATCACGTATTTCGTCAGTTGGTCGATAAATACCGCTATGTACTTGTATCCACGTTTCTTGGTCGGTAACAAAGGTCCTTTCAAGTCAGCATATACTCGGAAGAACGGATGTCCCACTTTAATCTCTTGCAGCTTTCCAGGTGGACATTTCCTCGGTGTTTTACGGAACTGACATCCTTGACAGGCGAGTATGTAATTCTTCACGTCTGTACTCATCCTGTCCCAGTAATATCGGAGTCTTATTGCTGACAATGTTTTCGAATCCCAAATGTCCCGCTGCTTTCTCGTCGTGCAATGCGTGGATTATTGCTCTTCGCATGGACAACGGAACAACATATGACCTTTCAAGTTTTCCATTTTTATCCTTTACTCGGTATAATATACCATTCCATAACTGGTAATGCGCTTCAAATTTCGATCTTGTTTCCGCGTCTGGTAGGTGTTCCAATTCGTCTATGATCATTGCCAGATGGGGATCTTTCAATTGTTTGTTTCGCAATTGTAGATTGGAGTCATCCTCCTCTTCTTCGTCACCTTGCAGGTTAACGATGCGCACTGTTGCTGTACTGAGTTCGTTCCAATCTCTGATGACCTTGCATCGCGGTAGCGGTTTGTACCTCTTTTTCGTCTGTTTTGGGAATCTCAGCAACTTTATTGGACACTCGTTCAACGCTTGTGTAACTTTGTCCGTTTCCCAAAGGTCATCTCCTTTCTCCGCTGCTTTATCAAGTCCAGTGACCTTTCCATAATGAACTTCGGCCTCTGCTTCAAGTCCGGTGACCCTTAAGTCACTAACGGTAGGCAACCAACTTTTTACACGATTCACATTAGCTTCTATTTCAGCCGACTCATTCGCCGTAGCTGAAGTAACCTTTAATCGTTTCCCCCTCTGTTCCACCATCTGCAGGAACAGCTGTCCAACTTCAATTGCCGGTTCCTTCGTATCAAACTCCTTCTTGTAATCCTCGAAGTTTGGAATCTCATCGAATTCCTCTTCTTGACACGTCGGGCCTTCGATTGGCGCTCTTGATAACGCGTCCGCGTTGTCGCAATATCTCCCCGGTTTATATTCAATTTTAAACTGGTGACCTTGTAGTGCCATTGCCCATCTTGTCAAACGCGGGTTCATTCCAACTTTGTTCGTCTCTGACCTTAGCAGATTGGTCAGCGCCTGATGATCCGTCCTTACGGTGAACTCTGCGTAATCAATGTACGGCTTAAATTTCCTGACAGCGAACACAACTGCCAGACATTCCCATTCCGTTACACCGTAATTTTTCTCCGCTCCATGTAAGACACGACTGGCGTACGCGATCGGATGTCCATCTTGTGACAGTACGGCTCCGATTCCTTCTTTGCTCGCGTCGCATTCAATGACGGTCGGTTTCGCGGGGTCAAACTTTGCCAGTACTGGACCTTCACACAACAACTTCTTCAAACTATTGAACTCTTCTTCATGTACTGCCGTCCAGTCCTTTTCACGTGCTTATCTTGTCTCAGCAGTTCATATAAGTGGGAAGTCTTCTGTGCGTATCCCATTATGAATTTGCGATAATAGTTCGCCAGTCCAAGGAATGACCTTAATTGTCTTTCAGTCTGAGGCCGTTTGAATTCGGAGACCGCGGTGACCTTTTCCGGGTCCATTCGAATTCCGTCCTCGCTGAGTATATGACCCAGAAATCCCATTTGTCTCATTCCAAATTCGCACTTGGTTGGTTTAATCGTGAATCCCGCTTCAACCAGACTCATTAAGACATTTCGCAGGTTCTGCATGAAGATCGCCCAAGTCTTTCCGGCGAAGATTACGTCGTCAATGTACCCGAAAACGCAACCCTTTCTTTTCGAAAGTACTTTATCCATACACAATTGAAATGTTGCTGGTCCGTTGCAGACTCCAAATGGCATTCTTTTAAATCGGTACATTCCATCTT